CCAAATAGTACATGCATCGACTCCTTCGAAGAACATATTTAGATTTATTTTTATTTTTACTATTTGAGCTTTTGCTTTCTTTTGGAGCGGGGATGTACGGTGCGTTGGTTGAAGGGCTGTGGGAAGGAAGGGTTGTTGGTTGTTCGTGCAGTTGCAGGAGTCTTGTCGTGTGGCCTGTGTCGTGTCCTGTTATGTTGGGTGGTAGACGTAGACGTACATAATGTACATACGAGTTGGAGATGTGAAGTGGAGATGGAGATTGGCCAAGGGTTCGGAGACATGCATGTTTGTGGGTGGTTTGCGAGGCTTTGTTCTCCATCGTTTCTTATTAATTTCTTATTAATGCCTAGAAAATCATCGAGTCTATTCTGAGTTCTTGCTTGGCGTTGGTGCTTCTTACCGACGGCTTAATATCCGAACATCTGACGACGTCGATCCTGATCCTGATCCTGTACAGAGTACATGCAACTAGGATTTGGATTTGCGGACGGATCATCCTTCGCTGCGTCCCCCTGTCTGTTTTTAGGGTTTTGGTTGGTAGCTTTCTTGTTGGAAATTCCGAGTGGCTATCTTTGTTCTTGGATAAACTTTGGCATACGGAGTACTCCGTTTTCCTCCGTGGAGACCAATCTCATCAAACATGGAAGTATGTACCATAGGGAGTCCACCAAGAAGAGACAAAGCACATCTCAGACAGGGATGTATATGCCTCATGTCTATCGTAAAGTTTAACATCATGATCATCATGCTTTAGATTATGCATTTTCTGTGGATTTCAAGGTTTGACCTCCATTCGCCTTTCACTAATTGCCTGCCCAAACGGGAGAGAATTTGAATTGTGTAAGCATTACATATCTCGTATTGACGACGGTCACGGACGGTTCTCTTTGTTCTATTCTATCTCCAGGACTTTTCCACGACGACAATAGGACTTAGTACCTAGATAGGCGTAGTATGGACAAGGATGTCCATCCCAACAGACTGGGTCGGCGTCATTTATCCAGTCAGCAGCGCCTCCTGTCCTGCCTTTTAGGTACATACCCTCTGACCTCCATCACACCCCCTACCTCCTCGACTCGTCTCGTCCACATACCGACTACGCCTAGCCTAGTGCGACGATCGTTTCAGACCCTGATGCAGGTGATGATCTGGTCCGGTGGAGGGGAAAGGAGGGCTGGAAGACGTGGCACTGGCACCGGCGCCAGGCGCCATCGCACTAATGGCAGATCCTTGTGCTGTGATCGACCTCTTCCTGGAATTTCATTGAATGCCGGCTATTACTTATTCCATCGACAGTGATTCGACATACTGTCTTAAACAAGGTTTCTAGAATTTGCCCCAGGTTCCTTCTTCTCTGGAATCTTGTTGGTTGGTCTCTTTGGGGCTTGGGGTTGAGATGTCATCGTGTCGCATTCAATTGATTTCTTACTGCAGTAGATCATCACACGGTTGCATCCACTCTGGAGCTCGAGGTGCGGGCAGATCAATCAAAGAGAACCAAAAAATGAAAAATAAATGTGAAATAGAAAAGAAAAAAAATGAAACGAAACGAAAATCACGATCCAGCCCCATACTGTATTCCACACCTGTGCATCCTGTGATGTACGCCGCCGACTGCGACGCAGCCCCGGTGCTTTTTGCCTGATTTACTCGTATTGAATTTTGAGTCAATGCAGTCCTGGTCTACTTTGTAACTACCAATGCAACATCGAGTACGGAGTCGGAGTACATATTAGCGGGAGTACTCCTTGGGTAAACTCCGGGAATACATATGGTCGGCTTCAAGTTTAGATTCAGCTTCTACTCTATGCGAGTCAGGATATGATGAATTAAGTTACTCCGCAGTTCAGACTACCGAAAGAAAAGACTCAATAACCAAAAAAAGAAAATATCCCCAGTCTGGAACCAAAATCATGTTCTCCACCACATGATCCTTCGATCCTCTCACCGTTATGTAGCCGTACATGTACATTACATTGTACATATGTGCGAGACAATCAACATAAGCGAACGGGGAACATGATTAGAACCAAAGTCCCAAACCTTCGAATCCAGGGGCGGAAAACTGCATCATGTTATCATCTGGCCGACCAAATCTGAATAAAGGTCCGCTCAAGTGCTTATGTATTACGGAGCATACCTGTCTAAGCAGGTGCTAATGCTAATGTGATATTATATGTAGAACATGGCTTCGGATCCGATCACAAAAATGGACTTTCTGTCGTGACACTCTATATGCTTTCTGGAGATATATCTCCGATTTTCTCGGCCACGTTTATTGGGGGCCGTTGCACGTAGTGGGGGTGGGGGTGGGATGGTCATGGTTCTGACTAGCTTTGTTGGGTGCGAAATGCGATGTTTGTCTTTTCTAACTTAGGCTGAACTCTGGCTCTGGTGTTTAAGTTTACCGAACACGGAGCAATATGAGTTGAGTTAATCTCCTGAAGTCTATTAGAGACTTGTTTCGGTGCTTCCCCACATGGTTTTGGTAAGCAGGACTACTTGATCAACTAGAATAACTATTGGTTCACTAGTGACGGTTAACCTTTGAAGTTATTTGGTTTGCTGAGAATAACGTAGATACTAGAAATGCTAGAATGTATCTGCAAAGTAGGCTTTGCTTGATCACCACGTTGCAAGTCTTGTTTGTGCGTGTTTCTTGGCTGAAGTGGGTTTGCTTAATGCCTGCTTCGCTGGTCTTTACCGATATCCGTCGGGGTCCGTGCATTTGCGCCTTTGGCTTCGAATGTAGTTGGGGGCTGGGCTGTTTGGGGGGTTGGTTGTTTAGCGCCCGCATTTACTACACATCACCTGGTGGGATAGAGTCATCTAGAAGTCTAAGAATATACTAATACAGGATTTAGATTATTATTAGGGGGCCGTAAGCATGATGGATCGGCTGCCTAAAAGACACCATACCCGGGCGACTTGGGTTTCCCGATCCTCCGGGTTCCCGGATTGTATGGGCAATCAAGCCACTTTTTGGGGGTTGCCATGGCTATGGTAGTAATCTTACATCTTATAGGGTGGGGGGCAGCGAAGCGTTACATATGCACCAGGTTGTTGGTTATGTATGGAGCACATTAGTGTAATCGGTGGGTGGAGGCGCTGGTTAGGATCCCAAGTTGTCGCCCTAGGGGAACGCCACCACGGCGCTATCGTCCGCGCGTCAGGCTTGCGAGGTGACCGGGGTTCACTGTAGGCTGATTCTGAAGTAACTGAATCTTATTTTGGGTATTTAGATACGTCTTTCTAGGGATGAGATGGAGGGAGGCGAGAGAGGTTAATTTGAATGCGTCATTTTTCGTAGGGGGAGGGGATACAATGGCCAATGAGTATTCTAAGTAGATTGGATCATCGGGGCCTCTGCTGTGGGGATTAAAGAGAGGCGGTGAAGTAATCGAGGCAAAGTGATGTTTATCACTGCTGCAGACTTGACTTTCCGTTGGTGGGAGGGAACTTGTTTCGTAAGTCAAAGCGTACTTCAACCATTTGGAGAAAAGTGTCACTCGGAAAACCCAATGCTCCTAGCTGCGTGAGTGAATCTGGTTCTAGTCCCATGCGCAGTGATATCCAATGCAACGTGTAAATGCAGATTGGCCATGGAATCACTGTTTGGTCAAATGGCCACCGCATCAGAAGCATAACATGCATACATATTGAATCCGGTAGCTGGGAGTAGTTCCAGTTCAGGCTGGAGGGATCGACTAGGCGGTTTTTCTGCGGGATCGTGGAATATCGAACCAATCACGCCTCCAGCCTCTTAGCCATCTTGGCCCTCTTACTGTAGACGAGGTGCAGTGTCTATCAGCCTTGTAACTCCGTACTTCGTACATACATGTAGGTGCACTTTCAAAGCGCGAGGTGGGTGTGGAAATCATGGTGCATGGGCTAGTGAACTAGGGAAACGCAAATCCCGCCACACACCCGTCGGTAGTGGGAAATCTAGCCAGCCCCGGAAGCACCCCGAGGAGGGGTTAAACCAGAGAGAGGGAACAAAGCCCACAAACTCGGACGATTTAGAGTTGGCCGGAGCGAGGGGTTGGCCAGCGTCGCCCAACGATTGGCACATAAAACCTCCGATATGGAGCCTGTGATCTGCGGCGGAAACGCCCGGTGGTCGATCTGCATGACAAGGAGCCGTAAATGCAAGTTTCGCGCCTTTTGCACGAGGATCGACTTCGGACCCAGTTTGTGTGCTTTTTTTTGTCTTGGCCTGTTCTAACCGAAGTTGCAAGGAGAGAAGCGATAGTCGGATCATCGCTCTATTTGTCCACCTCTCCGATCCAACAATGGAGTGCGAATCCTTCGATCATCCCCTCATGCCGAGGATTTTCCCACAAATTCGATCCACGGCATTTGTTCGCTGCAACCATTTTCAGCCTGATCGACTGCGAATCGATCGCCACTGCAACGTCCTCACCTGATGCAGCCTCCTTCGCCTTTGCAGATTGGCCAAGGTCGTGGTCCACTTATCCCCAGGTCTGCTTGTTTGCAGCTCCCAATCCGGATCGCGCCAACGACAGAAAAGAAAAACAAATTAGAATAAAATAACAAAGGAGGGGTCCAGGAATAGAAAATGAGCTCGGACACAGACTCGGAGACCCCGATCATGCATAGAGCCAGGATAGAAGTAGAAACCTCCGAAATTGGAGTATGGGAAAGCTTTCTCCACGGTGAAGATACCCACTCAGGCAGGTGTTAAATTTCTAGAATTGATTGCTCGTTCAAATGCCGGTATGTGCAAATAGATAATGAAATAATTCTAAATTAATGATTGAGGAAATGTGGACTCGAGAGCGATCGTGATTGTGGCCCACTCCCCCAGTTCCACAGGTGCAGATCCGCAACTCCCACCGAAGCCAAAACAAGGATGAAAGTGAAAATGAGGAAAAACAATATTTGGTATCTTGAATCATTATGCTGTAATGTGACGGTGATCAAACTCGTAAAAACCAATTGCAGAAGATGGCTACCCGGGTGGTTCCCCCCTCCATCCATTATGCGTAGACACCGACCTGGGGACTGCTGCCCAGATTATTTGTCTCAGCATTCATTTCCTTCCTGAGACGAATAGCCCGGCCGACATTCAGCTTATGGTCCTTAGGCATATGCTCGCCACTCCAGATAGTAAGAACTCTCATGCCAGGCTTGTAAGATAGTCCAGTAAGAAGCTTCGGCGTGATGAGGAAGTATTGCCCACCACCGCTGCCCCCAACAGGATTGCCTTGGTCGTCGGTCTCTTCCTCAGTTGAGGCACAGGCAATGTCCACCAAGCGACCATGAACCATGCGTTCGTTCCTTGGGTCCATACCCTGGTTGATCTCGTCGACAACCCGGAATGGTGATGCAGACAGAGATTGAAGCGCCATGAGGTAGAAGATAGTGCTCACAGCTCGCTCACCACCTGATTGACGGTGTGAATCCAAGAGTGACAAGCTTTCATGCTCTCGGAACTTGACGTGGATCTGAATAGACCATTGATCAAACTCGCTACCACCACGCTCGCCATTTGGCCCAGACTCAGCTTCCACCTTGTCTAGGCTTACCTGTCCAGCACAACCAATGCGCTGGAAAGAGTCTGAGAAGGCATCACTAATCTTGCTGATGAGTGCGTCCAGCCTTGGTTCCCAAATTGCCCGAACCTCATCAATGCCCCCTTGGAGTGCATCCAATTGCTCTTGGAAAGAGGCGAGTTTGTCGCGCAATTTCTCGATCTTCTGCTCACGCTCTTCGAATTCCTTGATCATGCTCGCACTGCCACCCTGGGTTAATTCCAGTTGCGCCCTAGCTGAGTCGATCTCCGCATTGAATTCATCCATGCCGTAGTTTTCGATTGCCGCCATCGACGCGCAAAGTTCCTCACAGCCGGGTCTCTCATTTGCTTGATCCATGATGCGCTTCGAAGCCCGTCTCATGCCTCTGCCTTTACTCAATGCATCTGCATATTCGGCTTGGAGGCGCCCAACCTCGCGGGATTTTTCTGCTTTCATGTTTCGATATTCACTATTACGGTTATTCAGAAGTTGGAGATCGGAATGTGCTTCAAGACATTTAACTTCAACGCTGACAAGTTCCTCGAAGGCTTCCCGAAGATTCTCGACGGCATCCTGCATGAAATTAGAATCGAAATTGAAAATATCCAGGGGATAATTTAATCTAGGACATACCGCATACTCAATGGCGGCCTCGGCTTTTCTGATAACAACTTCATCTTGTCGGCCGCGGATTTCAGCAACGCGCTCTCGGGTCGTCTTGAACATCCTCTCAAACGTGGTCTTCTTGGCTAGGATTGCAGCTGTGGAGGGTCAGTTCATAATCCACCGGCATTGAAAGTTGACAAAGAGACAAAGAAAAGAAAGGACCAAAGAAGAAAAAGAGAGACGTACCAAGCTTCTCCGGGATTGCGCGGTACTGTGTATGTGCTGTTTGCTTTTCGGCTTTCTCCTTCTCAATCTCGTCCTGTAGTAAAAACAGTCAATATATGAATGAACAATTATCTGAAGGTGTGTAAGGTGTGTTGTAAGTACCATGTCACTATGTAACTCTTTTCTCCTCGAGCCTAGGTCCCCCAACTCGGATCTCTGTTCATTCATTTGTTCATCAATGTGCTCTTCTTCCGCCTTGGCGTCTCTGATTTTATCCCGGTGTTGTTGTTTCACAGATGCATCCACAGGTTGCGACGTCCAATACCTAGCAGGTCTGACCGGGTTGACGCGAGTCGACACAGCTCCAGGCCCGTACTCCCGACGTCGAGTGCACTTATAGGATTGTTTCCCGGCAACCCATGAAGCGAGGGTTCCCGCCACGAGCTCTTCATAGACCTGATTTGATATCTCATTCAATCCAACGGGTGTTCTGTGCAAACCATTCTCGCTACAAAGCATAGCAAGTACAGGATCGGGACCCTGGATAAAGTCTTTAGCCCAGCCCTCAAACCCGAGTCGCTTGAGTTCCTCGTTTGAGATGTTCACGGTCATGGACTCGAGAGACGCCGAGCATGTCTTGATAGTGATATCTGAAAGCTTCAAATCTCGGTCAAGTGCCCTTTGCAGGGTGCGAAAATCGTTTCTGCTTTGTGTCGTGAATGACGTGAAGTCGTTTTTCTGGAACAGTGATTCGATTATATCGGCATATCGAGGGTTTTTGATGGAGCAAGTGACAATTGGCGGACCGAACACTTCTTTTTCAAATTTGTCTTGGTTTTGGAGAACCCATCGATAGGCTTTTAGCGTATCTTGTGACAGATTCGCCAGCTTGTTTTCTTGACGGCCTACTTCTGAGTCCAGTTGTCTCAGCTGCCGTTCTTCTCGTTCAACCTGGTCTTGCAATTCGCGCTTTCTTTCGGCCAGAGGAGTTTTAAGTCGGTTGATCTCCTTCGCCCTCTCTTCTATTTCGCGAGCCTCGAGTCTTTTTTGTTTCTTTTAAACAAGTCAGAAGGGATTTGCGTCGCCATGGGATACTCAACTTACCAGTTGCTCATTGTAATAGTCAGGGTCAAATTCCACTGGCTCTTCCTCTTGCTGCCGTTTCAGCCTTTTGTATTTTTGCGTTTCAGCATAAGCATCGTCCTTCGTCTTCTGGTTGGATTTCTTGAGGGCATCAATCTCGCCATTAAGCTCTTTGTTTTGAGCATCCAAGTTTTGAACAGTATTTCCCTGTGCCCTGGCAATATCTGAAAGCTGTTGTACTTGGGTCTCCCGTTGTTCTTTTACCGCACTGACTTGATTCAAATAGCTTTCTTTGGCATCCACGGCTGCCATCGCAGGCGCAAGACGTTGTTCCAGTTCCCCCTGCTCCTGTTCGCACTTGGTCTTCTGCTCTTTGAGTTCGGTGAGGGTACGGTGATATTCTCTATATTCAACCCATGGGCGCAGGAAATCCAAATTGTCGATTTTTTCCTGCACTTCAGCTCTTTGTCGCATTCTCTCCACATCTGCCCTTTGCATCTCCTGTCGATTCTCCAAATTTGAGAGCATTTCTTTGTCGCCGCGATTGTTCATTTCAATATCCTTCTGTTCGCCTCGTAGTTTCTTCAAAGCATCGTGTTGATTGACCATATCTTGTCCAGCAGCTGCTCTCTCGGTAGAATGAAGGAGTTCGATTGGTGTAAGTGCGGCAAATTCAGCAACCTTGTCTTGAGGTAAAAACTGGCAGAGGTTATCGACTTGAATTGCGAATCCTTGCGCGAGTTTCAGCACCGTTTGTTTAGGAGCAGGGTGGCCGTTCAACGTAAATGAACTCTTGTTTCCATCTCGCTTGATCATGCGACTGATCACTGGATTCCGCGGGGTACCCGGGGTGCCTCGCAAGTTCAATCTCGATCGTAGCTTCGGAGGAGCCATGCTTGACGAATTCACCGAGATCTTTAGCGCGGCCGAGGTGCTATAGATTCAAAGCTCGTTAGTCAATGATACAACGATCCACGTAACATGTTACTCTTGCCCAATGCCGTACCTGAGGCCCCCATCCAAGTCCTAGACAGATAGCGCAAACCAATGTACTTTTGCCAGTTCCGTTTGGTCCGATCACCATGTTTAGCTTTGGGCCTGGGAAGAACTCTGCTTCGGTATAAGTGACGAAGTTGACGACTTTAATACGAACGATTGCGCCAGGCTTGTATCCATCTGGGCCCAACCCAGGGTGAGCTCTCAGAGATTTTCTGGGAGGCGGCGGCATCGAATCTTCACTTTCATCACCCTCCTCCTCTTCGGATTCATCGTCGCTGGGAGGGTTTAGGCGCGCCCGTTTGCGAGTTGACGTTTGCGCAGATGTTGGAGCCTCATCTTCTTGATCAGAAGGCCCATCACCTTCCGCACTTTCATCTTCCGATGATTCATTTTGGTTGGTGGGGGTTTGACGAGGGCGTTTACTGCTCGATGGCGGGGAAGAGCCATTGTTATCGGACTGATCGGTTTCGGAATTTTGGCTCGGATTTTCGCTATGGGGCATCGAACTGCGGGAAGACATCGTTCACGCAGAAAATGAATGACGGCCCATGAAACCGAGAACTGAAGGCTTGATATGGGGGAAATGGGAAAGTGAACAAACGCGTCGCGTCTTTGAGAAACGCCCATAATGGGTCCCGTATAGGTAGGCGGTGAACGAACCCCGGACTTTTATTTGAGAGTTGGCTTTCTTTGACATCAACCACGCATTGACCAAGATGCCATCACCTCAGAATGTGCGCCGAATGGTTCTTGCCGGGGCCGTCACATCTATCACTATTGCCGGTACTTTGTACGGGGCAGGCATAAAAACGAAAGAGGAGATTGCGCAGGTGAGCAGCTATTCCCGAGCTCCGCCCTCCACCGAGACATATTCCTACATACGAGATACTTGAGATTATTAAAGAACACCACGTTCTTTGACATTTGTCAGAGCCTTATTAACCTTTTCCGTGTTATAGGAAACTAAGAAGCGCCAAGAGGCAACTTTCGATGAACAAATGACGGCACTACAAAACATGCGCTCAAACTTGACGGCTCGGAGAGGAATGATCGAAACTCAGATCCGAGACCTGGATACTAGGGTGCAAGAAAAGAAAGAAAGGAATCCAACCAATGGCGATGGAGTATGAGATGAAAAATTGCTTCCAACAGCTGTAGCCCGCACCCTTTGCAGCCAATACTGCTCATGTCTACGCGACATATAATTCTGCGCTTTGAGCCCTTATGTGGATACATGTCAGTCATGTTGCTAGACGATTGGTAATTCAATATTTGAGAGGTCATGCTCTTTGACTCGCATACTGGTTTCTCTATTTACGAGAGGAACACCCAATGGTCCGGCAAAAATCATCATTATCATATCTTACCGCTCTGGGCTCACGACATTCCGATACATCCAAGGAGCTTCTCACAATACTCTATCTCTTGTCCCATGAGTCCCAAATGTTTCATACTACAACCGCCTAGTATAACAATATGTCTGAAAAGTCAAAAGCTAGGTGGGAATTTTGGGTTTTTGGGCAATCATCTGATATGGATGTATATATTTCTAGGCTTCGCTTATCTCAAAGTGTATGTATAAATAATATGTATATATGGCCACTGGCGTTTTTCCATCGTGTATACGTTCAGTATATGCCTTTCGTGAATTCAAGTCGCGCAAAAGCTTAGTAGGCAGATGCAGTGCCAGTAATTGCATAGCTTTGCCTCATGCGAGTCAAACTTTGAACTTATGCCTCGAGGTTGAGACTCTCCAGCAGAAGTTCGAGTTTCTCCATCAGTATTTCATAATTCATTGTATCTTCGTCGAACTCATCGAACTCATCTTCGACCATACCTCCATCCAAGGCGCGAATTCCATGAATGGAATCTGCCGCCTCCCGGGTTTTCTCTGCCGCATGAACAGGTTTGGAGACATCGAGTTCTTCGACACCATGCGTGATATCTGAAACTTCCTCTGGGCTCTCAGGAGCCTCCGGATCCTCGGGTTTCGCCTGATCGTCCATCATTTCGTCCAAACCAGCATCATTGAACCTCAACCGGAATCGCTCATTCAAGTAGAATCGAATATCATCAATCAATTCAATAGAGTCAACCTCCTGACGCGCTTGAATACGCTCTGCCGACTCGCGGATAAGCTCTGCGAACTCGGACGTATCAATGTGAGCCTCTAATCGGTATGCTAGAAATCGTGCTGCGAATTCCTCCAAGCGTTGCACGCGAGTCAACCAGGCCGCACGCATGATTCCATAGATATCAATGTCATCTTCATCCTTGCCTCGTGTTTTGGCTGCTTCAGCTTGAGACATGCCTGAGCTACCTAGTGTGCTGATAACAACGGCGGCCTTGGTTTTCAGTTTCTCAATGAAAAGCATGTCGGCGGCGAAGAGGACATCAACAGCGATTTCCAAGGGGAAATCTGCACGTTCGGTGTACAGGAACGTGAGAATAATCTCCAGTACATCGGGTGAGCAGTCAACGTCAATAATTTGCAGATGTTCCGTAACCTGTGCTTCTCGGAATGAAGAAGAGAACATAGTCTGGAAAAACTCTGAACGGAGTAACATGGCGCGATGACATGGAAACAGAGTCGATATTTGAACTTCGTCATCTTCAGCCTCATTGGAAAGCTCATCAGCTTGTAGCAGGACATCTGCAAAGATCGCATTATTTCGATCCCACTTGACATCGTTCGCTTGTGTTGTCTCGAGGACAATTTTGTTGCCGAGGACATTGGCGCGGTACCATTCCTCCATTTGTTCGCGACCCTTCGCAAGCTCAGTGGTTCGCCGTTGTCTTGCTAATCTCCTGTCCCCACTATCCAAGATACTATCCATGAGACTTTGAATCTCCAGATGTTTGGATATTTTATCAATTGCTCCAAATACTTCCGATTCAGTAAACCCAGTGCCTGGTCCGCTACGGAGTTCCCGCGGAGGTTCTCCAAGATATAGATATCGAATTGCTGCATTGAATGAATCAGGAGCAATGTTACCAGGGAGCTTCCATGTTGTCGATTCTGGAGCTGCTGCGAGCTTTCCATGAAAATATGGAGACCGAGCAGCCAAGATGAACTTATGCAGGTGGAACGATTCGTCGGACGCAGTGACCACAATATCTGTTGTTACCGGGGTATCTCGAGTAAGAAGTGACGTTATATGTCCTGCGAGGGGCTGCAAAGGATCTGTCGACTTGGAATAATCGTACTCCAGTAAGAGGTTTCGTATCCGGTCATTCAAAGCATTATATAGACATCTAGAGATGATACAGATCAGCCATGATTACTACAGTCCAATGATTTCAGTAATTCAATTATTTATACCCACCTCTCTCCCTGGAAAGTGTCTCTTTCGCAAAGTGCACCTGATTCCAATAAAAGCCGAGCTACTTCATAGTGCCCGCAAAGACTGGCCTAGGCGCAAAACAATGACGTCGATCTTAGTTACTGGGCATTTTTACCAAATATTCTTTAAATCCAAATATGCCTCAAACTCACCAGAATCAATGGCGTATAGTCATACAAGTCTCGGGCATTAACATTGACACCCTCTGTAATTTTCTCTTGGCAGACTTTCAAATCGCCCTTGCGGCAAGCACTGCACAGTTCCCGGAAGGGTTCACTCTCATCCAGCGGGTTATCATCCTTGATAGCACCTTCTTTGATCAGCTTCTTTTCATTGACCAAGCTAACCTCTAGCTGGTCCTTTCGTAACACAGTCCGCTCCGGCATTTTATAGGCCACAAATAACTTGTCTGGAGTCGAAGTGGGATAGGGAATAAAATGCGGGACCGTTAAGTCCGACGGCTTATCGATAAACGTCACGTGTATCTAGGGCTCGGGTGGTTCGCGGATGATGCTATACAAACGCGCGTGGTGTTGTGTGACCGGGCTGTTTGACGACCAATTCTTGGGTATTTTTGAGATGCGAAGAATTGGTCTTACCTATCGGTTTGAATCCATTTCAATCTATTAACTTACTTCATTTCAATTAATTACATCACCCTATCCCTACTTAGCACATCGCTGGGGGCTGGAGATGATCATTGGGTTGACCGCCTACCAGAGTGGGTCAAGCGTATCATAGTTGCACGGTTGCTCAGCAACACGAACACCCAAACACTAGAGGATCGTCGAACGGCGAAACCCCATATTGCAGACAACTTTTCCCTCCACCAACTTCTTCAATTCACTCTACTAACAAAACAGGGGCGCCTGGTTTGCTTCGTTAATGCTCAAAGTTTGCTTTTCTTGACCTGTTGTCTGTTCTTTTTTTCTCATTCTCAGTATCTTGTTCATATTGTCTTTCTATCTATAGCCATGGCGATCGCTTTGGCTGAGGCGGATAAGTATGAGATCTTGGAGAAGATTGGTAAGTTTGCCCTCTGCTCAAGAGCCATTGGTATTTACACGATTTGATGCTTATGACACTCTTCAGGTTGTGGTTCCTTCGGCATCATCCGTAAGGTCAAGCGGAAATCAGATTCCTTCGTAAGTCGTCTTTGTTTCGTCACATCTTCAACTAGTACACGACTGACGTCTCTTAGATCCTGTGCCGAAAGGAGATCAACTACATTAAGATGTCTCAGAAGGAACGCGAACAGCTCACGGCCGAGTTCAACATCCTGAGCTCGCTTCGACACCCGAACATCGTCGCCTACTACCACCGTGAACACCTCAAAGCCAGCCAAGACCTTTACCTTTACATGGAATACTGCGGCGGTGGGGACCTGAGTATGGTCATCAAGAATCTCAAGAAGGCCAATAAGTACGCCGAGGAGGAATTCGTGTGGAGGATCTTGTCCCAGCTTGTCACGGCGCTGTTCCGTTGTCACTATGGCTCCGATGCTGCTGAGGTGGGCTCAAACATTCTCGGCGCGCCACCCAAGGCCTCTGGACTCAAGGGAAAGCAGGGACAGGTCACGATTCTGCATCGTGATCTGAAGCCAGAGAACATTTTCCTTGGTAGCGACAACACCGTCAAGCTTGGGGACTTCGGCCTCTCTAAGCAAATGCAGTCCCACGACTTCGCATCAACCTATGTCGGAACCCCATTCTACATGTCGCCTGAAATCTGTGCTGCTGAGAAGTATACCCTTCGTTCTGATATCTGGGCTGTTGGATGTATTATGTATGAGCTTTGCGCGAAGGAGCCTCCTTTCAACGCTCGCACACATATCCAGCTTGTTCAAAAGATTCGCGAGGGGAAGTTCGCTCCTCTCCTCGATTTCTATTCCCCAGAGCTGAAGAATGTTATCGGAAGCTGTCTGCGCGTCAACCCTGATCACCGTCCGGACACTGCTGCTCTCATCAATCTTCCAATTATTCGATTGATGCGCAAAGAGAAGGAGGTCGTTGATCTTGGTCGTACTCTTCGTCGCCGCGAGGAGGTGGCCGTTCAAAAGGTCCGCGAGATGGAGCAGAATCTTGCAAAGATTGAGAAAGAGAAGCAGCAAATGAAGGCTGAAATCGAGAACACCGTTCGACGCGAGTGGGAAGTTAAAGCCCGACTGGAGATCGACCGACAAGTTCAAAGCGAACTCGACCGACTACGAAAACGTTTCGAGACGGAAGTCCAGGATCGTGTTTCATTGGAGCTGCAGAAGGAAAAGACTAAGAGGAATAGCAGTCCTCATGATATCTTCCGGACAAGTACCCGGGCTTCAAACTCCTCTCAGTCATCCTCATCTCGCGACAGCGGCCGCGGCTCTCGATCTTCTGCGACGTTGACTGATGATAGCGATGCTCCTTCTATTGCCGATATCCCACCCATGCCTGAATCCCCAACATCAAACGGCCGTAAGAAGCCTAAGAAGGAGGCCCGTACTCCTTTCTGCCGTTCAAAGACAACGGTTGTTGACTCACCTATGGACGTACAAATGGGCGAACCCTCCCCCATCTCAATCGCCTCTCTTTCCCTGTCTCCCCGCCGTACCTCCGCGGCAGCTGGTTCTGGCCGCAACATCTTCGCCGAAGCCGAGCGTAACAAGGCTAAATGGGAACCCACATTGGCATACTCCGATGACGAAGATGATACCCCCGATTTACCTTCTCCCACCCGCCCAAAGGTAAAGCCAGATCCATTCAAGGCTCCATCTCGACCTCTCCTCCGCCAAAACACAGCAACTCTCATGCAAAAGCTCAGCACACAACCACCACTCTTCCCATCAAATGGCTCCCGTCTTCCTCAAATGTCCGGTGGTCCTTCCTCTTCTCAATCCGATACCCGCAGCATGAGTGAAAGTCGCTCCAAATCACCTCATAGACGTCTTTCTAAAATTCCTTCCTCGGCTAACCTTGCTGCTGATGCTGGATCTGGATCTCCTACTCGGAAGAATAGTTCTAAGCAGACCAGCCCTACCAAGGGTAATGCTGGTGGAGATGAGATGTTTAAGGCTGTCATGCAGCGCAACATGGGTGGTCGCACCCTCGTGGAACTCGCGCAGGCTCGTGCCGGTGGTCGTCCTGTGGATGATATGAAGCGTTGCGCAAGCGACTCACGCGCTACAGCTCCTACTTGCAGTCTAAAGGCGTCTGATCGTGATCCTCCTGCTATTTGGGATCCTGAGCGCGATGAAATGCCCAGTCCCTTCCTAGCTCGCGGGAAGGTCATCCGTAACCTGCGTTAACACATTCCCAATATCTCTGAAAACATTTTCCATTTTTGGAATCCCTTTTTCCATTTTGTTTCTTCGCACCCAATTGGAGCGGCTTTTTCTTTCCCCCTGGTGTCCGGACTGGCGTTGTGGATATAATGTCTTTTGTCTTTTCTTTTTTGTTCCCTTTCCTCTTTTTGCCTCATTGCCTAAGATCATTGTGTTGTCTTTTGACACCCGTCCATCGTTGATTTCCTCTTCTCTTCTTGCGCATACCTCTTTGTTTTTATCACGGAGTTTGATCGAGCTGGGTTAACTATGTCGGTTGATCTTGTTCTTGCTACTTATCCGCAAGACAAGACTCGGAGTTCTCATCTGTCGAAGCTATATGAGCTTGTGCTTGTCCCCTGACTCGTCTGATTCTCTTTTTCCTTTGTTACGCTGTGATGCCCATTTCATAATGTTTTCCCTGGATAGGAGTTTCTTGCACATTTATTTGGTTGCATCGGTCGTACAATGGTGACTTGAGTCCCGATTTTTTTCAAGTTCGCGTCTGCTGCATATTTTCGTATTCTTTCGTTCTTGATATCGGTAAAGTGATTTAATGTCGCACTTAAAGGTAATGTTTCTTTATATCGTGAGCGATTTACCATTTCTTTGCTCGGGCGTTAAAGCAGTTTTTCGCGCTGGAGATGCTCGTGTTTATACCATAGCTGCCCAGGGGGTGGTTTCGCCGCTGACAGCTTAAAAATGCCACTGCCACTGACAGGTGGCTTTAATACTATTACATGTCACGTTAATGAGAAGAATATTGGAAACTATAAATGTATGCTTCGTAGCATTCAACTTGAATGCTGAAGGGCTTCAATCTTTGCCCATTTCTATGGTATATAGTACATAATAATGCTGTATCTTCAAGTGCATCATATCTTGAAATCGTGTCTATGCCTCTTCATCTTCGACATCCTCAATCTGAACAGTCCTGAGCTCACGATTGAATCTTTGTTCCTCTTCTTCTAGTGATTTAAGCTCGTCACCCGTTGGAGCAGATTGCTTAGCCTCAGCTGAATACCCAGCCTTCTCAAGTTTATCCATCTCCTCCGGTTCAAGCAATTTCCCTTGACCCCGCATAGAGTCTTGCTTCATCCGCACAGCAGCAGGAACAAACTTTTTAATAGCCTCTTGTCGCAAATCCCGAATCTCCGGCTGAGCTTCGTAGACCTTCTTCGTTTCAATAGCAGGCGGTCGCGACGGAAGTGCATGCGACCCACGACGTTCTGAGTCTCCCTCCGGTCCACGTTTCCGCTGTGGCCGTGGAATTGGCGGTGGTGTATCCCTCGGCATGGGTATCCGACGTACATCCTCGTCAGTCTCGTCACTCTCACTATCTGCGGGCGGGGCAAATTCATCTCGCCTCCGCTTGCCAAGTACCGCGCCTCGCCCGTCATGTCCGTAGTCACCTCCCCGTCTTTCATGAAACTTGGGTGCCTTATCGCCGAGCGCCTCGCGAGCTTTCAATACTGCACGCAAATCCTTCTCCAGTGCCTCCAGTACCTCCTTGTCTCGTGGTCGTAATTGCCCGCCTGACTCTTCAACGCCTTTCAGGTCGTTGATTTGGCGCTGGAGGCGTTCTGGGTTGCGTCGTGCGAGTTTCTCATTACGTCGCACCAGCGCTTCAGCTTTTCCCTTCTTCAGATTTTTCTGCTTTTCCTGTTTCCGATGCGCTGCGGCCGGGTTGACGGAACGTTCCTTGTCCTTGGCCATTTTGAAAATCTATAATTGACGTAGGTATAGTAGTCGTATTCTATCACTACGTTGTATTGCCGGGGTAGACCCTGGCTCTGAGAGTGAATCTTGGAAAGAAAGACAGGCGAAGGTTCGATAGTCGCCTGGTCGAAAGTGCCAATCAGAGATAGATGGCGTCGTCAGCTGAATCCTAGAGCCTCACAGTATGTACTGTGATCTGTCTGCAGCGAAAGTACGACCTGTCACGTCACGGCTTGTATGGCGGTGTCGACCGTGGAAACCCAACGAGCAAGAAGATGGGGATCCGCAGCTGCACCAGCCTGCAGGAATGCGTGACCAAAGCGTCAGGCTAGCTTTGCAGCTCGTCACTATCGCGTCAAGATCGGTCGGGCTGTTGGGTCGAGACCGTAATGCAGGACGCCCTGGGGATCAGAGCAATGAGTGGACGACGCTCACTCGCTGAGACGAGATACGCTATGTCTTTCTGTGTGGAGTGGATGGGGCGCGCGTCTGGAGGTAGCTGCAAGCCTCGTTCGGCCGTAGCGTCTGTGCCAATCCGGTTGGTGGACGATGTTTCTGGGTTGGGAGGGGTTCGGGTTCAGCCTCACGATTTAGGCAGCGTGGGAATTTGTCTTTTGGTTGGTATTTGGGTATTTGGGAGTTGGGTGGAGGAGGAAAGCGTAAGGCGCGAAAGGGACTTGACGTTGGGTGAAAAAGCGAGGAACCTAACATTTGAAGGCGGAGTGAGCGGCGAGCTTTCCATGGTTCGGGATGGAGCCTTGTCATTAGTTTATATGTACTTGCTCTTAGATATTCTTGAAGACGCAGCTTACTGCTATAGTTTTCTGTCTCTCTATATTCTGTATCTGCATTTGGGGAATTTAGCCAGTTCGGCTTCTCTCTCTCCCCGTCTTCTCCCCGAACTGCATCATCATCCCCGCACTCTATATGGGAACTGTAATATATTCCCGACACCAAGTCCCGAACAATGTACCAGAGGAATCCTAGGAATGAGCTTCATAAGAGGATTCAGGTCTTGATAATATTTTTCTTTCTTTTTTCCCTACTCACTACCTCAGCGCCTAAACCAAATTGGTTACCTTTTCAAGCTTTCCAGGCATAGAATCATACATTATGTAGTCAAGGTCACCCAATCACTCTCATCCATCAAACGAGTCTCCCTAAATCCTCCTAACTTTTTCCCTTGTAATCCAATTTACTAAAAAAAGTAAAAAACCCTTTTTTTTCTTTTTCTTGTCCCCCTCCTTCGTCGCTTTTTGGTCCCGAGGTATCATATCTCCGGGAAGTCTGTGCTCCTAGTAGAGAGAGGAGGGAGGATATATAGGGACTAATCTACGGTACTGTCTACTAGTATGTGTGATATGTGATGGGTGTTCCCCGGTCATGTATCATTGGATAAAGAAATCAATAAAAATAGGAATAAAATAAAATAAAACAGTTTGAGTCTCGGAGAAACAACTTCCAGTGGAAGAGAGACCACACCACACTGGTTCATCTTATTTTCTTTTAATAATATGGAATTTCATAAAAGACCTCTTGTCATCCCACACATACTAACTTAATTCTCTCCCCCCATCTCTCCCGAGTCCCTTACCTAAGGTACTACCCTTATATAATAGAGGTTAAGTTAGTAACAAGCCTGAGTTGACTTTTTCTCCTGTTACGGTGTAACGGAAGGTTTTCTCTCACGAGCCGCGCGCGCTGTGCAGTTGCCGCCGAAATTCAAGCGGCTCCCACACCACTCTCTTCTTCTTTCTCCGCTTCTCCCATTCCCATGAGGAGCTCCCCAAGAGTCGCCCACCAGACTGTGCACCGTTCTTTCTACGTTCCGTCCACCATGACCTGCGGGCCGCTCGGTCTCACCTTGAGTTTGATCGGCGCTTCGTCGTAGACTGTTCCTTGCCGTTGGAGCATGTCTCTGTCTGGAACCAAATGTCCGTCTCAGCCTCGATTCCAGATACCTCGCTTGGCCTCACCTCCTCCGAGATCCAGATCCTTCGACAGCAACAGCAAGTTGCCCTTCAGAACAGCCATGCCGGTAGTGGCGCTTCCAGAGGTCGCGGTGCGGGGAGGGTCAGCAACTCAAGTTCGCGCGCAACCAGCGCCGCTAGTAGTCAGGGCCGCTTACTGCTGGATCCCGATAGTCTGCATGCTTTGTCGCACCAGTTGGGCTCCTTGGAGCGTCGCATCAGCGGCCAGATCGACTATGTATGCTTTTTTTCTTCATTTCTTCCCTCCGAACAACCAAGCCCTTCAAATCAAACCCCCCCCCCCTTTCGCAGCTAGCTATCATTTTACTGGCTTGCTTTATCTTTTCTAACTGGTAGTCAAGCTCTCGCAACAAATTACAGACTCCGTTAAACGCAGCCGTAGCGGCGCATTGAAAACAATACACGAGGTTGAGGCGGAGATGGACCGAACCCGCTCTATGATGGCTTCCGCGGACGAGCTGGAGCTAGAGCTGAACAAGATCGCTCATATTCGGGATATCGTGAAATCCTTTCGTGGCCGAATCGAAGGGATAGACCGTCGCATGGAGCAATCTCGTCGTCGCCGCTGATCCAACCCCACCTTCGTGTTCTCATTATCATCATCCTTCTCACCGCCATAACTCCCACCTTCCTACTCCGTATTCCTACTCCTACATTGAATGCTAGATTATGCATTCCCCGACTTCATTCTCATGTTCCCCGCCCCTTGGAATCTCTTAGCTTTACCGAAACAGCAGCCAACCAAAACAAGCAATGCAAAAACATATATACGACTTATGTCCTCGCGGACGGTTTCCGGATTACATGAAGGCAATGCTTTCATATCACTTTCGTTCTCATTGGTTCTATTTTTATTTTCAACTTTCTGGTATATTGAATAACCAACAGCTGGTGAAAGAACTGCATACATGCCTCGCGGCACTTTCAGTCCCAGTGACTCCTCAAGCGAGCCTGTGGCTTAACGAGACTTGCAGTATATGGATGGCGCAGGAGGGGCCCTTTTCATTTGTCCGATTACAATGTTTTTGTCTTCTTCCTCGTAATTCCCCCATTCGTTTCCGATTTCGATGACTACTTTCACGATGGAATTCTCTTTTTCTAATGGTTTTTCGCTTTGCTCGGCGCAGATAAACATGATCTTTTGTTGATTTGTATTTGCTTCGGTTCATGTACTCTGCTATATTCACACTGGTTTCGATTCCCCTCTTTGCATGTTCGTATATTGATTCAGGATTGATGCTTTGCCTGGGCCATTGCCTATACCCCAAGATTATTCACTGGTTTTTGGAATTGATTTTCGTCCTCGTGGATTCTGATAGCCTTGTAGACTTGTGTGCAATGACCATAGCAAGCGATGTATCAATACCTTGCCACTTATAATGATGATGCATTGTGTAATGATTTATTTATAATATGGCCGTCGAGACTGTAGGCCAAAGTCGCTCTCTCTCCTTCGACCAATTGTGGAGGGAGAAAACTTTGCGTCGTCAATTGTGGCCAGATTCAAGGCGACCCAACAGTCACCAAGCCGTTTTGGCCGTTTCATATAGTCCATATAATGAAGTGTTGATGGGTTGGCGTGGAGTAAGACTGGGTATGCCGACCCGCCTAGACCTGGCAATTGAGGCCACTGGGCTTATTGATAAGCAGTCGAATATCGTATAGATCGACGTCGCACTATCTCATGTTTCATCTGAGGCTGGAGCAAGTTGTTGATCCTTGGACTCGGCCTCTTTGCGACGCGTTACAAGTTTTTTGCTGCGTTTATCTGTTTGGGGGAATCGCCTCACACACCCACAGCTTGTGCATTGGATCTCCAGGACATCAGCCCAAGGTTTCTTTCCGCCCTTGCTGAGATTGCGAATTTCTTGGTGACAAGTGACACCGGGGACCAAAAAAGTGTCGCAGCTTTTGCAAAAAGACCTCTTCACCGGTATGGGTAGGCGAGTCAGTGTTTTTAGTGAGACCCCTCGCATATGGGAAGCAAACACCCTTGAGAGATTCATAAGGGGCCTGGTATCTTTTGGCTGAGCGGAACCATTTAACAGTGCTTCGTTTCTTTCGTTGGTCGGATTCATTTGCGACTCGCCATCACCACCATTGAGGCAGTTTGTATTTTGAGCCTCCGCACTTGTTGATGTAGTTTGATGGAGGTACCTTGCTGCTTGATTCAGGTAGTCCAAGCGAGCCTTTACATGACTTTTCGAATTTTTTCCTTCTTTAGGAGCCTTGGCTTTTACCATCTTGCCAATTGTTTGTTTGATACCAGCTGCCCTTCTGGAGATGCTGCAGATATCCAGATGGAAATCAATCGGCGCCGAATGAGTAATCGTCGAGACCAAAATCAGAGTTCCACGCTAAACCAATTGCGGCGCGTCTGCGGTCAGGTGACCAGCTCAGTTGCTGAATCGCAGACTCTCATCCCTCGCAGCCGCATCTTCCCCCCCAAATTCCTCAGTTCTCCACCTCTGTATTTCTCTACATTGAACCCAATTCCCTTTCAAGGTTGCGGATTCTTTGTTGTTCTTATACTTCCTTAATTCTTGACCACGTCTCCCCCCCCTTTGTTCTTTTACCTTTCTGAGCTTGACGAAATATCTTGCTCTCTGTAACTTCTCCCCAACCAACACCAACTTTCATTTCATTTCATCACTCTCGCCAAAATGTCCCACGAAGAGGATCTCATCGATTACTCGGACGAGGAGCTCCAGACAACACAGGCGCCAGCCACCACCGCTGCTCCCGCCGACGCCAACGGTGATGATGATAAGAAGGGCGATTTGACTGTCTCTGGCGGCCGCCCCGACAAGAAGGGTAGCTACGTTGGTATCCACTCGACTGGTTTCCGCGATTTTTTGCTCAAGAGCGAACTCTTACGTGCGATTACCGACTGCGGATTCGAACATCCATCGGAGGGTTAGTCTAACTCGTTTGTCCCACATACCTTCCTCCAATTATACTGCAAGCTGCAACGTCCGTCCATCTCCTCGAATTTTCCATCAGTCAGCAAAGGGTGCTGTGTCGTTTCTGGGTCTGCAGGCGACGTGAGGATAGTTGGTCAGAACTTGAATGGCAAAAAATACCTTCCATAGTGGTTGGCTACGACTCTCGCCCCTGCGCGGTGTCTCTTACAGTTCTGGTTACGGTCGTCTTTGACTTCCACCTGAATTTTCTTTTTCCGAATTCATGCGAGCGATTTCGATCGTTCAAGGTGGCATGCAATGCGAACTGAATCAATGGTGTCTTGCTTTTTTTTTTTTTTTTTTAAAAAAAAAAAAAAAAAAGACAAACCTACTCCCCTCATGTCGTCTGCAGGTCTTTGTCCCGGTTTGAGGTGTATGACCTCTATCTGATCGCGATTCGCGGTTTCAAGAAGTCTTCTATGGGAACAGATGGAACATATATATATATTAGTTTTTTCTCTCCTCCAGTAGTATTCAATTCGAGGGATGGATGGACCTTGCGACGCGCGAAATGTTTTTGCTTCTTCATCATGAGTCGAACCCAAGTCTAACCACCGCTCCGCCTCCACACAGTCCAGCAAGTTTGCATTCCCACCGCCATTCTGAATGTCGACGTCCTTTGTCAAGCCAAGTCCGGTCTTGGTAAGACCGCTGTCTTCGTTTTGACCACCCTCCACCAGCTGGAGCCCGTCGCCGGCGAGGCCTCTATTCTTGTCATGTGCCACACCCGTGAGCTAGCCTACCAGATCAAGAACGAGTACGCCCGTTTCTCCAAATACCTTCCCGACGTCAAGACCGCCGTTTTCTTCGGTGGTACCCCTCTCCAGAAGGATGTTGAGCTCCTTGCCAACAAGGACACCCACCCCAACATTGTTGTCGCCACTCCCGGTCGTCTGAATGCGCTTGTCCGTGATAAGAAGCTGTCCCTCCGCAACGTCAAGGCTTTCGTTCTTGACGAGTGTGACAAGATGCTCGACCAGATCGGTGAGTAGCAATTGTCTTCAAGTAACAATATACCGTGAAAAACCCGACCATCTAATGTTTATTCTCGTTTAGACATGCGCCGTGATGTCCAAGAGATTTTCCGCGCTACCCCCGCCGATAAGCAGGTGATGATGTTCAGCGCTACTCTCTCCCAGGAGATTCGCCCCATTTGCAAGAAATTCATGCGTAATCCCCTCGAGGTCTACGTTGACGACGATACCAAGCTCACCCTGCACGGTCTGCAGCAGTACTACATCAAGCTCAGTGAGCAAGAGAAGAACCGTAAGCTGAACGAGCTTTTGGACAACCTGGAGTTCAACCAGGTCATCATCTTCGTCAAGAGCACTCTCCGTGCCAACGAGCTGGACAAGCTGCTTCGCGAATGTAACTTTCCTAGTATCGCTGTCCACTCTGGCGTCAGCCAAGAGGAGCGGTGAGTCTTTGTTCTCTTCATGTGATTGATAAGCACATTTTACTAATAATTCTTTCAGTATCAAACGCTACAAGGAGTTCAAGGAGTTCAACAAGCGTATCTGTGTCGCAACTGATGTCTTCGGTCGTGGTATCGATATTGAGCGTATCAACCTCGCTATTAATTACGATCTCCCCGCTGACGCCGACTCCTACCTCCACCGCGTCGGTCGTGCCGGTCGTTTCGGTACCAAGGGTCTTTCAATCTCCTTTGTCAGCAACGAAGATGATGAGAAGGTCCTCAAGGACATCGAGAAGCGATTCGAGGTCGCCCTGCCGTATGTGTCTTCCTGACTTGAAGTTCCCCTACTATGCTCGAATTGAGGCTAACGTTAAAACAGCGAGTACCCCGAGGGCGGTGTTGACTCTACCACTTACATGGCCTAAGCATCCAATACTGAACAAGCATAATGTCGCAGTTGGATGACTTGGAGAATTTCCCCCTCACTCCCGTTTTCTATTTTCCTCTTCCCTTTCCTTTTCATTTTCTCTTTCATTTCATTTCATTTGTTTTTTATTTTTTGCTTCCCCGCTTCCCACCTTTTGATAGTTTTTCTTTTGATATGGCGCACTAGCTCGGTTGTGGTTTTTCTTCGTCGGATTGCTCGCAGGCAGATCCCAATTGTATGTCAAAATTAAGAATGGAAGCAATATGGTCAAAAGAGTGCAAATAAATGTGCTATAGCTCTACGATAGTAGTCTGAATTCGTGCGCCCTATGAAGATTATGATTTTACATGTCACTGTTCATACTCAGGTTCTCTTAAACGCGTTCATAGTGTAGTGGGGAGGTCGTGAAAGCGGTGTAAAGCTGGCAGTATAGCAACTCAGACCATTCACCTTCCACAGCTACCCCTAGGTTCTTCTCCCTATCTCCCATTGCCCCCAGTGGACTAGCCTGTCGCAGCAAGCCCGTTCTCTATATCGTACGGTGTCCCACTCTAATAGGTCGGACTATTCCGCGCACACGATGAACTGCAAATGTGCCCGGCAAGGTATATTACGGGTCAACCACTTGGTGGCATTTCACGGACAATAGCGAAGCTAGAGAGGAGAGAGATAGGAAGCACGCAAACAACTTGCTGATATAGGAGTCGAGTCTGTATGGGACTACGGGACTTCCGAACTGTCATGTGCCTGGATGGCCTCGTTTAGATGGATACAATGCAGCCAGATCATTAAACGAACATCGATATACGCATAATAAGATCTACCTGCTCAAATTCTGCGAAATCGAATCAAGTGCAGGCCTATGCCATCACGCACCGCCCGCTTTCTTCCGCCAAGGGCTTCGTTTTCGACCCACAGATCCGGAAATCTGTGTACGAGGTGATGTCCTCGAACGCACCTGGAAGCCCCCATAGATCTACTATTCCTTCGAAGTATCCTGTAGTCTCACCTCCACCAACAAGATTAAACGCAGCACACCGTAAACCCGGGCCATTCTCCAGCCTCTTCTCCTTCTCGTTCTTCTTCCTCCTCTCCGCATTCTCCCTCTTCTCCGCATCCTTCTTCCTCTCCGCCTCCTCCACACTTCTCCAACCGTCTCCAAGATTCAGTTGCGAAGCGTCAGGAACACGAATTTCCATTACCGGAAGGTAGATGAGTCCGCTCCTCTTCTCAAGCTTGATTTCATCCACTTCAATAAATCCACGGGGGCTATCGGCATCAATTGGATCCAACCGCTTTTGCCTGTAATGTCTGACGAAAACGTCTTGCTTAAGTTGAATGAAATTCCGCTTAGTGGAGTCTGATGTAGACCCAGTCAAGTCTGAGGCACATCCTGATGATTCCAGTGTGCATATGATTTCGTCCTTTGTCGCGTCATAATCCAGCTTAGGCAAGTTGTCATAAGGGTCATCAACCAAGAATAAGCTCAGAGGCAAAACTCCACCGTGGACGATTCTTTCAAACCATGCTAGCGTTTCATAATCTGGGTCTTCGACTTTGGGTACAATGAAGAGTTCCCACTGATACTTCTTCAACAGAGGCCCGAAAAATTGTTCCTTGATCTTGCGAAAATCTTTTTCTTTGCCTTCTTTCGTCTCCTTGTTGCTATACCAGGGATCTAAACCTTCTAGCTTTAGTGCACCGATCAGAGCCCAGCATTTGTCTTCTAAGCCTGCAAATCTCCTGCTCGCTGCACCTGAAAGAATATAAAGTACCGTCGCCTTCCCTGGCCAGTAGGCAACTAGCCCGCAACGTATCAAGTTTGTAAAAGTCGAGGCTGTATGTTGATACGCATGGCTATGCTGTCCGTCTTCGAGTTTAGGGCCGAAATAAGTAAGTGCTTGTTTGACTCTCTCTGACACTCCTTGTGGCATTTTTTTCACGGAAGATGAAGTCCACCCCTCGCTGTATCGAATTAGTGCAGTGGCAATTTCGTCGGCAAGGCCTGTAGCCGGAACAGACAGGTTTTCTACCAAAGCAAATCTTTCGGGCGGTGCGGGACCATCGGACATAAAATCCCCAGGAAGTGGTTCGCCCTCGTGATCCATGAGCTTTGATTTTTGCAGCAAAACTCCCTCTTGTAGTGTCCAGCCAGAGGTAAGCCACGGTTCTTGTTCCTGGATGCTACGCATGGACAGACGAAACTCGCAAAGGGTGTCCGCAAAAGTCGGCTGAGGCTTGAAGCCTAGCTCCAAGTATTTTTGCAACTCAAGGGAGTTGGGTTTGTCCCAATTCGTGCGATGTAACCAGATGAAGCCTTCCTTCGCCTCCTGGTATATTTGCCTTTGAGTCCCGTCAGCGCAGGTCTTGAGGACTAGACTTCGGCTGAGTCGATATAAAGGAACTTACATCTGTTTTGCAATCTCGTCACCCTTCACTTTTTCGAGTTTTTCGATCAATGTGATCGCGGTGTCTCGTTTTCCCTGAGGAACACACATCCAGTCCCACCAAACATATGCTATACTATCGTCCAAGCATTTCCGCATAATCCTTTTTGCGTGCGATAGTTCAATCTTTTCTATAGTAGGAATCTTCCAAGGGAGGTCTTCTGGCTCGGCTGTGCGGTTGACACGGTATTTGGGTCGACCTGGAGCTTCCTTGTTGAAATCCGACCACATACCCCATGTGTATGAAACGATGCCGTACCCATTGCTCGCAACCTCGTCTTTGACAGCTTCGTATGGGAACACTTCCCAAGTGTCAATATTCAGAAGCCATCGAGGATGATTCGGGTCTTTCTCGGGTATGTAAGGGGTGTCGTCGTTCATTTTTGGCGAAGCAGTGATCTTGCTATCAATTGTGTTGATGATAGATCTTGGGGCTTGTAATCGAATCCCTTTCTTATGAAATTGAGATATACAGATTGAATTAGTAATTGACTCCAAAATGCATGCAGGTTATGCGACCATGGCGCGTCGATGACACGACTTCTTCGTACTTTTGTCTTTTGGTGGGTCATTTCTCTGCAATCAATGACATCACGGCATCAAGGTGTCAAATTCGTGTCCACGGATTGAGAATGCTGCACTCTCGCAGGTGGACCAATATACCAATTTTGAACTTTACTTCAATCAGGCTGCGCTTGATATCACAATTCCAAAGTGAAACTTGCGGGCCGGGCGGACGGCTATAGCCATGGTAGGAATAGCGGACAACCAACCATGGGAGAGTTTGGTTCTTCGGAACTCTAATATAGATGACGTTGAGAGCATACTTATACTTTCCATCCTATCCTCTACTGTTCTACCGTGGTGGTATAGATAAGACAGGATAGCTTTCATCTTTGGAATCACGGTAGATAACTCCTTCTGATATCATCCCGAGATCAGGCTGCGTCCATTCACGTTTTGAAAATCGGGCTCAAGAATCTCAGTCCGAGCTACTGACTGCAATTTGAGAGATTCAGTTTCAATGTTGCATACCTATACATTGTGGGTAGCTCAGTCCAAGTACATGTAACAAATTGAATTCAACTTACAAGCTGTGCAGATGCTCTTGGCATTTATTACCTTGATTATTTACGTCTTATCATCTGTCGGCGCTTTCAGTCTCTATGGCGGATACGAACGTATATTTTACTATAACGCCTATCTAGCCGATGCGGAAATCAACGGCGGAGAGCCAAAAAAGATCGCAGTCGGCTGTAGCAACACTGGGACATGCACTTTTGATAGATTTATACAGTTTATCAATGGGCTGGACAGACCTCCCAAGCTCCCCAAGTCACCCGATCTTAATATTCACAAGGCAGCTGATGACCTCGACAAAAAGCAACTTACCGGGGTTTACATAGTCAAAAGAGTGTCCAAAAAGGCCGAAAATGTCGCCAAGCTATTTGAAGAAGTGAGTACAAGGCCTCAAGGAATGTATACGAGGGCTAACTTATCTATGCAGATTTCTTGCTTTATGGACGAGAGGAAAACAAAGGAACTAAACCAATTATGGGAGTCTGCGCGTGCGTCAATCGAGGTGGTCTGTTTTCTACGAAAGGCTGCGAATTCAGACAAGCTCAAGCAAGTTCTCGAACTAGAAGGAATAGACCCCATTATGAAACCTGAACGTTATGAATGCGAGGAGAAATTGCTCATTGACGAAATGGCAACTATCCAAAAATACGAACCCCAGGATGTGGTCGATGTGGCGAAATTGATTGTAAAGTTTCATAGGGATGAGAAGAGCCATGAGACAAACATCAGGTGTGCCTGTTGGTCAGCCGTGAGACTACATAGGCGATCCTCGGCTATAGTGGGCGACGTTTTTCAATCAGGTTACAACGACGAAGAATGCTGGGAGGAGAATACTTGTCTGAAAGATGATGTAGGCAATCGAGATCATCAATATCTTGAAACGCAATTCGATGGCCGGTCCGAGGCATACAGATGTAAAGAATTATGAAGTAGCTAATGCATATTGAAAGATTTGATGGCATCGGTCATGACTAAAGAAAGTCCAGCCAAATTACTCTTGAAGCCTGACAGTTTAAATTCCACACCAAGCCTTGTCTGCCTTGTCAATAATTCGTTGACTCGAGAGAGGAAATAACTGTCAGTTAGCCGTTTTGGGTGAATAATGTGGACGGATTGTGGGGCTCACCGTCCAGGTGACCCACACTTCCTCTAGTCATCTCTCTCTCCGTAGCCTAGATAATAATATCATCATCATATCTCTGTGTGATCGTGCCCATAGCTTCCTCTCTAGAAAGAAAATAATAGTGGCGGTGGCCAACATACGATGTCCTCAGATTTTTACGATTACTCTACTCGCGAATCCGTGTTCCGAAAATCTTTCACTTGAGAGGGTAAAAATCAAATTAGCAGGATTTCTGAAGTTAATTGTACATTAACATCATAGACTCGTGGACTCTTGGAGAGAATATTCAAGTGTATGAATCATGTATGATGTACGCCAGCTTTAAGGGGAACAGTGCAAGTAGACTTATTCGAAACTAAATTGAATGACAACTTGACTATATGGTACTAGAAAGATGTGCTGCAAATGTGCTTTCTGAAATACTTGCCCCCTCTCAAAACTAGTACCAAGCAAACATAAGTAGAGACCGCAGATAAATCCTCTATTTAAGGATCGCTCTCTTTTCACATCCGAACAACCTACCTCATCTTTACAACATATTCGATTTTTCTCCCCAATATGGCCTGGTTTAGTTCGATCGTTAACGGTATCGGCAGCGCGGCAAACTGGCTCTTGTCCAATTCTGGCCTGGTGTCGAACGTTCTGGAAACCGTTGGCACCGTTGCCAAAGGTAACTTCCTTGGCACAGTAACCAATGAGGGCTATGTTATAGTGGAAAATACGGCGAACGCTGAAGAAGATTGTGATTGCAGTGGTGACTTGACCAAATCATTCAAAAACGCAACCAAAAAACTCGAACAAAAGGCACAAGAGGGAGAAAAGCTGAAAGTACCCCAGGGAGGCTCCCAGTCGAATGCGACTCTATCTGGGCTGTGGACAAACCCGGGTCTCACTCTCGATGGCACTGCAACTCCTGAAATGTATAGAGACATTGGAAAGTTCTTGGCGGAAAACGATATGCCTACGGAGCTGAAGACAAGCACGGGCGGAACAACCGATGTGTCCCAGGAAATATGTAACGCGATCTTCGCAAATGTTCCTGTCGTCCCAAAGACGAGTGATGTCGAAGGTGTTGCTATCCAGATGCCATCTTTTAATCTTGGGGATGGCGAGTGCAAGATTACCGGCACTCATGCCTACTATTCTATTCCGTTGGGAAAGCGCAATAATGGACTAGCATGCGACGATCAAGCATGGCATGGGGCCGTTCAAGTTACAAAAACTAGCACCGAGGCATTTGACATCGCACATGCAAAGAAAAGAAAAAATCTCTTTTTTGTCGCTCAGGAGGATGAAATTGCTGAAACTGGACCTAGATGGGTTGTTACTTGCCAGGTAGATTGGAGAACAATCCCACTCGCCGAAAAGGCCCAAGAGAAATTAAAGGAGAAGTTTGAAAAGGACTACCGCGACTATAAACTTCTGTACTCTGGAGTTGCTGGCCAGAACCAAACAATCAAGATCGGTGCGCCTAATGAAGTTACGCCAGCTCGAGTGCGCGCTATTCTCAGCCAGGTTGTCACCGATGTCGCGAAGAGCGTGACACAAGACTCGAGCCAAATCTTCAATCGCGATCAACTCCTTTCAGAAAACACGCTTTCTTCTCAAGTGCGGTCTGTTCTTAATCTTGTTGTTTCCGAAACCGAGAGGAAATTGGCTGGTGACGTTCATGAAATGAGAAATGAAGCTAATTTTAAACTTCAAACCCCGGAGGTTACCGTGACAAATTCAACCTTAGTCACTTGAATGATGCGTTGTTTAAAATTCTGGAATGAATCCCCATGCTACCTAGTTGAGGTGCCGGGACTACTTGCCAGGTGGACCGCTACAAGTTGCCAGCCCGAGGTGAGTATCGGCACTGGCAGTTGCAGTGAAGCTATTCTGTTTTGATGTATATTTGCAAGCTCCTCTTTCTACTAGTAATTCGATATTTAATTGTTTCTTGAGAGCTGCCGAGCTTGAAATTAGAACGTACTATGTAATAAATATTTGTAAATGCCTATTATTCAACATTAAAGTGTGAGCTTATATTGATGGTGAGTTAATTCGTAGTTGCTTTTGCCTGGGATATTTGCCCACGATCTCTACTTGGAAGAGAGATCCACTACCTCGCCTCGTCCCGGGGAACCTCTCTGTCGGTGTCCATGTGGTGATGTAATTTGGCTTTTAGTTGGTCAAGTCCGCGTTAATGAATCGTGCTATGACGAACTAGACTGAGTCTGTCTTGACTGGGTACGAAACCGATGGGGCTATTCCGAGATTAGTCCCGTGCATGGAAGTATTTTAAAACCACATCAACTACTACTAGAAATCCCCAAGGTCTTATTTGAACCTATTCCTCCGTATTTCATTGCATGGACTTTACTATCGGCGTGAAAAATACTGAATTCACAATAACACCAACACTATCACACAATATTCCAACCCCGCGAGCCTCGGTCCAACCAATAATTAGACACAATGGCGCCAGACCCTGATTGTGTGCAGACTTTTCATGGCCATACAGAAGGCGTGAGATCTGTTGCCATTTCACCAGATGGAAGCTATGTGGCATCTGGCTCCGATGATACGACGGTCAGAATTTGGGAAACAAAAACCGGGAAATGTCTCAAGATCCTGAGAGGCCATGGTTATAGGGTCAATTCGGTTGCTTTCTCGTCAAAACTAGGCTGCAATCAGGTGGCTTCAGGGTCGGATGATGAAACTGTCAGGATCTGGGATGTAGAAACCGGTTCTTGTATCCAAAATATTGATTGCTCTAGCGAAGTCTACTGGGTTGCATTTTCACCTGGAGCCACATGTGTAGCTTCAGGGTTAAATGATTCATCGATCAAGCTCTGGGATCCGCACAGCGGCATCTTTCAAAAGTCATTCAAAGGACATACTGGAGAAGTCTACTGTGTCTCATTCTCAGAAGATGGATCTTGCATCGCTTCGGGCTCCTACGATAATACCATTAGGATCTGGGATGCCAAAGAAGGCAGCTGTAAAAAGACACTTCAGGGTCATACCGAGCGTGTCTACTCAGTTTCATTCTATCCGCAAGATACAAAAGGTATCGTATCATGCTCAATGGATAAAACAATCAAATTCTGGGATATAGACGAAGAGCTATGTGTCAAAACGCTTTATGGACATGAGAAGTGGGTCTTTTCGGCATTCTTCACTCCTCACCTCGACGGGTCCTTGCTGGTAACAGCTTCAGCCGACAAAACAGTCAAACTATGGCGCGCTGAGGATCATGAAGATATGAAGTGTGTCAAAACTTTCAAAGGTCATCGAAATTGGGTAAGAGCAATTTCCTCATCGGCCGATGGACAGTATCTGATATCAGGATCAGATGACGGGACTATCAAGTCCTGGCGTACCGAGGAAGCTGGGAAGACTGGGCGCTGTGTGAGGACGATCAAAGACTCCAAAAAAATCAACTCAGTTTGTTTCTCAACAAATGGCACTCTTCTAGCATCAGGATCGTCTGACAGAACTGTCAAGATTTGGGATCCCATAAAGGGTTCTTGTCTACATACTTTTAAAGGGCACACAGATGAAGTGAACAGCGTCTCTTTCTTGCTTTTGAGTTTGAAGGAATACGTGGTATCAGCTTCGTCTGATAAAACGATCAGAATCTGGGATGTGGCAAGTAAAGACTGTATGAGAACCATTGAGAACTCAGAAGATGTGGAAACAGTCGCTGTTTCACGCGATGGTTCCTATTTAGCCTCAGGATCGAGTGATCGCAGAATTAGTATTTGGAATCCAATGGACGGAGCTTGTCTTGCAACATGGAAAGGTCATTCTACGATTGTCAGGCAGGTGGCTATTTCGCCCAATGGCCTCTATGTGGCATCGGTATCCGACGATGGGATTATGAGGTTATGGGAATTAAGCGATGGAGGTCGGATTCACACGTTGAAATTCTCCAAGGAAGATAAGTCCGTCTTCGTAATCTCGGTGTCTTTCTCACACGATAGTAAACGTCTGGTGTCGGGGCATTGGGGTCCTAAAATGATCGCAGGCGCAATCTGGGATGTGGAAACTGGCAACCGACTTTTGGACATTGATGACGCTGGTTCTAGTGAAAATGGGTCTTTTTTTACATCGATTCGCTTCTTATCTGATGCCCAAGACTCCTATGTGGCATTTTCCACGAGAGATTCCAGAATAGTGATCTGGGACGTGGATAAAAAACGTCAGATAATGACATTACTAGGTCATAAGGGCGAAGTCAGATCCATTTCGGTTTCACCAGATGAAAGTCTTTTGGCATCAGGGGCTTCAGACTCAATAATCAAGATTTGGGACACAAAAAATGAGTAAGGCTAGTTCTGATTAAGTATTCCTATTCTTCAAAGCTCAAGTTTCACTACCTGCTCTCTACAGCTAGTAAATAAAAGCAAGCTACTACTAGTAACTATGTGCATAAAAATGGACTGCTTAAATTTTAGTATTTGAGAGTACTATTGGATAATAAATACTATGTTTTTCTTAAGACGGCATGGTAGAAACAGGTAAGAATAGGACTCCGGAGGTATGAGCAGGGGACCTAGTACTTCAAATGTTCAGATCATGATATGATATCTCGACTATTTAAACCGGAGTACTACAAAGAGAAAGGAAGTAGACAAGAAGAAAAGAAAAAGAAAAACACACGTCCAGTCGCACCAATTTTCGCAATCAGTCCCAAAAATGTCCGAAAAATCAATATACATTCCCATCAACGGCCCAGCCCAAGTAAGATAATATAAAAGAAACGTATCAACTCTGCTCCTTCTTCTTTTTCCCAATTGTCTCTTCGGCACATAGCGTTTCTGTCTTGCTTAATGTTGACTGTGCATCGTTGGACTCGTCTTCCGCTTGCTTTGTCTGGGGTTCCCCTTGGGGAGGGTTTTGACTCTGACGACGACTCTTCTGGGAGCGTTTCCACAGGAGACTGAATGGGAAAAGAGGATCGACTGGTAGATGAGGTGCCGTGGATGGGCGTTGGAGAGAGGTCAAAGGCGCCATTGTAGTTGTTTGTATTTGGTAGCGTGTATAGTTGGTAGAATGGAGAGTAATGCTTTCGAGGATCCTGGTTCGAATGTAGATATTGTATTATTTTGTCTCGGTAGAATCAGACAGGATTGTAGTTTTGTAAATTGGAAGACTGGTGATGAATATCGACTAAGTTATGAGACGAAAGTCAGCTTTAAATAAATTTTTATCTGTATGACTTATAGATATCCCCGTGTACTCCGTACTTGACCTGTAGCAGATTCGTGCTCGGCGCGCTCCGACTCCGATGGATCGGGAGCTTTCATTGGCGGGTGAACCTGTCGCCATCCCTATTTAGTTAATAGCGCATGGCTCCTTTGATGAAGAGGCTCTGTCTTTCGGGCCTGACGCCGGACTAAATCGGCTTTTGTGGGCAGCAAGAGATTATTAGTTTTCTATTTGCCTAATTTGCTTGGTAACGAGCTTGATATCAGACTTGCTGATGCAGTCTACGTAGAGAGGCGTGGCTGCCTGACGAACGAAAAAATTAAATGAAGCAAAGATATACAATAATCAGGCCCCTACATATGAGCGAGGGGTCTGTCTCTCGGTCATTGACTCATAATATAGTACTTACAATCTGATAAATCCTAAGGCAGCAAGAATTATAGATGTTATACACAACTTCTTGCTACCCCGACCCCGACCCCGACTGATCCAACTCCGTATTCCCCACCCCGATGGACCCACCCCGATCTTTCCCACGTATAAGCAGCTCCGAGATGATTGTTCGAAGGATGTCTAGGCCAAACATATACAAACAAGCTTTATTCGAGCCGATTACGCCTTTAAATCATCAGAAACTGGAGGCTTGGCTTCTGATTCAGAACCTCGAGCATCGTGTTCGAATCATTTTGGTACATGTCTTCTTACGTATTGCCAGGTTACCCTTTTTCTCTTCCATTTTTTTACTACCTGCCGTTTTTGGCAATCCCTACCCTTTCAGTGTGTGTTTTCTTTCATGAAAATAAACACTTCAATCTATGTCTTCAAAGTGAATCAGATAGTATCGAAGTTTTATAAGGCAAGCTAAGGGCTCCGATCAGATCTATATCATGATGTCAAACGATGTTTTCCCCCTGACCACTAGACCGGCGAAAACTTGAACTGCAACTTGAATTGGTAGACACATTGGGCATACTCGTCCTTTAAACAAATTATCTGAAGCCGCATACTTCCGAGTCCCTCATACACCCTAATCTTCCACACTCAAGTTATCAATTATCAATCTGCAACACCAAATCCGTTTCATCAGTTCAGGCCTTAATGGCGCGACTCCGGACAATCCGAGTATTTGACCCACTGTCGCAGTTCATTATTTGAATAAACGCATGGAGCACCCAACCTGTTACGAAGTGCTGAATTCCAAGTTTCACTTCGGCATTTGAAGCCCTAAAGTTGGGTCCTGCCCCACAGCGGCAGATTTGATCCGTTTTTCTATGGAGTACGAACAGCCCTTACCTTGTTCAGTTGACCTCATATTTGATCCAATGTTTTTCATCGGCAAAGGTTTGATTTTGAAGATCGGTTCATTTTGGATCTTATATGCAGTAAGACAAGATGAATGATAGACCAGTGCCTTACAGTGTACTCATCGTAAAATCTTGGAGAAGACTGGCAGTATCATGAATGATATTGCCGACGGCGAGCACCAGATACTTAAGGTGTACCTGTATACTTGATTGAGAATAACGTTACTAGTCGAGGCCCTCTAATTCAGGCTCCAACGTTATTTCCCCAATCAACAGCCCTGAATTCCCATCCTCATTCAGATGTTCACAACTTTTCCCCTCTGACTCAGCGGCGATCTAAGTCGGAATTCCCGAGCAGTGGGTCCATATTAACCTACATTCACGACTTTAAGTCGTCAGCCAAGCCTACTACCATGCTTAACGCGCAATAGAACGACGATCACCCTGATAAGGTACCGTTACCAGACTATCATCATCCCTTTTGATTTCTGCAAGGCTAGTTAGTGGATACGATGCGAGAGGTATTATTTGCCATTGTGCATGTTATATGTCATTTCATCCACGAATTTCCCCACGTTGATTCATCTTGCCTGGGACAACTTGAAATGGCGGGTCTATGTTTCCGAGGACGCGTGGTTTCTGTGATCTGCTACTGACTTAAATCAATATGGGATGTCTCGTAGCTCCTTTTACATTGCGTTTGTGACTGGAACTGTGATCGACTAGCAAAATGAGGGGTCTGGGAACTTCTCTCTTCTTAGCCTTTGTTGCGAGTGCAACTGCTAGCTCTAATAGCTCCTATCTTGCTGATGGGTATTGTAAGTTGTTTATTTAAAGCTATCTAAGCGATAGGGGCTAATGATAGGATAGTGGATTTAGGAGGTGCCAGTGAGGCATACCAAAAGGCAAAGGCTTTCATCTCTCAACTAAGCAATGAGGAAAAGAGTCTTATCGTCAATGCCTCCAGCTTTAACAGAAATGGCGTCTCGTGGTCAGAATATGAGAACACAGATGGCGTTTCCGGTCTGAACTTCTACTACTATGTTTCTGCTTTTCCGATGGGAAATGCCCTTACTCAGACTTGGAACCGCGATCTAGCCGCGGCGCAGTTCAAGGCTGTTGGAGACGAATACAAGGCTGTGGGCTATAATCTTGTCGATGGAGCTTTACTTGGTCCTCTCGGCCGTGTCCCAGAGGGTACGTAATACTGATATGTTATGTTATGTTATCAACAAGAGACACAGAAATACTGACATCAAGTTTTCAGGTGGTCGGCAAAACGAGGCCTTTTCACCTGATCCATATCTCTCGGGCGTGTTATCAGGTGAAGGCGTCCGCGCACAAAACTCAGCAGGTGTTATCGCTGGAATTCGGCATTTCCTACTATACGAGCAAGAGACGAACCGTAGCTCTATGCTCGGCTCCTCAACCAACGAAGTTTACTCCTCCAACGCCGCTGATAAGACCCTGCACGAGGTCTACATGTGGCCTTGGGCCGATGCAATCAAATCCGGCGCAATGGCCGTAATGTGTTCTATGAACCGTGTAAACGGGACACATTCATGCCAGAACTCCGAACTTCTAAACGATAAGTTGAAGACTCAGCTTGGATTCCCGGGATTCGTTTATCCCGATGAATCTGCTCAATTCAGTTCGTATGGCGCTGCGAATGCGGGTCTCGATTACTCGCCTTACTCGGATGGTCTTTGGGATTGGGAGGCGTTCTCGAAGGGATTGAAGAATGGTAGTTTGACTGAGGACAGATTGGATGATATGGCTGTTAGGACTGTTTTGCCGTATTATTTTGTTGGTCTGCAGAAGGAGAATCTTACGACTGTTTCTGATGATTATACTGCTTATCGGGATGTGAGGAGGAATCATAGTAAGATTATTCGGAAGGTTGGAGGGGAGTCTTTGAGTTTGTTGAAGAATGATAATGAGAATGGAAGGGGTCTGCCTTTGGTTAAGCCTCGTTCTATTTCTCTTTATGGGGCTCATGCTGGTCCTGCTGTTGCTGGTGAGTTCTTCTCGATTTCAGTATATCTCTATAACTTGTTGCTAACTACTTCGTTTAACAATCCTAGGTCCCAACCATGCATGGTCAGTCTCCGGCGCAGATGCAGAGGTCTACCAAGGCCATCTAGCTCAAGGAGGTGGATCTGGACAAACATCCCTTCCCTACCTAATCACACCATTCAACTCTCTCACCAACCGTGCCGTTGAAGATGGTACCGCAATCTGGTGGATCATGAACAACAGTAAGACCCGAATCCCAAACAAAAAAAAATACATTATATCCGTTAACAACCTCCAGCCTATACAAGCAGCTCAAGCGGCATGTCAGTCATAGGCGGATCAATGGGCACAGGAACAAGTCCCACCTACAGCCAATACGCCTCAGCCTCAGACGTCTGTCTCTGCTTCATAAACTCCTGGTCCGGCGAAGGCGCAGACCGCTCGACTCTCTACAACGAAGAACAAGATACAATGATCAACAAAGTCGCCTCAAACTGCAACAACACCATTGTCGTCGTTAATGTCTCTGGTCCCCGTATCTTAGACGCATGGATCGAGCACGAGAACGTCACTGCCGTGATATACGGTGGATTACTGGGTCAAGAGTCCGGAAATGCAATTGCGGACGTTCTCTACGGAGATGTTAACCCTAGCGGTCGTTTGATTCACACTATCGCGAAGAATGAATCCGATTACCCTGCTAGTGTTTGTGAGACGGCGAATTGTCGCTTTACAGAGGGTGTTTATGTTGATTATCGCTGGTTTGATATGAAGGGGATCGAACCTAGATATCCATTTGGTCATGGATTGAGCTATACGTCTTTTGAGTATAGTGATGTTAGTGTCAGCGTTACTAATAGGTCGGCGTTGGGTTATAAGTATGCCAATGGAAGCTTGGGTCTGGGTGGCGAAGCCGATTTGTTTTATGATGTTGCTAAGGTTACTGCTACTATTGAGAATAGTGGGGATGTTGATGGTGATGAGGTGGCTCAGCTTTATTTGTCGTTTCCTAAGGAGGCGAAGCAGCCTGTTAGGGTTCTAAGGGGCTTTGAGAAGGTTTCTATTGCAAAGGGAAGTTCTGATAAGGTTGTTTTTAAGCTGAGGAGGAGAGATTTGAGTTATTGGGATGTTAGTGCGCAGAAGTGGGCTGTTGCGAATGGGAAGTATACGTTTTCTGTTGGGGCTAGTTCGAGGGATTTGCGTGGAAAAGCTACTTTGACTATTTAGTACTTGTACTTTCAAGTTACTGGAAATCGGTGGGTATAGATGAGAGAAATTGAATTTAGACAAGCAATGTCACTATATTGACTTTAGAACATCTGAAGTGTATCTTGCAGCTCAAACTGCCAGTTATCAAGATGCGTAATATAGTAATTATAGTCAAGGATACTATCCGTCAAATCAGTATTCTCGGGAATACGAGAATTCGGCACAGTAATCGCCTGCGTAGTAGTCCTCTCAGACAAAACAAAGTCCAACACGCGTCTAATCGTCTCCCTTGCCTGTTGACAAATATCATAATTACCCTCATTCGGCTGAACAATAGTCTGAAGATAAGAAGCAAACACACTAAGACTCTGAACAACTCGTGATCGAGGGAAAGGTGTTGCAGAATCAGATGGCTCAATAGGAAAATTTAGACTAGATGCGCGGCGGACAAGTTCGATTGATAAAACGCCAGCTGTTGAAAGGCCGTAGAATGACATCTGGAATCTTTAGCATTAGAATTTGTTCGAATGAGGGTTGGATTTTGATATCTTAATACTCACTACCCAGGATAACTCGGGAGAGAACTTTCCTATGCTGATCCGATGGTCGATTAGGAGGAGGACTTCGTCGAGAATTTCGATGGAGACTTTTACTAGGTCTGGAGACCAGATGTCTAGTCGTTTCGATAGAATTCTGTATATTAAGAACCGATTATAGATATAGTCCAAGTGTAACTGGAGATAAACACTTGGAAACTGCGAAAGGAGCTCAGGATTATCTTTCCTCTGAAGGAATGATGGGAGACTACCCCAGACATCCTCAGAGTGCTGAAGTAGTTGTCTAATATCATTGCCGTTAGCAACCGTACCGCAATGATCAATGTGTAGATAGTAGCAGATTAACATACTCAACTTTCCCCTGCAAGTTCTCAACCTGGTTATTCAGCGATAACTCAAGAATATTCTCTCTTACAGGACCCATCATCAAACAAACCCTCAACCAAACAGCTTGTGGATCATGTTCCACCGTGTTCCAGCCCTCAGCATCTAGTTTGCTCATTGCCAAATTGCATGCCTCGGGATTTGAAATGAGCTCTTTAAAGCTGAGATCTAGAGGAAGGGAGATATTGCAGAATCGCGAGCTGATACGCGGTGGTCTTCCTAGGAACGTGGCGAGCTGCTTATCTGCGCTGAATGCATGTCCCATGAGCCGTTTTCGAGTCTCTAAGAGCCAGAATGGGATATCTGGATCCGATGATGGTTGATTGAGACCGAGTGAGAAGATGATGGTTGAGAGATCACCTAGTGCTCTCCAGGATCTGTAGTCTAAGTAGAGTAAAAATCAGTATTTATTTTTGACATGGTTATTCCTATCCCTATTCAATTGCAACCTCAAATCAAACCAATGGAGTAGGTAACTCACCTCTATCCCCATAAACCAGCGTAGTAAGCATAGTCCTCAAAGAATTCAACCAACTAACCGCATCATTCAAAACACCCGCCTCATTACAAAATGCCAAACAATTCTCCGTAGCATTCATCGCCGCTTCCCCAAGTTCATTCCTCGACATACCCGATAAATCAGCCTCATTTATGGCGATAGATTCCCACGCACCAGGAAATACAGTCCCCATTCCAATAAAACAGAATGCCAATCCCACGATTTCCCACCGATAGGATAACGAGGCCATGTATTCGTCAAATGTTGATGAAGAGCGTATTGGGATCGGGTTAGTGAACATATTGAAAATCTTTCGTGAGAGAGTGAAGAGTTTTGAGTCTTCTGTGTCTGGATGTGTATGTGTATCATGATGCAGCGACGAAAGTTCTAGACCTCGTAACGAACTGAAAGTTGTTTCCACGAGTGGACGACCGAGGAAATCACCTTCTTGCGTGCCTATCACCCATGCTTCTGCTATGAGTTCGTATTTTGGAACTTTTCGTAAGAGGCGGAGGAGGTGGGCACCGCGGCGGACTTCTTCGCTTTCAATGGGGACTTCGGCTCCTTCTAGGGATTGGGATTGGAGTCGACTTTGAATTTGATTTTCACTTTGATGTTGGAGATTGTGATCATTGGGTTCTTGGGATGAGTGTGGAAGTGAAAATTCGAGGTTCTCGGTGCTTTCTTTGAACAAAGCGAAATGACTTGTCATGCCCAGGTACTCTGATTGAGATAATCGTCTTCGTTTGGAGATTGGTCTGTTCTCCAGTGATTCCTGGGCTCGAGCTGAAGTTATCTGGTTTGTTGGCGGTTGATAGCTTGCTGCTGCTGCTGGGATCTCAGAGGAATTCAAATTTGATCTCCTCTTGGCTGTTTCTTCTTCTGTCCTTATACCCGGAGCACCCATTGATACCCTTGAAGACTGATATTCCGCAACATTCATTGACGGCCCTGAAGACGGATATTCCGAAACATTTGCAGCGACTGATTTCAAATTCTTTGATGAAGGTCGATATACACACTGCTCTAACTTATTTCTACGTATGCACCGTCCGCATATGGGAATCTGGTGATCGCAGCGTAATTTCGAGTTACGACATGGTTCACAGGAGGATGGGAGGCCGTTTTTTCGGAGTGAGGCCATTCCGACGATTAACAGTCACTAGGCTGTTGCCACGATACCATTTAGTAAAGTTTCCGTTTCTGTTTGATACCTGATTCTGAGGTGATGCGGAAGTTAAAGTTCCGATGCTAGCCTTGTCGTGACTTTGGCCCCAACAGGACATTGATGGAAGGAAGGATTCTGACTAAGCTAATCTATTTGGTCAGTATTGAGTCTAGACTACACTCATACTAGTACTAGGATAGCATAACTTAAACGGTCTAGCTACGACAGAACTACAGAATAAAGTGAAGTTTGAATACTTTCATTGACCACAAGCAACCCAATATGGCGGGAAGGTCTATCAGTTCGTACGCTCCATGAAAAATAAGATTCTGTTCAAGGGCGAATGTAGAAACAATACACCCATCATTAATTCCCAGTCAAGCGCAACCCAGTCAAAGCAGATTAAGACAACTCAACGGAATAAATCGAATACCCGCTCTTTTGCAATGCGCCAGGGGACCAGACCATGGAAATCAGACAAGTCCTCGATGCGTTAAGACTAGCCAAATGATGACAGCAAAAAAAGGGAAAAGAGATAATAAAAAGGAAACATGAGGCAAAGGAGAGAAATGCCAGGACAGAATCAAGTAGTAAGACAGCAAACGACAAGTAATAAAATATCAAGGCGACGTATACGAGCCCGTATAATGGTAGTCCGAGGCGAAGTAAAAGAACAATAGGAAAGAGGTCGAAGCACGTAGTGTACAATCATGCAGTGAGATATGAGGTGCGGCAGGTTGCGACTGGGTGAAGGCGAGGGAGCGAGGGCGTTTTATCAACAGGCTGTAAAGGAGAGATGATGACAGTGGGTATTGTAAATAGAGTCCCAGTCTAGGTGCGCGTGAACCTCAATAAAACCGAGGTATAGAATCGGGATTGCAGTATGAGTATCAATGCAAAGAGCAAGGTAACAAAATGAACGAAACAAAGAAATAGCAAAGTAAACTCATAACCCAACCGCTCCGGAACAGGAAACCATATAAAAACCAAAGAAAAAAAAAAGCGATAAGAAAACCCCTTATGTCCCTCATGCATATGTAAATTAAGCAAACAGCAGAGTATTACCCGACACTGCATTTCCAATGGAGAAGCAGAAAATAAGCAATAAAATTCCCCAGGTTGAAAGACAAACGCACACAACGATGCAGGAAGAGTCCAAACATGACAAGGATTTTTTGGAAAGCGGGCGGGTTTGGGGGTATTCGTCCAGGTAATAATGGTAGATGGAAACGTCAAGGAGGAAAATCAGTCGATCATCAATTGTCCCGATTTATAGTCATGGAGTGAGAGTGTGAGGAGGATCGTTAAGAGAGGCGAGGTAATAGAATGGAGGGTGAAAAAATACAGAAAGAGACAGAAAAGGCTTTCAGGCCCATGCTGATTATTCTAGAATTTTTCAACGAACCGGGGGTGCTGCTGCGGCGATGTTGTGATGATGGTGATGTTGCTGGTGATCACCCAAACTGACCTGACTGCTGTGAGCTGATGCTTCGGAATCGATATTGGCACTGGCACCACTATCACCACTCTCCGCGCTGGCGCTCGCACTTCCAGTCAGACTTTTATTCTTTGGTGGGCCTTTAGGGTAATGTTTGCTCACCCCATAGTGTTGCTCAATTTGTTGAGGTGCCATCGGGCCTTGTCCTGACAGATTCCGGGGTACCGGTGTCCGCATATTTCCAGGGGGTGATGGTTGACCATTATGATGAGGAGGTCCACTGGGAGGGCCGAGATTCGCGTCGTGAGCCGTCATGGGACGCCCCATGCGGGGACCGGGTCCAGGAGGTCCAGGGGGACCGCCGGGGAAGGGCGCAGCGGGTGATTGGGAGTTTCGTCGGCTCTGAGGATATGGACGAGACGGGAAGTCTCCCATATGGCTGGCCGTGAGAGAGTTGGCTCGTGAGTCAGCGTGTAATTGGTTTCGGTCGACGGCTCCGTATCTGTTGGATGAGTAACTCATCATAGGATGCTCCATGAGAGAGTCATGAAGACCGGGGATCTCTTGCATTACTCTGTCACTCGTACGCTTGCGGCCAAAGTATCGACCAAAGGAGGATCCTGGGCGGCTTGAGGGCCCCGGGGGACCACCAACCGCGAGTTCGGGGTTCTTTCGGAGTTGTCCTTGACTGTGACCAGGGCCCTTGCGTCGGCGTGAGGTAAGACTCATCATGTCAACACTATCGGGGTCAATATGGGGAATCTGAATGTGGTCCATCGGATCGAAATAATCTTCATCTTCCTCGTCGAATACGGATGCCGGTGCTCGGGACGGAGGTGGGGGTGGTCGACGAGGACCGGGGCCAGGACCTCGACGCATGCCCATCTCTTGCTCTCGGAGTTGTATTTCTCGCTGACGGAGAGCCAATTCTCTCTCTCTCAGTGCCAATTCAGAGGGGCCGCCGTGGGGGCCATCGTGCATCCCATTGCCATTTTGGTGTGGTGCACTACCGTCGGCATCATCGCTGTATATCATAAGGTGGCTGAACTCTTCAAGACCCTCGAGTGAAGGGTCGCGCATAGGCATACCACCGCGGGCCCCGGGAGGGGGCATTGGTCCACCTGGTGGGGCGCGCATCATCCCTGGGGGTGGACCTCGTCGAGCCTGTGGAACCCCCATACTGGAGTTGGTGCGACTTGATCGCATACCGGCACCGTTCATGGGTGGCCGATGGGGAGGAGCGGATGATAAGCGGGGAGGTGGGTGACCGATCACCGAAGCTGGGGGAGAGTCGCCATGTCGGGGCTTTGTTTGGTTCACCACGTTGGCTTGGTGGAGCATAGCATACATGGCCTCGATTCGTGGCAAAGATACGTTTGAATCTTCGGCCAATTTAATAGGGGAGCCCAGAAAGTTTTCCACTTCCATTGGTCGGCGAGCCTGGAAGTCCTGGAACATGGTGCTCGGGGCGTCTGAAGAGGTCATTTTCTCCATCGTCTTGTCCTTAAAGTCGCTGGGGAAATTGCAACCCAGAGCCGTGGCTAATGTCAAAAGCTCATCGATGATCCCTGTCACTAATGGACGGACTCCGATCTTCTCTAATAATTGTGTGGGATTGGAGACTTCGAAAACGACGCTTGCAGGATGGAATGCGACCGGACTGTAGATGAAGAAATCAGTATGTAAATCGGTGGATTGGAGTAAACAGGAAGAACTCACCCAATCATGCGTTCAAACTGCTCCTGTCTAATATTCGGCGATACTTTACACTCCACTTGGCCTGAGTTCAGGGTCAAGGAAAGTGCCGCAGCCATGTCATTCTGGATTGAAGCAGGGATGGCCGATTTCCGATTGGTCGCACCGACGTGGATCTCGCTCGAGCTCAGATGCTCGAACTCACTGGGTCCAGTTTGAGAGATTTCCACATTTGAAACGAGGGAGAGAATAACGTTGGTCGGATATCGCTGCTCGAGATGGGTTTCGATGCCCAGGGTATTTGTGGTGTTCACGAGAATGCATGTGTGCTGGGGTGTTACGACGGATTCGATGACCGAAGCCAAATCGTAGACATCTGGGAGCGCCTTCACACAGAGAATTACATAGTCGTAGGTATTTTCCCTTGAGGAGGCTTCTTCGGGTGATCGGACGACTAGATTGAGCAGAATAGTTAGTTTTCTATCTCTATTGTCTTGATCTGGTCTTCCTCTTCGTCTTCCGGTGTGATTTCAACAGATCTGTGGCAAGGGCGCAACTAAAACAGGGAAAGGCGTACCGTGACGGGGCTTGAATCGTTCATTGCCGAATGCTTTTGATCTGTCGATTGAAAAAAAATTAGATGAGTAACCAATTCCCAGTCATTAATCAATCCCCGGATGGACATACTTGAAGGAAACACCATATTGTGAGACAGCCTCGAAGCCCTGTTTCCACACCAATGTCACATCGCAAGAGGCTGTGGCCTGTAGTCGCCAGGAAAGAAAGGCTGAAATCGCATTGCTCCCAACTATACAATATTTTGTTAGACCCATCGTGTACGTATGTTTGGTTGATATGGTGAGAAAGAAGAAGAAAACTTACCGGAGAGAATGCGCAATCGTGGAGGGGGAGCCATGATCTGAAAGTGGCAAGAAGCGATAATCGGGAAAGACCTCAGTCGTGTTGGTCCACCGGCTCCAGGCCTAGCGAGAGAACAAATTTACCACGAACAATCCAGGGCGAGAAAGGAGGCAAGTGGAAGGCGTAATCGAGACCCTGCAGGGGTTTGATTTTTCGGTGGTTGGGAGAGAACGGCGAATTGGGCGGGAAGGGTAGAGTTACGAGTGGTAGGGGAAGAGAAAAGGGGAGCTGAGTGTAGGGAGGATAAGGTAAAGAGAAGGAGGATGGAATGAATTCCGTCGAAATCCAAAAGGGAAAGAAAAAAGAAAAAAGAAAACGAAAAAACGAAAGTGTAGATTCAGGGAAAGGAGGATGGAGTAGAGAGAAGAAGATGTGTAAGAGAGAGTAAGAAAGAGAGAGAGAGAGAGAGAGAGCGGAGAAGAACCAACTTTCGCCGCAAGAAACCAAGATACCAAGATCAGCCTCACTCTCTATTCTTTTTGCCTTTTGCATGCAATTGATCTTCTGCTGTTTTCCTTTCTCGATTTCCTTTCTTGGTCTTTTCTTCTTTTTCTTTTTCTCTTCTTTCTGTGTTTTCCCCTTGATTATACTGGGGCTTTCAACGGTCGTGGATCCCTCCCCGCCTGGATCCGGAAACGGACAACACACGATAAGAAAAAAACACTGTCACCGGAAGAAGGACTGAATAACACTGAATGCAGTACCTGGATATTTTTTGATGATGCTCTTTTGCCTATTCTATTGTCTATTTTGATCTTATGATAATTCTTCCTTGATTTATTTATTTTTTATCTTCCAAGTCGACCTGACCTGGGACGAGTCTAGTTCCCGCACTATCAACGTTTCGTGGCCATCCACGCAATCATCGTACATGCATAAACTAATTCGTATACAGCCCAGTCGTGTGTCAGTTGCGACGATTGATTTTTTTTTCTTTTTGTCTTCCTCTTTGCCTAACACATGGCATGTAATCAAATATAGAATAAAAAAGTCCTATCATATTTAAACCCCCATCAAGTTCTCAAGCTTCGGTATGCGAAGAACAAGTGTATCCTGAAGCCGATGCTATAATTAAACCTATCGATTTATTATTAATTGGATAATTTAATTTTTCAAGAAAATTTTAATTTTTTTTTCTCTCTTTTCTTTTCCAAATTGGCTAGGGGAACCACCCAGACCTTGATGGGCTCCACTTAGTCGACCAACGTCTCGGTGGATCGACATTGCTGTGTAAGCTCCCCATAATTCCGTGATGGGAAAATCTGCATGAAAAAGTACTGTGATTTGGATCTAATGTGGGTGTCGGCGTTCTTTAGGTCTTTAGGGGCTTATAAAAGATCTACCTATTGATACTTCCTAGTCCGATATAAGCAACTTGCACCGCGCTGGATCTATACTTGTCTACCAGTTTCGGTCTTTCTGCTTTTCTATGTACATAGAATGGATCGGACGCGTAGTGGCCACGTCCACCCTCCACTTTGGACTTAATCAACAACTCTCAATGAGGACTGCTTGATATAGATTGGCCCCCAACGAACAACTGCTGAGCTTTCCGCTCATCTCGAATCAGTGTCAAAGGGTGCACTTTAATTCTTTAATTCTTTAATCGGCCTAATTTATGTAGTAGTACGGAATACATGTACAGTACCTACTGTATAATGCTGCCGCCTGGTCCTAGCTCATTCAAGTTTAGACAATTCATGCTAGTCCATAAAGTAGGTTTAGGCTATCTTCTCCCTCGTGCACACTTTGGGCACCACCTTGTCAGTGGCGCTGACAGCTCCCGGATTTCATGTCCTACACGGATATAATATCATCCTTTTTTATTTGCCTTTTTATTTTCTTTTTGGTTGGTTTCTGTTTACAATACGATCAAATACCTTCAGGATCTGGATCGTCCATTGCCAACTCGACGGTACACATGCACGAATCAATAGAATTCAAATACAGGTACAGGTAACCAGTCGTACCACCTGATAAGAGGGGTCCACACCGGGGTGAGGGGTGATGGTGAGGGTGATTGGTATACATGTATTACCTGGAAGTATATGTACCTTCATATCCCTCTCTAGGATCCGACCCGGTCGGGTACTACTAACTCCAGTCTTCAAGTTCCAAGGTGGAGGCTCCATCCACAACTAACACTCCACAGCCCATAGTCCACAAACTAATATCTCTTTTCTACAATCGAAAACAAACCTATTCATGAGTAAATCTTTCAGGGATACAGGATACAGTACACAGTTATCGCCCTGCGGGAAGCCAGGAAGGGGGAGGCGGTGTTTACTCGGCATGCCAATGCAGGGATCGACGCGCGTGCCGAATGCTGTTTGCGGACTCAACCTATGAATATGAATCAAGGGATGTTTTTCAAGCTTAATCGAGTAGCTAGCATAGTCCGGAGATTATTTCAGATGGCGAACGGAATCTGATAATGCTTTGGCACATTGCTGTCGTTCTATTTCGGTTCATTTACCCGAACAAGGGCCTGTTCTGCAGGAGCAGGAACAGACCTTGAGCTTGAGCTCGTTCTCAGTATGTACTGTACTAGCAGGTGCATCAACTATAGAGGTGGACTTAGTATATGCATGCATGTAATTCATCCATTCAAAATGTCATGTACTTATCACCTTCAGTGTCAGTGTACCTGTACATCTACATCAGTAATTACCGCTCTATGTCGATCAGTCAAATCCCCAGATCACCCGTGGACTCGGACATTACAAGCTCTGCGCAGTGGGGAGAAGACCCGCAAGAAAACATTCACTGATATTATTCGTGTCGGCTTGAAGTTATGGTGGAACCCGTGGACCATCGGACGGAACGAGAACGAGACATTCGCCCAGCAACAAACACAAACAATCTGCTGTATACGATACGCGCCATGCCGACCGGTGGCAGGTAAACCAGAACCACGAACCACGTTTGCAGTACAGTGCAAAAGCTCCGGAAACGGACATTTATTTACATGTATCTGTACATGGAATGGAATGGAAAAGGAACATTTTGAATTGAATCGAATCAATCAGATCGAACAGAACAGATCGATCAATCAATTGAATTCATTAATTTAAGTTCTAACTATGCAAACATCGAGTTTGTTTGACTCCGCCACAATTTATTAGGTCATGATATGTTAATTTGTCGATCGATGACTTCAATGCCGGGTGATTTTCAGGAGAATCGCGCCACCCAGCTACAATTGAAATTGATGATTGATGATATGCGGCCGATCACAGTTATTAGAATCTATGTGTAAAGTACCTCGTATGGTTCAAGTTCAAGTTCAAGTTCGTAATCAATTCCTAACCTTGGAATAGCGTACCTAGTGTATTTATTCCGTGGTCTCCGTTAATTAATCCTCGGCCGATCCACGATTCCAAGAGCTACGCTAAAGCCTGATCCTTCGATCGAGCAATCTTCCAGAACGGCAGAGTAATGATTTTATGAAAGGAAGTACAGTAACTGGGTACGGGGCCGTCCTTATTCCTTTTCATTTCAACAACCCGTGCACTTAATTATGATAGTCGCGATCGATTTAATGCTTACAGTACAATGTTATTCCCATTTTGTACTGTATTATTGACTACTAACAGTTTTATTGGTTAGATTCTCCGAGCTTTTTCCAAGATTTGTCTCACTAGCATCGAATTTTGCAAATCACATTCACACTTGAGTCAGTGGCGGCTGCCAGTCGCGCCAGTGGAGGGTCTGGTGGACACTAAGGTACTTGTACTTAAGGCGCGGAGCCTGGCGGAAGCAACACTAGCTTTCTGTAGCTTGCAAAGGGCCGGTACTTTGTGCTTAGCTTGGTTTTATCTTGCAGGTTGAATTTTCCTTGTATTTTTCTTTTCTTTTCCAGATGTGCGGAACGGACTCGGAGTCTTAACGGGCTACTCCGTTAATGAAAAGTTTGACTCGGAGTACATTTAACATCATTATTGCACTGTATACCACCTTGAAGGGGCAAAAGGCATTAAAAAAGAAAAGAGCTAGGCAAAATTCAACAGAACTTTGAGTACAATTGCCGCGAAACAAAACCTCTCAACGTGCTGCCTTCTCACGCTAAAGCGAGACAAGGGGCCCTGTGGACTTGGCACTGCGAGGTCCGAGACAGGGTTCAACGTTTAGACGGGCTCGGGTTCCGCCCGCTGCCTTGTTTTTGATATGCACTACCGGAACGATCGCTCGTTTCCCGTGCGGATTGGATGGAATCTTTTTTTTTTTTGAAGTTCAGGGGTGGGGATGGGTTTATTGTGGCGTGCAATTTTGACGGAGTATAATCGCCGCTGACTTGTACTGGTATTATGAAGATTACTATCCAAGGTCACGGCTGTAATGGGTCCAAGGTTGTGATCGCGAAGTCATTCCATGTTTGTGGATTTTGTTTTTGGCCGGGATATATGCTCCGAATGGCTTTCAGTTCCAAGGCGTAGGCGTGGATCACGATATTCAAATTTACAGCTGAATCTCAAGGGATTAATGCCTGCACGTATGTATGTGTGAGTATATCATACGATTTATGCATTCATGAGTATCCAATTACATTCAAATATTCAACTTGAAATTTGAAGTACACTTCCAATCAGAATATGATTATCTTCACACTCGTATTTTCATAATAGATATCATCCTGCCTCGTAACGGGACAACCATGAAGATGATTGAAATCTTTATTCACAACAATTTACCATCCAACTTTTGAGCTGAGCTCTTGTAGCTACTAGCTCCCTCCTGCTAACTAAAGCTACCCACATAGAACTCAATCCCATCACATGCACGAATCAAAACATTACCAGTCCACATGATCGTCAAACCTGCATACTCTATTGAATCCAACTGGGCCACCCGAAGCAATCACAATTTCCCTTCAAGCCTCGCTACTCCTTTTCCAGCCTGACAGCTGTCATGACCCTGCATTGAACTGCACAAGAACACGAGGCAGAAAACACAGCCTTTATCTAAAGCTTATCAGATTGGCGGGTTGCCTACCCATCCTATCATTCAATACCAAAACCCACGCGATGACGCGCTACTTGACAATGATAAGGATACGAACCGGATGAACCATCTCATCAAAGTACCTAATGTACTGTAGGTTGGGTACCTACATGACGAAGCTCAAGCTTTGTCAGATTTAGATCTGCGCCCATGCGGCTTACTTCTCCACCGAGTTTGGTCCTCGAAATATTCTTTGTATAGAAATGCTAACAAGCTAATTTCCAGAGTATGGTTAGCGCGGGATTCAAATTTGACTATCAAACTGTATCCCTGATTACCCCTAAACTGACTTTGAATTGTCTAGGCTGCACATCCATACAAGATGCACGATGGACAGGAAACCGAATGCATTTAGTAATAAATGCATACGGGTTACTAGATATGCATGGGATCCTGGCTGATCCTGGGTGTGGAGATAAGTTAATTAAACTAGGCTTGGAATGGTGTGGTTGGATTTGGCCCCGTTTATGGTTGATTAATCGTAATCTCTTTCAGGGTCAGGACTCCTGGGGTAATCTAGAGTTCGGATCCTTTTTAACTCGTCGTGTTCGGAAATTTTGCGTAATTTCATAAGCACCTCCCTAAAATTCCATGTTGTTATTAGATTCTTGTGGGAACCACTCAAGTGACTCGAGCTCATGGTTTTGACGGAGCTTACAATTTCCGACATATTTTCCACACATGAAGTATATGTATGTCCAAATGTTGAATTCCATGTGAATATGAAGATGTATATCTGCTATTAGTACCAATTAAACCATACTGTTTTTTACGCACTATATCTGTACTTTTTCTTCAAGTTTCGCGCGTTCGTGGATAAGGTGGGTTTGTATATACTCTGTTGAACGATTGAAGCTTTGAAAAGCCACCATTGCACATCTAGCTATATTAATTTCATAGAAGGTCATTTATTCAAGTATTCTTGCTGGCATGCATTCAAGTTCAAGTTATTCTAGATGAGTGAGACAACTATGTCGGACTAATCTTGGATACTTGGAAAGATTTATACTACTTGGTCAATATAAATACCATTGTCTCCGACTTCATACTACATGTAGTACTCCCTCGAATAGCAAATACTACTGATGCAGTACGCCATACTAAGACACAGAACAAGAGCATTTCGCTGAGTAAATGATTTGATGTTTACCTTTTAAATGTCAACAATCTTAGACGCTTTACGCCCTCTTCAGCCAGCTGTTCTATAAGCAGTGGTGCTCAGAAAGTGCAGTGCAATGGACCATCAAGCAAGGTAGGCGCTTAGAGCACATCAAACATTGGTTCAGTGATGCATATGGAGCCCAAGCACTTTATATACACTTTATGGAGTCAAATCAATTACCGCGCACCAGTTTGACGATAACAGCTCCCAGGATAAGCTGAAGATTCATCAAAATTGTCTTGATTGTGATTGCATCAGCCGTAATGGCTACGCACGAAACGCCGTATATTTAGGTAGCAAACCACCCCGGATGTTTCCCTTCTCCCAACTTTTGAAACATTGCAAACTCTCTCTGAACTGTCTTCTTCGCTCGAGTTCTGCCTTCGCTCAAGTCCTGAGAAAATCTCCATATATTACAAGCCTCCATTTGATATTCCTCTGCCCACTATGGCTACGCAAATCTCACCAGACGACATGAATCGCAATCTTCCGGAAAATCTTATCTTCAATGCTCAAAATCCAGCCTGCTGTTCTTGCGGCTAGTATGTCTACTATTCGGTCGTCTGTGGACATGTCTATCAAGAAGTCAAGTGGCATTGTGGTGCTAAGCGGACGCAGAGTGGTCGCATCAGCTTTTGCCGGACGCCAGCACCGAAGAATATTGTGACGGGAGCGCAGATCGATGCTCAATGTCCACTTTGTTGATTCTAATGCTCAAGTGCGTTATGGATGTTACGAATTTTAGAGAAGTATTAATGAGTGAATTAGGCGACCAATGGGAGCTATTCAAATGTGCCTGGAAATGTACTTTTGCTGGTTTTTTCTAGGGAAAGATAGTGTCAGTGGGAACTTGAATGACTGTGGCATGTCACCATGCTTATCATTCAAATAGTTTTATGATCAAGTATTGTTATATTTCAATTAGTCTTCGTGGGCTCAATGCGAGTTTCAACTTTCAAGGTATTTATGACAATTCAGTATAGTCTGACACTATGTAGACTCGTCCTTCCATTTCGCTTCAAAAAGGCTGGTATCGCTGGCTATTGAAGGTCATTGTGTCAATTTCGTCAATTATCCTGATTTTCGATTAAATGCCAATCTCGATTTTCATATCCAAAACAAAATATCACATCAATTTTCACAAAGTTGAATGATGCAAACTCAACAACTGGTCAATCCAATATCTTATCACGTGCAGTCGCACTATCAACAAAGCATTACAATTAACCAGCAACAACTAACGGCCTCAACAGAACGAACCTTTCTAGCCTGGACTTGACCAATCCCACGCGTCATAATACCGAACACATTCTCAAAATAATTTGAGTAATCTATCTCACTACCTACAAAATGCCATACCAACCCTCCCACCGTCAAACAACCTCCCAATCCTACCCCCGCTCTTCAATCCTCCCAACCTCCAACAGCCAAAACAACTTCAACCAAACCTCCACAACAGCAATGAACCCGTCCTTCGGACAAAGCTACGCACCCTCATCAGGAAGCACCCCTTCAATGTCCGCAGCGAAGTCTCGCCAATACGCCCATCTCCATTCTCAGCTTGCGCAGCTGAACGCCAACCTTGCGGATACTGAGAATCTTCTGCGCATGACGGCTGTCCAGGCGGGCGATATGCGCTTTTTGGGTGGATATATTGGGGGCATGTTCATGGGATCTGCGAAAATTCTGGGCGAGGAGGGTGTGAAGGGGAATGCGGATCCTTCGAAGGAGGGGGAAGTGGATGCTAAGAAGGATGTTGATAGTGAAGAAGATTGAGAGGTCTTTTTCTTCTTCTCTCCTTTGCATTCATGATGACGTTGACAGTGGAGGTTTTGTTTGTGTTTACAAGTCCTTTGGTATGACTGAAATGGATGATCGTACATCATTATGAGAGAGGACTGTTGCGGGCACCTCATTATGAACGCGACTCTCGATACGAGGTGAGTATTCGAATTTGCCAGGCTTGATTCGACTTTGGATATTTAGTCTATATTTGAGTTTGGATGGTTGTGCTAAAGCTAGTAGATATGCCACAGTCCACTTCTTGCTAGATGGAGCTTCGATAGGCTCTTGCTTTCATCGAGACGATGTCCTTTATTCTTCGACCACAAACTGTCCACCAAGCATGATTGCCGGCTCGTTGATGTTATTGTGCTCATAGCTTGGTCTAATGTCAGCCATCGCTCATCCGACGGGAGATTATCTGCTGATTCTCCGGACGCGCAGACGGGAATGCAGTTCAACGAGAGCACCTACCTCAATGTACCCACGCTACCAGCTTCAAGGATGAAAGAAGTCTCCGTCAATGGCTTGCCAACCCAACGCATCGCAAAAGCGCGAAGAATATGTCCATGCGCGACGACAAGGACATCGCCCTTGGGGGAATCGGGGTTCTCAAAGCATTCACGCTGGTACTTTCCTCTGATATCGGCAATCAAGGCGTCGAGACGATGCATAACATCTTCGGGGGATCTGCAAAATGGGCAATTAGCATGAATTTTACGCTAGCAGTCAAGACAAATCAAGCCGCATAACAGAAATACTGCCAATTCGAATCTGAAAAGTAAAATGAAGATATGGCGTATTTTCATTACTTACTCTCCTCCCGGACATCCATCTTCCCAAATGTTCCAGGGTCCTTGTCCTGTCTCCGCTCGGATCGACTTGATTTGCTTACTAGTCAAGCCCTCATAATCACCATAATCCCATTCCCGGATCGATTCCGTGATCTCTACACTGGCCTCTGTTCGAATTGGCTCTTCGTTTTCCGCTTTTCGCTCCGCATTCCAGGGAAGTCGTTCGCGACAGCCGATTTCCAAGAGCTCCAGGGTTCTTTGAGCACGATGCCGGGGAGAAACGTATCTAGGTATTTGAAGGAGTCAGAAACCATGGGATTCTTCAAGTGGACAAGAAGTTGTTTTGTTGCTTTCTATGTCCGTTTTCTTTTTCTTCTACCCTAGTACGGAGTGGAACTCACACATGAACAAGGTTCTTCGGCACAACCAATCGATCATTGCCCACAAGCGCTTTTCCCGTTGCTTTGATGCGCTTCTCGCCATTCGCTGTAAGAGGTAGATCTGTTGTGCCGGTGTGCCGACCATTCAGCGACCATTCTGTCTCGCCATGTCGGACAATGAAGCAGCGCGGTGCCATTTTTGGATGTGCGGTGTGCCTATAAAAATTCAATGCTGAGACAAATAGAGCAGGGTGAGATTGTGGGGGTGGAGGGGAGGGGTTGTGGAAGCAAAAATAGCCTTGTTGCTGCCCTGTTAGATTGGTTGCGTCATGTGCTTGGATATGATAAGGCGATAACCGATAAGATAAAGCTATCCTTATCGCTCTTGTCCAACGGTTGTAGGTCTATACCTCAGTTATGCAGTCGAATATTCAACACTTCTGGTCATAGGATAGTAAACGATTGATCTGCGAACCCAACAAACAAGCTTTATATGCGGGGCGATTAAAAGACTTTAGGCCGATAGCAAACATATTAGCGTATGTCACGATACAGTCACATCACGGCGCGTAAGTAACAGGGATCCTGCGTCCACAAGCTGCTATAGGGCCAGCTCGATATACAGGGTTCCATTCTATTAGCCACTTACCTTGAATTTCCAATGAGACAAGCCTGAGTATCTTGTAAGGCAGCCATCTGACACTCCGACACGACGAGGGGCGACAAATCACGCAGGCCAATACCGTCTTCCTCACCCCCCAGAAATGCCATTATAACCACATTGAAAAATTTCTACCCGTTCATGTACCTCAATCATTACCCATCTCGCTTTTTTAAAGATCTTCTTAAAATGTCCTTTGACCTGAAAATCATCACTATTGATACAACATGAGTGACACCGAGAGAGACGACGTCGCCCGTCTAGAAGGGCCCATGAAGCATCTTGCCTACGACTGGACATTCGAGCGTCGAAGATGAAGTCTCTCATGGTGAAATCGAAGTCAAACAGGGATAAATGTGGCTTTACTGGGGCGTATTTGACGGTAATTCGTAAGCCTTGATCTCATTTGTTCCTTAGGGGCTGTGTTCCATCTAACACCATAATCTACATCATCTGTAGCGGCTGGGCGACAGCGAAGGTTTTAAGCAGTATAGAGCACCAGAGGAAAGAGGAAAGAGAAGGAGGAAGACTCTGTTTGTACAGCCACCGACAAGGAAATTCCCAAATCGTCACGTCTGACTGGATATGCGTACGACTGGAGAGTACCGAGAGATGAATTTGTTGTGGAGAATGAAAATGCGGCAACACGTCTGGTCAAAAATGCATTTGGTGGAAGCAACACCGACTTGTTCTGCGGCATGTTGAGTCTGCAATCCCTAGACTCTAAACAAGCGTGATGATACAACCGCGATAGTTGTCTTCTTTTAAGCAGATGAAAGTATAAACGTGTTGTTGGTTACTTCAATTGAAATATTGTGATATGAAATCTCATACTATGCAATGTGTTTTGAAGAATTGTTAGTGAGTAGATTTAACCTCATATTACGACGGGCCTGATGGACCTTCTGCAAATAATGACTCTAGTTGATTCATCCCTCGACATTCTCTTGAGCTCAATTCTAAATATATTGGAAATTTGAATTGTGTCGGGCCCGCAGAAACCTTTTATGAGAGTTGGCTCATTGCGAAGCGCCCTCCGTTTCCCCGATACGAACAACATACTTGACAGCCGAGGCTTTTCCAGCTGCCAAATCTTTGAGTGCTCCTTCCAGACCACCAAGTCCACCAGGGTGTACCTCATGCGGATGTCCCGAGAACCAGCCCTGTGTCAAGCCTCGTCCAATTAAAGGGAAAAAGGCAGCACCGAATTCCCTATCCTCAACCTCCTTGCCCTCCGTGGGAGGATGGTGGACGGATCCTACATTAGTACCCACGATCGTAATGCCTGTCGGAGCTTGATAGCCTGTGGCAGGGAGCACAGTTGTGATGGTCCCGGGTGAGGTTAGCACGCTAGCGATATTCTGGTAACTACCCTTCTCTGAGACGGCGTCGAACGCATGGCGAATAGGCTTTCCAGCAATAGCAGCTGCGATTTGGGCCTTCACAGCATCATCACCGTCACGGTAGTCGATGATTGTGTCTCCCTTGCTACGATCAATCAGGGTCTCCACATAGGGTTTTCCTCTTCCAGCCACTACGATGAGCGGGTGAATGTTGGAAAGCTTAGCGAATTTCAGGGCGTACGCACCCACAGCTGAAGCTCCGCCATAGACCACCAGTGGTAGAGGTTCAGATGCTGGATTCCAAGGCAAGGGCAAGTTCAATCGTTGGTAGAGGCCCAGGGCGGCTGTCATAGCCGCAAGAGGGATAGTGGCTCCCTCTGTTGATCAATTAGCACTAACCTTGATACAAACAGTTTTCCAAGAGTCTTACCCTCAAAGCTGGTCTTTGCTGGAAGATGAAACGTCGTGTATGCGTGAGCAATCGCGTACTCGGCGAAGCTCCCATCGGCTGTCAACATCTGATGGAAGGCCGCAACCTTGTCACCTTTGCTGAACCCCACAACGCCTTCTCCAACGGCTTCAACATAACCGGCGATGTCATCTCCCTCATTTGATGGTCCATGTCCATCACGCATGGGCCATTGCGGGAGTTTCCAATCCTTGGGGTTGGTGCCGGATACCACGACCCGGATCAGAAGTTGACCTTCCTTGGGACTGGGGATTTCTGTGTCTCGAATGGTGACGGCGGTGTTGCGGTCAACGAATGCTTGCTTCATTTTGAGTGGGAAAACAATTTTGGAGCTCAATGTTGGAAATGATGGGATAGCGGTGTTGCATACCTTTTTATGCACCCCACAATGCCGCACAATGTTGATTTGTAAGGATGGGTTGACTCCGTGACTAATGACGTCAAACTTGTTTCGACGAAGTATTCAACCGTGCTGTGCTTTGAAAGACCGTCAGAAGCTATTGGCAGAATGCTGGAAACAGTCGACTTAATGGCATTCTGAAATAAGGAATGTTGCTAACAGTGCTTAGCAGTGCTGTAGGCTTGAAAAGGTGATACTGATACCTTTACCGAACCCCTACCTCCACTGCCGGATTCGAGCTCCGGCAGTAGCTTTTACGACGAATCTGAATCCGAAGCATCCGATATTACTGGCGCTGACGACTCGCCGCCTGGAATCAAGATGTCGCACCCTGGTAAGCTTCTGACTTTTTCGGGCACGCCAGCTGAAAACATCAATGCCTACTATCGGACGTGCAAATTGATTTGGAAAGTGCATTATGCCACAGACAGCGATGACTCCAATGAGGCCGTCTAAACACAGATGCACAACGGTCTCAAAGGAGCCACTTGTGACTTCGTAGACGAGCTTGATGAGACAGACTTGGTGGACAAAGACAAACAGTTCGCAAAGCTCAGTGAACGTTTTCCTTGGAGAAAGAAAGAACCTGAGTTAATTGAAAACGTTTTGCAACGCATCACTGCGTTAAAACGAACGAATCGGATTCTGGATGACTATATCGAAGAAGCTCAGAAACTCACAAATGTGGTAGACGGAGATAAAGGTCTAGCGGTAATGCTAGCCACTCATTGGGTCAAAGGATTTAGTCAAGCAAAAACCCGCGACCACTTGCTGAGTGACAACGCTCGTCGCAGAGCTAAAGGCAAAACCACTTCCGTTGATCAACTCACGAAATACGCCCGAGGCTTCGAATTTGAGGGAGCTCTTCCACTCGAAAGAAGAGAGCCTCTCGACCCCATGGAGAAAGTTGCTCACCAACTTTCTGCCATCGCCCAAAGTATGGCGAGTCAAGCAGTTCAGAAGCAAGCTCCGTGACCTAAGCTAGCGTTTCAATTACCTTCTTTGTCATACTCCTCGTTTCATTGGTAGGAATACTCGGCTGTTATGATTCCTCCTATTGGCCTCCGTACATCATCATCACCCACCTGGGCATACTACTTCGCCAAGTCTCTCGACAGTTGTCTTTATTCCGGTAAACTATTGATTATATTATCTTCCAAAATATGGAGCTAGCTTGGCCTGTTCCGCCTCTGCGCTGGAATGCTGGGGCTTAAATCCATCGATACATCCCGACCGTCTCGCCTTTACCTTTATGTCCGAATGGCATTCATTCACATCAGATGCTTTCCAAGTTTTTCAACAAGCTGGAATCACCCCACGAGGTCCCAATTCATGATGAGACGGAGATCTACACTTTCGGAAATGAACTTGGACTATCCGGTAGACTGGTTCGAAATCTTTGTGACCTAGTTATGAACTCTAAGTCTAATCCTATTATTCTAAGATATTACTTTGGAATATACATATATAATAGCTTTCTACTTGTCTTTCTACATGTCTTTCTACGTGTCTTTCTACGTGTCCGTTTATTCATCTGCCTCATTATCTGCCCATATATTCTGGTTGGGCGGTAAAGATCTATCGAGGAAATGTATTTGTAATAATTTAGGAAAAAAAATGTTGGACTCATTGGACCGGGTCCATAACTCCGGGCAACAATGTAAGTGGGTCGCCAGATGGACAAAGATACTTTGCAGCCCTAGCGGCTAGTAGTTCATCGTATCTCGCGGCTGGTTGGATAAGATGAGCCAACGGACTAACCCCGCGACTTTTTGACAGGGATCCTGATACACACCAAATCTTAGGCAATTGGGGGCGAAAAATCCTCCAACAGAATATTCGCTTCGGGAGTGAGTCTTCAAGTTTATGAATAGGTCGTTTTTTGATAGGATATGAACAAAATTCCTCTAAATCTTGTTCTGCGGCCTATAAATACTTACCAGATCTAATAAAAATGCACCAAAAACTGCCTATCGCTAGGCGCTTCATGTTAAGAAGAAACGTAAGCCTCGCTGCAATGTAACCCTGCAGCACAGTGATTGTGCATATCGTGGCTTAGCCTAGAAATGTAGACCCATATTGAAGTGTCCACCAGACTTGAGGCTGGAAATATAATAGCCCACGCAGCGAGCCTTCTTTTAGTCGAGCCTCAGTTCACTTTCTTCTTCACTTAGACCCAGAGGAAACTTTTTATTGAGTCTCGACATATGAAATTCGTAAAATATGCGAGAAACTAGATTCAACTTCAACTTCGTGGAAGGTGATCTCCCTCAATCACATTCAAGGTTGAATCCTACTTCTACGGGCAACACTCATGAAAATCCGTTTGACCTCACAGGAGGGCCTCAACCATTACCAAAGGCTGAACTTTCTGAGCCAATCCCGCCAATCCCCACTTTCAGAAGAAGCCTTTTCCAAAATTTGAACGGTCAAGGCTCGTCTGCTCCTACGGAAAACAGCAGTGAACGGCCCGCTGATCCGACCGAAAGAACTCAACGAAAGTCTACACCGTATTTGGCACAGCCAGTGCCCGTTGCGCCAGGGGGTCTTTTTCAAAATCCTCCTTCTCATGGTAGATCTGCCTCTACCAATAACAGCAACGATAATGAAATCGATCAGGCCCAAAGACATCGGCGGCAATCTTCATTTGAACCTGCACTTCCAGCAATTCTTCAACCAGGAGGTCTCTTTTCAGGTGGGACCTTTACAAACCGTTCCACTTCTACAGAAAAGTCCTTGGGCGAAGGACTATTTTCTTTAAGTCAAAGACCACGAGCGGCATCTGCATCTCAGCCTACACTTCCAACTGTTCTACAACCAGGAGGTCTCTTTTCAAGTTCTACGGCTTCTACAGAGAATTCTCAGGGTGAAGGGATGATTCCTCTAGCTCGAAGGCCCAGAGCGGTATCTACCCATCTACAATCAGAAGGTCTCTTTTCCAAAGAAATATCTTCAAGCTCTACTACTTCAGACAGCTCTCGGGGCGAGAGGCTCTTATCTCTAGGTCAAAAGCCTCGACCAGCATCTACATCCCAACCTGCACCTCCAAATAATCCAAAGCCAGGAGCTGTTTTTTCAGGGGAAATTTTTGCAGGATGTTCCGCTTCCGAGGATAGATCGTTGGGTGAAAGGCTACTATTTTCTCCAAGTCAAAAATCTCGAGCAGCACCTGCTTCTCAACCTGCACTTCCAACTATTGTGCAGCCAGGAGGTTTATTATCTGGAGGAGTATGTCCAAACTCCGCCGCTTCTACAGACAAAACTCAGGGTGGAGGGCTCTTTCCTTCAGCTCAAAGAGTTCAACCTGTATCCACATGTCAGTCTACAAACTCGGAGCCACGCAGCATCTTTCAAGATTTATCTCTCCCAAAAGACTCCAAAAACCACAGTTTGTTTTCTAAGTCATTGAGTCAAACATTGACTCCAGATAATAAGGCTTCCACTTACGCAGACCTTCATACATCTACTCCAAGCCCTGAAAGCAGACGAAAAGTTGCTCGTTTTTCTCCCAGGCACTCCAGAAGAAGCAGTTCCACAGTATTAACGTCGACCGTAACTTTTGGCGGGTCCCCTGGAGCAAAAACACCCAACACTGGCTCCATCTCAAGTTATTCTACTAATGCTTCTATCATCGATGGCATATTTCGCAATGTGCCCTCTATAAGCGCACCGTCTTTCAATACCCCTTCTGTCGCTCCCCCATCTGTTAACACGCCCAGCGTCAATCTGTCTACAGTGAGTGGTCATCCTAACAAGGCTACTTCTACTGCCAGCACCGATTCCCCTGTCGGTACTGATGGACCAACAATGGCTGGGTCCACATCAAGGAAATCCAACCTCGAGACAGACACAATGAGGTCTTTTCGTGAGGAAGATAGCTATAGTGTCCGGCAAGAGTCGCTTCCTAAAGCACCGATTTATGACCAGAGCCTTCAACGTGGTCTTGCTGAAGTGAAAGACTCTCTTAGCAATATTGCGAGCATAATGGGGGAGTCTGATTTGGCTCATGACTCAAAGTCACACTTCAACACTCTATACCGCGAGACAAAAGACCTCAGCACCTTCCGATACCCCGAAACACGTATTGTTGGATTCATTGGAGACTCTGGTGTTGGTATGTTGCTCCCCTTTCCGAAGCCTATACGTGACGGTCTCTGATATCGTACTAGGCAAAAGCTCCCTCATAAATTCCCTCCTCGATGAGCCAAATTTGGCCCGCTCGGTAAGATGCTGAGGGTACTGGCAATATTATTGTATTGAATACTAATAGTATTCCATAACAGGGTGGGGGTGGGTCGGCTTGTACCTCCATGGTCACCGAGTTTCGAAGCGCGAATGACAATGATCTCCATGCGTATACCATTGAAGTCCATTTTATGGCCTCGGATGATATTAGAGAATTGCTGGAAGAGCTTTTAAGAAGCTTTCGAGTTTACTATTGTGAATCTCTAAATCAAGAAATAACTTCCGCCGAGGAGAGAGCAAAATGCGAAGTCGAAGCTGACAACGCCTGGACGGCCCTCGATTCCATTTTTCATGACCAACACGAACTAACCCAGGAGTTCCTCTTAGGGGAAGGCAGTGCAGCTTGGGAGGCAATTATTAACAAATTGCAAAAATGGGCAAATACTGCCGTCGCTGGCAGATCTGGTGACGGACAGGGGCTCGTTTCCAAGGTGTCCACAGGCAGTCTTCAAGCATGCAAGGATTATCTTGATCACCTGTCAGCTGAGTCTCATGAAAACGGAGACCCTGTTCTATGGCCTTTTATCAAGTTGATAAGGTAAAGTATTGTCTTATTTCCTTTTGTGAGTCTGCCCATCTAAGATCTCGTTAGGGTTTACCTCAAGTCGCCTATTTTGCGAACAGGCCTAGTGGTGACGGACCTGCCAGGTGAGATTTATGCAGAATATAGTGGACTATATGAAGCACAATATTTACTATTTACAGGGTTCCGGGATTCAAACTATGCGAGAGTCAGGGCGACAGAAAAGTACCTCTCGCACTTTTGTGACGAGGTTTTCATTCTTACAGGCATCATCCGAGCTGAGAGTGACACTTCAATCGTTGATATCAAAAACAGATGCCCAAACAAGCCAAAGCATATAGTCTGTACGAGATCTGAGGTACTTTGACCAGTCTTGGAATTATAAGGACATGGCTAATGAATGACGTCCCTCTACAGGAGGTTAATCCGGAGGAAGAAGCCCGTGGCAAGGAGGATTCTGCCCCACACGTTCGTACGATGAACGAAAGAATTCGCAAATCTAAAGATCGGCTCAGATGCATGAAATTGAACATGCGAAAGGGCAGTGCCAAGGAAAGAGTGGAGTGCACGTTCGAATACACCGAGTTGCTGTGAGTTCGTTTCTTGTTAGATATTATTGCCTTGGCTGACAAGCTCGTAGGACTAAAATCGAAGATCTCGAGTTTGAGTAAGTCTGCTTATTTCATATCCTTCTAGTACCTGGGAATTTTAACTGACACATCTAGGCGAACGAAATATCTTATAGATTTTCGGAACAGGAAAGTGACTGCTAAGCTCCAAGAAAAGTATGCTGGCATGGGAACATTTTGCGTCAGTAACAAGTTATATTCAGATCACCGTGACGATGAGCCCCGTCTAGCAGAGTCCTATATTGCCCTTAGTGGGATCCGCAGGCTACGGGAACATTGCCAATTGGTCCCTGCCAAAGCCCAACTACGAGCAGTATCTGCTTATCTGAGACACCAAGTTCCAGCACATCTAGGTTCTCTACGCCAATGGATATTGGCTGGAGTTGATGCCGTTTCCTCTGAAACAGCTCCTGTACTCCGTGAAGCTTTAGAAGAAGCTGAGTCGGTTCTTCGTCGGGTATAGTACTTTATTCGTTCGCAAGTAGCCATTCTATGAGGCTCTTTGTCATAAATGTCTAACGGCGGACAGGACCTTCTTTTACGCGGTGGTTATGTTTACAAGCTTCGGCGTGACCTGATCGATGTATTTACTCAAGGCATCGTGACATATGCCCGTGAGTCTTTCATCCCTTCTTTTATCGAATGCCTCTAATATGATCTTAGGTGATTCTCAAGTCCCCTGGACGAATCAAGCTGTCCAAGTTAGCCAAGAATGGGCAACGGTGAGGAAATTTGAAACCACTTTACTCCACATGCTTGAAAGTTTCACTGACTTGAGGTCCAGTGGCACCACTCAACATATGCCGCTTACTGCCGGCAGAGCGGGACATATTCTACAAAAGCACAGAGAGATCGTAGCTGGAACGACGAATTGATATCTCGCCCGCGGAGCCAACTAATACCGCAGTGGAATATGATAAAAGATTGGTTACAGTCTCAAAGTGACAATTCTGAGGACACAATTGAAGAGATATTCCAAAGGCTATCAAATCTACTCGAGTATAACGAACAATACGCTCCGCAGTCCATTGGAAATCTTCTTATCAGCTTGGAATCTCGCGAGCAGAACATTGGGCATGAAATCGAAGGTTGTTTGAATCAAATTATCCGAAGCACCGAGTACGTATCACATTCCCTTCTCTGGATGTTAAATATCTAAAAATAAAAACTAGGATTACTTCGAATGACATGGTCGGCGGTCATGCGAGCTCTTTTATTGGTGACCTTATGCGCCCTGCCTATGTGGAATGCAATCGGGAAGGAGGTAAATAAACTTATCAAGCACCTATCCCTCGGAATAATCCTTTATTATTTCAGCAATCTATTCACATACCAAATTACTTTATACTGACGGCAATCTTGGATTAGGTAATGGAAGTCACGCTAGAAGAAAGGCTATCATGCATAGGCACATCTCGGACCCACGGCTATTCAGGGAATACGGCAACCTTGCAAGATCGATTTATACTACAGCCGTAAAGAAGGGTTTCGCTGAACTAAACAAAACACTCAAGGAACAAGTTGATGGGATTATCAGAGACTTGTATGCGGTTATTGCAGAAGACGGAGAGACTACAGAGGCCGAGCAGAGGCCTGAAATATCCAATCAGCTGGAATCAGAAGTCGGGAATACACAAGAGGTTCTTGAGAGGGTTCAACAAATCTTGCAGCGTGTCGAAATTAACTCCATTTCAAGTTAAACCTTGAAATTCCTTGTATAGGGATGCGTGGTGATATATCTTGTCTAGTTGAAATTTGAATTCATCTTTGTTCCAAATGCCTGTCGGACTGTCTTTCGAATAGTACCTTTCTGAGCAGTCTCTCAGCTGTAAAAAGCAATTAATTCCCGATACATAGTATTCCTTTATTGCTGGTAGACGCACTTGTGCAGCATCGGTTGCTCTCTTTATATGCTTAAAAACAGCCACGTTTCTCACTACTACTAGATAGTTGAATTTGGAGGACTTAATTGCAATAAATTGCTCAGTGGTGCTCACACACGGAACTTGTTTAGATGTGGGGTCGTGGGCCAACAACCGTTGCTGGCTTCGGTGTATGCGTCAGTAGATTGAAGAAATCATCTGGGATGACGCCTCTCGTGGGAAGCCTCTCACAGATCAAGTTGAATATCAAACCGCACAGCGCTGGATCGACTGCTGTGGCACGCAATGCCATCACATCGGGGAGTCGCATCATATCACAGCCACAGAGAGATGATCAAGCAACAATATAAAACCCATCAAAATCAATATTGTACGTCAAAGGAAACGTTTAGGTTTCCAAGTCTAACTTGAACCTATTTCTGGCATGCTAGTGTCTATATCCAACTTCGGAATTACATAGCTGCAGTGCCTCAAACAGCCAACTCACAGCTACATGGCTACCACTAGCTGCCACTACAATAATAATTATTAGCTTTTTTCCTTCTTCTACCCACATTCTCTAGGTCTGATCTCCGACCGAGATTATAATCCACATCGAAGAACTAACCTTAGACGAACTTGAACGGACAATGACACAGCCAGCATACATGAACTTGAAGCCTACCTCGTTAAACTCGAGTTATAAGGATTTCAAATTATGCAGTTAGCATTGTACAAAACACGAAAGGTTTTAACTGCTTTCCTTTTCTTAGATAAATATTGATAAAGATGATATCCTTCAGAATTATTTCATTCAAAGATCTTATAAAATGAATACTATAGATTGACTTTCACCACAGACAGGTAAAGATAATTCTTTTTGGTTTTGTTTCAGTTACTGGATGGAGATTGAATCGCACGCAGAGTAATACACCAGTTTCAAGTCATATCATCCGAGACAGGTCACTCTAAAGCTCTTAATCTTCTTTTTCTTCCTCGACGCAGTGCACGTATCCGCCGTGTCGTAAGAGATAGACCCGATACTATCCCCTTTCGAACATTTGCTGTCTTTGTATAGCATGATGTCGCAGCTAGGGTCAACATCTACTCTGATGAATCCCAAAACACTGCCATGAATATCTGAGCGACAATCTGTCGATCCAGAACCAGTAAAATTCTTTGCAGAGCCGCTGCACTTGTGGTTCTTGTAGAGGCGAAAGTCCCAGGCACTGGCGCCGGCACGGGAACTGGGAGTGGCTTCAAGTTGCACTGCAGTATTTGTCAGGAGGGCAACTGATGGATTTGCTGCAGGGGTGCCAGAGACGGTGACGGCATATATCAGCACTGGAAGTGTGCTGATAGAGAGGTTGAAGAATTTCATCGTGGAATTTTGGGTGCTTTGGTTTCGCTAGGGGCTTGATGTTCCCTTGAAGCGCTTGGGATGGAAATTCTAGCTGGCAAGAAAGAGTCATGGCAACAATATATAGAACAACCCGGAACCAGCGGAAGCTTTGGTTTTCGGCTTTTGTCTATGCCTGATTTTGGGGTTGTTTATGCGTGGTTATGACATGTATGCGGTTCAATTTCCCGTGGAGTGCCATATAGTTCGTTGGAGTGGGACCAATCAGACAACGAGTATGAAAACTTTGTTGTTGAGCCAAATATTTAGCACCCGGTATACTGAGATGGATGTATAGGTCACTTTCCTGAAGTTAATAATCTATAGCTATGCGGTCTCACTGAAATTGAAAGATATGGTCTTCATATCGATATAGCAGGTCTCTAAAGACGCTGCATTCCATCGGCCATGAGCACTTGGAAACATAGTGACACAGGATTATTCCCGAACACTACCTACTAGCCTGGTAAATAACTCAGCAGGAGGAGCTTTTCATCCTCTTGAAGGGAAGGCGCACAAGCTGCAGGCTTATTGAGGCCAGATCCGTGTAGAATCTTCTGTGTCGCAAGGGGACTTGAAAAATCTATTTCTCATGTAAAAGTCACATTCGTAATACATACAACTCATTTTGCTCCGACAATGGTTACTTGGGTGATCGGAAACATGATCATCTATACAAAAAGGCCTCCATAAAGCACTTGGGAAATATTGAGAATCACCTAATAAACAACAGCCCTCGGCTTCTTTCCACCAACAGGATTCTTCCCCTTTGAAGTCTCCGGCTTAACCAACCAAAGCAGATCCCCAGTCGACCCATCATCCCCCTTGACATACTCCCACTTCAAAGCCGTAGCATTAACAACAGTCATCTTGCTGAAACCATAATGCTTCGTGTTCAAGACAGCCGTAAGATTCGTCAGACCCTCCCCATCACTAAACTCACTATGACTCTCAATATTTCCCGCCATTCCATTGATGATATGCGTCATCGAAGTTCCGGGATTAACACGATAAGTGTTATTGTTAACCACAGACCCCGAATCAACAGTTCCATTCTTACCAATAGGCCACAACCGTTCATACCAATGAATATGACCAGAAAGATAAGCATCGACACCATGTTCCAGGAAAAGAGACTCAAACGCCTCCCGAATATCCTTCTGGTAGGACGAGTATGCAGAGCTGTACATTGGTCTGTGGCTCATGACGATGACCCATGGTGTCTTCTTGCGATCGATTTTGGAAAGATCCTCTTTCAGCCAGTTATATTGTTCGTAGGACTTTGTGTCTTTGATGCTGCCGTGCACAGCGCCGAAGGGACCACTGTCTGTGATGAATGTTTCGGATTCTGTGGGAAGTTTCTCATCGCCGGTTACGTCTTCGGCGAAGGACCACTCTGGGCTGTTGGCGTAGTCTGTCTCGCCATCCATCGAGACGAAGTGCGCGAGACCGTAGTCGAAGGAGTACCAGAAGTTGCTGACGCCTCCAGATTCAGCACCTGGCATACGGAAGCGGTGCTGATAGGCCGTGAAGTTTCTAGAAAGTGTCAGTTAGTCTTGCTTCGCTTCTTTCACAGACGTTAGAAGGAATATTACCTTTGCGATGGCGGACAACTATAGTAGGTAAGATTATCAGTAGGCCAGGTACTGTTTGGCTCGTTTTCGTTCAAATAAGCCGTCAAGACATTATTAGGACCATCGAATTCACCACACGACGCCTCGTGGTTTCCAGGCAAAACCATGTAGGGAATCTTCTTGGTAATATCGCCCATCCACTGCTGCCAGAGATCCCAGTTCGACTCGTAAATGCTACTCATATCTCCACCTTGGGGTCCACCCTGGTTCGCGATCTCGCCCTTAGGCAAAGGCTTCTTGTATTCGCTCGTGATGACACCGCCAGGGAGCGAGCTGCTAGTGCCGTTATAGCAGACTGGCCAAGAGTCCTCACAGGCCATAATACCGGAGGACCAGTCATCTGCGTAACTGATGTCACCACCGTGCCAGGCAAAAGCGGCCTCGTTGGCTGCTTGGCTTAGGTACTTGTGTGTACCCTGGGCATTAGTGTAGCCCATATCGTTCAGGATAGCCACGGTGAATTCTGTAGCGTCACCAGCTTTGCGAGCGGTTGTGAAGCTCAGGACATCGGACTCAGTCGTGCCATTCGCGGCGGGGATTTGGTAGTAGTATGTTTTACCGGACTCAAGGTGAGGAAGGGACACTTCATGGAAGAATTGACTGCACTGGGTGACAGCTTTGATCTGGGAGCATGAAGGAGTTCGGTCATAACTGGTATTCCATCAATTTAATTAGCATAAAAATTTCGGCGCCGACATATTTTCATTTTCAATTCGAGAATCAGAATAGCTCACGTATGACTGAATCCCCGAGCAATATTGATCAATCGCTCAGGACTAGTACCCCACTTAACAAAAGGCGACTTCCCCAACCCAAAAGGCGTCTGATAATGAATATGAATACCGTCCGGAATGTAAGACAGCGAAATAACATTGACATTATTAGTGGCATGCGCCGACGCAGGCTTAACAGCGGGCGGCTCGACAAGACGCGTAAAGCCCTTCCCATTCCCATTAATCGTGGGATCAACCCAATCGCCAACAGGAACAGCAGGACCCTTATAAGGGAATCGGTTATCAACCGTCGGCCGACCACTAACGGCAGCAGATAGCGCCAACAAGACGGAAGCAGTAGTAGCCTTCATTTTGGAGAGAATTGAAGCTGTGATCCAGAATCCGGCCAGAACAACAGCCAACGTTTCTGCCTTTTATCTGCGCGCATTCTGGCGGGGTCGCATTCGCTTCGCTTGTTGGTGTTGAGCATGGATAAGCAAGGTACGGGAGCTTAGCATCCACACGTGCGATTGGAAGAATGGGCGATTGGCCTTTGGTTGATTAAACTAGTCTTGGCCCGCAATGTAGTGGAGCTCGGTTAAGTAGATCTGGATATAGGCACGGGTTGCTGGTATGACCACAAATTTAATGTGGGATGTATCTTGATGCTAGAATTTGAGGAAGCGGATAAGACAGTGCATGTATAATTATCCAGATTGACTTGTCTGAAATGCGATTTTGGATCCCTCGCTTATAAGTAAACGCGACGCATAACAAGCATGCTAGGTATTGTTGTTGTTGGTGTGGGTGGATCCGGGTGTCCCTGTAACCCCCCCCCCCCAAGCCGTGTCTGGAACGCCTCCCCGGAACCGAAACATTTGAACCACATGGGGGCCACGCTGCTTAATGATTGGCTCAAGTGCTTGCTGATAAGGTACTTGGGGGATCCGATTCGCGGCATATTCATACACCTACGGAGTCCGCCGTTTAGTCGCACTGTGCATTGATGCACATGTGGACATTTTATTCTGCTTATCAGTACTATTAATCTCATATGAAAGTGCTTTAACTGGATCTTGGCATCATAACCAGTAATCAGATCCACCCTGCCAAAGGCGCTCAGTTTATCCTTACATTAGCTTTATATTGATGTATCCAGTAAATGCATATAACTTAGTGTCATTTAAATCACCCACTGCATTTTATACTGCCATATTACTAGAGCGAGTATGATTGAAGCAAAAAAGTGCTCTATATCATACAGGAATGTAGAGAGGATATATGTACAAACTGGCGGTCCATTCCCCAGAAGAGCAAGTAAATATCTCTTAGTAGTTTTCAAGTCATCGGAGAATACTTTTTTCCTACGTCAGCATCACTTGAAGTATACTTTATTTGCTTCACCCTCTTTCGCTTTCTTTATATGGGACACACTGTATTATGTATGGCCCCGAGAAAAAAGAATTTCGACTAAGGTTGACCACTTTGTTGGTTCAAAAATGTATGGTTTGTTAATCGGCTTTATGCCTGGTCTCCTACTGCTTCTTTTAGTTTACGGTATAGCGTGCTGTCCTTTCCTTTGGTTCTTACAATCCATTGTTGTTGGGTAGTATTTGATTGAATATAATCATCAGTAGGACGGAATCATCATTCAATGTTTCTGTTCTTCGTAGCGCACAATCAAATGAGTAATTTAACTTCATATAGAACCCATATCAGACCCTGAACTCTCGTTATGGCTCATCAAAGCGTCAGTATACCCAGTCTCAAGTGCTGTTACTATTGTATACTTCGGTATCGGAACAACTCTATTCCGACATGCGGGCGTTTTGGCTTTGCGGCTTTTTCCTGCGCGCTGAGATCAAGATCGTCGGACTTGCTCAACGTCTTCCAACACCGACAGAGAAATGCTTCCCTTGATGAAGCCACCTGCTCCATCATCCTGCCTTCTGAAATTCTTACAAACACAGTCTGGCCTTGCAAGCGGCTTATCAGCATGCGCCGCTTCGAGATCAAGAGCTTCCAGGCTTGAACCCTTCGCAACAGGATCGCCACGAAAATCCTCCTCCTGGACTCGCCCAGCCAAGTCACAATGTCCCGCCAAACCCGACCGAACACCCTTGGTCTTGACCTCAAGGCCTAACGCTGAGACAGCGTCGCGCTGCTCGGGGCAGATCAGATTTACCCGACCTGCCTCCACGGCCCGCAAATCACTCCTTAAACGATTTTTTGATCTGAGACGAAACAAAAATGCCGAGTGCAGTGAAGCTCGAAATTTAGGACCTAGTTTGATGGATGATGGGACGGAGGGGATGTTTAATATTGGGCGTGGATTATCAGCAAAGGCGTCGAACGAGCTACGGTTGCGATGTACGGAATTCGATAACAATGGGGACGTCACGTTGGTGAACGGGGAGTTCCGCAAGTCGGAGCTCATCGCAAAGGTTTGTGTAATAACTTCTACCTCTCTTCGCACTGGTGTACTGACATTTGGGCACTCTAGTACGGCCTCCTGCCCCGAGACTTGCGCAAGATCGACTCTTCCACCCTTCCTCATATCCTTATCCGACCGAGCGCCATTTTAATTAATCTTCTACACCTACGAGTTCTTATAAAAGCCGACCGGGTACTTGTTTTCGACGCGTACGGATCGACCGACTCATACATGCAGTCGCTCTTCATATATGATCTTGAAGGCAAACTTCGGCAGAAAGCGTCGCAGATCGCGCCTGGACAATCTTTGCCCTACGAATTTCGCGCTCTCGAGGCTGTCCTTATTAGTGTGACTGCCGGTCTGGAGGAGGAGTTTAATGGTGTCCGGGACCCTGTTGTACGAGTACTCCGGGCCCTTGAAGAGGATATCGACCGCGATAAGCTTCGACACCTCCTCATATACTCTAAGAAGCTCGGTACTTTTGAACAAAAGGCTCGGTTGGTGAGAGATGCTATTGATGATCTTCTTGAGGCGGATGATGATTTGGCTGCCATGTATTTGACTGAAAGGTCAACTGGCAAAGAGCGAGATGAGGATGATCATCAAGAAGTTGAGATGCTCCTCGAGTCATACCATAAAGTCTGTGACGAAATCGTCCAGTCTAGCGGTAACTTGGTCACCAATATCCGAAACACAGAGGAAGTGTAAGTCATTTCAAGATCAATGTATATGATATTATGTTTGTTAACGCCAAGGAACAGAGTCAAAGCAATCCTCGACGCCAATCGTAACTCCCTGATGCTCCTAGATCTCAAATTCAGCATCGGCACACTTGCGCTCGCAGCAGGAACTCTGTTCTCCGCACTCTACGGAATGAACTTGAAAAACTTTATCGAAGAGTCCGACTTAGGCTTCGGCGGTGTCTCTGTGATCTGCTTCGGCATAACTGCCATGTGCAGTGTATACGGACTTGCTAAACTACGCAAGCTCCAGCGCGTTCGTATGTGGGGCGAGTCTGGCGCGGGAGGTGCCTCATTAACACCATTGACAACCAGACATGGAATGATTGGTGGTCAGCGTTCCAACTGGCGGGCAGACTCTATCGAGCCTGTCTGGGGTAGTCTTCCTGGCGAAGCACGATCCGAGCGTATCAAAAGACTTCGAGACCATGCTGGTGCATCTGCATCTAAGAGTGCTACTGCATCGGCATCACGAAACTCATCTCCTGCATTTGAGAACGCGTTGAATGCTGAACGCAAAAAGGCAGCTCAACAAAACTCGTAAGAAACTTCCTATAGACAGGATTGTTAAGGGACTTCTGGGCAACATAAATAATCTCCTACACTTTCAAGATATATCTGGTTGGCTTTTTTTTAGGATGCATGGCGTTTGTGTTTATTTCGGGCTAGGATCTCCATCTCATAAAAACGGTGTTGAAAGGGGATCATCATTTATTTTCCTGGCGACTCTGTACATTATTGCTACTCTTCTCTCCAAACTTTCACTCAATGCTCGGTGTGAAAGGTTTCTGTATAGATCAGAGCGAAATTGACAATAACTTGACTCATTATCACACATCTCCATTCCGGTGGACATCCAAACCAGACCGATTTTTCTCACAGCTCTCACAGCTCATCTTTCGTACTGACCTCCCTCAAACGTAGTAAAGCAACACCATGCGGCTGCACACGAGCGGTTACCCTGCCATTGGCCTTAGCGGTGCCAACCTTAGAGCCCATGAGCGCTTTAGATGCTGGCAGCGGCACCTTCTTATAGACGCTCTCAGAACCACCAAGCGCAGTCATGTTGATGGGCCTCGTCATATTGCTAGCGCCATCGATAATCGAATTTGCTGTTGCGTTGCTCATCCGGTTAGCCCAGAGATCATACACATGCCAGCTACTCTGAATCTCAGACGCGGTACCACCAGGTCCATCGGACCAGAAAATATCAGCGAGGGTTGCATTCATCTCTCTCGCTTTCGGTGAGCTGTTCAGGAGCAATACTAGCTGATCGCCACCACTCAATGAGCCGCTAAAAAGCTGGATCTCGCCGCCATCAACGTAGTGGCGCCAGATACGTACAGCGGACGATGATTCAGGGTCTTGGGAGACTGCCAGGACAGCAGTGTTTTGTAAGATTGAAAGGGTTTGTGCGTCGATGCTTGTCATTACGTTTGTCATGAGGAGGGGCGACTTGAGAGCTGCCCATAGACTGAAATGGGCGATAGCTTCGTCGTCTGTTAGTCCGCCGTTTCCGACCTCTGTTCATTCGAAGACTAAAATTAGTTTAAAGGTACACAAGAAAGTGATAATAATAAAGTACTGACCGAGCATATCTAGATCGTTCCATGCACCTGCGAACGACTTCGATGGGTAATAAGAAGCCTTGTTAAGCACATTCATGACCGAGCACTGATAACCAGGGGTTTTGCAATCTAGACCTAATAGTTCAGAGCAAGGACAGTTGACATTCTCCCGATCCCAGACATTGATAAGATCGCCGCTTGTTCTCCAAGAGTTCGCGATCGTAGGTGCAAAGTTCCACGGTCCATCAACACCCCAGTTGCAGAGGGAGTATAGGATTGGCCGACCGGTGGCATTCAGAGCTTTGCCCATAGCATTATAACGGTCGTAAGACAGTTTGGGGGTTCCCTCTTCGCCTTGATTGTAGCAGTTATCATATTTGAGGTAATCAATCTGTTCAGCCATTAGGACCCAATCAAAGAAGGTAGACATGAATGACTTACACCCCAGCTGGCCCACAGAGCTGCATCTTTCTCCTCGTATCCCAAGGAACCAGAGTACCTCGCACAGGTCAACGTACCAGCACTAGAATAAATACCAAGCTTCAGACCCATAGCATGAACTTTTTTTGCTACATCTGCGACGCCATTTGGAAACTTCTCTGGATCCGGGATCAGATAGCCAGAGGAATTGCGACCTGCTGACCAGCAGTCATCCATGACAACATATTGATAGCCGAGATCTCGAAAGCCCAACGAAACAATTTTCTCGGCAGCCTGTAAGATTACAGTCTCATTCATGCTGCAAGCAAACGAGTTCCAGGTGTTCTACTCCTCGGATTAGTTTAAAGTTTGAATGCATGATGACGGAGATCGTAAATTCCATACCCATCCTAACTGGGGCGTTTGCGCAAGACCATTTTCTAGCGCAGCTGCCAGGCCGACGGTGAGAAAGAGAGGAGCGACGCGCATATTGGCAAAATTGGGAGTCAGAAAAGAGCACGCCAGCAGGGATGACCCAGTCAAAGTGGCATTCTTAGATAGCCATGTTTGTACGGAGTATACCCCGCGTTCCTCGAATCTATTTACCCGACGGAATGCCGGGAGTGGAGTAAGTGACGTCCCTTTCCGTGACGAAGAAGCTTGAATGCCCGAAATTAGTCCGTTGTTTTGCGTTCAGGTAAGCTTTTTCAAAAATCTCAAGCTTTATTGTGGGTATTCTCTTCGAATCATCAGTGTGCTTGGTTTCCACTCGATTGTCCACTGTTAAGACTCTGTGCGCGTTCAATCCAGGCCCGAGCGGCATTCTGAATGCCGCCGTCTCTGGAGCATTCCCGCTGGGTAATTTCCGTGATTTTCTGAATCAGCTCGGCTGTCTTGCTGTTGTTGTGATGATGATCCACCGATGCGGGGGCCAAATTTCTTTGTTTGGCCCTTGTTTTCCATTGTTGTGCTGCTAATTGCCGACCCCCCACTACCCCCATATTGCGTGTAGTTGAAAGTGGAAGGAGAAAGACCTCGACTTCGAATCCAATCTCTTCGGCGATACTCATGGCTTTTGCGGTGAGTGAACCATACATTGAGTCCCATCTTCCATTTGCGTTCTTTTCTTTATCCTTCGCTAATCTCAAGGCCCTAAGGTCACCCGATGCAGGCTGCGGGGCTTGCTCCACAATGTCATCGTGAGACTGCGTTGTATTTAAATGTGTGCCGTGGCCCTTCGATTGGATATTGTTTGCTGGCGCCGGGTATCGATAGCTGGTCCCAGATAGTGAATGTGAACAACACGGTATGGCAAGGAAAGGTAACGGGGAAGCAAGACAAGAAAGGGCCGCCATCAATGGAGTCCAAACGGTCATTTCGTCAGCACGATTGGATATTATGAAGGTTTCTGGCGGGAAATCTCCAGTGTGAATATCTGCGCCGATTTCCCCAGTGTTCGTAGCGTCCAAGAATGGCTTTGGGATGCAAATCCTTTCCTTCAGTTTCTCCTGTACCGATTTTGGAAAGATAGTCCAGGTTTCGCGTCGACGCGCATCCAGTCCATAGCCTGAGTAGCCTTCCATAAGAAGCACGTACACAACCACGCCATTCCCACATGCAATGTCGACGAATCCAGGAAATTGAGAGGAATCCCTCGTCTCGTCCGTAACTTCCGATGCTGGTACTACCCCATACATGTTACGCCACAGCTCAATCAATAATGCAGCAACGATGATGTCATCGAGGACATGTTTCGATGGTTCGGTTTTGTCAAGCCACTTGTCATAAAGGTTCGGTGCATATTGGTCTTTCAAACGGGAATATGTGTGTTCAGTCAAATGGCGGGGTATGACGTTGTTGTTGTTGGAGCTCTCAGCCATGGCTCGACTGACTTTTTGAGTGGTATTTGACATGAGCCTCGTAGATCAAAGGACATCAATGGCATCAATGGTGACAATAGAGCAAATTCTCAGCCGGTGATTTTTTTATGATCACTTTTATGAGCGAACAGTTCTGACCGCGACGATAAGATGAGCATTTCTTATCTGCTATCTCGGTATCTACGAGGGGCAATAGCGCCCAGCGGGGTAAAACCCCATTGACGTAGACAACAGGTGGACTCAGCAAGTATATCCAGGTATTTTGCTTGATGCTTGATAGTACGGTGGTATACTATAGATTTCACTTAAACGTATTTTATCATTCTCCTCAGCAATCTACAAAAAGGATACGGCAAGTCATATGTAGAAAAAGCTCATCATGAGTGACGAAAAAAGTAGATTCCTAAAAACGGCGAATTGAATATCTCAATTTCGCAGGACTAGTCACTTAGGTAATTAAGCATGTCGTTGATAGTCTTTGCGAGCTCATTCAATTTTCCCTCCAGCAGGTTAAATACATCGACCTCTGGGTTGGCTTGGGTCTCAGGTCCGGCAATATAATAATCGCATTGTTGACCTTTCTTCGCAGCATGGCAGCCCATACAAGCCGTGACGTTGGGAGACCCAGGGATAATCATGCAGATTGGGAATAGGCGTATACCACGATCACAATGGGAGCATGCATGAGCTGCTTCCTTTGCAACAACGAATCCAAGAGCTCCCTCCACGTGGGCGACATCGGCGTCCAAGTAGTTGTTAAACCCATCCGGGTTCCAAACACGGTCATTGCGAAGACGAAGTTCACGTCGTGCCTCCATAGCGTTAAGTTTGAAGAGCTTTGTAGTCAGATGCTGACTCTGGCGCGAATTAGTAAACTGGGTCCAAAATACTAACCCAAAATGTCGCCAATGTTGAGTCTTGGGACGTGCTGGCCTTATTAGCCTTCTTTCCAATTGTCTTTCTATCCATGTAGAGCTTACAGTGCAGATAGCGGTCTTCATGTTGCGCGGTGGGATCTGTGGGGGGCTCGGATCGGGTTCGAAGTGATTCTTGAATTTTGGTAAATGTCGCGACAATATAGTTCTCTCTCTCTCCTTTCAGGGCTCAAACCCATGTCATAGTAATAGTCCGGTATATAGTGATGGTTCGGTGTATAGATATGATGAATTCACCCATCCGCGGCGGCGGTAGACCGGCGGTGCAATCTGCCCGCCATTCGCCCAGTTAGATAGCCACAGGGTTGGAAGGAATAATCTCCCTCCATCAACACCATTCCGAACTCAGAATACAGCTATCTTCTTTCTTCAATTTTTCTGCCCTACGTACATGACTAGTGCATGTCAGTAATTCCATCAAGATAGTATATATAAAGGATATACAAAGTGAATATACAAAATGGATATGTAAAGAATATGATATACACAGGTAGGTAATATTGAAAGAAGGTAGTGAGAGGAAGATTGAGGAATTAAGGTTCTTGCAGTACTCGTTTCTCTCCCCTTCCAACTCTCCATCCCACCTGGCATCATTCATTTTCATCCCAAGCCATCACACGTATGCGTGGCTCATCCTTGAAGCACTGTGACATGACTTATCCCACTTCATAACTAACTATCTACTTCGATTGAGCTTTAAGCGACATTCGACATGTGGCTACGAGAATACCTCAAGGCGCTGTTCTCGTACCACACAGGAGATGAAGAGGATATCGCTGGAGCCGGTTAGTGTTAAGACAATACAACCAAATATAATAATCCCGAAACTAACAATAAAGTTCTATAGGAGAGACAGCAACACGAGCATGCGATGTAGATGAGCAGTCGAGGGCCGACAAGAAGCTACAGTCGGACGTTAGATTTTGGTTCAGCCCGATACACGGCAATGCGAATGCTTGCCTCACAGTCCGTATTCAGCAATCGAATATTCGCGTCGAACAATGGCATCGAGATCACCGAGGCAGAATTTGCCGTAAGGGGGTAGTTTGGATAACGAAGACTACGGACCGTTTAGTAGTCGATAATAACTACCCTATCCGAATCTCGGTTGAAGACTAATTCAACCGCAGGATAGATTGCCCCCGAGAAAGTGACATTGAGGTCTCTCCGGAAGACATGAGAGAACTTGCTCGAACTGTCTGGGATGACTATCGGGTGTAGGAGCTCCTTGCGTTGTGGACTCTTCCCCTTGGGTTGTTACTCTTATTCTTAATCCTAAGATTAGCTCTTGTATTATATCCTCAATTGGCCGCAGACTGAGTCAGGTTTGGGTGCTTCTTCTCAGTTGCGAAAGCTGCTCTGGGCAAGGCCATCTAGAGATTACACTCTTCGAGGGGGACACTTTCGCTGGTTTCCTGTATGTATCGGGATCTATTGTTACTCAAATTCCAAGCGTTTGCTGACATTTACTCACTGGGCCTGAGGCCTCCCGCTCTCAGTATAATTGAATACCGAACCTTCCCCCAACTTTTGTTCTTCTCTCCACATCCTGTTCTTTTTGTAGATGGCCATGGACAATGATTAAATACGTTCGAGTGAATTCTATAGTGTACCACCGTGTGTCATTTGGCGCCGGGCGGAACACCTGGATATAGTTGCTGAGTCCACCTGTTCCATTTGCATACAACCAATATCTTCTAGAGCTCTCTTTCTTAATATGACCCTATCTCTCTAAGGTCTGTCTTATTGAGATTGGAAGTGTATGTGAGGAGTATGGAAGACGGGAACTTAGGCGTAATCACGGACTCTCCTTGTTCGTTGGTCATATTATCACCTAATTTCCTTCCCTTCACTAGATAGTCTGTTACGTGAAACAAGAAATGTGAAGACGCTCTTGATATTCTGACTAGGCTATCACCCTCAAACGCGTGCAAATATTTTCTTTCGGGCGCTTGTTTAGTATGGTTTCGGATGAATAACAAAAGATAGCGAGGTGATGCTGTGTGAAACGCCACTGCATAAAAACTTGGGATAGAATGGAACGCAATTGCATGAAAGAATTTGGAATAGAAGCACGCATCGAACGCAGGCAATCAAGGGGTATCAATATTTGGTCACTGAGTGTTGTTCTGGGTCGGTATCATTCTGGGAGACAGACTTCATCTGCACCCGTCTTTTCCTTGATATCCCGAAAAATGTTCGACATAGAGGAGAATGAAAAAGTCCCCAAACGCTCGTTTCCCAAGATCAACATACCTACAACCTCACCCTGCAGCGTGCAGACAAAGGACCCCGAATCTCCAGGCATAGCAAATGGCCCGGTAAATGGGGATTTCAATGAGCTGACAGAATGCTCATAGGTTATCACTATTCGGAAGCCCCTTCGTTGGGTCTGGTCCTTAACCCGCACAATGTGTAAATCTTCAACCCCGTTATATTTCCCAGTTGTCCCCTTGCTTGATCGGCCGAATTTGACTAGGCGGTCCTCGGAGATTATCTTCTTCCCTGATGGAAGGGGCACAAAGTCGCGGGGTGGAGGGGATTCTTTGTTGTAATTGAAGGGCTATAAGGAGAATTAGTTATCGGGTCTCGAATGGACACTGTCAACTTACCTTGTTCAATTCAATGAACGTATTCTCGTCGGTCTTCCCGTCGGCTAAGCGCTCAAGATTTACATTGATCAAGGCCCAGTCAGAAATTCGAGTCACCCCATCCTCGGTAATAGTGCTATTAGCACCACTGCCGGAAAAGACATGACCGAGTCCGTGGGACTCTTCAGCAAGGATCTTTTCGAAGACAGCCCTTTGACTTTCCAAGGTCTGAATTCTGTCCAACGTCTTTCGATACCTTCTGTCCTCATTAGGAGTGACGAAGTCATCAACTCCTTGCTCAATCGCCTTGCTTTTTTCATCCACGCGGAGAAACTCGGGATTCTTTTCGCACCCAATACTCTCATCTAGATGAGCAATAGTGTTTTTTAGGTCGAAGGTCGAAGGTTGTTCGATTCGAAGAATTTTCTTTGCCATATGATCATTTGGAGCGATATGTTGATATTCCCAATTTGTAAGGGCTATAGACCCAATTTATTAATATAGTACCCGTGAGAGGGAGGAAATTAATCTTACCTTGAGCTGCCCCTTTGGTGTTCGTGAGGATTGAACGATGGTATGGGGGCGGGTACACACAATGAAAACAAGTCAGAGCAAAATGATACTCGATGCCTTGGCGTTTCAGCTGTACAATTCCTCCCAGTGTCCAGGTACCGGCAGTGCTGTTTTGAATCCCGATACTTACTCCTGGGAGTAAAAGACGATTGCGACACATTCCTAGCTCTAATGGAGAACCAATCTGGACCTCAGCCTGAGCCTCATATGTGAGAAGAAAGCGCTCGTTCTTGATAAAGAGCACATCAATATCTTCCTCATTCTCCAAAGCTAGGATTCCCTTGATCTGCTTCGCAAAAGTACTGAAAAGACCCACAGTCGACTCTAAAAGACCCACAATGACCGTCATACGATTTTGGGTAGGTAAATCCTCGACTCCATAGCGCCAAAGTGAGATGCCGGTCCACTCTTGGTAGTCTGACTCGTTCAGAATCTTGCTACAGATTCTCTTCCACTTAGGGATGATGGAGTGGCCTGGAGGAATAGGGAAACAGTGGGGGCGACGCATCATTTTATCATCAATGATCTCCACCGAAATGCTTGGGAACTCTGGGCTTAAGACATGGTGTATTTTAATTGCTGCTTTGCGCCATTGTGATGATTGAGGGTTGGGGTCATGTGGTATGACCACCAGAACTGTTAGTATAGGTTCGGGCCCACTTCGAACCTCTGATCTTCTACCAGTCACAGTGACGAGTTCATCACTGATATTGAATTCTTTCAAGATAGGACTCACTCGAGCGCGAAGTTGGTGACGGTAATTGTGAATGTTCGGGATTGACCAATCTATAACTGCAGGGAGAGAACATAGAGCAGGCCCACCTGCCCGGAATGGGGATTGAACAAAGCCACGCGAGTCTATTTGTGTTTCCGAGGTGAAGAGGGAGACCGAAGTTGGTTGTGTTGATTGGGAGGAAGACACAAAGCCCATCGAGTGGGCCGTCGCTCGACTGCGAGACAATGAACTCGCTTCTGACATCCTGAAAATTCTGAACTCTAGATGAAAGATGTTAACGATCAGTAAGTGGAGTAGGTAGTGTGAGGAAGAGTATCGATAGTATCCAGAGAGAAGAAATACACTCATGCTATAATAAGACTAGTCCTAATCCAGTAAGATGTGGGTCTAATCGGGATTAGTCTGGAAGTGCAAACCATAATACATTACTCACAGACCCCACTATCATCATCACCTCCGCGCGCATACTACTTCGCCAATCATCTGGTTGGTCTGTATCCGTGAGTGGGTCAAACTAAGCAAACGTCTAAATATGCAAACATGCCCGACCTCCTCCAAGTAGCTATACTACAGTTATTTGGTTTTGAAGCTGAGGCGGTGGTTTATGACTGTATTTGGACTCGGTGTTGGGAACCGCCGAGCGTTCTATGACCAATGAAGGCAAATATGAACAGAGTCTGAATACTAGGGGTTGGGGCGTGATAGTTGCTGATTAGTTGTACTTGTTGAGACAGGTCCCAGCGGGGAATTACACTAGTCTGAGGGATTTTGAATGTCGTGGTATCTATTCTAAGAATGTCCTTCAGAGTAGTTTCAAGTTTGCAGTTATTTTCCTGGGCTCCAGTATTATTATCCTCGAAAAGGGCTACGAGTGTAGAGACTCGACTGTAACCTGTACTTCTGGCTTTCACTGTTTCTTGTACTTTCGCCTTTAGAGCGGGTAGCGGAATTCGCGATGAGAAGCTTGACGAGGAAGTCGGGGATGATAGTTCGGTCGGGGCGGTAGGAGAGGGAATCAATCCTGCAATTGCAACGAAGACTCGGCAACATCCACAGAAAATCTTGGTTTCCCATGACCAAAAATGAATGAAATAAGATGTTCTTCAAGCCTGTCTGCTTCGTTGGCTTGCTCGCGGAAGGTACTTAGATATCTTTCCAAGAGATCTTGTCGGGGGCAAACTCGAATGTTGCCGGATCCAACATCGCAGGGAGAATTGCATTGTCTAAAACAACTCGGCGGTCTCCTTTCGAATCACCATATAGAAATTCGCCATACTTAGCCATAAGTACGGCGGGGTCTTCGCAGGTAAGCCATAGTTGGTTTAGAGCTAATAAGTAAAATTATTAGATAGTTTAGGTAGCACCAAGGCTATAAACTACTTACATCGAGGGAATTAGGCTCAAGGAGATAATAAAATAGATAAAAATCTGAAAAAAAAACCACCCCTCTTCACTCGGGTAAGCCAGTGATCTTTGGTTGACTACATAGTATATAAATTCAAGACCATAATATAAGAAAGAAAACAAGGAGAGAAGAAGTAGATATACACAGTAAAAGCCCCGGCGGCCTCACGCTTCTGTATCCAGGCTGGTAAGGCAGTAGCTTAACCGAGGAAGTAGCCACTTAAAGTCACAATTTCCTTGCAACCATATGTATAACCCCTTCTTATAAGGTAAACAGGTAAAGTGAATGAAGTGACTGCAATCTAGGTGGCACCCCGTTTCCGCTTTGGGACGAGGGTATAGATATCTGCACGCTATTCTATTATACTGGCAAGTCGAGAGCGACCGCCCTGAAGAGCCGCCGCGTATTTACGATATCCTTCAAAATTGCAGCTTCGTTATTCCTGCTCGGTCTTATACTCCGCGTCGCGCTTCCCGTTGCCTTCCGTGCCATGCGCGACGTATTTGCACAAGTCTTCATCCAAGCATCCTCGCTTTCGAGTCTAATGCTTGCCTGTCTATCCTTACTTCCTGTGAACTCAGTGGTGTGTATTGTCGGTTTTATTTTGATCTTGTGCTGTGTCTGGTTGAGCGTCATCAGCAGGAGGTATGGCGGTAGATTTAACGACCTTTGGAATTAAGGACATCTTTTACTTTAAGAAAGGCAGCTCTGACAATAACCTTCTTTGACTAATTACTATATTAACAATTCTGTGGATTGGTATAATTTCTTGTGGGTAAACGTTTACCTCAACCACAATTTATTATAGATTAGTTTACCCTAACTGTAGTTTTTATGGCTTAATGAACCTGGAATATCATTTTTTATAAATTAGTTTACCTCAGCCATAACCTTTTATGGATTAGTATAATCTTTTATAGATGAGGATTTACCTTAACCAAAATCTCTTATGGATTAGTATAGCCCCAATCATGATTTTCTTCAATACGACTAAACGCCCGGCGGAAGGGAAACATGTCTACTAAATTCCTTGCTCATATGCATCGAGAATAAGACTGGAACTTATCATATCATGAATCTATTCGAAGCAACCTCGAACTAGAAGGTATATACAACGCATAAAACTGTGTCCCCATATCAACGCTCGAATCCGAACTTTTGAGTCACCATGCAAGATCAATCATAAGGAAGCAGATGCTGAATGTTGGGAATATGAATGCACCGAGGGACGCATAGGTATCATAGATAAAGAAGGCCAATCCCATGCAAAAAAAGATCAACAGTTTACCAGTCGTCGTCATCCTCCTTCTCATCATCTAGGAACATCATTAGCATAAAGATCATTCTTTCAAGGGTTGATATAAGAGTACTCACCGCTTCCGCTAACTTTCTGTTTCCGTTTCTTCAAAGCATCCTGTAGGGCACCAGCCAGGCCGCCCTGTGGAGCACCGGAGCTAGAGGCTCCCGCAGATGATTCGGCAGCACCTCCAGGTACATTCGCACTACTTCTGTCCTTCTTGTCTGAGTCCTTGACTTTCCGCAGACCTCCTCCGCCGGAAGCTCGGATAGAGGCCAGAAGATCGTCTCGGCCACCTCCACCAACGTTTGGCAATGGCGGCGGCGCTCCACCAGATGGAGCAGGCGGAGGCGGAGGACCTCCTGGAGCACCTCCAGGGGGTGGAGGGGGTGGCGGAGGAACAGCTGGCCCTGAACGCCCAGGTGGAGGGGGAGGTGGTGGTGCACCAGGCGCTGCAGAGCCTGGTCCAGGTGGAGGAGGAGGAGGCGGTGGAGGAGGCCCAGGAGCGCCAAGGGTAGGTGGAGGGGGAGGTGGAGGAACAGGGGTGGAGCGCGCTGGAGGAGGCGGGGGTCCTCCGCTTGTAGGTGGAGGTGGAGGCGGTATTGAAGGTACAGACCGGCCAGGTGGGAGGGGTGGAGGAGAAGCTGGGCCTCGAGGTGGAGGCGGCGGGGGTGCCGCAGGTGTAGATAGAGCAGGCACAGGTCGAGGAGCCGGTGGCGGTGGAGGAGAGACAGGTCCTCTTGAAGGGGGAGGAGGCGGTGGTCCAGGAGGACTGATAGTGTGCGGGACTTTGGGAGGAAGTTGAGGCGCACCGTCTGCGCGAGGTGGAGGAGGCGGTGGGCCACCAGGAACAGGGCTGCGACTTGGAGGTGCCGGTGGTGCTGAGACCTTGCGATCGCCTGCAAATGGAGGAGGAACTCCGAATCGGCTCTGGGGCTGGCTATCTTCCATTGGTGTCTTTGGAGGTCGCGGAGGTGGTGGTGGGCCATTGGTGTTCGAAATTGCTCGCGGTCTTCTGCGCTCTGCAGGACCTTCCGGCACAGCAAACTTACCTGCATCTGCAATTGGAGGTGGCGCATGGAACCTCCGTGTCGGTTGCGGCGGTGGTGATGGCTCACGCGGAGGAGACGGCGACGAAGGTGGTTCCTCCACAGCATCGTTGCGGGTCTTCCGAGCTGGAGGTGGTGGTGGAGGACCCCGTCGGCTTCCAGAGCTGCTTCCGGTATCCTGAGGGCTAAGAGGATTGAGCTTAGGACCTGGCGGTGCCGCAGGAGGAGGTGGGGGAGGAGCTGCCCTCGGCTTAGATTGATCGTCAACCGGGGGAGGGGGAGGGGGAGCGACTCTTGGTTTCTGCTGATCCGGAATCGAGGCAGATTGTTGAGAGGCTTGCTCGGCGCCCCCGCTTTGCTTGATGTATTCCTTGATGAAGTCCGTATTGTCGGCGATCTGGTCTTCTGTAATTCCCATTGTGAAAAGCAAATCCACAAGCCACTTCCATTTTGGATCCTTCGGGTCGAATATAAATTCCTCGTCGGATACACTAGGCGATGGAGTAGGTAACGACTGGCTCGGGAGTTGCTGTAGAGGCATTGAGTGGGACGGAAGCGAATAGGCAGGTGTCGATGATGGGTTGGACGATTTGAAATCCTTGAATGGGTTCGCCTTGGTCTTCTTGTTCGCCTTCTTCTCGCGGTTCTGGATTCCTTGAATGAAGTCATCGCCCTCGCTCTCATCGGCGAATAATAGCCCATATAGAACTCCGTCGTGTACAAACGAATGGAAAAAGCTTCTCTCTTTTATATAATCAAAATGCTCTTCGAGTTCCAAGTCCCAGATCACACCACCTTTGCCGGAGGGCTGTAAGCAAAGCATCAGGTTAGTCTCTCAACTCACTCAGATAACTTCCAGGGTTTCAGTCACGAACCGATATATCCACCATCTTGAGCCAGAAGCAATGTCCAATCTTTTCATCTTCACAGAGAACAATCACTCCTTGTAAGCCAGTTTTGGTCCATTGTCCAGGGTCCGGGTAGGCGACCAAAAGCTGCGCGACAGCTCTCTTGTGGTGATGGTGCACATTTTCGGGGATATGTCTCTTGACAGAGGACTTATCAGCCCTAGTGAGACTAGGCATGGTAATTTGATGTGGCGATTAGTGAGGAATGGAGGAGGTATAAGTCGCAGTGCTTAGTATAGGCGAAAGCGCATGGCAGCCGGATGGTGCGGTAGGTTGGCAAGAATGGCCCCAACCTCAGCGAGTGGTAGGTATAGGGGAACGGGAGGAGATGTATTCGGATAGGAGAAGACTAAAGCGATTAAGCAGTAGTCTGGGTATGGGCGAGAGTGAGGAATTGGAAAGGAGCCGACCGGCGGTTGCCTTGTAAGAGGAGAAAGGAATGAGTGTGCAAAGAGGTTAGGTTGGCGGGGGGGGCGGAGTACACGGGCGGTACTTGATGCTGGCGCGTATCTCTTGCCAAGCACGTGGTATCCTTCAAGTACTACGCAAGGAGCCGCACACGCGACAATCTAATAATCTTTATGGTTGGCCCTGCTCTTTTCTTTTTACATTATAGAATAACTAACCTGTTTAGGTGGTGAAATTCCCTACATCGCAGTCTGTCTAGGCTCGAGCATGCCATGTTGTGGACAGGTGGACATAGTGGACACCGAAATCCGCCCCAAGAGCCCCAGCCTCAGTCAGCTAATGCCATATAATATTAGGACTGAGTCTTCAATACCCTTTTGAATTCTTAACTATTAACCCCTATCATACTTTACATCCAAATATGCATACGTACTGTTCTATAGTCTTCATACAAGTCTAGGCAGCTTTTTTTCCAAGTTAACTTTGCCTCTGTGTGAGAACAAGCCTCTTAACCGACCGCCGACGTCATTGCACAGGGATCTATAAAACGGTACGTTATCAACATGAAAACCTTGGAACGACTTTCTCTCCTTGTAACACCCTGTGACACTTCACCCTGAATTCTTCCCTATTATATTTAATTTGATCGCATCTAACAATCGTCTTTCGTCGACTGCAACATGCCTGTCATTCCTGATGCCGCGGAGTTCCCTACAGCTACTAAGGGAAACAATGAGCCTCAGCAGAAACCGGACGCTGAAAAGCCAAAAGCCTCGGCTTTCGATCATATTTCGAAGGGGCCTGTAATTCCTGATGGTAAGTCAACAGATGATAGTGTGCAACTCAAATAACTAACAAATATACTCAGAAATGCCGCCTAAGGCTTCATCGGAAGAGATCCAAGCTCGGATGAAAGAGCTCAATGAACTAAGCAAGTCCAAGAAAGATTAGCCTAGATGGCTTCGACTACGATTTTTTAGTACCTCTACCTTATGTCTGTACCAGTTTATCTGAATGTTTTAAGTTCTCCTATGGGCTTCTCGCCTCCATGCTTCTGATCTATACATCATGTTTCGCTTCGTCTAGTACTTTCTAGTGTCCATAGGCACCTGGCATGCTTGTCATAATTTTCGAGCATCTAAGGAAATAACAGTGTCTATATCTTTTGTGTAATTTAATCCATAAAATTCATTAAAATATTTGAATGGTCCATTGTATGCCATATGTACGGTCATATGCAATATTGGGCTGTCCAGCCCAAGCACCCCACACAGTTTGGGAGAAACACCTTTAAATGCTATAACTGCACCAGATTGGAAAGCTCACAGATAAATTATCCATTTCGAATTTCTAACAAGCCTCAAAAATGATGTCCAGCCGTATTTAATTGTAGAAACAAAAGTCTCAGTTGAGTGGGTAGTCAAGGCAACCAAGTTCGAGTGCTGTAGCACTTTAATGCAAGGTCCCTTGGATTCCCAACAACAAACCCTAACCCATCCAATACCTACCCACGTCACAAAATAACTGAGCCCAAAAAGCATACTAAATCATTGGGAGAGTATCACAAATTTTTAATCTCAGCCTGATATCTTCTTGGCGGGGATCCTGCAGATCCGCTAAAAAAGGGAACTGACGCGCAAGGGTCCACCGGGCCCCTGAGAGTGGAGCGACCCCATACAAGCCTCGTTGAGACAGGCGTCACATCGTTTTTTATTTCTTCAACCTCTTGAACATGCATTTAAAGGTGGTACTAATAGCTTCGACTGTGCTTACTACAGCTCTCGGAGCTAGCAAGAATGCCCGCGATGTCGAACCGTGTGCGCAGATCACCGAGGTGGCTTCAGAGGCCCGTCAGAGTCAAGGTAGGTGATTCCCATTGATACTCGATCGTACATAACTAATGTTTACAGGCACTGTTTCGGTTTCCCATGAGTTGGCACATCAATGTTTGATGTCTATGCCTTTTGATTCAGAGCGTGCTGGCATCTTTCTGAATCAGGTTCGCAAGATCCTAGAGTTCCAGTCGACGATTGATATTCTCAAGCGTATGAAGATCCAAATCCAGATCCCGATATGTTGGGTTTATTGCTGACATTCCTTGATCAGAACCGCCATCTGGTTATGGTATGCCTTCTACAGACCTTCTAGGAGGGATCGACGACATTCTAGACAAACTCAACAGCAATAGTTACTCCAGTCAGTTTGAAATGGATCTGGACGTTTCTCATCTCATCAACTCTGCCCATGATGGTCATCTGGTATTTCAGCTGTGTTCACAATCGATCTTCAAATTCAATATCGACTTGCCTCTTGTATCTATCTCTACGGATGGTCTTTCGCTTCCAGATGTGTATACACTTGGTATGGAACTCCTGTCTCTCCATGATATCATCAGGTACTAACCATACTAGGCGATGCAAAGACGCAAGAGAACGGTTCCAAGGATGTTTCTCCCATCGAATCGATTAATGGCACTGCTGTTGCCGACTATCTCGAATCATATGCGTTTAGCCAAAGTCTACAAGATCGTGACGCCCAGTGAGCCCATCACTTGACATGTTTCAATTTATCCATTTTACTAACAATATTAGGTACAATCGGGTATTCCCTGCTCTTGCTCGCACTGTCACCAATACTCCTACCAGTGAAAATGGCATTTGGGTTACCAATGGAGCATGGACAGATGGCTCGGATCTGATAATCAAATACACCAATGGCACCAGTCAAATGGTGCAAAAGACAGCCACTCCAATGGAGAGGTACTTCACATATCAAAATGGAACGGAAATGTACAACATCAACTGCCTTCCACAAACTCTACCGACAGACACAGCATCCAACGCAGGCGCTGAGCAAGCATCCGAAGTCACAGGCTTCCCAGACCCTACACTCGGTGACCCTTCAAGCTCGATAGCAGGATATTTCTCATCCCTAGACGGGTTAGAGGATACGGCGATCATTTTTCTTCCTACATTCGGCTCAAGCCCCTCTGAAATAGCACAGGTAGCCATTAACTTCTTGAAAAATGCTACAGCAGAAGGCAAGAAGAATGTCCTGATCGATGTTACTGCTAACCCAGGAGGGTATATGACATCAGGCATAGATATGGCTCGAATCTTCTTCCCAGAGTCTTCTCCTTATACCGCAACTCGGTTCAGAGCACATGAGGCTGCCAAGTACTTGACTCAGGCATACTCTCGTGATACAAGCTATGACTCGAGCAATATCTTTGCGTACAGAGCAATGGTTGCGCCGAACCAGTCAACTGGGTTTAGTTCCTGGCAGGATCTTTATGGACCGCATCAGATACTGGGAAGCTCTTCTTCTACCCTGCTGGCCAATTTCAATTACACCGCTAGCTCGACTAAGACATTTCCCATTAATGGATACGGAGCTATCCCGCTTAATCCATCAAAGTCCCTTTTTCCAGCAGAGGATATTGCCATCGTACGTACTAGACGAGTTCTTTTACCAGCTATCACAGTTGAAATCTAACTTGAATCCAGATAACGGATGGCGACTGCGTCTCTACCTGCGCATTCTTCGTCAAACTAATGAAACGCCAGGGTGTTCGTACGATTACCTTCGGGGGCCGACCATCCAAAGCACCAATGCAAGCTGTTGGTGGCGTGAAAGGTGGCCAGTCGCTCGGCATAAGCTACATAAACGGATATATCCAACAAGCAAATATCCTAATCCGCAACTCGGCCCACACGTCCTCTCCTCTTCTCACTCCAGCTGAGTGGAAGAAGTTCAACGAGTCTAGTCCTAGTCTTGAGACTTCGTATGCCTGGAGCGGCAATCTGAATCTGCGAAATGAATATGATCCCGAAGATGACCAAACACCGCTACAATTTTTTTATGAGGCGGCAGAGTGTCGGTTGTTTTACACGCTGGAGAACTATTTGCAGCAGGAGACTGTTTGGCAGGCTGCTGCTAGCTCTATGTTTGGGGATTCTGGATGTGTGGATGGATCGACTGGTGGGAAGGGGAGTTTGGATGATAATGACTCGTGATAATTTTGTTTTTGTCGTCTGTTTTTTGGGTCTCTGGTTTAATTAATGGTGGTGTGTATGATAGCATCATTATCTTGCGAGGATTGAACGTTATGTGGGCGTATGTTTCGATAGAATTTTCAGCGCGTCGAGGATAATACATGAGCCAGTGGCATTTACGGATGGAAATATGGCAGTACTATAAGCCCTGACTGTACAAGATGCTTTAATACGATGAGTATTTTCAATTCTCGTGATCTTTTTATAACTTTATCACTCGAAAGGAATGGAAGGAAAGCAAGGCTAAACAGAGTAAGACATTTCACATAGCATGCAATGCAATGCAAGGAAGTAGACACACAGGATCATCATGTGTGCTGCAACCCAATATTTCTCTGTAGCAGGATCTCGGGTACTTTGCAAAGACAGACAGGAAATTGTAAGAGATAATGACTCCAAAACCCATACCCGCCAACGTACAAAACCCGAAACCTTTTCGTCGATTGCTTCATGCCCTGGTAAATTGTCGAAGCGCCCAAGGGGGTGGAGGGAGGCCCTGATCCTCATGCAGAGCGGTGATGGGAAGATGCAGCGAGCGCGAACTAATTGATAAGGTTGCTCTTGTTACGCGTTCCAAAGAAAAAGGAATGAACAAATGACCGAAATATCAAAAACCTCGATGTAAAAAGAGGTCCAGAGTACTTCGGGAGCAATGAATCCAGTCGCAACTGACCACCATCAGCGGCAGTGTAGGAGGGATTTGTGGCGGCACATCCGGAGAGCAACATTGAGAATAGCACTCTTGCAGGGCACAGAGCATCGAGCTCTGAGATAGTAAGGGGTGAGCTTAGAGCTCGTCGACATCGATTTCCTTCTCTTCCTCGCTCTCGCGGTCTTCGTCGAACTCGACGTTGTCCTCGAAGCCCTCGGCACCGTAGGTATCGGTCTCGTTGATCTTGGCGTGCTCGGGCAGCTCGCCGTAGGCCTTCAGGGAACGGGCCTCGTCGGCGGTGTACTTCATGATAACATCACCCTTCTCGTCTTGGTAGTCGCGCAGCGAGAGGAGAATAATGTCACCCTGGTTGATCCAGACCTTCTTGCGAAGCTTACCACGAATGTGGGCAAGACGCTTCTCACCGTCAAAGCAAAGAGCCTCGAGGCGACCGTTACCCAGCATCTTCACAACCTGGGCGTACTCCTGGCCATCTTCCTTGAAGACGAGCTCACGCTTCTCGTTGTCGTTCTCGTTCTTTCCACGACGACGGTTCTTACCGCCCTGTACTCGGTTGTTAGAATCTGGGTCTGTTTCAAAGATAGATGATGAAAAATAACAAAGGGCATGTGATAGAAATGTTTGGACACTTCGCTTTTACCGCTGAGTCCATTTTTGGGCAGCTAGCTGTCCATATGGGAGCGTGGCGGGGTGACACATTCCAACAAGGAGGGGCTGAATATTTTGCGCTCTTACCTTTCCCTTATTCTTGGGCATAGCGGTGGGGTGAAACCTTCACTGGACTGGTGTCTCGCTATGTGATGGTACTCTTGATTCTTTCTCTTCGTTGACAGAAGAAGAAAAAAAAGGTGGACAAGATAATCCCCAGAGTTGGTCGAGTGAGAAGAAAGAGTTGAGTGGGGGATCTGTGCTCTGCTAAATCTTCTGCTTAGGTGATCAGGCACAAAGCACAAAGGTGGCGATTGTGGCCTTGTTTGTGAGGCAGTAAGAGACTTATGTACACCGCCTAGCATAATCTCGGCAGAAAATTAGATGGACAAACGCGACAATGAGGAGAGTCTAGTTTACGATTGCCTGTGTATTCCCATTGTTTGGGTACAAAACAACTACTGGACGATTCTGACGTCCTAGAAATATTGCCCAATTTTTCTTCAGCAGTTACGCCTGGCTCTTGGCCGAGCCTGGGTCACAAAGCCCCGATCCCTCGAAACCCAAGCTCATGAGCGTCAGCTCTAATCCCGCATTACCACCATTGCAAGTTCATTATGATACCGATGCACTGCTGCTTTGATTCAGTGTTCTGGCAGCTATCAAGCGAATCCTTCACTACTCCTATCGATTCATCATGAAGTGGCTGAACAGCTCCTCGCCCGGCCTTGTCCTTCGATACACTACCGAATATGTTCTGTCGCCCATTGGAAAGCGCTACCTAGGAAGTGCAGACCACCCGATCCGCCCCAAAATCGCTTATATGTACGAGAATCGTGAAAGAAATACTCTTTGGTGGCGGGTATCGACATCAAAAATCGGCGACTTCAAACGGGTGGTGCGCTCTTGGTGCGCACGCAGAGCACGCATTGCATTTCGTGAGGCACTGAAAAACCAAGGGTATGACGAGTTGGGCATACCGTTACCCGATTCTCCTAAAGCTCAAACACGCCGATTGACGGGATCTTTGGAAATCCTTTTCCATCCAAAATGCGTCAATCAAAGTTCCGAAACGCTACAGCGTGACACCGATCGCTGTCTAGAAGAGATACTCCAACGACGGGAGAAATTCTCAAATCGTGACACTAAGAGACCTCGAAAATGCCCTGGTTCTTCTGATGACCAATAACTGGCCTTCTATACCATGTATTTTATTCCATATCTGCCCAATTGTCATAGGGTATACATGTTCTGGGTATTGCGGGACCACTTGTACATTATTTCTTAGCATTGCATGGGATTGGAGTTTGAACTTTGCGAATTACGTACATATACTGAATACTGCATCTATCTCTACTCGAACGTATTATCAAAAACACAGATCATTCTTTAATATTGAATGGTTGGCAGTCATGACAGTTTTGGGGTCGAAGAGTAAATATAGAACAAAGCGTACCTTAGCTCCCGCTGCCTCGAGCCTCGCTAACTGCCGATCTGGCGGAATCAACACGGAACTTCCCAACTACGCCTACCCTCCCATCTTCATCTACCACCTTTATACCTCCTGGGACCCATGTCTATCTCTCCCACGATGCTGGTCTCCTTGACTGTAGGCAAGGTCGATGCCGGCGTCGCCGTGCTCCTGACCCAGGACAACCGCCTCGTAAGCTTTCCAGCCCCTGGTCGCCTGAGGCGCCCCCGAGACGTCAATGGAGTGATAACTGGCGACCGCACTTAATAAACCCAAGACCAATGGCATACTAACATGGGTTATTGCAAAGATCGAATTCCCCTCCGTCCTCCTCCCAAACAATATCTCCTCTGGCAGCATTGTTGATATTACCGTTGCGCGCAACCATGCCGCCGAATCGGCCAACGCAACTGCCTTCCAGTCCCTTCAAAAACGTATCCTGAACACATACGGTGTCAAAGCCCCGTCGCCTCCTATCCTTCGTCTACGAAATGCTACTCAGACCTCTCTTGTCCTTGAATGGGACCCTATCGACTTGGCTACCGCATCCCTGAAATCGCTCTCCCTCTACCGCAATGGCTCTAAGGCTGGCTCTATACCCCGCCCTCTCGAGACGCGCAGCACCAAAATTAGTGGTCTGGCCATTCACTCGGAGTATACGTTCCACCTTGTCTTGCGCACTACTGCGGGTACCTACCAGTCGGAGAAGTTGACCTGTCGCACACACAAGATGACCGATCTATCTGGTATCACCGTGACCCCTGGTATTCTGGACCCAGCCCGCAAGGAAGCACTCGGAGCTACGCTTGACCGCATTGGCGGTAAGTTGATTGATTCCGTGCGTATCGATACAACTCACTTTGTCTGCACGGAGGGCCGCGGCCCACTGTGGGAGAAGGCTGTTGAGATGAACATCCCCGTTGTTGTACCGGAATGGGTTGATGCGTGTGAATCTGAGGGTACAATCGCTGGTGTGCGTGGATACTATCTTAATGCGGATCCTAAGGCCCGTCAACTTGGGGTTATGCATGGTTCTTCTCATCAACGCACTACTTCTACTGTCTCTGCGGCTACGACTGCGCAAGGTAGACCTAGTACTCAGCCTAGGCCTAGTGAGCAAGAACAGCCTGCGCCTGCTGAGCCTCCTTTGACGCCTTTCCCCGGTGGAGAAACTAGTACTCAACCGCAAGCGGAGACAAAGGAGGTCCCCTCAGAAGATGAGGTTGATACTCCGCCCCCACCACCTCCGCCGAAGGATGAGACCGAGGACAACGAGGAGCCTCAGCAGAATGGTGATGCGGAGGTTAAGCCTGCGCCGGAGTCTGAAGAGAAATCCGAGGATATTCATGAGAAGGCAAATGGTGATGAAGAGGCTAAAGAGGGTACTCTCCCGCAGAATAGACCTGAGGAAGACTCCGAGCCACAAAGCGCGACAAGTTCTAAGGAGAAAGGCAAAGAGGGTGAGGGTGACTTCAGCGAAGTAACACTCTAGTGAACTCGTATTTTTCCTTGGTGTCGAATCTCGTTATACTTTCTCGTCTTGGGCGCCTCTACGATTATATCCAGTACATTTCCATGTCTTTGCAGTCTGGTGTATCTTTCTCTAAGCAGCGTGTTTTAGTTACGAATGTCTCACGCCCGCCTGTTCTGTTTTATATAGTTCTTTACTTTGCTACTCCTATTGTACAGTAGATAGCAATTTTTTATTCTATAATGCAACTTGATATTCATCTTTCAGAATCAGAATTATGATCATTTGCCGAAAACGCACTTTTGAGGTTTATCCCAACATGGATTATTGTCCTCTAAATTCTATCATCAACATTCGTAAGTAAGGACAGGCAACCCCGCCTAATGCATCTATCTCATCTTGTTTCATCTCAAGGCTAAAGATCAAATCATTTGCATAAATTCCACCGATATAGTCGACTCATAGATCAACCGAAATAACTTATCTGCATAGCAACGAAAATTTACAGTACGTTGCGAATAACATAGTCGATGGCTTGCGCCACGTATTTGACGTTCTTCTCGCTCACTGTACACAGAAAGTTGTTAGTGGATAAAGTCGTATGGGACTTGAGACGAAAGACACTTACAGCCACTAATAGATGCTCGGCCGGACTTGAGCAGGTAGATGTGGTACTGATCCTTAAGGGCATAGACTTGCTTAGGAGTCAATCCGGTGTAGGAAAACATTCCATTCTAGAAAAAAAGTTATTATATCGGCAATTTGCGACGGAGCCTCTTGGGGTAGGGATAGAGCTTACCTGCTCAATAATGTGCTCCCAGGTACCAGGAGTCTTCAAGCGCACCAGCTCATCGTATAGTGCCTGGCGCATGGTCTTAATACGGGAGCTCATGACCTGCAAATCCTGGTGCCAGTCGGCAATCAATTCGTCATTGGTCAAGATCTTCTTAACAATAGTGGTACCAATGCGCGGTCCCATGGAGAACTCGCCACGAATAAGATGGCACAGGTTGTTCACCACGATGTCACGAATAGAAGTAGCACTTCGGTTAGTAACGTAGTGGAAAGCACCAACACGCTGACCATACAGACCGAAGTTCTTTGAGAAAGACTGAGCCACACACATCTCCATATCAGGCTTATTGTTGAAGAAGTACCGCACAGCCCAGGCATCCTCCTCCACGGATCCAGAGGCAAAACCCTGGTACGCAGAGTCAAAGAAGGGGAACAGCTTCTTGCGCTCACACACTTCTGCGATAGCAATCCACTGCTCCTTATTCGGGTCTAGACCGGTAGGGTTGTGCGCACAGGCATGCAGGAGGACAACATCGCCTTCCTCCGCTTCTGTCTCGAGTGTAGTCATCATACCGTCGAAGTCGAATGACCGAGTCGCAGCATGGTAGTAAGGGTATGTCTTGCGAGGAACACCAGCCAACTCCCAAATAGTCATATGGTTCGCCCAAGAGGGATTCGACAGCCAGACGGTCCGTGGCTTCATGTGGTGTGCTAGAAACAGAGCACCGAGGTGGTTTGCGCCGGTACCGGCGACAGTTTGAACTGATGCAATGCGTGCCTTGGCCTCCTTGTCGCCGTCGCCGCTCTCAAATCCGAACATCAGATCCCGTGCTAGTCCCAGGAAGGGGACATCGCCCTCGATTGCGGTGTATTCGTGTCGCATGAGATCATTCTCGGCTGCGAGCACTTTCTCGGTCTTCTCGACTACTGGGAGAGGCCATGGCTTTCCGTCATCTGTACGGTAGACACCTACTCCCAAGCTCACTTTCTGGGGGTTGGGATCGGCGAAGTAGGCGCCGTTCAAGGCGAAGATCTCATCCGGAGGGACGGGAGCCACGTTGAGGCGAGTAGGAACTGGAGCCATTATGTGATAATATGAGATTTCTTTGTGCAATTGAATGTCAGATATGGTCTTCAGTGTTCTTGGTAGTACACTCAATTCAACGGGTAATTCGGATATGTCCCGGTTTAAAAGCTAGGGGTTCGTGAGAAGGATTGTCCGGGGTTGGTTGACGCTGAGTCAACGCCGATAACGCACTTTTTTTCTTTTTTCCCCGTTCCTCTCTGTTGCCCCTCGGGAACTATCGCTTAATGCCGGTTTCCCCAGATCTACCAAGGATTCGGAAATCATTCACGAACCTTGATTCAGAATTTGTCACGAGGTCGTTCATTGTACCACTGCTAGCCGCTGGACATAATGGTAACGAATCAATATTGGGCTTGCTGTATAGATTTTGGAAATAAAGATAAACCTTGTTATCGGCGTAGGACGTCATCGGATGCATGCTGACTACTTGGGCCACCCTTTGAAACAATTTTTGTTGGTAGACTTCGGATATTTCACCTAGGTAGTTTCAATAATCGAGTGAATGTAGATCTGAACTAATTTGAGAGGATTTTGGACCTGACTAGAGCAGGGATATCTCATTTTGGGCTGATCCATGTTGAAGTTGAAGTTGGTGGATACTATATATGTATCGCCGAATCCGCCCCGGATACTATGTAGACACAAATAGATGCACCTTTCATAGTTCATTATGGCAGCAAAATATCCCGATATTGCTTTTCCAATGCTTATGAATGATTGCCGATGAAAACTTCGTTTAGGAAGCGGTATATCTAAGCATATATATCGAGATGATAGTGAGAAGTGAAAGTCAGAAGTCGGCGGTCATAGCATTAACCCCGCGATGTACAACTATTGGAGCCAATCAACGAGTACGAGTAATCATTAAGTAACCGGCTACTCTCACCCTCTTCCCCCTCACGAAGACATCATCGAGAATAGATTGATGCCATAGATAAATACATATATCTTCACTCTTTTTCTTACTTCTTCATACTACCTAATCGAGGACGGTTGATGAATATTCCGTCAAAATGCCGCAGCAAGAACCCCCGGTAGTAGACAACCCACGCTTGCATAAGCCTCAGATGCGTGACATTCACCAACCATTGCACAACAGTATTCCGCCAGAGCTGGTCGATCGCTATGATCCAGTCTATGTAGAGCACTACAACAAATACAACGCTGGACGTCTTCATACCCACGAAGTCCCAATTGAAGAATTTCGAAAGAATCCCCGTCGTTACCTGATTCTATACGGTCGTGCCGAGGGCCCTGACGTCTGTCGAATTACAGAGCAGAAATGCCCAGTGAAAGGAGGGGAAATCACTGTCCGCATATTTGAACCATCTCCCAAGCTGGACGATCAGGGCAAACAAAAGAAACGAGGAGCTTATGTCAATTTCCATGGCGGCGGATGGGTATTTGGCGGTCTCCAGGCGGATCACGACTTTTGTAAGACTCTTGTCGATGGACTCGCTGGAGATCTTGTTGCATTTGATGTGGATTACCGATTGGCTCCTGAGAATCCTTTCCCGATTCCCGTGGAGGATTGCTGGGCGGCTTTCAATTGGGTAGGAGTCTTCTAAACCGTGAGGTTGTTAAGTGTCGAGATTAACGATATGCTTTATAGATCAGAACCAAAAAGGCAGAACAGTTTGATCTTGACATTAATCGGTTTGCTGTTGGTGGGCCATCTGCTGGTGGTCACCTCTCAGCTGTTATTGCTCATATGTGTCGAAACGAGGGAATTCCTTTGGGACTACAAGTGTTGACTGTTCCCGTATGCGATATGCACCAAAGCTTTACACCAGAAGGTGAATTCGATCGAGAGAATTGCCCCTATGAATCTTATAAAGAGATGGAATTCGCTCCAGCGCTTCCAATGGCTCGTATGGCATACTTTCATCGGAGCTTTCTAGGCGTTCCTCGACCTGCACCTTCAAAAGATGTGAGTTCTACATACTACGATCAATTGATTATGATAGACCTGAAGTTGACATGATTGTTATTTGTTGCAGGATTGGAAAATCTCCCCTATCCTTGCCCCCAGCTTTGAAGGGTTAGCTCCAGCTCTGGTCTCCACAGCTGAACTCGACCCTCTCCGAGACGAAGGTGAGGCATACGCAGCTAAGCTTAAAGAAGCCGGGGTTTCGGTGGAGGTAAAACGATATCCAGGGGCACCGCATACATTCGCTGGTATGGACAGGATTCTTGAAATTGGGCGACAATACAATGCAGCAGTAATTGCGGCGCTCCAACGGACGATCGGGGCATGATCATACATAGATTCAATCAGATAAAACCACGTTAGGGGGAGGGATGAACGCATAAGCGGCGCTATGTAGAGCCGTGACCGTACAATACAACTGATCGCTGAATATTACCAATATTACTCCAGTAACCGGCTGCGGGAGAGAGCCGACGGTACGGTAAGGATAATCCGATACCGGGAAGAGTCGGCTTTGGAACTCGGAGATGAATTGTTTCTTCTTTTCTGTTTCTGCTTCTTCTCTGGTTGCTGGTTATTATAAAGGGAGACTTCTGTCCTCGTTATCCGTGTCCATCTCCACTCAGGCAAGCCATTGGGCCATCCTTTTCTTTTTGACTTGTAGCACAGCTTCAAGCACCCTGCCAATCACAATGAATCCCTCTACCTCCCGCGCCGCGGTGCGCTCCCTGACACATGCGACAAGAGCGTCCGCAGCCCGACAGCTGCCGGCTGCGACTCGGTTCCCGATCCGGGCTTTGAGTTCTAATAGCCGTCTCGGCCAGTTCCCCCGCCTTCAGCTCGTGAACAACAATAAGAGAGCCTTCAGCACAACAATCAAGATGGTAGGGACTTGGATTGGAACCCACAAGTCCACTTTACACGATACTAATCGCAATGCAGTCTTCCGGTTCCCGTACTGAGAGCGATGCCTTTGGCGAGATCCAGGTAAGTCTCCCAACTCTCCAGCTTCAATTGTGAATGCGGGGTTCTAATCCGAGTGTTCATTTAGGTCCCTTCGGACAAGTACTGGGGTGCGCAGACCCAGCGGTAAGCAAAATCAACACAATATCAACCACGGGAGGCATATATGGATGGGATGGGAGACTAATGACGCACTCCGCACAGCTCCCTGGGCAACTTCGACATCAACCAGCCCCAGGACCGTATGCCCGCTCCTGTCGTCCAGGCTTTCGGTATCCTCAAAGGTGCTGCCGCCACTGTTAACATGAAGTACGGTCTTGGTGAGTGAAACATGGGAAAATCTGCAGAATATATGCAGAGAAGTCTCTCCCCACAACGGGAATCAAGTTACTGACTTCTCCGAAGACCCCAAGATCGGTGAGGCTATTAAGCAGGCCGCTGCTGAGGTCGCCGAGGGTAAGCTGCTGGACCACTTCCCTCTGGTTGTCTGGCAGACCGGTTCCGGTACCCAGTCCAACATGAACTCCAACGAGGTCATCTCCAACCGCGCCATCGAGATCATGGGTGGCCAGATGGGTTCCAAGAAGCCCGTTCACCCCAACGACCACGTCAACATGTCCGCTTCCTCCAACGACTCCTTCCCCACCGCTATGCACATTGCCGCCGTTCTGGAGCTCGAGAACACCCTCATCCCCTCCCTTAAGAGCCTCCGTGACGCTCTCCAGGTCAAGGTCGACAAGTTCCAGAGCATCATCAAGATCGGTCGGACCCACTTGCAGGATGCTACTCCTCTCACTCTGGGCCAGGAGTTCTCCGGCTACGTCGCTCAGCTCGACCGTAACATCGAGCGTGTTGAGGCTAGCATTCCCCACCTCCGCCAGCTCGCTCAGGGTGGTACCGCCGTTGGTACCGGTCTGAACACCTTCAAGGGCTTCGACGAGGCTATCGCCGCTGAGGTTACCAAGATGACTGGCACTGAGTTCATCACTGCCCCTAACAAGTTCGAGGTCCTGGCTGCTCACGACTCTATCGTTGAGGCCTCCGGCTCCCTGAACACCCTTGCCGCTTCTCTGTTCAAGATTGCCCAGGATGTCCGCTACCTCGGTTCCGGTCCCCGCTGCGGTCTCGGCGAGCTTAACCTGCCCGAGAACGAGCCCGGCTCTTCCATCATGCCTGGCAAGGTCAACCCCACCCAGTGCGAGTCTCTGACCATGGTCTGCGCCCAGGTCATGGGTAACCACGTCGCTGCCACTATCGGTGGTATGAACGGTCAGTTCGAGCTGAACGTCTTCAAGCCCGTTATGATCCGCAACCTGCTCCACAGCTCTCGCATTCTGTCCGACGGTATGGACAGCTTCCGTAAGCACCTTGTTCACGGTCTGGAGGCTAACGAGAGCCGTATCAACTCCCTTCTCCACGAGAGGTATGTTCCATTCGCCTTCCCTTCTTCCCTTCTTTCCTTATTCCTTGCAATTATCTAACTGATTCACCTTTAGTCTTATGCTCGTGACCTGCCTGAACCCCGTTATTGGCTACGACATGGCCTCCAAGGTCGCCAAGAACGCTCACAAGAAGGGTCTCACCCTGAAGCAGAGTGCTATGGAGCTTAAGGCTCTTAGCGAGGAGGACTTCGACAAGCACGTCCGGCCTGAGCTCATGCTTGCTCCTAAGGAGCACAAATAAATGAATAAACAGCGTAGCTGTTGAAAAAGTGCCTCTATAGATCAATTTCCATAGGGCTTGTATACTCAATCAAAGCATTGTAATCCTATTGTTCATCTTTCATCATAAACTATGGAGTAATGTAAATGTTGACTAATTTTGTAGATGGTCGGTATATGTAGTGGGGCTATTGTGGGTTATAAATAGCATCGATCGGAGATTCTGCACACTTACGGGAAGGAAAAAAGATACAGTAATCATTAATTGTTATTGCACGGGGTATGCTGAAGAAAATTCAAGATCATGGCAGTGCTAAAATACCAGCCTAAGTGGTGGCATGGTCCATGTACATATTAATAGTAAGAGCCCCAGGGCACCAGGGGCAATGTCTCACCTGCACCAGAACCTTGGTTGTTGATTCCAATCGAGTTTCCTTTTATTGCTGTGTCCCTTTCCTTTTTTCCCTTCTCTTTTTCTTGAATCAATTCTACATTATTATATCCATTCCACACAAGAATTGCTCCGACACACCGCATAAAATACCTCCACGCAGCGGTGTCGATCTCCCTTACTTCAAACCCCGCCGTCTTATTCGCCCATCCCCTGACTAGATCAAACACAAACCCAGTACCGCCACGATCTTAATTCTCCCTCCACATCCACCTCCACCCTTGAAAGAATTTAAGAGAACAATGGCAACACCAACCCTCACTCAATCCACTACCAACATCCCTACCGAACACAAAACAATGTCCACAACAATCACCTCCCTCGACTCAATGGATGGTCCTCTCTTCCCAGCCTCCCTCATCTCCCCAGAAGTCATCACCGAACTCCCAACAGATTATACTATTCGTCCGCTCCGCCGATCAGACTACAGCCGCGGATACCTCGATGTACTCCGTGTGCTGACCACTGTTGGTGAGATCAGTGAGGAACAGTGGGATAAGCGATTTAACTGGATCGCCTCTCGGAATGATGAGTATTACATGCTTGTTGTGTGTGATGGGGATGACCGAGTCGTTGGTACTGGCTCGCTGATTGTTGAGCGCAAGTTCATTCACGCACTTGGTATGGTGGGGCATATTGAGGATATTGCGGTTGAGAAAGGTCAGCAGGGGAAGAAGTTGGGGTTGAGGATTATTCAGGCTTTAGATTTTGTTGCGGAGCAGGTTGGGTGTTATAAGGTATGTTCAATGTTTCTTCATGGTGTTTTTGAGTGGTATGGGTTTGTTTAGGATGGCTTGCTAATTATGACTTGGTACATAGACTATTCTTGATTGCTCGGAGGCTAATGAGGGCTTTTATGTTAAGTGTGGGTTTAAGCGGGCTGGTCTGGAGATGGCTCATTATTACCCAAGTCCTGCTTGAGCGGGTTCTTTGCATTCGGTGTTTTGCCTGTTCGCGTCTGGTGTTTGGGGCATATTGGATTGAAATCTGAAGTTTGAAGTCTGATGAGGATGGTTTTGATTGTGGTATTGTCATTGTCTGAGTACATGAGTCCACTTTCGTCGTCTTAGACGGGTTTATCCTGCCTGGGTTTATCTCCAGTTGTATCGGGTCTGCTTTTTAAAACCAGACCCGGGTTGGGAATTTCCGATTGTCATTTGGAACCGGAGCTGGTTTACATGGGCATCGGGAGTGCAAGAGCATAGGCATAGATAGTGTAAATGTATAGATTTTTGTATGGACACTTAACGAGACAAATGTATACGGGCTAGTGTTTGGTTTGAGACTACAATGTACTGCCCACCTAGATGACCCGAGAGGAAGTAGTGATATGGAACTTGTGCATATCCCGTAGTACATGAGCATCACAGTGATTGTTAGTTACTACAGTTTCCGATGCAACCAAAACCATAAGCCATCTGGGCACCAGTTTCTCTGTTACCTGGAAGCAGCAACTCTTCCATAGAGCCTGAGTCCAGCATCAGCCTTATATCACATATAGACATCAGATCCAATGAGATAAGACAACACACGCAGCGGGTGAATGATTTTAATTTGAGATTCCTTGTCCCATTTCTTGCATTTCATAGTATTGCATAAAAACTCTTTCAGAAACAAGGTAAAAAAAATTTGGCCCAAAGCCAGTCCTCACAGACAGTACTCCAGTCCATTGTCCATGAGTTCCATCATATCGCAACCGTTAACGAAAATAACACCATCCAGCTTTTTATCATGGGGAAATTTAGCGGGACTTGGCAGCGACCTTGGGGGCAGAGCCCTTGGCGCCCTGCTTGCTGGCAATGCGCTGAGCACCACCCTTAGCGGCGGCGTTCTTGGCCTTGTCGGCCTTCTTCTGGGCAGCGGAAGCAGCCTTCTTCTCCTTGGCGTCGGTGATGGCCTGCTTGCGGGCGGCCTCACGGGCCTCGGGGCGCTGGGAGCGGCGCTCCTTGATCACATCAAGGGAGGCACCGACGATGGCACGCTGGTGCTTGACAACCTTGCGGGAACGCTTCTTGGCAACCTCCTATATAACCGAGACAGGTTAGTATGTTGATTCATGATATTGACCAATGTTTTATGATCATCTGTAAATGATGATATCATATCCCTCCTCTTGCGTCGTCATTCGATATCGAACGAATGTATCAGAAATAAAGGTATATCAAATAGTTCGACGATATCTCTTGACGACCAGTTTTATGCAATAAAACCGAATACAGTCCAATGGGAGTGGTGACCGACCTCAGAGATACCCTTGCGGTGCTGGCGACGGTAGAGAACGGTCCAGGCAATGCGGCGGGGGTTCTTGCGCTGGAGGAAAAGCGACTCGGACTTGCCGTTCTGGAAGCGGAAGATCTTGCTGTCACCACGGATGTACAGCTTGCCCTGTATGACGAAAGAAACCAATATTAGCAATCTGAAATATTTCCCGTATTGAAAAACCCCGCAACCAAGTCTGCGCGAGAATTCCCAAGCGAACGACAGATAGATGGCGATATTTCTGCTGCGAATGCTGAGAATAAAGTGCCGTATATGTTTCTCTTGTTGGTTTGTCTCGTGGCGTTGTGGTATCGGATCATCGTTCAATTCGCACAGTTCTAGGTTTCTTCTCGCGCAGACGGGGTTCCAAGTGGCAGGAAACTAAAACGCACCTTGCCAGGGTAGATCTTTTGGCCGCTGAAGGAGTCGTCGAAGGTACGCATCTTGACGGTGGACGATGCGCTGACGGTCGGTTGGCGTTGGTGATGGTCGAAATTCGGGGACTCGGTAGTAGCATCGCTGGGTCCAATTGTGGTGCGCCTCGCTAAAGTGAGTCACGTGTTGCGCGCTGCCCTTTCGGGACCAAGTCACATGATGGTGCCTCTTATCGATGTTGTTATCTTATCGGACTCTTATCTTATAGCTGGTTTCGATTCGCTTATCGGTACTTTGCACTATTTACCTAAACGGGACATTGGTCCAGTCTTCTAGTTCATCGCATGCAGAAATATTTCATGGGAGAACGATGTGAATAAAAGTATGTGATTTCGCTGCCTACAAGAATGAAGCTGCTCATATCAAGCGGCTGTACTTGCACAATGACCACTGTTGCAACAGACAATAATCAAGAATCCCCATCATCGTCAAGGTACGCCTTCTTTTCTTAGGATTTAAGGCATTCTAAATCATCCTTCAGGAATATAAGGCCTGTGGGATCTGAATCATTCAAAATATTCAATCTATGGGCTTCAGGAGGTAGATGACGCTCATACTCTGTACTATTAATCCTTCAAACCTTCCTGGATTTATAATATGACCTCATTATTGAATTTCTCTCCAACAAACTATTACGAAAGACGTGGCTACAACCACTCTCTGCTGATCAGCCCAGAAAAAAGAGACTAACCTTGGGGGCAGGGGAAGAGACCAGGGACGGGGACGGAGACGGAGACGGGGCAAGAACAGTGCAGCAATAACTGGAGTTAAATACCTATTTCCGTCAATGAATTTAAACTTCAATGCAAGGCTGTGTGACATTTGTACAATTTCTTCCTCTGTAGCTAGTGCAGTGTCTGGATATGTGATAGATCTTAATAACTGAATCATTGAAAGGATATCGACCCGAAGCCCTAACTTCAAATGATTTGTGATAAGCTCCTACTGCACGCCCCATTCTCCATAAATGGATTAACGAAAAAGTATATCGGCTCAGAACCCTATCTTCAGATGATTCGTCATAAACTCATGCACAAGCACGCCCTTCCTTGACACCCTACAATTCTTCGTACAGTATGTGCCTTAGGTGGATTATCCAATAATACCACCTGCCAGTATGTCTCGATATAGTTAGCTCGCTGCAATCCTTCGTATGTGCCTTAGGTGGAGTATCCAATAATACCAGTATGCCTCGATATAGTTAGCTCGCTGTATGCTTTCAATTAAACCATGTAGGCCCACGGACATGGTGACGCCCCCGGACTTTAGACTTCTACATAAGGCATGACCGGGTATTGCGCCTCCGAGAGGATGTAACGTGGATTCCAGGTGGTTAGGGTCCCCTAGTAAGGGATGTTAATTTCCACGTGGAGCACTGGAGCACAAGGCACAGAAGCTTTTCTGTGTCCACTGCGGAGTCTAAGGATTTGAACCCCAATTTAGTGCAAGGCAAACCAGTTTTTTGCGATACAGTCTCGTATACGTATTACAAACAAATCATTATTCAACTGACTTGGGGGGCTAGAGGCCAAATATATGCACTTTAAAATGTTTCGGGGGCTATCTCCGAGCTCTGAAAGGTCGGAAAAGGTCATAGTATTAAGATCATCGTGCTTTTGGAGGGCAGTGTATGCGCGGCGGAGTGGTAGTGTCACTTTGAACCTGGCATTGAAATAGTAGTTATGAGGGGCATTAAATATATTCCTGCACTATCTATCATCTTGGCGTACCAAGGACATATCCTGCAATCTTTGCGTGACTGTTGTAGTTTGTCAGCAGAGGTAGCGTATTTCAGGGTTTCCTGTGAAGTACTAGTACTGTAACTCTCTTTTCAACACAGTTTAGGGTATATGAAGAATCAGGCCTAATTTTTGGTGTGGTTATGATTTTGAGAGCTAAGTTTCAGAGTGAACAAGGGTTATCGATCCTTGACAGAGAAGAAAATCCCTTTTTTCAGTCGTTCATGCGTGATTCCAAATGATTTGTACATGTGTACGGAGAAGCCCGTAGTCCGGCCTTTTCGCCCGCATGGGGCCCTCGGATTTAATGAAAATCATCAATTGATTTGAGATTAGCCGAGGATCAATTACATGTCCGCGGCACCCCCATTGGTGAGCTCTTCGTCTGTGTGCAATGGATCCACCCAATAGTGGGCCGGCACTAAACTACTACTGAGAGAAATTTTACTTCTCCTTTGGGTTTAGTGTCTACCGTCTTTCCCACGCGAACTTCACCCTTAGTGCCTTGGCATTGCTGATCTTCACACCTCGCAGTATGCGCCCGATTTGGATGAAAAATGCCCAGTCGAGTTTAAATGTTCGCTTATTTATAAAGTAACCAATTATTGGACGCCCAAAATCATTTGAATATCTGAAACGCGGGACAGCTATGGATCGATCTGAGGTCGAATGATGTTCGATCGTCCTTTCGGGACGCCTCGGTTGTACTAGTACGATGGCGATATTGCAACGTCACGCTCTCTGTACGGGGAGTCTTGGTAATCATTCAATTTACTGGGACATTTAAGATACTGCCGTCTAAAAGGGAAATAGAATAATGAACATTTGAAGTCACTTGGACTCGATTCTGGTGTGTTCTTGCCTACCTACTACATATCTAGCTCAGTATCATACTTGATCTATGCAGCAACTTGAAAGTAACCCGAGGGCCCGGGAGCCCTGGACATTTGCAGGTCGTTTGACTTCACCTTTTTGCTCATTCAATTCAATATATATCCACTGCTTTTCTATATTCAGCCCTGGGGCCCAAGAAAGTGGAACTACAGTATGTGGTAGGCTAAACGGTCGAATCCTGATTTCGTAGATTTGATCCTCCCGGAATTCGTTTAATATTCCCAAAGACAGATTAGAAATCTTCTCAAGCCTTGCGCCCCAGCACCAGGGGGCGGACCCAGTAGATTGGATGCGTGCAAGCGAAACGTAACGATAGGCAAAGATGGTCAAATTACAGGCTTTGGGGTGCCAAACTTCTACGGCCGGGCGGTTCGAAACGCATTTTAGTGCGGAGTGGGGGATAAGAAAAAATACCCAACATGTCCATCTCCACGATGATAGGTCTAGGAGGGTCCTTTAATTAAGCCTGGGACCGTGCCTTGATTTACGTGATGCCTAAATTTACATACCGGTCCCGAGTACCTACGTCTGGGGAGAGAATCCTTTGTCGGGAGAAGACACGGACCCTCCGTTGTCGCTGATCATCAGCATCCTGATGCATATGAGAAATTTTACACAAGATCACTCGCCTAGAATTGGATGTTTAGGAATATTTGTTGAATAGTGGGAAATCCTTCATAGCTTAAAAAAATACCTTGGGAATATTACGCAAGGGAGAGGCTCAAGCTTCTGCAGTATGTATGGTATAGTGAAAGTGGAGCACAGTTGAGGGGAAGCAGAAACCAACAATTTGAAAGGAGAGAACAATGATGAATATAATACTTCAAGTCTGTGTTTTCTGGTTGGCTGCTTCGTATAATTGTAAATGGCCCCCATTCTTGTTTCTATTATAGGCATAGCGTAAGAAGTGGGGCGAGATGCATTTAGGACAAATTTCCTCCATCATTCTCTCCTTAGCGCTCGCGAAACCATCCAGAAATGGTACGGGTGGACCCGACGACGTGCCCCCAATTAAGTGCTGATCATTGTTGGCTTAAGTGCCACCTTTAACGCCAGGATTGTAGTTACTTCACACCCCCCCCCCCCAAACTAGTATACCTAGGCGAAAGCGTTTTAGAACAACCTTGTAAAGCCTCGTAATCCTGTTACCTAGCCACAAAATCCTTCGTACTGAACGACTCATTAGACACATGGAGGTGAGGAAGATGTGCCGCAGGTGGAGTACGTTAATAGGCTAACTTAGTTTCATTTCGAGGCCCAGACGTTCGGGAGAGTATTCCCCACAGCCTTGATCGAGAGGTCTCAAAGAACCGAGAGCTACCGTGCAAGGTCGCCATTTGCCCCCATAAAACCATTAAACATTCTCCCGAGCCAACAAATCAAAGCCCACGAATCATAGAGATGATCGGCGCAGCCATCAGGGGTTTATTATAGTTGTGATTGTTGGGGGCAGAGATACTTTAAATATTCACATTGCCCCCCTCTGCAGACCCTCTTATTCCTGCAGAAAAGTTCCTACCTACCTGTTATTCATTTCCGTTTCGACATAAATCCCAAACCCACTCATATAATAATCATGGGTGGTATACCTTACAAGTCCCTTGGCTGTGGCACATGCAAGAAGCGCAAGATTAGGGTTTGTCACTATCTATACTGTCAATGTTAAACGGTTGCTAACCGTTCTGCATTAGTGTGATCTTGGACTACCAGGATGCGCTCGATGTATTAAGAAAGGGACACCATGCCCGGGTTACGAGAAGGGCCGAAATTTTGTTCACCACACCGTCGTAACAAGGCGAGAGAACCAAGGAATGACAAAACGACCGATTGCCCAGCTTGTTGGACACCTGAAACCTCTCGCATTGCCAGAGACATTTAGCATGAGCGCTGAAGTGCGCACGGAACTATTTTCAGACTTCTTCAGCTCATACTTCCCGGTTGGACTAGGCCAGAATGACAAGAACGATAGCTTATATTATTTGATGACCCGGTTCCCTGCCATGGCAGGAGAGTCTGCGCTGCTTGATCGAGCAGTCATCGCACTTGCAGCAGCGTGGGTAGGAAAAATGAAGAACGATGAAGTGCTCAAACACCAAGGGACTGAGCTTTACAGTAATGCAATCCATTTATTGGCACGCAGGCTTAGTGATGGATCGCTCCCGACCGCTGACGTATTATTCGCGGTGGTCATATTTATGAATTATGAGGTGAGTCGAGTCTCCTGCCGCCGATAAAAAGATGCCATCTGACAGTTTCAATTAGATTGTACAACAGAGTGGCATAGTAAATTGCTTAACTCATATAAGGGGCGCTAAGGCCCTGCTGAAAAATTACCAACATGATGCCGACGACCAGTTGATCCAAGCAATTAATACCCAGCAAAAGTGGGGATCAGTAAGTTGTCCACTCCTCTGACAGTCTTGGTGATGCAACTAACCTCCTTTAGATGTACTTTCTTACCAAAATGCCCCAAAGAAAAGGATTAGATTGCCAGGATGAAACACACGCAGAAGGCGACGGCCCGCTCAGTGAACTATTCCGTCTAGTGGCAGAGACTTCTTTTCTACTAGATGAGTTAGATCGCATTTGTGAGCTTGGATACTCGGACATGACAACGGCTTGCGAAGGCCTTTTACAAAGTTGCAATGATTACGAAAATAGGCTTCAAATGAAATGGCTTGCAGAGGATGCCATCAATCTCGACGGAGAACCTGTTCCCTGTTCACCTATGGAACTTGATTGCTCCACTGACGTCTTACCATGGAGTCACTACCTCCAACCATACACATTTGAATCCATCGAAACTGCAACAACATACCTCCTCTTCTGGGTCGCTTCTGTCATCGTTCGTCGGGTTATCTACCGGGTCGAGAGTATTATGGGTTGGAACGCCGACTCAACACAACTTCTATTTTTCGCGAGCGAGATTTCGAGGACAGTAGCTTACTGCTTGCAACCACAAAATCGGATGTGCACTGGGAATGTACTCTGTTTTGGCATATCACAGGCCAATATGGGTTACGTGGACTGTGGACACGAACAAGGGTTCCTCTGGAGTCAACAAATGTATCAGGTTCTTCAAGAAAAGGGGTTCGATATTGCCTCCATGAGAAGTGGACTGGAGTGGACATGTTGGAAGGAGGCTGAGACCCAAAGGGATGGAATGCATCATGATGTAGCGAATTTGGCTTTTTGAATACCCAAGCTGTTACCAGCTGTTATGATACCAATAGAATCAGAATACGATACCCTAATCAAAAATCCACGGAGTTAGGTAGGTAATGCCGTAAATCATCCATAGTTAGATAAAGATTTTGGAACGCTGAGAATCAGCATAGGTAGTTTTTAAAAGTCTGGTATGTATTGGGGAACCGGCTAGTTGGGACCATAATGAATGCATTCCAAGTACATTGGGTTCTATGCAAGTACTCCTGAGCTGAGCCACCGATCAAAGCAAGATGGGCGCGACAAAAAGTAAGTTAACGCTAAAATATAAAAAACAACCGAGGTGCCCGTTCCAAAGGCTCAAATCAATGGCTCAACCGTCTTAATTTTTTCTTCTTTTCATTTTGTTTGGCTTCATGGTCGCATCAAGATGAGATGAATTTAGGTCATAGCATGTGTCCGGGTCCACTCTTTCGCTGTCTGGATAGCTGCAGGTTCGTCTTCCTTCCATCGCTCAGCAACATCGTTGGCAAGCGGATCGTCAGGGTTTGGCGCACCGAGGAGGGCCTGGATAGAGAGAAGGATGGTACGGATCTGCAGGGCGGGGGACCAGTTGTCTGGAGAATATTGATTAAAACCGTAGTATCCACTACTGTATTCGACGGAGACTTACTCTTCAAGACATCAAGACAGATACGGCCAAGACGGTCAATGTTGGGATGGTAGATTTTGGTCAGGAAGCGGATTTTGGGAGGAGTCATGGGGTAGTCGTCGGGAAGGAATAGCTCAAGACGGAAGATGCCACCTAAAGGAGCGACCAGTCAGTCAATAATGTTCGTTATAGAGTGATTATAAGCCGTAATATCTACCTTCATAGGGTGACTGGGCCGGGCCGTGGATCGAGACATCGAAGTATCGCAGGTTATCATCGTGAGGAACAGCGTTTATGCCAGGGACACTAGAAAGAGAGAAAAGCGAAACTTAGGAAATTATGCAGGACAACTGCTATTGTTATGCACAACACTCACGGCTCGGCCATCAACCGTTCGGTCTCTTTGATGATGCGTTTTGGCAAAGCCATGTTTGTAAGGCTTATCGCTTGGGTATTGGAGCAGCTAGGGCCAAAGAAACTGGAAAGACAAAGTAGATCCAAGCTAACTGATCAAAATACCCTGTAAATATCAAATTGAATACTTGAAGGCTTTGGAAGTGCAGAGTTCGAGTTAATTGCGCAGATGATAAACTAGAGGGGCACTTGCACCGCGGGGGTTTGCCGTGTTCCGTAGCCTGCGCCACAGACACGGCCAATTATTAATTACGCCACATGCAGTCATGCGCCACACCCGTTGCGATTCCCTTATCGGACAGCTCCCCTGCGCACGCGAGTGGACTCGTCGAGACCCAGGGAGCACGCTGGATATGCACGTCCGACATGCTTAAGCTCTTCATGAGCTCCAAAACTGTTGATACAATTTTGCTCTTGAATTCTGAGCGCCAATAACTGGTCTGAAGAGTTGGCTGAACGCCGCGATCGCCAACAAGATGTCGAGCTCCATGGAGGCGCGGCCGCTTATGTCGGCCTTGGAGAGCCCGACGTTTGAGGAGGACAGCTCAATCCGAGTAGAACAGCCGGTCGGGGCAATATCAATATCTCCTTGTGGGCGCGATGTGGTACTAGCGTCCAAGGAAGGTCTGCATGTCATTGATCTGGATTCCCCATATTCTCCGCCCCGCTATCTGCCTCATCATACATCATGGGAGGTTGCCGATGTTCAATGGTCACCCTTCGCCTCCCGTGACTATTGGGTGGTAAGCACATCTAACCAAAAAGCCCTGGTCTGGAATTTAGCCATGAAGACATGGCAGAACTCCATTGAGTTTGTGCTGCATGCACATTCCCGCGCTATTACCGATATCAATTTCTCTGCGTTTCATCCGGATCTTCTCGCTACCTGTGCAGTCGACAGCTTTGTACATTGTTGGGACTTACGATCTCCTTCTCGTCCAGCTATCTCGTTTTCGGATTGGTTCACTGGCGCGACCCAGGTGAAATGGAATCGACAAGATCCACACGTCATTGCCAGTTCGCATGACAGATTTCTTCGTATTTGGGACGATCGTATGGGCGCATATCCTATCAAGTCTATCGAGGCTCACGACACAAAAATTTATGGTGTGGATTGGAACAGAGTCCGCAGGGGCGCTTTGACGACATGTTCGCTTGATAAGACCATTAAGTTCTGGGACTATACGTCTGATAGTGATGCTCCAGAAAAGATGATTAAGACACCATTTCCGATATGGCGTGCCAGAAATACTCCATTTGGTTGGGGCGTAGCTGCCATGCCGCAACGGGGGAATGGTGATCTTCACCTTTATAGTCGACGCGCCGGAGATGGTAGCGATTCAAACGGGGATCTACCCTTGGTGCATAGCTTCCCCGGTCACAAAGGCCAAATCAAAGAATTTCTTTGGAGACCGCGTGGTGGTGTGGACGATGGGATCGACCACCGAGAATTTCAACTCGTCACATGGGGTACGGACCGAGAACTTCGCCTACATCGTGTCAATCCTGAGATTCTAGAGCGGGTTGGATACGAGAAAGGCAAATCCTTCATTTCTACTCGGAACGTAACTCGCCTGGGAGCAGTCTATCGCAGTTTCAGAGATGTCAATTCAGATTTAGATTTGGATTTGGACTTGGAAGAACTTGACTCGGCATCTTCATTCCAGAATCAAGCGAGCACGGATTACGCCGGGGGCCCTGGAATGAATGCCATTTCAGTTCCCCATGCTCATGGGTGGACAAAAGGTGCTCATGTTGATACTCGCATGGGGATGCAGCCACGTTCAAACCTGAGAGCAGATACAAACCCAATTGCATGGATGCGCGGTGTGAAGATATCAGGTTGGGATATCGAAACCCTGGGGGATGAGATTAGCCACGTTGGAGAGAAATTCACCAAAGTTTCATTTGACTCTGTGGACGTCCGTCAAAGGAAGATTTGCATTTCTTTGAATGGACCATGGAGTGCGAATGCCGACTCAATATTCTTGAAAGTGGACATCAAATTCCCCGTCAGCTATCCGAAGACTTCTATCCCCACATTTAATTGCCAGAGAACGACAGGCGTCACCGATGAATTGGCTAGTAGGATTTCCGCTGAACTGCGAACCATAGCGGAAACATACATGTCTCGGAAACGAGGTTGTCTGGAAGGTGCTGTGCGTTATCTTCTGGGCGAGAGCACTCTAGAAGAGAGCGTCGCATGGATTTTGGGCGAAACTGGCGAAAATGTCAAATCTCCTATCAATGGCGAATTGGAAGGTGAGTCTAGCGATGAAGACGAGGTCGGAATGACACAGAGCCAGGAGCTAGGAATGAGCTCTGAATTGCTTCGCCCCGTGAACGCGAATGTTATGGTGCCTGTCGCAAAAGCATGTGGCGCATTATGGGCAAATGACGGTCGTCTTATCTGCTTTTTCCCTCCCAAAAAAGACAAGTCAACGGCATTATTTGAAAATCTTGGTTTCAAAGAAATGAGCAGGTTGTCACGCACAGGTAAGGTTTTCGAAGGTTTCGGGCGCCTGCAGACCAGTTCTCCGGGCCCTCGTACGACCGGTACTGGCATGAGCACAGATGACGGTGCATCTGACTACTCCGATGATTCGTACACCGAGACTTCAAGCTCCTCGGGCTCTTCTGATATTCTGTCTGGGCTGCCGACAACTCGCTTCCAGCCACCACAAACCTGGCGCAGTGCCGGTAGCATGGGAATTTACCGACCTCGGTCTATGGATCATTCGCAGCGGTCTCTCGGTGGCGGAGTGACAGCTAAACCAGCCGAACCAGTCCAAAATGTGATTTCCATTCATGATCTGAGCGATATGTTGCCTGTCAAACGAGAGTTGGCTAGTAAGTACCGCATCTGCGGCAAGGGAACAGACGTGTGCGCGCACAATGCTGCAGTCGCCCTTGATGCTGGATGCTACGAGTTGGCCCAAATTTGGGGCCTCATTAAACTAATTTTACATGTCCGAAGAAGGCCTGGCTCTCCCAATGAATCCAAAATAGGGCCAAGGCGGGGGGGCCTAAAGAGGCAAATTTCTGATTACAGTTATAACTCGGAGAAGGATGGACTGTATAAGAATGTGGCAAACAGCGTCATTCGCTGGGGTGATCATCCTATGGGTAGCCACTGGTTGGTTCCAGCTCTTTTCGACCATTTTGAACGCATCGGCGACGTGCAAATGATTGCAATGCTCTCCTGTGTGTTATTTGAGGCGAGCCATGAAACTCATCCAGAAAAGGCAAAAGAGGAACAGACTGAACAACAGGCTTCCCCGGTGGAAATCTCATCCGCCGCGTCGACTTTACAAAACAAATCCCAAGCTGCCACCCCTGCTTCCTCAGTCCCAAGAGACCCTCAAGCCATTCCTCATACATCGGCGCGATCATCGAGCGAGCTTTGGCGAGTTGACTCTTCACCCCCTCATTCTACAGGAACCACGCCTCCGCATATTTCTCGACCACGGGGTATAGAAAATGACCGAAAGGCTCAAAGCCACAATGTATCTATAGCTGCCTCGCCTGACCAACAATCCAATCCACGGAGTGGGTCCGGGTTCGGCTCCGTTCTAGCCTCCTCATTGTCACGCTCATTCACGTTTGGGCCATCGTCGGCATCTCCGCCTGTCAATCAAGTCATCAAGAAGAAACAGAGCCCTAGGGACAGCCCGAGTGTCGCCACTATACCAGCAGTGAGTATATCCGTGGTCTTTCAAATCAGTACTTCGCCACTAACTCATTCCAACTACAGACTCAATCCGATACAGAGAGCGACCGTCCCCAGTCCGTGAAGCGTACAACACGATTCAAGGTCACATTCAAGAACCAGAATGCATTTAGCAGCGACGACACGAGCCCCGATTCTTCCCTTCTAGATCGAAGTAAAGAAGGGCTATGGAAATCCTATCGCGCTGCATATGCCGACATTTTATCTATGTGGGATCTTCCCATTCAACGAGCTGAAGTGATGAAGATTGGCACAGTGTCAGATCAGACTGAAAACTGGCGCACAAGCCAGTATTGGAAAAGCCATAGTTCCAAAATTTCTTCAATCACCGAATCACCTCCATCTGAAACTCCTCCTGATCTGGAAGGCCTTGATTTCCAGCGCCACTGCGCGAACTGTGGCCACCCTCTTCAGACCTCCATTTTCGCTTCAACGCCCGTGGCCCCTGATACTCCTTCCAAGCACAATAAGCAGTCGAGTTCCCGTCGATGCCCAAATTGTAACCCGCGCCAACCACTACCCACCAATCTCCCTTGCATTATTTGCGGTGAAGTCGTTGACGGAATGCTGGTTCCTTGTCTTAGCTGCGGCCATGTAAGCTGCTTCGACTGCCATCAACGATGGTTCCTTCCACTCAATACTCTCGCCAAGAAACATGATGCTATTCCTCCCCCATCATGCCCTTCGGGATGTGGCTGTAATTGTTCCGAACATATTGCAGCTGATATGCCTATGCCCATGCCGCCGATTGAGCCTGTTTCCCCTGAGCCCCAGGCAAGTCCTAGCGGACACTCTCGAGCAATTTCTCAAGATAAACGTCATCGTCGCCGCCAGTCTGAACCTGCAGCTAAGAATAAATCGGGTGCAAATACCCCGACTGGCAAAGTGGGGCCGGGCCATGAAGATGATCTAGACATGTGGCAAACTTCTTCGCCCTTTGCGTCTCTTGCGCGGGGAATGGGTGGTGGACTTAGCCAGGGTTTGCGTTCTAGAGATGATAGGAGGAAGAATCGCTCTGTGGCTATTAATACGCCTAAGCGTAGATAGTTTGGGTTTGATTCTTTGATGATGGTCTTACATTTTACATTTACATTTGTTTTCGTTGATTTTGATACCCCCGCTTTATGTACTTTTTATATACGTTTTATACAAACATTTATCGCATTGGGATATATTTTGATGATCGGTTTATCCATATTTCTTTTCTACTCTAAAATAAATAGCTCCAGCAGGGTGAGTTTGAACAGATTCTATGCATACAACCCCTGAGCCCCTCCAGATCCAATACATAGTCATCAATATCCACAACAAATCTCAACGCCTAAGAAATCCCCCACCCCCATCTCTCCGATTCTGTCGATCCCCCACTAGCCTTTCATGGACCCCTCATTCCCCGGATCAGATAAAGGAACTGATCGAGCGTTAGTGTCGCGGACAAACCTCTTGCGACGAGCCCCGCGCCAATGAAAGGAAAGGGGGCAAGCCTAAAATGGCGCGGTGATGTACAGGGGTCTCAAGCTGAGAGTTCAAAGTCCTACGTTTCATGCGAGTCTCTAGAAATACAAGTTGTAAATGCACAAAAGTAATTTGTCATAGTCATAGCTTCATTAGGATATTTCCTCTATGTGACACAAGCTAAAAAGAGCGGGGACTAAAAGCAAAACAACCACAGCAACTATCGATAACTTTTTCTTTCAAGCATCAACTCGATCTATTTGTTGTTTTCTCGTTACCCCGAAAAATATGCGCCGCGCCGGTCTATTTCTAGTGAATCCTTTTTTGATTCAAGCTTACAGCTGGTTGTAAACGTGCTCGGCGGAGGTGACCTTGAGAACGTTCTTCTCGGACTCCTTAGCGGCGTAGGTGACCTTGCCGTGGTCAATGACGAGAGCGTAACGGTAGGTACGGCCCTCGGCGTCGGCCCAGCCAATGGACTTGGAGAACTTGGCCTCGGGGTCGGAAAGGAAGAGCTGTACAGAGAGCGCGTTAGATATGTTTCTTCTGTGGTTGTATTTGATTTGATGTGGAGTGGAGTGGAGTTGAATTGGGATTGGGATTGGGATTGAAGGGAAACTTTTCACATACAATGTCATTGCTGGTAACACCGTTGGCCTTGCCCCAGGCGCTCATGACGTAGGCATCGTTGTAGGCCAGAACAGCGACCTGGTCGACACCCTTGGCGTGGATCTCGGGGAGCTTAGCAACGTACTCGGGAACGTGGTTGGCGGAGCAGACGGGGGTGAATGCACCTGTTTGGAATGGCGGTCAGTAGAGAACGTGGTGAGAACCTTGCGCGCAAGTGGGGAATGGATGGAAAGGAAAGAAAAGAAAAGAAGGTAAGGGAAGTGCATCGAATGTCCGTAAATGGATACGTGAACGGGGAAGAAAAGAAAAGAAAAGGAGCGGTGACGAACCGGGCAGAGCGAAGAGGATGACCTTCTTGTTGGCGAACTCCTTGGAGGCGTTGTAGTTGATGGGGATACCGCAGGCGTTGAACTCAGCAGATTCCTCGGACCAGGGGATGTAACTATAGGAATTGAGTTAGATTGTCATGGAATTTGAATTTGCGGTAGTGGTCAATCGGCGATTGAGGGATTCGGAGATAGGTGGGGGATAGGGAAAAAAAGATTCAGAACGGAAGGAAAAGAAAACATACGAGAACTTAACATCCTCGGGGAAGCTGTCGCCGGCGTTGAGAGACATGGTGAATTGTAAGGTGTTAGAAACGAGAAAATTAATAGAGTATGGAATTGATGGAACGGAGAGAGAAGAAGAGAAGAAGTTTATATTAAAATGAAGTAAAGGAAGTCTATCAAGGGGTAGTGGCGATTTTAATATTCCGGCTCCGACGCTTCTACGCTTACACATATCGGCCCATCGGGATTCACTGATATGACGATTGGTGGGACAATCCCAGCTTTTCATGAGGTGATCCGATGCAGAAAGATACCGAACCGCATGGATTATCAAGAAAGACCAAGCGAGAACCAGTCCGAGACTGCCCCGCTTACTTATCTGCTTGAACTTTCCCGGCTGCTACCCGAACGTCCTATCAGCGGTCATTGTGGCCTGGATGAGGGGCAGATATTAATGCCTTGGTGCCTCTGTGCCTGAGATAAAAGGATAAGGGAGTGGACACGTATGAAATCATTGTCATGTGATAGGCCACATGGGCATTGTACCTTCCCGGTTAGGTTAGCCTAGTTTATGATTTGATGCCTTAGGCAGAGACTGATAAATTCAGGCATCAACTACTGTGGCGGGAGTTGATTCCCGAGATCGGATGGGAGGGAGGGCCTCGGCGTCTGAAGTTCTAGACAATGGGAAGTGACCTTAGATTGATAAGAAAGCTTAAAAATCTGTCCAAGTTGTACCATATAACATTTCTGTTACGTGATCGCAAGTTAGTTGTGTATAGGGCTCAAAAGTCCCATGGAAGCCTTTCCGGTCCATCTTACTGTTGTTTCCCCGCAACTGTGAAATGGCCCGACAGACCCATCCAAACAGTAAACAGTAATATTCACGGTCGGGACTCGTGATTCAGATGTCAATCATGATAATGTGATGTATCGTACAGCCATATCGAAATCGAAATCGAATATTGAACATTCATAGTCGCTGTAGCAGGGAACGAACACTGTACTCGGTTTTTCATTAACAACGATGACTCGACCTTGAGATATAAAAGAATTGGGAAAATATGATCGACTATTAGCGCAGGGGCAGAAACTCTACCTTTACTTTATTTGCGCCTTGGTCAGAGAAGTGAGAAGAAAGATAACCCAAGTCGTCGAGACGATCCTCAGCTATGTAGATCGTACCGTGACGTTCCCTTCCTATTCGGGAGATTCCTTTCGAGCAGTGGATACACTTTTTTCTTGAGAAGTGACGATCATGGAACTTCCAAACCAAATAGGACATCATATTGGTGAAAGTCTTTGGATTTCGCAGGGCTTGATGGCCTTATATCCCTCTTGGCATCATGGTAGATCCTGGAATGAAAAGTTTTCGAATATCCTTCTAAAAGGGGTAAATTCTTTCAGTAATAGTATATCCCAAGGGTGTGTAAAGGTGCCTTGATCTAGAACCTGGAAAGATATTATTCCTCTAGAATATCTCACTTCGTTCATCAACAAGTCACCTAGTAGTCACTGCTTGAGGTCCATCACCACTCGATCTTGAACTTCACCTTGCCTTATCACCCCGAAGTCAAGCTAAGGTTGCCCATCAACCTACCCAACATGAAACTCTTCACCACTTTCTCCCTCAACCTCGCGGTAATGGCATCCTACGTCTTAGCCGAAGGGATCGAATGTGCCTCCTGTTTCCATGGTGTCAGCTCCGACTGCAGAGGCGCATTCAACAAGATGCCTACCACGGGAAGTCTATCCGGAAACGTCAACACCTTCTGGAGCTCTGGCTCGCGCCATGTCTACTGGATGCCTAGAGGCGAATCGGCTGATGCCGCTGGCGTTCATGGATTTGCTCAATCCCTCATCAAAAAATGTTGCCAGAATGATGCAGGATGCGCTGGTGTTATCTCTGAGACCTGACATCGCCTGTTATGCACAACGGCTGTGCTTGAGTTTCGAATCAAGAGAATATGCCCTGTGCTTGCTCTAATACCGGTAGTTTGGGCTGTTAAAAAAAGGCATATCCCAGGTTTGTGGGTTTGTAGTATCTCAGCTTGAGCATGATCATGTTTCTGTTCCAGCACAGGGAATCAGCTTGGGTACACCTGGGCTTATGCTGTTACGGCGAAGCTGTTGGAGCTGTTGGAGCTGGTTAGTTTGGTATGTAGGAGATTCGGATAGTCGAATATCTAGAGACGTTTAGCGTTTCTCACACCGGGCGTTCCATGTAATTAACGTAACTTGCAAGCACTATACACCAGCTTTTTTTTGGGGGGGATAAATCCTTCCTTAACTGTATAATCTCTAGTTGTCCAAAATCTAGTGTCGCAGCTAATAGGTGTGAACTACGCGGGTACCACAATAGTAGGTTGGAAAGGAACCTCCAGATGTCCGATTACATGGGCACGTCAGCCAAATATTTGATATTTCAGCACCCAAGCACTGATACTCTGGACTCGAACTTCCTGCCCTACCTCCTCTAGGCACTGCTTCACAGACAGGATCGGATGGTGATGAGAAATCCCATGAACCCGGGAACTGCCCAGACACCAGGTCCATATACAGCAACGGAAGCGCCTCCAATCGTGGACATGGCACGGATGATACTCTGGCCGTGACTCGGATATTGGAACAGTATGGAATCCCTTGCTTTCTGGTCGGTACAGCGGCCCTCGTTTTCAACGGCACTGACAGAGTTCGTATGGTAAGTAGCCTGGATGCTCTATCTCCTTCGGCTCTTGTATGTAGAGCTTAAAGTGATCCGTCTCGTGTCGCAGGACAGGGAAATTTGCGTGCCAACTGAGCTCGTGAGCCAGGCAGCAGAGATACTGCAATCAGAACCATACGCAGCGCAATATCGCCTGATCAAACCGTGGCCTCATTACTATTCCTTATCTCTGTATCACATGTACCACCGGTTGAAAAGCAGAGAGATTGATCATTACTTCTTCCTTGTTCCTTCAATCGACATGTATATTGATTATGTCCCTTCCAATTTCACACGTAGTTTCAGAGGGCTACCGTATCCTAAGCTGGATGTCTCTATTAAAAGCTGTTTGGACACTTGCTACATGGTCCAGCTTTGTGATGTGATCGACGATACCAATGTGTCGGAGGAATGGGAAGAGAAGGGCTTGAACATAAAGGGGACTAACGATGTAGAATGGGCCAGAGAAAAGAATAAGAGGGGAGAGGAGTTTGGCGGAATGACAACTTATGCTATGTTTGCTTGGGGAGGACGGAGAGACAAGCGGGAGATGTGGCGGTTGTTGGTGCGCACTAAGGAGGACCGGTTGGATTGGACAAAACTCAAGGATATATTTATAACTCAATATTGTATTATAGGTGATCCGGATTCCTGGATGGAGTTATCTGACATGTCTTAATGGTATTTAGGTAGCGGGGTTGAGGGGCTTTTGTGGAATACTATCTCGGGAGTGCATAGCGAATTACTTCTTATGTAAATTGCTCACTTGAACGCCCCTCTTTGAAAGCCTGGAAATTTTTAAAGATATAGAGTTTTATAATGCCGTCTTCTCAAACTGCCCGACAAAAATGCATGACTAAGTCAAGCTTAACCTCCGCCAATCTAAAATGACAGAGTCGCTCCGATGCTTATCATGAATCGACTAAAGTATCGGGTCACCCACCCGATAGTACAGCATCACACGACAACTTCGCTGCACCCTTTTTAGGATTTTCTAGCCCATAGCACTCAGGCCCATGTGGGGTGCTGTCAAAATTCTAAAATGCACCGTCGACGTAAAATGTCGGATCGGGTCCCGATGCCGACTTTCACACATTCCATTCCCGCGATAACAAACTGCGGAGGCAGACCCCACGGAATTGTATACAAACAACCTCGAAAGTGAACAGAATGAATCTTGAGAAAGATGCAAATAGCATTATGCAGAGCAGATATAGCGAGAAGTTATGGGATAAATCGCTATACCGTCAGCTATGTGGTGATATTGGTGCCGCGACAGCTTCTGCGGCTTTAGTCAGTCCAGCAGTGACTATTATTGATAGGTGAGATGCTGAAACATTTACATGAAGAAATGAGACTAGACGTGCTAATAGAATTACAGAGCTTTTGTCGAAAAGTCATTATTAAATTGCTCGATACTTCGCGGCCTCAAAAAACATACGATTGCTGCGCTGAAAACTCCCCACCGATTCATTTTCTCCGTACCCTTTGGTCTTATCTGGACACTCTATGCAGCGACATACACCGTTGCCAATGGATCAGATACTATTTGCAAAAAAATTGAAGCCCCCGCAGCAGGTATAATCACCTTCGTCACGACAACACTAGTGAACGTCCCACTCGGTGTCTGGAAAGATATGAAATTCGCCCAAGCATACGGCATAAGAAATGATCATGATACCCTGACCAAAATCACAGAACCTATTCAAACAGGACTCGCGAAGAAAGTAATCAATCCAAAACCAAATGGTGCTGCAGCAAGAGCTGCAACTGCTATGTTTCTTCTTCGTGATTCTGTTACTATTTTCGGATGCTTTACTCTTGCGCCACGAATGACGGAAATAATTCCTGATGATCTTGTGACGGGACAACCGGAGGCAAAATTGGTTATTGCACAGTTGACTGTTCCTGTTTTGACTCAGGTGGTTGCTACGCCGATGCATCTTTTGGCGTTGGATTTGTATATGAGGCAGGATGTTAAGTTTGCGGATAGACTCGTGCAGAGTCAGAGGTATTTACCTTCTTCGACGGTTATGAGGTGTTTTCGGATTATACCTGCGTTTGGATTTGGGTGTTTGGCCAATATGGAATTAAGATCGTTTTTTCATAGAAAATTGAATGTGTGAATCATTTTAATGAGTTCATGGAATGATGTTATGTCTTTTATTTTCTAGACGTAAAGTGTAGAAGCGCATTATTCTATTCTGTAGTCATATTTAGGTTCATCGAATGTATCTGTTTCTTATTTATCTTAACGTCTTGTGTCGTTGACGTGGGTCTCTGTTTCCATCAAACGGGCCAGAGTCACTGCCTCCCGCAGAGCACGGCCAACATGACCTCTAACACCTGCTTCCTCAAGAACCATCACACCACCAATCGTACATCCTTCAGGTGAAGTACCCTGATCTCTCAGAATGGAGGGATGGATCCCACTTTGAAGCATGGTAGCTGTTCCCTGCATCGACTGGAATATCATGGTATGTGCCAAGTCCCGAGGAACCCCGACCGCCACCGCCGCATCAATCATAGCATCACAAATGATAGCGAAGAAAGCTGGGGTAGATCCTCCAACTGCAGTGGTGGCATTCATGAGTTTCGGATCAATATGAACTGCGCGTCCAATACGCTCAAAAATTGCCGTCGTCATCTGAAGATAGCGCTCTGGTGGAGAGGGCTCGGAGACCTCAATCGCAGTCAAGGACTGCGAAACCTGAGCAGCTATATTTGGAAGAGTGCGCACTACCCATGCGCGACCGAATTTGTTTTCTTCAGTCGTTTGGCTTCCGTAGATTGTCTCTTCGAGCTTTTGTCGCGTCCATCCAGCTGCGATGCTGATCAGAAGCTTGTCTCCCAGTGCTTCTTGTAATCCGTTTTGTGTTAACACCTTTTCGATGTCTGCAGGATCTACTCCGAGAATAGTCACGTCGGCTTCGTGAACGGCCTTAACATTGTCACCGCGGTTGATTGTCAATCGGTCTTGATGTGTTGAAAATCGACCGGCTAGTTTTTCTTCGGATTGTTGACTGCGCACACAGGCGATAAATTTGGTGAAGAGGGCTTCATCTTGCGGGGCATTCAGCAAGCTGTCGAGGATCGCGCCTCCCAAGTTCCCTGGAATTATAAATTATAAGCTATGGGCCTTGTTGTCTTGTTGGTACAGCAGCAGCAGACTTACCGCATCCTAGCAAGCACAGAGTTTTGATCTGCTTGTCTGCCATCTTTGCTGTTGTGATCGATAAAACAGCTGAATATAATTGAGTCAATTGTTTGTTCCGCTGATAAAACAAATCTAAACCCCCACTACCAATGAAATATGAGTGTTCTGCGCCGGCAACCCCTCCGATCGAGGCGGGGCAGTCGAGCTCTGTCTTCCCCGCACGACCTCCACTCGGCACCGCTGCCGGTGATAACCCGGTGACACTGTCGCGATCAATGCCGGGATTAGGAAAGCTAACACGGCGCATATATTATTGGAAGAATAGTATCACTACAAAGTGAAATTAGGAGAAAGAAAAAATTAAACTACATTTTCATGGTATACCAGCATGGGCGTTTCTAAGTCGGATTCCATCATTATTGTAGGTGGAGGTGCCTTTGGGCTTTCGACAGCTCTCCACCTCTCTCAAAAAGGACATACAGATATCTCGGTCTTCGATAAAGATGACAGTATTCCTCCTCGCTTTTCAGCGGCCAATGACTTGAACAAGATTGCAAGGGCGGAATATGAGGATCCATTCTACACAGATTTGACCATTGTAAGTTCGTACAAAGAGATAAGAATGCAAGGGGTGGAAACGCTAATGAATGTAATTTTTTTTCCATTTAGAAAGCGCTCGAGGCTTGGAAAACACCATTATACGCGCCTCATTTCCACCAGACCGGTTTCTTCCATTGTGTTTCTGAGGAAGCGCCCCAGAAAGCCATCGAAACACTATACAGGTTTCAGGCCTCAGCTGAAAAGAATGCTTTGATTAAGCCACACGTCTCACCTATTAAGAACCGCCAAGATGCCCGTGATGGTTGCTGGCAGCTTGATGGCGAGCTACCAGGATGGCATGGATACTTGAACAAATTCGATGGATACGTCCACTCCGGCAATGCCCTGGCAGCAGTCTATCGAGCAGCTCAAGCCGCTGGTGTACGATTCTTCCTGGGAGAACAAGGTGCCGTGGATGAAGTCGTGTATGTGAGCACATTACCTGGACGCAAGGCCTCAGGTATTCGTACTAAGAACGGACGCTTTCATCCTTCGTCCCTCGTCATTGTTGCAGCCGGAGCTGGCGTCAACAGATTAGTTCCTGAGCTTGGAACAAGTGTCGTTGCTAAGTCCTGGTCTGTCGCTCACGTACATCTAACAGATGACGAGGTCTCTGCTCTTCGCGGAATCCCCGTTATCTACGCCCGTGATCTTGGTTTCTTCTTTGAGCCCGATCCCAAGACAAACCTGCTTAAGCTCTGTCCTATGGGTGGTGGGTACATCAACACTGATCCCAAGAATGGAGTCTCATATGCGCCTGAGGTCTTGAGCGATAGTGCTTTTCTTCCGGAAGAAGATGAGGCGCAGTTGAGGAAATTGTTGGCTCAGACTTTGCCTTCTCTTTCTGATCGACCTTTTGTAAGGAAATCTCTTTGTTGGTTTGCTGATACCAATGACTCGGATTTCATCGTTGATTATATTCCTAATACTTCGGATTCTATTATTGTGTTGTCTGGTGACTCGGGACATGCGTTTAAGATGTTTCCCGTTTTGGGCTCGTTTGCTACTGCTCTTCTTGAGGCGAATGATAATAAGCAGCCTGTTGCTCGTTGGAGATGGAAGGAGCCGAAGGAAGCTGGGAAGGCTGATTGGGGTGGTGATGTTAGCTGGCGTCTGGGTCAGTCTAAGGAGTTTGTTTCTATTCTTCCTCCTAGAGCTGCCAAGCTGTAAATAGTAGTAGGGACCAGCACTAGATTTCATTCAAATCAGAATATACAGTTATCTTCATATATGAAAATATTTCTCTCAGTATAGTACTTTGTGCCCCTCTGATTGAACGGTCATATCATTGAGGACAATACATGGAAAATACCCGAGTACTCTTAAAGATTATCAATGAGATATAGTATAGGTTTCTTGATCCATTGCTTAATTTACAAGGGTGACGGTTTCATCGTAAGATTAACTGAGGGGAATGATGATAAAAAGTTCCATTATGATCCTCTTTGTTGTCTTTTAAATTGATATTTTGAAATCTCTAGTATATTATTGGAAAGAAAGACTTCAAATGCCGTATGTCTAACTTGGATCTTGTTTCGGATTCTCTTTGTGACGAACTAATTATATTATGGGCTTGAAAGAGGGAGAAAAAACTCTTTGTCAATGAAATAGATGTCAATAAATAAACTGTACATGCCAATCGCAAGTATAAGTAATACTCGATATTCTCTCAATTCCCATAGAATGCCATCACAATGTCCTTTATCTCCCTTTCTTAACATCCACTTACGATATAGCCTCTAACTTCTTCAAGTCCGTTGACTAGAACCCCATCGCTACATTTCTATCGCTGTCAACATAACCGCATACTAACCTCCAGATTCAACAATTCAAATGTGTCAACTCAATGTACTCGATCACAACAAGGAGCATGGTGGCTGTGGCCATTTATGGATAAAAAGCGTTGATCATTGCCGTGAGCGAACTAACAAATGCTCGCTAATTATACAAGACTCTCCGGTGCGGAAGGCAATAATACCTTGTACTCCTTTATTTCGGAGAATTCGGAAGTGGTTCAAGGTAGGGAATAACTATGTCGTGGGTTTGTGTCCTTCGTGTGTTAAGGGAATTACGGAACCTCTCGACTAGCATTTGAGGGGCCCATCAAGGTAAATATCCCTTTGATCTATCTGATAATGAGTAAATTCAAGGGAAAAGTAAGTTCTCAAAAGACATCAATTGATCCATCATTTAACTTCGAGACTGCATTGAGCATAGTTTCATGATATTGGATAAACATGCAAAATCAAACCCCCAAGACCCCATCCCCATCAAAGTCACTTCATAATTCATGACATTTTGCAATAAGAAAATTGATATACATGAAATCTAAGTGATCACCATCGCTCGCAAATGCAAAATACTAATCCCCATAATCCGTGACTAATTCATTACCAAATACTATGTTCAATCATCGCATTAGACATCCACTCCGTGTCAATACTCTCAATAGAGTCTGCAACGGCCATTATTTGCGCCGCCGTAAGTCCCGTAGTCAGACTAAGTTCATCTTCAAGTGATACACCTGGATCTGATAAGAGATCATGGCTAAGGGTTTGCGCCACCGATGATGAAAAGTTTGCTAATTGAACGCTCGTTTGGTCGGTATTAAGTGCTGGTGCTGAAATGGATATTGGAGCAGATACGCATCTTGTGTGTTCTTGGGGGAAGTAGCTGAGTAATTCATCTAGAAGTTGGAGTTCTGATCGGCGATATTTGGCGATGAGGTTTCCGTTTTCGATTATTTCTTCGAATATTGCGTATGCTTTTTCGAGCCATACTGGGTAGGACCATCGGAGGTCGATTGCGGGGGCCATGAGGAGGACAGTTGCTGAGACGAAGACGGAATCGAGGTCAAAGGGGAGGAAGGTTTCTGGGTTGGGTTAGTAGATGCTTTAGCGAATTTTGATGTAGTGCTTACCAAGGAGATCTTCGGATTGAAGACAGTGGAGGATATAGATCATTTGTTGAGCGGAGTCGAGACACATTTGGATTAGATTTCGAACGTTTTTTGATGTCGTTAACGCCTCTAGACAGTGTTCGGGGGACTCAAGGCGGATTTTTAAAAAGCAAAAGAGCAATGGGCGTGTAGCGGTGACGATACACTGGTGATATAGGAGATTGAGGTAGGCGGATATTCGGGAGACACCGCTTGAAGATTGATCTAAATGTAAAGGGAAGGCTGTGTGGAGCTCGTCTGCTAATTTGGCTATACTGGCGAGAGCGGACTTTGTGCGAATAAGAAAGTTTCGGTTGAGGCGACCATCGATGGCGTAGACGGCTGTCGGTTATGTCAATATTATGGATCAGCTGATTGAGTTGTAGAGTACTTACTGCCACTGATCTCTGCGATGATTCGAGACAGTTTGATGTGCATGTTTATACCTGCTGTTCGTTGCAATGATCCTGTAAATGAGGGGAGCAACGTGTTGATATGCTCATCACTTAGAGATTGAGGAAGACCCATCAGTGAGGTCATCTCACGATCGAGGATGTAGACAGTCCACCAGATCTTGCGACATCGTTGGACTAAATGCTCTCCTAGATATTCTACCGGCATTTGAGTATGCATGCCTTCAGCCATGGCCATGCGCATCGCCGATCCGATCTAGAAAGAGATAACGTTAGTCATTTCCAGTTTCTTAGAGATGTAGTTTTCAACGACTTACATAGTTGTGGGCCGATGATCGATAGTCAAGTGCTTGTAAGTATAGTGCAACGCAGCATAGAATTTCTGTAGACTCGATGGGCTCCTGGTGCAACAAACTGAGGTCGGGGAGTAATTGCAGTGCCTTTACGAAGAACTCTGAGCCTGGAGGTTTGTTCCCTTGCATTTTGTGCTGGACAAATCCCTTCCCGAAGGAAAGCATAAGAAGGAAATGAATATACCACAGTCCTGTTGTGGGAGTAGGTTTTGGTTGTGAGTAGAAGTCATGGAGGCCTGCCATGAACTCAGTCTCGTCAAAGAGATGATAAAGCTGACCACAGCGGAATTTCACGGAATTGATGAGATACATCGCATGATCGAACGATGGTACTGTCGGAATTTCCGATCTGTGGTTCCCCCTTAGTCCATCCCAGCCTAGGTCATAAATAGCGCCATCAAACGCTAGGGCCCCAGTTGGTAGGGGCTCTTGATATATACGATCGTGGGTCAAGCTAAGGACCCTTCGTGTGAAGGACCAATTCGATGATGTTCCTAGATAGACTGTTAAGGGTATTAGATAAGGGTTTATTTTTCACGCTCAGAAGCACCACTTACATGTCCGGCCATTTTCAGCTGACATAAAAGCCGGGGGGCCTGTTGACAATGGATTTGTCAGGCCGGAGGCAGGGTCTTCAAGCTCTTGATGAAGTTCGGCATGCTCCTTTTCCTCGGGCGAAAGGCGTGTTATTTCCGCAGTGTCTATGTTGTCTTTGGAATCTGCAAGGGGTTAGTACTGGCATGATGATCAGATAAAGTGACTTACCAGGCGATCGCTCTTCATGGTATTCAGGACTGACAGTACCTGCCTCTCCAGGATCATTTCGTGATAACCTCGCTATCTTCTGTTGTAGTTCGTCGAGATATCTACCGGAACGTCAGCCGACGATCTGATTATCAAAGAAGTTCCTCCTCTTCTCACTCACCCCCTAGTTATAAGGATCTTCTGATCCCGATCATCAAAGACACAAGTGAGCTTGCGTTTATTGCAACTATCGCAAGGCTGCGATCCCGAACATTTGATTTTCTGTCTTCGGCATCGGGTGCATCTGCGTCGGGAAAGTTAGCACAAGCACACCTCGGGTCGGAATTACAACGGGATATATTCATACGCGTTCAGGGATCGTTTCGTGACTTTATTCCCATTTCCTCCCATGATGATGAGTATAATGACCAGGCGCAAAGCTGTCTAGAAAGGTGGGATGGAATATCCAATCCGGCTGAAAATGCGGGGAACTTCCAGGTGGCGCCTATCTCAGCCATGGAGATAACGGACCCGTGGGGAACCACTAGACAATGGGCCGATAAGGACCGCCACTTCAAGATGATTCTAGATACGTGGTGATAATCCGCCTGGATGCATATTTAGATAAGGGTTGTTTTGAAAACTTTGAATCTAGATAATATAGTCATATAAACTTCTATGGGATTCATGTTGCTATACAAATTGCATACCACCACCACATGTCTAAAGTCTCCTCCAGACTGCTGCCTCGTGTGCTCGGTAGTTACTAAATGTATCCAATTGTTGGAGTCTGCAGAATAAACTCATTAATATGTCAAATTTACCCCAGATGTGGATCAATTCCCTTCCTTTTGGACGAGATCTGCTTGTTTGTGCCTGTATAGATGGTCATCGGGAGGCCTCCCGATGACCCAGCCCTGTTTCGATAAGGCCATCGGGCCCGCTTCCGGCCCCCGCACTCTCCTGATAACGAAGTCATAAGGTCACGTCACTATCAATGCAATGCGGTTATGCATTCAATCGAGGAGATGATATTTCGAGAAAATCACACCTCTATTGCCTCTGGGAAACACAAACCACGTAAAGCAACGTGTTCCATTGCCAGCTCCACAATCACAGAACACAGACTAATCTGCTGGCGAACATACAGAATTTAATTTACCTGAATATACATTTACTACATACAAAAATAAAGACTGATCATTAATACTTGTACCTATAACTACAAGAGATGCATCTTTGAGGAATATCACACTATTCCCATATAGGGAATTAGTGGGGGTACCGTCAACAATTTAGCGAAAAGAAATGATCCCAGAGGGGAACCCTCGACTTTTTATAGGACCGGAACTAATTAAGATATAATGATTTTGAATCGTAGATTATGACGAGTCAAATGAGACTCCTGACCTCAGGCAGTCAATTTGTAACGGGCTTCCAACGTTATATATAGCATGCCAGCGGCTTCCATTATGAATGTAAACTCCTTCAAACTTTTATCCCCAAACCTTAGGGGTTTTACAGAAAATTAGTACGGTAGGTAGCCTCTGTATATATACAGGTCTTGTTTAAAGACTCCTGGAATCTGCAGTAGTGCTATCTATTCCTGTCGGTAACTAGATTTTCAGAAATTGCTCGTAGGAAAGTCGGATTCTGTGACATTCAGATTTTGAAAAGTAGATTGAACTGAATAGTATCAAATTGCATGACCCATAGATACCACATGCAGTACCTACTACCAATGCTCTCCACTAATCAAAACATCATTCACATCAACCCCTTCAACAAACCACCTTCCCTCCCCATTACCATCCGGTCCAAGAAGGAGATCATTCCCACTCATCATGCGCTTGCACATCTTCCCACTCTCCCAATCGAAAGTCCAATCCTCCAATCCATAACATCTCTTCCACCGCATCCCATCGCTAACATCCTGATATTCATACCAAAATTGTACAGCAATCCGATCATCAGTAAATGCAAAAAGCTCTTTCCGAAGTCGATAGTTCTGTTCTCGGCCCCATTTGGCTGTCAGGAATTCAATAATTTTCTCAGTCCCTGATAGGAAAGATGTACGGTTACGCCAGATACAATCTGGCGTATATGCTAGTGCGACTCGTGAGGGGTCCCTGCTCGGTACATATCTCGGGTTAGCTAGGTGTCACTACGTCATTTAGATGTAACTGGTTCATGACAGAATAGAAATAGGATGGATAAGATTGAACCATATCGGTTGAAGATGCTGGACGCTCAAAGAGGTATCATTGAACATGTGTCTGAACCCTGGGTTCTCGCACGGACAAACATTGAGCGGAGGAATGCAAGGGATGTGGTCACCCTTTCTTCGAACAGTGCCAGGTGATGATTGATTCGGGATTATGAGATAAGGATCTTAACGTACTGGGTATTCCACATATTCTGAGCCGCCTTGACTTTCTTGTGGGCGGTTTCTTTTGTGAAGGGGGGTTTAATGTCGGCCATGATGGGATTGGAGATTTAGCGTGTGCAGCGAAAGAGAGCAGAACGTTGAAGATTAAATAATTCTAAGCGACCGTAGATAATAGATGTAAGCTAAGACTACTTATATATGATATTATTGAGTCATCGGGTAGTTCAAAATATTCGTCATATGCGATTTCGGAGCTCGGCGGCTCCGGGGATGTCACAGTCCACGACGGATAATGATTCAAGTTCAAGTTGGAGCTGCAAATCCCGGGTCCATAAGTGCAGCCGTCGGGTGCTTTGTTTGGGGGCGAAATAGGCTCAGGCGTAAGCTTGCCGACCGCTAGTCAAATCCCGAGTATCCACTTCAATGCGAATGAGGCTTAGAGCTCCAGGGCTGTTGAATAATTAGATAATCGTCAATTTTATTTGTAATAGCAACTACAGTAGTTAACGGAGGTAGCGGAAGTTGTTTGGACCTTCAAGTCCGGTAGTAATTGCCTTGATTCCAAGTTTTTGAAATGCTCCTAAGCTTAATGTGAAAATTGAAGATGGATCTATATATATCATGATGATATTCAACCTTCCGGTCGATCTACATCCAGAGGGAACCCGGACCATACTAGTATGTAGTACATACTACACCTGTGGACAGGAAGCAGTGGTTGAAGGAACGCATAATGTAATTGCCATTTATAAATAAATTTAATTGACGCACACATGGCATGGATGTGTACAGATGGAAGCCAGGTGGATCCCGCGCATTATAGTACATGTACATAGTGTGTTGAAGTATATTTGAGTTGTGCAAGTGGAGCATAACCAAACGAATGACAATATTTAAAACTACTTTATCAAATTGAACACAAATAGAGCTAATGTATGAAAATAGACAGTTCTACAGGTATAAACTGATCGACTTGCTTTGGCATTGGCATGGTCGCAATTTGACAGCTCGGCATAATATTAGTATAAAGTCACTACGAATCAACCCCAGATTTGTGCTTCACCTGTGCACCAGTCTTAGACTTTCGAAAAACAGGATCGAAATCACCAGATCCCGTCAAATAAGATTCGTTCAGGACCGTAGGGAGGGGAATGTCGAGGTGTAATGCGACCCCTTGCAAGTGAGATAGATGGATAAGCTCAGCCAGCGACGCATTACTCCCTCCCCCTTTCAAGGTTAAAGGAATGTCGGTGCTGGATATCCTTATCCTCCCCCAAACAAAACTAGATCTTCGTTTGCTTTGTGTATGTTTTTCCAAAATGAGACGATCATCGGTCGGGATTGTTTCAAGTGTCTCGGGTGGGTGAAGTATACTAGTGATGGGGAGAATCAACAAGGATAATGAGACAAAACCACGGCTAATTTGACTTGAGAAGAAGCAGAATAGTAATGTTGAGTTTGTTGAATTTTTACAAGATATTAAACGAATACAAAATACCCGTTGGTATTGAGCATAGTGGAATAGACGTAGTTAAATAATAGACTGAAGTGATAGTAGCAGCGGGGGTGCATTCCAACGTAGCGGCGGTTGAGTGGAATCTCATCTCTTCGCTCATTCCACAACAGTCGTGTTGAGGCATGCCACATCACCTTTTCTTTCTCGTTCTTCTTTGGATCTTATTCCTCCGCAGCTACCGTCTGTCTACGCTTCTTTCGTTCTTTTGTCCCTTTCTCTTTTCTCGTTCGATCTTTTCGCTCATCCGGGTTGACAGCTCCCGCCACGCCTTTCCTTCTCTTCGCCCGCGTCATGTCGAGCTAATCAGTTCCTTGTCACTCTTTACTGCTCCAGAGACTGAGCCAGCCGATCATTACCATTAATCTTTTCCTTCCGACGAACGCTCCCAGTGAGCGTGATTGTTTCTTTTTCTGTTTCTTCTTATCTGATACATTGTGAGGCATCCGTCAGTCCATTCTTACGCGCAGTATCTGACGAGGATTTTAGTTTCGACTGAACAACAAATCAATCACTGAAGCCTATTTGTGTCTTATTCTGGGTGCAAGTCACATTCGCCCGTGTATCCAAATGGATCAAATGAATTTGGACCTAGATGACGCCTTTCGGAGGCGTCAGCCCCTCATGGATGCCTCGAGCAGGATAAACCACGCCAAATCACCAAAAGTGGAAACCCCACGCGTCCATGTGGAAGAAATCGATCATTTCAAGTCCCCAGACCGCATGTCCGTGGCTATGAGTCCGACGCCACGCGACAAAGAGAACCAGCGTCTCTCAGTTGCCACTGACTGGCAGTCGGAATCAGCCCGGAACTCGGTCGTGTCTACAACCTCGATTTTGTCTAACAAAGGAAAGAGAAAGACACATGTGGGACCCTGGCAATTGGGAAAGACATTGGGGAAGGGGGCTACAGGTCGGGTGAGATTGGCGAAGCACGCGGTGACTGGTCAGACTGCGGCTATCAAGATCGTGTCGAAGAAGTCCGCTGCCATGGTTCAGAGTGAGAGTATCGCTGCCATGGATCGGAATGTGAGCAATTTCTCTGGTTTCTCGAATGCTCGCCATATGCCTTGTGGAATTGAACGTGAGGTTGTCATCATGAAGTTGATCGAGCATTCGAATGTGATCAGCCTGTACGATGTCTGGGAGAACCGTGGAGAGTTGTGAGTATTCCTTGCCCAACCAGATTTCTATTCCTGGAGAAGACACTGACTGGCCTACAGGTACCTTGTACTTGAGTATGTGGAAGGAGGCGAATTGTTTGACTATGTATCTCAAAACGGACCTCTTCCCGAAGAAGAAGCCGTGCGATTGTTTCGTCAAATCATCGCAGGATTAGGATACTGCCACCGATTCAACATCTGCCATCGCGATTTAAAGCCCGAGAACATTTTACTAGATGGAAATCATAATGTCAAGCTGGCGGATTTTGGTATGGCCGCCTTGCAACCTGCAGGCCATTGGTTGAACACATCATGCGGAAGCCCACACTATGCCGCACCCGAGATTATCTACGGGCGCAAATACCGTGGAGATAGAGCAGACATGTGGAGCTGTGGAATCATTCTTTATGCTTTACTGACAGGTTATTTGCCGTTCGATGGTGGAGACTTGCCAAACACATTGCGTCTCGTCAAGAAAGGAGAATACATGATTCCATCAGAATTAAGTGCCGAATCTGCTGATCTTATTACCTCAATTTTGCAAAAGCGCCCTGAAGACCGTATCTCAATGGCGCAGGTTTGGACTCATCCTCTACTGACGAAGTATGAGAAGTTGCATAACGCTATGGCCGATTATTATATTGGACCCCCTCCACCCTTGTCCATCAAAGACTGTGGTGAACCCGTTGCTAGCCGCCACGACATTGATATGGATATTTTACGAAACCTTCAAACTCTGTGGCATGATGTCAAGCCCGATGCGTTGACTAACAGAGTCATGTCTCTCGAGTAAGTTTTGTCTGCTTGCACAATTCATCAACTCTTTTACTTACGTTCAATCAGGCCCACCCACGAAAGGATGTTTTACAATGCGCTTGTGAAGTTTCGAGACGAGCAGTTGGAAAACTACCAGGGACAGCCCCTAGAATACTCCGCGAGTGATTACCACCACATCTCCAAGCCTGGTGGGAGATTGCGACAGGGCCGCAGCCAGACCGGACTCAACAATACCAGGAGACGGTCTCATGTCTCGATTGTAAAAGACATGCATCGCCGATTCCAGACACAAGAGCCAAAATCGTCTGCTAGCGTGGAAAGTTACGACCCATTCAGGTCTCCGAAGCACAAGGGTACAGCCGTGGAGGCCAAGTACGCACAAATAACCGTTCACAAGGCGATTCCCGAGGTTCCAGAACGAGGTGAAGTCTCGCCTGTGGTCAAAGCTCCTTCCATTGTCGAAGAAGAGGAACCTGAAGAGGAGCAGGAGGAGGAGGAGGAGGAAGCCGAGAACTCGCCCTTCACAGTTCTACAGAAAAGGAAGCACAAGCCAAACTCCATGAAATCCTTCCAGTCATCTAAAGTACCACACTCCAGCTCTCGCGCTCATGGTATGTCCACTGCGCGATCTACAAGCTACCACAGAAACGTTTCTTTCCACCATGCTCGCAATCGATCTCAAGGGTCAACTAAGCCCAAGAGGCGAAAGACAGCCCCCAATCAGCAAACCGATCTTAAGAGATCACCCAGCGCCGCTAGCTTGCAGATGATTGCAGATGGGGTACCTGTTCCCGAAATACCCAGCAGTCCGCCTCTCCCAGCACAGCCAACTCTTGTTCGACCTAGCGGGAACAAGTCTAGGAACTCTGAACAGCCCCGCAGAATTCTGAAGTCCGATCTCATCTGGAGGGAAGATGCTCGCAAAGTTTCCAGCGAGCTTGGTCAAATCTGTGAAGAGGCATTTAACGGAAGCTCTGTTACAACAATCCGATCAGCAAGTGCCTGCACTGAGGTGGGATATGAGACTCCCACAACACCTGTTTCTATCGTGAGTGAGCGGACCGACAAGCCTGCGAAGACTGCCGCGCACCATACTTCATTCCCTCCTCGTGAATCAAGTCGGTCTTACAGTATCAATGAGCTCACTGAGACACGACGGAAACTCGTTGAGCACAGTGCAGGTCGAAGCGATAACATTCCAGGTTACCTCTCGGGTGTCATCGGTCATCTAGATCGTCTCATCGAGGAAGATCAAGTCCAAAAGCGGACTAGAGGATTGGGAGAACATGAACCACAATTCACAGATCCATTCGTTACCACTAACCAGGAGTACTCGCTGCCCGCTATTAGCGAAGAGTTTGCCAGCCCTATTCGTGGACCTGAAGAGCTCAGCCCCAAGCGCAAGAACAAGTCTCGTCCAACAACTCGCCGTAGCGATGCAAAAGCAACCATTCGCATGGTTCCACACAGCTCCATGCGCTCAATGGAAGAAGTGAAGCCCCTCATGATTCGCAAGAAGAATCAGCTCCCCGGCTCAGATGTCGGCCACATGGATCCCATTCGTGCATTCTCTGCTAGCTCGCGCGGAGGTCGCCATTCCAGCGCCCTCGATCCCATTGACGAAGTTCCAGGGTCCCCCAAGAAAGCAGAAAAAGGTACAGATAACAAAAAGTGGTCTTGGTTCAAACATCGATCTCAAATTTCCGATCCCACCCCCGCTATTCCACCAAAGGACCAGCAACAGCAAGTCATTGTCCCCAGTAACGGAACAGTTGTTGTTCATCCACCCCAGGAACTTGGATCGCCTACCCGCTCCGAACCTGAAAGGGTTCCAGTCAGGAAAACGTCTATGGAGCGATTTGGCGGAGCTATCAAGAAGCTTATGACCAAAAAGTCAACCAAGGCAGTTCCTCAACATGGAACTGGTATGTTTAATTCCCTCAACTGTATCGCCATCTCACTAAAACCCATTCAAGAAAAAGGCCTCCCGAAGGACTCCCGCGCCTCAGAAATTATTTGCAATGGTTCCCCGGATGTGGATAGTTCGTCTGAGGCCAATGATTCTCAGTCCCCGCCACTGGCCAAGCGAAAATCCATCGCCAATCAGAACTGGTTTGCTCGCGTTTTTCAAATTAAGCCAGCTACCAGGGTGATTGCTCTCAACACAACAAAGGTAAAGGGACGCAAAGAGATTCATAAGCTTCTCTGTGAGTGGGAAGACTACGGTATGGAGGATGTGTACATGGATAAGTCAAATAGTCTTGTCCACGGTCGCGTTGGAGAAGTCAACTGTATGTTTTCTCGCTTTATCTCCCTTTCATCCCAACACCGATACTGATTAAATTTAGTCCTTCGACTCCGTGAAGTAGAGTTCACAGCTGAATTTTACACCGTCCTCGAACACCGTCGAAAAGCCAATCTTAGTCTTGTCCAATTCAAGCAGCAACGTGGTGCCGCTTCATCTTTCAACAAGGTCGTCGACACCGTGACTATGATGATGAGATCTCGCGGTCTTGTCGTTGAAGACCCAACCCGAGCCAAGAGTATGGCTCGAGTACTGGAGACAATTCCAAACGCATAAGTCTGATCCCTCTACTTTTTCTTTTCGTTCGATCTTCTTTTCAACCGACCTCAGTCTCTCGTTTATGAATTTCTCCTGCGTTTCAGCCTACGAAGCAATCATGTTTGCTGCACATCTCATCATCCTTTCCCCAGCTTCAATATCAACACTCTTTTCCAATATCAACTGGCTCTTCGAGTCCAAGTCCCTCGTTTCTTCCCATGTTTCATTTTCATGTCCCATCTACTTCCCACCCTGAACACCTAAAACAAATTTTTCTTGCATTTGACTTTTCACTTGTCTGTTTTTGCAACCCTTGATCTTCTAATCTAATTGGAGCGTAATTCATAATTGTCGCGCGTCAGTTGATAGGTCCTTTCTCATTCATCCTGTCGGATTGGATATAAAGACCCAAGTACATTAGTTAGTTGCAACCAATTCAACCCAATTAGCTATGCTTCAATTTCAATTTCAATATCAATATCTTCTATAACCGTGCACACAATCTAGTTCCTATTATCAATTCCCATCCGAAAACCATTGCACTCGCAATCATAATTACAATCTATTACCAATTCCCTAAGCCCTCCCATCCTCAACTTGAACATCCAACCCATGAATCAACTCCTCCTTCCATCCCCAAGCAAGCGCAAAAGCGGCCCCAGGCCCCACAGCAAAAGTCCCACCTACAAGACCCAAAACACTCTTCCACCCCCCAATATCAACACCAGATTTCTTCAACTCCCTGAATCTCAACGCAAGCCACGCAAATCCAGTCCCCATAGTCAGAATCTGATCCCATTGCAAAAACTGCGCAATCCCCTTATACAGCGATACTTCATCTCTAATATCCCAACCAGGCCAGAAAGTATTCAATCCCCACGATCCAGCTGGTGCTGTGAATCGCGCATAAGTAAATCCTACCGCTGCAATCGCTGCGAAAGATCCATATCCTACCCTTATAGCTTTGATGCTTCTTGTTCGATTTGCAGAACGGATTTCCGGTGTAGCGGATTTAGGGCTTTTGCCGCTTTTGCTGAATCCAAATAGAAGGGTTATTGGGATTTGAAGTGCGGGTACGAGGATAGGAAAGAATTGCCAGATTGCGTTGGAGGTTTTTCGGTCTTGAAGGGAGGGTAGGAGGAACATTGCTAGGGCCGGGAGTGCCTGGATGGTTATGATTGATAGGACGGTGGTGTATGTTTTTCGGGGTTCTATTTCGCGGTTGTTGGATTTTGCGAGGTCCTGAAGGGAGATGGAGTTGTATTGCAGGATTGAGTAGATTGGGGATATTAGGCCCATTCCGCGGAGTTGGGAAAGGATTCCCATTGTTATTGGACTGGATGATGTTAGTTGGTGAGGTTGGATTAGATTGGAGGTTGGGGTTTTGTGAGGGCTGGGTGTGATGGGATGGATAGCTTACAGTATCACTCCCATGGTAGAATGTGCTTTGCGGTAGCTTTCTAGAAGCCAGATCCCGTATAATCCGTTCGCATCGGTTAAGAAGGTGAATGTCTGAGTTCGCGATACCAGATCCGAGCCCATGGTTGATGGAAGGAAAAACGTAACTAGCACCCGGAGGATATTATCGATTGACTTTATAGGGATGATAGCGTCACTCAGATTCAAGACTTCCGTGCCTGTATTCCAGCCTTGATTCATCAGTGGAAGAAGCTGCGGTAGAATCTTAGGCATAATTGCTCCCATCGTCGAAAATGCGAGACCCGTTATCCCCAACAATGGGAGAGACCATAGTAACCGCTGGAACGGCTTTTCCTTTATAATTGCTGATAGGTCATCGTGACATTTATATGGGATGAGTCCCTTGTATGATCTTGTTGGCGGAGGGAGGCAGTTGACTATTTCTGCGCCGATTGTGGATTCTGTCCGACTTGGTTCTCCGAGGCTGATTAAGAGGGGGAGAAACCTTTTCATGATCTTGTGGTAGGGTTTTTCTAATGTTTCGAGGCGGGGCATACTGGCTGCCATTTTCCAGGTTGGTTCGAGTCGGATTCTGCGGGTCTTTTCCCATTCTTGAAGATGGTGGTTTATCTCTTTGGCTTCTTTTGAGGATTGGGCAATGGTTGCGAGGGTGTTGGATAGAGATACTGCGCTTTCGATGGCGCTGTTGGCTCCAACGCCTGCATTGGGCGTCATCTGGGTGATTAGAGTTAGAATTGGTTCATTGGTCTTGTTGGAGACTTTTTTCTTTTCTTTCTCCAAACGTACCTTGTGCGCTGAATCTCCGATACAGACGAATCGGTCCATACACCAGAATTTGTATAGAGCCTCTTCGAGTGGCAGCCAAGCAAGAACCTCGGCATTGTTGTATACCTGAGATAGTTGAATAATATCTGTTACTGGACGGTTAAGATATGGCGCAATATGCTCGTGGATATCCTCCTTTTTGTACCGTGGGATCTCATGGCTCCCGTATTTCCGGTCTAGCCTCGTGAAGAAGAAAAAGTAGACCTTGTCGTTCTTTCCCACCATGACGAGAATGCCCCATCCGTCGCCGTATGTGCGGTAGATATCTGGGGCAGGCATTCCTGGTATCGGTGAAGCGATTCCAAACACGCAATTATATTCGCATGTCATTCCTGGACTTCATAGTTAGCTTGAAGCCCTGAAGCTTGTGAATAAAACAACGTCGAGAGACTGATATAGATGAACGTATTTCTCCGGGTAGGGATATACGTACTCTCGCGCTCTAACCGAACCTCTTTCTCCATTGCAAGTGTATCCATGTGCTTCCACATCTGTTCTCGGACTTCACTTCTGATACCATCGGCACCAACAACGATATCGCCTCGGAAGGATGATCCATCGGCACATCGAACAAGTACATCGCTAGAATGATGTTCAATAGAAGTAACTCTCTTCCCAGTTAAGACTTTATCTTTCTGTGTGCCCATATGCTTATAAAGAATTTGAAGCAGTGTTTGACGCGTCAAGAAAGCCCCCGCGTACGCATGGCTAGATATCATTAGTTCAAAGCCCACATAATAAGACCCTGAACTTGAATTAGAGCCTGTAAATCATAAACTCACTTTTTCTCTGCCTCAAACGGAACATCCGTCTTGCAAAGCAACTTCCCACTTGAATCCCAGTTATACACGTCTCGCAATGGCTCAACCTCATCAAGGATATCATCTAAAATCCCCAACTGATCCAGCGCGAGCGATGCATTCGGCATAATACTTATCGAGGCGCCTTCTTGTGGTGCGATATCGTCGCGTGCTTCAAGTACTACGTACTCGATGTTGTGTTTTCTTAAGCATTGTGCTAACGTTAAGCCAGCGACTGAGCCGCCCACTATTATCACGCGGAACCCCTGCTTTTCCATCGTGGTGGTTATTTGACAAAGGTGCTAGTACTAAGGTAGGAGTAGTGGGAGGTAAAGAAAACTTGGGAATGGAAGAAATTAGTTCGTACATGGGTATAAATAGGGGGCCGAATTGCTTATTCACGGAGTACTGGTAAGACTTAATCCATTCCGAATCTCAGCCCGCTGTACAGAATGGTATCTTTGTTGCGGCGCTAATGGATATACGTTTTGGCCAATTAGATTTAAGATGCATTGTGGAGTGAATCCACTCCAATGATTTGATTCATTTGATCCACTGGCTGAGTGTGGAAAAGATCTACTGATACAAATATTTTAATTTAATTGCTTTATTTGTTAGAAGTTGAACTTTTCAAATTTGGATTGTAAAGATTTATCATACCATAGGTGCCTATCTATGGATAGAAATCTAGTAATACAGTAGGGTACTTTGGTCTCCTGAGGGGAAGGAGAAGCGGTGAAAGACAAGACATCCCCGAAACGCTTACTCTATCTAGCGGGAGATACGGCATTGTGCTTGGGGGCGGAAACGCGCAAATTATGAATCATCACCTTAACCTAAGACAGTTATGCTTCCACTCGAGTCATGTTACTTCTCTACTATAATTTGCTAAATAGCTTACTGGTAATGCACTCAGACAAGGGTATGTATACTTCATTCATACTCCATTTACAAAGCTAGTACATACATGCTACCCAGTGGTCTCCACTTTGAGATCAAGATTCAACGTTGATTTGTGGATCGTCGATCTGAATCTTCGTCTGAATTTATAATGTCTTGATATCAGGACTCTTCTGGAAACCTCAATGTAAATACGCTATTTTAGAGTATTAAAGTAGGTACTAGTGCTAGATACATCCATGTATACTAACAAGTACTAATTGTCCAATAAGGTTGATGCTCTAGAAATGGAGAACTGATAACTATGTGCTGTCAGTTAAAGTTCTACTTATAAATCTAATTTGACCGATTCAAGTCTCCATCGGCTTGGTCCTTAAATAGTAGATACAGACACTGGTATACTAAAAACATTGAAATTGGAGTTGGAGTTCAAGAACCGTATTACCTCCCCACAAATACCATATTCAGCATTACTACTAGGTACTTAGTAGTACAAACTCATCTACAGCCCAATAACCAATAAATTGAACTCAACATCGAAGTAGAATACATATACACACTTCTAAACGCATGGACTACCTGACTTCAACTTGCTTTACTAAACCAAACCAACCTCGATCTAAACAAGCAAACCAGCAAACGCGGCCCTTCCATCAACTAAAATCAAATATAAAAGGTACTTTACGTCATCAATTCAACCTACATAATGGCCGAAATGGTTGAGCTAGTACCAGTCCGGTAGGTGCGAGCCTAGTCTGCAGGTGGCTAGTATGTTCACGGGTATGTATGTATTGATCCCTGCTGTGGAGAGTGCCCATGACGGGTCGGGACGGATCGTCTTCGGCTTCGGAATCGCCGTCCGTTCGGTCCATCCCATCCCATCCCATCCCATCATTTTATCTACAACCCCGCATAGATCGACCTTGGGATCAATTTATAATGCGTTCCGGGACGTTAGATCTGAAGATCTGTTGTCCTGAGGATCTGATCTAATCTTGATCTTGATTGATTTGGGGTTAATTAGATATTGGATATCTGGAGCTATAGATTGGACAGTTCTAGCTCTGGTGCTAATTCTGGATCTGTTATTGCAAGGGGGCTTATTTCGTATTTATATCTACAGATTAAGTAGTGGTTCAATTAGATATAGAGTCGAGTCGGGTGGTACCCAGTCACGTCTTATAGATCAAAACGAATTCCATGTAAAACTTAAATCAAATGACAAAGAGTGATCAAACAGCCTATCCCAGTTGTAACGCAGAAACGAAAAGAGGAAAAAGAAAACCAATGAAACAGAATAAAATAGTTGACACAGCCGACCATGTTTTGTCAATGACAACGCGAAACGCGAGAGCTGAAACAGATTGCCTTCCCCATAATTTAGCTGAAACGAGAAACAAACAAGAAACAGATACAGAAGAGATAGAGAGCATGAGAACTTGGACTTGAAACATGAAGTAAAGGCTGAAGTCGAAGCTGAAGCTGAAAAGAAAAAGCCGAACCCGGTAAATCCACGCGGAAAATGATCAAAAAGCCGTCCCGAAATTTGTAACTATGCGTGCCTCCGGATGCGAGGGGTGTATATTGTAACACTCGAGGGAGGGACAAAAGGAATTGAGGTTGTTGTGGGGAGGGGTTTGTGTATGCATGGAGCCGAAACAGTGCAGTGTGCTGCGTATTTGCTGATCTGATGACACTTTTCAGCTCAACTAGACTGGTCTAGTCTGGTCTGGTCTGATCTAGTTTGCTCGGGAACGCAGACAACCGGCTTTGTGGGCTGAATTGCTGCATTTCGAGTAACGGAACTGGACTGAGTTGAACTGTGTGCTTCTCGGCTGCATAATCTGCAGGATGGATGCACATGCAAGTGCAAGACGGAAACACTGGTCCTCCAACATTGGCCTCGAGCCCCCTCCACAATTAATCAGAAAAGTGAAAATCGAAATATATGGCGAAAAGGGAAAGAAATAGAGAAATAAAGAAAAGAAAAGTAGGTCGTATACCCATACCAAGGATGTTTGGTATTGGTAATTTCGATTATTCGAAAGGTCGTGCGGCTCGTAAAGCTCATGGGTCCGCATTTCGTGGCATCATGGCAGGATCGGATGAAAATCCCAGCATGCAAATTTAAAAAAGACCGTTTCATCGTCGCCAAATTCTTGCCCGTTTCAAGTGACATGTTGAGATTCCGAAAAATCGGATAGGAGATATCGGACATTCCTTTCCGGTGTTCCCTTGGAATATCATTCGAAGGTCTCGTTATCGTATAGGCACGGGAAAAAGAACCATGTTCTCTCATTTTGTGACATGCCGATTTCCCCGAAAGGAATGAGAGATAGGAGGATTCCAGAGAAAACCTTCTCACGATTGAAGGGGGTTGAACAGTGAAAATCAAAAACAAAACACAAAAGGACGAGATCCTGCCGGAAGTTCTCCGATCTAGCCATGATGCCCTGTAGGTAACCATAACTCTCAACATATGGTGCTTTTCAATAACCGTGTGGCCAGCACACGGAGGATTCCTCCGCAAATTCTCGACATTCCCGTCGCGTCCCATTCTCCCGATCCCTCGGGGTTTGCATTACCACCCAGTCATAGACCGAGACGAATAAAAAAGAGTAAAAGAAAAAAAGAACAGAACTGAACCGAACTGAACACAAATGGCAAGTAAATGTAATTGAGAGATGCTTTTCTTTCGTCTTTTATTGGCCGAGACCACGCCGATTGAGAGCATTGAGCATGTCACTATCGGTACTGGATCGACCATTGCCATTGGAATCGCCAGGGTTAAGCATGTCACGCACATTCAATCCAGCGCGTCCCGAGCCGCCAGGTGTTGAAGTGGGAGGTGGTGTGGGACCACCTTGCGGCGGTGGTGGTGGTGGCTGATGCTGCGCCTGCATTGGTGGGTATGGTGAGCCGTGAGGAGAGGACGAATGACGAGCTTCAACAGCGTATGTAGATTGCGGCGACGTGCGCCGATCTTGCGGTAGGGGTGGAGGGTAATAAGGGCTAGGAGATGGGTACCCCGGAGCGGAAGTGGAAACGGGAGCCAGATTTGTCGGATCAGGATAATCACTCATTGCACCAACAGGTTGTCTCTGTACACCAAAAAATTAGCTTTTGAAGATTTTCTTTGGCAAGTCCAATAAGGGAATGGTCTGTCTTACCGGATCCGTCGAGGAGGACGCAAGGGGTGGCCCGCCATACGGGTATTGTTGATACATCCCTTGAGGCGGAGGCAGGGTCGTTTCGGGACCTTGCGGCTGGTGCTGGGGAGGGAGAGGTTGTCCATGGGCCCCGTAGAGGGTTACGCCGCTGGTGCGGCCCGCGCCCTGGTTGCGCAAATGAGGGTAGGCGGCATGGGCAGGTACGAATGCTTGCGCCTGGGAGGAAACTGGGGTGAACATGCACTCTTGGTTGAATCGCACACAGTTGGTACACCGCCCGTCTGTGGAGCTTTCAAATCCCGAGCAACGAATCTGTGAAGCAGGTTAGTATGCTTGAGCTGCTTTGACCGGTATGCTTTGAGATTCATTTGAGATTCATGTCTTCGCAGATTCATCTTCTGGTATCCAATCAATCCGAACCCGTAGAGAACAATGAAAGCGTAAGAGTCTTGAATCCCTCTTCTTCTTCGTACGTACCTTGCGACGACGACAGTAGCGACAGGCAATGGCAGTTCGCTGACGTGGTGCGGCGGCCTGGTAGACACCGTTTCCGGGAGGTGGTTGGCCGTACATATCTGGACGTGGAGGATATCCCGCGGGTGGGGGAGGCAAGCGGTGATAGGGATCTTGGCCTGGAACCGGCATTTGGTGGTGAATAGCAGCCATGTTGTGCGGAGGTGGAGGAGGGTATTGCGAAGATGGCGGAGGAGGGGGATAATAGGCGCGATCGTGATCCGGTGGAGGGGGATAGGACGAGGGCGGATACTTGAAGGAACAGAATAGATAGGTCAGCTTATTTCTTATTCCTTTGAACTAGCTTGTTGGGCGATGATCGATTCGTAAGATCAGCTGCGCCTCATGCGATCTGTTCCCCTCGGCCTTCTCGTGTTTCTGTGTTCGTGTTCGTTCAATTCATACATACCTGATAAGCACCGTGATCCTCGGACTGACCGTTCCACGGGGGTGGATACTGTCCCTGGCGATTAGGGTCGTTGGACATTGGGTCGGATTTGAGGGGGAGGAGAGGAAGTAGAAGTAAGAAAAGGAGACCAGATGAGATGAGTCAAGGGTGCAGGGATGTGACGTCGAGTTATTGAAAGGGGAGGGGGAATCACGACAGCATAGCGCGGTCACGCAGGGGGGAAAAAGAAAAAAAAAAAGAAAAAAAGAAAAAGAAAATCACAAAAGAGGAAGATCCTTAAGAGAGAGTAGTGCAGGAAGGAAATATCAAAAGGAAATAGGAATTAGGAAATATAAGAAATCCGAATCCACGGGTAGACAGGGAAGGAAGAAATAAAAAAGATTAAAATATGGAAAAAAAGAAATCAAACAAGAAATAATAAAAAAAGAGAAAAATCGAATCAAAAAAAAGAAAAAGAAAAAAAAGCAGCAAACGAGCCTCGGCGACAAGTTATGACGTGAGCAAGTAATACTGGGAGTGGAGTAGTAATACTGGGAGTGGTAGACTGGTAGACGGACACTGTACAGTGTATGGTAGTAGAGAAGAAACTCGGTTCTTACATTTTCTTTGATTTTCTTCATTTCTTCATTTCCCTCATTTTCTTTAATTTTCTTATTCGCTCATTTCCATTTCCATTTCCTTTTTTCTTTTTAAACCGAAGTGGAGCCCGGGCAGAACGGGCTAAAGCGGCGCCTAGGGACCCATCGGTATGGATGGGCCAGGATGGCGGGACCCTCAGACGCTAGGGCATCAGCTGAGGATGAGGACTGAGGACTGAGGACTCGGGTGGAAACCGAGTCAAAACACAGAAATACAAATTAGATACTATTTGTAGATATAGATATATAGATCTATATATCTGTTAACCCCATATTAACCGTGGTAGTAAATCTGTCATACTGTATACAGTATGAAGGGGTTCACCCCTCCACCAACTGGAAAGGGAACTAAAAGCACACTACTGTCGTCCCGGAAGTATAACTCGTTCCTTTTTTTAGCCCCCATTATTTCCCCTCTCCCCACGACACCCTAAAGTCGGTCAAGATCTGAGAAGTGCATAGAAATATAGAAATATGAATATCTTGACTCCAATTAATCATGTTCACTGGGTTACGACTCTGTTACTACATAGTACTGTCAGGCTGTACTACTCACGGAGGACTCCGAGTACTTCGTATGAATGCCCAATCCTGGCCCCTGGGCTTGAAACTGGCGATACATCAATCATATCTTCACGATACAGGACGCATATGCATTGCACAGGTACTCGATGTTGATTGTGACATCATCTGCAACGATCCGACATTGAATACTGAGCGGCACCTAGTATGATATAAGATAATAATTGTCATTATAATATAATCACTATTAATCCCGGTCAAACAGGTGACTGAATGGCAGGGACTGCTATGCACGATGTTGGGCAGGGTGGATCGGCATGGATTCCTCCACGTACTCAGACTGGACAGAGCGACTCGGACCGTCGTCGCACAACCGCAACCGGCCCCGCGGAACCAAGATTCTTTTCCACGGCGATGGGCGCGGCTCGGGGCGAATCTGCGTTGCAACCCAACAGACAGGCAGAATTACAGTAAATTATAAAATATCAAAGAAAAGAAAAATTATTATGATTTACAAAGCAGAGGAAGAAGAAGAAAAAAAGGAGACTAAACAGGGGGGCAAAGAGGGGGAAATCCAAGTGGGGGAAAAAAAACAACCAACAATTCACCCCCCCATCCGGCATGGCATATCTGCTCCGGGCCATGTACATAGCGCTACTGCAAGTACTATCGAACACTGCTCAGGAAGACCAAGCACAGCCAGAGCGGTGTGCAAAGTGGCGATCAGACTTCAGCTGAACATTTGAAGGGAGTGGGGTTCAGCTTTTGGATTTTTTATTTTTTCACTTTCGCCACCCCATTCCCATTTCCCCCCAATACGAGTCTGGTGACGGAGAGAAACATCAGAGCGGAGCCGGTGTACCTCATGCATTTACTGGTTCGGATCAGCTTATTGGTTCACGGGCTTGCTGACCGGCAGTGGACGACCATAAAGAATCCCAGCTCTGTGGCACTGGAACCGGAAAGCCCATCATGAGCCAAGGTAACCTGCATTAGCGTCGGTAAGCTGCTGATGGGGGGGGCGGGTTCCTTGTTCTCGAGGAGCCACAACCACGTTGTACCGGGGAGTGGAGAAGCGTCGTGGCAGGATCAATCAGAAATCACAAGAGTTGTGGTGATGGAATAATGATAATAGCTGTTTGAGAAAGTGATGTCGAAGGTAAATGTGATAGATGTGATTACAGTATGTAAAGGGTGTACTCCGTACCGTAGGTACTATGTAGTGTGCCAGGTGCAAAAGTCTGTCATAAATGGACACAGACACAGATGGATCTTCCTGGTCACCGCTCATCCCTAACCCCAATTCAATCCAATCCCTCATCCCGCCCGTCCATGTTTCTGAATCCATGATTCACAAGGGGCCATAATCCATTTATGGATCACACCAAATTAATTAATTAATTAATCTACACTGATCTGCACTGTTCTACAGCACTCTTCTACCTGTAACACATTTCTAATATTAACAAAAATATAATTCTAACCGAGTACTCTGAGTTCTCTGAGTACAATATCGAACTTTTGCTCGGGGTACAACTGTACTTGTCCCCACGGGCCGCTCCGGCCTTCCCGCCGATCTTATGCATGTGTGTGCCATCGGGCAAAAAGGAAAAAGAAATGAAAAAAAAATGAGTTCAAATGACCAAATGATAAAATGTGACGGTCGGGGAACGCGGTGATTGGTAGTCCACTACACCTGCAGCCTGGAGTGTACATATATACTGTATGCACTTTACCCATACCATACTTAAGTTTACTGGAGTCCTTACCCAGCAGTACTACTGGGCAGTGCAATCGATATCATATTCACAGACTCAGCTGAATAGTACTCGCTACCATACTCCATTCCTCTCCCCATAAATCCATATCCATCTACGAATACAGTGGATTGCCACGTTTTTCAAGTTTTCACTTCCCTGTTTTCCTGCGAACCCAATCGGCCACCTACATTCCCGTCCGCGTCCTTCCGTTTCCGCTTCTCTCCACTTGCTCACCTTCAATGCTGTTAGTGACCTTTAGTGTACCAAGTTCTAGTCAGCTCGCATTCAGTGTACATTTTAGTTTTATAATTATTCTATTTAATTTAATTTAATCCTTCATCCCCACTCGTCCCAGTCTTCTCGTCCATTCATTCCCTTTTTTCTGAAGGACGCGCTATTCTACATTATCTCCGTTCGGACCCAAAGGGACTGAGCGTTGGGGTTGGGGGCTTAGGCCCGTCCCCGACCGTATGTCTTTCTTTCTTGTCTGGTCTTTCTGCAGCGATTTTCTTTTCTTTTCTTTTAATTTTATTTTGAGAAATGTTTTTAGTCCTTAGTGTTCCAAGGTTTGCTATTTAGTTAATGTAGTGGTTCCCCGTATCCATACCCATTCAAGTCTTTCTAGGCCTTCCATGCGTGATGATGTCCACTTCATTCTTTGGTTCGGGTTTTGGTCTACCCATTGCTGGGTCCTGGCCTTGTCTTAGCTGTACATGACTGTTCCTCTTGTCTTGTTCTATGTATTCCTTTGTTCTAGGGGTTGGAATGCAAGGCTCCCTTCTCTTCTCCCTTTCCACGTTTCTTCCCTGGAATTTAATTAAACTTGATTTTATCATGTTCATTCCTGCTACCAGTAACCGGTTTTACTTCTCATTGTGATTTTTAATCTCCTTTTCACCGTCCCTCCACACGGGAGCGCGTCTAGGATGGAGTCCCGTCGGGCACTAATAGGCGCTGCCCGCTGCCCGCATGGCTGCTCGGTCACGGGAACACGGGTCGTTCACGGACCTATGACGGGGCCGAACCGGGTGGGATCTGACGTGGCTTCGGCAGGGTTTGGAGGCAGTGCACTGGACTTGCACTAGCACTTGCGCTTGGTTGTAGTGTTTTGGATTTGGTTGGATATCGTGTTTGGATTGGTTCGGTCGTGTGATGGGTCGTAGGGGCGGTGACACCATTGTATTGGGATTTGAACGATTCTACTAATATTAATTAATATTAGCATTTTTTGAATCTGTTTCTGTGTTTGTTGGTTACCTGTGCTTTTTATTGCTTTTAATATTTATTTTTATTTGTCTACGGAGTACTTTCAAGTTTATCTATTGTTTGTCATACGCGGGTCGATCACATTGCTTTTTTTTATCTGCTGCTATCCGGCTACATAGTTAATTTGTCTGACACATCCGTACACTGACTGCACTGAGTCGGGTTGGAAGGTTCAAGTTCAAGTTCAATTTCAATTTCAATTTCAACTTTCAATAATATCTAATTTGACGACCTTGAAGTTTCTAAATAATTAACAATCCCAAGTCTCAACAGATAATTTCGGTACATGCACACAAAAAAATTGGAAATAATGAACACACCAACAAAAACAAAGAAAAAAAAACAACATCTAATCCTACCCTCATAATCCATGACATCAATTACAGGGTCTGAGTACAACATGCACAAACCCACAAGGCTGACGGGATGACCAGGGATCGTGACCAACAACGCTGCCACTGCCAACCTGAGCGCCCGCAAAACCAACCAACCCAACCTAAACCAAAACTTAACTCAAATTCCGCTGCGAACCGCACTGGCACATCCTGGCCTTGGGCACCAAGATCTTTCAAGTTTCGGTTATGCATCCTGCACGGGAACATCATCTGTGCTTCTGCCCGTGCTCCCGCAGGGGATCCCTGGTGACTGGGGTTTGACGTGGCTTGCTTGGGTTGGTCGGATTTATTAAATCCATTAAATTTAATCAAGTGTGTGTATTTATTCAAAGGTTTTTATTTATTTTAGTAGTAAGTGAAAGTGAAAGTGAAAATGAAAATGTCGGTCCTTTGGTTCTGGTTTTGCCAAGTCATATATGTAGGGATGGTTGGTCACTTGATACGGTGTGTATGCGGTGTGATTAATGGATCGAATCCAGTTCTGATATGCGGGTTGATGTCATTATCACATTATTCCTGATGGCACTGGATCTATATTATACAGTTATATTGACTGTTAACTTTGACGTCGACTGTTGCTGTACTTCACTATGGAAAATGTAAGACAGCGATGTCCACTGACAAGAACCTATAACCTATATTATGTCTACAACCTGAGGAACGGGAAAATATTGAAGTTCACCTTGAATTGATAGAAATGAATATTCTCTTCAGCTGAGCTTCAGCGCTGACTACAAATCTTGATTCAAGTTGTGCTATACTCAACTTCATGGTTCTTCTTCATCAATGAATCAGCCTGGCTTTCTCACCGAGCATATCATCCATGTACCTTACTAGGTTTCGCGAACTACAACTTATTCCCCGAAACCATACTATCCATCATAGTTCCCTGCATCTGCTCCTATCTCCATCTCCAGCTCGATCAAGGATAAAGCAAACCATGCCCACCTCAGCCGTCTGAACAAGGTCAACCCATGATAACCAATTCAATTCCAACATGACAGCAATCTCAGCTAGTCACTAGCACCCTCTACTAAAGAGCATTTGAACTTGCACACCGGATGTACCCACCCCCTACTACTAGTACATAGTAGATCAAAACTTGAAATATCTACTTTTTGTGCGGTAGAACCCGCTAGAAAATGGAACAGCATTTGGTCTCTGCGCGGGAAATATCTCCCGGTCGATCTTAATCCATTTCAACTGAATATTGAAGATCGCTCCGCTCTTCTTTTCGGGGCTGGGTCCTGGGTCCTGGGTCACGGTCTTACCTAATGGAGTTGGTGTTCACTTCCGACAAGCTGAGGTTGGTCCTTCGTGATGATCAGCAGCTATACGGTGTACATACGAGAGAATTTGCGTGATGCCTTATTATTCATTCTGATACACGGCTTGAACTCGAAGAAATGATTTAACTAGCAGAGCTTTTAATATTAACAATTGTTTTCAATTCACATCAGATCAGATCAATCCCACCAGTATAATAATGAACAGCATACACAACCAACTTGAACTTCAGAATCCACCTTGCAGTGCCAGTCGAGCTTCTGAATAGGCAGCATCCATCCATCCGACCCAAACCAAACGAACCATCTCACCGGGTTGGGTCACTCCATCGAACCAAAGAAACCCTGGACCATTCCATACCAGGAAGGTGCTATATCACCGCTGGAACTAGAATCCCAGTGGAATTCTATGTTTTAGGGGATAGGGGAATAGGGGGGCTGATCGGAAGTCTGGTTCACTATAGCGTTCCAAAGAGTCTTCGTTTATGGTACTGGTAAAGGCATGCGGCGGAGTCCCCGACCCGACCCAATCCTTTAGAGCGCCTGTGGGTGTTCCAAGGTTTTGCTAGCGGGCTTGCCCGATAACGGGCCGAAGGCGCGGGCGCTTGAGTGGGTTGCTGTACAGTAATTGTAAGGTTGTGAAGAGATTTATTTGATGTTCTGTTCACGTTCTGTTTGGGTTAATTTTTGAGATTGGAGACTCCAGTGCGTGTCTGTTTCTGGTTCGGTGTTGTTCGCTTCCGAGTTCGTGGGTTCATGGCCCCCGGGGTGAAATATGGTAGACTACGCCACGAAGGAAAATTATATTCCAGTTCAAGTTACTTGTGTGTCTGATTGAGGAACTTGAATACTAGATAGTATAATGATGGTTTTCTATTCTGAGATGTAATAATTGTTCTAGCAACGCTAGTATACCGTTCTCAGGCTCGTGTACAATCCGTGGCGGCGCGCCTAGTGAAAAATAAGATTAAAGAAAACAGAAGATTGGAAAGAAAAAAGCCGAGGAACAAAAGCCCGTAAAAAAGACCCAGAATTGTGGGAAAGTGCAAAAATGACTCAATAAAACTAATCTAATTGCGCATTGTTTCATCTCGGGCTCCATATTCGGGCTTTACCCTTACCCTTTACCCTGCTTCAAATGTTCCTTGGTAGTTTACTGCTTTGTATGGAAAGTACTGTGACGAAGTTGCAGTGACAGCTGCAATGCAAGTGAATGGAACCGGGAAATGCACCTGGCTTTGTTGGGAGTGGGATTGGGATTGGGCAGGGATTTTGTTTGTTAGGGTATTTTGTTGCGAGATGCGTGTTTAACTAGACTAAGAAAGAGAAGGATTGGGATGCAATGCAATGCGTTATTTCGACGGACTCGAAAGACTGCAGGACTAGTATGTATATTTGCTTATTGGTAGCGGTAGCTTTAGTTGATCTATGCATGTGCAGCTGCGGCTAGTTGAATTCCCCGATTATGATTATGATTATGATTCTTGTGGGGATGGAATATTACATGGCAGGACTTGGAGGGGTAGATGGGATTCATAATTGTAAATTGTTGTTCTCCTGGTTCTTCTAGAATGTGCTGTCACTGCTGTGCCGTGGTGCTGCGCTACTTTGCCCCTCTTCCCCTCCCACTGTGGAGTGGATGTCGGTTGATGGAGCATCATGCTTATGTTTGTGTTGGTACTTATTGATCGGGCATCACAACACTGTTGAGATACGTCACCTATTAAGAAAAGAGAAGCGGTCAACAAAACTGTAAGTGTCGGGAATCGATAACCAGAGAAACAAGCAGCTCTGTTCCCTCCGTGGCGCTGATTCGACCTGCACCGGAAAGGGGACAGTTGGGTCTAAGTGGCTAGCTCAGAAGGGAAACCGGGCTAGTCAAGAGGGGGCAAAATCGGCGCGGGGGTAAAGGGGGTATCTCCTCCGTGATGACCGTGAACACGATAGATCAGAGGGAAGGGAATAAGGGAGACTTACCAATGGCTCCATGATCCCGATCAGGGTGACGATCCGTTCCTGTGCATCCGCTGCCATGAAGTGAGCGTCTGGGATGGAGCGTCCGATCGTGAAGCTGCGTAATCGGAGTAATTCGATGTTCTTGTTGTCTGCGTCGTAGCCCTATTAGATATTAGTATCTTCTTTTCACTCAGTATCTTCTTTGTGTCTCTTTGTGTGTCTGAATGTGTAGTGTGGGCGATGTCTCTCCTTTCCCTTTTTGCGTGGAGCCTGGCGCGGTCTGAACCATGGAACCAGATGAGACGGCGTGAGAAGAGAATTCACCAATAATCAGAACATCACTCCAGTCTAACCAGTCTAACATTGAACAAATAATAATAAAAATACTCCTTTCTATTTTTCCCCTGCTCTTTTCTGGTTCTGTCCCGTAAAGTTCACTGCCTCCTCGTCCATGGTGCTGTCTTCCACTGTTACCGTCCTCGGTCCTCCCGCAGATACCCGTGCACGGTCTGACGCGGTCTTGTTTTCCGCCACCACTGGACTCTGAAGCCATCATGATCATCCGCTTCTCATGACGACCGGACTGGTAAAAGGGAATTGGCTCTGGGGCCGTATTCGTTCCATGGATAACTCGACCCGAGAGGACCGCGCCGGTAAACCCACTATCCATTCGCATTCGTACACACTCATCTGGTCATTGATGCGAAGATCCATGGCTAGAAGACTGAAATGTCTCTGCCTGGTTTCTAAATGCTGATGATGATGACCACGATAATGATGGAGATTATATCCATTGCTGGCTAGATCGGATCGGCCGATGGACTTGGTTCTCGATCGCGGACGCGTCCAACCCTCTCAGCCAGTCCAGTGGCTCCCTTCATCGAGTATAACGACCGATTGGGCCTCCAGCCTCAGTGGCAGGAAGGGTTGGAGAAAAAAGATAGAGGAATGAGATGAAATGGAATAACGAAGGGTTGAGGGCATGGACACGGACATCGATATGGGCATAGTCGTGTTCCAACAGATCACAACATGAAGGGAATTCATACGATACATACCTTGGGTTTAGTCTTGAGGGCAGATTCCTTGTTATGCTGGCAGAATGCTTTCACGACAGCATCCTCATCATCGCGAACGTCGTTCATGAATTCGCGGCGCATCTCCGGCGCTCGAAGTACCTCCTTCCACTGGTGCGCGTTCTCGTCGATGTCCTCTCGCAGAGATGCAAGTGCATCGGACTCGGGGTTCCAAAGACCACAACCTATCATCCGCGGTGAGCGAAATGGTCGCAACACGCCAGGGCAGAATAAGAGAGCAGGAGAAGAATAGAAATAACTGGGTCATTGGATAAGTGTTTGGACATACCGACAAAACTCGAGCCAGGCTGGAAGTGGACATAGTACGCTGCATATGGACCCTTCTTGCCAGTGCGGGACCTATGTTCATTATGAGTGGACGGTCACCCCTGTCAGCCGTGGTGAAAACTTACCATGCAGCAGAGAAATGAATCTATTCGTTGCTCAGATCAGCATTAAACCATCACGGTAACACAGCCATCTCATCGGATCCACCGGACTAGTGCACGTCGTGGCCTATGACAGTGACAATGACCGGGGACTTTTACATACCTTGTATGGAAGAGGATTCTTGCTAAACCGGACATCGCGATGAATGCGAAAAACCTGGTCAATATACCATTAATATTGGCCCAACGGGAGAAGAAAGACAAAGAAAACTTCCAAGTCGAAAAACAAGAACATTAGATTCAATACATACCAGGTCTTTCGTTGGAAGCTCAGGAATAGTCCCATCCGCTTCGGAGATCTTCTCACTCAACGTCTCAACAAACGTCTCAAAGTCCTTCTTTGCCGCGCGGAAGTCCGGGTCATGCGCTACGCGAAAGAAAATACCAGTTAGCGAACTGTTAGCCGCGACAAGACCCTGCTGACGCCTATGTGGAGAAGGGGAGAGGAGAAAGGGGCGACCGGAACATGAAAATGAATGATAAGAGGGGTTACAAGTGTACTCACCTTTCAACCACTGCCGGTCATTATTCTCCTTCAGATCCAGGAGAAACAGCTTCGTGTTGGGATGCAGCTTCTCATCTTGATAAGGGACGTTCCCGGCTTCCCGCGCCTTGGGTTTGGGGACGAATACCTCCTTCCCAGGTCCTAGGCCTGTACGGACTCCTTCACGCCATAACTCCTTATCTTTCAGCGCCTTGGTGTCGATAGATGATGACCCCGCGCTTCCTCGCGATTTGACCTGTTTGGTTTTTCCCGATTTTGACTTCGAAGACGTCTGCGCTTCGTCGCTTTCAACGCCGGAGTCTTCAAGTTCTTCTAGCCCGCTCTCCGGGTCTGGGGAGCCTTCCGATTCAACTTCCTCTTTCTCCTCGTACGCTGAGCCTGAATCGGACTCGTCTTCTTCGTCACCTTCTTCCTCGTCGGAACTCGTGGGCTCGAAATACTTGCTTTTCTTGCTGGTCGATTTCACAGATAATGCGTTGTTGGATTTCACTCTTTTGATCTCGCCCTGTGAGGCGGAGAGCCGTGCTGAGGCCCGCCGCTTAGGCGCTGTGGCCCCGGCTGCAGCTTCAGCTCCAGCTCCAGCTTGAGATCGTCTAGCCATGTCGTAGTTCCTTACGTTTTTTTTTCTGGTTTTGTAGATTGTATTTTGTAGGTACGTAGATACTCCAATCTCCAATGTGATGAATTCAATGTTTATTTTCACTGGTGGAATTAGAGCTTGGAACACAGGAACCGTGACCGTGGCAGGAATGGGATGGATGAGTGGGAAAAACTGAGAAGTAGAGTAGATGCGGAGGAAAGAAAGGAATTTAAGGATTTAAAATAGAAGAAATCCAATCTTAAACCAAGGGGGAATACCTTTTTTATTAATAAACCGGCTTTTTTTTTCTGTTGTTCCGCCTGTTCAATGCTCTTACTGTGTAATCCGAAAGGGAAATCGACGATTCGATTCTCCGCCTTTTTCTGCTTTGCCGAAACCTTGACTTTTTCTGATTCTGCCAATTTACTATTACTATTACTATCAGTGATCTACGATCTGAATCAATATCAGGATCGAAATGAATATATCACTCTCCATCCCGGCAATTTTCGAGTCCCGAAAAAACAAAATTCTGCAGGAATTATCGGTTCCTGATGAAGAGTATACGGATCTTTCACCGAAGGGATCGGTAGATGAGGGTATTCGCGATTTGATTCGGGATATCAATACTTTGCCTGGTCTTGTTACTACTAGCAGTTGTGCGGGGAGGATCAGTGTCTTTTTAGAAGGGAGGAAGAAGACGGCAACGACGACGGGGGATGAGAGTCTAGATCAAGATTCGGCCTCAGCCTCGAGACAGTTTGTTCCGAGTGGGGGGAAGGGAACGGGTCGTTGGCTTTATGTTTCTCATGATCCGTTTGTGAGCTCTGATAATTCTGCTGCTTCGTCGTTACCATTGCATGAAAAGTTTGGACTTTCGCCTGGGGATGGGAGGCCGCCGAATGGGAAGGCTTTGAGGCTTGTTCGATTTCATTTTGAACCTTTGGTATGTCCACTATGTTCAAATTGTGTTTGAACTATCAATCTTTGATGAAATAGATAGCGCTTGAACTTGAAAGAGTGAACTAATACCTTTACAGATTCTACATATAATGGCTGCATCATTACATCACGCTCAACCCGTTTTATCAGCTGCGTCAACCTCCGGCTTTCGCGAAAGTGGTCTTCAAAGTCTTCGATGCCTAGAAGGCGAAGAAGGACCTAGTCCAATTGTTGCCGTTAGATCTTCCGGTTTATCCCTTGAATCTGTGATCGGGTACTGCGATGACAATGACGATGAAGGGGGCGATGAGCCTGTTATTCGTAGTTTGGTCTCGGAGGAATATCTGCAGATGCTTATTGCTATGTCTAATGAGCGGTTTGAAGTTAATGCTGAGCGGAAAGAGAGGTTCCGGGCTGGGCTGTTAGATGCTGTTAGGGGGAAGGTGAAGCCTGATGGGTGGGAGGATCCGGTTGTTAGGAGGGAAAGGAAGAAGGCGGAGGGATTGGCGAAGAAGAGGGCTATGGAGGAGAGGAATTCGAAGGGGCCTGCTGGACAGGTTCAGGTTCAGGTTCCCGAGGACTTGGAGATTGGGGCTTTTGGGGAGAGGGCTTTATGAGCGTGTTGTTTATACCTGTCTATTTAGACATGCTGTACAGAGCTGGAGAATGAAGCTGGAAACGAAAAGAGGACTAGGATGTAAATTGAAATATAGATAGAATTCAATGATGACTCATCAATTGTGACCTAAGGGAAAGTCGAAACAAGAATCCAGACGAAGAGCGGCAAATCGAAAATAGTTCGCAAATGCAATAAATGCAAGCCCCCAAAACACCTGTTTGTTATGCATCTCCTGGTATCAATCGCGGCGCTATTTGGTGTCCCCGGCAGTCGTGCCACTCGATGCTGGATCATAGGTCTCGGCTCAAGCCCCAATTCAATTAATCGTCGTCGCATCAGGTTCTTTTCGTATTCGATACAGTCTTTCATTTTCCAGCGAGGGTTAATATCCCCAGCAGACCATTCAAACCAGAACTGTTCCCATGACCCTGACCCCCTGTCATTGTTCCAGATGTTCTCAAGTCCATCGGTTTCCATCTCGGGAGGAGGCCCACCCTTGGCAATCAACCCGGCAAAGAGCTAGCCTAGTTGTAAGAAGAGGCTCTAAATGTGTTGAAGTAGTGCTGTGTGATCTGATCTTTAAGACTCACCTCGAGTGGGTCCAAGATCGGAGTTGTTTTTGGAATCGGGAGGGGAGAACCCTTCTGATGTAGATGCTCTTCGATGATCGGGTCCTCAAGGTATGGACCTCAAGGTATGGATATTGGTGTAACCAGGGTGCTGTGAGTGAGAGGAGACGAGGGCGTCGGGGAGAGGTGAAGCCAGGTTTAATGACCTCTTGGGATGGCACAGGCGACTTGGTCATATGGTGGCAGTCAGGTTAGGGTTTCGAAGGAGAAAAAGATAGCAATTCCTCTGGAACATGCCGAAGGAGTGGAAAGTCCTTGCTCATCTTTATGAGGCACATCTTCATTCGTGGATTGAAGTCTGGGAAGTGAATTGATGCATCGGGAAGCCTGCCCGCGGTCTGCACATAAAGATCTTCGGGCAGCGCCCGGCTATTATCCATGTTTTCAAAAGCTTTTTTGACCAAGGATGGGAAGCAAAGGCGCGACTTCTCAGGGCTTAGCGTGATGTTCCGGCTCTCGAAGGCAGCAAAATTTTTGTGCAAGCGCGCGGTATGCTCGTCGAAGGTGTCGGCAACTGTGATTATATCATCGAAGTACGCGGGGCACCATTCTCGGAAAACGAGCAGTAGGTTGTCCATTTGACGCTGCACGTAGGTAACATAAGCGACAGAACCCGCACTCCCCATAATAGCGACGTTTATTAACTCCTGGTCGCGGTGAGAGACCACAGCCTGCAGTTGGGTGTCGTCTGAATGTACTCTCCAATGGTAGAAGAATTTCGCGGCGTCAACTATAGAGACGTAACGCTTGCCGGCAGCGAGCTGAATAATTTCTTCCTGCCGTGGCAGGGGGTAAAGATCTGGTAGTAGAAGTTTATTCTGAGCTTGACATGAGTCAGGGCTACTGTTGTGCACTTGCACAAGGCTACCGCCAAGGTATTGATGATGAGGGCGCTCGTTCATGAGACGGACTGCGTTCTCGGCTCCACGCAGATCTGAGAATTCCACAAAGGTATCTTTAGTTATTCCGGTAGCCCGCTCCATCATTATATGAATGGGCAATTCATCTCCCAGTATGAGAGGGCGTGGTAGGAGGGAGTCCACTTCCTGGATTTCTGTGGTGTACGGAGCCTTTAGGATAGGTAGTTAGCTTATAATCCAGTATGGGGTTATTTGCAAGCTGTTTGAAGGTCTTAACTTACACCCGTAATTCGAAGAACAGAATTAGGGCGGGGAGTTGCTATATGCGCGTCATTGCCTACTAGAGCTGGCTCGAGGTGTGCTATACTGATTACTGGGTGGAAGAGACGATTGTGCCACACGTAAGGTAACTCCAGTTCGTATGCCAACTTACCATGTCGTTCCTAAGTTGACCTTGAAGGGTCTAGCGTAGTGGCTGCCAAGTTGTTGGGGCAGACGGGCGTGCATTGACGGGGATATCGTAGCCATCGCCCAGCTTCAGGAATACATAGTCGTCCTTATCGAAGGACATCTGTGAGTGGTGGGCGTCATGGAGTATGGTAACTGGTAGGTGAGTGTTGAGGAGTTCTTGGATGCTGCTGTTCTCCAAGCTGTGCTGAGTAGTATCGATGCGCTCATCTTGGGACATGAGCTTTAGAGGAAAAGGAAACATGTTGATGAAGTGAGGGTAGTAAGCCTTGGAGTAGCCGTGGAAGAAGAAATAGATCGAGGAAAGCCCTGGCTGGGGGGGGGGGGAAGGAAACTTGGACTTTGAAGGAGAAGGGTAAGGAGAACTTGAACGGGAAGCAACGGGGCTTGGAGGGAAGGAAACAGAATTTCATACGAACCTGGCTTGGTAGTAGACCCGATACAGCGGATAGACAACCTGGGCATGGATGTGAGAGATATCATAGTCATGGTGTTGACTTGGCTGGGGCTTGAAATGATTGAAAGTGAAGGAAGAAAATTTGACTTGAATGTCAGTGGCAACCTCGGAACCTGGGAGGTCTTGAAAGGGTAGGCAAGAGCTCTAATAATTCAAGTTGAGATACCCTGCGTGTGAGTAATATCATATATAACGGCATGGAACCTGGGAGATGTACATTAGAATGAAAAGGAAGTGATCTGAGGACATATAATTTAGTAGAAATCGAAATATATTTAAAGATCTTATACTATACAAGTAACAGGTTGCAAAGCTTGAGGTGATTGTTAAAAGGACTATCCGGTGGCTTGTCCCGTTTGCTAAACCTATGATGACGAAGAATAGCTTGACTCTGGGTCAGTTCTGTGTTATGCCAACCTTCTACGCATAAGCCTTCCGTTCGATGATACGGTGTTGCAGCTCCAATGGTGAATAATTGCGATGAAGGGACACATGAATTCAGGTTGGTCACGGGAAAATTGTAATTTCATTGTCCGCCTGAAGTTGATGTACAAAGGTACCTAGACAGAGTGGGACACGGGATCATCTGGAATTCGTCGCCAGGAAGAATTGAGAGTCATATAATTTAATCGAACTAGAGAGCATGTTAGCAAGATGACCATATTGTGTTGGATGATGGTTAATTACCGGAGTCAAGAAAGATTCGGCCACAAATCGGGCTCGCGCATTCAGCTGAAGGGGATTTGTTAGCATCAAAACATTGAGTTAGGGCATAGATCAACACTCACAAACAGCTTCATCTCGGAAATCTCCTTGTCGACTTCCTCCATGCTAAGCGTAGAAACAAGAAGGTTAGCTCAAAACTCGTAGGCGTATAAGTAGGCAATAGATGTACAATTGAATAATAAAGTCCACCAATTTGTGCTTCAACATAGCTTCAACGTGCACATTGGTAATCAGGAAGGAAATGTCATAGTCCTAGATAGATGTTAGCTAACGGCCCAGAGAGATCGATTCGACAGCTAGCTAGTCTTTCGACCAAACGCTTTTTTTGCTTGTATCCCTGTCCGGGGTAAGACGCACCTTAATAGGCTTCCGTCGAAGAATGAAGAAGGACTCGGCACGTTGTTGAAGGAAACGGGTGAACTTGTGAACGAGGACTGGCGGAGATTCGTTTTAGCTTTGTAAAAAACAGTCTCATAATATCGAGATAAACATACTGTGCTCAATCTCGTCTGCCTGCTTGATTCTGATTGATACTCGGACACTGTTTACGGAGGGTTCTGGATTCCATATCTTAGCAATCAATATACCCAATCGACTTTCGGTCAGACATACCAATGAGGACACGCTCGTCTGCATTGCGGGATACGGTCAAGGGGTTCAGGATAAGTTCGGGCGAGGTCTGCGCTTCAATCTCGGGGACATTGTGGCGCTCAGAGGTCTGGGAGGCAAAGTTGGAGATTGCCAAAGCTGCAGTCAATGATGACCGGACACTATATTTATCTAAGAATCAGTCCATTGTTCGAGGAAAGGTTCAGGATATTTTCAATGGTAGGACGAACCATTGGAGGTATGGGCGCAATGATTGAGACATGATGCGGGAGGGGAGGGGGAGCCCGGGAGTGTAGTTGTTGTCGCCGTTTGTTAGACGCCCAGGATATGGATTTCTTTGCTAGTTCAGCGCCTCGCCGATCCAAAAAGCTCGGTCGCAAAATTAGCGTTTCTTAATAGCTGGAACCCCCGATGAAAGGTGATAGGAGAGCTCGCAGATCGTGGGGAAGCGTTAGGCAGAGGGCGAGTTGGCGTCCCGCTCTACCGGGGGGGCGGTGATGATGACAGTGGTCCACGGTTGTTTGATGTGTTTGCAAGGTCAAAGGCCCCACGCCCTTCGTTCCATCATTCGAAGCTGTTTACGCCCCAACTCTTCTCTTTAATCCCTTCTCAGAAGTTTATCAGTTTCTTCGGTTCGTCACAATGGCAACCATACCTAGTACGTTGTACATTTTACCGATTTTGAGCCCGCCCGATCCGCTGACAAATATCTAGTTATCATTAAGCACGGCAGCAAGCGCCACGAAGTCGAGCTCGATACGACCTCCACCGGCGAAACATTGAAGTACCAGCTATTCTCCTTGACTGGTGTCGAGCCGGATCGACAAAAGGTTCTCGTGAAAGGTGGACAACTCAAAGATGATACCCCCTTGTCCTCCCTCAAGGCCAAGCCCGGTCAGACATTCATGATGATGGGCACGCCCTCTGGAGGTCAGAACGTCCTTGCTAAGCCCAAGGAAGAACTGAAGTTTTTGGAGGATATGACAGCAGCCGAGGTTGCACAACAAGAGGGAGCCACTCCTGCTGGTCTACAGAACCTGGGAAATACCTGCTACTTGAACTCTACGCTCCAAACACTTCGTGGTGTTCCGGAGCTACAAGCGGAGCTTCTCAAGTATCAGCCAAGCAGTCAAGCTGGTCAGTCCGGCTTGTCAAACCTCTCTAGCTTTGGCCTGGGGGGCTTGGATAGCTCGAAGGATCTTGCGGCGGCACTTCGAGATCTTTTCAAGGAAATGTCCGAGACTCAGGAAGGCGTCCCACCCTTCATGTTCCTTAATGCACTCCGAACAGTCTTCCCCCAATTTGCTCAACAGGATCGTAACGGTCACGGATACGCGCAACAGGACGCCGAAGAGGCTTGGTCTCAGATTCTCAACCAACTTCGTGTCAAATTGACTATCGGGAACGGATCCGAGTCCGCCTCCTTTGTTGATAAGTACCTTGCAGGCCAGTTTGATTCGGTCACTGAGTGCGATGATCCTGCGGCCAAGACCGTTGGTGAAGAGCCCAACAAGAGCTCCGATGTGTTCTTTAAGTTGGATTGCCACATTGGTAAAGAAACCAACCATCTCCAAGATGGCATTATGGCCGGCTTGGAAGAACAAATTGAAAAGCAATCTCCTACATTGGACCGCAATGCACTGTACACTAAGCGTTCGCGCATTGCTCGTCTGCCCCAGTACTTGACTGTTCACTTTGTTCGATTTTTCTGGAAGCGTGAGACTCAGAAGAAGGCAAAGATCATGCGCAAGGTTACCTTCCCCGCTGAACTTGATGTTGTGGAATTCTGTACCGATGCTCTTCGCGAGAAGCTAGTTCCGGTTCGCGACAAGGTCCGAGAGATTCGCAAAGACGAGGTTGATGTCGAACGCTCCCAGAAGCGCCAGAGAATAGCCCTCGAGCGGGCAGAGAGACAGGAAAAGGACGAAACCGCGGATAGCGAAAACTTGGAGCCAATGCAGAAGAAATCGGCTGCAAGCGAAAGTAAAGAGAGCAAAGATAAGAAGAAGGACAAGGACGGTGATGCTGAGATGGAGGAGACTTTCAAGACCGATGCTCAGCATGAAGAGGAAAAGACCGCCTCGATCAAAGCTGCTAAACAAGAGCTTCAGGAGCTCATTAAGCAGAACGGTTCCGCAGATGGTGGAACCAACCAGTCCGGTCTGTACGAGCTTCGTGGTGTGATTACCCACCAGGGTGCCAGTGCCGACAGTGGCCATTACACTGCGTATGTCAAGAAGCAAGCCCGCAAGGCCAGTGATGCCCAGCCTGGAAGCAAGCGCCGGGATGGTGAAGATGATGGCAAGTGGTGGTGGTTCAATGATGATAAAGTTACAGAGGTTGAGGCTGAGAAGATCGAGACCCTTTCTGGTGGTGGTAAGTGCCTCATTGATAACATATATCAACACATTTCCGACAATTTAACTAATATATTCATTTAGGCGAGACTCATTCGGCGCTTATTCTCCTCTATCGCGCAATTGATCTGCCTACATTGGAATGATTGGACTATTCAAAGCCCTTGTCCATATGGCCAAAAGATATGTCTAGATGGATAGAAACGATAACCACGAGTGGACGTTTATGGTGACAATGAATGTGATCCTTATTAAATTTACTTCCCCCCATTTAGAGTTCTTTTAAGAAATTATGAACAAGGTATATAGACAATATAGGAAGTAAGAGTTGGAGAACCGCTAAATTGGCACCCTCTTGGATCTATACAACACTGTTATCTGAAGATTATCACGTGGTGATAACCGTTGATCCCGAGGCCTGCGGCGCGGAACGTAAGGAGCTTCCCTTTCCAATTGAGCTAGGCATTGTGATCATCATGAATTCTCGCCAATTATTACACCTTCGCCTTCGCGCGCCTACTACAAGGCTCCCAAGCCCCTCGAAATTCCTTATTCGAAATTCCTCTACTGCCACACCTCACGAGCCCTCCGGGAAATCATCGCCATGGATACGGCGGTTGGTCTACGCGGGCATCTTTGGATCATTGGGCGTAGCGGCTGGCTCAAGGGTGGATCGTATGGTATCTGCGCCTCCATTACAAGGGTCCCAGGAAGATAAAAAGGCATTGGAGGAGATTCAACGCGTCTACGAGCTCGGTCTCCCTATTGTGCAAGAACTCCGCCAGAACCCTGATTATGTGGAAGCCGGTGTCTATCAGGACTTCTCGGAGGAAAGTAAACGCCACAGATTGACCTCGGGTCCTTTGGCTGGGAGTAGGGGTATTGCATTGCAGGTATGTTTATGAGTCTCGTTCCTGCATGCTTAGCTAGCGCGGCGCATGGACAGCTGATGCCCCAGCTTGGCAAATGATTGTCCAAAGCCCTTGGCTACCAAACTTTAAGTTTTATATCTCTAACTTTTGCTTTTTACGTTGTCTGCAATAGAGAGTTTTTTCAAATGATGCTGAGAAGAAGATGGTTAGTGTCGTTTACTTCGGCTCTGCACTGGAGGGATGGCCAACCATGGTCCATGGTGGTGCTTTGGGAACTATTATCGATGAAAACATGGGACGAGCAGCTCTCAGACACTTCCCAGCGCGTACTGGAGTGACCGCGAACCTCAACGTCAACTACCGAGCCCCAGTTTACTCGGGCAACTTTTACACCTTCCATACACAGTTGGATCCAGAACGGAGCACTGACGTCAAGGGTCATGTCTCTTGTCAAATCCGTGACCAGGCCGGACAACTTTGTGTCGAGGCTTCGGGCCTTTTCGTGGTTCCAAAGAAGTTTCAACTTGCCAGGATGGGCGACAAGTTCTAAACTGCATGGATTCATGCACTTTGTATAATACGCAGCAAGGTCAATCATGAAACTTTGTTTGGTGGCTGGTTCAAATTCTGATAGAGAACGATAATTCAACGGAAGCGACCGTTTTGCGTGAACGTGACAGGCTTAATGAAGCTCGTTTCTTTTTCTTCTGGTTGTCGAAACCCACCTGAGCACCAACCCTTCGGATTTCCCCGCCATTTATTAATGTATAGAGATGACACATCAGATCATCCGTGGGGCTCTTGTATATGCCCGCCTTTTCATCATTTCATTCGCTTTCCATGTACATATACTATATTCACTATGACATAGACTATGCAGCTCGGCTGTCAATCATTTACTTTGTTAAGAGCTTCATCGGCAACTAATGTGCACAGACCTTTCAGATTCTGCACCAGAAGTTTAGGCATTGACCCCTCGGGGAACTTTCTGTGATGACCTGTATCGAATAAGAGCGTTTCGGGGCTGAACCCATTGTAGACATTGACCCGGGATTGGGTGATCGAGACTCATGTGCATGACACCCTCGACATCCCCTAGTCCCCACATTCTCCACGTTTCCCCCGCATTTATCTAACCCGCGACGAGGAAAAGACACCTCTCACCTCCCTTTGAGTACGTGGCAGCCTCGGTATTTTCTGGATTTCTGTTCTGTTCTCCCGGCTATCGCTACCAAGCACTCAAAACCTGAAACTCTATTATTTGTCTGATGGATTACTTTTCCCGCTCTCGCCACCATACCTGCTGATTGGCGACCTGCAAGCCATTCATACTATGGCCGGGGCCAGGGACGGGGCGACCGAAGCAAAGGATCCTGGCAGCTTGTTGGACGGGAAGATAAGGCTTGTCGGCTCATGTAACCCTTGCGAGGCAAACGTGTATATACTCTTCATGCATCCCCCGCCTTATTACATCTATTGCGAATCCCTTACCTGCCGGCTTGGTGCGATTCCGAATTGCCTTCAAGTTCTTCCAGTCTATAACAGGACTATCATTTCTTTATCTATTCCCCATATTAATTATACACAATCTATAATTGATCCTTTTCGACTTGTCTTGTCTCATTCGTGGTCCTTTGCCCATCATGGCGGGCTCAATCGAGGGCGCGCGCCCGCTGCAGATTGATGAGAAGAACGCCATTATGCCACAGGAGAGTAGTGACAATGACTTTCAACACAGTCACCATGAGGTGGTTGATTCAGGCTCAGCTGAATCGGGCCTCAATCAATCTGAGAAAGATATTCCGGTGCGAGCGCATTTGTCACCTCTGTCCGTTTGAACCCGTGTATCTAATATCAATGTCGGGATATTAGATGACTTTTCGCCGATTCATGGGCTTTACAGCCATGGCGTTCCTATGGACTGGAAGTCAGATTCCCGTTTATCTATTTGGTATGGTCGCCCATTTTATCGTTTTTTAGCATACTAGTAAATTCTAACGATACTTTAGGTGGTATTCCTCCCTATATCTATGGAGACATTGGAGGATCAGATCGATGGGTTTGGTTTGTACGTATTCAACGACCGAAGTTTCACATATTATACACTAATCCGGTTTTCTTGCGACTTAGGTTCTAGCAAATCTTCTCGGTCTTGCCGGTGTCTGCCCCTTTGTTGGATCCTTGTCAGATCTGATCGGTCGTCGCTATGTCGCCATTATCGGCGCCTGCTTCATTGTCATCGGAATGATCGTCTGCAGCACAGCGCATACTATGAACATTTTCATCGGTAAGTTTATCAAAACAATGAGCTTGAAGGGAGACTGACTGAATATTCTTCAGCTGGTATGGCGATTGCTGGCGCCGGCGCTGGCGTGAACGAACTGACTGCACTGGCTGCAACCTCCGAAATGGCACCAACTCGCAAACGCGGGTCATATGTTGCCGTCCTCATCTTCACTATTGTTCCCTTCTGCCCGTCGGTGCTTTGGGCCCAGCTCATCTCATACTACAGTAGTTGGCGTTATGTCGGCGCCTTTGCCGGCGCATGGAATGCGTTTGGTCTACTGATCACTGTCATGTTCTATTACCCTCCGCCTCGGGTCAATTCTACTGGACTGAGCCGAAAGGAAATCATCGGTCGGATTGATTTCATGGGTGGATTCCTGAGCATCACTGGACTCATTGTCTTCTTGGCTGGCTTGCAATGGGGTGGATACATGGTATGTACTATTGATGTATGGTCTATTGTTCTCGTGGCTGATGTTCATGATCGTATAGTACCCCTGGACCTCTGCACATGTCCTTGCGCCCCTGATCATCGGTTTCTTCCTTCTCGTCGCGTTCGCATTCTGGGAAATCTACGGTGCTAAATACCCCATCTTCCCTACTCGGTTGAAGCAAGAGCCTCGAACATTGGGTTTGACTCTGGTCATTACTTGTATCTCTGGCTGTAACTTCTTTTCCGTTCTCATGTTCTGGCCTACTGAGTCATTCAATGTCTACGGCCACGATCCAGTGGATGTCGGTGTTCGCAGTCTTCCTATTGCGTTTGGGATCCTTGCTGGCGCTTGTATTGTTCTCGTACTGCTGAGTGTGTTCAAAGGGCATAACAAGGAACTGCTTATTGGTAGCAGCATTCTGATGACAGCCGGTGAGCTCTTTTAATCCATAACTAGCATATTTCAAGAGACTAACAGCATTACATAGGATGTGGCTCATTGGCTATTGGACGAATCGACAACATGTCTCAATTGTGGGGACTATTGACTCTGGCTGGTCTGGGAATCGGGGGCATCGTAGTCCCCGCCTCAATCATCACCACAATCATTTGTCCTGATGTGAGTTTCCGAATGAGTACCACGAGTGTATAAAACAGATCTTACTAACCACCTACTTCTAAAGGATCTCATCGCCACCATTTCCGCTCTTACTTTATCCATCCGAGTCGTTGGCGGAGGAGTCGGCTACACCATCTACTACAACGTCTTCATCTCCAAGTTCGTTCCAGCAGCAACAAAATACATTGGCGGTGTCATGGAGATGGATCTCGGCATTACCGACACAACACTCATCGCTGACGTTATCGGCCTTACTGGCGCCTCATTGCTGGATGAGATTAAATTGATTCCTGGAATTGCGGGAAATGAGACCGCATATGAGATGGTAGTTGAGGCTGGGCAGATCGCGTTCTCTGAATCATACAAGTACGTATATTATGTGAGTATCGCTTTTGGAGTGATCTCAATAATTTCGGCTTGTTTCTTGGGTGATATTTCTAAGTATATGACTGATCATGTCGCTGTCGTGATGTGAGATTGCCCAGGTGGTGATGTGTATTTCGCATATATACTAGTTCCGAAGGTTAACTACTTATAATATTTAAACCCTTTCATGAGCAGCCTGAACATTAAATTTAGCAATGAAAATATTTAAACCGCAATATCTCCCTGTGACCAACTTGAAATATCTTTAATTATCGTAACAAAAGCCCCAAAGCTGCAAAAATTAGACTAAATTTTGAAGTGGGCTAGTATTTCATTCAATCCATTTAGAATTCTCTTGTATAGTGCTTCTTGACATTGTCTTCGAGATACAATTATGTGATACATGATTTAACTCAGCGGGAATTATGGGGTGATAAACAATATCCAGGTAGCAATGACACAGACCGAAGAGCATTGACACGGAGTAAATATCAATGACACGGGTCTTGACCCATTGAATTCGGCCCAAAAGCTTTGAATACTCTAAACCACTCGGCCAAATGTGAGTTTAAAGGGACGGCAGAGAAATAATTAGCACCTCAGGACTAGATAGTAGCTGCCCACACATGTGGAACCGCCGATCAATGACGCGCCAAGCCCGACAACTTTTTAATCTTCAACTTGTGCTTAACCTCCGCAATCTCGATTAGCAACCACCATGGCCTCCAATCCTGCCAAACGGAAGCCTTTCGGTCCCCCTGGGTCTAATGGTTCTGCGGGAGGCGCCAGAAAGCGCGCAAAAGCCTTCGACGCGCGCACACTCGCCGTTCAATCCAACGAAGCCGCCCTCTCAGCAACAGGTGAACTAGATGTCGCCGCTTATGCCGCCGCGCGAGCATTCGAAATCCAGGCGTTAGAAAGGGGAATCCAGAAATCGAGAGATGCCCTTACCTCTCGGGCCTTTCAGAAAGTGCCACGCTCCCTGCGAAGACGAACGGCTAGCCACAATGTGAAGCGGGTTCCGAAGCGATTGAGGGCGAGAGCAAAGCGGGAGGTATGTTGGACTAGGACTAGGGGATACAAGTGGGATGGTGCTAATGTGTGTTCTGTGATAGATGATCGAGGATAACACACCGACTGTTACGGCGCGGAGGCGTAAGCCAACGCAGATTATGCGCATTAGACTCGAAACTGCTAGACGATTGCAGAACCTGAATGCGAAATCGAAAGCGAGACGGGCCGCCCGGAAAAGTAAATTGGATAATGATGAAAGTGCAAAGTTGAAAAGCGAGGGTAGTCACCCATTCAATACTGCGCCGAGAATACCTAAGATCAAGAAGAACGTGCTCTCTCGACCGCCGCCGCCACAGGCTAAGTATAGCAAGCGTCAAAGGTGCAAGACTTGGTTGCCAACTCATATGTTTCATGCAAAGCGCGCACATATGGCGACTACGAAGAATCCGATTTGGCGTTTTGCGGTTCCGATATCGCCTACTGAGAAAAGTTACAGGCCTACACACCGCGCTCGTGGATCTCGAGGTGCCGTGGCGTGGGATATGAGCTATATGTCCACTATACAACTTGAAGGAATTGAGTCTTGTATTGAAGCTGTTTTGCGATCGGTTCGTGTTGATGGTGATGATGCATGGGGTACTAAGGGGAAAAAGTGGAGGGTTGGTACTCGGTCACTTTACGCGTGGACTTATGAGAGAGAGCATCCTGAGAGGCCGATAGCGCCAATTACTATGATGTGGTGTGTTCAGGGTAAATCGGAAGATGTGGAAATGACTGGCGCGGAGCAGAGCAAGCCAGCAAAACAGCCTCGACGGAAGCTTTGGATCCGTGTTCATCCATCGGCGTTCTTACAGCTGTGGACGGAACTGCTTGAGGTTTCGAAGCGTCAGAGCCATCCTGTTATGGTTGAAGACCTGCGATTCGACATTGGAAGCGTCGAAATTACTGGACCGGGATCAGTAGAAACACTCCTTGCAGCACTGAGCCCCATTTTGAACTCAGATGGTAGCAACTCGGGACCAGAAAGCCCAGAGAGTACATGGTCATCTTTGTTGGGTGTATCAAATTCTTCTTCGCTTCCTCAAAATGCTCTTTTATCCTTCTCTATTTCCGATCCTCGCCTCCGATATCCTCTACAAACCCTCCGAGTTCCCGATAACGAATCTCATATGAATGATCTTGCCGTCTTGTTGGCCAATTGGTCACCCGATAAAACTCAGGGACCATCACCTCTCTTTGAACGCAACAATCGACTTGCTGCTTCTCGTCAATTACCAAGCCAGAAGGCTATCAACCGCCGTCGAACCCTTGCGGGCCCTGGTGCTCTTCCGGCTCCTCAACCTAATGACCCCCAAATTCCCGTTATGATACTTGCCAACAGGCCACATGGTCTCGCAAAGCGAAGTAGTGTCCCGGGATCATGGACCGTACTTTTACCTTGGAAATGTGTCGCTCCAGTTTGGTATCTGATGATGTATTACCCATTATCGAGCGGGGGGATCCCACGATTTGGTGGTCTGAAGGAACAGCAGCAGCTTGCCTTTGAGGCAGGTGAACCTTGGTTTCCAGGTGATTTCCCAGGAACTCAGGCTGGGTGGGAATGGAGTCAGAAGGAAGCAAGGAAAACTCGAACCGAATGGGCACGCAGACCGAAGGGACGCCGGGTAGAGTTCGACAGTCTCACTTTGGGTGATGGTCATCCCAAGGGGGAAATCGGTCACGGATGGGCGCCTGACTGGAACAGACTTCTTCAAGTTCCATCAAAAGACGCTGTCGATTCCAATGTAAATGCAGCCAAGAAAGAGAAAGAAAACGCCACTGTTAACTCTGTCCCTCTGCCTCTCGATATGCACAACGTCCGATACACCCATCACAACACTGATCGCATCCTCAGTCGTTTCTTCAAATCAGCACCAGGCCCTGGCGCACTTGCTTCGATCCACCTCACACTCTCGGGTCGGGGGACACCTGTGCCCAGTGCCCGCATTTATCGTCTTCCTACTGACCCGTCTTTACGGCAGAAATGGATTGACCTGTCCTCATCATCTAAGAATAAAGATCCTAGTCGGAAACAAGGGAACGGACGAACTCCTGCGCTGACTGCCGAAGAGTCCAGGCGACAGCTTGCCGAGTCACTTATCTCTGGCTCTGCATCCGAGAGCAACGCAGCAGATAAGCTTGAAGTTCCTTTCGAAGAGGATCTTATTGGTTTCGTTACCTCAGGAAATTATAATCTTTCAGAGGGTAAAGGAACGGGAATTGGATCAATTGTATTATCTAAGGTTTTGATACCAGACGTGAAGCAGCATGAAAGGAAAATGTGCATTGTTCGCACTGCTGGAGAGAAAATTGGGCGGTTGGGAACCTGGGAACTTGTCTAATGTTCATCACATATTGCAACTGACCGATGGCCTTTGGACAACTAGGTATCATTATCAATGAAATGAATAATGCCTCCCAAGATCTACTAGAACCTCCGAGTCCATTACCCCAGTACTTAGCTAGCAATGGTCTTTACTACGTAAAATACTGCAGTATCTAACTCATCATTCAAGGATCAATTCAATCCATGCAATTTTCGTAGCAAACAAAAAGCACATTCTATACATACAGTACAGCAGCCACGGCTAGACCAAAACAAGTAACAAGATCTTTATGGATGCAGGCCCATCAAAAGCCGCGGTATCATCGGAGTAAAGCGTATCGAAGCAGACACGAGGAAAGAAGAGGATAACCTATAGCCTAACCTCATCTAACCCACAATACGATCAACAAAAGCAGCCTCCATCTTAGCAACCTCCTTCTTAAAAGCATCAACCTCCTTCCAACAATTCAACGGCCGACGATCATGAAGTCTCAAACACCCAATCACCTCCGTCTGAGCCTTAGCAACCTCGTCATCAAGCTCAACTAGCTTTCGTCGTCCATCAAGTCGGCTCCGCAATGCCTCAATCTCACTATTCACCGAGGAAGAGGATACATCGCGCTTCAGAGCTGCGTCTTGTGCGGGAGTCTCGACAGCGGTAGCGATTGAGGGGGCATCGTGCTCACGGCCTGCGAATGGGATTCGGGGTGCGTCCAGGTTCAAAGAGCCGATTGGGACTCCGGTGGTGGACTTTGCGATGGGGCCGGTGGATGATGAGATGGGGATTGAGCCTGTGTCTTTTGCTGAGGCGAGGCGCTTCTCGATTTCGGCGAGGGTTTGTTGTTCGCGCTCGTGGAGGCGTTTTAATTCCTGGGCGACGCGGTTTTGGATTTCGAGTTCCACTGCTTTGGTGCGGGATGCGTCGGTCTGAGTGTGTTAGTCTTTATTCATTCGATTTTGAGCTTGTGTTTGTTTTTGTTTTTGTTTTGAGACCTGGATTGGATCCGGGTCTATTTCTTTGCTGTGGGATTGGATTGGATTGGGATTGATATCATACCTCGCCGTTGTTCTGGAGGGCTTCAACTAGGTTCGAGGAGAATTGAACGGGAGAGTTGCTGTTGCGATGTTAATGTTAGTTTTGGATCCCTTATACGCCTGTCTATATTTCGTCTTGTGTTTAAGCGATGAAAGTCCCCATTGCGCGCGAATTGGTGATATTCGTTTACCGGGCTGGTTAACCGGAGTGCGTCCAGTTTGATTGCCTGCTGCTAGGGATTCGGAAGATGTAGTGCGGATTTCGGGATTGATTTACCTGGCGAAGACATGCTTGGAGCCACCCGCAGCCTCGGGCTTAGAACTACCAGCACCCATGATTGTGTATGGCCGTGATTGCGATCTAATCGGATCCAGAGAAGGGCGGGTGTGAGAGATGCAGTTCACCCGAAGCTCCGATACTTCGAGTCACGTGAGATTAGTCAGGATTGACGGACTGTGCAGTTGACCAGTTAGTTTATTTGGCTTGGATTCCTGCAATCTCAAAGAGAAGAACCTGAGATATAGACAAATTCTTTTATTCCGTAGTAGTTCGCTTCACAAAGCACTAACAGTCGATGACATGAAATAAAGTCCTCCAATTTACACTCTGCTTATCCTTTGATTGGTGTGCTACTTTTTGTTCTCAAGCCCTATAGTGTATCTATTCAGAGTTTACAGTACAAGGGTATAGCGGCCACCCAGGATCAATGCAGGTACTCAAGCGTGTGCAGGATCAATGACATTCATGGGACGGACCGGACGGTGTCTGCAGAACCTTAAAAACAAGGCAATTGATACAACCTTGGAAACCTGTAACTAAGTAGGCATACTGAGACAACATTTAATGTGCGTCAATCTCGGTATTCCGTCCACTCGGGCTCCATCCGATTTTCTGCAATGGAGCCGAGAATTACGATGCCGACCCATGCCGACCATATGTAGGGTTCCACTCTACATTCAACTCTAGTTTCTGTATGTAGTATGAAGTAAAGCCTTACTATATAACTCGTACATCTATAGCTGAACAAGTAAGCTATTCGGCATGATTCGGGTTACCTAGCCCGTGCACCTGCATACGACGCTGTGCAGGGACAGTCTCCAGGAAGATGCTTCCCCATGATTCCTTGGATGTTCCGTCCCCTGTTCGAAATCCCCCGATATCCCGCCCTTAACCTCTGTCGCTCACCGGTGAAGTCGGGGAAAAACATGTTCTGGAGATTGGGACCAGTCACAGCCATTCCCCACAGCTTTCTCCGTGGTTGCAGGAATGAAGACCGATGAAATGCCGTCATTAGGCCCAGGTGGAAAAGAGAAAAATAAAAATAAAATACACTGTTTTTGCAGAAACTGGGACACACATGGATCCATACTAGTCCATCCCATACACATTAAGAAAGTGGATGTGCGACAGGGGGAAGTTGACTGTGTGACCTCGTGGAATGTAGGGGATCATTGAACTTCTCTCTGCATCCGGGGTTTACTACTTGGGATAGAGGGAAAACGGAAAAAGATCAATAAAAATAGAGCAGAAAAATAGGGAAAAAATAGAGAAAAATAAGACAAAATCAGCGAGACTCCGGCGAACCCGGAGTTTAATAGTTTACAGTCAATTTACAGTCAGTACAGCCGTCACGTAGTTGATTCCCCTCCATTTCCCGCAATCGACCGCCAAGGGAAACCCTGACCTCATGAAGAGAAGAACTTACTCTTCCTCGCTTCCTTTCTCTCTCTCCTTTCTTTTTTCAATCTTAATTCACTGATCTTCTTCCATCCCCTTCATCCTTTCATCCTGTTATTCTTATTCTTCTTCTCCCTTCCGGCTATCCTAATCCTTTACCTCCGTGCCGGCTTTCCTTATTCTCTTCCGTACCCCGCCATGTCCTCCCCGCTGCTGGCTGAAGCCACGCGCATTGCGCGCGAATTCGACTACCCCGCTGATCAGGTCCAGCGCGGTGTCGCCGAGTACATTCGTCAGTCAAACGAAGGTTTGGCTAAAGAAAACACTACTCTGAGCCAGATTCCGACTTTCGTCACTGCTGTACCAAATGGTACAGAAAAGGTACAGGCACCAGACACTTTTTTCTTCTTCTTTTTCTTCTTCTATTTTTGCCATTGGGCCACTCCTGCTCTCTTTTCTCTTTTACTAACACCTGACTTTAGGGTCTGTACCTCGCTGTCGATCTGGGTGGCACAAACTTCCGTGTCTGCTCTGTTCAGCTGCATGGCGATACTACCTTCTCCCTCACCCAGTCTAAGATCATGATCCCACGCGAACTCATGGCCTCCGGTACTTCGAAGGATCTTTTCACTTTCCTCGCCCGTCAGATTGAGGCTTTCCTGCGCATTCATCACAACGAACACTTTGAGGCTCATCAGCGCCGGCGCAGAGAGGGCCATGTGGAGGAGGAACTCTTTGATCTGGGCTTTACTTTCAGTTTCCCCGTGCGCCAGTACGGAATTAACTCCGGTACTCTCATTCGGTGGACCAAGGGCTTCAATATTCCCGATGCAGTTGGTCATGATGTTTGCGCTTTGCTCCAGTCTGCCATTGATCATCTTGATTTGCCGGTTCGCGTGGCTGCGCTCGTCAATGATACTGTTGGTACTCTGATGGCTCGCTCATATACTTCTCCTGGTGAGACTGGTACTTTGATTGGTGCTATTTTCGGAACTGGAACCAATGGCGCCTACGTTGAGAAGCTTGAGAATATTACCAAGCTTAAGCATATCAAGGATGCTCACTATGATACTCACACTGGTGAAATGATTATCAATGCTGAGTGGGGTAGCTTTGATAACCAACTTAGTGTTTTGCCCAGCACCATCTACGATCGTGACTTGGATGCTGATAGCAATAACCCCGGTATTCAAATGTTCGAGAAGCGTGTCTCTGGTATGTTCTTGGGTGAGATTCTGCGTCGCGCTCTGCTGGACTTGTACAGCAATGCTCAAGTCGGTCTCTTCAAGTCTACTGAGACCTCCGTGCCTTCTGATTCCTTCTTACACCGCCAATGGGGTCTCGATACTAGCTTGCTGAGTGATGTTGAGGGTGACAATCTGCCACAAATGCCTAAAATCAAGGCTGCCCTGAAGGAGCACCTGGCTATCGAAAATCCTACCGATGATGACTGCAAGGCCGTTAAGGTCCTGACTCATGCCATTGGCAAGCGTGCCGCTCGCCTTAGCGCTGTCCCTCTTGCAGCCGTTCTAATTCATACCGGCAAGCTCGACACTGATGATATTGTCGATGTTGGTGTGGACGGCAGTGTTGTTGAGTTCTACCCCAACTTCGAGGGTCATCTGCGCGATGCTCTCCGGGAAGTTCCCGAAGTCGGTGTTGCCGGTGACAAGAAGGTCCGCATTGGAATCTCCAAGGATGGTAGCGGTGTCGGTGCTGCTTTGATTGCCTTGGTGGCTAGCAAGGATGAGACTTTGAAAAACCCCACGGAGAAGAAATCATCTTGATCTCTCCACTCTCGAAGTCTATAACTTCCTTCCTCAGCCTACCATACGATATCATGTCTTTGATGATCCTATCTCAGGAATTTACTTCTTACTGGCTGGGCCAGTAATACTGGTGAAGTGAGATAGTCCTTGGACATTCCCAAAGCCTTCTTGAGCCTGAGCCTGAGCCTGAGCCCAGCTCGAGAAACGATCCATGCATCTCATCCTTGTTCTACTTTCTACTTCCTCCCCTCCTCCTTCCCTTTTGCATGATGATCCGAGAGGCAACGGGTATCAGTTCAAGCACTACGACCACCTCGAAAATAGGTGATCACTCACGCGCCATTTCTTCTTTCTTTTCATCTGTATCTGTTGATTTTGATTCTGCCCTGCCTGTCTTGTGCAGAATGTACCATTAGCTTGATCTGGTCTTATGGAGTTGCGCCATGTTTTGGCGCGGGCGGGCATTCGATATCAGTACATTTTTGCATCTCTTCTCGCTGATTTATCTGAATGATAACAATGAATTGATTAAAGTAGCTTTGTTTACAGTAACTCTAAACATCTTCTATGTTTAAACATCATGGATATTCACGTATAGACCTAGACCTCGGGATTAGGTATTCCCTCATGCTCAATTTCTATTCACTGTATATCGCTGATATATGACCCGCTATGAAAAGTGCCAGAAGAACCAAAAGAAAGCAGCAGAATGCAAAACGAGAGCAAAAGAAAAGAAAAAGAAATATTAGACAACCGCATAGAGACTCAAATAAATACCCCAGATCACACCACAGGCACTCCCAAAGACAACTCGGCGATCAACCGGAATGACAGTATACATTAAAGTAGAGACAACAGGCCGATACTTCAGCCTAGCAATCATGATAGGACGAAAATCCTACCCGTGACCAAGTTAATTTCATTCATAGTTGAACATGAGATAAAAATGAAAATAGGATGCAACATGCAACATACCTCTATAACCAAATCCCAAACCCGTTTAAATCCTTCCCCCTTCAGAAAATGAATAAGCACAATGAATAGCACAATATTCATTATCCCCGCAACCGTAAGGTCAAATATAAATTTCATAATGAAACTATGTAGACCCGATGCAGGCTTTACTCGCGCCGGTGCCCACTTCTCTTTATCTTTGTCCTTCTCCTTGTGTGAGGGGAGTGCATCATTTGAAGATGATGAGAAGGAGAATGAAAAGAATGAGGAAAAGATGTTCCTAATTGAACATGTTCGTGATGAGCATTTTAGCTCGGATCTGGATGGAAACCCAGGATATCGTGCTTCAAGGGCACGTTGCCAGTAGAAATTGATGGGCACGATTAAGATGCCATATGTGATGAATTGGAGAAGGGCGAGAGTGTTCAGTTTAAAGGTGTTCTGGAATTGTTAGGGTTCTTGTTTTCTTGGTTTTCATTGGTCTTGTATTCTTTCTGGTGTCTGTGGTTTGGGTTGTGGACTTACTGGACTGTTCCACTGGTCGATTAGTTGTGCTAGGAGGTTTGATAGCGCGTTTAGGACGGTCGATTGAACGAACGTCACAGTCAGTGGTGACAACATAATCAATTATCACTGTAATTGTAATTGTAACTATGACTGCGCCATTGATCAGCCATGAAGCTAGGAATAATTCAGATAGTCGAGTGCATTTGGTCTGTCTTTTCTTTTTCTTGGGGACATGTTGGGGCCGAGACGCGCAAACGTGTCCTGACTAACGCTAACAAGGGGACAGCTGGATAAGGGGTTATCGTTATCGAGGCTGCCTGAACTTCAGCCTCATTTTACATTTGTTTGTTTAATTTGGAGAGATAATTGAAGAACATTCTTTTATTCATTCATCATTCATGCTCATGCTCATGCTCATTCATTCTAGATACTGATCACTTTTTGAAACTCGACATTTGGCCCGTTCTTCGCACTGGTAAAATGGTCTACAAGCGCTAAATGGCCCCCGGCATCCTCGCCAACCCGATCAGCAAGACTCATATCAAATAGGAAGATGAGACGAGCGAGCGTAAGTCGCATTTCCATAAATGCCATGCTCTTCCCGATACATCCACGTGGTCCAATGCTGAAGGGACAAAATGCTCTACGCGCCGTCTCGACTTCTTCTTTCGTCGTGCTCCACTCTGTCTCTGTCTCTGTTCCTTCAACTGAGACTAAGCATTTAGCCCCTTCAATCCAGCGCTCTGGTACAAATCTCCCTGGCTCCCGGTAATACGCCTCTTGTCGATGAATAGAGTATACCGGTGTTCCGCAATTTGTACCAGCCGGTAAAAAGACTCCATCAACTACCACGCCTCCATCCATTACTTCTCGAGGAATAGCGCCCGGAACAGCAGGCGCAAGACGCAGCGCCTCATCAATACAAGCTTTAAGATAAACTAGCTCGTTCAATGCTGACCCGCTAACTATCTCTTCAACGTGGCTGAATGCACTGCGTACTTCTTTGACTAGCTTCTCGAGCGCTTTTGGTGTTCGGACGAGATAAAAAAGTACTGCCGCTAGTGTTGTGGAGGTTGTGTCGCTTCCTGCTATCATGAGGACGTTTGCTTCGCCCCATAGTTCGGGTGTGCTGAGGCCTTTTCCGGTTTCGGGGTCTTTGGCGTTGAGAAGGTAGTAGAAGAAATCTTTTTTGGCTTCGCGGCCTGCTTGTGCGCGTTCTTGGGCGCGCTTGTTTGCTTCCACGCGTGAGTTCATTATGAAGTTCCAGCGGTCTTGGGTGAGTTGGCGGATGAAGATTTGGTCGAGGTGCCATCTGTCTAGTGGCATCCATAATCCGCACTGTGGAAGAAGGTAATGTTAGATTAGTTTGTTTGTTATGCAGAATGAAGTGAGACGGATGATGTGTGTGTGTCTGTGTGCACTTACCACGTAATGCCGATTTGCAGCTCGATCCACCAGCCCGATCATATGTCTTCGTCCATCAGACACAAGCATATCGAAACTCTTCCCAAAGCACAACTCCCCCATAACATCATAGGAAAGATAACTGAACCAGTTACCCATATTTCGAACCACACCCTTAGATGCTGTGTGTAGCACCTCTTTCTCATCAACACTATACCCCGCCAACGAGGCGCAAAGCTGTCGCACATGCAGAAGTATCACGTCTTCCATGCCTTTCAACGCTGCGTCCGAGAACGCTTGGCTGAGTACTCGTCTCTTGCGTCCATGTGTAGCTTTATCAATTGCATTGTGCGTATTATATACGCCTTTGATGGCTGTGAAGCCATTGTAGAAATCTGCTTTCTGGAGTCGCTTTCCGTGGCCGTAGATATCGTGTAGACCGCGGTCGCTGTTAACTGAGATAAAATTTGGTGCTACGCGCACGTGTGTGCCGTAGTTTTTATGGAGTGAGTGTAGCCATAGGTGTCGGTCGCCTTTTAGACCGTGGTAGAGTTGGTTCCAGGGTGTTAGGGATGCGAAGATTGGACCTGGGATTCGTCGGAGTGGATGGACGAAACGGTTGTAGAAGAGGTAGGCTATTGTCTGTGCGCTTGTTAGTTTGATCTTCGTCTTTGGTTTTGGTTTTGCTTCTCTTCGCTTGACTGGACTGGATTGGATTGGATTGGATATCCATCCCCGGATGTATGCTGTATGCTGTATGCAGACATCCGCCGATAATAATCGGAGTATGGCCGGGTGAGATCAGCTCAGTCTTGAACATACCAGTATGCCTAGGACAGCGGCTAAGTCCACCGCTACCCTTTGAATGCTCATGGGTTTTAGTACCGATTCAATGATCATAGTTGCGACGTTGCCTCAGTTCTGTTTGTGCTTATCTTGGTTGTGTTGGGGCTTTATAGACTCCCTGTGTATCCACCGATGTTACCCGCGCCCAACCGGATGCGGGATCAATGACGATAGTTCCGTGGTAAATCCACTGGGTTTGACCTGGAATGTTTCCCAATCTGAGGAATGAGAAACTTGCTTACTGCGTGAGCGGATAATCCCGGCTATTATCTGTTTCATTGGTGGTTATGAATGGGCGGTTGTGGATAACTTGAGCTGGTCGGATATGGGGTTATGCTTAAATGAGGTTGGTTCAAGTTATTTGCGGGGATCAAAGAGAAGTGTTAATATTAATTTTATGGTTATAGGTTATAGAGGTTGAAAGGGTGATAAGTGTAAGACATGGTTCTATTATTGTTTATCAAGTCTTAGACATGTGCAAGTTGTATTATGGCTTTTGTTACCAGTGAGTAGCTTGGGAAATTCTTGAGATTGCTTATGCATAATAATGCGGTGGAACTTTGATCTGCCCCTCTGTTTTGAGACCCCACAACGGCTTTCAGTGGTTTTTTATCATAGGTACAAACCGCCGATACCCGTTGTTTATCTCTGAGCATTATTCTCTCCACAATTCAAGAGATGTAAACGTGATAATTGGCCTTGAAGGTATCCGATATAGGAGTAGACTTCCGATTCTGGCGAGTAGCATATCGCGAGTCAACTTGGCCATGTTTCAGATGACAATTGTACGCATGGCATAGCGATGGTCCTTGTTTTTCGCCCGAGAGATAGGTGATTGACACGGCCCGTTGCGGAATGTGTTTCGCTCACAGAGCTGGTGCTCTCAGAGTTGCATGAAAATCGTATCATATAAAAGTGACTATGTACTATGCCCAGACAATCCCCCATCTAGAATCCACTGCTCATTATCGTCATTATCGTCCTGTACCCGCCGCCATGTTTGTTTTCGTTCAGTCTTCTCGGCTTTCTCAACTTCTTGCCCATCCGGAGCACGCCAGACAGGCCGCATTAACCCTCCAGCAGCAAGAAGAGGATTCCGGCTAAAGGCATGTCCACCCGAAGATCCCGAAGATCCCCCAGTAGCAGCTGCATCCTCCATTGAATCCTCAATGGGCTCGGGAGTGGACTCCACAGCCGCAGTCTCATATATTCGGCGCACCTTACCACCCTTAATGTCCAGACTCATGACTGTCTTCTTCTTCTCCCACTCCGGACGAGCCTTCTCTTCCAACTCTCGTTGAATACGCTGTTGCTTTTTCAGCGCCAGTGCGCGTTGCGCCGGACTCATCCATAATGTTGAGGCAACGTTTGGAGTTTCGAAATCGGCCGCTTCGTCGACGACCTTAGTTCGCTGGGCGTTTTGGGCTTGGAAATTGAGCAATCTGTCACGGTGGGCTCTGGCTGCGTCGAGTTTGCTGGGAGATGCCATTCCAGAGCCGGAGCCGGAGCCGGACTTGGATACTGGGTGAGGTCCTCCTTCATGGTGGACACCTTCATTATGGGCGCGCATCTTTTCCTGGCCGCGCTCTGCTCGAAGTTCTCGGATCATACTCTGTACTTCGTCGGTGGAGAGGATAGGAGTGTCGCAAAAGGAGCACGGTTGTAGTCCTTCTAACGCGCAGATGATCTTGCCGCATTTTAAGCAGTTTGGTGCTGGGTCAAATAGTGGATGGATTGTAGCTGAGCATGTGCATTTGCGTTTCTCGGCTCCCATCGTTGGATTGGTTGATACTTCTAATGCGGCGATGGCGGCTGTTAAGTCGGAGATATTATTTGTAGTAAGGGAGTTGCCGGATCCTTTGGAAGAGTTGGTGTTTCCACTGCTTTTCTGTTTGCTGGTCTTTGAGCGCACATTCGGTAGCATATCCGAGAGTAGCGGGCCAGATGCTGAGGGCGGAGCTTTCGACGACGTAGGCATAGGCGACTGGTTACGCGAAGATGCAGAGGAAGTCGGTGCTGATAGACCGGGAGCAGGCTGACGTAGTGATAGTGATGCCTTGCTGGCGGACATGTAGTCTTCCTCTTCATTGGCCTTCTTGTATCCCCCGCCAACATTTCCGTAGTTATCGGGGCGGCGCGGGGGACCAGGGTTGTGTAGTGGCCTCTTGTTCTTCTTATTCCTCCCTCTTGTACCATTGTTCGTGTTTGATGGTGTGTCATTTGAGGCAGAGGTAGAAGTAGGGGCAGGAGCAAGGGCAGGGGATGACGATCCAGTATCGCGACGTGAGTTGAACGAGGAGATGAATTCGAGGGCGGCGGGGGAGTCGCCTAGGAAATTTTTGAGATGATCGGCGCATTCATCTTTGGAGAGACTGGCAGAATATTCGATGATCTGCTTCAGTGACTCATCGTCTAGTGGGAGGAGCTGGCTCAGCCGAGGGGCGGCCCATGCTGTGAGATTGGCCATGGTTGGAGGATGATGAAGTGTTGGCAGTTGGGGCGTCCGACATTGCGGGGAGACCCAGGCGTGCCGGACGAACTAATTCGGGCCGGCCGAATTGGTGTTCTCCAGCTTGGTTAGAGTGGGCCGGGTACACGGGTATAGTTATGATTTACTAGTAATCAGGGGCATGTCCCCATTTAATAGTTCTTTTTCGATTCAAGTTCCTCTTTCTCTTTACTTGCCACGACATTCTTTTGGAATCTTAATTTTAATATGAAGATATTCTCTCTTCAGTTGGACGACGGAGGACGTGTCTCTGGACGAGTATCTCTTCCACCTGCTGCACCTGGGAAAGGCCATCGTCCTCTGCTAGTCTGTTTTCATGGAGGAAGCTATGACTCCGAGTATTTCGATGCGACACCAGAGTACTCAATTACCCAAATTTCGGATGCTCTGGGTATACCTGTTGTGTCTATCGATCGACCGGGCTATGGTGATACTACACAACCTGCTATACCACAAGGCGAAACTACAACCTATGCACAGGTACAGGGCAAATACATCAATGAGCAAATACTTCCTAGGCTGTGGCAGGAATACGGGACTCAATCAGAAGCGACAGCTATAGTTCTACTCAGTCACTCCATCGGCGCCATGATGGCCACGATCTCTGCGGCTTGCTGCGCAGGTACTACGAAGTATCCACTGGCCGGCTTAATTACTTCTGGGATTGGAGCCGAAACAAATCCGATAGTGGCTCAGCAGTTCAAAAGCATAGTCACACCCGGGCAAGAATTTATGACCTTCGACCCAGCCATTAAAGATGTGTCAATGTTGCAACTTCCTCATAAACAGCTGGCGGACCCAGCAATAACTGAGTTCACTGCCAATCTCAATCGTCCGACTCCTATTGGGGAGTTCATAGATATCAACAATACATGGCTGTCGTATTGGAAAAAATATTCTCAGGTTATTGACGTTCCGCTCTTGTATGGAATCAGCGAGTTTGATGAACTCTGGACGTCGACGCCTGAGATCATGGAGGAGTATCGAGATGCATTCCCTTCATGTCCGTGGATTGAGAGCTCGATCATTACCCAGGCACCGCATTGCATTGAATTGAGTTACCAGAGACGAGGATGGCAGGCAAAGTGTTGCGGCTTTGCGCTAGAGTGCGCAACGTGGTATGCTTTAACCAGGCGGGATTGATTGTCCATGGGCTGTCTGTTAGATAGTTGATTTGATGTATCAAGCTTTTCTATGTGAGGTAGCGCACCCTTAATTGAATCAGTATGAAAAGAAAGGAAGAAAATATTGGAGAATTTGTCCATGAATTCAGTAACTCCGAATTAGATGTGGTATCATATCATTGTTGTTTTTTATCCTCAGCATTGATCAAAGATCCGTTTCATCTCGTCCCATCTCTTAGATGAAACATCCACCAACCGCCGTAGATCTTCAGTATCGATTGTCCAACCCCCAACCTTCTCCATCTTCAGAATAACAGTCTTCCCATTCTTCTCCTTATCAACAACAATAGAAGCACGTTCATGCGCCAAATTGTCTTCATATCCATCTGGATCCGCAAGAATCCACCGACCTTTGCCGTCTTTCTTTTGTTGTTCAGCATTCGGAATAACCTCAGCTCGCCATCCTGCAGCAGCATCGGCCTCGAAAACACAGAAAGAGCTGGCAACCGGCAGTCCACGCAAGGTGAGTTTGTGTGCTTCGCTAACATCGTCCGAGCAGAGAACCGTCTCGTTATCCACATCCCACCAGGCTTTGGGGAGCTTTGTATCACGGAGGGCTGCAACAACAGAGGCCCAAGCTGCATCGAAGGGGTTACCGGCAAGTGAAATAATCATGATATCAATGTAAAGTACCCAGAAAGCCTTAATCTCGCGGGGCCTTTCTTCCTTGGCTTCCGTGTTTTTGCCCGCACCCTCGTCAACGTCCATTTGTTCATCCTCTGGTCCCAGATTAGGTGGTTGGTACCAGATACGCAAGTCATCTGCTTTGACAAGTCGTGAGCTGTGAAGGAGAGAGAGGATTTCATGTGAGATTGATTGAGCCATAGTGGATGGCGGAGCTCCGGGAAGATAACCAGGTGCGCAGCCGGTGCTCAAGGAAAGATTGGGGACGAGCAGACTAAGGTCTTCGATATGGACGCGGTCTTGGTCATCTTCATTCTCGTCGTCTTGACGCTTGTCGGTCGAGGCAGAGGAGGTTCGAGCTACACTCCATGAGGCTATATCGTCGGTGTGAAGCAGTTCGGCGCGGACACCGCACACAGCAGCTGTGTCGCCGATACGCACTACAGCGCTACCATTTGTGTGTGTCAGGGAGCCGCAGTTGGCTGATGTGGTTCGGAATTGGAGGGGCTCGCGGCCGTTAGCTCGAATTGAGGGCTGGTTCATTGCTGCTGGCGGGGAGAGGTGGGCAAGAAGATAGGCGTGTGGCTGGAGGCGCGCGAATTGTGAGGGAGGGAGCGAGAGCGATGGTGGCACCGCTGGTGCTTCATTGCTTGTTGAAGCCATTTTTGCAGGCTTTCATGTAGGAATTGTAACCCAAAACACGGTCTGTAGTATGACCGTCTCTAATTCCAATCGTAAGAAAAAGTGATATGCATTTATCCGGCAGAATTGTTCCGCTCCAGGGCGGTAATGATCAACATTGGCCAATTAGTGCCTTGTTTTGTTGCCTTGTGGCCTTACGCACTTATGGATGCCTTAGACTGGACTCACTTTGTATTAACTTATCCAGGCAAGAGAGATAAACATCTTTAGTAAGGGGGAATCGCTGGAAGCTTATACAATATAATAAAGTACTGAAGAGATAATCTACTAGTTAGCACTAGTGGAAAGAATGCATTCATACTAGTATGAGTAGCTAATTAACTATACAACCCATTTGATTCTTTCGAAATGCTTCAAGTTCCACATGGACAAAAAGCACGTTCAAATGTTCATTCCCCAAACTTGAGTATCTTGCCTAATTCAAGTTAAATTAGCTGTGACGCATATTCTATATTTGGTGGATCGGCTTGTCACATCGTCCAGAATATCTAAACTTAGGTACAATGTATCTATCAATAAATACGGGTGAAGTATTTCCCGTATTCTCAGCGTCATCATAACATTCTACCAATGGTTTCCCAGGATTAGTCTCACGGACGAACATTCCAATGTAGGGCTGAGAAACTTCCTATGCTTCGGAGATTCGGCTCTACTTACTGTAAAACTCTAGTTGTGTTCATTATGCGCCGAGTATCCTCGGGATGACGAATGGCAGCAGTATTAGTTAGCGCCGAGATAGCCAAGAAAAAAGTAATAATCAACCAACAAGCAAATGTCGGACTATTTTCAGACCATATTCGCAGGTCTGGACGAAATGGAACTCTGTCCGTTCGGAGTGGTTCGTTTGTGCTCTGCAGTCCCCACCACGCTAATGCAGCCTGGTCACCCCAATCAGCTTCTCTGCAATAGGTGTCTATGCTGATTGGCTTCCAGGCGCTAAACCGTCACATATCACTGGGGGATTATGTTTCCTCCTTGCCCGAAAGTTGCGATCACCCGAGGTGACGTCCGATTCTCGACCTAATTGACCACTCACAGCTCAAGTTTTGGAATGGCTTGCCCGTTGCTAATCAACCAGTTGGGCGATGTGATATGGCTGATCTTACTACAGTGTGACCATGCAGAACTGTTGGTGCTACCCCCACTCCTCGTGCCTTTATACATGTAGACAAGGTTTTTTCCCCTGCAATTTTCTTTTTTTTTCTGCTTTCCAACTCGGTGACTCGACGATCTTCTCGTGACTTGGCGAATATGGGCTTGGTGCTGTTATAGGATTTGAATGGGAGGCCTTTTCTTATATGATCATTAGATCGGAGCACTATTGAAGAATCATAGAAGTATGCGCAAAACTTATGAACTTGGAAAAATGCAACAATCGCTTACCTGAGATAAAAAGGTCCATATCCTCAAATACCAGCTTCCTAGCTACCCCGACGATTCAAAATGCTGGACGCTATATTTTCCCTCGTTCGGCGTGTCTATGTGCCAGTCACAGCATCAACGACTACCGCGGAACAGAATGAGATGGATCGAGATTCTTTCCGCAAAGCCGGGAAATATGGATATGGATTTATCTACTTTGCAGTAGTGCTGCTGGTCATCACTACCATTATTCGACTCTGCAACAGCTATAGCGACAGGATTAGAATCATTATGCATAGAGAAAGCAACCCACAGCCTTTCCAGGGTTCTCATGGTTCTTCGACGCCGGACGAATATGAGCTTCCCAGTGCAGGCACTGATGCTTCAAGCATGCATTTCTTTCCAGCTCCGCAAGCATCATCCTACCAACCACCTCGTTCTCTCTTCCAACGGCTTTTCCACTTTAATAAAGTGATTGCATTATTTCGGTGGATCTTCTATCGACCTATGCCTACTGTCAGGATTGGGAAGAAGCAAATCGTCTTCCCTTCTCTAGCTGTGATTTCCATTGTACTTGCAGCCTTCATATTTGTAACGCTTTACTGCTTTGTGCCGCAGCCCTTTTACTATTGGACCATCGCCTTAGGATCGCCACCACTAGCTATTCGTGCAGGCATGCTGGCAGTTTCAATGATTCCGTGGATTGTTGCGCTTGCTACAAAAGCAAACTTTATCACCATGGCGACTGGCCTAGGCCCTGAACGATTGAATGGGCTGCATAGATGGCTATCCTATATCTGTCTCTTCCTCTGCATTATTCATATGGTTCCGTTCTATGTTACGCCCATATGGACAGACAATGCTCTAGTCAACTACCGAAACTGGGTACCGCCTGGTATCTATTATTATGGAAATGGCTGGGCAGCAATGGCACCATTGATTGTGCTATGTGTTCATTCACTCCCTTTCCTGCGACACTGGATGTACGAGCTTTTTGTTTTCGTCCATATCCCAGTCTCTTGGGTTTTCGTGGCAATGATGTTCTGGCATAGCAAGAATTATCTCAAATCTTGGGGCTACCTCTGGACAACAGTGGCGATCTGGATTGCGACATATTTTATTCGATTATTCTATTTGAATTGGAGTAATCCGTTCCGAATTTCGTCCTTTTTAATCGGAGAAGAAGCGGCTGTCACCTTGCTACCTCAAAACGCAGTCAAGGTTACCATTCCTACAAAGATGCGCTGGAGAGCCGGGCAGTACGTCTATTTACGCATGCCAAGTATCGGTTTTGTCCAAAGTCATCCTTTCACAATCGCTTCGCTTTGCAGTGATGATTTCCCCTCTGCTTATGGCCCGAAATACCGCGATATGACGCTCATCTTCCGACCATTCCAAGGATTTACCCGCAAAGTAGTGGATAAGGCGTTGGAGAATGGTCCAATGAAAACATACACTGCATTTATTGAGGGTCCATATGGTGGTATGCAACGCGATATGGCAGCGTTCGATGATGTGGTGTTCTTCGCAGGCGGAAGTGGTATTACTGCCATTGCAAGTCAATTGTTAGATCTGATCAAGCGAATCCGAGATGGTAAAGCTGTTACGAAGTCAATCAAGGTCGTTTGGGCACTAAAGTCACCGGAGACAATGGAGTGGTTTCAAGAAGAACTACGTATTTGTCGTGACAATGCACCTGCCAACCTAATGTATTGCCATTTCTTCCTCACTGGTATTAGCATGCAACAAGCAGACCAGGCAGGCCGAGACCTCGTCCAAGAGAAGATCTACGGCATGCTACAAGGAATCGATAAGCGAGACTCGACATACATTCGACAGGAGGCCGACGGTGATCTGGAACGAGAGAAGGAGCTTCGCCGTGAGAACGAGGACGGCTTAGGTGCTCTTCCAGGTGCACCTCCCGCCGCTCACGTTATCGGAACTAGGCAATACTACCAGCCTGGAATAAGCTCAGTATCACCGGGGATCAGTATTAGTCCTGGGTTTGATTTTGGGTTCGGTAGCTCGACACCCACGTCACTGAAGCAGCCCACGCCGCGCTATGCTTCTTTCCAACCATCTCATCGTAGAGATAATTGGAAGACAGATTATTTCCGACCAGATGTTTCAAAGATGCTTAATGAGTTCTCGCAGACATTTGGTCGTCGGGCGTGTATCTTTGTTTGTGGTCCGCCTGGTCTTCGTGTTGAGGTGGCTAACACGGTGGCTAAGCTGCAGATGCGTGTTATGAGTGATTCATCTAAGGATGAGATTTTCTTGCACGCGGAGAATTATAATCATTAGGCTGTGCTGCTGTGTATACTTCTGTCGTGTTCATCGTTTCTGTGTATTTGATACCCATATCGTGCTGATTTCTGTTATTATCTTTCCTGTACATGGTTATTGTGATATTCATCAATCAAGATTATTATCTCCATAACCCTAAGATATGATGAGTTAGAATTTCATACATCTGCGGACTAAATGTCATTTGGGCATGGGTGCATTTGAGAAGGCACCCATGACTCTTTGAAAGCCTCCACATCGTTAGTTCTTCTGAGATATACCAACGTGACTATTAGCAGTCTTTTTAGAAACAGCCCTGCGAGCACGGGTGATAATCTCCAGTGCCAGTTTCCTCATCTTGACTGCTCGTTTTGGAGACAAGATAAAGCTCATCTGGTACGAGATAACGAAGTATGTTCTGTAAGTTGATTTAAGATGCCGACGATACATGTTCATGTATGTCAATGATTCTGGTTTGAGTCCATTGAAGTCTTTACAACAATTGTCGCTCCCGAGGTCTTGATGATTGGTACTCATCGGCCATCAAGCCTGGCAGCCAAGCTACAATGTCCGAGTTCAATTTTAATTTGGTTTAAGCCCCGGGGCGAGGAAGGATGCGCGCTTCTATAGTTACTACTATGTAGGAGCTTGTTTTTTTATTGCCCAATACATCCATTCAAGTTTGTTTGAAATACATAGCCTCTAGCCCTGGAAGCTTGTGCATTTGGTTATTTCTTCGAAGCAAAAATTTGAATATCAGGGATGTTTCAGACATGAAGACATTGTATGACGTTGAGGCATAACATATACGGCGCATAGATACGTATGCAGGTGAAACTATAATTTAATCAACGGGTATCCAAGCTATATCTATCAATAAGTCGTGAGCAGCTAGTAAATGGGTTCAACAGTACCCCATTTACCGTCGTTGTGGGTTATTGCCTTTGGCATCCTCGGCTTTCCGTTTCCTGGATGGTGTCTCATCCTTCTCCAGTACTCGAGAATCACTCAAGGTTTGCACTCCAAGATCGCCTTCCTCTTCATCTTCCGCTTCCACCTTTTCCCAGTCCTCATCGTCTGCATCATCGGATGGGGATTCTTGGAGGCTGGCTTCGACCTGAGGAGGTAACTGTGGCTGATCTTCTTCGCCACTATTCTCATCGTGCCAATCAACATCTAATCGCACAATCCGGGCACCTGAAGGCTTCAAGCGTCGATAATAACCTTCAACAACGCCATCTTGTATCTTGAATCCTCGTGCGATATACCAATTCAGCGCATCTTCATTCGCCTCGTGAACGTGAGCTGTCACGGAGCGGATGTTGAAGTGTCTCACTAGTCCAGAGACCGAAGTGGGTTTTTGATTACCCGACGGTTCGAATAGTAGAGAGTTTAGTAATGAGGTCGCAACACCGCTGCCACGATAGGGCGAAAGGAGATGCAGAGTTTGAATATACAAGTTCGTAGCTTCTTTGCCGCGTACCACACGCGTGGGATCTTGTTTTTCTAGTCGACATCGAATAGCTCCAATCACTTTATCTGTACCGGCTGATGCCTCGGGATCAATGCCTCCCGATATATGGTGCTCATGATATATTGCGACGCGTGAAAGAGACGCGATGACTGGATCGGTGATGGTAGCCGTATAGAACGAGTTTGGATAGCGAATCGGCAAGAGTACACCAGTTATGCGCGTCAACGAGGGAATGTGGGCAGTTTTCACTGTTTCGACTGATATTTTTGGATGTGGAGTCGCGTAGCCTGACGAGATGTCATGGGGGTATGGTGTAAATGAGTTCTGGCTGACATTGGATGAGGTGGTCTTTGCGACAGCTGGCGGTTGGAGAGGAGGTACGCGGTTAGGCGGGTTATTGGAACGAGATTGGTGAAGAGGTGGAGGTGATGATGCCTGTTGTGACTGCTGCGACCTCGCAGAATTCGCGAAAAACTGATATGCCATTGTTTTTTGTCGAAGTCTTGAGTGTCAACAACCTTAACGTGATTTGACCCTTTGACGCTGCAACAGCGAATGCGGAGATGCGATAAGAGATAAGACCGGGTGAACAACTTGCTCCTGCCTCAAGTCTCTTCTCTGGCTTTGTATCCACAAGAAGGCTGGACTCGGACCCCAGCATTTCCTTCAATCAGTGAGTGATCATTCTGGCATTGAATTCTTGTTTCCCATCATCAGCTATGCTTTTGTGTCTTTGAGATCCTCCACGGGAGCGTTGCTCCCCTATTTCCCGCTCGGTGGATCATGCCCATTCGCCCGGTCCCGAAGTCACCTACTCGGAACAGTGAACCCGCATTCACCGGAGTAGCAACCATTGACTTCTGTTTTCACCACTGACATTGGATGTCCTCTAGTACATAAGCTTCCCTTTTGGCGGGTGCTGATTTGTATTCCTATGTCAGACACGCCTCGTCATTTCGGACCGACTCCGACATCGTTACATCGTTGTACCAATTGGCATCTCCCTGCATAGATTTACATCACATGGAGGACTAGGGCCTCATACTGGCGCGGAACTACAGGTTGTCACTGTGTCGCGAGCACAGACACAGCTATTGGTCATACAGAAAATAGTCCACTGAGTTGGTTGATTTCCCGCTACGACTCCGAGAATGGCCGGTTCCAATGCGGCTGGCAATGCGCCGGTCTACCCTGCCGGCACTGTTGCCAAAGTGGTATGTGAACTTTGCAATGCTCCTTATTGGCCATTCCTAATCTTCTAATAGTCGACCGATATCCTCAACGAAACCTTCCATAACATTATCCATGACCTCGTCGCCAAAGTCCATCGAGAAGAGAAAGTGGCACGGATGCGCTCTGCGGTAGTCCTTGCGAGACAGAAAGCTGAAGATGGGGCAACTGTCCCAGATGAATCGCCAAGCAAGTCTTTGGCAGATGTAAAGACAAGGGAAATGATTGTTGATCCAACAAAACTGGCCAATACACATCTTGAAACCGACGCAGCCATTTTCGACCACGGACAAGTTCTCCTGAAAGGCAACCCATTACAAACAGTCAAAGAAATAATCTGTCCCGAATGCCGAATGCCACGTCTCTCATATCCACCCGTCGGCGCTGGTTTCCGACCTCCCCCAGATTCCAATCGCGAGTACTGTCTAAATGGCCCGCTGATCACACTACCCGGCCATGACGTCCATGGCAAACTATTTGCAATCATGCCGAACCCCAAGAAACGAAAGACAGAGAAGGACAGCAACATACCTGAGGTTCCTACTAGCAAGTGTCCTGTTTGTCCAAGGTACTTTGTCATGAACCGCGTGGCTCAACATTTGGACCGCTGCATGAACATCTCCGGTCGTGGAAGTAGTACCCGAAATAAGACACCGACAGACAGTGGCGCAAGTGGTGGAAACAGTCCAACCTCATCTGCTCCAAAACGTCAACACACCGATGAGGACGAGGGCAGCCCCAGTCCTACAAAGAAGAAGAAGCTTAACCAGAAGAAAGCGTCCAACAATAAGCCAGGGCCCAGTAAGCTGAAGAACTCGTTCACGGTGGAGGACAACGACGATGATATTAAGAGTGAGAATGCCGATGCGTGATTTGGGCCATGGTTACCTTAATATTTCTTCTTTTTCACATCGTCTGGTGTCTTCGGCGTCTTGTTTTCTTACTTTTAGCTCTTTACTGGCTTCATGTTTTGGCGTCTCGGGGCTGTTTTATCACTGAAGAACTTGCATAGATGACGATGATGAATTGGGTGGAACAGGACTGTACATTATTTGATACTTTATTTCACAATTGAAAGGCATAGTCATTGTGGGCATGTGGGGATTTGATAGGTCAATCAATATCAATTATTCCATATTTGAGAGCTTCATGATAGAGCACAAGTATTCTTTAGCCTGAATATCTTAGATAATTCTATCTCGATAGCATGGTTTGAATGGAGCATCCAGACATCACTGATGGCAGAAGCCCAACCTTCACGTTCACCCTATATACTCAGCATACCTACACCACTCCACATCATCACGCAAACCCTGTATTTCATCATCCCTCAGACAAAGCAACACATCAATATCCCCATTATCCATCGAGGGCAAAAAATACAACAAACTTTGTACAGGTTTAGACTGAGGTCTTCGCACAAAAGCCGGTTTCCCAAGTATCCCATACTCCAACCTATGCACCGCCGTACCAGCCCATGATGACGCATTAATCCACGCATCAGGATCAAACCCCGACACAAAACTAAACGTACTCTTATCACATTCCCCCACAATAAGAGTAGCAAGACTCCGAAGATAACGCCTCTGCCTGATTCGCCGGACATCACGGCGCAGTTGAGCTGCCACCTCTTCCAAGGAAGCCTCTTCTATTTCCTGGAATGACATTTTCGAAGCGGTCTTCACGACGACAACACCCATGTACTCTTTTGGGATGTCTAGTGTTTTTCGACAGTCGATTGCGCGTGAGAACCCTGTTAAGGTATCTGGGTTTTGGCCTTTTTGGCGGATGGCACTGAGTCGTTTCCAGATGAAGGCACTTAGGGCGTCGTCGGTTGATGGTGTTTTGGCTAGTGTAGCCAGGTGAGATAATGATGAGGCATTGAAGCGGAAGCAGTGGAAGGCGGATCTTGGTTTAGTATTTGATTGGGGCTTTCGTAGAGCTGGTGTTGAGGAGGAAGGACAACGCATTGCTGAATGATCGTGGAGCTTTTCTTTGGGGCTGAGTAGGGGGAAGATATTCGCGCGATCTCGAGTATTTACACTGATGGCTTCCTGGCCGAGATGCTTTCCCTCAAGTGCGGTGGCTAATAGTTGGAAGATCTGGTCGATGCCACCCATATCTAATATATTATGCTGTGCGGCGCAGTCTAAGATAAGTCCGCCTTTTATCCAGCTGACTGTCAGTGTCAGCACGGGTGCTGGGTTGGTCTCGCTCTCGGTATATGTATCTGGCATTGCTGATTCGTTTGAAAGCCATGAACCAAGTAACTGGTCACTGCTTGCTTTGGATTTGGAAATATCTCCGAAGGATGGACAGATTTCAGATCGATCTTGCACTTTGAGAATATTTGTCGTATGCGGTGATCGCGCAACTGTAAAATCCCCTGTACTTTTACTGTCCCATTTGTTGATGATGACTACTGCCCCGCCGAGCCATGGGAGAGCTGTGGTTATCTGGCTAGTTGCTCCTTCGAGGTGTGCAATGATTGTTTTTCGGGGCGTTGTTGCGGGACGAGGAAAGCATGCTGCTAGGTGGGTGTATCCTTTCATTCGAGGTAGCTGACCCCATACATCTATCATGCCTGGGAATATGTCCATTTCTTCGGTGTTCATTGCAAGATACTGGGTGTATGTGGTTCAGATAGAGTTAGGTGCTTTCAAGCAGTGCGGGAGTTGGGAAGCATGTATAAGCTCGGAGGAATCTAGTACGTTCGCCTTTCAAGTTATGTGTCCCGCAGTTGAGCAGATGAGGAGCGTAAAATCCTGGACTTTATCATGCCGGAACAAATCAGGAACCTTTTTGATGATGCATGGGATCTCATGTCTAGTATTAGATCTTAGGATGCGCTTAATTATCCGATCGTATGAAGGCGGGGCAACTACGCCAAATGCAATCCAACCGGACACTAGCAAAAGTCTAACAACAAGTTGAAGCTTTAATCAAGATTCTAGTGTTGGGGGAAATTTTATTACGTATTACTGGTATCAGGTTAAAACAAATAAGAACGAAATATGATCATGTTTCATTAATGCGCCTGCTTCCAAACTTGCCCGTAAAAGCTAAGTTCATAGGCCCAACAAGCTATGCTATGCCAATACAGACCCACACCCTCATATATGCATGCCGTTTTACATCACTGAAGCGTCGGCTTTCTGGGAGTCCCGCGGCGCTTCTTCAATGGGCGTGCATCATCTTCGTCCACCCGTCCAGGGATCGTGACCAGTTCGTCATCGGTGGATATCCTGCCACTCGAGAGGTTCTCTTTCTTGCCGCGCAATGAGATGGAGAACGAAATTAGATCCAAGTTGTTCTCGGACTTCTTCTTTTTGGTCTTTTCGGAGTTGACATCCTTGACTTTTACATTCTCGCCATCCTCGTTTGACTTGGCCTGATCTTCGGGTTCTTTCTTCACTTTAGAATCGGTGCTTGAGCCGAAAATGTTCGCTTCGCCAGCCCAGATACGCGCGAAAAGACTCTTCACCCCTTCACTGGCGGGTTTATTCTTATCACCTGCCTCTTCCTTAATTGCATCTTCATTCTCATCTTCTTCCTCCTCTTCTGCGTCGGAGAATTCCCACATGGATTTGATTTCACCGCGGAAGAATGCTGTGCTCCACAAGGAAATCAAGACGCCGGGGACGAGATATAGAAGCGCAGGCTGGGCATGATTTGAATATTGCATAGCCAAAAGAGTCGTGATCATACCAACGATGTACCCCACGACACTAGCTTTGAAGTAGACTTTGGGGAAAGCTCGCGCATCGTGGTAAGGCGGCTGGGTTTCGGGTTCGCGAGGGGTCATGGCGGGTGCCCAAAGTCGTTCTCCCCAAGATCCGGTAGCTCTTTGGTAGACTGGCTTGCTGATTTCTTCCGTCGAGCCTTCAATTTGGGCCTTTTTGATACCCTTGTTCTGATAGTAAAGGAAGAGATCAAATCGTAATGCAAGGCCAATCATCATTCCGGGAATAACAATATCTCCGAGACCCAGCATAGCAAGCGACTCAATACCGGGCTTGTCACCTGGGCTTGGTGGTCGAGGGAATAGGAGCTTGATGGGGACATCCAGCTTGGTAGCGACAGTGACCATCAAGGGGGTGAAAAAGACGAAGTAGATATCGTAGAAGAATAGGGATCCAAGGATCAATGACCCAGTCCAGAATGTTGATGGGGACATGAATTGTAAAGCTCCATACGAGAAGCTAAATCCGAGGAAGTTGGTTAACCACCATGGTTTTGTCACGAATGCAAAGTAGCCCACAGCGATCAGGGCCACGATCCCACTCAAGAGGTCAAGAAGGCCCACGAGAGGCTTGATTTCGAAGAGACCACGGACTTGAGCGCGCAGTCTTAGGCGCCGATAGGAAACATCGCGGCAGCTCCATAGGAAGTTTCGAGCAAATGCGGGCAATGGAATTGAGCCAAATATTCCCGGTAAAGGCGAGGATCTCACGTCATTGGACAATTCGGCTTTGAACACCCTTTGAGATTGGATCGCATGGTAGGTTTCCCCACCACGGCGGTAGTAACGTGGGAAAATAAGTGATCGTACAATCAATAGAATGTCCTTCAGGAAAGAAATGGCGAAGAACACGCCCATCTGTGAGAAGTAAAAGCTGAGGATTTTGTTGAGAATGGCAGGGTCTTCCAGCCATTTGATGACCATATAAAGACCACCGAGTGTTAGGCCCGCAGTCAAGGGAAACATCAACGCGTCTGATGGTTCTAATCCCTCCATTTTCTGGAGCGGACCTTGGTCATCTTCATTATCTTCATCGTCGTCACCGTCTTGGTCTTCATCCGCCTTCTTGGGAGGCTTGGCTGCCGAGGAGGGCCTTGAGAGAGACGCATGGGCACCAATCCAGATGGGAAAAATTGATGCAACTAGTAAATGTCCATATGTGGGGAGAAGAGGCCTCATGCGATCGAAATGATAGAACGCGTGCCCAAGTAGCTCCGCGAGGGGGCTAATGTCCGCTTCAGACATGATGAATCGTCTGCGCGGCGGAAAATATTGTAGGTTGAATTGATAAACTTAGTTTATGAGAAGAAAAATTGGAGAGAAAGGTTCATAATAAGTCTAAGTTCAGTCCATAGTGGTTGCCGTGAACGATGCGGTTAGGAACAGCATGTCTTAACGGATACTTGGTTGAAACTGCCGCTCCAAGCTCCGCCTTTGCTCTTCATTCTTCTTGCAACGCCTCAAAGTACGATCGGCTCTTCAAAACAACTTTCATGATGGCGACCGACGTGGCATTTGATACCTCTATGGTGATATATCCCCAGGTTGTGCTGCGACTGAGCTATTACTGACTTTTTGGCAGGGTTCCTTTACTGTCGAGCTCTACAACACTCATGCGCCAAAGGTGAGCATCCACCCCGCGCTCTAAAAGGGCAAACCGCGACTGACTCCAAGCTATCTAGACCTGCAAGAACTTCGTAACCCTCGCCCAACGAGGCTACTACAACGACGTCGTCTTCCATCGCATCATCCCCAACTTCATGGTTCAGACTGGTGATCCCACTGGAACCGGTCGCGGCGGCAGCTCCATCTACGGCGAGAAATTCGAAGACGAGATCCGCAACGAGCTGAAACACACTGGAGCCGGTGTTCTGAGTATGGCGAACAGTGGACCCAATACGAATGGCAGTCAATTCTTCGTTACGCTTGCGCCGACACCGTGGTTGGATGGAAAGCACACAATCTTCGGTCGGGTGAAGAGTGGCATGCGAGTTATCCAGCGCATGGGTCTGGTCAAGACTGGTGGTGAGGACCGGCCAGTGGATGAGGTGAAGATTATTCGGGCAAGAGTGGTGGAACAAGGGGCAGAAGAGTGAAGAGGTCGCAACAGCAATACGACTCTGGAATCTTCATGATTTATTGCTCGCGCGGAGTGTTCTGCGGCTTAACCTCCATGCATTGACTGTTTCTAGCAGGATGCATGATCAATGCATAGCAGATCAATTGTGCACCTCCTTGGGCTATTCAAGTCCAGGCAGCAATACAGACCAGCCCAGAACTCCAGCATTTCTCCACGAAGCCAGTTCTACATTGGATATGCAGTGAGCTAGCTCGGGTTTGGCTGAATATTTGGACTATGACTAAATCACGACCGTATTTATGAAATATACGAAAGCCAGGAACACAAACAACTTCTACTTATAAATAAATGAATGTTTCACTACAAAACGAACCGCTTCCATCAGATTTGTACGTCCGGAGCAGCAGATACAGAGTGAGTTTCTGATCTACCACTCCCATGACTACATCCAGTGAAGGCTATAGTCGGGAACCTGAGATTGTCATGAATGACATTCGGGCTGTGCAGAGCACTGGGAGTGGCATGGAGAAGGAAAGGATTTGAAGCGATAAAATTTGCTTATAAGTGGAGTGGAGTAGATGAGTAATCAAGTATCACGTGATAAATATGGAAGTATACACGACTTTCTTGATTTCAATACTTGCACTAATTATATATTGTTATCGAATCTGACTGCCTGAGTGTGATTCGCATGACATCTAACTAGCCAGTTGCATTGACAAGCCACCGCCATAGAAAAGTGTCATCTGGATTGTTTTGGGCAATAAATGTAATATTGCCCAGGTGAGATTGTTTGACAGCATTTTATAGTGATAGACCAAAAAGGGTTCCAAGGTTATCGTATTGCAGAAACGTGTCAAAGTTGAAAGAACTTGCGACACGCGATTAGAAAACCTCAATTACAGTATCATAATAACCTTGGAAAAATGGGTAGGTAAACAGAATACATGTAGTCTATAGATAATTCAGCTTCAAATAGGCTTCAATTCTAATTTTAAAAATGATCACTACTAATACTAAGAATACCTCCCTGAATACGCATAGTAGTAAGTATTTCTGCACCCGGTATAGTGTATAGTACTATCTCCCAACTTTGACTTTCAAATGATTTGACCTTCCTCAGCTATCCTTCCCTCAAAGATCCCCAGTCATGAATCTAGAAGAGTACAGACAGATTATCGAGGAATTTGGAAATCCCACAGATGAATGTCTATATTATCACTTTGCTTACTTCCTTCCGCCAATATAACTTCTTTGCTTCGCGTTTACGGTTTGTAGGATGCCACCAACTTGAAGTTCTCGATTTATGATAATCCTACTGATCTGCACTGCAGGTGCCGGAGTCAGAGATTAGTACTCAGATGCTCGATTGCTCGGTGATTTACAGGTACCTATATTTTTAATAAGTTCACCCTGACGCCTTCACTCAAGTCCCTTCGCTCTGGTACCTTCACTCTAAAGCCTGCCTATTTCTCTACTATATAAACCATGGTCCATGACTTATCATCTTCTCATTCATTCATCCATCATCATCCAAATACCCATCTTCCGTTAACCGCCCACTATCCCTCAGGTACGCTCTCTTGCTGATCTTATTTTGCTGATCTTCTCTTGCTGATCTTCTCTTGCTGATCTTCTCTTGCTGATCTTCTCTTGCTGATCCTCTCTTGCTCACAGTCTTTTGCTCAGCCGTCTTCTTAACCGTGCTAATATTCCCAAAACATAGGCACCTTATCACTGGAGAACCTGGAGACGAACATGATCATCGTTGAGGCTAAGACCGAACGGGTATTTGGCAAGGGCAAGACGCAGCTTCTTGCCTACATGGGTAAGTCAACTGCTTCATACCAAGAACCTTACTAATAAGATCTCTAAGACTTGTCCATCTTAGCCGCAAGGAGAGAGGGAAGCGGGATTTATCGGTACATGGCCTTACCACAGACGGTTCTACCTATGAGTTTTACAGGATCAATGAAGATGGCTGTAGTATAACTACATGGAGGAGGTTCGGACGGGCATGCTTGCATGTTTGGACGTCTGTATGGTTTGACCCACTCTCGGATACAGACCATTCAAATCATTGGTCTAGAGAGTGGGCATCCGTCTATATGTATATAGTAGAGCTTCCCTCTCTCCTTCCCCTTCTTCAACGTTGTTAGTACTTGTTTTTCGCACCCTTTCTCCATTTCGGCAGAGACGTAGGCAGCCCATCACAGTACTTAGGTCCATCGTCTGTCTTTTTCGCTCCAGAAGCTCCAGACTTCAACGTTCTTCAGCTTTTCTTCTTTTCTTTTTTGAGAAATATAGCCATACAATGCCATAGCAAATAGAATGATCATCTACTGCCAAAGATAGGCAATAGCCATACATTTCCATTCCCGAGAAAGATAGCAGTAGGTGTCCACAACTTCCATAAGTCCATGTAATTCATTGGCAGTAGTCCTTAGTGGGGTATCCGGCATATTTTAAAAAGCCCCGAAGTGTGGGGGTGGGTAAGCGGAGTAATACATCATGGATATTCAATCAGCCGCTACCCTTTAATAACCATTTTCTAATGTCCAGAATATTCTTATTCCTAGACCAAATCCGTCAAAATGTCCTCTTCATGGCCTCCACTACAACGAAATGAACTTGGCATCGCCACTCTTTCTCTCGGAAACTGGAGAAAACACACTCTTACCCCACGACTCGAAGCTGCCGCCAAAGCCGGTTACCAATGGATAGACCTATTCGATGAGTGTTGGGCTGCATATCTGGAGGAACACGATCTACCCGGAGACCAGCTTTGGGAGCCCACACCGGAGAACCTGCGCGTGGCTCGTCACTTGGGCGATTTAGTGAAGTCACTCGGCATGCGTATTGCCTGTACACAGCCTCTGCGTATGATCGAGGGTATCAAGGATCCAACAGAGCGAAGAGCGACTTTGGACCTGGTCGCAAAGCGGTTTCCGTTTATGAGAGCCTTTGATACCGACTTGGTGTTTATGTGTGCCAATATTCGTACCGATAGTGGCGTTACTTCGGATCTGAAGACCGTTGCTAGGGACTTAGCTGAGTTGGGTGATATGGCTGCTGCGTATGCACAAGCCGATGGCGGGAAGATGCTGAAGATTGGATATGAGGGGTTGTCTTGGGCGACTAGGAATACGTGGTCGTCTTCGTGGGAGGCGGTGCGGTTCGCGAATCGTCCTAATGTTGGCCTGATCGTTGATGCGTTCAATATTTTGGCTGTTGAATTTGCGGATCCTTATAATCCAGTAGGACATGGTCGCATATATCCTACGTTGGAGGAATCACTGGCAGTCTTGACGGGATCCATGGCATCTCTGGCTGCGACCGTGCCGGGGGATCGTATCTTTTTCTTTCAATGTGGTGATGCTGAGTTGGTGAACCCGTTGACGTTCCTGCCTCCTGATGATCCAAGTATACCAGCCCTTTTACCTTGGTCGAGAAGTCATCGGTTGTATCCAATGGAGGAATCCCGGGGCGCTTATATGCCCGTGGAACTGGTAGCTGCCGCCGTATTGGCTACGGGATACAAAGGTCCCCTTTCACTTGAAGTTTTCAATACGTCATTGAACCAAGGCGGGGATGATGTTGCAGGAAGTCATGCCGATCGTGGCATGGAGGGGTTGAAAAGGTTGTTCGAGGCGGCGACAAAACTAGCCCCATTTTGGAGGAGCCCAGAATCCAGCCGGCAGGCCATTTCTCAGGTCTCTCAGAGGCTACAAGGAACAAGTCCTCGATTATAGAGGAAACCCGACAGAACTTGAATGTATATAAGTAAGATGACATATTACTTCAGTTAAGTATTTTGAAAACATTCATAAGCTAGCCTCGATTCCATAATGGTACATTTATGATATTTTATAGTATCAAAACACGCAGCCGAAGCTTGGACCAAAGATCTCTCTAAATAAATCAGTAAACCCTTCTTCAGTAAGATCAGCTGCCACGTCAATGTCCGTCAAGAAGGGGTCATAATCTGAGACCAAGGAATGATTTGAGCGACCTGTTTCATCTGGCCCGGAATCTAACTGATGATGGCTTCTAATGTAGGACTGACTTTGAGAAGACTCAACTTCTATGTTGTCCCTTAATGTGGCGCACTTTGCCTTCAAAATCATCATGATATGTTGACCGAGTAAAGCAGCAATTCCATATCGGTGAGACGGTGTCCTGCCTGCACGTTGAAGTTGCAATGCAACCTGGCTTAGAAGCGCAAAAAGCTCAACTTGACTGCCGGAACGAGAACCATAAATCCTTGGGAACAACTTCAATGATAGAACAGCAGCGTATGATATCATGGCCCACGTTGGAGCCAGCATGCAGTACAAGGGCTCACCGATCGCTTCGAGATCGCGAACTGCGACCTCACAGGCATTAATTGCGGCCTCAAAACAATCGTTGCGAAGGCCAGCTTCGCTGCTGTGGTCTTGAGAGCTATTAAGCGCAATAGACAGAGTCCAAAGTCTCCCGTGCATGTAAACATATCGAAGAAATGTATTCGAAAGCTGCTCTGCCGAACAAGAAGAGCTGGTTGCTGATTGCGCTAGCCACGTGTTGTACCACGGCTCAAGTGCATTATCGACTAAATTCCGTACCCAATGTAGATCCGCACGGGGTGTTGTTGACCTGTCGCGAATAACACCGTTTAGACTGGCGAGGTTTTGCCGTAAGGCAATAAAAGCACTAGTGTGTCTGTCGGTGAAGTCTGCCAGTGGGTGCATCCACCATCCTTCAATATCCCTGGTCAACGATGTCTCGGGAAAGCTGTGAATTCGTCCATATGCAGCGCTATTTGCTCTTTCCCATAGCAAAATTCTGAACCACGTCCTTTCCCGATTGCGGATTAGTCTCCGGCTATATGCCGTGTCACTCTGGGTCTCTGTTTCCTCGGAATGCCATTCTGGTGCGAATAGCGTTTGGTTCTGGTCGTGAGTAGATATTAAAGACCGAGAATTTGGATTGTCGAGATACTGGTCTAGCCCAAGCTCTGCAGCCACTCCAAAGGCGTACATGGTGTACAGCCAGGAGCGTTCTTCCGCGAGAGTCTCGGCAGGAGTAGCAGATAGTAAAGAGATATAGTATCCTTGTACAATCTCTACTGACTTAAAGCCGCAGGTGTGAACATGCTTTGATAGCTTCTCACCATGTAAACGTAGTCTTTTAGCAATAGACGCAGAGTCATGGTCAAACTGTGCCGTCAGGGCTAAGACCCATGTGAATAGTAATGCTGATCGCGAGCGGACGAACTCAGGTGTATGGAGAACGGGATCCAGTATTCCATTGATCGGATGTAGTCGATTAAAGTAACTGATACCGTCAGTAGATATTTCAAAACAAAAAGAAGAGAAGAAGTAGGAAGGACTAGAAAAGTGATAGCGCTTACATCGGGAAAAGGCCCTGCGCCTCCTCTATAGTGATCAAACCTAGGTCAACAGGATCGAGTTCGGGCCCCGTATCCTGATTCAAATCCTGGACAGGTCTTTTGAAGTAATTTGCATATCTGTCCGTGTTGTGTGCGGGCATTGACAAAGCGTCTAACCCACGTTCAAGGCTTTCTCGGCTTAGCTGTAACCCAAGAGAAACATAGCCAGGTCGATGAAGCAAATGACCGATACCACGGTTATTAAGTAGGTTTTGGTTTGTAGACGGACCACTCTGCCCAGATGTATTCCTTGTTGGTATTGTGCCGAGATGCATGGCACGAGCCGCGTCCGATGCATCAGCTAACAAAGCAAGTGGGTTGCTGATCGGCTCTTCATTGTGGTCTGAGGAGAAATCATCCGAGGCCCTGGTTTCCTCCTGTAAGGCCCTTGGATTGAGGTTAACTGGGATCTCCGAGTCCATTCCACGGCTGGTATAAGGAGAGGAAGCTTGTTTGTCGGGTTGTTCGTTTGGAATAAGCCGGTCCGCACTTGAGCGCTCCTCGTTGGGAAGATGAGCAATTTCCTGGAGTATTTCTACCTCTGGTTCCATTTTTGCTTTCTTCAGCTCGGAGCGCAGCTTGCGTACTGCTTTATCGAAACCTTGATATCGACCGACTGCGCCCTTTTTCCGACCCAGGGGGCGCGGCTCCGGGATCTTGCAAATTCGATTCGATCGTCTGCATCTTTCGCACGGGTTTGTGATTCGACCCGTCGTGTCATTGGGCTCTGTACGGATACATTTCATCTGCGTAGATTGTGAGTGTTAGCTGTGGCATCCATAAACATTCATACAGAGTGGCGAGTTTACCTTCATCTTCCGACATGCTTCGCAGGCGACCGCCGTGGTTGAACGAGCTGATCTCTGTGCAGTATCAGGACCGCTCCTTATTTCCTCCATCGGTTTGATTATGAAGAATGAGCAGAGAAAGCGAAAAATCGAGCTCTTCGAGCCATTTCAGTCTTGCTGGAGAGACGATGGATGTCTGCATGAGGAGAAATTGAGTGCGGGGGAGAATTTCGGTTAAAGTGAACTCTGCTTGAACCTTCACGGCCGGCGATCCAGCAATTTGATTATTCTGAAGCAGTATACCGAGCACAAAAATTGGTCATGCAGTCATACTGGATTGATGATGATGTAGGCCTCTCTGTCGCGACCCTGAACCGCCAGTGTGGGTTGTGAGATGATGATGGAGAGAAGATCCCCACCCGGCGAATTAATTAAAGAGCCGGCCCCGAGGTACAACACCGACCGGCAGTCACCATGCTCATAAATCATAAATACTCACCATAATGTGATATTCATTTCGATTTTAATTTCGATTTCTCTTTTAAATATAACCTTCACTCATTTCAACGGTTCAATTACAAACCGATTTCATGGAAATGATCGAGGTTGACACTTTGGTCTGCGGCGGAGGCATGTCCGGCATGGCATGCGCTTCATTCGCCGCAGACGCAGGACTCAAAACACTCGTGGTAGAGAAACAGGCAGAAATCGGTGGATCTTCTAGTCTTTCCGCGGGCATGTTGTATGTAGCCCTCGTCTAATCTTGAGACGCTTGACTAACATTCTTTTCTTTCACTATATAGCTGGGCGCCACACACTTACGAGAAACTACGCGCTTGGGTGCCCGAAGGTGATCCAATTCTTCAACAAGCCTGGTTGGATGAGTATCTCCCAGCGGTTCAATGGATGCGAGAAAATGGGATACCGACGGCAGAAAGATTTGATGGTATTATGACGATAGGCATTGGGTTTCCCATCAAGATCCCTCAGCTTCATGAGTATCATCGAAAGCGCATCGAAGAGAGTAAAAGTGGCTCCGAAGTTTGGACCAACACTTCTGTGGTGAAGTTAATCCAAGAAGAACCCGGAGTGTCTGGATCGCGGATCACCGGTGCTATCGTTCATCGACAAATCCCTGGATCACCCTCTAAATACTACGAGGTGAAATCCAAGGTGGTAGTCATGGCTACAGGCGGTTTCCAAGGGTCGCCACAAATGACAGCTTCGTATCTCGGACAAGGTGGAGACAATATTTTTGTGCGTTCTAACCCAGGGTCTGTGGGTGATGGTCTCAGCTTGGCCTCAAGAGTTGGAGCTGGAACCAGCAGAGGGATGAACACATACTATGGCCATCTCTTAGCAGCTCCTGTGCGAGCGCAGGACGTAAACCCGAAGGACTACCTCCCGCTGGCTCAATACCGTGAGAACTTAACTTATTCTTTTACCTTCCAAGAACAGCTCTAATTCATCGACAGAAAGCAAATTTTGCTTGTTGCTCAACGAGGCGGGTCGACGATTCGCAGATGAAACAACCGGCGATGAGATCGTTAATCAATATTTGGCAAAACAGGAGAGGCGCCGGGGCTTTCTACTTTTCAAGTAAGTTATTGCTCAGCATAGGCTAACCTTGATGAATCATTGCTTAACGTTTTCCCCTCTACTAGTGAGAAGACTCGCCTTCAGCACTGCGTTGGCGCCCCATTTCCCAATGCGGGATCTATTGATCGCTTGCAAAAAGCTCGTGATTACGGATGTAATGTTGGAACTTCCAATACTATCCAAGGGTTAATGGAGGTTCTATCTCAGTGGGGAGTTGACCCCGTTCAATCTGAAAAGACGGTCCAGCAGTACAACCAGGTTGTGCGCCTAGGCAATTCAAAAATCGCTCTTGATGCTCCCGTCGGACGTGGCGGTACTCCTCCTGTGCCTCTCGTTGACGGTGAAGGGCCATTTTACGTGATGGAAGTCCAGCCATCGTAGGTTGCCCCGCCAAAAGCAGTATTATCATACAATTTCTAACATTCACTTTCAGGATAACATTCACCTATGGCGGGATCTCAATCGACAAGCAAGGGCATGCCTTGACACCAGACAAAATTGCAATTCCAGGATTGTTAGTTGCTGGTGTTGATGCTGGTGGGTTTAGTAACCTCGGATACGCAGGTGGCCTTGCCCTTGCATTTGTGACAGGTCTGTGGGCTGCTAGAGCGGTTTCACGACAGCTAGGGTTACCAGAGCCTCGCCTACCAGCGGCTGATGCGAAGGATGCAACGCCGATGAAAGGTCGGTTGTGATAAACTGGAGACGAACATTAGGAACACATTGAAGATACTGAGAATATTAGGAGGTATGCTATACCAGCACCAAATATATAGTATCATTCTCACGTTAGCCGTGCTTAAAATCAGTCTCATTAAAGTTGGATTCGTCAAGCAGGCTGATGCAGATGATGTCGTCTTCATGCATCATGCCCCACATTAGTTTAGTTAGCGCCATGCAGCTGAATCTGAATTTTCACCAAGATGATCGAGATTCACCAAGACAGTAGGGATCTACTTGAGTAATCCCGATTGGGAATTCAAGAGCTTCGGCCTCTGCGTACCTAGGTTACCTATATGGCAATTTCCACAGACAAGGTAAGCCCAGGACCCGAGCGACTTCTAAATAGGTGGAGCAAACCGATTGGTCATGTAACCCTGACATGGTGAATTTGGATTCCACATCGGATTGGCACTTCGTTTGATCGTTTGGTTGGGCGTTAAACCAGGGGCAGCAAATTGTCTTCCGGTAGGGGGGCGATAAAATAGCATTTGTAAGGATCATGTATTTAATAGTTGATCAAAGCTGCTGAGTACGTACCACAGTTCCTCAAGCTCTATCCTCATGCTTTCCAATGAGAGGCTCTCCTCAGGTGGGACATCGTACAAGTAGCTGTACGAAGCAACATGCTCAATGAAACGAAAAATCTAATCATTGTTGTATTAGCGACTGTCCTGTATAGAGATAATTCGAAAGAGAACCTTCGAATCTAGCCTTCTTACCTGCTGTAGGTTCCATGCATATGCCTTTTCAATATCGAGAGTGTCATTGAATGCCATAATCACGACATTCTGCGAAACCGTCGCCATAGTAGCTAAATATGACTGCTGCTTCTTGTCAGGGCCGAGATCGATTGGCTCACCCCCGCTAATTGGAATCTATGTTTTTAAGGGTCCAGATTTGTTGACGATCCATCGCGACCCTTGAGCGTCAGCAAATCGCACCTCATTACTCATTACTCACTACCTATATATAGCCATGCCGCCTCTTCATGTCCCACTCTCACTTACACTGGTATTTCTCCATCTCCGTGACTCCCATCAGGCAACCCTGTTTGATTTACTACGTCACACGCGCAATAATTTCATTATATTTCATTGTATTTTATTTTCAGTTCTCAGAGGGTCACACCTCACTCACAGCCACCAAAGTGAGCGAGAGAAGCCCTTCCGAGAGACAACACTTCTATCGAGTCTATAAAAGACAATCGGGTCCACGAGAGAGACCATCACGACTTTAATCAAGGGTTTTGTTAAAATGACCTAACAACATTGCCAGAGTGACTCAAAACTTAACTCTTCTACCGTTTATGCTGCCCGTTTTTTTCGTCGACTTCATTTTACCCCCCTCTCCTACTATCCTACTACGAGACCTCCTGCAAAATCTCTTTCAAAACCTCTTGTAAAACCCTCTACAAAGCCATCTACAAACCCTTCTACAAGACTCTACAACAACCCTTCTTGCTGTATCTATAATAAATCTTCTATTTCTGTGTATTGTATACTCTGTCTCATATCTATAGGATTATCTGAAGACTTAGAATCCCAGTTATCTTCGGGCTTACGTTTTCCCTAAAGAGCAACTCTAGGATAAGGACTTAAGACAATTCTATCAGAGCGATTAGTAATTCGACTTGATTAATAAGAAACCGAGAAAAAAGGATATAAGAATATCAAGTAATCTATAAGAATAAAAACAAGGAAGGAAGATAGATAAACTTGTCCTCAAGTGGAGTATCCGCACCACCAGATCCGGTCACGTTACATCAGCTTACATCCTTCAGATAAGATTTTATTCCCACGAATGTGACGTAAGAGATTTTCAAAATACAAAATGCAGAAAGGACCCTGCGGACAAAGCCAATAGACATCTCTGCCTTACTATTACAAATCATCGACGGCCTCAGCCAAAATGCCGATCGAATTCACAGTTTACAAAGGTTCCAAAGATGGAATCAAACAAGAAGTGACGCGCAAGGAGGATCTCAAGGGAAATAATGTGCTCATTCGAGTCACCCATTCGGGCGTTTGTGGCACCGACGCCCATTGCCAATCCAGAGACATGGCCCTTGGCCACGAAGGAACTGGCATTGTAGAAGACATAGGGCCCGACGCGAAGCTTCTGAAAAAAGGTGATCGAGTGGGCTGGGGATTTCTGCACGATTGCTGCGGCCACTGTCGCTCATGCCTGACTGGCTGGGAGACACTTTGCCCAGAGCGCAAGCTGTTTGCAAGCTCCGATTTCGATCAAGGCTCATTCGCCACTCACGCGGTATGGATGGAGCCATTTCTCTTCAAGATCCCAGAGAAGATGAGTAGTGAAGATGCAGGTCCCCTGATGTGCGGTGGGTCGACTGTCTTCAATGCTCTGCACGTCGCCGGGGTCCGCTCAACTGCGCGTGTCGGTATCGTTGGCATTGGGGGTTTGGGGCACCTGGCTATCCAATTCGCTGCCAAGATGGGCTGCCAGGTGGTCGTTTTCTCGGGAACCGATAGCAAGAAAGAAGAAGCGTTTCACCTGGGGGCCAGTGAATTCCATGCAACCAAGGGTGTCAAAGAGCTGAAGCTTGAAAAACCCCTTGACAATTTAATTGTAACGACTAGTCAACAACCAGACTGGGAGCTGTACCTGAAAGTGATGGCTCCAAGTGGAGTTATATCTCCACTTTCGGTTGATTCGGGTGACTTGAAAATCCCATATATGCCTGTTCTGTTGAATGGGCTTCGAATTCAAGGTGGAATTGTGGCTGCAAGACAAGTGCACCGCGATATGCTGGAATTCGCTGCATTCCATGATATCAAACCCGTTAAAATGATTTTCCCCCTCACCTTGGAGGGGGTGAAACAAAGTCTTGAGACACTTGAGGGAGGCAAAATGCGATACCGCGGCGTTCTTGTTGCTCAGTGAACTTCCTACGAGCTGTTAAAAGATAAAGAAGTTTGGAGTGACGAATCAAGCATTTGTTAAATAGAGAGTGGCAGGCGGTTTGTTGTTTTCAGAGCTGAGTTTACTCTTATAAGGTTGTCGAGCCTAGTATACTAAATGCCCTATATATGTTAAATAGTTAATATTTTATTCTTTTTGTTGTTTTGATAGTTATTGAAAGTTAATGATTTTTTGAATTTTGGTGGGGTCGCTCGCTCAGCCGGGACGCCCAGGTAGCCGGGAATCACATTACAGCCCCCATTGCTGACTAGAGGAGGACAGTTCCTGAGCTAAGTCATAAGTCTGTGACCCTACGTGATATGGATTATTTTACGCGTGGGCAGCGTGGACCCGTAGGTACGCTATACTATAATAGGAAGGCGGCATGATGGGCGGTGTAAAGGGGGGGGGGCAACAGACTTATGACGTGCCACTGTAGGTAGTTAAATCAACACATCTTATTATATGTTTTGAACCTAGCATTAGTTCATTTCATATACCATACTCTCTAGGAATCATTCCAACGCTCAAATCAGTTATCTCAACAGTTAAAATATCAAGTTGTAATATATCCCATTTACTATGGTCCACTTTCTTGTAAAATATTTGATTTAAATTCCGGAGCTAGTCATGTTGGACGGCCTATGGACGGGCTACAGTATGTCGAGTGGTCTAGATGTGGGGTTCAAAGTGAGCCAAAGAAGCACCAATCAAATCCGCAAACCGTGAAGCCGTAAGCGGCCCAGTTGTTGGACCCTTAATTTTCAATCATTTTTAGCTCGGGGTTACATCCTTCTCTCTTCCCCTTATTGGCTTCAATCTCTGCTTCCCGCTCATCTTCCGTTCAGAGGTGATAATTGCATATGCCTCAATGGCCACACTGGAGTGTTGTTGTGCGCCATGAAATCTTCATCGCATCGGCTAGGAGATCTCTCCAAGAAGCTTTGTCGGCAGCTTGAGGAATCAGCCCTCTTGGCCCTCAGCATCGCCAGATCCCCTATGCTCTACCTTGACCGTGGCTGGGCGGGCTCTCGTACATATTTCTTTTCCATCAGTTTCATCTCCCTTATACTGTCCAAATGCTTCCATATCTGCGTCCATCTCACATCATTAGAGGTTCCATCTCTCGTCCCCTGGGGCCCCACATTCTTCCTGGTGGATATCTTACTCATTCTGGTCGCGTGCCTCCTTACCCGATCGTTCGAATGGCGGATCTATCGGAACGTAGCCGCTGTGGTCATTGTATTATTCAGGTGAGCTATCGTCCAGATTCGCGCAGAGAAATAAATAATCGCTCATCTCATTCTAGTCTATATGTCTCGTCGATGACCTCCGCCAACATCTCCTATTATGTCCATAAGGGCGTGGAGATCCACTGGCGGAAATTGAAGAGGTCTCATTCTGACAATCCCGCTGCCCAGACTATTATCTCCGCTTTAACTGTCGCTATCCTCGTCGACGCGTTGATTATGGTCAGTGCGTACTTCGCTACACCGTGCCTTTTCCAGGCTACCAACACATTCCTGGAGATTTGGGGTTCGCTTATGCTCTCCCCTCTCCGCCGATGTTGTCGACAAAAGGCTCTGTCCGATCGAGAGACCTATGAGCAGATTGCAATTTATGACTATGACGAGGGTCACAACGACATCGACTCCGTATCGCAGGGGGATACGCCCCAGGAACCACCCGAACCGAAGAGCAGACCGTTATTGAAGCGTATTATCGTCATATCGTGCGGTTCAATTATAATATTTCTCAGCTGCATTCGTCCATATGGCACGAACTACAGTTATCTCTCTGAGTCCCTGCCTCTCGCGCCGTTCAGTGTCCTTGACTATCGGCCCACCCATGTAAGTGCCACGTCGGCAAATGCAAGTGCCGCTCCTCAAAGTGCCGCTCCTCAAAGTGCCGCTCCTCAAAGTGCCCCAGAAGAGACCACCAATGAAAATGTCAATCAAGGTGCCGCGTCGTTGCAGGGCAATTTTAGCTGGCTGGACGGCCAAACCGCTCTGGACCACTTTCCGACATTTGACTGGCTACCTCCATTTAATTCGTCAGGTAGCTTTCCGGATTGGTCTCCTTTTCACATAAATAAGCACAACAAGTCTGACTATGTGTATGAACACTACAACCCGATGAAAGATCCTCTACACATGGCAAACCTCCAGAACGAAATTTTGGAGCCTATACGTGAAGTTCTCCATAACGGAAGTGTGAGGATTAAGCATGTCATTCTAATCAAGTTGGAGAGCACGCGGCAGGACGTGTGGCCGTTTCGCTCCAGCTCTTATATCATGAAGCACATCAAGGACTCTTACCCGGGCGGCCGTATCCCCGAAGAGGTCGAGGATAGACTTTCTAAGCTCACCCCTACCGCCGAACGTTTAACCGGATTTGAGACCGGGTTCAATAAAGACAAGGATCACCCAAAGCCCTACGGCGGCATCAGTGCGAGCAACGCTTACACGTCCGGGACCTACACCCTGAAAAGTATTACGGGCACTGTGTGCGGCGTGAATCCTATGGCTGTCGAGGCCAACCTCGAGTACCTGCACGATATTTACCAGCCATGCTTACCACACATACTCGAAGCATTGAACCAACAGCCAAACACCACCAGTCAGAAAGATGATTGGACCTCCTGGCCGTGGCACACTATGTGGATGCAGTCCCACTCCGACGCCTGGGACAAGCATTTTATGCTTCATCCCGCTCTGGGATACAAGGATATTATGGCAAAGAGAACAATCGATGCAGCTGGTGGTTTATACATCCCGGAGGAGACAGAAGAGGAGGAGGAACATGGCCATGAGGATAAGGTACTGAAGAATTATCTCCGGGATGTCGTTGCCGATGCCAAGAAAAACAACACTCGCCTCTTTCTAAGCCATCTAACCCACAATACACATACTCCCTATTACAAGCCTGGTGATTATAAGGAGATGATGGGAGATTTGTCGACTGAACGGAACCAGAGGTTAAACCGGTACCTAAATACTATAGCCTACCAGGATGAGTGGGTGGCCGACATCCTGGAGGTTCTCAATGACGCTGGGATTGCCGATGAGACTCTTCTTGTTATGGCTGGTGACCAGTAAGTTCTGCCCATATTATGCAGCTCCTATTGCCTCTGTGTTAACTTGATCTCAGCGGACTATCACTCCCAAATGACGGTGGTATAACGGCTTGGCATTCCCCCCATGTCGGCAATTTCCATGTGCCCTTATTCTTCTCGCATCCCAAGCTGCCCCAGATCCAAGTCAATAGTGCTGTCCTTTCCACCCAAATCCTCCCTACTATCCTCGATCTTCTTGTCGAAACCTCATCCGTTGACGAACAGTCGAACAAGATCATCAAGGACCTGCTCCCTATGTACGAGGGCCAGTCGATGCTGCGTCCGCTCATCCCCGAGCACAACGGCAAGCAAGAATGGCATTTCTCCACGATGAACCCTGGGGGAACGTGGTTTTGCATGCGAGCGGCCGCACAGCCGTACCGTTTGGTCGTGCCTCTCAAACCCGACGGTACGTGGCGATTCACCGATGTCGTCGCCGACCCATTCGAGCTCAGACCTGAGGAAGACCATCAAGTTGTGTTTTTGATCGATGCTGTGCAGAAGCGGCACGGGCCCGAGGCCGCGAAGTGGCTCAACGAGGCGGCCCATGTGGCCAATTGGTGGGTTTCGGAGAACCATCGCCGCTGGAAATATGATCCCGAGAACCCGGAGAACTCTTGAAGCTCTATCGAGTTACACTATATATTTGAATGGATGCCCAAGACGCAATAGCCGTTTATCAGTCTCCGGCTGACATCTTCCGCGTGCTGGCTAGTACAGACGCCCGCGAAAAGATGACACGAATGCTGCCGGATACATTTCAAAAGTCGCACTTCCATACGTATGCCAACGAGCAGCCGCATACTGCAGTATATGATTATAGAGAAGAAATTTCTTAAGGTGACTAAATTTAATCGCTGCTTTCTGATGGGAGAATCAGGTGCTAGGCAGTACTATCTACTCATTCCCTACCCACATTTGTGTATGTACATCTAAATATAGAACTATTGCGACCGCCTATATATTATTAATTTCGCTTCAGACGTCACTTCATCACCAGGGAACCGTTGCTTCCAAACTTTCCTTGATCGCGGAAACACTCCGTAATTGGAAGAGCTAGGTGAGGAAATGGACCAGCCCTGGAGCAGCTTATGCAGCTGCAAAAGCGGGGAGAACTCATGTAGTAAGAGTATCAGGTCATTCATGAGGCGGGTACAGTTCCCAGAGGCAGCCGTAGACCCCCTAGGATCGGTTATTATATAAGGTACTGGTGCTTTTTGCAACCCCCATCGTTCAACCACTTCAGCATCTGAAATGGTAGAGCAGAGCGTGCTATTTACTATCAAATTAAAGAACTGATATTCAGATTTTCATCTAGTCAATAGCCTCCCTATTCATACAAAGACACCCATAATTGTACCATTATCTGTTTTAAGCTTTCCCTAACACCAACTTGTTCACCTGTAAGAACCAGAAAATAGAAGAACCTTCGTACGATTTAACTAGAGTATCAATGATGAGGAAAAGGGAAAGAAGGGAGGAAGGCTCCTACATACTATTACATAGAAGAATAGATAGGTTATAGATTATATAGGGGGGCGCTCGAAGGAAACAGCAACGTCGAGCGAGCTTCCTCTTTGGCTCTAATGGCATGAACGCCCCGACGACGGCTTCGTCGAGGCGCATACCATCCCGGTCGTGCAGTTCCATAGCCGGCGAACTATAAATACACAATTCTTGGTACCCCGGCAACTGTGGCCTTCCCAGTTCCTTGCCTCTTCCTTTTTTTTGGTCGTGAATTTCGCCTTTGACATGTCGATAACCCGACAGATTGGCTCCCGTACACAGCCCCCACCCTCCAAAGCTGTGGACGAACCGATGTGAAAAAAACAAAAGAGAATCGTGCATCCCGAACCTGTAAGCCCCTGACTAGCTACCGGCTGTGCGAGATGTACCGAAGTCCCCAGTGCCCGGCACCAAGCGGAATGCACCTAAAGCCTGGGCATGGACCAGCAAGGAGCGCCCAACCAATCTTGGTACTGGTAAATGGACACCTCGCGGATGTGACGTTGCGTATGGACCTACACGGGCTCCTTGTCAAAGCGGCCTTGCGCGGGGTATGAGAAAGCGGCCGGAAATCCAAGCTGTGAGTGGTTAGTGGTAAATGGTCTCAGATCCAACAGATCCAACGCACAACACGGCTTCCTGCATGCGCGACCCTCCCTCTCCTTTTCCCTCGAATGTGCTAATCGCATAAGTGCAAAGCAGTGGGGAGCCTGTAATCTCAGACCAAGTTGAGAACCGGACCAGGGGCGAGTCCAGACAAGCGCGCTGCTTGCTCCGCGGTGATGCGCAACGGGCAGGGGAATCCGGTCATCTAAGGGGTCTGAGAGAAGGGATCTGGTCTCGATGGGCAATCAACCAAGCCGCTTATCGGGACTGGGCGCACCTCTGCTACACAGAAAGATTGAACACGAGGGGTCTGGTCTAAACGGGCACGACGTTGGGGGCAGGAAACATGGCACGTCCTCGATCATATTCTCGTGTGGGATAACTGTTGAGAGAGGGGGTATCCGTGGTTTGACCTACATTCAACCGAGCCGAGAAGTTCATCATACGACCATGCGAGATTGCAGAGAGGTGGCTCGACCCCTCGACCGTCACCGTTCTAATTCGAGAATGAGATAGGCTAAGGTACGGCTCAGTCAAGTCAGAATCGAGCCGCATCTGAAATACATTCACTGTCCAGATCCTAGCTTCGGCTTTGCCCGCGTTCTCACGATTCCTGGAAAAGATGCAGCCAAAATCGGATTCTTGCTGTCCATCTGATTCGCAACTCCAGTACAGCCGTGCTATGAGGGCAGCCTGATACGGCAGATGGCAATAAGGCCACGGCCGGCTTTGCCATACGAGGCTCAAAATTCACCCTACAGGTAATTGTGAACAATCTCGAGGATCAATGATGATGTATTCGGAAAATAGTTGTAGCCTGCATATCGCTTTTCATTACAAGGGATCAGGATAAATGGAATCCATCCATCTATACTGTAATGAAGAGGCTATCATCTACAGCCAACTGAAACTAAAGCTTCGACGTTCCCGCTGGCTTCCAACCGTCAGGCTTCCAACCTTCAGGCATCCTCATCTCAGGGAGCTTTGCCAACTCTTCTTCTGCCTTTTCTAACTCCCTTTGCTTGTTCTTCCAGACGTTTGTGCCTCTTTCACTTTCCAGGCGCTTCAGGATCTTTTTGTACTGCCCGACGCCGAAGGTCAAATTATCCTAATAGAGTAAGATTTTCAGGTTTTTATAATCATCCAACTTCAGAGACTTACCTTCATCTGTTTCTTTCTTCCAAAGAGACTCCAACTCCATCCTTTCTAAATCACTTCTCACCTCGTCATCTGGTCTCCAACCTTCAGGCATGCTCATCCTAGGGAACTTGGCCAAATTTGCTTCTGCGACCCTCAAGTTTCTTTCCATAGTAGGCAGGTAGCGTGGATTATCTTCAAAAATCTTCACACTTGCCTTGGACCGCTCGACGTCGCGGGCCAGAACATACTAAAATAAAGTGAGACGTCTGACTGATTCTAATTCTGCAATTGCAGAGACTTGCTTTTTTCCATTTCTTCCAAGTAGCCTTCATCCCATTCCCTTCTGCTTCCTTCTTCGCTTTTTTATCTTGCTCCGCGAGTTGTTGAAGTTTCTTTGAAACCCAGCTGTCCGGCATCGAAGGGACCGTTGTTGCTATGCCAGTTTGTATCTCCTTGATTCTGGCCTCTGTCCAGGGATCTTTTTCTCCAGGAGGTAGTAAACGACGCATTTCCTCCAATTCCTCGATTTCCTTGTGTTGAAGTCTCTACCTGAAAGTAAGACCTCTTGCGTCTTATTATCATTCAATTGCGGAGACTTACCAGCCACTCCCTCTTGAATTGAGGCTCTAACGCTTTTCTTGCTGCGTCGTGCTTTATTTTTTCTGCTGCTTTCCTTGCCTTTTCCGCTTCCAGCCAGGCAAGTCGAACTGCAAGTCCCTTCGGGCTCAACCCCGAGCCTGCATTTATATTAAACTAAGGAATCCAGGTCAAGATCGGATAATCCTTACCAGATGAGAAAACCACGCCATAAATACTATCCGGCCAATGTGTGGGAGACGCCGATACTCGGTGGTTACAAGACCTAACGTCAAGTTTGACCATCATTACATACAAAAACAAAGCGTAAGAGTGACTTTTTGTAACCAACGAGCTGCTAGTGGTAAGTTACCGGCCCCACATTCTGACACATGATAATTTGAACTCAACGAGTAGCTTTACAATAGCGGACAAACTCTACGAAGAAGATCTATAGACACATTGAACATATACTAAAGATATAGTAACTAATTTGCAGTAGGTGTGTTCAGGTCTGATCCGAATAGCCTAAGACCAGAGTATGAGATAGCAGCTATTCCTGGTGGTCGGGATACTTGAGGCCTCGCGAATAAAGAGCCTTATATTGGCGTACTGAGCCTTATTAGTCGAACTTCTTTGGATGGTACTAGGAGTCAGAGGCAGGAACAGGAGGTAGGAAACAGTCTCATAACGAGCGCATGTTGCATATTGTACGGAGGGCCGGCATTCCCGCGCATGCTAACTGTTTGTCAACGGTTATACAACTCATTCTTTACTACATTCACAGTTTACTGGTTCACATTGCCTCGATGGCACAGCTTCTGCCAAGGTTTTGAATAGTGATTGCGTTCCGACATTTGCGGACGTATGGGCCACTACTGTGAGGATGTATCGCTAGAAGTACATGTTATAGCATATATTTACTACTAGATTCTACACTGAATAACTTATGCTATCCAGGTAGAGCCTCAGTAACCCTATCAGACCCAAAGCTTTACAACATACTATCTAGTGTAAGATGGGAAACGCTGGCTGGCAGACCGCGTAGAGCGGACGGGTCTCAAAGAGGCACGTATCGTGCAGTGCGTAGTGGCCAGGCAAATGACCGAACAAATAATCAATCAAGCAATCGTCTTCATACGTAGCGGAGCGGCGAAACTGGAGGGTAAAAAACGACATCGTGAAAGGGAAGGAGTGTGTCTCCGAAACTATTGCTATCGAGGGTTTATATGCTATGCAGAGGCCTGAAGCTATTACAAGTATCACCTTTTATCCCTGAAAAGGAATAAGCACTACACTAGGTAAAGACTGGAATTCCAATCTAGAGCAAGTTTTGGCCAACTCTTTCAAAGTTTTAGTAATCACTAGACCCATGGAAAAAGTGAGATTTTTCAATCTTACATTCTCAATATTGTAGTTTGTAGTGGTCCAGCGACTACATTACTAGTCATTAGCTGTGCGTGAAGGTCAGAATTCCATCAGTGCATTCTTCTGAAAACTGAGTCATGCTTTTATTTGGTCTCATCCATGCAAGGCGACCTGACTTCTATGCAAATAACAAGTACTAGAGATCTGCTATCTACAAAACCTGCACTTTCTTTTAGACCTTACATTCCCTCCGTGCATTCCATATACGGATTAAGTTTTTAAGTATTCTTTTGCACCTGTACTCACTCGGTAAGGAGTTTTTAAAGCCCTTGCACCTGCTGGTCCCAATTTGTTAGGAGACTCAACTTTGAAAATAAAGGACGCATAGCAGTGTTATTTGAAGGTCCTGGAGTACTGGAGTCGAATCATCTAAAGTGAAGACTTTCTTGGATCTGCGAATGGATGATGCTCGTTTTCATGGGTTACTTTCTTAGACAGCTGCAAATATAAAACCCCATGAATTAAACCTTTGGACTAATCCGTATACAGTTTAAATTTACATCTCCGAGGAGACTATACGTGATTTCATCGCGCTGGCATGTTTGTTGCATGTTCACGCGTTGCTGGTCTTTCCCCGGAAAGCCTAACATATTATACATAGGCAGGTAAACCAACTGGAAATAGGACCTTGGAAGATCCCTGACATCTGTTACTAGCCTGCCATCGGGAGCCTTGGACCAACCAGTTTGGAATATATCATCGGGAAGGAGACTAGTTCAAAATTTGGGACGAAGGGGTCCTCTCGCAATAGCCATCAAATTTCCCAAACTGCAAGGAAAATCAGGGTCGGGTACGGCCGCAAAAAAATTCGCGCTTAGCAGAGGGATCGGTGGTAGGTGATGTCAAAATAGCTCGTGGTGAGGGAGTGCAAAGTAGCCTCTTTAATGAAACAGGCTGGAGAGTGTGGTAGGCTTCGGCCTCGCGACGCGATCATTCATGGTGGCGCTCGAATGCCAGGACCTCCACTTCAAGACGCGCTTCGATGGCGCGTTGCCTCACCACCCCAACCAGGTGCGATTCCACCATGTCAGCCGTAATGGGCTTGACGTATTTCAACGAGCAGTCAGGACACTCATGGTCGCCCGACAACACATCCCAGACCTACCTTGCCTTGAGGTAGGAGGTCATCAGACGTTTCCAGGTCGCAATGTTGTCGCTTCCTGCCAGGGGCTCAATGGCTGTAACGCCTCGGTCGGGCGAGTTGTGGACTACAGCCGACATGATGATTGCCAAGCGGGTTAGATATAATATATAGTCACGAAAGATAAAAATGATTCTCAGATGAGTAGAGACGGCACCCGAGAGCATGCATCCGGGCTCGTAACCTGTTGTACTAGTTCAGAGGTATGAATTATGTTATCATTGTTCCAGAGAAAAACATAAGGCTATATATACAACGACAAGATCAAGTTGATTGGAAATCAACTTGGTTCTTCGTATACATGCTTCGGGATTAATTCCGATGGTTCGGCTTTGTTTCGGTTTTGTTTCTGATCGATAACTTGCTAAACGAAAACGACTTCAATAGAATGTGGAGACCCTACGTTACCTTGGGCGACTGAGAGTCCCGATAGTTAGTACATGTACGACGGATCACAAAGCTCCGATGCTGGCCGGTTCTGCCCCTTTTCCGGGCGGTGAAGCATGAAATTGTCCGCGATATCGGTTGTCCCAATTGGGAAATTGTCGAAAGTCAAAATTTGTTGAGATTTAATTTTTTCCTCGTATTTTTCTGCGATCAGAAGGAAAACTCGAGTTTGCTATTCAGAAATCTTTTCTCCCTCCAGCTGGTGCAAACGGCTGTCGTGAAGTTCAGGGAAATGATTCAGATACATGGCGTTGGCGGTGCCAACGAGCCCGTGCATGATATCGAAAAAGATACAGCGCTGGCAGTAGTTGGCGATGTAGCTCAGGATATTGATCCCGTTATGGCCAAAAGAGTGTTACGGAAAATTGATCTCTATTTCATGCCAGCGATGCTGATAGGTATGGTCTTCTTTTGGAACTTGTCAACATCTTTATGAGAGTCCTATTGACTAATTCTTTATAGGCTATGGCATTGTTTACTGGGATAAGGTTTGAGCTGCTGATACCCATGATGAAATCCTCTGTCACTAATATACTTTGTCTAGGCAATTTTGGGCAGTGCGACTCTCTTTGGCATGACCACCGATCTAGCATTGAAACAAGTGGACTATTCAACAACCCTGGCAACAGTGGATACCTCGCGTCTTAGCTGGGCAACTTCTGTCTTCTACTTTGGAATGCTAGCAGGACTGTATCCAATGACTTTTGTATTGCAGAAGTTTAATCTCCGATACGTTTTTGGTCCTGTTGTTTTACTTTGGGCGATCACCTGTGCAGCAACCGCTGGCGTAACATCCTGGCAAGGATTATACGTACAACGTTTCTTCCTTGGTGAGTGATAATTTTCCACTACTTTGACTCAGATCTTCTAACAACTTAAAGGCGTTATCGAGAGTGTAATTCCGACTGGCTTCATGACTATTGTAAGCAGCTATTACACCCAAGAGGAGCAAACTCTCCGCCAAGCTTGGTGGTTTTCTGGCGTTGGTTGGTTCACGATTATTGGAAGCGCTCTCAACTATGGATTTGGTCAAATTACCTATGGAGCTCTCAAAAGCTGGCAATACATTTACGTGTTTGCTGGAGTCCTTACATTTTTGTTCGGTATATGGTGTTGCAGCATGCCGAACTCCCCAGTCACCGCTTGGTTCCTGACCCCAGAAGAGCGGGTCGTCGCTGTAGAGCGCTTAAGAAAGGGACAGACGGGTGTTCGATGCCAACAAATCAAGTTCGATCAAGTCAAAGAATCGATCACAGACCCGAAGATCTACCTAATCGCTATTATGATGGCAGCAGCGTGAGCTACCCTTTTAACCCGCTTAATAATCTTCCGGGCAAATGCTTACTCGCCTAGATACACAATCAACGGAGCCATCTCAGGTTTTGGTCCCCTGATTGTCTCGACCTTCGGCTACGATACTCTGGATTCAATTCTGTTCCAATTTCCCGTGGGAGGAATATGTATCATTTTCATTCCTCTGTGTGGTTATATTCCCACGGTGATCCCTAATACACGACTTCCAATGCTCATCGCATGTTGCTTGCCTGTTATTGCTGGCTGTGTCATGATCTGGAAGTCTCAGTGGGGATATCACCCTGCTGTTCCCGTCGCTGGCTATGCGCTCACTGGATTCTTCGGTCCAGTGGTGAGCCTCATCATTACGATTGGAGCAAGTAACGTTGCCGGTGCCACAAAGAAAACCATCATGGCCGCTACTACCTTTGTTGCTTATACTGTTGGCAACATTATTGGGCCTCAACTGATCAAGAGCAGCACAATAGATCAGCACTATCCCGAGTTATGGGAAGGGATGATCATCTGGTGAGTCTCGTATCACCTTCATAAGAAATTCAACTCCCTGACGCTGACAAAATTTAGTTACTGTATCACTATCGCCGCGGCCGTTGTTCTGTATGTTTTGCTTTGGAGAGAGAACCGCATCCGAGATGAATTGGATCTCGACGAAGTGCAACGGGACAAGATTGCTTTCGATGACCTCACAGACAAGCAGAACCCGTTCTTTAGATACGTTCTGTAAAATATTGTACCTGATATGAGCTCTCTTGTCATGATGGCTGCAGATAAGTCCCTACTTGATTTAGAGGGAAAATTCATCAAGGGCCTGAACTTATTGGAAGACTGCGGCGTCTACCAGGAGGCGCCAAAAAAGTAAATAGAAACTTCCATCTTCCATTATTGTACACATTTACTTTTTTTTCCTAAGCATTTAATGATGGCCCATTATTTGAATGTTCAATTTAACTCACCGAGGCCTTTTTACCATCTTACAAGGGTTGTACTAAATCGGGTACTACCTTTGTTCAATGCATTTATAAATCCCCGTCTCTCATGGGAAGCTCGGACAAGCAGTGCTCAGAGCCTCACCCTCGGCGAAATCCCAAAAGGCAAAACCAAAAATGACCAAATGATAATGCCGCGGGATTTTTGTTGGTGCAAAGAACCTCTAGATAGGTTGAATCACGCGGCGATCCGTAGCCTTGCAAGTCAACATATTGCGGAATCTTAAGATTCCGTCTGTTTACCCCGCAGGATTTCGCTGCTTTATAAGTCGCACCGTCCCCCAATCAGTCCAACAGAAAGAAAAAGCAATTCGAAATTCAAATAATTATGGAGGATTTAAAATCCCCCATCAGTGAACCTTCTGACGATGTTGTTGTGCCTCGCGAGCCGCAATTTGAGATCAAGTGGAAAGATGCCGACCCCGAAAACCCCCGAAATTGGTCGGTTTGGTACAGAAGCTTCATCGTGGCTGCAATATCATTTTCAACTAGCGTCGTGTAAGTTAAAATTTGACGAATATAGTTAAGCTTTCTGAGTAAACTCCAGTGACTGACTCAACTTCCAGGGTAATATATACCACCATGTATACATCGGGACTTGAGGGTATCCAAAAGACGTTCAATATTTCGTCTGAGATAATTGTTCTTCTCGGCTTGACAACGAATCTCTTTGGTCTTGCTATCGGGTGTGTGATTCTGTCGTCGCTCTCTGAAATCTATGGTCGGCGGTATGTCTATCTCGTATCGGCGACACTTTTTGGCCTAATGGTTCTGCCTGTGGCTCTCGCAAAGAATATCGAGACAATTCTCATCTGCAGGTTCTTCGCGGGCTTTTTTGGAGGTGCTTGGATTGCAGTTGCACCGGGTAGTGTCACTGATGTTGCAGATGATCAGTATCGAGCTTTGGCTATAAGCTGCTGGAGCCTGGGAACAATGAATGGTCCCGTCATGGGTATGACTCTTCCTACCCATTTATATTTGCCCATGTCTCATCTTATAATATCTTCTCTAGGTCCTATAATAGGTGGTTTTGTGTATCAGTACCTCGACTGGCGGTGGATAAACTGGGTGGCCTTGATATGCTCTGGGATATCCTTGGCCCTCATGTTCTTAGTCAAAGAAACATACGCACCAGCCTTATTACGGGCGCGAACCCTGAAAAAGAAAAAAGAAACCGGAGATCAACGATGGTGGTGTGCTTATGATCATGAGCAGACGGGTCTCCAGATTTTGAAAACGAATATGATTAGGCCACTGCGCATGACTGTCACTGAACCAATTTGGTAAGAGCTCGTTGAATATTGAGCCGATCGCAGCGCTGATTAAAGGAAATAGTGTGTTCTGGAACCTATACGTTGGTATTGTCTACGCAGTGCTCTTTTTGTGCTTCGTGGCCTACCCTATAGTATTTCAAGAGCTTCGAGGGTGGTCTCCCGGTCTTACTGGTCTCAGCTATTGCGGCATCGGAACAGGTACCACTATTGCAGTAGTTCTAGAGCCATTCATCAGAAAGATTATCTATATGCATCCTAAAGATCCTACAACGGGTCGCCCTTTTCCGGAAGCTGCCGTCTTCGCCGTGTGTTGTGGCAGTATCATGATACCCATTGGTGAATTTTGGTTTTCATGGACTGCACGTCCATCAGTTCACTGGATCTCACCAATCCTCGCTGGCCTCCCGTTTGGTTTTGGAAATGGATTGGTGTTCATCTATTCGATTAATTATTTGGCTGGGAGCTACACGGTCTACGCAGCCTCGTCCCTTGCGAGTGTCTCAATTATTCGGTATGGTCTTGCCGGCGTTCTGCCTCTTGCTGGGAACAAGATGTATCGCACAATGGGAGCTGATTGGGCCGGAACTATGCTAGCTCTTATTGAGGTGGTGTTGATCCCAATCCCATTCATCTTCTACAAATATGGTCACAAGATCAGAATGCGGAGCCCTATGATTGTGAAAGGCACAAGGTAGATCGGAGTCTTTCAGCCCATCATCGTTATTTGACCTTGGAATCATATCATTGAGTGGAATGAAAGACAAAAAATGAGCATTGAAGCCTTACTAATGAGATCCCTAATGGAGCTTCCAAAATAGCATCAATTGATGTACCACTGGCACTGGCAGCACTTAGTAGTACTACTAGTAGTACTAATTAGTACAACCTGAATTCTGCTATGAATGAATAGAGTAATTTCGGACGTTGATACCCCGAGGTCGGGACACCGGTGTTGAACCCGCGAAATATATCGCAAACAGCTTGGCTGGATTTTGTAATACACTTCAGTGAAACCGTCCAGTTTACTCCATAAATGTAGCTCGTGGAAGTGCTTTAGTGCACTGCCTCTATGCCTTAACAACCAACATAGATGATTATTCCCAAACAGGTCACAAAAGCGGGCGCCATTCGTTCCGTTCTTCTCTGCCCAAGAGCGGACCAGCCACGGAATATCCCGCTAATTTCAAAATTCCGATAATTCCGTGAGCCCCACACCCTCCGCCTAAATTCCGATTTTCCGGATTCAACTCGGTATCTTCACTGATCGATACACTATGAAAGGGTTGAAAGCGAAGAATACTTTGAATGATAGAAAGAGTGCAGATGATGAGCAGCAGGATGGACCGCACCCGTCAAAACGGGCCAAAAGGTCGAAATACGCGTCTAAAGCATGGTATATTTTGCAATTCGAGTTATAAATGTTATATTGAGGGCTAACAGACAGTAAAGCGACCAGTGTAAAAAGCGAAAAAGCAAGGTATGTACGGACCGATTGCATATTCAATTGTTGCGGAATTGACCAATATTCGGCAGTGTGACGGTGATTCTCCATGCCGAACATGCGCAGACAGGGGACACGATTGTCAACGGACTGGGACAGACATGCGCGGGAAATAGAGATCACTTGATAGCACAAAGAGCTCTCCTTCAGATCTAGCATCTCGCCTTAGCAGAATTGAGGATCAGCTAAGTACTATGAAGGCACCGGAGCATCATTCTCAACATCTGAACCGCCAAGCCCAGGAATCCGACGCGTCACATTCCCCTGAGAGGCGAGTATCCAACGCCGAGCAAAGTAATGGCTCATCAAAGGTGCCAGCTTTTTCAGGGGAGACATCCATCACACACAACTTGACGGTTGTTGAGAATCGGCTGGAACAGATGGGTGTGCAGTATGAGAGATGTAGATCCGCGTCGCCTAGTTACCAGTTTGACTCCCGCTTGACACCGTCTCCTGATAGCCCACCTGGTCATCCGAAACAAATACAAACATGTATTTACCATCGGTCATTGAAAGCGAACGGATTAGTTCCTGATCGAAAGCAATGGGATGGTCTTTTAACTACATTCTGCGACGAGGTACACATCTTGGTGCCTTTCCTTCACTTACCCAGTGTCTGGAAATTATATGGAGAAATATGGGAGACTTCATTCACAGGCAAATCCAGCAAGCAGGATCAAAGTGGATTACGTCGAGTACAAACGGCTTACATACTACTATGCCTTGCTAATGGACGGTGCGTTGAGTCCTCCCGGTTTGAAGACGGAGAGGGCCAGTATTCTGCGGGTTGGAGCTTGTACAATGCCGCACGAGACATATTCGGAGACTTGCTTAATGGATTCCGTCTTTGCATTGACCAGATTCTTATACTTCAGACTTACTTACTTATGGTGAGATTGCATAAAACATTTGAAGAGCCAGGCTGGAGGCCATGTGATGTGATATTAACAGTGAAATTTCAGGTTGTTTATCTGTTCCGTCTCGATGCACATGGATCAGCCGAGAAGGTTCTTGCTCTTACAATATCCCATGCTCACCATCTTGGCCTCCAAAGAAACCGTGTGGTTAATGCTATGTCTCCATTCGAGAGTGAGATCTCCCGTCGTTTATGGTGGTGTCTTTATCTGCTGGATAGACGACTAGCTATTGAAACTGGTCGCCCATTTCTCATTCAAGATGTCAATGTCGACGTGGATCATCCTCATGATTTGAGCGACGAATGGCTCACGATTTTGAAGGAACGATTGCAGCATGGTAGTACAAACGAAATTGAGACTGAACCCAGAGTAACTTCTGTTCCATATTTGATCGCTATGGCTAGCTACTCTAGGGTTATTGGAAAAGTTTGGGAGGCTCTTTATGGTGCGACGACATCAGAGTCGACACCAAGCCCTCTTTTGAACGAGTATCTGGAGCAACTTATTACTCAGTCACAACGAGGGATCAAACAAGAATTTACTTATGATCCTCATAATCCGGTTGGGATGCAAGCAAGAGGTTTAAAGTGGTGGCAGGTTAAGCAGAGATTCATTATGCGGATTGTGAGTATTGCCTATTACGCCTTTTCATTCCCTAGAAGCAATAAATTTGTTTCATTTTGGAAATTTGTCCTTTGCAGGTTCTGACTTCGTCGCCAGAGGTGGTCATCTTTATATCTCTTAGTCCGGAAGCCAATGCTACAAAAAGCGTGCGCACCCCATCAACTGGCTCCAGATGTCATTGAGAATGAGGTCATTTGTATGCGATTGACTCAGAGCATATTTGACGACTTTAACAGCATGCCCGAACAGCATCCAAAATACACATTTCCATTCTTACATTATCTCACTAGCGCAACTATAATCGCGCTAGGACTAATAATTAAGCAGCCTTCATTCAAGCGAGTCTACGGGAACCTTACTTTGCGAGCAGCGCGATCATTATGGGACCATTGTCGCAAAACTTGGGTTTCTGGAAAAATGGCACAGACCGTTTGGAAATTGAATCAAATGGCAGATGCGACCATGCACCCTGCAAACGATCGACTGCAGGAAAGAAATGAGAATTCTGCACAACAGCCAGAAGCGTTGCTTTCTGGGATGGAAGAAAAATTCCCATCGACACGAAGCCCCAGACTCGATTCGACCTCACCCGATCGCAGAGTTGCAGTAGCGAATAATCAACAGAAATACTCTGGAAGGGGATCTAGCTCTAGCCTCGAGCCAAATACTCATGCTGCAAATTTTATCAACGGCACGAATTCCTACCCATTACAAAGAGGGCCTAATACCTACAGCAATGAGCATGGCCCGACCGAATTTGGATCTCATGACAAAAATGGGGCGACCGAAAATGACTTCAATCCAGCAGTTGAGCTCGAAATGCCACAGTCCCACTCGCGCCTCTCTGATACTCGCCAAGAGGTGGAGACAGAATTGTACACAGAGATCTCCTTCCCAGGAGAAATGATAGATGGGGGAATGGAATGGTTACAAGCACTCTTTACCAACGGTCTTGACACTAATATTCCTCCAGTGTGGGATTGAGACCAAATTTTGTGCAAATATCAAGCTGTGAACACCAAGACGTTTATTCGAAAGTGAATATTGAAAAGTTCTTTCGTCGAAATATCTCAAAACCATATACAAAAGAAAAACACAAACCGATCAAATCCCAACCATAAAATGCCTCCAAAGCAAAAGGGTATAAAAACCAAATCATTAAAACACGCTAATATCCGTATACAATCCCACCCAGTACCCGCGCTTTTCCATGCCCAAATTATGGTCGCAATTTTTTCTCCGCGCTATGGACGATCGTCTCGTGAACGACTTTGATGCCCCCATTGTTGCTGGCCTGGCTTCTTGCATCCCAATCTCCATCTCCGCCAGTGCATGTGGGAGGCTGCTGCCGTGAGGTGGGCAGAATCATTTGTTCATCGCTAACGGTGTTCCACTCTGTCGTAACAGGGAGAGAAAGTGGGTGGCGGAACTTCTTGCGTTTCACATAGCCACTGTTGTCGCCGTCAGACAATTGGTATGCTGGGTAGCTCTGCGAGCCGGTTTTCGTGGTGAGGTATAGGCCTGCGCGGCGGGCGAGGCGACGTATGAGTGGATAGATCATGGGGATGTTGCCGATAAAGACGGCGACGAAGGTTTCACGGCAGGCCCAGCTGCCGGCTTGTTCTGCGCCATTGGCTCCGGCCTGGACATACATTTTTAGAAATTACCGTCATGGAGATTGCCAGTTGAAGTTACACTTACTGTTAAGATTAGAACGCAGCGAAGAATGCCGCACATCATGACAAAGAGACCACCGCTGAACAGGATAAGAAGCTCGAGCTTCTCGCGCCAAGGCAGGCGTGCCTTGAAGAGCATCTGAATGAAAGATTAGTTTACAATGCTGCGTATATTGGGTTTGATGATGTGGCGAGCCTACCGGAGCAGGGATGCTAATCAGGTAAATGTCTGTTGCAACATTGAGGACGACGGTGACATAAATGTCGATTTTGGATACCGCAGGCTGGCAATGATCTAAAAGATTCTGTGTTAGACAGAAGCGGTCCCTGAAGCGTGACAACTTGAAATGAATGCTTACTGCCAGGGTCTGGGTTTATCTGCCAATTCTTCTCCATTGGATGACAACCAAACAAAATAGAGCAGATTGTTGCAATATAAGTCATGGCGATCAAGACATATGCGATGTGAATTCGGATCCGCATGTTAATCAATCCGGCCCTGGCCCAGGTATGTCAGTACGTGGTAAGTGCTTGATGAGATTTGGGTCGGATTCTCAAGTACTCACGTTAACCGAGAATAGAAGACGGCCATGCATGTTTTCAGTAGCCATAACAGCAAAGTGTATAGAGACCACCCGGTTACTTGAAGCTTGGAACCACCGACCCGCAAGCTGTACTCCTTAGAGTCCGGAGAAAGTGTGGCTCTTTGTTCGTCTGTCATGGCATTGTTCGCAAGCCCTTGAAACCATGCACCAACACTATATGCGGCGGCGGTTTCCAGCCCATACACGACCTGAAACTTCATTAGCAGGAGGCAATTAGCAATGCACTTCTGTGATACTCACACAAGCCACCAACATGATGTAGTCGTCGGCCTGAAAGTTCTTGGGCCCGACCATGATCCATCGTGCTGTTGTCCTTAGACCAATGATCACAATGGCCACTGCCAAAAGAGAGAATGCCTCTGTCACAAACTCGCTCATTGTAATGAAGAGCGGAGGATTTCTGAAGGTCTATTATTTGAAACAGAAGGCAAAGAAATGAGATGCTCCCGAACTCCTTTCTTTGCCAATTTCGGAGGGTTACACCCAGATAAAGATTTAAGTCAGGTCCTGGCAGGAGTTGAGAGAAAGAAAGAAAGAAAGAAAAGAAAAATGCTGTATAAGCGATCGGTCACTTGGATCCTACCCCTCGGTGTTATTCTTGTCATTGGAACCAGCCCAGACAAAGAAATCCACAATCCTGGTCAGTTTAAAAATGGGAAGAAAAAAATTGATAGCCCACATCGATCAGCGGGAAGCGATGGCGTTGACAGGTACTCCCGATAATGCAACCCACTCATAACGGGTTTTTGATTCATAAAAATGGGGCAAGAAGTGGCTTCACGCGCGATAATGGCGGATTTTGACAGGTTGATGGGTTCTTGGCCGGGTTTAGCGCCAACCGTCATTCCTTGATGCTGTATCTCTTGGACCTACGCTAAGTGGGCTAAACCACTTATGTCACTCCTTTTTGGGCTCTTATCATGCCGAAGATCATTACAGTCCAGAGCTCTATGGGGATCCGCACGAAGTTCCCGGTTTGCAGGGTGCTGGGAACTTAGCTGGGCTTCCCGGCGCCCGTGAAGGAAACCCACATTGGTCTCGAAGTTAATAGACCTGCCCCTTTGGGTTTTGGATCGTCATGGAGGCGATGTTGAGAGGGATTATTATTCTGACAGAGACCCCTTCTTCTTTGTCCGGACGAAAGGTCAACGTTGTGCTACTTTCGAATCATTTCCCCTGTCCGATCGGTTACACGGTCAGGACGAGCACTACGATAGCAGAGGGGCAAAGTTGTAGCGTAGCCCTGGCCCTTTTTTCTTCTTTGTTCTCTTAGCAGTAGCACAAGTACTATGCAGGTAGATGTGATTAGCCGATCCAGTCATGGGTGTACGCAGCAGCGACCATGTGACTTTGCTCTAAGCGTCGATACATGTTGATCCGCCTGGTCGGAGATTGCTCCCCCGATGATTGTAGCGGCGAATCGGGGGGTGTCCAGGCGTGGGTCCTTTCAAGGATCAATGATGCGGTTTTGGTCTTTTTGATCCTCGATTTGATTTCATTTTTGTTATGCCATTCATTATGATTTCAAATTGTTGGGTGATGTTGATGTCTGAATTTGTGGTGTGTCTTGCTCACATCCAGGACATTATGGTTGACACCAGGTTCCATGTTTCAGAAACGCGGGATCTATTTTGACAGCGGCAGATCTCTTTCCTGGTAACGTTCGTGGAGTGGGTCAGGGAACAACTGTTAAGACCCGCACCGTTGAAAGAATTTTTGGAATTATCAGGACAGATGGGACTTTTGTTCATTCGTTTTCGTCTGTGTGCATTCGATTCGATCGAAACTGCAGCAAACAGCGATAGCTCCGAGTTTAGTGTCAATAAGTGATGGGGGCTGCATAAAGCTGTTCTAGCATCAAAAGTACAAACGCAAATCGTTGATCTAGGAACTAGCTTGTCCGATAGACATAAAATTGCCACCTAGTGAACCTTCTAGCTTGGAACCCTGGAAAAAAAATTACCTACGGGGTACAGAGGACAGAGTCATGGTAATCAGCAATAATCTTAATTGCGAGTCTAAATTCAGGACCTCAACTGGGTCCCACGTTCTGACTCTCCACTTGAACCCAAAAAAAAAGAGGATCAGAAAGGTTAGGATCATCCCGTTCGATCCGTTTTACGGGCGCTTTGACGCCGTGGTTGAACCTTCGAAGCGAAATAAGCCTGTCAAACGCCAGGTCCAATTGAGTTTGTGGTTGTGTACACAGCACAGGCACGTTCTCCGTAAAGTATGGAGCATCTCCGTGTTCAACATCGTGTCTGGCGCACTTAAGTAGTTAGTGTGGGCCAAAAATGACCAGTTGCATGCTAAGTGCCGGACCACTCCGATTTTGGTTGATTTTGTTCGTTCCTTGGAGGTCTGTGGTTGAAGCTATAGTTTGGACTAATGTGAACTAACATTTTTTCTTTGTCTTGATGGTGGATACATCTCAAACGCTAGGAACGAGGCTAAGAATCCCCACCACTCACGGGCCTAGTATTGGTGTGATGGGGGAGGTACCTACTGAACAGAGTTAAGGGTGAAATTAAGTACGGAGTAAGGAATGAGCGATTCCAACAAAAATTCGAAAATCGGATGAATATTAATAGATTAAATAAAATAAAAATCAATTGATATGAGCGACATCCCCGGTAATTGCCATCGTGACTATCCCCCGCTCCCTTTTTTCGTCCTTAATAATTTCAACGTCGCGAATATCCGAATCTCAGCCTCGTTTTCTCTCCTATTCGAACTTGAGTGTGATTGCGGTGGCTGTTTGATTTCTGGGTCGCTCTTTGTTTTGTTTTGTTTTGTTTTCTCTCACATATCTGGCCTTGCGTGCATTAGCTCCAACGCACCACGTCAGCCGATATTTCATAGCAAACACAGTTTAACCAACTTGATCGTTCCTCCACATAATAATGGATCCAGTGGACCTGTTAGTTGTTGGCGCAGGTAAGTAACCGCTTCGCTATAAGTTGAACCATAATCAATCGCATTCCTTATCGCACTTCTCTAACTCAACGTGTCTCGATCTTTAGGCTGGAACGGGCTCGCTGCCGTCAAGACCTACCGTGAACTCAACCCCGACAGCAATGTCCTACTTTTGGAAGCTGCCAGCTCCATCGGTGGTGTGTGGGCAAGCCATCGCCAATACCGAGGCCTCAAGTCCAACAATATGCTGGGAACATACGAATACAGCGACTTTCCTATGGACGAAGAGACATTCGGTGTGAAGCAAGGCGAGCACATTCCAGGCGAGATTGTACAAAAGTACTTTGTCGCATACGCTGAAAACTTCAAATTCCTCGATCGCATTCGTCTCAATCACCATGTCGACAGTGCGGAACATCAGCCCGATGGCTCCTGGCGTCTCACCGTATCTCACGAGGACAAAACGTTTGAAATTGAGACACGAAAGCTTATCGTCGCGACCGGAGTCACTTCACAAGCTTATCTGCCTAACTTCAAGGGCCAAGATATTTTTGACGCCCCATTATTTCACTGCGGCGATCTCTTGAAGTATGAAGATGAGGTGATCAAATCTGGAGAGCGGGTTACTGTTTTTGGCGGCACCAAATCCGCATGGGATGCGGCATATGCCTGTGCCACGGCTGGCATGAAAGTCGACTGGATTATTCGCGAGTCGGGACATGGACCTTGCTGGATGGCTCCTCCATATGTGACACCTCTTAAGAAATGGCTGGAGAAGCTTGTTACAACCCGCTTTTTGACCTGGTTCAGTCCCTGTATTTGGGGAGAAGCCGATGGATATTCCCGAGTTCGCAGTTTTCTGCACGGTACTTGGCTAGGACGCAAGGTTGTGGATGCGTTTTGGTCAGTATTGGCAGATGATGTTATTCAGCTGAACGAATACGACAAGCATTCAGAAACGAAGAAGCTCAAACCCTGGGTAAGCCCGTTTTGGATTGCCTCATCGCTGAGCATTCTGAACTACCCTACCAATATTTTCGATCTGGTCAAGGACGGTACTATCACGGTACATGTTGCGGAGCTTGAACACCTTTCAGACCATACAGTCCATATCTCGACGGGTGAGGACCTGCCCACTTCAGCCCTCATCTGCTCAACTGGGTGGCGTTGTACTCCGAACTTGAAATTCCTTCCCGAACGCATTGATCGAGAACTGGGATTCCCTTGGAGCACAGATCCACTGGATGAGAAAATGATTAAGGCTGCCGATGAAGAAATTCTTCGCCGCTTCCCTCGATTGGTAGATCAGCCAAATCCCAATCCAAAGTATCATCCAATAAATGACGAATCTGAGGCTGCTGCTCCGCACCCATTCCGACTAGCACGATTTATGATTCCTCTTTCAACCATTAAAGAGCGGTCCTTGGCTTTCATGGGTATCCCCATGACTATTAACACAGCTCTGCTTGCTCAAACACAAGCACTGTGGATTTCTGCTTATTTCAGTGATAAGCTCACTCCTACTTCCACTGAGCGCTGTCCCCCAGCTGTTCGCGCAGCTTCGGACTCCAAGGACAAAGATGATGCTGATCTTGATCTTGCGTGGGAAACTACTCTACACTCTGAATTTGGAAAATTCCGCTACCCTGCAGGCTTTGGGAAGCGAAACCCAGATTTTGTGTTTGATGCCATTCCTTATGTCGATCTCATGTTGCGGGACTTGGGTCTTACTATTGAGAGGAAGAAGGGCGTTCTTGCCCGAGCATTTCATCCATATGGCATGGAAGATTACAAGGGCTTGGTCGAAGAATGGAAGGCGAAGAAGTTGACTTAGAATGATTCGGGATTTTTACTTTATTTGAGATCATCTTCATTACGTGTTTCCTTTTCGTTTATCTTTCTTCATTTTTGGTGTCTAATATTGGTTTTTCTATCGCGCAATCCGCGAGATACCCCGTTTCGCGATGTTTATGAATAGAATCTCTTAAATACTTCTCTATTTTTAAATCGGCATTGAAGGCCATCTCTACCCTTGGATATACTCGAGTACAAATGTCAATCCTGAGGAGAATGTCTTGAAAAGTCGATATGAGTGGGCATTCATAAATTTTGAGTGTAAAAGGCTACTTAAGTATAACTAGTGATTTTCGAGACAGGTACAGCCAGGTGGATTTGTTGGCAGCTATTGGCACTTCTAAGCCTGGACACAAATGTCGATGGTAGCGTCGTCCTAACAAACAGGGTTAGTTCTGGATGCCATCCATTTCGCTGGGTGCAAAAACTAACCGACACTTTGAATTCTTCCTCCTTCGTCTTTTTGCAGATGAAATGTCAGTACATTATTCCCTAGGCTGAAGTTGGGAGGATCAATAAAGAAGAGACTCACGCCACCAGGACAGTCACAGACTCTCACATAGTTATTGCCAGCACCTCCACTGCTATTGGTAAAAAGTCTAGAGTGGCCGGAGACCTTGAGGAGAGTTTCATGTTAGCATTTGTATCATACTTTGCTCTCAGGATTGGACAAACATACCGATCCAGCACCGGCGCATTTGATAGCGCTCACAGTGCCGAGGGAGGCGAGGAATGCCGAAATGATGAATGTAGTACGCATATTGATGTAAAGTGAGGAGATTGTAATATTCGAACGAGAAAGCTACCAGCACTCAGCTATTTATAGGTAGATTGGCTGAAATCTTCAAACGAGGAACAAGATCCGCATACGTTTTTGCTTCTTTGGCCGATCGACGGAAGAATCAATAAATTGGGAATTCGTGCAGGTTGAAGGGTGAAGGAATCGCTGTCATCGAATTAGAATATTGGAATGAACTCCTTTGCATTCAGTGTGCGTCTTTCATGCTTTGAGAATGCAATATTCAAGCAGTTGATGATGCAGGTCGTTGTATCTTTGTTACACCAGGGCTCCTACTGGATGGAGGTAGCTCATAGTCCTGTAAGAGGTTAATCATTGCCCGGTTAATGCCGTTTCTCAAGTCATGTTCAGCCACCGATTAACTGGAGAATTTCAGCCGTATGATCAGAACGTGTCCCTTTTCTTTTCGTTATGCAAATTGTTGTCTAGTTTAGCAATTTTAGGAGTGGCTTGCGGCTAATATCAACGAGTCGAGATGAAAAGGTCATTTGGAGGTAATCATGCACCTAGATCTATAAAAAAGGCTATTTCTAGACCATTGATAGCCGCGTCGAGCTGTCGCCTGGTATGTCAGGTGTATAGAGCCTAGCATTTGGATTTTCGTGATTGGATTCACGCGCTAAAGTCCGATGCATCCCAGTCTAAGTAAAAACGCCTGAGGAGATGAATAAAAATTTCCAGAAATCCGACCCATACTACTCACCTGATTACTGCACCTGGGGGTTATAATTGCAGTGGTAAACAGTGTACCTAACCTTGGAACGCCCCGCCCCTCTACGACCGCCCCACGGCTCACGGCAACCGAGCCTCATTCAAAAATCATGCAATACAGCCTACACTCTGTCCATTTAAGCTATATTAATTAGTTACCCACAAATTGGAAATATTGCACTAAAAATCAACGTTAGATGCTTAACTTCATACATAGTTTGATGAAGGTACATTCTTATGTATGAGTGTTATTATAGGTATCGAAGTATCTTGGTTTTCCGTCTAAACTAACCCAAATTTGGGGTCTGTCGCACCCTTAGATACTAGACGCTAAGTCAAAAGGATCAGCCAAGACTCCACGACGCTAAAAGACCCTGAAGCCTGAACTTCCAACCTCGACGTTTTCATTCTATCTTTTTTCCATCAATCTCTTCACGTGAGTCTACGTCAATACCCCACGTCTTTTTTTGGATTATTTGCTTCATTTCAGAACTAACGCACCCACTGAATTCATAGTTCGAGAAATTCACCCGTGTTTGCCCCACCGTGCCATTATGCGATCGTCCATTCCTTACGTTTTGAGCCTCCTCGGAGCGGCATCGGCCGCTTCTTCTGCCTACGCCGATACAACGAACTCAAATGTCGTGTCCTTAACCGAGAACACCTTCCATGAATATGTTGAGAGTCATGAACTAGTGATGGCTTATTTCTACTCGCCGCATTGTGGTCATTGTAAGAAATTTGCTCCTAACTATGAGGAAGCCGCAAAGATACTGGAGAATGAGAATGTTTCTCTGGTCAAGATCGACTGTACTACAGAAATGGATATCTGTTATAAGGAGTACTATATTACTGCCTGGCCTACTTTGATGTTACTAAGTGGCCCCGAGCCAACTGAAAAAATTCTTGGCTACCGTAAAACAGACTCGTATGTACAATGCTGCTGGAATGGGCAAATTTCGAACATGCTAATTTTATGGACAGGGTCGTCTCGATTGTTATGGACGTGCTGGGTTCCGATGGAGGCGAGACGGAGTCATATGGCCAATTGCATGGCCAGACTCCTCTCAGGGCTGAAGGGACTGAGTAAATATGATCATTCGGCTCCAGGGGCTTTGGTTTTCCTTCAGGAATGATTGAAATCAATTTCACCACTTGCACGCTTTCTTTATTTACATATTTTGAGGGTTTTTTTCTTGAAAAATTATGATAAAAAATACAAAAAAGCACACATACTGCGAAGTGAAAGACTAAGTCAGCTTATAGCTGATGCAAATATAATATAATGAGTAACTTTAAGCAATCGCTTGTTACTTTACTAAGATTCTATCCTTTTCCCATAGTTTCTTCGTGGATGCGTCAGTGTATCCTCCCCATACGTCCACCACGTTGTCCTCGCCATCGATATGAACACACAGTATGGCTCCTATGTATTGACCAGAATCAATGGGTTCTTGCATTAAGTCGCGCAACTTGGAAAATGGGGCATCGCACTGGCAGTGGCCTTAGACTTGAGCTATTTTAATATATATGGTGTTTGTGATAGCGATAAGTAAATGAAAATAATGGAGCTAGATTTCAAACTGAAGATAGAAGGATGTCCTTGCATAGAGAGTATAGAGATAAAACGGTTTAGAGCGCGTATGCAGTATTGTCATACACAGTCTATACATGTTTCTCACTTTGAGTGGGCGAGAACCGCTCACTCCCTTTTTGTTTACATTGTTTGCACAATTAATATTCCAAAGGCTCCAGGCTCAAGCAAGGTAGTGTAGACTTACAAGCTTTGGTATCTAAAATTATATTGCTATGATGAGTGGTTGTCCCGGCCTAACCCGCACTCGGAATAGACCGGATGTGGTCCTCACAAGCGGGTTAAAATAGTTTTCAGTTAAAGAACAGGGGCACAGAGGTGACAGGAAATGCACGGACATGCTCATGGGGCGGAGAATATTCTATTCCAATGTTTTGATATCTCCACTTATCTTGCACTAACCCCATGCACCGCTACTGTATTAATCCACAACGATCTGCAGATATGGACCCCTCCACAAAACAAAGGCAATTCTGGGCTGCTAGCCTGGATATCCGACCCTTAAATTAAGAGAGCCCCCAGTTAATTCCATCTCTTCTCTCCCTTGGTGAATCTCAATTATTTGTTATCTCATTCCAAATTTGCACTGTGCCATGTCTTTCCTGTTATTGCCCGCCGAGATCATTTCAATGATCACACTCCATCTTCAACCATATGAGCTAAATTCACTCATTCGATCGTGTCATGATCTTCACCGCACGTTAAATTCCTTACTTTACTACAATAATGCGCACCACCACAACGCCGAAGCGTTGTGGTGGTGTAGTCTGTCCGGAAATATAAGGACTCTTGAATACCTGCTGAACGCTGGTGCCAAAGTTGTTTGGAATTCAACATACGAGCCATTTCGACCAATAGCACTTAAGAGGCGGCGAAAACGAATTGACCCATCATTCACTGAACACCCAATGTCCTCTGCAGCTGCCAATGGTTATACTGAGATTGTGGATAAATTTATCAAGCTTGGAGTGGATGTGAACTTTAGAGATCCATCTGGCCGAAACACGCTTTCCCTGGCAGCAGGCGGGGGTCATTTCAAGCTAAACCAGAGGCTTCTAAATGGCGGGGCTGATTTGTTATCCATTGACAGTGATGGACTGTATCCTACAGACCATGCGGCAGTCCAAGGTCACCGAGAGACTGAAGACTTTCTGTTTAAAGAAGTTCAAAAACTTGATGTAGGTTCAAAGCATAGCTCTGTTAGATCTATTCTCCAACAACATCTGCATTGCATACTGAGATACGCAGCAGAGAGAGGGGATAATGACCGGGCAAGACTTCTGTTAGCCACTCATCAAATCGAGCTGGACATCGTTCCATATCAACTCCAGGGAAGCTTAATCCCCCATGTTGATAGTTCCTATCCTACTCCATGGGAGCTACACCCCTCTAGTCGGTGCAATACAGTCAGCCCCTGATCCTATAAGTACGACACAGCTTCTTCTGGAGAAGGGGGCTCATCCAAATATCCTTGTTGCTATTCGAAACCCGTTCATTAGCAACGAAAATTTGGGAATGTATGAAGATGCAACTTCAGCTGCCTTGACAAGACGTGAAAGTTATGACCTGATTAAGCTTCTTGTCCAATATGATTTGAATCCAACTAACTTAGAAATGGCTTTGGTCCGAGCGGCCTATCTAAAGAAGACCGATGAATTTCGACTCCTGGTGGAAAATGGCGCCTATTATTCGAAAGTGACCGGCGACTTATGCCGGATCGGATATCAGCCTATACTGGACCTTCTCAACCAACGCACAAGTCAATCAGAGGGGCAACCACCCCTTCCGAATAGGTCTATCTTGGAGCCTTTTGATTTTGACGAGTTTTTAAAAGGGGTTGTGAATTCGTGTTTGAAGAGTTTGAAGAGCCAATTCGCCCACCGACGCCGCCTTCTCAAACAGATACGGAGTAGGCCAAATATCTGAATGGTCATATGGATGACAATCCTTACCCTTATTTTGTTGGGAACGGGGCGTTTTCATGTGTAACTGGATCCATTGAGTCCTGGCAGTTAGCCCAAGGCGTGTAGTTCCGCGGCGCCGCCTCTTGGTATTTCTTCCCATGACCCGCGGACTTCGTGTCATAACAAATATGCCAGTCCAAATTATACCAATATCGATAGGTCTTGATAGACATTAGGTCATATTTTTTGAACGAAAGTTTTTTGGTCAGTTATGAACGTTTGTATCAGTAGCGATTTTGAGATCAGCAAATGTGGAACAAACTTCTTACGCACATATTTTGTCAAAAAGGGATGTAAGGGCTTTTGGGTGCAAAGATGTAATATGTATCGACACAGATATATGAACCGAGCTAACTAATGTGTTCTTAAGTGCTTGTAAAGATTACTTTGGTGACAACACCTGCAAACTTGAAGAAGCTTGCGGACTTGTATACATTGATGGTGAATGATGTTGGACGACAGTAGACTACACTGAATTCTGCAGCAAGAGTAACGCTCAGTCGCCTCCGAGTCGAAGAGAGGAAAATACTAGTACCCAGGCATGATCATGAGGTCCTCGCTGTTTTCATTCTGATTGTTTTTTTCAAAGCCATGCTCGCTCAGTTATTGCAGATAAATACTAGTAGTTCAATGTACAACGAAAATATAGATTTTTCAGATCATGATCCCTTCATAGATTGCTAGTAGGTAGTATTATTGCAGTGAGGGTCAAGGTTCCATCGTGTAGTAAACATCTATAGTATTACGACAAGTCAGAGCAAAGTATGCAAACTGAAACTATATATATAGATTAATTTGCAGCCACTCTACGTTCTTACTAGTTCTAGGCAGCAAGCCGATTCTTGGGCTTCACTTGAGGAGACACCGGTCGCAAGGAACAAACCGGGATTTCGGGCATTCCTGTAATCATCGTTTCAAAAGCAATAACATATGATTCCTTCTTAATAATCTCGTCTGATTTCTTTTACTAAAGCTAGTATCCCCGTGCGTCGGTGTCATTCCCCACCAAATACCCGATTCTGAGCCGATCGCCAGTAAAAACTTTATCGGGGAAGTCTAATAAGACATGGGACTAGGGAACTCCTATCTCACGGGCGAGGTGGTTCAAACTCTATTATGCAGTGAAGAAATTCCCTAGCCAATCCGAGCTTCCTGCAACAAGCATGGGAGGCTGTGTTTATCGAAGCGGTTGACTTTTTTTTCGCCGGCATTCTTCTATATATCGCTTCGAAGTTTATCTTCCGTGTTGCTTTAGACTAATAGGAATGCCTACATAGAGCAGCCTTAGAGTCTTCTAAGTAACCGCGGAAGACTCACTTGTCATTTTCCGATCGGGGCGGAGAATACAAGTAGAATTAGCCACAACTTCGAGGGAGCGTCTATGCGAAACCAACGTTGGAAGAGAACCCAGAGCCTATCAGTAGGTATTACACACTACAGGATCTTGTAGTGATAAAACCTTTGAAAAAGGAAAATCTGGAATAGATATTTCGGGCTAAAGGAATTATCTGACCAACAAAGAGGATTTTATCGTATTTGTGCTTACAGGGAGGTAATCTGAGCTGCCTTAACACAAAGTCTAAAAACCAATAATGGAGAAACAAATATATTGAGCTAGGTCATAATTGAACAGGGGTGTCATGATCTATATGTGGATCACATGTGCATGGAAGCTAAAAAGAAAAGAAAGCAAGAAAGCAAGCACTACATTCAGTAATGAGCAAAGCAGGTGCAATCGCCGCATTGACCTCAAGAATGAGGAGAAGTCGAACCAAATTCCGATACTAGATTAGTCAATGGATTATTGGTGAATATTGAATACATGTCTTAGGTTGGCCAATTGGGTGGTTAAACAGCCAATCCAATCTAAGGCGGAAATGTAATGCGCGAGTTTAAATTCCACCATTGAAATAATAAAATCGAAGGACTAAATTTTGAAGCCGTTATCATACGCATGTTGGTATATGCAATGGTACGTACATACGTCTCAAGTAGATATGAGAAAGCCTATGTGTTTTACTTCATGTCATAGGCAGTTGATTAGGCCATCTAAATCATCCGAATAGGCTGTATCATTTGGACGTAAAGATGGCGTTGATTTGTGTTTTACTGGAGATCGGCCGAAGATGCCAACAGCAAAAGAGAGGCGTCGTGAATATGGAATGGGAAATCTTTCCATTGTATCAATTATAATTAGTCGAGAAAATACTCCAAGTAGTTGGATTGAGAAGAGTTAATAGAGCCGATGAGGGATGCAAAGCCGAAGAAAAAAGAAGAAGGGAACGACAAAGCAACAAATGCATGTAATTTATTCGAATCAAGCTATTCATCGTTAGTGCTCCGAACATCTCCGATTTTAAGTACAGAATCTCAGAATTGAGGTCATTTTTGTGGCTGGCTGCGAAAGTCAGCACATTCATCTATTTCTTAAGTGAGTGCGAGTTAGGTCGGGCATATGTGCCGTCTCAATGGAGCTGGGCATCGCGCTAGCGAGTCCGGTGGGCCTTTTCGGGACTTTTTAAGTCGTTTACCTTCACGTGCCGAGACTGGTCATGGCTCGTCAAGAGACAGATGGAGAAGGTGGATGGAGCCTTACTGGCTTCAATGAGCTCATGATCCAGGTTGCCGGGACTAAAATTTCAACCACGAAGCTGAACAGTCAAGTCCGTGCTTGATCTTGAGGACTGGAAGTTCAAATTGAGGCTTCGCGATCCTTATCGTCAATTTTGAAGTTGACGAAGACTGGTATCGTGTTCGATTGCTTCAGCCCCTGAATATTCGCATCCCGTAGCTTGGCATAGTTGCAGGGATGAGATTCTGCCTTTTTACCGAACTTTACTTTTGACGCGCGAACAGTTCTATTATTATTATGTAAATGAGTGAACGTGCGTTGTGTGAAAGGCATCGAGTGGTAAGAACCTCCGGTCCAATTCTTGAGGCATAAGATGCCGCCCGTCCGAATTGTACTATTGAACGCTAAAGAGTTTTTTTTACTTGTTCTTTTTGTAGACTACTGGAATCTTATCGCGTCCGGATCCAAGTGACGGCAGTTTTTGTTTCGCGATCATCTTACTCAACGTTCCAGGATGCATTAGGGGATTCCGAGGCTGTGGCTTTGGGCCTCCCACGCTAATGATCCTTCCAGTTTCAACGGCCAGTAACTGACAGCGAGCGCTCGCCTTCTTCGACATCTTCCATATGGACTTTTGTCCTACACATTGTAAGGGCTAATTTTTCCTCGGCTCTATATACATTTCCACGAGCCAGGAGGATTGGATATTCCATACCCACTGATAAAAGAGAACGCCCAATTATGGGTAGATCCGATATCATACGAAGTACCATGGTTCGGAGTTCTGAGGTCATAAATTCGCCAATGGTATTGGTCCACCGGGTGTAGCTCCTGCGGCTATTGAATCCTAACCTTCCAATCGCACTTGCAATACGTACTGGTTAGTTATTGCCGAAAACAGTTTACGGGGGCCCTCGACTGGCACATGTACGTCGAATCCTGCTGACAGGCAATCTTGCAGGAAAGTGGAGGGGAAACACTCCATAAGGCGAGTCGGACCCGGCAGAGTTTTCATCTTGGAAATCGATAGTCTTGCCGATCTTTACCACCGATCTTCGGATTATTTACTGCCATGCACGATCAGGTTTATCTTAATCGTCGGGTTGGAATCACGGATCGAGGAGAACAGCGACCATCTCGACGAATCATCGGTCATAAATCATTGACAAATACTTCAGCCCCGCAAGCTTTCTTCTCATTCGATCGCTCTAATCTCGCCACGGTCCACCGGGTACGGTCATCCCGGAAATGATCGGCAGGGGAGTACCCCCTCGTGGAGTTTAAGCCGCCGATGGGTCGATGGGTCGATGCCAGATCCACCTTCCCTTCTTCACTGTGCAAGGTCGGTCTTGGTCTCGTTCGATGCACTGAGTGACAGATGCTCGTGGATATAAGGTAGCCTTGTAGTCCCAAAGGTCTGGACAGGATTAACGCTCCCCAACCCCATTACATTCTTTTGAGCAACTGTCACTCTTTTTTACACCATCCATCATGGGTTCCGAGCTTGGCATCACTGCCAGCACCGCGGAGCTGATTGATCTGTCTCCTGTCAGTATTTGGTGGGCCACATGGGCTTGCGTTTGGACAGTATGCGTGGCGCTTGGTGTGACATATCTCATCATCAATCGAAATGCACCTACCCTTCGAATCCGTGGTCTTACGCTCTCACTCTCTTCTATCGGCTTACTTCACTTGTATTGGGCTGTGTGCCAGTTCGCAACTATGATCGGTGCTTTGCTGCCCGGTGATTGCCAGTACTGGGTTATGGGTCTCTTTTTGCCATTGGGTACGTTGCTAATGTTGATTACGACTATTGATTATCATTCTAAACATAGATTCCTTTAGGTATCTCCCTGTTTCACGCGTCCAGCACTCGTTTCCTGCACGTCGCCAAACTTCAGAAGAAGTATGCTCAATATGGTCACCACCTTTTTGAGATTCCTTCTGAGAAGCCCAAAGCCGGTTTAATCAGCCGTTTCCGTGCTCTGTCATACAATGTGAAGATTTTGACTGTTGTTGGAATCGGCATGGTCTTTCAAATCTTTCTCACTGTCCTTATGTGGGTCATATCCCGCAAGTGGCACAGCTCCTGGGGTATCCCTGGAACTGAAGTACATGGAACCGTGATGGCTCAAAAGACTGCCCAGGGTTCTGGATGGGAGTGGTGGCCTGGTGTTGCTTATCAGCTTTTCTGGGCTTGGATCGTTGCTCCCATTGTCCTTTGGAAGTCTCGTAACATCCAGGACACTCAAGGCTGGCGAACACAGACAATTGGTTGTGCTCTTGCTAAGTAAGAGCATCCTTCTTGACTTCCTGGAGAATTATTTTACTAACATATCGTAGTCTTCATGGGACCCCTATGTGGCTTATTGGTCTTTACGTTCCTGCTATGGCCCCAGTCAACGCTGTCTGGGTTCCACCTCAGTGGATTTGCCTTTCTATTTGGTTTATGGAAATTTTCACCGTTTTCGTTCCATGCTACGAGGTCTGGCGATCTCACACTCTCCGCAAGGAGACACTGGATTCCATTGCACGATGGGAGCTTAAGGTCAAATCGAGTGGGTCGGATGAAAAGTCGCTGAATTCTACGACCACAATGGTTGACTCCATCGTGTCTGGCTGGAAGTCAACCAACGATTCCATCAAGACTACCGACTCTCGCGACAGTGTCCTCACCATGCATGCGCTGGAACATGTTCTCGACCGTAACCCGGCACCTTTGCAGAAATTCTCCGCGCTCAAGGAATTCTCAGGTGAAAACATCGCGTTCCTCACTGCAGTCTCTGATTGGAAGCGCTCTGTTCCTGCGGCCATGATCGATGGTTCTTCGCAAAACGCACAGGACAAGACAGCGATCCGGGAATGCTTCAACCGCGCTTTGCACATCTATGCCGAATTTATCAGCGTTCGCCATGCCAATTTCCCTCTCAACATCTCATCTCAGGATATGTGTGCCCTTGATGCTATCTTCGACAGACCTACTCAGCTTCTGTATGGCGAAGAGCGTGAAACCAACCCTGTCAGCCCCTTTGACAAGTTTACATTTGATCTTCCCTCTCCAGCTCTGACCGAGTCCTCAGAGAAGGCTATCAATCCCTCTGCCACCGAGATCAGAAACCTGGTGCAGTTCTGGGGTAAAATCCCGGAAGAATTCACTGGCTCTGTGTTTGATGATGCCGAGAAGAGCATCAAGTACCTTGTCCTCACAAACACATGGCCCAAGTTCATCAAGGAACGCAGGACTTCGACGGAGTCTGCTGGTTCTATTCAGTCTGACGCCACTGCCGTCTAGTTGTGTTGAGGATTCGACGAATCAGAAAGACAAATACTAGTGTTACGAACAATGATCCTTCTGGTACGGCGGGCGCGATTGGTCAATGTCTGGATTATTCAATGTACAGCATATCATGAACCAAAGACGCATATTAATCCCATTTGCTACTATGGACTATTTCCATGGGGCTTTCAGCTTTCAGTCAAACCGATCTGTATTCACAGGACAGGCCCGTCGTCTAGTCCCTTCGTATCTTGACCACGACCTTACCACGCGCCCGCTTAGTGGCAATCCGTTCATAGGCGCCGATCACGTCCTCCATATCAAAGACGGAATCGACGGGAATGCGCAATTTACCTTCCTCAACCAAGCGTCCAATAAAAACGGCGTCATCGCGCGTCGGAGGAGTACTGAAAAATATGTACGGGCGCGGTACACCTCCTAGCCAGACAGGCAAAAACTTATTCCACATGATATTGCACGTCAGCGAAACCATGCCTTCCAACGCTCCGATATTCACAACAGCCCCTTCGGACTTCAAATATTTGGGCGAGTTTGCATAGAGCGCTTGCGATCCCACGCAGTCTAGCACGAAATCAAAGGGCTTATCGCCATATTCTTTCGCCAGGTAGACTGGCAGGTCATGTTTGCGGTAATCGATAAACTATACACTAGTTAATTCATTTTCATTCTTATCCACATCCTTCATTTTCTTTCTCGTAGCATACCTCGTCAACGTCTAGTGCGCGCACTAGCTCCTCATTTCCACCACTAGCAACACCCACAACCTTCACGCCGCGTAGCTTGCATAGTTGTACAAGTACTGACCCGACCGACCCACTTGCCCCATTAACAAGGACAGTGTGACCGGATTGCACGCCCGCAGTCCGAATTATCTTGCGCGCCGTACTTCCACACCCATTTATCCCCGACGCAGCCGCCATGTCTACTCCCGCATCGATCCGCGCTACCTGGCTGGCAGGAAGCAGGATGTATTCTGCCATCACGCCATAACCCATGATTGCATTAGGAATATTCTGAAATGCGACGACGTGTGCGCCTATCTCGCGTAGATCGCTCGATACGCCATCGCCTGCAGCGACAATTTCGCCTGATAGCTCGAGTTCGGGGATTCCGGGATTTGTGAATGGGATTCGAGGTTGTATATTCAGCAGAAACTCTGTGTTGACTTGGAGAGATACATGAGATACGCGAATTAGGACATCGGACGAAGAGCTTGTTGGGATTGGAGGTGTGGGAATGATGGATAGTTCGAGAGCGCGATCGGCTGGGCCGCGCCGGGCACGGACCCAGGCGCGCATTGTGCTTGGGATTTGTGGAGTTGGAGTTGGTGATGCCATTTTTAGTTTCGAAGTATTGGGTAACGGAAGGGGAAAATATTCGATCACATTGTGGCGATGGCGATGGTGGGAGATCGGACCTTTTATCGTAAATGGGTTGCAGGGATGAGGCGTCGTGGCTGGATGTTCCCGGCCCAAAGAGAGATTCGGTCGAAAGATGCGGAGTGCGGAGCCGGAGCAATCTATTCCTCCATTATAGTGGATTCCAGCGATTGAACTCCAATCAATGAACAAACACACGATTCTTTGTCCTTTCCGGACCATTAGCTTCAACCTTTGGCGTTCACCCCCTCTATACATACTATTGAGGATAGTGCCATTTCATCTTCATCTACTTCAGCATTGGCACGGAGGACCATAGCGGCCAGCGGGAAAGAACCCCCATTGGCTCTTTGTGTGTCTATGGCGTTGGTGATATTGGCAATTAGCCCTGTAATATTGATGGTAAAAGATGCCTTCAACTTCCAATTTGTTCTTTGGCTCCTTTTTGGTATTAAAGAGCCGCAATATCTTCCCACGCTGTACAGACTCTTTTTCTATGGCGCGAGAATCCGTTAATTCCCAACGCCAACAAAGTAGAGCCATGTCATTTTAGTCCACAGCGTTAAGTATCTCTCTGGTATTCGTTGGAAATAATATCTCGACATGATAAGTTCGTGGACGAACAGGGGTGTGTTTCTGGACGCGCTGTGTTATGTATGGATTGCAATCTGGATCGTGGTCCAAAGATCGCCGATCGTGGAAATATAAAGTGAATTCGTTTCACATTTGAAGATTATACGCACCAATTTAACGCGCGCATTCAGCAAATCCCTAAAATAAGCACGGGTGCTGGCCAGCGGTTAATGTAGCGTTTTGGTTAGTTGAACGGTAGCCCGTTGAGGCTGTGGGGGGGGGTAGCTCCGCCTAAGCGTTTTGGATCCCAGTGCGCGCTTCGGGATATTAGGACCAGCAGTTGAGAATGCCAGTCTATAAAATGGAGCAATAACAGCTGGCTAATATGCCGAGCTTTTCTAGACATCAACCTATATCAGACACATCTATCCCATCTTTCTTCTATTAAATCGCTGTGCTTTTCAAAGCTCTCATTGTTTTCAATCGGATCCAAGTCCAAGTCAATTCTTACTATATCTCGGAATGGATCCTCTCAGCGTCATTTCTGGGACCATTGGCATTGCGGGTGCAGCTATCCAAACCATCACCGTGTTGGTCAACGAGATCAGTGCTATCAAAAATGCCCCAGAGAACATGAAGAGGGTCAGAAGTGAGCTTTCCGTCGTGGAGTCGCTTCTGAGAGACATCAGTCAGGGCCTCCAAGATTCCCGCCTTTCGTCCATACCAAATGATGTGAAGTCGACACTGCAGAAAGCCATTTTCAGTTGCAAGGACGCTTGTGATCAATTTCGGGCCAAACTCCAGAAATGGACGAGACATTCCGGTTCCAAGATGGATTGGCGGGATCGTGCCCGAGTTGGCCTGTTTAGCGAATCTGCCATTCAAGATCTGAACTCTCAGCTCCACATATCCATAGATATAATGGGTGCTGTCATTGGTGCTGGCGCAGTGTAAGTACCGATATTTATGACCTGAAGGTATTGAGAGCTGTCCGTGCTGATTATGATGTTCTAGATTCTCAATTTCTCAAGCAGGAAAGCAATCGGGTAGAATGCCAGCGGAAACGAGGAATAAGCTGCAGTCCATGGAATCAAAACTCTCCCAGGGTATCCAGGACACAGACAAACGAGTGCGCAATGTGAGCATGGAGTTGGAAAGCCTCTCAAGATCGTCCCAGTCCAGGTCAGAGGCCGATCGACAGGCTTGGCTTGAGGAGTTTCAAAAACTGCAAAATCAATTGACTGCACTCGGCCAATCCCGAGAAATACGGAAGAGCCTCTATGGAAAATCTCGACATTTGCAGTCGGTGCAAAAGTTCAGCAACATTCATTCGGACGAGACTGGTCAGCTTATGGTGGGCATTTTCGGTACGGATCCGAATCCTAGGGTATACCAGGATTTTCGTAACATCACGGCTACTAGGAGTGGAAGAGGTATGATTGGGGTTATTGGCGGGCATGTTGACGTGAACGAGTTTTTCAGTCGGAAGGTTGAATAGTCCCAAGATTAGATGGCAGGACTGGTTGGAGTTTTGTATTTATTGTTGCTTTATCTCGATATTCGTTGGAGAATTCCATGGATCACCTATGCACTCCGAACCAAAGTGATACATCGCAGGTATTTAGACCTCTTTAAATCCATTGTAGAGAGACCAAGGGGCACTTCGAACTCGGATACAGAATACAAAGAAAATAGACTGATCTCTGATTGAATTTCAAGTGTTCAATAAAGTCGGACTGATAATGAAAACTTTGGATTCTGACATGCCACCAGATCCTAGAGATACAGAGCTTTCTTCTTTATCATATGCTATGAGCTAAACTCCAAACCTCCGAAGTATCCGAGTTTATAGGAACAAATTGAATCAACAGAATTTAATAAATCATCTAGTTGCCAATCTCCGTCCGGACATTGGGCGGGGCAATCTCGGAAATCGGAGGACAGTGAACGTGGACGATCTAAGATCCACATGCTACACACTCCGAACCGGGGTACATACTGAGCTACAATAGAGATAATATCGTTACGACTAGCTATTTTGTTGGAATTGCCCACTTGGGAGGAGTTTCTGGTCGTCAATTTGAAGCTTACCTGTGAATTTTCCTACCCCGACTATTTCCGTCTTATATACCGAGCTCGTCTCTTGTTCAGTCTACGGACACGGTGAGTCTCGCCATGAAGCATGCTATGCCCCTGGGCGGTATCCTCATTGAACTTTCCTTTATCTCAAACAAAATGACGGCTTCCCTCCAGCCTGGCAAGTGGCAATTCACGCCGGGGGTTCTACACTCCCAAGAAATTCATTGCAGAACTGGCAGTCATCCCCGTCATGAATGTTTCCAGCAGAGCAAGGTCTGTTTAATGTCAATTTCTTTGTATAAATCATCATATTTGCTTAATGCGGATGCAAGTACTATCCAGCTTATCAATCCTAAAGAAACCTTGAAAGCTTCATTTACCAATAAACGAATGTACTAGTACCTACTTAACCACCCCTCAATTTGCTCAGCTCTTCTAGCTGCATCTTCCAAAGAGACATATCCCGTCTCATCCCCGGTTGCCAGGCTGATTAAAGAATGTTGTACCGACCGTGCCCGAAAAGGTACTTCCTTCTGTCTTTCCGCCCAGTCCCACGAGATTTGTTCCACTTCATTCGTATCAAATTGATGCACTGCTATAGTCACTGGATCGGCATATACATCGGCCTGCAGTGCTATACCAGACATCGAGATCAAACGGATCGTGCCTGTTTCACCAGTCAAAGTCCATGATAGCGATGGATCACCAGGGTAAGGTTGGCCACGAAGGAAGTATGCAATAAGACTAGCATTTGCCTTTACATATGAGGATTCGGGTAATGAACCTAGATTCAATCTAGTTAGATCTTGCGAATAGGTATGACTGCTATATTTTATATACCTTGGAGGCTTAGCAAGTCGGGAACATCAGAGTGAATTAAGTCGATGATCGCGTCAGTCTTGGGATCCCGAACGCGGACATCGGGACGTTGGATCTGAAGCTTGACGTTGTCTGTTCCGGGGATGATATCACCCACGACTGACTGTATGAAGTCGATTACTGTGCAAATGTTAGAATTGAACCTTCCAGAAACGGATAGAAAGTTTAATTGTGCGAATGATCCGAACAAATGAACATTTGACTCACCATGTCCGAACCCAATCGTGATCGGATTTCCTCCAATACTCTTCTCAGCAAAATATTTCAATCCAACAGGTAATATCTCTCGGTCATTCGTGCCCCCGAATGCCCTCACTTCACTACTCAACAATTTCCCTATTCTCCTCGACTTAAGCAACTCCTTAACTCGAACCACCGGCGGCGCAAACCGTCCTTGTAATCCCACCGCAACCCGGCCCCCACCCTGAGCAGCTGCAGCAATCACCTCATCGATTTGCTTCTTGTTCGACGCGATCGGCCACTCAATGTAGACATCCTTTCCGGCTAAAATACTGGGCAACACTGTTTCTGAATGTTTATCAACTCGGGTATTGCAGAGGACGAGGTCAACGTTTGGGTCTGCGGCGAGGGAGGCTGGATCGCCGTATGCTGCTACTTTTTTTGCGTCAAGATTGTAGGTTGATATTGCGCTGGATGCTGCGGCGGTGCTACTGTTGCCCAGTGCGGTGATTTTGAAATGATTCTCGCCGGTCGGAGAAATGAGGGAAGGGAGGTGGGCGGCTGAGGCCCAGCTTGTTGTTGCGGTAGAGGAGAGGCCGATTATTGCGGTGCGGCGTGGAGGGGACATATTTCCTGTTAAAATATTTTTTAAATGATTTGTGTCTCGGGAAAGATGTTTCAGTTTGTTAGATCGAGAATCAAATTTAACTTTGGAAGATTTCGAATATTCTTCGTGTTTATTCGATGTTCATTCCTCTTGGGTGTACTAGTATTTATGTGGATCACGACGATGACGACCAACTTTCTCCGAAAATGGGAGTTTGTCCTGTACTAAATACCTATGGACTATGCACGGAGTTTCCCTGATTATTGCGAATCCTGGGGATTTTTTGTTAAGTCTCCGGTTGATTATCAATCCAACAAAGTCTCCGGTTGATTAACTATCAACCCAATATGGATTACCAAGCTATAGAGATAGTTAACTAGCTCCAGATGGAGACAACGTCTATTACTAAGAAAGAGAATTCACTTGACTGCTCTCTTGGAAAAGTTAGTTCGGCAGCTACAACAGACACATGGAGGCTCTACAGGCTCTTCCATAAGCGGGCACGGTTATATCATAGCCCAGCCTTACAGTATACATGTTACTGAATAATATTGATGCTATTCAAGTAAAGAAACTATGAATATCGAAATGACGAGTAGTAATAGTATGTCCGCAGATATTTCGGTCTCCTCCACTCATCTTACCTGTATGTCCCTCCCCATCGAAGGCTGTCGAAGCGCTGGTGCTCGTCGATTACGACTCTTTATAAATCCAATCAGACATATCATCGCGGAAATGGGATGGTCCACTTTCTGCAAGATTCCACCAATGTAAAGAATATCCTTCCAGACAGTTTTCTGGACCGCCTCACTAAAAACCAAGATCAGCATACTTTCAGCACAACCCCCAGAAAACTTCAGAAAAATAAAGAGGGGCTTACAGCCATGATTCCTTTAAGGCCGCTCGTACAACGTCTCGTTCCTACCGTTAAAACGTTGTGAATCCCCATAAAAAAGGAAATGGGATAGACCCCGGGAGCAACTCCATTAAAATGCAACGCTTATAGCCTCCCGGTATCCATCCATGATCGCTTTGTCTGTCCTCGTTCCAGTCATAGATAGATGGAGTGCAGGAGCAACCGGATTTTGTCAAAAGTGATAAAGCCTCAATCTCCGACTCAAAATGGTATTGGTGTTCCGAAGTAGCCTGTTTCGCACGAATGTCTGGTAAATGATCGACTGTACAATACCAAGGAATTCTAGCAACTGCCGTTAATGTTTTTTGGTTATGAATCTCACTGAAACAACGAAGGCGTACTCACTGTAAACGGATCTTTATAAGCCCGCTCGATGGGCCGTCGCCGAATGCCTTAGAGCCGACGAACGTCCCACGAGCCTCAGACCGAAGGCCCCACTTCTCCGATTCTTGGTTCTCATAGCAGGCACGCTTTTTTATCAGTTTGCTCAATGTGCACACCGAGCCCGAAGGGAAAGCAATAGTTGCACCGATAGAATCTTTAAACCAGTCGATGTGGCTTCCCCGAGAACGCATTTTGCCGTTAGCTTCACAATTGTTCTAGTATAGTATCTGAGATGACAGGACCTTCATATTTTAAAGGCAAATATTGGTTCAAGAAGACGGAAAGGGGACAATAAAGGTGGCGGTATTTTGGGGAGCTAGAATCAAGAAAAGTTGTACATTGTTTTGGGCTTTCAAAAAATTCAAGTTCTATACAAACCTTGAACCTCCTGAATCAGCACAAAGCTCTTGGATCGTTACAAAGCCCCTGAATCGGCACAAAACCCTGAACACGAGCCTCCTGAATTAAGATGTGAGACTTCTGGCGCTTCGTCAACCAATCAAAAAATCGCCGAGTTCCCAGTATCAAAGTTGAACAAAGCGAAAGCGATCTATCTTGTTTTTTAATAGCATAAATTACACATATTCCATGAACCCACGTGTTTTTCTTTGTTTGTATATAACAATAGTCTTCGTTTCACCGGTAATTAGTAAACAAGCGTGACTCTGCGTGAGCATGCTAGCATTTTGTTGATTCTCGACTGAATAGCTTTAGGCTTCACATTATAAATGACCAAAGCTTCTCCAACCAACAGCCATGTATTGTTCCAACACATAAATCCAGAGGTCGACCTCTGAGATATTCTTTTAAGTCACATATTCCGCATTTCCTTGCTAGGTATGGCAGTGCCTCTCTCAGCAAAGGATATCATTTCTTCTTCTCCTTCCGACCTCCTTGTTGGGCCTAGCCGCACGACGTCTGACAATACGCATAACCTGGAATTTCAAAGAACACTCGTACATTGGAAGAAGTTTGAAGAGGAGGTACGCGCCTCATCGAACGATGTGCGATGGGCTAGTTATCCATCTGCCCTTCCATATGGGTCTGTCGCAGCAAATCAACATCAAGTGATACCGTCCGAACCAGAAGTGTGGCGCTGTGGTGATGCGAACAGCGTGTCCCATCGGTTAGTCAAAGTATTGGCCTTATCACAGGACAGGCATTTCGTACTCTCCAAATTCCCATCTGGTTTGGGGACTACAAAGCATACCGACTCACCAGTTCTGCCAAAACACCCGATATTGTCATGACCGACGAGGAGGGTAATTTAGCAGCACTGGGGGAAATTAAGAGTCCATGGATACTGATTCTGAGGGATGCTACCGGGGAAGGCCAAGAGGGCTATCGACATTGCTTGGGTATGTAAAAGGTTTCTCATTCTGTTGCTGCTTCTGTTTTGATTCTATATGTTACATTACCAACACTCTTTGGTGGCAAATATAGGGCTATTGGGTAAATACATGCATATTCATCAAGTCAAGTATGCGTTTCTCACTACATACAATGAGACCATATTTTGCAAACAAGATCTGCCGCCAACAAAGTCGCAGAGAAAGAGGCCGGGAAGGGGCCAAGAACTTGCCTTATGGTATTCTGACGTGATTCAACACAATGGGGCTTCTCAACTTGTATTCCTGCGCGAGTGCTTTCTTTTTCTGGGTATCCAGGTTCGCGATGGGGATTACAAATTCGAAAATATCATGCGACTGAGAAATTGGGTCAACGCTAGGACAGGCTCGTATCCTGATCATGAGAACCTCTCTCCAGATGATACATCAGCCTATGCTGAGCGACGTCAGCAGGGACGTGAGCCTCGGGCCACTGACCGATTTACTATATCGCAAGCGCGAAACGCACTTGGTTAAGATTTGGCAGGGCAACAACCACAGGGCCGACGAAGTCAAGCTCACGCTGGGGGAAATCACCGTGGAATGCAGGAATCGGAGACACAGGAGCATGGATATACATTAGAGGGAGAGAGAAACCCTCGTGGTTTGCCTATTGTGTACCGAGACCAATATGGTCAACTTTTCGAGCTCAGGCGCAATATTCAATACCCTTTGGACTTGGTTTTGCAGCAGAGCAGCACAGTTATTAGGGAATAGTATTCCGAGATCGGGCCTTGGCGTTACTATGTGGAAGTACGTGAACTTGAATGATTGATTGTGAATTCCGCTATGCTCTAGCTGTGACTTCTCTCTTTTCGTCTCATACTGTTCGTTGTTTTTGTGTCTGTTAGTTCAATTCGAAGGTGCCAAAGCACTAAATGAGATCATTTAGTTTAACTGAAATAAATTCTCTCCATGTAGACAGCGACCATAAATTGAGCATCTGTGAACTGTAGGAGTGGTATCATCTCATGTAACTGCTTGAGTATAAATAGACGATATGAAGGTATGTACATGTTGACCATAAATATTCGTATGAGCCTTTGGCCTAGCTTACGGGTAACAGAATCGAGATAGGGATCCTAGAAATGAAGCTGTGTTGACCAATCTAAGAGAGAGAAGTAGGAGCAATGCGGGGGAGCGACACAGACTCTAAACCCGACCGCAGTCACACTCCCTATTTACTGCTGGCCTTGTACTACCAGGGCCCACATATGAGTTTCCTATGCTTAAACAAATATAGCACAGGGAGATTACTCGCAGAGTTAACTTCTAACTGGCTAGAAATATAGAGTTAAGATTCCTGGTCAGTGACGTTATCCATTGCCGAGGTGCCTGAGCCCCATCGTCCTCCATAATGCCCCACTCAAATCTGCAAGTGTCAGCATTTAGTGTCAACCCTGCAGGCAAATCCATAAGTGCCGTATGTTGATCTCTCACCGGACCCCACGGGATCTTAAGATGCTCAAATGATCGGAAATAAGAAAGCATTTGACGTGCCGGGTCTGTCATCTTCACGGAGTTAACGATACCAGCGATAATAAAGAATCTCGGAGCAAGAGCATGTCTACGTTGCATGCTCCACTTAACCCACCAATTGATGTCAGCTAGACCCGTTAATTCCGACCGTCAAAATATTTAAGTACACAACAGTATACCTGTTCGTTTCAGTTGATGATTATAGATTCAGAACTACTCTTATCAAAATCATATTATAGCAAAATGGTGAAAACACTTCCTTTTGGTGACATCCAAGTCCCAACGCCGGGTTTCGGTGCTATGGGTCTGAGCTTTGGCTTGGGTAGCGATCTCACTCTAGCAGAAGCCGAGCCGGTACTTCTGAAAGCGATCGAACTCGGTTGTACATTCTGGGATACCGCTGTGAGTCAAGCGAACAAGTGAAAACCAATGCATTTATGAATTACAATAACTAAAGGGTCAAAGGTTGTTTATCAAGCAGGTGTAAACGAGAAGCTTCTGGGCGATTTCATCAGAAAGCATAACGTCCGTGACAAAATCTTCCGTGAGTGAAGAACTCTCGAGTGGAATATCGCAAGAACTGACGTTTTTAGTTGCTTCAAAATGCGGCTTCGATGTTTTTGGGAATGGCGCAGTCACCAATTCTGCATCGCATATCAAGGAGTATATCGAAGGGACTATTGAAAGATTAGGCTTTACTCCTGACTTGTATTATCTTCATCGAATCGACCCCAGTATGATCAGCCCTGTAACATATATTTGGGACTCTTAAGCTAACCACCGCAGACACCCCCCTCGAGGAATCTATTCCTGCACTTGACGAGATCCGCAAGGCCGGGAAAACGAAGTACATCGGCCTCTCAGAATGTTCTGCATCAACCCTTCGCAAGGCAAATGCCAGTGAGTTTTACAAAGAGATAAATTTAGGTCAATTACTGATGACTAGCAGTCGCCAAAATTGATGCTATACAGGCAGAATACTCGGCCTTTGAGACACTCCATGAGACTGATGGCCTAATCGACACCGCAAAAGAACTCGGTGTAACATATGTCGCTTACAGTCCTCTTGGTCATGGATGGCTTGTCGATGAGTTCAACTTTAATTCTCCGGATGATTTCGCCGATGACGATTTCCGCAAAAGAAGTAAGTTTTGGAATATTATTTATGACATATCCTTTCCGACGAAAGTGTCATATTGTTAACATATCAATTCTACAGGTCCCAAATTCCAAGGCGAAAACTTTTATCAGAACAAGAAAATTGTTGTTGAGATCAAGAAAATTGCCTCTCGAAAGGCTTGTACTATTAGCCAGATTGCCCTCGCCTGGGTCGCTGCGCAAGGAATGATTGCTATTCCTGGCACAACCAAGGCGCACAGACTTGAATCAAACTGGGGGTCGCGTGATATTAGTCTTAGCGATGAGGAGAAGGGGGAGATGCGGAAGATTATCGATGCTGCCAAGCCTCATGGCGACAGATATGCGCCAGCACAACAAGCTATGGTGGGACATTGAATGGGGTTTAAATGGTAACTAATGCGTATTCGAGGCTAGGAAGCAGAGCCGCGCAATTAGTACGTTACGCTATTGGTTTATACTAGCTAGACTGAGTGAAATAAATCATTGACGAGTAGTATATCCAAATCTTATCATTTATACCCGTGGATTCATGTATGCAGTTGTGGTATCTTGGTCTTTGGAACATTAAATAACATCCATATCCTATAAACTGTATAATTCTGCAGCTTCACTCTATCCCGAACCGGAAAAACTACATTAATTCTTTCGCTGGCTCATATTGAGACATTCCAGGCTTTTTCACTGCAGAAGTCATTATCGAATCACCAGCCAATTCCCATCGATGCTCTCCATCTACTTCAAATAGTTGGTCGCCAGTCATTTCATATGGCGTCTTCGTTGTATCTGACATCTCATGTGGCGAATTCGCTATTTCCGACACGACTGGCGTGCCCGAATCCAGTTCTGATTGTATGCCGCCGCCACTGCCGCCGAGATCATGAGTTTGCAGAGTAGGTGGTACATCGACATCAACATGCCCAGACTTTGACTTTCTGCGTCGATGCCAGATAATGAAGCATACGGCGGCTATGGTTAATACTACCACCGGAATGCATACTCCAATGGCAATCTTCGCTCCTGTAGATAGACCTGAGCTTGTGCTGCTGCTGGAGGAGCCAGCTGTTTGCGTCGCTGATGATGCGGTAGATGTTGAGGACGCTGTATTGCGAAGCAAAAAGAGAGCAGGAGCTTCAAATGTGGCTGTCACCCCTGTATTTGTTCCAATGGCGCCAGTGAAAGTGCCGATAGTTCTTGTAACACACGATCCGTTGTTGTAAGCTCCAATACTAGGCCGATCGCCTACAGTCGTTGAATATTTAAGGCAAGCCGTAGTACCTATGTGATATCCTCTTTTCGACAGGTTAGCTAAACTCTTTCTTCTTATCGGATTTTAAATCGTCTTCTGACAAGGTTGATGTTATTGTATGTAGACCGTCGATCTTTTCGATTTTTCAAACGAAGTGAAATTGGGCACTTACTCCGGACAACATGCCGTCACTATATCATCGGTCCCTAGAGTCACAGATTGAGCGCCAAGATTGTACCAGCCATATCCAGATCCATAAGTTGTGTTGTAGGCAGCACTCCAGCCGTAGGGACAATAGTATCCAGGTGAAAATACTTCGTTCATAGTCCCCCAGTTTGTGACGCTGCTCTGCGCATTAAAAATGCCTGTCGGGAAGCATGAAGGTGCAGCGGAGAGCTCAGCTGTTGAATCACTCGTGGTACAGAATTCCCCCCAGCTGAGAATCGCAGTCACGGACGTTTGTCGAATCCATTTCTCGGTAAAGCAATCAGGAGACGGGGTGAAGGTCGTAGTCAGTGGCCCAAAATTAGACCAATTTGCTGCTGTTGTTGTCATCGCGGTGGCCAGGAAGGTCGAAACAGCGTGCAGAATACTAATCGTGGGAAAAAGGAAGAAAAAATAATGGGATCGACGGAATTAATTTGGTGGATGTATGGAGTATAGCCTAACACGACTAATTTCCCCCCACTTTACGATAGGTCGTTAAAATCTACTATGGCTAGTCATTTTAACTCCACAGGGGGTGATACTAAGCTTAGGGGGCGCCGTTCCATTCTGAGTCTTAGCTTCCCGACTACTGCCTTTCATTTCTTTTTTTCCCTGTATATCACCGTATAATGAACTAGGCAAGGAATTGCTTCCAATACTAAAGCCATTGACGATTATATAATGACAGCTTCAACGAGGAATTTGAGTGTGAATAATTCAAATATATAAGCTGCCACTTGAATACGAACAGTGGATAGATTGCCTCAGAATACACATTACCAGCACTTCACATTTGCTACTGAGTAGTTTTGCTTTGGGAATAGTGAAACGCCAGTGGAAATTCCCAGCTATCTCTAGTTTAGCTTGATAGCTGTGACCTTCAGTTCATATTTCATTGAAGATGTTCCTATTCCTCTGCGGAAGGTTTAAGCGGAATCTACACATCCAACCGGATGGGTACTCAGACGCAAATGTAGGCTATTTGGTGGATGAACTGATCAACATTGTAGCTCCCATTCTTGTTGATCCATGGTCTTTCTACAGTCGTTGCTTTCTAATGGTTTGTATTTGAACTCACTGCCGACCTCTCCACTCCATGTAGATTGCATATTGGGATAAAATTTGCAATTACAGATACTAGACTAACTGTATAGCGTAGGTAGTGCGAAGTGGTCCAAGGCTTCGCACTAGGCGTGTGGGTCGACAGAGTCAGATAGAATTTCGCACGAATGATTTCACCTCCTGGTTCTACAGTGAAGTCCGACGGTGAACATTTCATAGGGGCTGGTTAGCACCCACCCATACAGCGTGTCTCAAAACTGGTGCAACTGCCTACACTCTTCGATTTTTTCTCCAGCCCCACCGCCAAGAAAAATTCGCCCATATTGGGATTTTTTCCGGAGCACCCCGGTCGGTTGGACGTGTATTGCTTCTTACGTAGATTACATAGTATTTTTCAAGTATGTATTCCATCCGACACCACCTCCATACTCCTATACATTTGTGACTAGTTAGTCTTGGCCTTCTGTCAGCCACTGCTGTAACTTTACTAGCGCCTTGTGCCCATGGGAAACCAAATTCTGATTGAGATTTAGTATCAGACTGTCTACATTGCTACCTGTAAGGGCAGGAAGTAGGCAGCGCGCAAGATCTTACCTTCTCCTCCTGTTTCATCTCAGCAAATGTGACTTTCCCATCATACTCAAAGATAGGATCCCAGCCTAGGAAGAACCATAAGCGGTAAATCACGTTTCTGTAAGCCAGGGGCAGATATCTGCTTACCGAAGTTCGTTGGGCCCCGTGGCCGTACAATGAGACCCTATACAAAGGCAGTCAGATTCTAGTTTGAGACGACAATGCTATGTAATTCTCACCTTTGTTCTTCCTTGGAAAATGATAGGCTTAGCCCCGGGTCCCGGGCAGAACGCAAACGTGCATACAGCTTCGGCTGTCCTATCCTCAAATCCATCGAGCATCTTGTTTAAGCCTTCGAGGCCTAGAGCATTGAGGAAATATTTTCTTGCCATTTGTTAGGGCTTGTTTGGATCAGAGGAAGCATATTTGATAGACTACCTACATGTAGGGTCCAGGGAGACCCTTAAGTGCACAGAATTCGAGCGAACTGTCTTCGACTAGGACAGGTCCATTTATCTATTCAGCTGTGAGTTCATGATTACTGACAACACTTGAACAATGGTAACTGTGGAAGAGATTACCACTTCAGCTGCCCGCCTGGCTTTTGCTTCAGCGATGTCCTCGACTGTTCCCTGAATCTCAGAGCTATCGACTACCTGGTTGTCTATCTGGATAACGTTACCAAGGGTAGCTCTGACTTCGGCGAGCTTATTTTTGTTTCCAGTAATGAAGTTGAGTTTTAACAAGGTCATTGTGAAACTCTGGCTTCAGACCATATAACGAATAAGGTATACCATTGAATGTACTAGTCTTAGTGCCAAACTGGGTAGACCCCTTTTGGATCCCCTTTGACAATTTTCGAGAGAGTGTTAGAGTAATAATCCCCGGACCTGGAAGGCTGACAGGCAGAGCGGGGCACAGATCTCGTGTATTTTTTGTTTTCGACTCGCCCCCAAATAGCCGTATTCTCACCGCTCCCACTCGCGAGGGCCCGACTATAGAGGCGGGTTATTGCTGCACAGGACACAATAACGTATTATAATCAGAGTATAGGTAGTTGCACTAGTTTCGAGACACACCGTACTTGGACATGGGAGTGACAGGGAAGTGACAGTTCGCCAGGTTCGCGAGGCACTCTCCAGCTTTTGTGTTTGACTTGTTTGCATTGCTATGGAAAATTCCAGCTCCTTTGGATCGCCAATACAGTTATGAGACACCGCCTCGTAATTTGATGAGAGTCAGTCATGGTATTGAGGCTAATACAGGAGTATTGATATTCTGTGTCTATTCCCTATATGAATTGGTGTCTCTTGGTAGGGGCGCTAGAGAATCACTCGAAGAGTGAAGGTTGTTGCACCGGGTTTGGGACGCATTGTAAGAAAAGCCGAATCCATCAAAACAAAAACATACAAATAGGATTCGTAAGTGGTCTATATTAACAGATCCTCCCTGATGAGGGTTTTTTCAAATGAGTGTTTCATTCAAGAGGCCCGGCTGGCGCAATGGTAGCGCGTAAGACTTCTAATCTTAAGGTTGCGAGTTCGAGCCTCGCGTTGGGCTTGCACCTTTTTTTAATTATTCTGTCTCTCTTTACCGCCTACCCAATATATAACTCCCTTAACCTACAGTGGTGTTTCATAAGTATTTGACCTCGAGTACTTCGGCCTAGGACCCACTTTTTAATACTGCCAGGCAGAAACCTCCAAATTCTATTCAATTTCAATAGCTAGTATGCCATCCTTCATATTTGATCACATCTGCTACTCTGTGGGGCATAGTCTCTGATAGATGCTTAAAAACCTCAATATCTAGGCCTTCCCACGCTTCTTGCGCAGCGTCTACCAATATATCTAGCGTTGTCGCGTTATTTGGCAGGTGTATAAGCTCGGGGTGACCCTTTAAGATCTCTGCTTTTAGCAATGCCCATAGGTTCTCAATTGGATTCAAATCAGGCGAATAAGGAGGCCATTCCATAATATCGCAATCTAGCTCCTTAAGTGTATTCTGTACAATATAGGCAGTGTGTACTGGCGTGTTATTTTGTTGAAAGATAGTATTATGATTGAGGCTATTAAGCAGTGTAGGTAATATACGCCGATAGAGCTCATCGATCGTACGAGAAGAGACACCGCTACGTCGTGATGTAGGGTTCCCAAAAAGAGGAATAAGGCCAGATCGACGTGGTTGGCCACAAAATGTAGCCTAAAATATCTGCTTTATTTGTTTTCTACGCGCTGGAATTATTTGGACCTGAGACCCCTCTTTTGAATGCTGGAAAAGCTGGTCTTTTGGATGTGTAAAGGTCTACTCTTGACGCTGGTTAATTCCACGTTTAACTGTATACTTATCGGACTAGTAGACACGGGCCTAATCCTTAGGAGTAAAATGCTGATATCTTTGAGTCTAAGCAAGGTGTTTTTCGGTATGTAGAGGTGTTAAAGTAGGCCGTTGTATCTTCCGCTATTTTCGAAGGCCTATTTTATGGGTTAGACGCCAAATTGAGGTCCGTTTAACCTTATTATTGATCTTAAGAAGTAGGTCTTTAATTAAAATTGATGGATTTTGTTGTATAGTCTCGTATATATGGTCTCGATTATTCTCTGTAAGCTTTCTTGGTGCCCCTGATCGTGATAATGACTCCTGTTTTTGACGTTTTGATTCCTGGGTAAGCGTATATTGTATAGTTGAGCGTGGAATGTCAGGAAATCGCTTTTTTTTGATGGTAGTTGCCTCCTAGCCATTTGTAGTGTGTAGCTCACAGATCTTGGCCCTTATAAGACAATCAAGCTCTGGGCCTCGCTTCCCACGTATAGGAGGCATAATATTTGAGATAATATAGGAAGAAAAAGTAGGAAACCGCGTCTATATTACTGTATAATACTGTATATGCTAGTGTGTTTGGTCGCGCGTGAGATCTGAATATACTAATATAGTAGGCGGTCTGGAGGAGCGGTGTGTGCCCCAAAGTACCCAAGGTCAAATACTTATGGAACACCACTGTAGCTAGCCCTTGACGCGAATATACAGTCATCGCTCCGTAGCTCCACTACCATTTATAACAAACGAGTTAAGGTTGTACCGATTTTGGTACTGGTGTTTCCGGATTCGCAAAGTCGGGTATAAATGCATAATTTATTCCCAACTGTGGTATAAAACTTGTTTGTGGTGCTGCCCTTGTAGTTGTGCGAAGAATTGCTTACTTCGAGGGCTATAGCTCTAGTGGTCGCGATTGTCTCTATTAGGATGCCTTAAAGATCGACGGCTCAAAATATACCCATCTGCATTTTGGATTTGGTGAACTGACGACAGATTACGAAGTCAAGTTCCAAGACGTCCAGACCGAATACCAATTTAGTAAATTTTTACGAGTCTCTGGGCCAAGAAAGGGGTTCTCTTTTGGCGGTTGGGACTTTTCGACTGTGCCCATAGTATGTAACATCATTTAAATGCCGAGCAATCACCTAGCAAGTGCCACTAACCCCCAGCCATGACTTTGGGACCGTCTGCATAATTTCCAATTTTGGAAGCCCCGCCTAGGTGGAGGCTCTTTTATCCAAGTGATTCCAAGGATACTGTATCACTCTGCAGATCCGTATCTTCTCTGAACAAAATCCACTATACGACCAGCAGAGTGTCTATTCGAATGACTTTCCTGGACCGATTGCCCAAGCTTTGTCAATAGTTTCCGCAGTGCCGCGCTATCCTCATCGTCACATTCTGGTGACGGTCTCCACGCATTCTCAAAGTTTGCGAGATCTTTGGGATTCTCACCTTCCATATAAGGCGAAGGGCCATATCCATCATAGCAGCACATATACCTATTGTCATACAGCCCGACCTTGATATTCCTCTCCTGCTCAAATGGAATATCCGAGGACCAATTACTATAGCCGATTCGAAAGTGTCGCAGTTTTGGCAGTTTCTCTGCAAATAGATCGAAAATATGGTGCCATCGCTTCTCGAACGAACCATACAAAGAGTCATCGCCCTCGCGGCGTGCCAGGGTGTCCTTAGGTAGAGCACAGGCGTTCACATTCTCTTCCATCATACCAAAGTCGTAGAGGACGGCGCAGTCATCGAAGTAGATTTCCTCGAGGGTATCGCCATGCTTCAGAATCCAGTCAATTTGGCTATCATGGAAGAAACAGAAGTTCCCTAGTGATAGCGTCTTCAAGCGTGGAAAGAACAGATTGGAGAGATCCAGGTGAGGGTAAAATCCCGAGTATTCAACCGAGCAGAGTGAGAGATGTTCGAGAGAAGGCGCAGCCGGGCTCAGCCATGTGTTGGGCAACTCCTTGAAAAATTTTCGGAGTTCCGGATACTAATATGTTTAGAAAGAGCATCTCGATGGAGGGTGGGGTGGGTGATACCTCGAGGTCATGCTCAGGAGCGGCGTCATTTGTCTCGCTGGTAATGCTTAGGCGAAGGGAGAGGAGGCCCGACAGGACCTTTCCCATTTTCGCAAGTGTTTCCGGATCTTTGGGGTTATCCGCTTGCAGGTTGCGAATACCAAGATCTTGAATTGGTTGCCGTAAGGATTCGAGAAGAGAGAAAATCTTATGCATTGCTTGGAAGCGAAATTGAGGCGTCTGGGGGAAGTCCGTAAAATGGTGGTAATCATCATCCGTGCTGTCTGAAGTAAACCCCTTATCGAAGCACAGAACGGCGGCGTTCAGCTGAAGCAATTTTTTCACTTGTGGAACAAGATTGTCCCAGCCTTGGGGCCATTTTTGCTCTTCTTCATCATTGTAATTCTATGCGCATTAGTTATTGCTTGGAGGTGGACTAAGATAATCGTACAAGTCTCTTGTCCACGGTGTCTATGTAGATCTTTCGCGGAATCCGACGTAGACTGGGATTGTTCAAAATCTCTTGTAACGCTTTTTGGCTTGTCTCGCCGGGCTGCAGGTGCACGGTGCTGTAGAGCTGATCGGTGGCTAGCTGTGATATGAAACGGCAGGATTGGCGTATCGACTTTAATGATGAACGATCCACATAAGAAAATGAGCGAGCGAGCAGTTCGTTGGGCAAATTGAGAAGGCGTGACATCGAGGCGTATTCACAGGTAGAATTCGCAGATTGATGAGTCGAAAGGGGACATGTTTCGCTTTAACCTCAGGCTCCCATCGCGGCGGCCAAACTTCCTAATTCGATAAAGCCTGAATAGGTCACATGACAGAGAAGTAGTGTCAAACGTTAAAATACTGTTAAATTACCTTACTAGGTATTCAGCATCTCAAAACACACTAGAGCAAAGGTGAAGCCGATTTCGAATGCCCCTGTATAGCAGAAAGTGCGAGCCGCGGCCAGGCAGTACGGAGTACACGCATACAACGAATATTTATTATCTGGAATTTGCTTTTTGGAGGTTGCTCATTTACTAGGACCCGAGATCCGAGATCTCATTTTCAATAGACTTTCTTTCTTGCAAAAGTCTTTCGATTTGATCAGCCGTTTCTTGAGCCCCCTTTTCTCCTGCAAAGAAGAAATGATTGCCCCCGACAGGAGCGGATAGTCTATTAGGAGCTTCATGCACAAGATTCATCAAGCTCTGCCACTTGGGTTGATCTTGCGTCTTTAAAAGTGCTGTCCCGGAAAGTCTCACTTCGATGGCGTAGGTTAAAAGGAATCCCCAGGTAGCTTTATCGGACAATGCATGTCTTGCATCAAGGATACTCGTGGGGTAAATGGACGATATGAGCGGAAGATTCGATATGTTGAAAACTTGTGAGTCCTGCTCATGAGGAACTTCATCGCGGATAAACGAGCTTCGGCCATCGTACTTCAGCCCCATGCCGACAAGGTTTATAGGTGTGCCGCCGATATACTCTCGAAGGTATATCTCTCGAGGAATAATCTCATGTCCGGTGTACTCTGCCATCTCCTTCAATTGTTGGTAAAATGCCCCAGTGTGAGACGGTACATGAAAATATCCTACAGAACTGCAGACCATGCCTGGGGGCAATGGCCGAATTCTTGATATACCAGGTGTTGCTGCGAAGCCGATGTATTGTTCCACAGTTATCCCGCGCTCCTTTGCTGACATGTTGAAGGGGACGACCATACGGCCTCCCATACTCCAGGAGATTAAGACAACGGAGCGAGAAAGCCCATTTCGCTCTATCACACGCTTGACAGTTTCAGCAGCTTGTAGGCCCCAGTCGTAAAGTCGGAAAGCTGCCCCTGTCAATGGCATTATTGGTGGAGTTGTTTCCGTGGGATAGGATAACGACAGAACTCCGAACCCAAGCTCGGCGAGTCGATGGGACAGAAAGTCCTTGGGATTATATCCATCATGACCACCGTAGAAAATTCGTGCTAGATGGAGACCACCTGTAACACAGACAATCAAAGGTTTCTCGATTGTGGGATTTAGTGCCGGTTGGTAATGATAAATTGTGGGGAACCCGGCAATTGTGTCCAAAATTTCTCCTGGATACAATCCAGATGAGGGGCTTCCATCATTAGAGGCCATGGTTTTTCGATCGTTGAAGCTCTAGCCCCGAAGATCCGTTGGAATTATTCACACTAGAAGGGGGCCCAAAAAGCCCAGTCCTGTGATAATAACGCGTCAAGGAGCGACGGTCCGGGCTTGGCAATGGAAAGTGCGGGACATCGGATGTTCGTGGACAATAGGCGGTCAAGCGGAGGTATGATAGTTCATCACAAGGATGTGTCAAAGTTTCATGATACAGAAGATAATAGAAGGAATTCAACTAGGCTATGAATGGGAGGATACTGACATGTGTTCACAGGATAGAGGGGGTGTTAATGAGATTGCGGCCTCAGGCTCCCACAAATCAGCACGTATGACCTTGTTGGAGCCTCAAGGTTAGAGTAGAACAAAAAATTCAAAGACACCCCTGCTCTCAAGCCTTGTGAAATTTACGAAGACATTTCTAGCCCGCCAACAAGGTCAAATAAGCCAGCGTCGAGTCGACCAAGTACTACTGAGAACAAAGCAGGAGAAGAAGGTCATTCAAGTTCTTATTTATGCCTAGGCTAACAGCAATCTTAACAGACATAGATCCTATTTAGACTGAATGTATCATCATCCAAGAACCAGTAAAAGATTGGGTGTTGATTTTTCTATCAGCCAATCTCCGAATAGTAGTCCCCGTTCCCATGATTTTGCGTAATCTCTTCACTCTGGCAAATCCCATGAGGCAATTGCGCTTTTGAAATTATCCTCATCGTCTGGTGGATAGAAATCCAACAGGTCCCACATATCAGGAGTCATACCATTAGAAAGAATGGGCATGACATCTAAATCAGAAAACTCATCTGTGGCAGGCATAGAGAAAGTCAAAGGCGTATCCCCAGGTGTCGATAGACTCGGTATGTGTGTAGATAGTGCGAGGGAGCCATTCAAAGTCTTGAGAATCCCTACCACCTGGTGATAAAGGGAATGATTTTGGCTTTCTCCCTCGTCACGATTGAAACTGCTCCCTGATCTCTCCTCCAACTTCATTAGTGCTTCAAGAGCCAAAACACCTCGCGACGCCCCGCTGTGAAGTAGCTGCACATTTTCTTCGGGGTTTATCTTCGGTGAGCCTCTCGTACGCAGTAACTCAATGGCTTCTCGAATTTGATCGCGTGTCATTAGCCGACTGAGCTGGGCACTTGATTGCTCGACCTCGGTTGACGGGTTGCTAAATAACAACCCCAATACCAAAACAACGGTCGCACTGAAAATTTGCGTTTCGTTACTACTCAAAGAGCCACAAACCGCACACCGGGATTGAATCTGAACTTGGGTACTGATAATATTATGAGCCAGCTGTTGGCAGAATGCACGTCCCATTGGGGATATAATATTGGAACGATGGAGGCGAAGGAGTAGACTCCACAATTGTTGATGGAGCATGAATCGCTTGGGTGGAATGCCGGCCATGGGGCCCACGGCTGTGATACCGACGGTACTCCCCAATCGGAAATAAGAGGGCAAGTTAGCCACATAATTCTCGTATTTTCGATTGAGATCTTGACGCTGCCTGGCAGCTTCATTCCCAGCATCTTTAAGGTCAATCGATTCTCGCACAATGACAGATAGCTCTAAAGCGTGCACCGTATAAGAGAGCATCGTAAATTCGGACCTAGGTCGCTCGATTGGTATACCGTTTTCAACGTAAATATCTTCATCGTTAAGGTGCAATGGCATCCTGGTATTAAACTGCGAGGGGCGGATGGTATAGTAGCCAAGAGCTTGTCCACGCGACCAGTCTCTCATGACGAGAGCCCACCTAGCGGCCCAAATTTATCAGCACTTCAAATTAGTAGGATAAAAGGAGGGTATTGATAGAATCCCTACCAAATGCGAATAGCGATCTCAGTGCGAATTCGCGACTCGACGATCGCAGGGCCATCATTCGAAGGTGACGAATCATTCAAGGCGGCGTTGCCCAATTGATGCAGTCCAAGTTTGCGCGCGCCTGCAATTGCTGTGACTATTAGTGCGTCAAGCTCTATTGAGGACTCTTTTGCATCTAACAAAAGCATGACGGCTGCCTGCAAACTTGCGATAGAGCCACAAAATACGGAAATACTTCCCCGGAGACAGCGGAGACCAAGGAACCGCCACGTGGAGGTAGACTCTTCAGAGGCACGAAGTTGCTCCACACGAGATGTCTGAGGAGTGGACTGAAATCCTATAAGGGATGGCGTTGGATGGAATGCAAGACCAAGCACTAGCTGTATGGGGAAAATCAGCAAATGCTAGATCGAATGGGATTTCAGGAGAAAGGCACCGCGAGAAGTAAAACAGCAAGAGAATCTAATGGTATTGTAGTGGCAATAGCCGCATCAGGGTAGGGTGAGTTTAAACATTGGGACAATTGATCGGCTTGCTTCATGAAGCTCGGGGTGTGCACAACATTTCCTAGTGGGCCCTGGCAACGTATGACAAAGATCTCATACAGAGTTTGAATGACATCCCATTCTGGTAGAGTTTGAATCACATCTCGTATCAGTTCAAATTTTTGCTTGTCCCTGTGCGGGCTTTGCGTCACCCAGTATGGATTAGGGATATCAGGCGCCACGCCCTCTGATTCAGTGCGAAAAGGGGTGACATCCACAAAATGCTCCAAAGCCAGCGCTGTTTCTTCTACTTCAGGCTGTTCCTCTTTTTTTGAATTGACCTGGTTATCTTTTTGCTCTGTTTGTTGGGTTTTAGTGCGCTTGGCTCTCGGCTGACGCACATCTTTGGTACAGAGGTGAGCGCAGTCGCGCTTTATGCACTCCAACTGAGAAAGTAAGCTTGGTATCGGGATAACATTTTGAGGATACTCACACAGGGCTCTTTGCGATCACATTTTAACTTAGCGGTACGACACCGGGAACAGGAGAGGGTGAGTTTCTTGGGTTTTGGATCATCCATGTCAAGTGGGGTGTAGGAGTGAACACAGCGTTGCGGTTCGGGGCCGAATTTCAAGCGCGGAATTGGTTCCACACCTAGCAGCTTATGCAGCGGCCTTTCGATACTTGCTACATTCTATGACAGAAAACTCTGAAACTTTTAACAGTATTAGGTGAATTTGAATCATTCTATTAAAACTTAGATCTATTCACATAATATCCAGTCTAAAATCCCCATTACCTCCCAATATTGTCTATCTAAATCGATGAAAACCCGTCGACGAAAATGGAGAACCATAATCACGATCTAGACCCTCAAATTACTTCAGAGGGTCGCGGTCTCTGAAACGGCGTTGGCTGTAACCTTCTCCTCCTGTTTAGACTCGAATCTTGGGTCACGCACAAACAGAATGACAATGAGGAACCCTATGGCCGCTAATCCTATCCCTAGCCAGAACGCGCCACGGATACCGCGGATAGGGTTCTGACCACCCTCATTGACATGAGACTCAAGAGTGGCAGCAATTCCGAGTCCAATAGAAATAGAGTATTGAACAACCGTCGAGATGAATGATCCAGCAACACCTTGCTCCTCGGGTAGGACCGCATTGGAGATGATAATCCCAGAAGACGCAAATGACAAATCGGGTCCACCTACAACCAGTAGACAAGCAGGGAATATAAAGGCCCAGTAGGTGTCTGAGTAGTTCACGAAGCTCATTATCAAGTTTCCAATGAGAAAAGAGAACATTGAAACGCCAAAGATATACTGAGCTGGCGTCTTCATGATGAAAAGCCCAACAAAACTTGTGGCGAATAATCCGCCAATAACAAGTGGAACCATTTGAGCTACAGCCTCAAGAGGCTGGGCTTTGTGTATTGTTAGGATATAGACAGTGGTGTAGTAGAGAAATATCCCGAAAGACATCCAGCCAAAGGCCATGGCAGCTACCACGGGCGCAAAACCAGGGCGAGTCCAGAGTGAATTTGGCAAGACGGGGGCAGAGACGCGCGACTGAGAGAAAACGAATCCAACAAGTAGGATGAGGCTGACAATGAGCAGAGCGTAGGTGTACGGCTCTTGCCAGCCAACGACCGAAGCCTGGTTCCAAGCAAAGGAGAAGAGGATCAGAGATGTTACACCGAGAAAGCTACCGATGTAGTCAAACTGGCGAAGACTCAGGCCTGGAATCGGAGAGCCGATTCGATGGGGAACAATGACGAAGGTCGCCAAACTCATAACCAAGCAACCGATTGCCCAGAACCAAAATCCCCATCGCCAAGTGACTTTCTCGGCAAAAGCGGCTCCAATCAGACCACCGAAGATGTAGCCTGAAGGGGCGCAGAATCCCAGGAAAGCAAAAGCAATATTTTTCTTCGTGGACATAGGTGGAAACGCACGCGCAAGCAGCGCGAAAGAATTGGGGACCAGTGCACCGTTCCCGATTCCCACCATTCCTCGAGCAATATCAAATAAGATGAGGTTGTTGGCGAAACCACAAACAAGTGACCAGATAGCCATCCAGATCCAGCCGAAGAGGAAGACGTACTTGTGTCCAAAGTGATCGCCCAAGCGACCGGTGACTAGGACGAAAACACCACCACATAGGGAATAAGAGGCTAAAAACCATGACATCTGGCCAATGCTTGTTGTCCCGAGAGATGTGCCGATCTGTTCCATGGAGTAGGCGGCATTGCCTATACCTCCAACAGAGAAGAGTTGCGACAAGCCTATGATAAAAATAAAGATGGCCTCGTGGAAAGTGGATGAGAATTTGGGTATCTCTGTTTCAGGCTGGGCCTTCTCAAGTATTTCTGGGCTGGAAATGACATCCTCGTTGTCGGGTTTCCCTGGTTTGTTCATTAAGGTGGGAGTATTGGAACCGTTGCTAAACGACATAGTGGTTTGTTTGAGAATGTTGATGGATGAGAGATGGCATGAGACCAGAGAATTTGAAATAATTTATAAACCATGGCCCAGCCCATTTTATATTGCCCCATTTCTATTTTTCTCTTCGTTGTTCATTCCATGGAGATTTGAAGTTGAAAACCGGTGCTGAAGTTGAAGTTGAAACTCCGCGGAGTTTCGGAGACTTACTCTATATAGCGGGTCACCCCGTCTCACTCTGCGATCACCGCCGAGGGTCAGCTGGGTGGCTTGTGGTCGGTATCCTTGATTTTCCACCTTTTTCTATCAGATCGATCACTTGTTTAGGTAGAACCCACTTTCTCTCAGTCTCTTGTGGTTCATAGGCCGTACATGTAAAAATAAGCAGTAGCCTGCTCCACACCATTTGAATCCATTGTCATCCTCCTGCATAAATCAAAGTCGAGAACCCACATCGAGTGACTTCCAAGTGCATTTGACTTTAACTTCAGCCCAGATAAAATTGACTCGGTCGCGACTTCCTTTGAGTTGTTCTCGTCATGCCCAGCTGGGCGCTCCAACCAGGTGGGGCGAGAACAAACCCAATATCATTCGCGTCCATTTCGCCAATACAGTGCATCATAGCGACAGTCTCCGCCATAAATCTTGCGTACTGGTTTATGTCATTGATTGTCATGAGGTCTTCAAGTTGGTCGATATAGAGTGGGAAATTTCGGAGGGAAAATGCTGTGAATCGCGATGTAGAAGGAAAGACGTTTCTTTTCTCGTCTTCGGCCTAGGTATGGCTTGATCAAGCAGTCTTTGTTTGGCTCATTTTTGGTGATCTCTTGGCTAAGATTTGGTGGGCAGTAGTTCTTGATAATTGATGCCCTTACATTCTCTGGTGCATGTCAAAGTCTTTTCGTAACGATCGATCGGGACCGCCATCCTCCTTTTTGAAAGCTGGACCTTGCCCAGACGCCCGCACAGTACCACAGAATCCATGCCCAATGGTGTGTAGTAGGGAGGTGGTGTGGAGTATAAGCTCATCCGCCTGTTTACCCCGTCGAGAATCGCATATCATGATTTGGCCAGTGTATGGGGTTTCATCGTAGGAAAGCCCCTGGAATAGTATGTATATGTTTTTGAAATGGTTTGGAAGTCTTGAAGGACGGAGGAAGTTGAAAGAGCCAATAAATAAGTGTTGGCATAGGCAGCCTTGGAACAAGAACGAAGGTTAAGCTCCGAGCATAGTTCAAGTTTGGGTGGATTGTTGGCAGTGTTCAACCTCCTCTTCACCATAAGAACTCAACTCCGTTCGGCACCGATAACATGGGGCTTATGTTTCGACAGGGGCGAGAATCTGCGCTGGAAAGGCATGGCAAAAACTGCCAGCTAAATTTATTGAGGAGGTTATGAAGGAATCATGATACTGGGGCCAGATTCTCAGTAATTGGGCAGCAGGATTTTGCAGGAAATAATCCCCTTGCCTTATTCCTGGGCATTTCTATCCTGTTCCACCAAGGTGTTGTGACAGATGGAGGACATTGTTCAAATTGATCATGATGAACCCTTCAAATAAATAAAGGAATGGAGATATACCTCAATACAAGAAGAATTATTTCTTGAAGGAATAAAAGAATAATGCAATTTGAATCCCGCTTGTTAAACAACTTTCAATAGACTAACCAAGGGGGTATGAGAAGATGACTGATACATGTCGGAGTCTTCGTTAGGCGACTCAAAGTATTACTAGTAGATCATGATGGGTTGTGAGGCATGGCTCTTGGAACAATTGGAAATTAGATAAGAATGTTGGATCTATTGAATCTTAGCGTATTTAGACTACCTAATCTCTTTTGTGGAAAAGATAATATTAGATAACAATGATACAGTTTTATTGATTCTATTTCAAGACTAGCATGAACATAGAAGGGCATACGAATGTTAATTTCGCAGTGGCAAATAGTATGACTCGTCCTATTCCTTGTGCTTCCGGGTTAGTTAGCCTGTCTTGGAAACAGGTTGCTATCCAGGGGCTTCAAAGACACATACAAGGGACAATAGCAATCATCGGGAAAACCCCCTTTGGCCATGGTTGGTAGCCTTAATCACCAATTACACGCTATCTGGACTGTAAACTCTACAAAGATTTAAAACTTAGTGGAAGGAGAAGTGGGAAGACAAGTAGAAAGACACGCAGAAAGGCAAATGAAAATATGGATAGAAAAAAATTAGAAAAATGCTTTGCTTCCAAATACCTGGCAAAAAATAGGGTTTTCCCCATGATCGATCGATATTGTCCCCCGTAGACACCGAGGCAAATGGCGGTGAATCAAGTGTTATGCTCAAGTCCATCCTGGCCAGGGATTCAGGCTTCCTGTGCCTGCCCATGCTTTTTCAGACAGAGTCCAGAATGGTCGGCAATGGCCCGAAGGAATTGGCCACGGCTTAATGCAGTGGATGTCAAACAAAGTGGGGCCGCCCTATGTGGGATGAATTCAGGTACCCAGCCAATAACAGCGTGTCTGAATAGGGACTGCAGTAATAAGCTGACAGAGAACCCACAAGTTCGTGTTCATCTCGTGTGTTTTCTCGCGTGTTCAGCTTTCCTCATGCCCAGGTGGGCACATGGGACCTATTTCCTATTGTTGATATTTTTGGTTCGAATGATACATCTCAAATCACATTAACAATCTTGGAAACGAACTCCTTTGTTCCACGAAATCAAGAAAGCCACTGAAAGGGAGGGAAATAGGGGCCAATCATATTTTGTGGCGCAAACGTTCGCGACGTATCTTCCGTATCTGCACTGCAAACTTGAACTTAACCCTCCTCTCTACTATCCCCTGTCGTGAAATGTGCTAGATCATGCAGCAAAAGTAAATATATCCCACAATGTCTCAGGTTCTTGTTCTTGGCCGAGGCTTTGTAAAATGGATATGTACGACATGAATCATGGCTTGCTTATAGTTTGGCCATGCGCGAGCCTCGGTTTTCCGGTACGAACTTCTCCATTGCGAACCAGGGGAATTGATGAGAACTATTGTAGCCACCACCTATATATTGGATGTTATACGATATTTGAACAGCCATCAAAAGCATTGACGCTGAACCATAGGAGTTGTCTCTCTTTTATTATCTCCATCTCCTCTGGTACCTGGCCCGGGTGGACACCCGAAAGTGGATCTCATAAGCGTGAATTTAAAATGTGCGGTTGGCACGCCATATTGTGCATATAGAGTTTGATTATCGCCGATCTATTTACACTAGCGCGGCCAAAATTGGGGAAAACCACAGCTTCGAAGTTACTAGCCGAGGCATGCCAATAAAACTAGTCATGAATTGAAAAATAGACTGGGCTCGAGTCGCGAGTCTCGTGCTAGTACTTCGTACTTTGGTTTCCTACATGCTCACCTGGGCATTTTCCAAGGTTTTTGGACTGATCGACACTGTCCCCCTTTTTTCCGAACGTTGGATGATCCTTGTCTGCTTGACAGCTAGTATGTAGGCCGTGTCCTGGGCAGACCTTTATTTACATAGGAGTCTTTCCCACTCTTGTCTCCTGAAATAATCCATCTGCTTCATTCACCCTCTTTCCGCGGCTTTTGTTCGCTAGTCACTCTTTTTGACCAATCTCTGCTGGTATCAGCGTCCATTCTTTCTATACTCTATCTATACCCCGTACTCCATTCTTTTAATTTTAATTCACGTATTTTTACGTCGATTCCGACAATATGAAGCAATCTCTTTTCACTACTTTTGTCGCTCTTGCGGCTTCCTCTGCTGTAAGTATTTCCAATTCACCCTCCGATCTTCATTGTGACATCTATATCTAACCCCGGTTTTTACTCCACAGGGTGTCCGTGCTAGCGAGAGCCTGATCAGCGTCCCTGCTAACCTGTGCGCTGCTATCCTCGGCGAGGCAGAGTGCAAACAGAAGACCTCATCCGATGATGGTTTGATCAGCGTTCCCGTCAACGCCTGTGCTGCCGTCCTCGGAAAGGCCAAGTGTGACCAGGTCTCAGGCTCTTCTTCCTCCGACAGTGGCAGCGATGATGGCAGCCTGATCAGCATCCCAGTTGGTCTGTGTGCTGGAATCTTGGGCGAGGCTGAGTGCAAGCAGCAGAGCGTGTCTGGCGGTCTCATCAGTATCCCCGTCAACACTTGTGTTGCTGCCCTTGGTAAGGCCAAGTGTGACCAGGCCTCTTCTTCTTCCAGCGGTGACAACAGCAACACCCTCATCAATGTTCCCATCAACATCTGTCTCGCTGTCCTCGGTGAGGTCGAGTGCGACCAGAGCTCTAGCTCTTCCGGTGGCTTGATCAACATCCCCATTAACCTCTGCCTTGCTGTCCTTGGCGAGGCTGACTGCCAGGACAAGGGTGTCTCCACCTCCACTGAGACCATCGGTGCCTCAACCACCGCCTCCACCGGTCCCTCCGCCACCACCTCTTGCACCGAGTCCGGCGCCCAGACTACCGGCCCTGCCACTGGCCCTACCACCTCGGTCCCCGTTGTTCCTACCTCGGCCCCTGCTGGCCCCAGCGGCTCTTCACCAGTCGTCTCTGGCTCCCCCGTCCCCACCTCCGGTGCACCAGGTCCATCAGGCTGGTCTCCCGTTGGAAGCTCTTCTCCCTCAGCTCCCGCTGGCTCTGCCCCTACCTCCACAATCACATACACCAAGACTGTTACTTCCTGCCCCGCTGGCTGCACTGGCAAAACCACTCTGAGCCGTGCTACCCCTGCTCCTTCAGCTGGTTGGACCTCCACCCGCTCATGGAGCGTCCCCAACCCCTCTTCTTCTCCAGTTGCTCCTTCCGCTACTCCTTTCAACGCAGCTGGTCGCGCCACTTTCTCCGGCGTTGCCGTTGTCTTCGGTGCTATCGCCCTTGCTTTCCAGATTTAAAGCCTTCTATCGTTAGATGATGGCATTATCGGTTTTGGTTTGCTGGGCGGGTTGTGATTTTGGACGTCATGGATGGTCTTAGTTACTAATTCGTGATGTTCGTTTTACTTGTCTTCTATTTTACATACTATCCTGGACAACCTGTATATGCTTGGTGCCCTTGTACGTATTTTTTTTCTCAGGTGGTGCTTTTCAGCCAACCAATACGATGTCAATATATCCATATTCTATCTCCTATCTCCTCGTGTCAAACTTGAACATTGAGCGCCTCTGCATGCCTTTCAAAAATCCATTTCAATATTAAAAAACTCCTTTACAGTGCATCAAATCTAGAACCCTGTGGGTACTGGCCCTAATTCGGGAATAGAACTCCCGAGTTATGGTCCGAAAGCCTTAGGGAGGAGACAGTCGATCTCAGGATCTAGACGTCAAAGAGATAAAATTGCGGTGGGTCTCCTGCACGGGTCAGCTCCCACGTCTGCACGGATCCCTTTCTACAAGGGGTATATGACTTGTCGATCTTGGCGAACTAGTAGACCCAGAAATGGGTCTTTTGGAATCTTTGTTTTCTTTTTGTGCTGAATAGGCGTCTTTGTGCTATGTGAGTGATCTTGATGTCTTTCCCCTGCATATCTCTGCGTATCCGGTGGAACATTGCGGGATATTGCGGAAATTGAGATTGAAATTGAGATATGATCCTTGATTCTTTGAGATTGGGTTCCCTGGTCTACTAACTCGTTGACGGAACTCTCCGCGGGGTCTTGCCTTAAATTTCTTGGCAGGGGCTGAAGTTCTGTTGTGCATAAACTAATGAGTTCTCTGTTCTTGACATGAGTTGGCAAGATTCTTTTCTATCTCCGTATAATATTTCAGTGCCTTTAATATTAATAAGATTTAAATGTGCTAGTGAGTTATTTTCTCTTGGTTTCACTTGATTTCCTATGATAATAAACGCCAGAGATGATTTAAATGTGGTTACTTACCACAGTTACATTAGAAGGCTCATAATTCCTCCATCTGCCCATGAGATGAACTGCGTTACTTGAGATGCATCACAATGTTGTAATCGTGGTTCGAGTTAATTTTAGTAATCAGACAATATGGGGAAATCAATTATGCATATTTTTAGACGTACTTATGCAGAAATTAAATAGTGCAGCTTCTCTAATCAAACTAGCAGCAATGCATCATCATGATAATTCATAAAAATAGTAATTCTCCCTCAATATCCCCCTACTACCTAGTACTGTACTGTACATCGTTCTAAACTGCGCGTCGTTCTGTCTACAACTTGAATTCTCCACTGGATATTCAAATCCAAATCTTCCTCATTTAAGTTACTCCACCAGAACAAACTGCTCAAAAAGAGCAACCCCATTGCTCCCCAGATCCCTCCCCCCAAGACTCCCACTCATGTTCCCAGTCCACCGCATATAATACCTTCCATCCCCAGCAACCTCCGCAAGAACACTAACATTGAATTTCAACACTTCCTCCCCAGTCGAAAGCTCAATCAAAAATCCATCCGGCACATCCCCGGCCATAGGCGGATATCGGCCCCCTGTATCAGTACCAGTACCTGTTGCAGAGGTAGTACTGTATGGTCGGACTGAGGCCTTGGAATCTGAATCGCAAGAGGATACGAGCACTATTCCATTTTGCGAAACGTAGCTGCTAATGTATGTTTTGTTGTTTGAGGCTATGGCGCTGAACCAGATTATTGAGTAGCTTTCTAGTTCGGCGTGGCCCCAGTACCAGCTTTGGACGTTAGAGGTGAAGGGTTCGTTGGACCAGTTCTGAGATGTTAGTGGATGTGGATGTTGGATCTGGATCAATGAGGTGGGATCAAGGTTTGGAAATGAAGTTGAGATTAAGAATTGTGAAACTCACTTTGTCGTGGTAGGCTTGTCCTTGGAAGGTCAGGGGTGTTCCTTGGATGTTTAGATTGACTGTTCCTTTCGCGGAGGGGATTAGGGCTGCCCAGCCGATGTTAGGAATTATTTTTAGTGTTGTTGTTTCTGATTGGATTCCGCATGGTAGATGGGGTGCTAGTTCCTATTCGCGAATTATTATAAGTATTTCAATCATACTTGTTAAGGGTAAGATGCCAGTGGTAGAAATATCCGTCATGGATGGTGATAGACTATACGTCTCAAGGTATGGAGTATGATGTTGTGCTGTGCTGTGCTGTAGAACTTGAACTCACCGATTCCAACATAAACGTCCCATAAACACCCATCCCCTCAGACTCAACAATAACTTCATAATTCGAAAACCCCTCCCCATCAGCCATCCACCTAAAACCCGTATCACTCCACACCCCCTCACTCGCCTTACCCCCCTCATCACCACCAGAGATGCTCGCCAGACTAGCAGGGATATAATCCGAAAAGACTGATCCATTCGCAAACGTCGCCCACAAATACGCGATCAGGACAGAGGACTCAGTCGAATCGAGCCATGGGAATGAACTTGCTGAGGCGCTGAAGAGAGTTATTGTTAGACTTTCGTAGGGGTTGAGACTTGAGATCGCGTCGAAGTACCACCAGTCGAAGGAGGTGGGGGTTACTTTTGATATTTGCGGTCTTTCGAGGGAGAGGAGGGCGTTTGTGAATAGGGTTTGCGAAGGGGTGGGGATTGTTAGGTGGGCTTTTGAGGTGCCATTTTCGAGGGTGGGGGGGATTTGGTAGGTCCAGTTTGTTAGATTGTTGCGTCGGGATTTTGGGATGGTTCGTGGGAGTTTGGGGTGAGGATTTGTGTCTTGGTGTGCGTGTGCGTGTGCGTGGGAATTGAAGCTTTTTTTTGGATTGATTGTTGTTAATTTTTCTGTTGCTGTGGCTGTGGCTTTGTGGAGAAAGCCTGTGGATATGAATAGTCCCAGCAAAAGGACGCGACTAAGTTGTGCTTTCATGTTGATAGCTGAGCCTGAGGCCTGGAGAGAACTTGAACTTGAATCTTGTAAGTGCTAGGTACAGGGGTTGATGTTGCGCGTCAGCACTAGGGGGAATTACCGGCTATATAGTAGCAAACAACGTGCTATATCAGCTCGGTACTATAGAGTAAGAACGGTATATCTCGTTCGGGACACTATCGGGGGAAATGAACGAATGACGCCCCCTGATTTAAAGCCATGGTGTCGTGATGCTAGTATTGTTGTGGGTTCAACAATCGTTTCCCTGTCCACATACATCATTCATCGAAGACGGGATGTTGAAAGAATTCGTGAATGGATATAGTTAAAGTTTATTGTTCTATCTGTATAAGGTGCTTTTGGCTTTGAGGTGGTACTTTTGATGGTTGCTGTGGTGAGTCCTTGATGATCTCCTTATGAGTGCAATCATAGCATAGGCTGTTGTCATAGTGAGAAAAAGAAATGGATCGAATAGAGTGTGTTTTTCGTTCCCGTTGTCTAAATGAGAGTGTGATCGTATGCCAAGATGATATGATACGATCTTGTTCTGGCCATGAGGTTTCTGCTTGTGAACTTTGTTTATGTTTAATTACTCTGGAGGTGGAGGAGTTCTTGAAGTCAGTTGTGCTGAGGAATTGAAAAGGATGCTATCCATTATGGATTCGTTCATGCAAGTATATACCAAACACCTAGTCCAACTCCCGGCAAAATAACACAATCCGAGCTCGCTGGTCAAATCAAATCACAAATATCAAAAGATCAATACACACGTCACACGTCAGGCTCAGAAACAATAATCAAACAAGGACATAGAAATCAGATATCAGACCATCCCATATGCCCATCACACACCCTTCGCCAACGAAGATAGATAGCACAGAAATATAAGAGAAGATAAAGAAAAGAAAAGAAAAGAAAAAAAGATCGATCAAAAAGCCGCGCCCTCGACTCCTAGGCCGCTGTAGTTACATGTCCCTTCGTCCTCGGCCCCCGGATAGATACAGTGGTGGAGGGGGAGATGGTAAGGAAGGGGAATGGATGATGTAAATCACGGGATGCAAAAATATAGTGGTTTGGCGTTTAGGTATGTCCGTTCAGGAGAGGACTGCCGTCTTCGCTTCGTACTTCGCCCTTTATCGCGTCGTTGGTTTGGGTGCTCGTTCCGTCGGAATCGCCATCTTTGCCGCAGCCTTTGACCAGAATATGTCGCTGGGGATTTGTTAGCATAAGCTCGCGAAATAGGCTATACACGCCAGTTTCGTGTGTGGGTTATAACATACCTTCAGTGCATCTTTGCGGGAAAAGCTCTTGTCGCAGTGAGAACAGGGAAATGGTTTCACAGCCAGATGAATACGCTTATGTCGCTTGAGATCATGGTTGCGATTGAAGCTCTGGGGGCACTGGTCGCATTTAAATGGACGATCTGGGGCAGGCGCAGCCATACCATGGGGTGGCATGTGTCCGCCATATAGATGTTGTGTGTTCGCCACATGTCCACTGTTGAAACCAGGTAAGATTCCGGGCTGCATACCTCCCATCATAGCCATGGGGCTATTCGGACTGTGCACGTTTGTCATAACCGGTCCGTTCATCGCGGGTAATGAATAAGAAGGCCATGGTTGGCGGGGATAGCTCAAATGCGGTTGACCCGATGGGCTTTGTGGATGCATGCGTCCTTGGTGGTTCATTCCGTAACCTGCAGATGCGAGAGAATGGGCTCCGTATATAGGTGAGAAGCCTGGTTGGTGCGGGGTGTTCAGTTGGTGTGGGGTGCCGTAGATTGAAGGGTGTTTGTGCGCATAAGGGTCGTTGGAAGGTAATGGTGCGGGAGAAGTGCCGTGACCAGATGGATATAATGCCATGGTCGCGGGATGTGATGCATTTGGGGGGAGACTTGAAGGTGGCGCAGGTAAGCCTTGTTGAAATGAAGCCAATGAAGGCGCCTCAAATGGTTGTGGAAGTCCGTCTGTGGTGGGGGGAGATGTCACTCCGCCGCGGCCGATCGAGCCCGGAGAATAAGCAGGACGTTGTTGATAACCCGGGTTGACCCCAGAAGCCCAATTCTGGTTCACAGATCCCGGCGCAGCGGTACCATATGGACTTGTCCCTGACCAATATGAAGGAGCTAACTCGGAGGTGTGATGTGCTGTCGCTGATTCTCCGGACTGATTTGTCGCAGGTGGGGTGAGAAGGTGACCCACGGCCACGTTGGCGGCTGACTGGTTTGTTTGTTGATGATTTTGTTGAGCGGCAAATTTGGATATGACCCCACCAGGTAACCCAAATTGTGGCGGTGGAAGCTCAAAGCTCGGTAGCGTGGGAGCAGCAGGACGCCGACTCACTAACGGCTGGGAAGACAAACCGTCCAAGGTTGTCCCCATGGGGGCTGGGACTGCAAGAGTTGCCAGGTTGACGGATGGATCGCGCGGTGGACCCGGGGCGTAGAGATCGGATTCGGATAACGGTTGATGGTGGAGATGCACGGGAAGAGCTGCAAAATTATGTCCTGAAGTTATCGTCCAGTCTCGACCACCAGAAAGGGCCCCCGAAGGGATCGAAGAATCCAGGAGGGGCGACTGTCGATCGCTGTGTGTCGCGACCGGGGGGGGAAAGAGTGGAGCTGGAGTCGAAAGACTCGGAGCGATCTCGGAATTTGGTTTTTTTCTTCTTCTTTTTGTTCTGGAAGGTGAAAAAAAAAAAGGAGGCGGTTTGGCGGGAGGGGGGAGAGATGAAGAGGAGGAAGATATTATAGAGAAGACCCGACTCGAAGAACGGGAGTTGAGTGTATTCGGAGGTTTCTTTTTCGGAGATTCTTCGTTTCTGGGGGCTTTTTACCACCCTGGAACTAGAAGGTTAGGAAGAAAGAAGAGTCGAGTCGACGGGTGAGGATGAGGGTGAGGGTGAGGAGAACGCGGGACTTTGAGGAGGTGAGATAAAAGGTCACGGTCTAGGTAGGCGCGGGAAGGGCATGGTCTCGTAGATAGAACCAGCAAGACCAATCAACAGGAGCAGAGGTAGAAGAGACAAGAGTAGAGTAGGTCAATCGTAGTAGAGGGATAGAGAGATAGAGATAGAGATAGAGGGGGAAGAGAGAGGTGGAGGCGAAAAGATCAAGAAAACAGCCGTGGCGTTGGGGGAGGCGCAGAAGAAGCGCGGGGAGGACTCAAGGCAATTATATAGAAGAAAAGGCGATAAATAAGGGAAATAAAGGGAAATAAAATAGAAAAGAAAAGGGTAAAAAAAGCAGTTTAGGGATCCACGGGCGACTGGGGTCTGGGCCAAGCGTGGGGAACAGACAGAGAGGGAGAGAGAGACAGTCCTGGGAATCAGAGATAATGAATAATAAATAAAATTATAAATTATAAATATCATATTATATTATATTAATCAGAATAAGGGTATTTAAATACTGAGCTGTAATAATATTATAAGCGTGAATAGAGAAAGGTGCAATAATAAGAGAGATTATAGGTAAAGAGACAAGAGATAGAGTAGAGCATCAGCAATGCACTGTCTAGGAGCTAACGCTAATTAAAAGTACAATTAAGGGCAGAAATAGGAAAAATACCAAATTCCATCCAAAATTGGAACAGAAATATGGGGCCACGTCCGAATCCACTAAGATAAAAACTCATAACAGTGAGAAAGACAACGTGGTTGACAGGCCCTAACAGTCCAGTCCCCGGTTGGCCGTTCCGAACTGAAATCGAGATCGGCTGTATCACTCGATCGATCGCCACTCTACAGAGGCGAGAGAGTCTAGAATAATGAATAGATTCTGAAGATTTCTATATTTTGTCTCTTTCTATTCAATCTTTTCTTTTACTTATGCACTCTATGTACCTAGGAAAGGGGAGGAATTTGGTTTTCTATTTTCTATTTTCTATTTTCTGTTTTCTATTTGTTCCCTCCTTGCGTCCGGAGAACAAATAAAATACGGGAACTGAATTAGAGTGAAGATAAAATACGAAATACATGAATTAGACTAGACTCGACTAGACTAGACAACATTGGACATAAGAATAAATACTTACTTTAGTTTATTGCTCTACACTATATGGACGGAATGATAGACGACATTCTGCTCAGAACTACGGTAGACTAGGATACTAGTATCCTACCTAATATATCTAAATATCTAAGCCCCTTCCTCCATATCAGATACTCTTTAATTAATTATGCGAGCAAGAGTATACAATTACTGTCCGCTGTTCAGATGTATTTCCCAATGCCATGTCAGAGTCCCACGCACAGACCCGGAATGAACGAGCAAATACGAGACCCGTGGGAGTCTGGGCACTCCTGGACTATCCGGCGCGTCCCCGGGTAGAGGCAAGCGAGCTGGGCCATCACTGATTCGCTGGAGCCACCCGGACTGACTGGTCCCAGTGAGTCCCCATCGCTAATTTAGTTTAGACTCTGCATGCTTCGGGTCACCTGCAATGAAAATAAAAATAAGAATAAAAATAAAAATACAAATTACAGAAAAATACACCTGTACCCATCGAATGAGTGCTGCCCCTTTTCGCCCCCAATACCCGAGCAAGAGGACAAATTAAATTGCTTTTCGCGACAGTGTCAGGAGCACTAGGGATTAGACGAACATTAATATAGTATGCACAAACAGAAATAAATAAATAAATAAATAGAAAAAAATAGAATAGAATACAGAAAAGAGAAAAAAGAAAAGAAGAAAGAGGGGAAATTTCATCAGATCCCGAATGATTGGTGCTTTGATCCCCCCGGGTTCGCCGAAGTGCTCTCTTTCATCTCGATGCGGCTCAATGATTGGTGGTGATAGAGGTTCCCTTGACCCTCGCTTCTATTCTTCTTCTCTTAGTTTCTATTTTATACTTAGACTAGTATGGACTCTGTCTAGTTTAGTACAGTATATCTACTACTCTGCACTTACTAGCACGCAATCATAATTTTATTTGTTCCAGTGGCAAACCAAGGTCTCTCTCAAACTCTGCCCGCATCCATTCCCCGGTCCGTGTCTCAACCTTCTTAATTCGGGATATCACTGCAAAAAAGAAAAGAAAAAGAAGAAAAAAAAAGAAAAAAACCTAAAACTCAGTGGGTAAACACCCAGTCTAGCTTCCTTGAGCTAACTCCGGAACTAAACATTGGCGCGTGCGATCGGGGTGGCGTTCGGAAATGGCACCGTGATGAAGCACTCCACACGAGTCAAATTTACTCTTCGCTTCAAAAGCCCTGTCCTTCTCTGCTTATCGCCCAATCACACGGCTTTTGCCTGCCATGCACGGACTCTGATAGATGCTTACTGTACAGATGGCGGATACTGCCACGGTTGCTTTTGCTTTTACCCGTGGAGATGGTTTTACTATGGAGTGGACTAGATGGAGTGCCCTGTCGATCCCTTAACATGAATCATGAATCATGAATGAATGGATGGACCTTACACTATGAAGCAAAACTATCTTTCTTTCTTTTTCTTTTTCTGTATTGGGGAAAGGAACCCATAATTAAACAATTGTATCAAAATAAGACGGAGTATTATCGCTAATTCAAATAATTAATGATCTATCGCTCCGTGCCCAGCTTAGTGCGTAAAATGAAATGCCAAACTACCGAGTACGATAGCCTCGCTTCAACTGTCGACTGCATCTACTGCAGGATACCGCGATCGGGTCCGCAAGAACTTGAACTACCAGGTCACTTCCTCCGCCCCCGGTCTAGTTCACGTCCATTCCCAGGGGTAAATGGAAGAGTTGAAAGGCATGTGAGGACCTGCGCAGTGTAAGTCTCATTACTGGAGGTCACCCCTTTTCTCTTTTTCTTTTCCCTTTACAAGGTCACATTCCTGAGGGGGGTTAGGTTATCGCTTCCGTTCTTTGTGTCCGGAGGATTTAACGATACTTTCACCGGTGGAGTTAGAAGACTAGTAGGTAACTATGGTTAAAACTTATTAATAATATTATTATTCATTTTACTCCTTTTTGGGGGCGAAAACAAAACAAAAAAAATACAACGGAGTCTCGGCACATAGTTCCAACGAGAATAGCTCACATTAGTGTGAGACAGACAACTCACCATTCTGATTTAAAAAGGAAGAGAATAAAAAACAGAGAAAAGACGAAAGAACATTATTATCCCTTATGTACAGTACTTCGTACATAACGAAAGTCTAGTACTAGTAGTACTTACAGTACATTGTGCAGCTAGTCACACTGTATACTGTATACAGTATACCACATACTATCCCAACCTCGGGTTATCCCTACACCCTGAGTCCATAGATCATCGCTGTTCTCTCTGGCCCACAGCCGATTTGCTAACAGTCCCAGTCTCATGCAAGGCGGCTCAATGTGACAGCGCGAGTGGATCCACCCTGTTCTATCCGGGCTCGAACCATGCGATCGTCGCCTGCGTCGGTTCCTGCCGGTTGTGGCTGAGCGGCGAGCGTTGGCGTTGGCGTTCATCGTGGATTATGCCCTGAATCAGGGAAATGGTCTGTACCTCAGGGCTAGACAATGGTGATCTTGCCTCTGGAAAGGATTGCGGGAGATCTGCGGAGGGTTGGCTATGTACTTTAAGTTACTAGGCTGGATCAGTCCACGATCGGTGGGTGGTGGGTTGGTGTAGGTGGGTATGGCTGTTATTTCTTTTTTAAAGATTCTTTTTGTCTTTTTTTTTGTTTTAAGTGTATTTTATTTTTGGATTTTTGGTAGGGAGTTGGTTTTGGGTCTTTCTTTTGGGATTTGGGCTGGTTTAGTTCAAGTTGGAGTCTGTTACTTTTGTATGTTATGTGGGTTATGCACGTTGCTTTAAGCTTCTGTTTCTTGTTCTGGTTAATTATTCTGTGTAATGTTTATTGTACTTTTGGCTTTTCTTTTATTAATACTAGCACTGGCATGATCCGCCTAAGCGAGCAGTTTGAGTCTAAACTTATGAGCTGTCGAGCCCTGAGATGATCTATCGTGCATCCGTGCATGTATACAGATCGACCGTGGCAAGTGGCAAATCTATCCTGAACTTGAACCCAGCCTGAGAGGAGCATCTTGAGCCGCGATACCTATCATATTCCTGCTGTCAACTTGTTCCCTCGTTGAATCCTGCAAGACTCGAGCACGGGGTGTCATCTTTGTGGAACATCTTGGCCGAATCATATACAATGGATCTAGTAGTCACCTGGACTAGGCAGTGATCAGCTTGAGTTTTGGCTTGCGATTTATTACATACATAAAGCTTGGAGGTAACAGCTCTGCTTATATGCTCGTCAGCACTTGGAGACACATTCGAACGCTGGAATATTCAAGTTGTAATACCTCGACTTTTGTGTTGTGCTGTGTTGTGTTGATCTAGTCGGCTATATGCTTTTCCGTCGGCTAATACATATCACCGTATAGAACAACTTCACCGCTTCAGAAACATTACACTCGTGATGTTGAATAATTGATATACATATATCGTTGTATAGAGCTCGTGCTAATGCATGGGTCTCCTGGCTTTAATCCCGATCGGCTCTATTCTTTAGTGGCTGATCTGGATCGATCTGATTCGGAATTGTGAATATACTCCGACTTCGGGATCGGAGAGATTCGACTGGTTGTGCGCATTGATCATGTCAAGTGATCTTGATCTGAGTAAAGGGAGAATACACATGACCGGTTCAATCAAATAATTGAGGTTGTGTAAATCAAGAATATCCAAATCTAAAATGGGACCTTCTATATGGTGTTCTATGCTGTAACTTGTTCATTGCCGAGTTGGCCGAATGACGTCGACCTCGGCGGGGTTCACAAATGCCCGCATTTCGTTTTTCCCTCGTCTTCAACTCTTGCACTACCTGATCAGCCAAAAAAAAAGCTTGACTCGTTTACAATCAGGTACGACAACCTTTATCCTTGCCATTGAATCTCAATTCTTACTAAAACACCCCTCTACGATAGCTCTTACCTCTAATTTACCCCCCGCGACCGATTATATTCAGCAATCATGTCCGGAATCAGCAAGGCTTGTTGCTCGTATGCCCCTCCTCCATCTGTGCAGATGCTAGAGCCTAGCTAACCTCCTCTAGTATCCCCCCTGTCGTATCTAAGGGATACCAGGCCAAGGGCTCCTACCAGACTATCAATGGCTTGAAGACATGTACGCGATGGAACACCCCACGTCCAGCGATCGGAACAATAACTGACCAATGCAGACGTTACTGGCCCTGAGACTGCCACCAAGGCTATCTTGCTTGTCTACGGTGAGTTCAATCATCTCATCTCATCTCATCTCATCTCCGACAAGTAGCATCCCTTGACTAATTATCAATGCGGCGTAGACATCTTCGGCTTCTTCGACCAAACCATCCAGGGCGCCGATATCCTCGCCAACTCCGCCGAGCAGAAATACAAAGTCTTCATCCCCGATTTCTTCGAGGGCAGTCCCGCCGATATCTCCTGGTACCCACCAACCACAGACGAGCACAAGAAGCTCCTCGGCGAATTCTTCTCCACCAAAGCCGCCCCGCCCAACAGCCTGCCTAAGATCCCTAAGATTGTCGAGCAGGCTAATGCCCTCGCTCCCAACGGTGCCTTTGACTGGTCTATTCTCGGCTTCTGCTGGGGTGGAAAGATCGCTGCGCTCTCTGTTGCGGGTGATAATCAGATCTTCAAGGCTGGTGCTCAGTGTCACCCTGCTATGGTTGATCCTAATGATGCAAAGACTATTAAGGTCCCCTTTGCTGTGTTGGCTTCGAAGGATGAGCCTGCTGCTGATGTTGAGGCTTTCAAGGCTAATTTGAATGTTCCTACTCATGTCGAGACTTTTGGAACTCAGATTCATGGCTGGATGGCTGCGAGGTCGAATTTGGATGATGAGGAGAATAAGAAGGAGTATGAGCGTGGCTATAAGACTATTCTTCAATTCTTTGGGCAGCATGCGTAAGAGTTCTGTTTAGTGATTTGTTGGGATAGTTAATGAATGGAATTAGATCTACGCCGTTGAGGAATCGACTATAAGCTCTATCATGGTGCATTTCCAGTTGTAAAGTTGATGTGGGAGTGTGGGACTCGGTACTGAAGTAGATCGGACCGGGAGCCTTCCCGTTGTTGTCTCGCCGGGCAGGTTTGATAGATGTCCCTATGGAACGGGGAGCTGTGCGAGAATGGCTATTTTACATGCCAGGGGTCAACTTGCTGTTGGGGAAAGGTTTCATCACCGAAGTATTATTGGGAGTAGCTTTGAGTGTTATGTTCGGGGGACGGCGAAGGTGGGAGAGTATGATGCTGTTTTGCCGACTGTTAAGGGGAGTGCTTGGGTTTATGGACGGAAGCAGATGTGTTTGGATGAGGAAGATCCTTTTCCGGTTGGATTTCGAGTTGGGGATCAGTGGCATATTGGGCAGGATTAGTTGATTTAGACTAGTGTGTAGGTGTCTTTTTGGGAAGTGCTGGACTTCAGCTTTTTCCAAGGTTGAATGGGCTTGTCTCAATAATTCTCAATCATCATGAACATAGTAATCGCGTATCTGGCAAAGTTTCGCTAGAATACCTTGGGTTTATACTTTTTCGCAGTAAGAAAAGCTGTGTGGGTCTCTTCTACATAAGAGACCCCAGCCTCTGGCATGGGCTTCCTCCCTCCCTCTCTCTCTCCATGCGTTCCATACGGATGTGTCTAGCAGTAATGCCTCATAAGCCGCACATAAGCAATGTATCTTTACCTAGTGCATAAAGCGCTTTGGGGTCCGTAGGATGACAACCAATAAGCGTTAAGCCGCATGGGCCCTCTTTCACTGGGCACCTCCTGTTTGTCACCCAATAAGGAGAGCAATAAACCTCGATTCCAAAATAAATTCAAACAAGAAGATACATCAAGAGTCTAAGTTGGAGTATCATGGAAATAACACTAGTATTTCTCGCTCCATGATCAACACTATAAGGATCACTCACGCCGATATGCACACATATGGAACCATTGGCATGGCCGTAAGGCAGCCAGTTCGGGCAGAGCTGCATAACTAGCCGCCGCCCCATCTCTGCAACAAAACTGATAGGCCATCATTTCCTGGCACATGACCTTTCGCTTTAGACTCGAATGAGGCTGATCGTTTCAGCTCTTGTTTGCGACCGCTATGAACCTCTTTCCTCGCTGCTTCTTGTCAAGCCATTCCCACACCAGTGCTCATCATGTCTGGCCTTGAAGCTTTCAGTCTTGCCTGCAATATCATGACAGTAATCACCTTTGCCTTGGATACTGCGAAGGTATGTCGCACCATCCGCGAAACCGGCAGTTCCGATAAATATCTCCAAGAAAACACTGACGACATCGAACGTACTTTGAACGATGTGCATCGCCTGCTGCAACAACAACCGACCGCCCCAACAAAAGCTGAGATTAATCTACGAAATCTCGCTACGAAGTGCATGAAATACAATGAAGACATTCAGAAGGAGCTGAAATACATTTCTCCCAAAGATTCTACACGCCGCGCGGCCATTAATTCTACTTTCAAAACTATCAAGCGAAGGTCTCACATTGAGGAGCTCAAAAGTCATCTGGAAGCCGCACAGAAAACTATGGATTCGGCTCTCAGCGTCCAGATATTAGACGAGTGTATGAAGTCTAAAGCCTTGAACCTTGTTACATACAGCACCCTTGATCAGCAGCATAAAGACTTCCTCGCCAACTACAAGCAGGTTCAGGGCATCTTTGCCGAGTTCGACGCAACTAAAGAGAGTCAAGCCTACGAGACATTACTCAAAAGTCTGAGATATAAAAATATGAATGATCGAAAGAATAGCATTCCACAGAGACACAAAGAAACTTTTGAATGGATATTTGAAAACCTTGGTGACAACTCTGAAGATGCAACCACGCCTGATATCACGACAACCGAGGTGGTGATCATACCATATGAACACGAAAAAGACACCAAAAACTCAGACAGTCACCCTGATCTAGTTGAATGGCTCCGGACAGATGCCAATTTTCTGTACTGGGTTAGTGGAAAACCTGGATCTGGCAAAAGTACATTCATGAAGTTCATAGAACAGGATCAGCGGACAAAGAAAGCCTTGGAAAGCTGGTATCCACAGTGCAACATCATCTCTCACTTTCTCTGGAAGCCTGGGACAGATGAACAGCAGAGCTTAAGGGGACTGCTTTGCTCTTTACTACATCAGGTTTTGGCCAATGAGAGGCCTATTGCTATTCAGCTTTTGGCCAAAACGCCAACCCTCAGCCACAAGCGGTTTGTGACTGACTGGGATATACATGATTTAACGGAGCTCCTCTTTCGAGTCTTAGACAGCTCGTCTTGCGCAAATCTTGTTCTTTTGGACGGGCTAGATGAACTTTCTGAGCCCCATGGAGGGGTTAACAAGCTATTTCACCTGTTGAACCGATTTGTGGCAGCGGATAGAGTAAAGCTTTGTGTTTCTAGTCGCCCTGAGCCTCGTTTCGGGATCAAGTTTGCTTCAAATCCTTCAATACGCATGCAGGATTTAACGCGTTCGGATATCCGCAAATACACCGCCGACTTTCTCAAAGACCTACAGCTTAGTCCTGAGGATGAGCTATATGAGAAGATTCAACAACAAATTGGGGATAAAGCGGAGGGCGTTTTCATCTGGGTTTATCTCGTCCTAAGGAATGTCAAAAGCGGGATCGAAGATTACGCTGAAAGTTGGGACGACATATACCACCGTATCGTCAAGCTTCCCCCGGATCTGATGGCTCTTTACAAAGATATGTGGTCTAGATTGTCTGGCAATAACGAGAAATACATCAAGAAAGCAGCGCGATACTTCCAGTATGTTCGCAGTGGACCCTTTGAGTCCAGCATTGCCTTTCTTTCTCTAATAGCAAATGATGAAAAATTGGAAGCTCTTGCAGCACCTGACGAGTCTCCTTGTGCCGATGATTTGATTGAAATTTGTGAAGCGACCTTCAAAACATTGTTGCCAGTTGCCGCCGGACTCTTAGAGGCCGGAAACGTAAACTTGGGCAAATCACCTGATTTTCGGTCTGAAAGTGAGCGCAAAGTTTATAAGTGGGAGTCCTTGGACGTGCAATTCATACACAGAACTGCTAGCGACTTTGTAGAGAGTGCAGAAGGGAAGGAGCTTTTTGCAAGGTACACACTAAACCCGGAGGGCTGGTCCTTATTAGGCATCAAAGCTGAGATAACCCTTCGTTCTGCGACGCGCTATCAGAACTGGCCTCTGTTTCACACGTGGTTTGCCATAAACGTAACATACGATAGATTATTATGTGAGCATTCCCATATTTTGCCCCTGGTCCACCAATACGCCTTGAACGAATCTCGAGGGCTCGTCCGACCACCATACTCGATAAGTTACCAGAACTTCTTCCTCTTTGAAGCCTCGTACTTTGGATTCCACAAAGATGTTGTTCACATTCTAGAATCGTCGGAGAGCCGCGATTCGCTTGCTTCAGTTTATGTTGTGATCGGGGCATGCTGCGAGCTCCGGAAAACTTCATTCAATCGGTACGGAATGATCCGAGATCAGTTGAAAATATACTTGAGGTTTGGCAATGAAGCTCTGGGCCCGCCTGTTGTTCGGGCTGCATTTGATGTGTTGATGATCGCTTGGCGTTGCTTTCTGCTACACGAAATATCACGGCAGAAGATAGGACGAAAAGCGAACGGCGATGAAAAGCCGATAATTAAAGAAATTTTGGAAATCTTTATCAAGGCTGGTGTGATGGCCGAGTCACCAGGGGCCAAATACTTGATTGCGGCACAAACTGGCAGGTTGAAGATTGTGAAAGATCCCGCTGATCAACAGTCAAAACTCGGCTACAAATGCAGATCACCTCAACGACCCAGGTATGGATCGGCGATATACACAGAGGTCAACGATGCATTCCTCCTACAACTACTGTCGAGCATGATTCCTGGAACATCGGAACTCATACACACTCATGTAAGGGGTGCCTTCATGCAACCAATTTTGGCCAACAACGGCATGAGGGGAGCGAACAATGGCTTCAATTTCTTCAAGTTAACAACCGATGCGGAGGGACAAGAATCCTCAAAAGACTGGATTTTTGGTGGGGAGCTTCGTTTTGATGATGATCTCTTTGCCGACAAACAACCTGACTATCTTCAAGTGACAGATATAGGGGGGTTTTCAGATACAGTCGACGCCCTAGAGAAAATTAACTATGAATTCCCGGCAGTGAATAGAGGATATGACTGTCTGCATACTTGGATTAATTGAAGTAGACAACGCCGTTTCCCAAACACTAGGAAACACAACTTGAACTTCATATCTCAACAACAGCCAAATTATTTCATTTTGTTTTTTCTAGTAGTTTAATTTGATTAGAGTAAGATATTTTTTGCTTGGGCAATTTACCTTATTATTACCTACGATGAAAGATCTATATTGAACTATTTTTTGCTAAATAGCTCTAATGATCTATAGTAGATCTGGGCCTGAAGGGGAGGATAATCAGCCAGATGTTGTGTAGATGCTTTCCATATAGAATAGGGAATTGGCCCATACTAGTAGTAGTACATTGATCTACGCAGTACTAGGCAATTGGCACGTTGAAATATTTTTTTCCTATCATAATCCAGAATACTGTTTCGCATCGATTATCTTTCTTGGGTGAAAAACAAATAGAATCCCAACATTTTCACCTTTCCTTGGTTGTATCTTCTCATCAATTGATTCATTCAACTTCCCCATCATTTTATAAGTATCATTATGATTTCCAGCAAGAAAAGACAAGACTAATCTCTTTTCGCATCGGAGACTGGAAACTGTTTTCTTCTCATCTGATTGTTAGGTCTTTGCATGGTATCTTGTCTCTTCGCTTGTTAGCACACCCACAAGGACGGAGCTTGGCATCTAAGATGTTGATCCAGTCGCATTTCAGGTGGCAGTAATAGTCTGGTTAAAGTATAACCCCCCACTAACACTAATAACACTTCCTGTAACCCATCTACTTCCCTCCTCACATAGAAAGGCCACGGCCTGCGCAATATCATCAACCTCTCCAACCCTCGGAGCAGCAGATGTATTCTGGATCGTAGGCTCCCACGCCTTCAACACCTCCGGATTCTTGATACTTCTAGCCCAAAGCTCAGTATTGACCGGTCCAGGACTAACACAGTTAACCGTCGCGTTGTATTTCTGACCAAGCGCCCGAGATAGTGACCGCGTTACACTTTCAATTCCACCTTTACAGGCTGTATAGGCAAGACAACCTGCATGTCCATCGCGCGAATAGCTACTCGACAGATTGCCGTTATTTGGCGCTTGAAGGTCTCGTGCGTCATGTCTTCGAAGTCATAGTCTTCTCGTGCTCCGGCGTTCTTCACTATTATGTCGATTTGGCCCCATTTATCAACTGCTGCTTGGACAATTGTTTGGGGTGCGGAGAGGTCGTGTCCGTCTGCTGCTATTGCGATGGCAGTTACGCCGTGTTCAAGTTCTAGTTCTGAAACGACTTCTTCTGCTTGGGCTTTTGCGCTTTGGTATGTTATGAGGATGTTGGCGCCGCGACTTGCGAGTTCGTTGGCGATTCCCTTGCCGATTCCTCGTGAGCCACCGGTAACAATTGCATTTTTGCCTTTGAGAGACTCGGGCTTGTTGGATGACATCTTGGCTGTGGTATACTATTTATAACCCTGGAGATGGTTCGGCTGAGATAGGATGCGCTGGTTAAATTGACCACCAACAGCAGATTCGCAATTTCCTCGGATGAGAATCGGCGAAGAAGCTGTGAGGAAATTGTTGCAATGTTAAGAATAATATCTTGCAGATTGCGCGGGTGGGTTGCTCATCACTGAAGTGGGTATTCTTACGGCTTCGCTGCCGATTTTCCATGCTGCGGAGATATTCCCGGGTAGTGTAGCCGTAGTGTTTGTGCTTCAAGTTGACATACAATGAAATGAATTCAAGCTTATGTCTACTTCAAATTTTGTCTAAAAGACTTGCTTTACTTGTAATGTGCTAGATATTCATGATCTTCTTTCCACTGAAGACTTGTTTGGAAGAGAAGAGCATGTAAGCGTCTCGAATGGTCAGATATGTGATCACCAGGCCTCGGGGTGTTTCCGAAACGTCTTGAAGCGTTGCATTTCATTGTTAAATGTATATACAGGTCTTGTAATCTGTCTTGGAATGGCTGTCCAAATAGACACATTATATTGGGTTCATAACTGGAACGTCTCTGAACCATGTTCTGGAGCCGCTCATGCATTGGGTTTATGGGTATGTAACTGGGTGTCAATATGTATACAAAGATCGATCTTCCGCGAGCTTTTCATGAAAAAAGCGAGAGAAATTCAATGTCCTCCAGCTCATGGTCCAAGGTATTAGAGATGGGCTGTTCAAATATCTCTTGGATGGACTGGCTGCGACCGGTAGGTCTCAATACGCCATGGCCTTGTTTGCTCGGGTGCGACAATAGTGCCCGGCTTGACATTATAGTACAAATCTCAGACCAACTGTCTAGAGCAAAGGCTCGTAAAATCTCCTGGTTGTTGAAGGGTGCCTGTGAGATTCATCAAGGGCGCAAGTAGGTTTATATGCGATGGTATCAGGTCACACATCCATGATTATGAATATGTATATGTTCACGGCCCAGGCCCATATGACAGAGCTCCTTTGAGCACCTTCGTCACGCCAGACGAGGCTCGGCCCATTTCTCCACCTTCTTCACGGGCGGCCTTCAGTCCCCGATCAATGGAAGGGAAAAACCGAGTCGAAAAGACACGGTATCGGTCCTCGCGCTTCTCATACATCTCCCCCTCCTCGTCGCGCGGTTGGCCAAAAAGGTTCAAGTACGCATAGGGCGAAGCTGATTCTGAAATCATATGATGTTCCGTCTGGCACAATGGAAAAGGCCAAGCGGAAGAGGGTCCATCCCCACCATTGGCATCACCATTGGCGTCCATGTTTGCGCCCGGCTCTCCAATTCCCGCTTCCAGGAAATCTGCCAATGCACCCAAAACCTTCACCATGGGTTTACCTTTGTTGCCGGATTTTCCAAATGAGGCCCGAGTAGATGACCAGCGTGCTGATTCTTCTGTATGCCAGCCCAACACTGACAAGAAGCAATTTAATGTCTTGATCCACCCGCCCGCGCATGAAACTACCTGTTCACCTGCGGCGTCGACTAACCAGGAGAGGATTTCGACGGCGCTGACGCGAATATCAGGCGCAAGATGGGTCATACCTGCGCGAACATAGGGTAGGAGCTGGAGGACATGATCCTGGATGTCGGAGCGGGGAAGTGTGCGCAGAAGTTTAATGAGCTGAGTGCGTACGGCATTGCTTGCGTCGAGGAGAAGAGGGAGGAGGGAAGGAAGCATGACGCTGACTGGTTGAGGGAGGGGAGAATTGACCGGTCGGGAAGCAATGGATGTTGTTAAATGAGCGAGTGAATCGCGGCGCTGGCTGTCGGTCTTGGAGGTGAGGAGCGAAAGGTGGTGAGCGAATACGGAGTTGGATGATGGGGCGGTAAGTTGAAGTGATTGTTGATTTAAAACGATTGCTGGGAGACATCATGTAAGTCACTGTTAGACCTTTTTCAAGGAGAATAATTGCCTACATTTGGACTTGAAGCTGGTGTCGGTGAAGTTCTCGGGTTTGGCCCTGGCCTTGCCAACCTTGAGTTTAGGTTTCTGTGAAAGTCAGTAATTTGTCTCACTTGAATTAGAGTGATTGATTCTTACTTGAAAGTCTTGCTGCTTTTCCTTCTTTCTCTTAGCGCTGGCACCCATGATTGCGGTGATTGGACTTAGATGCTGGACACCTTGAAATTCTAAGCCCGCGACATTTTTTTGACTATCAATGGACCCACGTGATCGATGCTGATAACGGCCTGAGGCATTAACATTCCGTAAAGGGTAATTAGAAGTATACAATTTAAAAAGAAATATTCTGGACTAACTATGGGCATACTGCTATTATTTTGGAAACTTTTTGGTAAAGTCGTAGAGACTATTATCAATCCTGCTTTCTGATTCATTGTGATGGAGAGCTAGATATATCCATACCCTACCCATGAAGTAGAACTTGGCAGGATAATCACAGCAATATTAGACTATGAATTGATTTTAAGTCAATAAATCGAGTCTGAGTACACGAGAGGCTTCATTAATACCGGAGTATGAGGGTCTTATTTCCATGCTCCTCTTGATAACCATCGGACTAATCATGAAAGCAACCTGCAAGAGTATGGAGGTCTACACAGCAGCACAAACATTATACTGGGTAGGACATATTGGTGTAACGTATGTTATTGAGATTATGATCGCCGATATGACCTGATCCTTCTTCCGTTCAGCATTGCCCAATATGCTCCAAAAGGATGGGCCAGTGGATACATCATAGCAATGGAAGTTCTTGGTGTCGCCTGTATCCCGGCTTTCTACTACTGGGAGCTATTTCTTTCTCCGGTACAAATTCTTCCGTGGAAGTACTTGAAAGAACCGACAATAATCGGGTCTAGTCTTTTATACTGCTTTATGTTCGCATCATACGAGTGAGTTTCAAACCTTTCCCCCAGGCTTTCAATTGATATATTTGCAGCCTCCTTAATGCCTTGTTAACTTTTGAAATAGCGTTTGGAATGCCTACTTCGGCTCTTTCCTTCAAGTTGTGAAAAGACTCGACATCACATCGTCAAGCTACGTGGTTTCCATTGTCTCGCTTACATCCTTCGTTTTCAGTCCTATAATAGGCTTGTAAGAAATCATATATCTCAATCAACTTCAAAGATCTATCTAACCCATCTAGACTTATTCGGGTTGCCGGTGAATTTAAATGGACAGCCATGGCAGGAATCCCAATCTTTCTTCTCGGAACAGCTCTCCTCATCCCATTCCGCGAACCAGACACCGATCTAGGCCTCATAATAATGACCCAAATATTCGTCGGGCTAGGCTCCTGCATATTCTCAGCCTGTGGCCAGCTAGCCGTCATGGCTGTGGTTACGCACCAAGAGATAGCTATCGTTTTAGCTATCTGGGCCTTGTTCGGCTCTATTGGTGCTTCTGTTGGATATGCTATTGCCGGTGACATGTGGCATGTGGAACAATATTCTTGAATCGGAGATACGTGAAAGGTTGCTGGATGAAAGTAAGAACTTAGCCGCGAGTATTTTTGAGAGTCTTGTTACACAGTTATCGTTTCCGGATGGGAGTCTAGAGCGAGGGGCTATTGTTGGTGCTTATGGGAATCTTCAGAGGAAGATGGTTATTGTGGGGGTTTGCCTTGTTCCTCTTTGTATTGTTTGTACTTATGCGTGGCGCAATGTTAATGTGAAGATGACAGCTCACCAAATATTGCCCGACGTCTGCTCCACCAACAACCTCTTCACATTAACATGCTTGTTCGATATTAATAGGCACAATACATACATGTGGTAAGACAGGAAAAATAGTCGACGCTGGCAGCTTTCGAGGTACTACAGTATCATGATGATTATATTCTTCATTTCACATATTTTACAAGATCTTGAATCCAAGAGCATTGAACTTGAAGTTCCCAAGCCAAACATACCATATCACGATATGTACTAGTATCTCTACCTAGCTCCCCCCTAATAAGAAGTTAGTTCCACAAACTTTGAAGGACGAAGGTAATTCCCCGATTCAAGATGAGTCTTACCGCGCGATCCACCCCCCAAAGCCTTAGCAACAAGTTCATGAACAGTTCCCAATACAGACTGCGGCTCCTCCTTTACTCCTTTAATATCATCGCCCTCGTCTTCATCTAGAAAGTGATCCTGTGCAGAGGCTGGCGTATCTGACATGCGACGAGTTGTAGCTCGAGTGTCACCTGTATTCAAAAGGTAGAGAGTTAGTGAAATATTCTTATGCCAAGACAGTATACCCAGTTGGATATTGGTGTTGAATGGAACAATAAAATATAGATACCTGGCTCGAAGGCGCGAGCGATTCTTTCTCGACGACTGCTTGCGGATTGCTTACCGGCGGCGGCGTAGGTGTCTGGTCGACTTATGCTGCTGTCGAGGGGTTCGGTTGGTTCTGAGAATAACGGATATGATTTAGTGTGAGTTCTCCATGTGTTTCAAACTCATAGGGGTGTACCGTCTGTGTTTGCGAATTCATTCTGGGATTTGTTAGTTTTGTTGAGTCTTGACTGTGGCGAGGGGAATAATACTGTGGCAGACATTACGATGCCGGCTTATTTGGAAATATGAGTTGACGGACTTGTTTCATGAGTATAAGAGTGGATTCTTGGTTTAAGATTATAGTAGGCTAAAACCACTACGTGCATTTTGCCGTCGATATGACGTGGAAAGTTTGCCTCACGGCGTTATATGATCTATCCATGGATGGATAGTTCCAATGAATTAGAACATGGATGTGATGTCACTATCTTAGCTAAGTGATTCAAATAGTAGAGTAGATGGGATTGAAAGCTAAGTAGCTAGGTATAGATAGACCGGAGACACAGAGTCATATCAATCGTAGTCAAATTGGTCTATAATAGAAATCCCATCATATCAGGGCCTGCTCAGCAGTGCTAAGAAATAGGAAAGGAAAGTAAAAGGTAAGATAAGGTCAAAGTCAGAGTCAAGTCAAAAAGCAAAAGTCAAAAAACCAGAGAGATGCGCACTTCTGCCCGGTCCAGAGTTGCACATAAGAACAAAACAAGGAAAAGCAACCTGGAACCCGGACAGACGCGATTGTATCAATCAAATCACACGATCATGAGAAAACACACGCGACATATCAGATAAAAAAAAAGACAAATATTTGAAAAAGCAGAGACATCAAAGGCATCAAGTATGAAGTGCGAGCCACAAGAACCACCGGCGGACATTAGTCGGGTCGTATGTGTAGACGAGATTAGAGGGGTGGTGGCCAGCTCTGTCATACCAGGACATCGACACAAATGGAAAAGAGATTAAGAGAGAATATCATAAGCCACGGAGATTGTGGAAACGTTTCAAGTGGAGACTTCGATGGAAAGTCTACAGACTCATTGTGAGCCATTCCCATTCTTGGCTGGCACCTTGTCCTCCCGCAATACTGTGGTTGGCAGGGTTTGCAGCTGCCGGAGGCATAGCCGGTGCTAATGGAACAACCTTGGATCGACTAGCAGGCGCGTTTGCCTTGGGACTGTCGTCTCCATCTTGTTCAAATCCACCAGGTGCCTTCTCAATACGGCGCTGCCGTCTAGGAGCCACCTGCACACCTGCACGAGCCTGAGCTACTCCAGCTGGGGGTCCAGCCTTGGGAGGAGCGGCAGCAATAGGTACTACGCCAGGTTTCCCAGAGCCACTGGATCCGGTGATAGCGGGCGGGGACTCAGACATGCTGTTGGCAGCGGCACGGGATATCGTACTGATGGGAGTCTGTGCGATGGAATTCTTGCGGGAAGACTTCTTGGAGGAACGAGAGGTGCCGACTGCTAAACTGCTAGCACTGCCGCGGTTACGCTTCTTGATGACGTCGGTTTTAAGTGACAATGGACGAACGACACCGTGAAGTTTGAGGAACAAACCACAGGCATTGCATAGTGGCTGACCCTCAGGGTTACGACGCCACAGAGGGGTAGTAGAAGTGAAACAGTTGGTGCAGGTGGTTGGGCCGCTATTCGGGTCCCCGTTTTTAGATCCACCGGGACTAGCCGGTCGGGATGGAACGGCGCTGCTGAGACCAGACTCAGGTGGAGTGTTTGGAGATGGGTGGTTTGTTGGAGGCCCGCTCATGGTACCATTCATACTCTGTCGCAAGAGCCCTGGGGCGTTAGGGGTTGAAGCTGTGCGTGGAATCTTCTGCTGACGACGAGGATCATTCTCTCGGTTGCGAACTTCACTGACAGAGGCGGCAGATCCATGTGTACGGCCGAGGCCCCCATTGTAGTGCCAGTCGGTCGGGCTTTCCATCATGTCAGTAGACCCGATGGTGACGTGCTTACGATGCTGGCCATTGAAACCTGGCAGAGACTGAACGGAGCCAGAGTAACCAGCATCCCACCCTAGACCAGGGTTCATATCACCGGTTTCGTCCATCGATGAGAAGTCGTGAGGCATCGCAATACCTCCGCGTTCAAAGGTCTGACCGTCGTCATCCTCGTTATCCGAATCGCCGCCAAATGTAAACATGCTGTTGGTGGCAGGCGCCGTGGACGAATATTCGCCATGGCCTCCCAGCACGTGGGTGGGATCAACATGCTGCTGTGGGATTGAGAACCCCATGTTTGTTGGCGGTCCCGTCACAGGTGACTGGTATTCACCATTGGTGGTGTTATACATCTGACGCGGTTGGAGCGACGCCGACAAGTTAGAAGACCGCTGCTGTAAATAAGCAGGAATACGGCGTGAGTTGTGAGAGTCACCAGTCGAGTTATCGTTGAAAAATACGGATTGCTCTCCTTCATAGATTGGTTGAGGGGTCGACACGGCAGACTGATATCCGGATGGCGGAGGGGAGAAGAACTCGGTGGAGTTAAGAGAAGAGGCTAGTGGGGTTTGCGCATACAGGTTGGAGAAGGGGTTACCGGCAGTCATCGGAGAGTCGGAAGGAGAGAATGTGAAGTGCTGCTGGTAAGGGCCAGCGGAACTGAGGGCGCTCTCATCACCGCCACCGAATGTATCCAGACCGTACGGCAAGCCACCGGACGACACAGTGTGATGGTGATGATGGGGGCCTCGATGGCCGATGCCGTTCGCAGGGATGGCAAAGCCTGGGATCGATGAATGATCGAGGGAATAATCCGGCAGCCCGCCAGCCGACAAGTCGGAATGATGTGCTAACATGGAGTTGGAAACCGGGGGCACATGCGGCGACGACTCTGCTGGGCGTTTTCGTCCAGGTACTGAGAGGCCAGCGAAAAACTGACGCTCATCAACACTCGTTTTTCGGACTCGACGAGCGACATAACCGAACTCGCCGTTCTTGCGCTGCTCCTGTGGGGGGTTTGGAAACGACGCTGCAGCGGCGTTATCGGCCGTTGGCTGGTCCTTGCGCGATTTAATCGGGATCGAAGCAGTGGGTGTCGCGGTGAACTGGCGGTCGGCAGCGGCGTGATGGGATGAATAATCGGCGGGGGAATCAAAGGGAACGATGAAGTCATCCAAGTTCATTGGGTCGGGTGTCGCATCGAGGTTCATGCTGGGGTTCGAGTCTGCTGTCGAAGCCTGGTCGGACAGATGCAACTGCGCAATCCCGCTCGGGGTGGGACTGGCGTTATTCTGATTGGTTTGCGACGATCTGCATAGCCAAGAAGAGAAGAGTCAAAAATGAGCCATCCGCCCGGTCCAAAATGGAAGGTGTTCTTCAAGGGAACGCCAGCTATATCCGGCGAGGGAAGGAAGGGATATTGTATAGAGAAAGAAAATGAGGGACCACCTACCGAGCAAGCTGCTGCTGTTCCCGCTCCTTGCGCTTCAAGTTCATGGCCATCATTCGCCAGGTCAAGTTCTCCATTCGTTCCTGATTGGGCAAGTTGGCTCTCGTCTTGGTGTACAGCCGCCAAATCTGAGCAGCCAAGGGGTCTTGCCGCTGCATCTCATCGGGGTTATCGCCACCGCGCGGGGCACCGCTTTTCCACTCCGGAAAGATCGAGTCATCGAGCATTGTATCCTGTGCAGTCGAACTGTTGGAAGCACTGAAAGGTGAATCGAAAGAGAATTCCTCTGACATCATATGAGGGTCCATATCTGGGAAGGCTGTGGATTGTAATGGCCGGCCTCCCCCGTAACCTCCACCATGGTGTATTCCCTCCATCATCGGGTTCAATCCGTGGGAGGGAAAGGCAGCCTCGTTTGCAAACAAGGCTCGTATAAGTAGATATAAAAGCGGTAGGAGATAAAATAGAAAGAAAGCAACAGGTTAAATTGAAATTTGCCCCGGGTTTAACACAAAAATGGAGACCTTTGCTCCGGGGGGAGTGGGTTGGAGATTGGGAAGATCGCAACCGGAGCGATTGGATCGTCTTGTCTCAGTCAGCGACTTTGACCAGGGTCCCGAGGTCAGCGACGTCAGTTACTGGAAACTGATCAGATGGAAGTGTACTACAGATTTGCAACTGTAGATGACGATGGAGAGCACAATTTTTTCTTCTGCCCTAATATCTATAACTGTCTTTTTCTTCCTTTCGAGTCGTGGAGGGGGGGCAAGACCCTCCAGACGCTCATGCCCCGGGAAGGTAATGGATTGGAGGGAGAGGGCTTTGACAGCCGATCCGAATTGGGTGGGGGGGGGGGGGGGGGGGCGCGATTATAATTGGGAAATAGAAGAAGAGTGAAAAATAAGATAAACAGCGAGGGATTGGAAAAGAGATGAAGATGGGGGAGAAAGAGGGAAAGAAAAGAAAGTGGGAAGATTGATATTATGAAGGTTGACACAGCTTGAAGTGGAAAGAGGGAAAGAGCGTATGTTATGGGTAAGAGTAATACATGTACGGAAACAGTAATATTCACACTAAAGACACTAAAGACACTATACTCAAGTATATCCACACTGACAAGCAACACGATTAATTTAATTCCAACCACTCTCTAGAGGGGGGAGAAAAGTCCGAAAAAAGGACCTTTCACTTTCCAGTTAACGAGAATTTCCGGCGCTTTTCTCGACTACCAAAATGCATGCACCTCGAACGCCACTCCCGTTAAGAAGGGACTACACCCCTCTCGCTTGTTCCAGACGCACCGGGGATTTAGAGAATAGCAATTAATGTAATACTGGTTATTTACATTTAATACATCGATCCCTGGACGTTCCGGGAGCCTAAATGGATGTATAAATCCATCTATCAATAACTGCCAGTGTTCTGCATACTTCTACATACTATGGATCCCATACACATGATTCACGAGGTACCTAGTTCACGATGCCACCGCACGGCCCCCGTTCTCTTCTTATAAAGTCGAGTCTTATATGGATTAATACCGATGTATTATTCCACCTTCTTTCTTCTTAGCGGCGAATGGGAGCAACGGGACCCAAGTTCATTGGAAATGTCCCCGGGCCGAATCCACCGGGTCCGACCCAGACCATCATAGGGACGCTGATAGGCAATTCTGGACATTAAACATGCAGGTACTGGGGCCCTTAGCACGCGGTCTAGTTTCACTCCAAACGGGTACTCCAACATGCGACAGCTTATCACCGAAAAGATGTCTCGGTTCTACAGTGTCTATACGCTTAACATCGGACCCAGTTCCAGATTGTAGTTCGGATGTGGATACGGCAACTGTTGCAAGTGGAGACTATGCCCAAGCCGGAGCAATCCAAATGCGACCTGCAGGAGAGTTTGAAGTGAAAGAAAAAGAGAGAGAAAAAAAAAAACTAAAAATTGTGACTGCAATAAAGAAATAGTCTAGATCTGAATTGAGGGGGAACAATGTGATTCTTAATTCTTTGATGCCAGTCTTTCACAATAGATCTCATGCATTGTATATCATATTTCAGAGGATGAATGGGAAAACCGCGGTCGTATTTTCTCCGGGAGACAGATTATTAGCTTGAATGGACCCAAACCTACCGAAAATCGCAATGGTTCTACGGGGCTTCTCAGAAGCTGTCCAAAGTTTGGTCCATCGGACAGGATCCGCTCTCGACGAGGCTCTAGTACGTAGACTGTAGTATGTAGTAGTGGTACTAGTAGTGTACTCACCGGAGAGACCGTGTCCATCCCTACATTACCCGATCTTTCCGTATTGGTTCCGTAATACGAGACCGTGGATCGGTTCTGTTTTATTCTTTCACTCTTTTTCCACTTCCACCGTTACCTGCACTCTGCAGTAATGTACTTGCTGCACCTGGGTCAGTACTTCCTCTGACTGGTACAATTCCAATGGGAATAATCCTCCACACCTTCTCGCTGGCGAGCTGGCGCGGGGTCGCACGGATTAATTCCCATTTCCGCACCGGCTAATATTGCTCCGTCTTATTTCTTCCAGTCGGATTGGTAGATGATCATTTGCTGTTGCCACTCCGGTACTCGACTCCGGTCCTCTGGTAATTCAGTCTCACCAACTGGACGCCCGTGGATGGTCGATCGATCTTGGCCCTGACATCAGACCACAAATACAGTATAATTATTCTCCATTGTCTCCATGTGGGGGTGGGCAAAAAATAAAAAAGTAACCAAAAAGGAAAATCGTCAGAATTAAAACACACGACACTCTCCGTAATCTTTTCGGCATTTCCTCCACTTGGTTCCACTTTGGACAGGCACAGGAACATCGCATGTGCTCATGCTCATCGTATGGAAACAAGAAACAAACATCTTGAATCAGTATGGTCAGGATGGTCACTTCTTGGCCCCACGGAGGCCCACCGAAAGTCGGGGCAAACAGAGATAATGACAAGATAAGCTGCTGATAACACGCCAAGCGTAGAGTAATTAGCCGTGGTCATCTTGATAGGCGCGCCGCAGATCAGCCTGGGATTGACCACTCTCGCCTCCATGGTGGAGTTGCCCCATCCTGGTGCGCTTTACACCCGTGGACCTTATCAGTAAATGATGGATGGGGTTATGATTATGACATATGCTTGGAAATCACTGGATAAGTAAACAATTAATCAATCAATCAGCAAATAAATAATTACCATATCACCATGGAGGTTGAATAGTACATGCACGTCGCATGCTTCCATCCTTTTCAACCTTTTCAACCAGTACCAATATGGCAAGGTAGCCGATCATGCCCGAGAATCTTGGTAAAATGTATAGCCCCCCAATCCCCCGGGCGTCCGAATCTCACCTATTCGACATATCAATAGGCAGGATTGGATACTGCAGACCTCGGGAACACTGGGGTACGTAATAATGGCAATAATTGATACCCTGTCAGCATAGCTTGCTCAAAGGGATTGATTGACATCGTCCAATATCATGATGTGACGTATTAATGAGAAAAGATGCCAGTGCTGGACCCCAATCCTGATACTCCGTAGATAAAAAGGGTATCCCGAACTTTGTACTGCTCGGTACTTTGGTCAACCCGCATACCGGCACAAGCCCAGTCCCCTGTCCTATGCGATGTGGTCTTTTCTATGCCCCCCCCTAATTTTTGGTCGCTCGCTCTTTTTTTTTTCTTTTCAGTGCGGCTTCTGCGGTTCGGTTGAAATATCTCTCTTCGCCTCGCGTCGAGGTTAGGGTTAGACAAGTCCCTTATGAGGGAAGGATTGCCCGTCAAGCATAGAAATACAGCGCGTGGAGAAAAGAAACACCATTGCCCATATGTAACATACGGTGCCAGTCCCAGGTAATTCTGGTCTTTATGAAAATGCGACAGGCATAGCACAAGAGCTGTCATTCGGACCCAGACTTAATTGTGAAAAGCATATTCAAAAAACAATTCTCCAAAAGTTGGAAAGGGTGAGAGGGGAGCTTTTTTTTTTCTCCCTGGAAGAATTCAAATTAAGGATCTTGCAGCCTTTATATATTTGGCTTGGAATATCTGGCACCAAAGAATCTAGGAAGGCGTGCGAGTCTCAGCACTGTTTTTTGATAAGACGTGATGCGACATAAGCCCGGCAACCCAACTCATTCCGATTCCCCATACGATAATCGATAATCCCAGATAACTTTGCATATATCAGGCCCCCGGAATAAATTTAACTCGAAGAAGATAAGGCCATTTTTACCCCGAGGCGCAAAATTGGCGGTAGATCATCCCGCAACTGTGGACAAACCCAATAAAGGACCTCGGGGCTTGTTATCTGGATTTCCGGTTGTCATTGTCCCTATCTCAGGGATGAACAAATGGCCCCAGGGTATCTCACCGATAAACGCCTCGGGAAATCCTTAAGTTGCGGTCAACTTGAGATTGATTGATCAACTCTTCTTATCTCCGCGGACTTGACTACTAGATGCACAGAGATATTCAAGTTGTTGATATCTCTATTCTTAACTTTGGTCTCTATCAGAAAGTGAGTATTATCTTCGACTTGAAGATCACGAAGATCACATTCATTGAGACTTGTTCCGATGCAAGGGGCTCGGGATTGGTTTAGAAGAAGCAACCAATGTGATAAGCGAAGTCTTCGGGTCCTTTCTTCGCTGCAATGACCAGGTACAGTTACAGGCACACCCGTGGACGCACAGTCGAATTAGTGCTGTGCTTTGCCCCCTTCTCTCCTATCATGGTATCACTTTTGCTAGATTGCATCATCGCGAAATTGTCATGGCTTACTTCTAATCTTATAACAAATATGAAGTTACATCACATCAATTTATATCTATCATGATTCCATTGCACACTTTGGTTGATAAAGGCCGGCTGATGCGGACTCCGGAAACATCTGCCAGTGTAAACGAGGACAGATGTGATAAGTGCGAGATAGGTTCTGTATCTCCTTTTTAGAGAAATAGTATGCTTCGACTGTTACTTTTTGTCTAGTGTTTGTTTAATATCCCGGGTGGTTGAATATTCATCACCTCAACAGAATTTATCCCTAAAACTCCTATAAAGACTTCTTAATCTAGTTGAATCCCGAGGCTGGTGGCTGGGCTATTATTTGAAAGAATACCTATCTTTCGCCAATCAAGAAAACAAAGCGGCGTAGGTTTATTAACAGAAATCACACCATGCTAAGGTTACACAATATTGATCTTAGCTTCTAGGCATCGTCTCATAGTAATCTATATTCGCCAAGGTTCTCAGCAATATCTGGATTGCTCCAGCTGATACATTAGTTAATATGACTCCCGGGGTCGGACAAGTGATTAGTATCTATAGTCTATGACCGACATCGCACTGGCATTGGTAAAGTTTTGCCAAGTAGTTCCAAGGTTCTGAACCTCCACTTCTTCAAATTCAAATTGAAAGTTGGGCATCTACAGCTTCTTCGCAATAAAATAGAACCACGTCACTTCCACACCAGCCCCTTTCTCAAACTCCGAACTCGCAAGTTCAAGCGTCTTCCTCAGGGCCTCAGCTTTCACAGAATCCCCACTGGCCTCAATACCATTGGCCAGCTCCTCCATGGCCAGGATCATAGTCTGATTCCAGAGAGGACGACGAATATCGTCCACCTTGACTGGCTCATAGGACAGAGGCTCAAACCCAATTGGCCTGACTAGATCTGCGTTATCGGTGATCTTCCTGAAGATGATAGAGGTAGATTAGCTCACGATTAGATTACTTTTTGTCATGAGTAAAAGGGAGGACTACTTTTGACTCACCTTGCCATGTTTGGAGGCATGCTTCGCACTATTTCGGCTAACTGCTCTGTTCCCGTTAGGGTGAGACTTGGGTCGCATGATATGGCTTTACCAGTGCGGGGATTTATATCCACCCATTGAAAGAGGCCGCCTGGTTCTGGATTTAATTATTTTGTTAGCTTGAATATGGTTAATCCGTCGTATTTGGTGGAAGGGAAACCATACTGAGTAGAGTCATTACATTCCGTAGGAAGAGGTGCAGACGATCTTGGCTGGTCAATACCGACGCTAATAAACGGACATTGACAATGTCGTATATCCCATGATATTCCTCTGGAAACGGCTGGAATGTATCATGTTCAGCGAGGAAAACATTTGGCGGACACCACGTTTTAGGTGGAAATTGTTTAGCTGATATATCGAATGCATCGATTTGGAAATTTGGGAAGGTTTCGGCTAATTCTAAAGCCCATATTCTGGAAATATTTCAATTAGACCCAACTCAGACTTAAGAGGGAAAATATTGTGAAAACGTACCCAGTTCCAGAAGCAATATCTGCTACGCGGATTGAAGCTGAAGAATCGATGCGGCCGCAGACGCAGACGATATCGTGGAGTAGTTTGTTCCCCACAGATTTAGTGAAGAACACATGTTGGGAATTGAGCCAAATAAAAGCGGGGTTTAATAGTGGGGAAGCTGGGGAGATGAAGTGGGTTCTCACCGTATACTGCCTCGATAGTTGCGATCAAAGAAATAGAAACTTTTAGGCATAGTGTCTGGCTGATGGAAGTCAATTGAGATTTTGAATTAGAAATGAGGTGAAGGACTGTTTGGCCTATTGATCATTTTCTTCAAATTTGGTCACCTTAGTATTGGATTGAACTAGGCCCACCTGGTCCATAAGTACGAGATGAACTAAACGTGAATCAATCAAGTCTTACGTTATTTTTTATGCAGAGGTCATCTGCCTGAGATGTCTATCATCTCAGCATCTCTCTTTCACCCTCTCAGCTTGGCATCACCATTCTCCCGCATACACGCATCACGTCATCATTCATTCCTATCGTCTCGTTCTTCGGATTTCTTAGACTGCTATAGATCTGTGTATAGCGGATTGTGACTTTTGCATTCCTTTCCTCGGGAGACAATGTCGTTGTGGCATTATTCACTTTGCGGTTTTGACAGAAATTTCCTCAAGCATGAGGTGGAGTGTTCAGCATATACTAGTACTTTTTATTGGTGGATAAAAGGCGCCTGTCGGCTTGTTTGCCTATTTTTGAGATCGGTAGTTATTGAATCATGCCATTGCAGCTCTTCATATCTCATACATAAGCCATTGATGGTCATAATAGGTGCTTTCTATGTAAGCCACATGCCTAACCGATAGGTTTGACACGTCTGATCTGTGGAATCACCATAGATTAGTTGCCGAAGGATATCTCCCAGGTCATATACTAAGACCAAAAATAGAAAGTATCAAGAATCAATGTGATATTTGGATCCGGTTCCATGTAGAAGAAGTATAATATGTACAGTTTATGCAATCCTCATAAAACCAGGCTCGATGATCTCAATAAATGTCGTGACGTGTAAACTGTGGGACGTTATCGAAATGCATCAAGATGTGGTATTGTCACTACCAATCACATAGTCGGAGGACAAGAATGAAATCGCAAATCCCTTGTCCTATTTGAATCCCCCCATTCACCCATGAATCGAGACCAGTCTCCACTTGCGCCCCGGCAAGTATCCCAAAATGACATAAGAACAAACAGAGGCAATCAGATCATGCAAAGTATGAAACATGACAAGAATATGCCTAATCGCCATGGAAAAGAAAGATGTGGGAAAGAAAGGGTGGAGAAAAGAAAATATGAAGTATGTGTCAAAACGAAGGAAGAGAATGTAAGTCTATATGCCTGGAACAAAACCTCGGTTCAATAACATTCCAGTCTATAGGAGTCACTGACCGCAACAAAAAGGGGGTTGATCGACCAAAACGAAGGTCTAAAGGGGTTCGTTCTCTGTACTTGATAGTAGAGAGAAGAGAGAAAGGAAAGAGGTATAAAGAAAAATTTGGGCCGTGCCATGATAAAATCAAACGGAGATATGCCACCCGAAAACCCTTGCGCCCGCTAATGACCAGCTGCGAAGCAGACCCGCCACGGTATATGAGGATGAGGCAAAAAAAAAGTTGGAAAAGAAAAAAGAATCCAAGGGGAAAAAAGAGATAAATAAGATACAGGAGATAACACGGATGGGTCTTCCATCATTGTATATATCCCACGGGGTATTAGAAATGAAGCAAGGCCGTCTAGGAATGTGATATGTAAAGCGTCAAGTCGTCCGGGCTTGAAGAGAAGTGGAAATGCAAGTTGCCCGGCGAGAAATAAGTCTCCAATGGATGCCATCGTTCGGCTCCATTATGACCCGGAGTGGCCTGTAGGGCCGGGGTGTCCCATTGGGGGCGGATGGGTAGTGAATGGAGGTTGAGGGCCCGCTTCGCTGGTGTACATCGGGTATGGAACAACACCCATGTTCGGCGTCATGTTCATGGGCCATTGCTGGAAATCCATACCCGATTGAGCGGGGTAGGGCACAGGACCAGGCGCGGATGGCATGTCAGGAGTAGATGCGGGTGAGGTGTGTGCGCCCACATTCGGGGCTGAAAGGGATTGAGCCGGGGTCGTCATTCTTCTCTTCAAGTCCGGTGGCATTTGAGGTTGAAATTGGGGGGGGTATGTAGGGCTCATGGCCTGTCCTGGGTAACTCATGGCTCTGGATGGTTGCGGTGGTGGTGGAACTTGCCAAACGGTTCCATCAGGTTGCATAGCGTAGGTTGGAGTGTTCATAGGTTGTGTGTGGCCTGACATTTGAGAGGCTCCGGACATGGGCGAGCTAGGCGGTAATCCCGAGGGTACAGATGATCCGGGAGTCCATACGTTTGGTGACAAGTTCATCATCTGGTTCTTGTTGGCGGCCATAGTTGCCAGCATCTGGGGGTCCGATATCGTCGTAAATTCGTCCCAGGGAACCCCTGTTTCCATAGTTGGATGTGCCGCGAATTCTCCGGTGCCCATTGAGCGATCTATAGAACAAATAAGCTTCTCGTCAATTAATCCGCACGCCTGATTGTCTCAACCGCGTTTGTTGTAGGCTTTCCGGTGTCTAGCCACCATGAAAAGATAATCAATAGTTCCAACCTACCAGGTGTGAAGCCCGACATAGGGTGACCAGCGAAGGCTGCTGGGTGGAAGCCAGTCATGTCTTGAGCTGAGGATGAAGCATTTAATGGCATTTGCGGGTAAGAATAAAAGGCGTCAACGGATTCAGGGTTCAGATTCGTTGGTGAAGAGGAGATTGGTGTCGTCGCCGTAGGGTCTGTCGGCTGTGTCTCCAATCGTGAACTTGGCCGGGATTTCTTCTCAATTGGTGGCTGTTGATCGACAGGGAAGAACTGGCATTCTTTTCTTAACCGGATACAATTCTCACAACGTCCTTGCGCGTCGTCTGGAGCTACCAGGCATCGAATCTTTCGTCGTCGACAATGCACTGTAAAAGTATCGTATAAGCTCAACTCTCATATGATCGTGTGCGCATTGCTCCCCTCTTCATTCCAAATCAACAAGATGGATTATGCGCGGCTTTTGCGCATATCGCGAGATTATCGAAAAAAAGAAGAGCGAGGAAACACATGAAGAGGGGAAGCTTGGGCAAAGAAAAAGGTCGAGCTGAAAGGGGACGGTACTGACCACATGCGACAGATGTCCGATGATACCCCAACTTGTTGCGCTTCTTATCCGCGTTACTTGCGCTGTCCATAGCGCTCTGTGAATTCGGTGTAGTTGCCATCGTCTCGACAGCCACGGGCATAGCTCCCCCCGCGAAAAAGATAATCTAGATCACCACACCAACTGTTGGCGCATTAAATTGCGCCTATATAGATTAAGTGGGGATGTGACACCGTTGTTAGGCGTGGTCTGAAATGGAAAGCGAGTTCGAGAGATGCCCGGCCATACAGACACCGGCGCAACAAGAATAGCCCAAAAAATGAGTCGAAAAGAGTTCGTATAATGACGCTGTACCGACGGTGGAGGTCGCTAGGTATGGGAAACTTGATCCACCTGAGCCACGCTAAGCCAAGTGGGATGTGGGATATTGCGCGCGTTTCAGCAGTAAGTACGACGTCGACTCGAGAATGGTTCAAATGTTGTAGCAGGGGGTGGCGCGGAAACAGGGCCCCGCAGTGTTGTGTTTCGTTATTCTTTCGCTAGGAATCCAAGTTGAAAGTATTGGTGGATTAGACGAGGATAGGCGAGAATAGGTGGTTGCAGTCGAGGATAGATTGGATTTGGTCTGGGTCCGCAAGCCCTGGGTCCTCCCAATGGTGAATTAATCAAAATAATTATAGTATAATTAGAGTTGTCTCGAGATCATGTAATAGCGACGAAGCGAGATTCGAATCGGGAATATTTCCGGGTCGAAAGGAGCAATCGAGAGATTTGATCAGGTTGATGATGAGGTTCTAAGTTGTATTCGTCTTGGAAATCTCATATGAGGTTGAATGGCGAGATCACGACAGGTCCGACGATATCACCGATTAGTAAGGTGTAAGAGAGTTGGAGGCGGAAGGTTTTTTGACAGAAAAGTATAAAAAATATATAAAAAAGAATAAAATAGGAGAGAATAGAAAACGTAAAATCAAGAGCCAAAGGAGTGAACGAAGTGGACAAGAGAAAGGGAAGATCGAGGGAGAGAAATGTCGTATAGAGATAGAGAAGAAAGTCAGAAGCTAATCGCGGGGTGAAACGTGTTTGAGCCGGTTTTTTCTGTCATTTTTTTAATTCATTTTTTTATTCAGTTCTGAAATGGATTTTCATTTTATTTTATTTATTTAATGGGGTTGAATTCTTTGGGATTTTATTTTATTTTTATGGGATTTATGGGAGAGAGAGAAAAAATAAAATAAAATAAAATAAAATATAATAAAAAAGCCCAGCATCTTCGTATGTGGAACATGGTGGCTCTGCATCAGAAAGACACTAGGACCAAGAGGGATATATCGACTTAACCCAAACCAACGCTGCAGGTCATTGTTATGGATCCATGATGATCTCATGTTCAATTCAGGGGCTCCTACTAGTCACCCGGGGAGGATTTCCGCACAAGGAAACTACTAACTTTATAGAATTTAGAATTAAGACGATAGATTTGAATGATAGATTGCATACAGTTTACAAGTATGATTAGGTTTGGATGAGGAGGTGGTGAATTCGGTTTCATTTTGTGTAGATTTTCCACCTTAAATTTCTGCAGTTTTGGATTGAGTCGTATCAGTTTCTTTTTTTAAACTCATGTACCAGTGGTTGTCATGTACACGGTGGCCACTTATTTGGCTACATTTTAGGGAAAACCACCTCGAGGCGCCCCTGATTGCGTACGATAGGACCCTCCAAGGCTGGTTCACGGCAAATGAGATAAAAGCGAGGAACCATGGTCTGGGAGCCCTGACACAGTGGGGTCAAATTGGTGGATGTGGGTAGAATGTAGGCAGATTGGTCGTAAACGCCTCTTTGGGGTTAAAGCCAGGAGAGGCCGAGCTGTCAATCATTGATGAACTGGGGAATTCCCCCAGTAGCCTCGGATACTTGATTGGTGACGAGAAGCTTGGGTCGGCAGCTTGAACCAATAAGTTTGTTGTTCCTAGGGTCCATCACTCCTAAAGAACCTTCTTTCTCGGGGCATTCTGGGGGTTGATCACTAGAAACCTTGAGGGCTTCTCGAAGGGGTGTCCTGCAGCTCTATTCGTCGTCGCCTTTTTCTCGGTTTGCCCTCCGTCAGCCCTTGCACTCTCTTTGCGTGGTTACAATGGATATATGCTCCTTGGCGTCTTTTCAATCCTATATGAATCGGAGTACGCCGCACATAAATTGATTGAAGTCACATCGCCAGGAACGAAGGAACGAACCACAGTTTGATTGAATTCTAAAAACAGAAATTCAGGGTCCACGTATCAGCTTATAGCGAGGACAGCACGCAATGGAGACTTCTTTTCGTCAAATTTTTTATTTTGTTTTTCTTCTTACGGACGTGTCCCTCTTTCCCCTATTTTTCTTTATTTTTTCTACCTCTTTTTTTTTTGCCTGAACAAGAGGATATAGTTTGTTTTTCCACCGTATAGAACAAAGCCTCCCCCTTTTTTCTTTTCTTTTGCCTTATGGCATCGGGGTTGGCCCCATCATCATGGCGTAGTCCGGCCTCCTTAGTACAGATTTTAGACGTCGATGACATGGTTTCATAATTTATAGTCAGACAATGAAACTGTCTATACGGGTTTCAGATTTTTCTAATTTGCTCTACACTTCCACTTCCACTTTCTCTACCTTTCTGGCTTTACCTTTTGAATTTTCTAAATTCTCTTCTCGTTTTTTGGCAAAATTCATCGGCCCAACGTCGGTTCACCAATAAAACTCGTACATTGTCTTAGTCACTGGTCCATTTACCCGCACCGTACCATTAGGAGACCTGCCCCAGTACCTTGGATGAGGGGCGTCGATAGCCGGTCAATCAGGTCAATCTTAATCATATCAACCAGTGAGGTTAGACGGGGGTATTGCAAGCGAAGGCAAAGAAAATAATAATGTTAATAATAATAAAAAGAGGGAAAAACCTATAGTCGATCCTCTACCAAACTGACAAGGAAGGAGGCGAAGCAACAACATGGATTCACCAGGAAATTAACCCAAACCACCAGAAATCCAATAAAATTCAAAGCCACCGCGTAAACCGAGAGAAAGTCGATGACATAATAGGCATCTTACTACGCCCAAGTTGGATTCTGGTCCGAAGGGCTTGAAGAAGGCATTTGGGCTCTTGCATTTCTCTGTACAGTATTGTTTAAAGGAGAGGGGGGCCAATGAGCCAAGCCACGATGCAGGAAGCGATCTTGCGTGGTCAAGGTTTGATTAAGGATCATCGCGAGACAGTAGCGTGTTACAGGTTAGCCTTGGCACCCGTCGGAAACGAGGTATGGGTCCAAGATCAACATTCTTTTTGTTCTTCGAAGCCTCAAGCGAGCTTCCATGAGCGATTCCTAATGGAGAAATGGAGTAGAAAGGAAGTTTCTACGAACCCAACTCATAGAGTCATAGAGAGTGGGCAATACTCCGTACACTAGGAATGTATAGGCCCATAAGACGATCTGGATCAGCGATGGAGTACAAGTAAAATCCGGTCCGAGATTAAAGATGAGGCTTTTGGCTACGAAGTAACGACTCATGCATATAGAACAGGAAGGTTCATGACAGACGAAACCAAATGGGCAAAATAAAAAAATAAAAAAATAAATAGAAGAAGAGAAAAAGGGGGGCTAAATGTGTACACGAAGGTAGATGGAGTAGATGTACATTGCTCTGTACTGCCTCGACGGAGAAGTGTATTGCCGATTCCCCCCGGGGCAACATGTACATCGCCAACTCGCAACGACAATCAGCGTGGCTTTTTCCTTTCCACTCTGTCGGTGAAATCGTCCACTTTTTCATGTGGTTTGTTGAATCGCCGAGTATCTCTGAGAACCAATCATCACACATATTCATGCGTTTCCCTTACATTTACACATCTCAACAGCACTCGACCGCTTCTTTGCGACCGAACAGTGCTCAGCCCTGGCCCCGCAATCAGCTCTCTTCCTCCCACTCACATATTTCCTTTAACACGTATCAGGTGGGTGATCGTCAGGCAAGTAAAATATGATTGGGCCAAGAGGGGTACGAAGTTGGGGTGCATGTACAGGAGATGCACATGTGTTGACGCGGCGAATGTCAAGCACGCGATTAGATCTGGCAGTAGTGGAACAAGGAGACTCCACTTCCCAATGAATTTTTTGCTTCATGTGCTTTACACTCTCGTACTATTGTACCAGAGTAGAATACTTCTCCGACCGAGTTGACGCTAAATGCACTAAAGTTCGGCTTCGGTTGGGCGATTGGGTAAAGTCCCCTCCAACGTCGCGATGAAACAAGGGTCCAGGGCTGAGTCAGATCTCTGTTTGAAGTTTCCGAATGAATTTTTGGATCTAAACTTCTAGAAATTAAGATTAGAGTGAAACATGTTTCCAGAAAGTTCGTGGGTGATACAGCTCCTAAGATGGAGTATAAGTTTAAACTATATGGTTCGAAACGGTTTACTCCAATTCTCCAATGATTTCTTACTTTCTTCTGTGTTTGACTTTATTTTTTTTCCACCTTTTTTTCTTCTTTCAATGGGGGTTTGTCTCCAACCATCCCAACACTCTGACTGGCCAGTCTGACGTGGGATTCACACTGACCTCCCACCCCGCTAGAACATACCGGGCTTAGCAGGCAGCCAAGTTTTCTGGCCTGCCAAATTCAACTGCCGACAGGGCTCGACGGGATTTTTGCATCCTTCAACTCTCGCGGAGTCCGTGATCCAACTACAGGGCGACTTGACTGGAAAAGTAGACACCCTCGGAACTTGTCCTATTCAGGATTGGGCAGGGTCGTAGGCTGTGCCTAAACCCTGTTAGAGCCCTGTTAAAAAAAGTCCGGGCGTTCTAATGATCTTATCCTCTACGGAGTATTTGCTGGGGAAAGTACTGATGTGCAAAAATAAAATGAAAAACGTCAAACTCATCGGATATGCCCTACGTCGGATGCGGATCGGTCGGGAATCCCGATATCCCAGTACTTTTTATTAAATGCGGTATTTAAGCTTCCTGTAACTCTGCTAGACGAGGTCCTACTACATGTAGAACTTTGTAAAAACCGACTGTGTGGTACATAACTTTATGTAATTCTCTACCCACTTTCAAATGTTCTCATGCACGAAAGCCCTACGGAGTACGGAAGTATACAACATAGACTCGATGCACATAATTAGAACACAGCTTCCCCCCCCCACTCGGGAGTGTACTTCTGCGAGTACTCTCCAAAGGATTCATGAATACCAAGATCTGAAGCTTGCCATGTCATCATGCCCGGTAAGAAAACCGATCGTCTTGGACACAGTGGAGACCCGATGCAGGGACCTCACTGGCTCCATGCCAATTCCTCGAGAAAGCCCCGGCTGTTTCACCATCTTCGGGCCCTTAACCTATTTCAGGTATGCTCGGCTGCTCATCATGGGTCTCCCTATTTAACCTGCAACCTGCCTTACGCGTCCTCCCAAGAAAATCACTCCAACAGAATCCACCCCCATAAAAAAAATTATTCAAGCAAATAATGCAGTAAAAAAAAAAAGGGAAAGAGGGGAGAAAATGAAGAAGGATAGAAAATTTAGCTTCTTAAAAGGATACAAAATAAAAAAGAAAAGAAAAGAATCCCTTTATGGCTTTGGTGTTGGCGTATACGCCTTACGGCCCTATCAAGGACCTACTATGTGGTATGTATGACCCTATAAGGTCCTCCATCTCATACTGAAAGGAAGGTGGTATCTCACCTCAAATTTCCGACCGTGGCTGTGCCCTTCTTTTCGGTTTTCGAATCGTTTAATCTAAATTTTATTTCATTTTATTTTTCTTTTCATTACGGAATATCCAACTGACCTCCGGAATTCCTCTCTCCAAAAAAGCCGCATCACTTGCCTGGAACTGGATTTGGAAAAGGGGGAGGCCCGCATGTCTGCGGTGACCGGTTCTCGCTTTCTCATGGCCATAACCCGGTAAGATGCCGAGTGAGAGTTATTTCTTTCGATCGCCGAGATTTGATAGAGAGTTTATATGGTCTGGATCGTCTCCGGGTGGAATCCGTCCATTGTACGAATGTACTACTTACTCCGTTTACTCCATAAAGGGGGGCGTGTGGGTGTCTAAGCCCTCTTCGGTGATGGATACGGGCTTTGGCAAGTAATTACCGGCTAAACTTGTTATGTTATATTATACGAAGGGATGGGGAGATGAGGAGATGATCTTATTATCTCTCTTCTGCAAAGATCTTCAGGCGAAGCTTCTTATCGTTGCCCATTTGGACTTGCAGATCGGATTGTCAGTGGACTGATATATTACGCATTGCATGATCATTTTGTTCAAATGAGGTTCTTAATCAGGAGATCGGTAAAGCAAGATATTTCGTGATGGAATATAGTATGACGAAATGTATAGGTGAAAGATGATGATCTTGTCTCTTTAACGCTATTCATGGTATCCCCCCCCTGTTTACTCTCCAATTCGTACTATGACCTGCACGTTGATCGCTCGTGCTTCTCGCACGCAACAGCCGATGCATGTTCGTCCAGCACGACCGATGAGAGCGTGACTGCCGACTGAAGCGCACCACGCCCGAACAAAAGTTTCTTTGGATCGAGATCCACGTGCGTCAATTACTAGAATTTGCGGGGTCCCATCTGCCGATAAGGGTGTAGCTTGTGGTGCAGGGTGCTGTGGAAGTGAAGCGAGTGGAACGTTATTCCATGAAAATGATTTATGTAATGGGTGGCCTGGTAGTCGTTTGAAATCGCTCCAGTCTGTGGTCTTCTGTGCAGTATCGTCTAGACGATGAGATAACACGCCCATGGGTGGACGGCATTCATGTGCAGATATGAAGCGAACATTGTATCGGAGGGGTAGAGTAATCGTAGTCGGGTTTGAGGAATCTAAACCAATCTCAAATGAAAGAGATGCCTGATCACTGGCTATGATATTTCTTCTTCGAGGTGTATTCACTGCCAATGTGAAGTTGCTCAAGGACACTGTAACAGTGGACCTGGTAGGCTCATCTATCGGCAAAGTAAAGGCATCAGCGGTGATATCTCCTGTGCCAAGCGGTGTTGATTCTAGTGCAAGTTTGCCTCCTTGCTTGATTCTCGGTCGCCCCGCTGAAGCTGGCATCCGCTCAACATGGACTTCAAACCAGCCTGGATCTAAAGCGCTGAGGGTATTCGCATCGCGGGGGAGAACATCACATCCAACCCAACCCATACAGGTCTGAGCGCCGTTCAAACTAGACAGAACCCGGCCTACGATGCAGGCTTTGCTCCACCAGCTGCGGCTCTCGTAGATGAATCCGCCGTATAAATTAGCTGAGGGACCGAGGACTTGGATAGCGTCTGGATCGTTTTCCAGTATCGTTCCAATGAGAAGGTGGCTAATTCCTTCGCCGGGAACTACGAACCCCGAGAGCCAAGATCGAGAGATCCAACCCAATGTCTCGGCTGCGTGAGGATCGCCATCTTCCATGCAGGAGCTGCGGAGTCTAATGCAACGGCGTGTCTGGCTTCGGGTGTACATATCTTCTTTCGCCAATCGTACGGCCTGAGATTGCTCGGTTGTATTTCCAGGTGTCCGTTGTTGACCATCGGTATCTACCGCGGGGAGAGTCAGAGCCTCGCCGCCATTCCGAAGTTTTTGCTCGAGAGCAGTCTTTAGTGTATCGAGTTTTGGCCATCCGATGTTCTCGGCGAAGACATATAGGCCTTCTAGCTGTTGGCGGATGTGTGGGGAACTGATTTCGCATTTCCAAGCTGATCCAATATCAGGCTCGGAGTGTGATGTCAGTCGGCGATTAATTGACTCGATAAATGAAAACTTGTGTGCTTTCCCACCGACTTTATCTGTTGATGGCTGAGTTGAACTGCCAACTGGCGAAGGCGAAGGCGAAGCTCCGGGTGAACTGGTAGTCGGCCCACATGAAATTTCAAGGTTGTCAAGAAATCGACGAACAACAATAAGATCCCAATTCACTTTCCCGGATCTTAGTTTGTCGAAGTCATGGAGCTCTTGGATTGTCATCAGTCCACCATGAGGGTCGTGCAACATACCCATGCGAACAAATGCATCGAGTCGAATGATCAGCTCTGCAGCGAGCAACAGTTGGATTAAAAGCCATTTTCGCTCCATGCCAGAATTCAACCATGGTTTTTGTGCTGAATTTGGGTCGCATTCATTCATGCAGTCTCCATCTCCATGGGGCAGTGCCTCCCATAGAATTTGACCCGCTCGGAAGCGCCATTCTGGTAGACTGAAGTCTATCCATACTCCAGGTGTAGCCAGTACAACTGCCAATGTTTTGATTTGCGATTTCAGACTTTCGGGCTGCCCGGGCATTATATCTGCAGGTGGTGGATGTGGATGCAGGAACTGGGTATGTAAAATATTATGCAATTCATGAGGTGTTTCCAGGTCGAGAACTGTCATTGTCGACCCATCGAGTAATATGTTCAGTCGTAGTTGTCGCAGATGACTGAGACGTTGCACCAGTGTTCGAAGATTAATATCTCGAACCCCAATTCGTTTCCATGCAGCTGGACCTTCTCGCAGTAATTGTAATCTGTCGAAGACCGCTCCACTCAAACACTGCGAATATGGCTTGTTATAGCTATCCATCAGCTCAAATGCCTCTGTCGCAGGAAGTTCTGAAACTCGCTGCATGTTCGGTGACTGTCTCGCTTTTTCGGGTGGTCCAGTATATCGAGCTGCATCGGCCATATCGAACTCCAGAAAATGACGGTATCCCACAGTCCCCGGCTCTCGTCCATTATTAGCTAACATGTTTGGCACTTCGAACACACCAACGTCGAAAGAGGCTCTCTTGAATCCTCCAGAACGGTGCCAGCTGTGCAGCTGTATTGGAACTCCACCTTTTACAGCCCAGTCATCTGGTACTGGCAGGTGTGCGTGTAGTGTACAAAGCGTGAATGAAGCATGCGATAATGGCTTGCGATCTAGCATGCGTAGAATTGACGGATTATGTTCATCCCATGGGAAAATCACTTGCGGGTACCAGCGACCATGCTTGCCTCTCTCGAGTAGAAAGTGAGGTGCCCCAGATAGTATGGCTTTGACATCCTTTTTGGTTAGAGTCGAGCCATCTGGACTCCCTTCTAAGGGTTTAATGGCTTCATCAAGTCGGAATTCCAGGTAATCTTGAATATTATCCGGTTGCTTGGGCTCAGATTGAGCTCCTTCGCATGCTGGTTCGGGGCTACTGGGGGTTTTGGGCGTTGGTGGTCCAGAGCGAGAGTGTGAGCGAGAATGAGAGCGATCGCGATGACGACTACTATCTCGGCCACGTTCACCGCTACTAGACCTCCTAGTGTCAACGAGGAGCGAATTTTGGCGAATCTGTAGACACCATTAGTTACTGGATCTTTTATCTCTTTTCCATTCAACAATGTTGTAAGTAATGCCCCTTGTCCTCTCTCATTTCCACTACGTAATTCAAGGTAAAGCCAATCTTACCGGAAGTCGGGATTTCGGTGGCGACGAAGAATCCGAGCTTAATGAGCTGTCGCTCTTCCTTCGAAACAAGCCATGAAAGATACCTGAATCGGTCGATGGAGCTTTGATTTTCTCTTCTTTTCCCTGGTGCTCGCTTGACAGGTGATGTGCCAGTGTATCCTGCCCAGTGTGGTCTGTGTCAGCCACATCTGAGCTGGACCGGCGACGACCAAAGAGGAATGTCATTAAAGATGATTGTATGGATTATGAGATGTACATGACAGAAGTGTGACGCGGATGGCCTTTTTATGGTGAAATAGGATTGCAGAGATAAATATGAAGACTTCGATGTCAGCCATGATGTAGCATGTAATCGGGTCAGTCGGCTCGTGGCGGATCACTGGAAACGGTTAACGGCAACTACAACGGAGTAGTAGATGCCGAGATTGGGCCGAGAAAATGACGCTTTTACTTGTATACTGCATGTACATGGTGTTAAACATCCACAACAGCCGATATTTGGTAGCCATAATTATAACATATGGTTTACGATGGTTAGGTTGTTTTTATGGAATGAAAAATATATAGTTGAATAACACTAAAATACTCTAAACAGCCTTGTCCGACGCAATCCGCTCAGTAGCCAGTTTATTATGCGAGTCCTCTTGATCAGCACTACTAGGTGTTTCCATACCCTCTACAACACCAACCGCACCACTCTCTTCATAAACCTCATCTGGTAAAACTGCTCTTTCAATCTGAGCCGCCCGCGCCGGAAACCACAAGGACAACCCTACATAAACACCTGCTGTGGCGAAAAATCCCAACAACCACCCAAACTGATACGGATGCACACCCTTGCCCACAGCAATCGATGGATTAACCGCATTAATCAGTCCAGGCAAGTTAGGCGCAACGCCAATCAAAAACGCCACTATTGCTCGCCAGTTAAATCCAGATAATATGTGCTCTGGGAATCCGGGAACGATGAATTCGTAACGATATGTCGGGTTCCATGGCTGATAAAGTGCTAAAGAGTCATAGCGACGACGGTTAATGATCCAGTAATCGAATAGCATGATTGCGCCGATGGGACCTAGGAATATTGCGTATGCAGACATGAAGTTGAGGAAGTTTTCTGCGGATGCGAGGATTTTCCAGGGCACTAGGGCCCAGGATAGGAGTGCGCAGAGAATTTGTCCACGGCGGATGTTGATGTATTTTGGGGCTAGAGCTGTGAAGTCGTTTGCGGCTGAGAGGGAGTTGGCGGAGATGTTTACGCCTAGGGAGGCTAGGGCAAAGGATGCGGCGCCGAAGAATCGACAGGCTCGGTTGGGCCAGTAGCTTATTAGGACTGTGGGGTCCCAAGGGATTGAGGTGAGGTTGTAGTGGGATTGGCCGGCGGAGGAGGCGGCGATGCCGATGAAGGCGATGAAGGTGAAGATTATTGGGAGCATGGGGATGTATAGAAGTTGCCAGCGGGGGTTTATGCGGGAGTATCGGGAGAAATCAGACTGGATGATGGGATTAGTTGCTTGGTATTTCTGGTAGTATGGCTGTGCCCAGGTGGTTCAAGTTCTTGCTGAACTTACTTGGTTCACACTGAGAGTGGCATAGTTCCCCAGAACAGAGGTCATGTTTGCTAGGAACAACCAACTATACTTCGATCCTGAGACAGAAGCAGATTGTTGATCGAAGATACTCCCTCCCCCTTTCTCCGCTGTAAATGCCCAAATCAAGATCGCGATCCAGGCAATCGGCACAAGTATAGACTTAACAGTAAAAAGCCACCGCAGTTTATTTGGATGCATGCATAGGAATGGAAATTGGAATATCCAAAAGATCAAATATGCGACCATTCCATTACTCGTGATTCCTTGGTTCTCAGGGATCCCATTGTGAAGAGTTAAATAACTAGGCCAAATAGCACCTAGCATGACCCGGACAGCATTGCCACCATTAATGTTCTGAATTGCGAACCAGAAGACTGCAAGAATCACTCGTGAGACTATGGGGATGTATGAGCCCCAGAATCCCCAGCTGGCGCGCGCGATCACAGGGAATGGGACGTGGTAGATTGCGCCGACGGTTCCATTCCCTGCGATCACGAAGGAGATGATGAAAAATGATATCGCGACGATGGCGATCGCTTCTTTATATGTGAGTCCTACTGCTATTATACTGCTGGCGAATTCCCATGTCGCGGCGTTGAATGCGTCGGATATCCAGTAAGCTATAATAGGTTGTGATGGTTAGTTTAAGATGTATCTCCGTTCTCCGAAGGGATGATGCTTGGTTACTCACCAATCAAGCTGGCTACGCCCCATTTGCGTGCTAGTAATGGAATTGGATCGAGATCCCTATTCGTCCATCTTGCATTTCCTGTTGCAAATGCCGATTGAGCCTGCGACACCTGGAGTCGAGGCCGGGTGAGACGCATCTCTATAGATGTTGTGTGGTGGAGCGTCGGGTAGTGGAGATGGAAGGCAGAACTGGAGAGAAACAAGAACCAAGAACCAATTACGACTTATCGAATCTGACAAAAGAACGTATGTTCTCGAGTAACCTTGAGAATAGAACAGGTAGTACATCGGAATGAAAGGAGATGCAGAGGAAGAATATAATATGATGCATCGTCCATCTCTATCTGGATGACGCCGTGATAAGCATGATAAGCATTATGCAGTTGATAAGCAAAACAACGAATCATATTGAAGATGCGCACTGACTTGTTGTGCATTAGGTCTAATATCTCGTATCGGCAAGATTATATATGAAAAAACTGTTAGTAAATTAGAAATGCCAAGGGTTTTACACATGCAGTTATCTATCTGCACTGCGGAGTACTCCGGGGTACATACTAGTATCGTGAGATCTAGAACTGTCAAGGCTACAGAGTCTTAGTCTGATAAAATGGGGGAAAAAATAAAATAAAAAAGCAATTCATTTGCCCCTCATCCTACGCATAAATACTCCATGTCTCCCGTCGAGTTAAAATCAGAGAGCAAATGTTCCTATTCCTTCTCGCCAGGAAGTCGCACATCTTCCCATCCCCGTCCATCCCCAACACCACCAACACTCTCGTATGGTCTAATCCCCTTCCACTCATCAATATCAATCCATCCAATCTGCTGCACGTCTCCAAATCCACCAATCCAATACGCACTAGTGACCACCATCCGCGCCCAAAAGCTAGAATGAGGCGACCTCGACGCACCAGGTAACCACACCTTCGCATCGGGATGAGAATCAAGGAAACACCGTTCCAGCTGGGCGGCACTGTGCGCCGAGAGCTCGGGGAGCGGCTCGAGGTATCCGAATAACGTTACACGGGGAAGTGCAGCTGGACTCCGTGGGAGACCGGGATAAACAGGGACTGCCTCTTCGAGATGTTCCCACCAGTCTAGTTCGAGGCTGAGATTTGAGCCTGCGCCGATGTTTTTGAATGTTGTTGCGACGCGGAGGGCGAGGATCGTTGGGTCTCCGTTATCGGAGTGGGATAGGTCGGAGGGGAGACTGGAGTCGCAGTCTGCGATGTATTCTCGCAATCCGATCGGAAGGCCTGCTACTGAGGTTGGGGAGCGGGTGTTTGGTGGGGGTGGGGAGGGGAAGATGGTTGAGATCACGCCTGATGAGGACTTTGCGAGGAGTCGTCGGGCTAGAAGAGTTGACTCGAACCAGTTGGGACGAGTGAGAGTTTCGATGTCGGGGGTTGTTTCGAGAGTGTGAGCGCTTGCGTCGCTGCTCAGTAGGGCTTGGATATCGTGGGGAATAACAAAGGCCTGCGTGAGGGGGACTGAGCATAGAGCTAGAAGCCTGAGGACTCGAGAGACCATTTTGAAAGATGATCAGAGTTGGGGCTCAAGGATTAAGCTGAGGATATCTTGTAGCCTTGGGTCTGTTCTTGTATTCTTTGTAGAGAAAACCAGGCAAGGTTGGAAGAGTAAAAGCCGTTGAAGAGGGGGACGAAAGGGTGCGGAGAAACCGGAATAGCGGAATCCAGCATCGTCTGATCTTATCTGATCGCACATTCCCCACTTCAAATGCACGATATTTCCCTGTGATGACTTGGTCATAGAATGAGCTGCAGGGAAATCATATGACTTCAAGAAAGGTAAATCCAACCTAAATACAGTTGAATTGATACATATTCCCCCCAACCGAAGTTACTCTCACCGATCGGAAGCTTTCCTCATCTTCAGTCGCACTACAGGAGCTGCTGTCTACATTAAACTGGAAATTTTACTAGGAAAATTACTGGAAAAATAACATATTCCATCAAGAGCTGTACGATTGGCTATCCGTAGATGCGATGCTTCCCAAGCCGGACGCCTCAAATCTCCCGATGCCCCATGGCGCCTATCACAGTGCCAGGGAAGGAAGACGTAGTACAGGTCACCGCGGTCTCGACTCCTCCCCATAAGCATAGGAGTTATGTAGATAGAAAGAAGAAAAAGAGATAAAAAACAGACCGACCCATGCCCACACCACACTCCATGTGCAACAAAATAAAATAAGATAAAAAAGAAAGGCAGAGGGATGACGAGGGACCAAAACCACGTACATCGTACACATTTGCAATAATTGAGAAACACGCGTTTTCTCTGACACAAAAGGCCGACTGAGATCCCAGGAAGAGTAGCAGGTCACGTATGAGGGGGTATTTACAAATGAGGAAAGAGAAAAATGGACGTCAACCATGGGATTCAGTCGTCTTTGTGCCAAGGGGAGGGGTATTCAACTCGAACAGAAGAGAAAGAAAGGCTTTTTCTAGACCTCCACATAAAAAGGAAAAAGGAAAATGAACCGTTCAGTTCAGAAAGTCTGCGCGTATACTTGGGTTCAACGCGACCTTGTGGGCTTCACTGCCACAGCAAGCGCGTTTCATGCCCGCCGGTCCGGAGAGGGAGGATCCATCACCGACCATAAATGAACGAGCGAGGTGTCCGTCTGGAAGGACCATGGATGTACCAGGAACACCAGAGGCGCCAGCATCAATCAGATGGCGGACATGGCTCTGAAGTAGCATGTCGTCTGATCCGGTACGACCGCGTTTACGGCTATGACGCCGTTCTGGGGTAGCACCAGAAAGTTCACAGAGACTTTGCGCGGCCTCGCTCAAACTGGAATCCAACGAGTAATTAGAGAGGTCTGGGACAGAACCTGTTGTGCCCGGGTAGGAATCCGGAGAGCTGTATAGATCCACAAGAGAGCTCTCATCGATTGGAGAAGCAATAGCCAAGGTCTTGCGACTTTCCTTCAAAGCATTGTTGGAGCATCGCAGAGTGGCCTTGACAGCCAGTCGAGGAGGTGCAGGAGCACCTGCGCCCGAGGCATTTGATGAAACGGATGAAGATCGTGAAGATCGAGACGATAAAGTCGACACATCCGACACCATAGAATCCGGTGATGAGGCGGACGAAGTGGATCGAGCCAAAGATGAACGACGAACCACCGCCGGGTATCCATCATAAGAGTGAGTCCGAGCGTAGAACGAGAGAGGAGGGCGCTGATCAAGTGTCGAGCGCGCCATACCCATGTTCTGTGCCTGAGACATCGCTGTACCAATGGAAGGACGGCGGATTCCGCATGCCGCCATGCTCGCAGCAGGAGCGTTGGCAACATGGGACTGGGGGGTCATCTGGGGAGTAGGCAGCATGGAAGGACGCGGAATCGCCGGCATCGACAGATTCATCGCATAATCCATGCGTGGGGTCGGCTCCAGAGTCCGGGGAAGAGTTGAAGGACATGTCGGCGTCTGTTCGTGTGAAGTCGAACGGAGGTACTCAATGCTGGGTACACTACGCGGCGGCGGGGATTCTACTAATCCCAAGTCCATCCCACTCATGGCGGAAACAGGGGTCATAGGCTGCTCCGGCTCGACCGACTCTAGCTCGGGGGTCAAACGAGGCAGGACGGTTCGCCAACACAGGCCCTCACTGACGGGAGGACCACCGGCGCCGGGGGTTAGCTTGAGAACAAGGTCAGTCCAACGCTGAAATGTAGCCTCGGAGATATGCAAACGCCAACCAACCGCCTGGAGAAACATCAACTCATTCTGGTTGATTTCCAGTGTGTTCAGACCGGAGATTTTGCTCCAGGCCCGGGCGGAGTAGTTACGATCTTGCAGGTACTTTGAGGCCAAAATCAACGCAGCAAGAAACATACGGCGACCACACTGCATGGCTCGCATCATCGACTGATCACGAGGTTGTTCCTTTGTGAAATCATGAGCGGGCACATGCTGCTTGATCTTAATGAGATAATATAATGCCACCTGCAGAGTGCTGTAGCTGGTACGCGAGCGTCTCAAAGTTTCTTGGATAAATGTTCGAAGAGGAAGGACTCCTTTCGATCCGGTCGCGGCATCGCTGCGGGATGCCGTGGCGGACAACGGCCAGATATTCTCAACGATTTGAGATGCTGTGTCTTTTCGGATAGAAGGACGGAAACTTAGCCAAATGCACTAGGGTTTATAGAGAGAAGAAGACACTGTATTTGGCACAACTTACCGACAAGGTTATCCACGAAGTTTACCTTCCGCTCGGACTGGCGAAGCAAGCATGGTGGCGGGCGTGCGGCAGCAGGACCACTGGCCGCAACATTATGAGTGCGCCGGGGATGCATCCGCATCTCAGGAGGTACGGCGGCATCTTTGGCAGGAACTCCCTTTGCAAAGGCGCGGGGACATCCCATAGATCTCCCAGCCAAGTGACTTTCTCCTTCATTTTCCCAAATCACATCGACGGGGTTGGTCGCGGTGGAAGAGATGGAACTCTGGGAGGCGTCGAGCGAGAAAACGGAAGAGGAAGAAGACGAGGCGGAGGAGGAGATAGAGGAGGCATAAGGGTGAGCATGAGATGCTTTTGATAAACCTGGGTTTGACGAATGCAAACCCAAGGCATCCATCCCCGACATATCCGTCGGTACTGCGGGATTCATGAAGGCTAGACTCGAGGGTCGGACTTTCAGGTAAAACGCGACCGGGGTGGGTAAGGAAGAAGGATAATCCAATTTTTTTTCAATATAACCGTTAAACAGGGAACCGGGAACGAAGGCCGAGGAGACAGAAGCCGTCTTTGGGGATCAAAGGCGACGGCAAAGCCTAAAAGATGTGGAGCGCCAGTTTATATCAAGGCGTTTTTGTTTTCCAAATGATTAATGATTCACCAGAGGAGAAGTACCACCGGTGAAGGGAGGAGTTGAAGGTGTAGATAGTATAATGAGGTACAAGGCGTTGGAAGGCGTTGGAAGGGGGGCAATGAAAGAGATCAAAAAGATGAAAATAGTAACAAGAAGAAGATAATAAAAGACAGTAGTCCGATCACACCAGTGTTGTGGCTACAGATTTATACCGAGACACGGATGGCGCAAGTGTCTTTGACGCTGGATGACTCGACTTGATGAGGCAAAAAAAGATCTAGACGAAGACGACGGAAGCGGCGGCGAGGTAGGAATCGATAGCGGCAACACGGGCGATCGTGACGAAGGACACAGTATACATTTTGAAGCAGAGAACGTAGAGGGAAATGGGATTCAAGGCACCCAACAGACCATGAATAGGCACTTAGAGGCTGAAGTGACTATCTCAAGGCAGTGGTGGAGGTGCTAGGCAGATGGAGACTTGGGGGCGGGATGACCAGGTATGACTCCGGGTATCCGAGTGGTATCCGAGTGCGGAGAGGGAGAAAGGGAAGGCGAAGATGTGTCGGAGAGGAGAGATGGAGGGAGGAAGAGGAAGAAGCGAAATAAGGTATGTGTCAAGAAGGGTCAGAAGTAGTTGGAGAGTGCGGGATGACTCTTAACTCTTAAGCATTAGGGGGGGAAGGAAGGAAAAACCGCAGACTCAGAGAGGGAAGGCACGATCGGGTGTGACTAAGAGCGGAAAGAGTCACGGTGTGGCGAGGGTGGCGGGAACAACCTGAGATTTACTGTAGAAGAAAGGATATATTTTATTATTTTATCATTTATGATACTTTATCTTTTAAATTATTATATTTTATCATTTTATTTCATTCTATCCTCCTTGTTCACTATCTACTATCATGAAAGTTTTGTGTTCGGGTCTTCCGTGACTCATGTTCAACTCTGGTTCCCCGTATACAGGGAAGATGATATTTTTACCAGACTTATACTACAAGACGATACAATTGATAATAGTCTCTATATAATGTGGGATATAATAATACTATTTACCTCTGCATGTCAACTTATCGACATTAAAATATACTAAGCCGCATACAATCTATAAATCATACTATAATTATCATATAACCCCAGACTATACTGTACAATCTGCACATAATCTGTGCTGGGGCGCTGGGCACTACAAGTGGATGCCTTTCAGTGTTCCGATGTTCGGGCTTGACTCATACTTTTCCCCTTTGCCACGCTGTTCTCCCTCTATTTCAGAGTCTCCACCAATCACATCCCCCACAATGCCCCGTTAGCCTCGTTTTCATTGGCGTGATCGGCGCCCATAAGGCCCAAGTAAGGATGAGTTATGCCTAATTTCTTAACACAGCAATTCGCTATTCTTAGTTCCTTTTTTGCACTGCCGTCATCCCATGCTCTCCCAGTGGCCACCTGGGCACCAGCCACCCCGGGGCTTCCTCAATCAGCAATCAGCAATCACACTAAAGCAGACTAAGTCCATGTTGCGCATAAGACATCCTATTCGGTGATATCATCAGTGCCCATCACAAAGTAATATCTCTACTTAAAGAATATTCTCGGATTATTTCTTCTAAATTGGTATAATGGTATAATGGCATAACACTTTCATTATTAAACGCTGGGGCTCCCCCAGTGGCTCCACTTCCAAGGTTCGGCGGTTATTCGTATTGATTAATACGTCGCCTTCAGCCTCCATCTTGGAATCGAATCTTATGGAAAATCACAAATCACTACTGCAAGTAAAATGAGTTAATGGATTGCATACCGAAATCATAGCCCAATTCGGGCATACACACTCAACTCCTAGTTCAAGCCAGATATGCTCGTCATACCCTCGATCGGGTAACAATAAATGCCTTGGGTAGATAACCTGCAACCAAATATACTCCACAGTAACTAGCGACCGTAGATACAGATACGTCGGCTGACCTGCTACCCCGTGATAACGTGACTCTACCGATTTGATAGCATGGATAATATTGAAATCCAGATATTGGATTGGGTTATATGTCGTTCTCCACTGCCTAGAATGAGTCACTTTCCTGAAGTTATCTGAGCACCTGGGGTATTACGGCCTCTATGCAGACTACTCGGGTCCACAATAGCGGGGATTACTGGCATTCAAGGGCTCTGCTTTCTTTCTATAGCCAATACTTTCTCTTGAATTATCTATCGGGCTTGTTTGGGGGTTTTCGTGGCTATATGACCCAATAGACTTATCAACTACCTAGATCATTCTTTGTCCCTCTATAGATTTGAGGTTTTATAGGTTGAAAGTTGACGGTATATCTCTTTGGCTACCTAAAAATGCACCATAGCTAGCTCGCCTTTCTCTTCCCTGTGTGCAATCACGGCATGTTATGATCTGGGTAGTTACTTAGAACTGGGTAGGACCTGAGGCTACAATGTGGTGATATTCCCTCACCATGTGGCAGCTCTTTCCCCATTTCTATCCAAGACACTATATGTATGTATATCTTAAGATAGCAGGATTGAAGCTTTACTTGGCGATATCCCACGGGCCTCAAGAGCCAAGGCTGTAGATGCGCCCATGCCCAAAAATACGCATGGGATGCGATCTCTATGTGCAACCCGTGTATATACTATACTGCATGTCCACTCGTCCGAAGGCAGTTAACTATGACTTTCGCGCCTTTGGATGGCTTCATAAATGATACTTTGTTAATGCCTAATCTATATCTAATAATGTAGATATATCGTCGGCGGTTCGTCGCCACCCGCATAGTATGAGCACATGACATCCTACTTGACTCATCGTTTCAAGATTCAGCCATCTACAAGGTAAGCACTTCCCGTAACACCGTCACCAGTCCCCCTACTTCCGCCTCTGTTGCCTGATCAGTCTCCAATATCCACAATAAATGACTCCAACAAAACCACATAGAAACTCAACTTACCACTATTATAATGCAACAAACTCACTCGTACCACCCCATCATCCACATCTTCCAGCCCACACACATCCTTCAGCAACCGATGACTATACATGTGTCCACTCCGGAATCCATAAGATGACCGTGCCTCAACAGCCTCTACTAACTGCTGGCTGCCCATCCCACGCACGATGAAACTGATCACAGGCACACGTAGCTCCTTCGCGGCGCTCGGCTCGCCAATGATAGTGATCCGTTCATCGCCCCGCAGGAATGCAAGGAGAATCTCCTGTAACCGCTCCTCGTGAGCTGCCATCGAATCCCATGTGGCGCTCGAGTTGGGCCCAAAGTACTCCACTACCAGTGGAATGCTCTGAGTTAGCTCGTAATTGGCTGATGCTAGATTGAGCTTTAGATCTAGCGTATCATTGGGCTTGAAGAAGTGGCCCAGTGACTCGATTTGCTCCTGGATTCGTGATGAGGCGTACAGTTGTGCTAGGTGGGGTCCGTAGACTTTGTACCAGGAGAATGCCTAAGGGTTCCGTGCGTGTTAGGTTAGTGGATATGAGACTTATATAATGTCGAAAGGAAGGAAATAATGGATATTGTTAGGTAGGCTTACGTAGAAGTCGACTCCGAGCGCCTTCACGTCTACCTGTCGATGCGGCGCGAGTGCAACCCCATCCACGCAGAGGAGTGCCTATAATAATTCATAGTTAGCTATGTCTCGGTCTGTAATACTAGGTAATGATATCGTCTTGGCTTGACATACTCGTGGATGCGCATGGACGGCATCGGCAATCTCGCGGACTGCGGTGATACTTCCTGTGATATTCGAGGCGTGGGGACAGGTAACCAGTCTGGTCTTGTCGGATAGTAGAGTCTTCAACTCGTTGACATCACAGATGGGGTTTTTGGGGTTCGAAGATGCCCACCACTTGACAGTCAGTCCGAGGCGCTCTGCGACCCGCACCCATGGCGCTGAGTTGGCTTCGTGGTTCAGCTTGGAAATGATCAACTCATCGCCAGGTTGGAACTTCAGGGCAGTTGAAAGATTGTGAAGAAGCTGAGTGGTTGATACTCCAATGCTGATCTATGAGATATGTTAGATATGCATTGATTACTTCTGCAAGCTATGCATGTGTCCTTTTCTCAGCTGCTGGATGTTTGGGGTAGTTACCTCTTCTGGCTGCGCATTTATGAAGCTTGCTCCAGCCTCATATCCTATAATCCATGCACTGGTAGACTCTTTCGAGACTGGGTAGGTAGCTCCAAGTTGAACATTAGAGCTCAGCAGGTAAGATCGAATACTATAGACTATGTTAAGACCCCATCTCGTCGTAGTCATCCTGATGTTTTACTCACGAATCCGCGACTGTTGAAAGTACCTGACTTCCTCCTGGAAATACATTGAAAATATCCGAATATCAGATATGTGTTCTCTTTCTGAATCTGTTCATGATGCTTGAGGATCCACGTACCAGCATTGTCCATATAGATTTGCTTCTGCTGCAAGGCCGGGAAGTACCCGCGGGCAGTATTCACGTCAAATGTTCCAGGTGCCATGGTGCTTCTATCTGTATCTGTACAAGTGGTATACTCTTCCCTCGTAATGAAATTGAAATTGAAATGTGCGATTTGTGATTTGTGATTAGGGACGTGGGTTGCTCCGAACTTGAAGAGGGGTAGCACTGGTGGATCTATGACGGACTTGCTCCGGCCGAGATAAACAGTGCGGAAACCCTTTCAAGCGTCACAATGGGTCCGAGTTGTAGATGTAACGCTTTGTCGTGGCTTTGTGGCATATGAGATTGCTAGGTATTCTAGATATCTGGTGAGATTCAACGACTCCTGGACATCAGCCTTCAAATCACCTCTACAACTTGAAGCTAAGGTGAGTCTAACGAACTAAGAAAGAACTACAAAGAAACATGACGAATGTATGAATTTGGCAACGAATATATTGCTTCGATCGGGTATATCCATGTACAATCATAAAATGTAGAAAGAGAGAAAGTGATCAAGAAACACGCAAACCCCCGAGAGTGCAGAGCAGCCTATAGACACCAGGACATCAAGATAAAATCGCTTAAAGCCCATTAGAATTTATCGAGATCGAGAACCTCCTGCGCCAGGTCCATTATTCGAATGTGAGGCATCATGCACAACGCAAAGCAGATACTTCCGATCGGGCACGACGACAATTTCGTGTTTTCGGGTTCGCATACGCAGTAGCTTTACTTCTTCGTCTTCTTCACGTTCTGTACTGTCGCCGTCTTGGTCTTCCTCGCGCGGGGTGCTGGTTCCATTTATCCCATAGGAAGTGTCGTATCCTCCGTCCAATCCTGTTGTGTGGTTCTCACTCGATTGCTGGGGCGGTCGGGAAAGTGAAATCCCCAGTGCGGAGGCACTTGAGACAAAAGCGAATATGTGCGCTGCTAGTGCTTCTGCTTGCGAGGGTTGGTACGTGATTGGTGCAGGGGTAGTTGGTGAGGTGGGCGTGGAGTCTGATGGTTGAGGGGGTACAGTGCTGTCGGTTGGAGGTGCGGTTATAGGTGTTGAGCGAGGGTTAGGCTCTTGGGGGGCAAGCTGGCCGGTGCTTTGGATAATAGAGCCGTCTTTGCGGGAGAGAATCAGGGTCGATTGAACTCCTGGGCGGGAGGTGAGGTGGGAGAGCAGTGCGGTGACATGCTGAGGCACATGTTGTGTTCGCTGGATGGAATGGTTAGTGACTATTCGTTTGAGTCTTTGGGACTTTTTCAAATCAAAGGATTGTATATTGTAGCAGGAGAGCTTACTGGTTGGTTGGCCATCTCAGGTCCAGCGGGGAATGTGTGAAAAGAGATTGAATGTGATCGGGGATGTTGATTAGGATGACACAGCGAATGTCATGGTTTGAATTTCAAATTTGACTTGTCATCTGCATGTCAGCCAATATTTTTGGTAGAATAAGCGCTAGTGTGAATTGAACTGGAGTTCAATAATCTCAGGGCTGCAGATTGAAGCTCTCCCGATCTTGATCTTTTGTTATGAGAAGCTCCGATCATGGCCCAAACAAATGACTAAGCATATCACATGGCCGCACGGGACCTGCCTTAGTATGAGAGACGTACCTACCGGCGTTACTAGTAATACGGATGGGAAGACCAAGTTTAAGAGAGAATGTCAAATTCAATTCCAAGTTTCTCGAGAAAATACTATATTTGAAAGGAGGCTGGGTACTATGAGTCTAAGAAGCATTATGAAAGAAGAAAAATGGTATCGTTGAAAGTAAATAGGTATAATCAAGAGGGGAATGTACAGGCGTGTGCATGTATATATCGTAGAAATTATTGGCCAAAGGCGCAAAAAATCTTGAAAGAGATCATCAAGTCATAGAAGTGAAGCATCAAACTTCGGATGGTAGGAAAGAACGTAAATAGAAAAGAAAAACATGAATCGGACAAAAGAATGAGTTATAAGATCAACGCTGTCGGCCCATCGAGCGAGGTCCACCGACACTTGACTTGTCCGATAACCAACCAGCTTCAATATCTTCAAGCATATTGTCTAACTGGCGGGCATTTGCTCGAGCATCACGAACGGATCCTGGTGTTTCAAATCCGCTGAGATCACTACTCCGAGAGGAGCTCATCCAGCTATCCGGTCTTGATGCAAATCGACCTTGGTAGGGATTGCCAGGTCCTGATCCAGGAAAATTGGAAGGAATAGCAGACTCATGCAGATCAATGTTTGGCTTCACCCCAGCATTCAAAGCTGCCATGAGAGCAGCTTGGAGGATTTGATTTTGCCGCTCCAGATTAGCGACTCGATCCTCCAGGAAATGGTTTGCATCGCGAGCGGAGGCTGAGACGTGGTGGTTGCTCTGAGAATCACGCGAGCGCATGGTCGATTGGGAGTATTGGGACTGTGGGGAGAATGAATTCTCGAAGCCATGGTTTCTACGGCCTTGTGGCGTCAATGACCTTGCTGGATGTGGGTAGCTTGGTCGGCCATGACTAGTGCGTCCATCTACCGTTTCATAGCCACGGTGCATTGGATGAGAACGCTGCTTTGGATGCGGCTTCAAGCTCTCGTCATATATATGCAGGCGTTTCTTTGCTGTGTTGGGACCAAAGCCTTCGTCATCGGATGACGGGAGAGGAGATTCAGCTCGACTAGAATCTTCGTACGATGATTCGGGAATGCTTTCGTGTCGGAGGCTGCTTCGAGAGCTATTGCTGCGGGAAATTATTGATGCTCGGTGGTTAGGAGCACCAAAAGGCATATCAACGCCCTTGGAAATGTTGAGTCCGGTACCAACAGGCGCCGTGTAATTACGATGAGCCACACGCTCCACACGCTCGCTGGGTTGTTGCGTTGCTGGATCTGGTGGAAGAGCCGCAGAGGGAGGAGGGGATGGGAGACCGAAAGGAAGATTTTTTCGGTCAACTTGAGGGTTGATTTGAAGTCCCTTGCGGGTGGCTCGTTTTTCATTTGGCTTCTCAAGGGGTAAATGCCCCAGAACAGGAGAATCTGCCAAAGGTTGATGAGTCGTATGTTGACCTCCATTGCGGCTTGGACTTTCGGGCACTTCCTTCATATGAGGAATGCCCACACTCAAAGAGCGCCTTCTTGGAGTGTATTGCTCCGGTGATGTTGACTTGGGTCGCTCTGGAGTAGTTTGGAGGGACATTGCATCGTCCTCATCCTCCGCTGGCTGTCCAGCGTTTATTTGACCAAGGGAAGTAGCTGGACGAGGCTCTGGCTCACGAGGCTCCTCGGCAATAGGGGATGGCTGAGAGTACTGAATGTTAGACATCTTGGAACTAGGCCGAGATGTTCGTACAGCCGTATGAGCTCTTGGGTCAACAGGCGGAGCAAGATTGTTTGATTTCGGAATCGATGGCAATGGCCTTGTTGGAGCTGGTAAAGGAAACGCTTTCAAGGTACCCAAGGCCAATGAAGGTGGGCGCGATTTCTTCTGACTTTGAACAGAGACATTACTTGTCTTTCTGACTTCATTAGGAGTTGAATCGGTGGTGATGGCAGTGCCCAGAGCCCCTGAACACGTCGGCTCCTCGGAATCCTTTGAGGGTGTTTCTGTTCGCTTTTGCTGCTGCTGTTGTTTTTGCTGCTTCTCTGAAACATCTTGAATCTTCTTTGGTGCCGTTTGGACTTCGGCCTTGACAGGCGGCGCAGTCCTTGTGGTGGTCGTCTGATACTGGGGTGTAGCCGAGAGTCGCCATGCATTCTTGCTAGACATACGAGGGGGCGCCACATTGGGGAAAAGCTTCAATGATGGAGGCGAAGGGTTATTAGTAGGCGGATTGGGCGGGGAATGATCTGGTGCTTGGGGTTGTTCAATAGCTTGAACTTGCTCAAGTTCACTGTTTTGAGATTGATCTGAGATGGCCACACTCGGGGATGAATCACTTGTTGGCCGTGATTTGGGGGTTTGATTCTGATCCACCACTTCTAGGCTTGAGCTCGTAGAGATAGAAGGCTGTGGCAGATCATCATCCTTTGATCCACTTCCTTGAGTTTCGACAATGGATGTCGTCGACGACCTGGGTCTGTCAATGCTGTGTGAACGAGCCTCAGATGAGGACCGAGGCATTGGTAGTGTGAGGCTTGATTGCGAAGGAGATATTTCAGTGATGCGAGAGGCAAGTGCACTGGGAGTCGATCGTTGATAAGGAGGAGGTGATGGTTCATATTCGGATAGTGATACAGCAACGTCGAGCATGGAGCCAAAATCGTCTAGATCCAATGATGCCAAGCGACGTTTTGGTTCGCTTGAGCTGCGAGTGCTATCACTTCTGTTCAGCCAGGGCCGGCCAATTGCCTCTATATCCTGCATTTTCGATTTGGAGAATGTTCGTTCAAGGCTGCTCTTAGGCCGATCTAGACTTGTCTTTGAACTATTCTTCGAACTGTCCATGCTATTTTTCGAACGGCTAGAAGTACTCTTGGGCGGCTTTGAAGACATTAGATAACCCTCTCGTTGTAGAGCCTCTATCTGCTTTTGATGATCATCAACCTTTGTTTTCGGGGTTGATTCCTTTTTTTGTCGTTGAGTAAACTGGAGAAGTCGACGATGTAAAGGTTTAAGTTGCTCTTTGGTCATTTCAGGGGTCGAATCTTTCGGCTCGGGGGATACAACAATTGGAAGCGCCGTTGTGGATTCTGGAGAGCCAATTGGTGCTGTAGATGTTGGGGTTGGCATGTTTTGCGTTTGGAAAAAGCTAACTAGATCTGATAAATTCTCGTTACGGGATGGCCGCTCTGCCATCCCCGCTGAGCGAGCTTGAGGTCGTGGTCCACTTGGTCCACGAAATCCGGTGTTTGTTGGAGAATCAGGGATCGAGGTGGGCATGCTTGGAATTCTGCGCTTGCACTGGTGATCCGGCCGATAGGTCGGAACAATGGGACTCGGCGCAACAGCACTTTCATGTACTGGACCCCAACGATGCATACGGGCATCAATTGGCCTGCTTCACAGTTTGACTGGATGCGTGGCCCATAGGGGATCTATATTTGACCAGGAAGGTTGCGACAGGGATGGAAGACTTGTATATAAGTTAGATATCATTTCTTCCCATGCATGGTTCACGTTAAGCGATAAGCTCACCTATTGCATGATAGTAATGACCCGAAAACGACGGAAGGAGTAGCTGAAGGAGGATATATAGGCGACGGGGAGTTGTGGCGAAGCGACAGGTACTATGTAGATAGAGTCCGGTATATACAGAGGGTATTGGCAAGGGGTGTGGCAAAGCGCCTGCAATCAATAAAAACGAAGGAAGTAAACAGGAGACACCCCAGGTGAAACGAGGCAACAGGAGGGGAACAGCCGGGTGTTTAAAGGCACTGCAGGCTTTTTGAAGTTGAGCTGTCTCTTTCCCTGGAAAATCAGAGAGGGGGCCATGTGATATTGTCCTAATCCTGGAATCGTTGATCATGATGCATGATTGATCTAGTCCCACTTTCGGAAAGCAGGTAGCCTGTAAAGCGAGCAGCTCCGGTTGGAGCTAAAATCATTAGTACGAGAAAGGATCACCGACTCCCCTCAAAAGGGGGGGCAGGAACCATCAGATCCACATCCCATCTGGTGCATCTGGTGCCACCGAACGCGCATATCTAGGTGGATCGAATCGGACGGCAGCATGACAATATGACACAGCAGCTGGTGGGATTAGCAAACTATTCTGACTTCGCATGGCCCCATCACTATGCTGAGAATGATGATTGGATCTGCAGGTAAGAAGAACGCAACACAATCCCTCTGTTGCCTTTTTGTTGTACTACCAATATCGCATGGCTATGCGTTCGCGCGAGCACCGTGAACCCCTCGAGATTTCCATCTGGTCTCAATAGCAATTGGACTTCAATAGAGGCACACGCAAGGGGGGGCGCCTGACCCGGTACACTGGGCCAAGTCCTCTCTTTGTCGTTATTCTGTCGCCAGTGCTAAAGTATAAATGTCATGCGGATGTGAGGTATCAGCTTTTACCCCATCCCGCAGCGGGTGTTCGCACTTCGCAGATCATGACCAGGGATCCCCGGAACGGGTACAGGCGCAAAGATGAGCTGCAGGCGGGACCCATGGAGAAAGTCTTTTTTGTTCAGAGAATTTATTTGGCCATTGAGAAAATCACCGCGTTAAGGTGGGAATCGTATTTCATTCAGTAGAGTTTAAGGTGGGGAAAGTGCAGAGTTGTCGGGTCGCCACTATCTGCCGCACTATTGATGTCCCCGCGCCCTTGCAGCAAACCTGTCCGATCTACCAGTTCATTGAATATTGAATACTACATTACTTATTACCCTTACACAGTCCAAATTATGCGATTTGAATTCTCTGACTTTACTGCATTTGATTTCATAATGTATTTGTGTTCTGTATTTGTTTTTAAGTGCATGACATCCTCATGGCCAAGTTTCTATAGACAAAACAAAGCATTTCAGCAGCGCCACCCTTGTTTTCCTTATAAATAAAAGCAAACAACAAAAGAAAAATGATGGAAATGATGGAAGATCAAAGAATATAAGTGGAACACGCAAGTAAAACCGGAAATATTACGAGCAGCCCCCCCGAGATCCGAAAAGAACTCTGCACATACTACAAAATTGATGTATCAATCTTGCCATCTCCACTTCAAGTTGCCTGTCATCGTGAACACTTGGACATCCCCAACGCCAATTCTTTCCTCTTTTGCTTTGAACCTTGGAACTTTCGGAAAGTGGATCTTAATCTACGGATCTTGGGACAAAAGAACAGATCATAGTGGATGTTCAACTCTGTTTTATGGTTTTTATCTCCGATGCGCCGTGATTCCATGCATTGTACAGAAGAAAGAACAGATGATGATCTTCAGACCCTCCGAATGACGCCTTCTAATGATTAATAGGGGAAACAATCCGACTCAAGTCCCATCGAAAGTCTGGGACAAGTTCCACAAAGGACATGATTGGCATGCAAAATAAATATGCCGGAAATGAAAATGCAAGGACTATGCTAAGATACAGAGAGCAATGAGTACAAAGATAAGAAAAAAAAATACAGTGAATGCTGACTAGAAATCTTGACAAGACGTGGCTACCACCAGTGGATCGGAGGTGGATAAGAGTTCGAAAAGGTAAGATATGAGGATAAAGTAGAAGCTCAGTATCTTGACATAGAGAAACCTAGAGTTAGGGTACGTAGTGATACATCTCTATGGTCGTCGCTGTTTGGGCCGAATGAAAGGATCCGCCTGCTTTTTCTTGCGCATCATGGGGGGACGCGGCTTGGGCGGAGCATTCGAGGACGGAGCGTTCGGAGCATTCGAGGCCTAGATAAATGTGAGAAGATGAGATAAGATGATGAGTCGATTTACAAGATCAAAAAGGTTAAATTTACCGTCGAATTCTTGGACCCAGATGGGGCTCCCGGTGGCGGTTTGTTGTTTTCGCCGGAGTGTGTAGGGCCGTCTCGAGATGGCTTGATGAGATCCTGCGACGCGTCGGTGTCAGTAAGAGGGAAAGAAAGAAGGCAACAAAGGTTGATTGGATAGATAATAAACCGAAATAAGTGAGTTTGTTAGTCCAACTTACAGCGGGCGGACCACCGGCTCGTGGTCCCTTCGGAGCATTTGGTGGTGGTTGGTTTTCTGTGCGGGGACGAGATACCTTAGGGGCTCCGGCTGCCGGATTGTCGGTACGCTTGCGTTTGCCTCCGGGATTGTCTTCGGGTTTGCTTGGCTTGTCACTAGTTGCCTGAACAACAGGTACCTTGCGATCATGGTGGCCAATTTGGTTCTTGCGTTGACGCTCGGCAAAGCTTCGCTTTAGTGCCTCAAAATCGCGTTCTTCTTTGGCTACCCGGGCTTTCGCTTGCTTGGATAGCGTTCCAGGCGCCTGGCATTGAAGCATTCTGTGACCAAATTGACCGCACTCCCGACATCGCTCAGTGGTACATTTGACTTTGCTGTGGCCATTCCGTCCACAGCGGTAGCATTGCCCCCGAGCAGCGTGTTGAGCGCCAGTATTGTCACAATTATGAGTGAAATGTTCAGCGCTGCCACATATTCCACAATTTTTTGATTCATCTAAGCCTGATGCTCCACCGGATGGTCCATCGGGGAGGGGGATCGGAGGGGTGCCACGTTGCGAGGCGGACACCGATGCCGGTCGGGAATCAAGCCCAATTGAAGCCGACGAAGGTCGAGAGATAGATGGCACGGAGGCGATTGATTCAGCTGGTGTTTGTGGAGCATCGGACTCAACAATCTCCTCAACGTCTGCCATTTCTTCTTCTTTGTAGCCGGTAAACTGTGGCTTATCCAGTAGGCGGATGATGTTTCCTTCTGTGTAGCGGTTGCGGGCACGCGCATCTTGAATCAAACCGTTCCAGAATTGGCCTTGTACCAGGGATTGGGAATTACCCAACACCCACAATGAGGTTTTGGCACGAGTCAAACCGACGTTCATACGACGAATATCGGCCAAGAAACCAATACCTTTGTTGGAGGCACGAACACAGGAGAAAATAATGATCTCGCTCTCACGACCTTGGAACGCATCTGTGGTGTTGAAGTCTACTTTTTTCAGAATTTCCTCACCATATCTCTGGGAAAATTTGATCTTCATCTCTCTCAATTGGCCCTTGTAAGGAGTAATGATGCCTATTTTTCCATTGAAGTCATAGTCCCTGACATCTGTTATGAGCCTCTCATACAACTGCATGGCGACTTGCAACTCCGCGTAGTTAATCAGCGAGTGGCCCCTAGCCGCACTTGAATGCATGCCTTGAACATCGAAAAATCGGTATGGGCTAAGCAGTTCGCTCTGATGCCAAGGACGCGTATTGATCTTTGACATGCCAGGGCCGTCTTGGAGCTTGCCATCGTAAAATGTAAGACTGGGGAAGCGACTGATGTCTGGATGCATACGGTACTGAACATCCAACAGGTGGACATCTTTTGGATGGTTCTTCTGCATACGAACGAACAAACTTTGTTCGTACTGGAACTTAGATGCCATCTTGGAGAGAACTGTGGGCGGAAGCTGCTTAGGGTCACCAACAAGCACACATTTCGAGCAGCCGTACTTTAGAGGAATCAAAGCGCTCAGCTCAATACATTGAGCTGCTTCGTCAATGATGACTGTTTCGAACTCAACGCTCATAGATTGGAACATTTCATGGCCGGAACCACTCAGCGTAGTACAGATGACATGGGCACCATCAATGATCTCTCGTTGGACTTGTCGTTTCTGGAGTTCGGCATTACGGGTCAAGGATTGGTTTTGGTCACGACGTTTGTCGATTTCCGCACTCAGATTAGCTCGTTGCTTTTTCAGGTACTCGAATTCACGCTCGAGCTCGGCTGGAGGAGGAAGACCTTTGATTCGGATTTCATCGAGATTCGTGCGGATTTCTTTGAAGGAAGTGTCGGTCTTTTTGTGCTCGTCATACAACTTCTGCATGTCACCAGGATTGCCAGAGGCAGGCTCTCTGTTCAATCGAGCATTAACCATTTCATCAAGGGTAACATCAAGAACATTAGCGTTGATCGCTTCACTTCTACCCAAACGAACAACCGAAATCTTCTCTTCTTGACCATGGATGGTTTTGACTCCGGACTTGAGACGCATGACCAATTCGTCAACGGCGGCATTACTTGGTGCACACACAAGAATCTTACGGGCCGCCGGAGCCCGTGTGCTTTGGTTACCCTTTCCAATCGAGACCCCGGCCTTTTCAAGACTGCTGGTGAGAAGACTACCCACGAGAGCGGTGATGGTCTTGGTTTTACCAGACCCAGGAGGACCTTGGATGAGAGTAAAGGCATCGTTATCCATAGCCGATTTGATCGCCTTAGCCTGGGCGGAGTTGATGGTGTAGTTTTTCATGATGGGTTGGAGCGTTGACTCCGCGTATGTGAGGATGGGGGACGGCTTGGCTAAAACAATCTCTTCGCATAGATCATAGTACTGTAGAGCACATAGGGCACCGAATTCACGCTCAACGGGGACCAAAGATGTAATTTTCGCTCCCCAAGCGGTGGAGCCCGTTCCAAAAGATGTGAGATATTTGTTTCCGTGTCCTTGGTTCATACGGTAGGTGACTTCATGTTTGCCACCTCTTCGGTTCACGCCGTGCACTCGGGCAAGGAGATGTCCTCCGTTGGGGTCCCCGGTGGGATTTGATGAACTCGAAAACAAGACCAAGTCGCCTTCGCTCATAAAGAGGTCTTTGTTGGGGAGACCAAGAGGTTGGGTGCTAAACTCGATCCAATCGTCGACAGTCAAACGGGACATGATTTTAACTTCGAAGGGCCGGAAGGATCCTTCTTCCTTGGCCTGCTGGAACTGCTGCCAGGCCTCGAGAATCAGCAACGGCTGGAAGGTGTTTTGGTAATCAGTCGGAGAGCGAAATGTGTTGGACACTAAGGTGTAATCGCTGCGGCCTCCATTGGGTGGTTGGTCGCCGGTGGAAAAGAAGTCCCAGGATAAGATTGAATGGTGGAGAGATGAAAGATCCGGGGCCAGACGAGCACGCATGTCCTTGGCAGAACGGTGGCGGCGAACCTTCTTCACGGGCATCTGCTGGAGGGATTGCTTCTTGCTCTGTTCGTAAGCAGCCACGGCATCTGGCTTTCTCGATTTTGCGCCAAATAGGTCTTTATCAAGTTCATCTTCACTCGAAGAATCAGTGTCAGAGCCAGACGAAACCATCATACTATCTGCAGGAATTGTATGGTCTTTACCCTTAATACCAATACCTTTCAGGCCAGAGCCTTGTTCAGCTGTTTGACCAGCGATATGGCCCTTAAGCCGAGCCAATTCAGCTTGGTCGCGTCGCTTCTTGGCCTCTTTCTCACGCTCTCGTTTCTCGCGGAAGGACAACACATGTGTGACATCGTTGCTAGTGGGGCGTGGTGTGCCACGCTGTTGTGGCTTCGCCAGTGGGAGCGTCTTGGTGGTTGCGGCGGCTCCAATTTTAGAAGCGCCTTCGGATCTGCGCTTCGCTTGCGCTTGAGATATAGCTTGAGCAGCACGGCGATCTTTGTTGAGTTCAACGGATTGAGAAAGTTCAAGAAGAGTAGCATCAGGAATATCGTCAAAATCGTCTTCACTGATGGTGCGAGAAGGAGGACTGGAAAGACCAGATGATTTGACAAAAGCGGTAATTGAGGCTTGTTTTTTGAGTGAAGCTGTGGTGGCAGTAACTACGGGACGCTTGTAATAGGCCTCCAACGAACGGACTAATTCGGCCTTATCCCGAGGCGTGAGGATCGTTTTGATAGTAGCATTTGCCGCCACCCCCTCAATGAAATCCAGTGCATCAGGCTTCACCTTGACCTCCAATCCTGCGAACCTCCTCAATAGTTTAGAAACCAACCCAACTAGGGTATTGGCCAGATATTCATCTTTCAATCGTAACCACTTTACCATGGCGCTCATAGTGATATTGGGTGATTGAAGGAATGCCTTTTGGCCAGCGTCCTCTCCCCCAACAGCTCCCAAGAATACACCATACTGATCGAAGAGAAAGTCCGCAAACTGTATGGTATCTCGACAAAACTCCAGCATTACAGTTTTGTCATTTCCCCGAAGATGCCACGCTTCTGTCTCATCGAAGATAGTACTCAATGCAGACCATAAGAACTCCCACAGTTTTTGCAATGATACAATTTCTCGACGATCGACAAGATTGCGGGTTCGAAGCATACCAGTCTGACTGTTACATAAAATTTCCACGATATCAGTACCTGTATGTAGCATCCGAGGAGCTGGAGCAAATGTCTTCATGTTGGAGATTCGACGGAATGACCAACTGAGACCATACATGGTTGGCAAGAAAAAGGATTGAAGCAAGTGAGAGATGGCATCCCGTCGGGCTAATTGGCCACTGACATTCTTGATCAGATCTACGGATGCCTGATAGGTATCCAGATCAGCGGCAAATAGCGTCGAGATCAATGCACTGGCAGTATCTTGAAAGCTAAACAGCTCGTTCAGATGATCTTGAGGGAAATCTGACAATCGTTCAATGATTTGGCAAGACAGGCGCGTAAGGTGGCCATAAATCATGTTGAAGTGTGTCTTCTCTTGATTGTCTTCCCCCTTTATAGGAAACTTCTCCAGACCCACCAAAGGTAAAATTCCGAGAAGGGCAGATTTGGATAAAGCAAGATTATTTGGGGAGAGGTGTTGAATTACTGCATCCCATATTGGAGCAGAGTAAGTGGAAACACCATGTGCGAGCGTGCGTTGTTTCAAGATAACTTCGTAATCACTCTTTAGTGATTGACATTCGAGAGCTAATGTATTACGGACAACGTCCATACATAACGATATGAGGTTTTTTTGTAGATCTTGGGCAATGGCGAATGTCGGTGGGTTCAGAATGATGCGTACTGTGTCCTCTAGGACGCCCATGGTCTCTTTAAGGACAACCCGAGCGACTGAACCTCGCGAGGCTTCATCATCTGTGAAAAACCGCAGAGTATGTAAAAGACTGTGCAGCCCAGCTTCGAAGCAATGATAACGCGCCAAATTTGGGAATTTGGGATCTTGGAACTGCTTCAACAATGGTAATGCTAGGGCTCGACAGGCGGATGGCTGATGGGCGCCTTTCAACGAGCTCAGGAACGGGCTAATCCATGATAAAATATCCTTGAGAACGGACTTATCCCAGGGCTCACCCTCCTGAACTTGCATCAAAAATGTATTGAATTGCGGATTATGAAATGTGTGTTCAATCAAAGCTTGTGGTGAAATGGTTTGCATCGCATCCCAAAAGTCGGCAGGTGCCTTTTCTAGGAATATTTGGATCGTGTTAAGAAGATATCGCAACCCCGGCGATGGGAAGGCCAAATGATCAACGGAGAGCCGGCATGGATCGATTTCCAATGCGCGGAGCTGATGTGTTATTTGCTCCTTTTCCAACTTTTTGAGAATAAGTTGCATTCCTCGCCACAGCCGTTGGACGAGGGCCATTTGTAGGGGTTGTTGGGAGGCAGACTGTAGGGCGTTGAGCAATCCATCCCGAAGTGCCCATTCGAACTCGATTGTCGTCGGGGCTCTATTGTAGCGAGTCCACGTTGAAATTGCCCAGAAACTTCGCAGCTGGTTTGAGTCAAACAGAAAGCGAGTAACAGCCGGAACATAATCGGAGATCTTCAATGTTCTTCTGGTTTGGATCAACTTAAATGGAACATCAAAGTGCTCTTGGAGAAGACTATCACTGCGAAGCATAGCCTCGCAGCTCAAGGTTTCAAATATCGAAAGCAAGGCAGCTCGGTCAAGAACGTCCAACGCAATCTTCTCTGGCGGTACAGCTTTAAGCTGTGTAGTTGCAGTGGACAAATTTCGGGTGACACGCTTTACGTCCCACTCGTCCAGACGCTGAGCAAATGCCTCAATATCTTCCTCTTGGTAGTTTTCCTCCTTGAGCAGCTCCATCAACCAGATCTTTCCGGTGTAATATTCTTTGATACAAATATCACATTTCTCTAGGGATTCATCCAAGCTGCTCAAGATCCAGGTTTGTAGCTCCTCCACTCCATCTGCATTGTAGGCGAGAATTCGCATAGAAGAGAGGAATTTCTTCTTGCGAGCTGTTGCCTCGGATACGAGGTCTTTCACGGGCTTTCCATCTTTCATATCACCCAGATTATCATAACGGTCGTAATCGTCTTCGCTTTGTCGCGGACATAAGAGATGTATGCCCTCTGGAAGAGCCTTGAGCTCCCTACAACGCACCAACTTTGTAAGTTGCTATTGAACAATAATAAGTCTGGCCCGAATTTAAATACTTACCGAATAGCATCTACAAACTCCATGTCTGTAGATGTTGAGTATGTGCAACGAGTTTTTTATCATGAAATCCCACCACGCATTCCCTGTGAAAGAAGTAAATTTCCTAGCACATCCCCTCTGGCAATCTGACGGGTTCTTGATGTAATTTGTAGGGTCAAGCTGAGGTGATCAAGGCGGGTGTTCATTAATAGGAGTGACAAGGTTGTTGTAAGGGGACGATTGCGTTGCTGAGGATGGCGTAAAGGGAACGAGAATTTTGGAGTTGCTGGAGCTACTCCACGTTTAAATGAGAGAGGAAGCAGTGTCAACCTGGCGAGGCCAAACTGTAGGAGTCGTTGATTATGAGAGGAACGAAGGTTTTAGGTCAGTAGGTCAAGTTGGGCGATGATCGCCTAGTACATCTGTCAGAGCTGCCAATCAGGGGGAATATGGGCCACGAAAGGTCTCACCTAGATGCAAATGCACGACTGAGTAGTCGCTTGAAACACATCAAAAGTTAAGAAGGAAATTCGTCAGTATTAAATATTTGGACGCGGGCAGATCAATACAGCTTTACGATTGGCGAGACTCAAAGGCGGTCACCCATGAGGGCGGACGCGACGCGCAGCATTTATACCAGTTTAGGATTGATCAGTAGATCCTTTGGATTCATTTAGTAACTAATTGCATGTTGGTTACTAAAGATTAGTCGGGAATATGGGGGGTACTGTTCTACATCTAAGACTATCTTGGTTTTGTCTACAGTGCACAAAAGAATTCATAGATATCCGCATTAAGTACTTCCCTTATGGAGGCTTGGAATAGAATACATGAATATCATCCCTAGCTCTGCCTGGGACCCCATGGGAAATAAAACAGACCAACATAGAGAGAACCCAAAGGAGATAGCCCTTGGGAATGAATCGCAAGAATAGGCCATCGAATGCTGAATGGGCGCAAAAAGAGAGAAACGCTTTTGTACAAAGGACAATTACCTATATAACATGCGAAACCAGGTAAGGTGATGAGGGCAGCCACAGCCACCGTGTGGAGGTTGTCATAAATCTGGGGGGTTGTGGGTAGTAAAGGGAAAAGAAACTTGAGCAGAGAAAATGAGACAATGAAAAAGACGCCGCGCCTCCGACCGAATATAGTATACCAAACGCCTGCTTTCTATCAGGGGAATATCAAGGCCTGTGAATGGAATATGACATGGGGAAATAGTCAAGAGAAAGGTAAAAAAGGAAACACCACGGCAGATGGCTCATGAATATAGAGAGACAAAGGCAAGCATGGGAAGATAGAGAGAGAAATATTGGAAGGGAGAACTAAATGGAAAGCAAAAAAGAAAGCAAAAAACAAAAACAAAAAGCAAAGAGGAGAATCATCAAGGACGGGTCGTCAGAGCAAGTCTATGTGGAATTCGCTGCACCTTTTCAAATCATGTTATTATGTCCAGGAAGTTCGTCGGGCGTTTTGAAAGGGTCCTGGGCGACTTCAGATTGATGACTGGATTCCATTCGTTGGAGCATGGCGGCTGAGGTGAAATCATTGCTCTGCTCAAAACTGTGTCGAGCCCGTTCGAAAGAATGCCGAGTCCGATCATGGGATCGTCGTACATAATCCACCGACTGAGGCCGAGGATATTGATCCAGGCTTGCGGTATAGTTGGTGCCGTTGCTACCATTCTGGCTACGAGGATTGTGGCCATTTGCATGGTGGGCGACAGAAACTGACGGTGGGTAGAAGGGTCGCTCATCGTCCGGGATGCCTGGATCCTGTTTCAGTATAGGTTGAATAGGCTTAGCCAACTCCGAGGATGTGGCTGACCCGTCACTAGTTGTAGGAGCGGCAACTTCTCCCGCGTTTGGAGGCACATAATCCTCAAACTGTTCCAGGTACTTAAACTTTCCCATGGTAACTTGCTCGCGAATAATGTCGACATCCAATGGGAAAAACACCTTTTGAATTGCGTTGTAGGCAAAACGGGGTAGCAAAGCGACCATAACTGTCAAAAGCAAAATTACCCAGAAACTGAAGGAACCGTAAACCTGTGAACCTGACTTGTAAAACTGCGCAGAAGAAGTGAATGACGTATAGACACCAGTCCAGAAGAAAATCAACAAAGAGCTTATGGCGTTGATCAAGCAAGTGAACCAGTCCCATCGGTATGTGTTCATCATGATGTAGATGTTGCTAGCCAAAACGGCGCAGCTTGCTACCAACACACCCATGCGCGATCGATCGCCGATATCACGTCCATTTTCAGTCGCGAAGTTCGCGGTCTGGAAAAGCATATACGGCATGAAGAAACAAATGACAGACTGGTAGAGTCCATCGGCCATGTACAACCTGTATTCAATTAGAATCTATACACCACGAAAGGAATGGGATCATTAAAAACTTACCAGAACTTGAGCTGTGACCATTCCTTGCGCTCAATACCCCGCATGTAAAGCTGAGGCACAGCAAGAGACACTCTGTCATCAACATCTTGGTCGAAAATACCCATGAAAATAACCGGAAGAGAAGTGAAAGCCAAGTTGACCAGAACAATGTAGGTGTAATCGAAAAGGTAAGAGCAATCAAACTGGTTGTAAATACAGTACCAGAAAAGCGCAAATGTCCAGACCAAGTTCTTATAGAAGAAGTTGGCAGTACATTCACCCAAGCGACGGTAAGACCATCTACCGTGGACGAGCAGCAGACGCTGGAGGAATCGAAACTGTCCGATAGCATAATCGGAAGACATGACAGCCTGGCGACCTTCTTCACCAGCAATACCCACGCCCACATCGGCTTCTTGAATCATAGCAACATCGTTGGCACCATCACCAATAGAAAGTGCCATAACGTTGAGACCATGACGAACCATGTTGACGACTGCGGCTTTCTGGGAAGGACTGACACGACAGCATAGAACAGCCTTGCATTGTTTGCACAGCAGGAGGAACTTTTGCTTTAACTCATCATCCAGCATCAATTTCAGAGTCTCGCCGTCAACAATGACGGCATGGGTAGGTTCCGGTGGGGTGTGGTCTTCACGGGCAGCAATGAGCTCCTCATCAGAACCAGTCAAGCCGAATTCTCTAAGATGCTTGTCGATTTCTTGATCTGCTTGTTCCATTTGGTTCTCGCCAAAGTTGAGAACAATCAGCTCCATGTTGTTGTTAAGAAGGTTACATGAGAAGCCAATGTTGATGGCGGTCTCCACCTTGTCGCCAGTGAGAACCCAGAGCTTGATACCAGCATCAGCCAAAAGTTGAATTGTATCTGGAACTCCGTCTTGGAGGCGATCTTCAATGGCAGTGCCACCGATGAGCATAAGTTCTTGCTCAATCTCACTCGAAACCTCCTCTAACTTTTCTTCACGGTCAGTGATGGCGGCAGCTGCAAGATCGTGCTTTTTGTTCCAAATCTGATATTCTTCCTCACTTATAAGTCGATCAGCAACGCACAGAGTACGCAGACCCTCCTTGGCATATTCTTCCAGGTGCTCAGCAGTTTGACGTCGAAGGTCCTGCTGCTTACCACGGGCGAGTCGAGAATAGATAATACTATCAGCACCCTTACAGAAGAGGCGAATTGTACCGTCAGGCATACGAATGATTGCACTCATTCGCTTACGAGAAGAATTGAATTCGAGAGTGTTCAAGACGGTGTAGGTACGTTCCTCGCCCATGACGTTCAGAAGCAAATCATCACCAGAGCGGCCAAGGACTGTAAAGCCACAGTCTCGAGCAGTGCTAACGAGGGCAGCCTCATCGGGTGACTGAGCTTTGAACTCGATCTGAGGGGGATCACCAGGAGTATGTTCGGTAATGACGGTATGACAAACAGCCAATGACAGCATGAAATGCTCCACCGCAGCTTTCTGTTCTGCTCCAGATTGACCCTCGAAATCTGTGACGAAGTTCGGGGCGATAAAGGTCAAATTCTCGTCACGCAAGTAAGGATTATCATGAAGGCGACGAAGCCCCGCAAGCATCTTCTTCCCATTAGCTGCAATTTGCTCACGAGCTTGAGCCGCTTCCTCGTCAGCGTTGGCACCTTCACGTCGCCTCATTCCAACCTGTGCCTCGGTATAGGCTTCGCCGTAAGAAATGCCGTTAATCGTAGACTTCTTGAATTCCATGACATTTTGTGTCAAGGTTCCAGTCTTGTCAGAAAAGATGTATTCCACTTGACCCACATCGTCCGAGATGTTCCATGACTTGGGCACACAGTATAGACCCAGTGGCTCATAGAACATGTACAGATCACTGTGAATGAAGACCGCCTGGATGGTTCGAACGATTTCAAGTGAGATATAAAGCGAGATTGGAACCAGATTCTGGAACAAAATAATAGCCGTCCAGAAAGTGACAATTCCAGTGACCGGGGGAGTCCCTCCGTATGACTTGAAATCGAAGTAATTCAAGGACTCGTCATTGGATGCCCAAGCTAAACCATTGACAATACCTGCGACGAGACACATCAAGAATAGAATTATAAAGTTGTAGATGACGTTCCAGTTCAGATCCTTAGCCAAGCGAGCGCGCTTAGCTGGAGTTGCGCCTGAATTCAGCATGATCTTGCTCTCTCCGCCAGTGAAAACCACCACGCCGAGAACCCATTCAGTACTCCGCAAAGAACAACCACGTAGCAGCATGTTGTTTATGCTGATCGGTTCAACCATTTCTTTGCGAGGCGCCTCCGGGAAATTGGGGTCCCGTTGGTCCCAACGGATCGCACCATTGTAGGCGTAAAGATTTGGGTGAGGGGCCTCACTTTCAATGGTGAACTCGGCCTTTTCACAGTCTCGAGCATGTCGAACCTGGCGACCACAGTGAAGGGCTTGGCGAACCTTCAGGTTGGTCTCTCCATCCAGACCCATGGTCTCAACATAGCAAGCTCCATCGGGATCTGAAGTGGATAAAATGACGATATCGGCAGGAATCGGATCTTCGTTGTACAATCGAACGAAGTCGCCGACCTGAATGCTCTTCCAATAGTCGCGCTTGAATCGAGCTTTACCAGGAGTTTGCTTAGAGTGGTCCAATACACTCGCGTTTTTCTTGTTAGTAAACGCAACTGTTGCGCTACTCTTGAGTGCAGTGTCAGGTGAAAGGTATTTGTTTTCGTGCTCAGCAGCAGTTGCCCAGTCTTCGCGAGCTTCGGGTTGTGGAGAGGGAACTTCGGTCATCGGAATAGCAACATCGGCTGCCAGAGAGTCGCGGTTGGAGTATATCGACGCTCGTTGGGTGGCAGTTGTCATGAAGGAATCTCGACGCTGTTCACCCTCACCTTCGGCATCTTCATCCTGCTTCTTTTTGGCGAATAGCTTCGCCATTGACTTGTAGGCTTTGATCGTGCCTCGCGTGCAGGCCTTCTTAACTCGGCGCCATGTCGAAATGTTGTCCTCGGTGGAATTGACATTGTTCCATTCGATCAGACGGTATACCGGTGAATTGTTGACTTGATTATCAGACACCGTTCGGCCCCAATCCTCGATTGCATCCTTGATGGCCGTTACGACGATGATAACGATCAGGGGAGTGGCGTTCAGTCCAGGGTTGTTGGCACCGAAAATTGAGAAGAACTAGAATTTTGAGTTAGTTTCATTTGTCAGAGATTATTTGGTACACTCGCTCTGTAGAGGAGCGACAATTGGGGTTTGTGGAATGATTGGTATGGCGTACATTAAGAATAATGACAAACAAGAAGTAGATGTTGGCGATATTGTGGAATTGAAGCCAGATATTCTTCGGCACGAACGTTAATGCGGTATACTTGGCGGTTCGAATCTTGTTTCGGGGGTAGGCAAATTCGAGATGACCTTCTTCGTCACGTTCGGATTCGGGAATCGGAATGTTGAAATAGATTGTTCGGTTCTCTCCGCCCTCCTGGCCATTCTTTGGCGCCTCATCAGGAGGAGCTGTGCTGGCACTGTTATTTGACTTGCGCTTCTCCTCTCTCGTCTCGTGTCGTTTGTGAAAGCGATCCATAATCGAGACACGTTTCCGCACGCCTCCGGTGCCTGTTTGGCGCGTGGTAGCCCATCTTTGTCGTTTGGTTGGCTTGGAGATATTACTGGAGACCTCTTGAATATCACCTGGGACCTCCAGGCTGTGGTTGTTGTTCTCCTCCTCGGGAAAGTGCACTGAGGAAGCCATCTAGGCCGCGAATGCGCCCACGCAGGGCATATACCTCCGACGAAATGCTGGACGAATGGGTTGAACAAGCAACTGGTGTTTGTGCCGGGTGGTGGCGTGGCTTATTGAATTTCGGCCTCACGTCACCAAGTAGGTATAAAAAAATATCACCAGGCAAACACTCGTAATTGCATTAGGGGGTTCGAATCGAATGGCCGTTTCAGAGGCTGACCGAAAAAAGACGCGCGGGCTAGACAGCGGGTTCCAGCGGGCTCCGGTATCGACGGTAAGGGATAGTAGATCGAGTTCGAGGAAAGAAAAAGGGGAGGAGCGGTTTCACCCACGAGGGTCCATGTAAAATGTGGGGGGGTTATGAGTGGTGAGAGGCGGGATTGAAGCGGAGGAGGGTGAGATCGCTTTGCATACACACTCGAGGGGATAGAGAGAGAGAGAGGGAGAGAAGGACGATGAAGATGCTTTGAAAGCACTCTGGGCCATTCTCACCCGCGCCCGTTGTTCCCTCTTACAGTACCATACAGTATGATACGGGGCTTGGTCAGCGAAGGCTTGGCAATGATTTTGGGTCCGACAAAGAATTTCATGGATGACTTGTACAAAGATGAAGTTTATTTGGGATCTTTTTGAGAGACTAATATCGACATTCTCAATTAACTGTATTTGATCCGACTTCCATTTCTTGCTCCCTCTTGTTAATTCGAGGGAGAAAATCCAGGACTCGGCAATCTCGGCGTGTGCTAAGTCCACTGTAGATCCGGTAATCTACGGGTGAAATTCTTGTCCGGTATTGGTAATACAGTACAAGCGCTCTTTCCGGCCCCCTCTCTTTATGTGTGTGTCTCTGTGTGTGCATAATCCGGTTCAGCATCTAAATCTCTGACTGGTGGCAACCCCCTGGGGATAATCGGGTTCACTAGGGACTTTGGGGGGGCTAAACCAAAGAATTTAAAATTTGAAAATTTAAAAGATATTTCCAAGTTACCAACTAAGATCCTAAGTAGGGAATTATCTTAGATCACACGGGGATTCGGCATTGGGGATTGACTTACTATACTATTCATGTATAAACCATGAAGCATGGAGGTATACTGTATGTTGTTTTGGTGTCCACCGGGGACTTTACCTTACTAGGTTCTTTTTTATCTTTGATTATATTCTTAATTAGAATCAATAGTAATCATAAAGGACATCTGTCCAATTTACTAATAATTAAATAATAAGGAGCTCAGCCAGAGAATATGTATGACAACACAGCCCGTGCCGTTGCATTATTATGACAGTATATATGGGAGCCGGGGGGCCCGGGGCGATTATGCGTTCATAGTTCTGCAGTGTAGTCCGTATAGATTTCCATATACCAAACAAATCCACTGACAGCCCACCATTGGCTACTTTGAGTGTCGCAGTACTTTGGCCCCATCCAGGCCTCCCCCCAGTCCCTTTAGATGCAGCAACACTGTCCGTCTTCCATACGTGCCGTCGCTACTGGGTTCGTATTGATTACTTTCCCTTGCCCTTTTGGACACCGTGGTTACAACAGATCGAAGCCAAGACACCCAATGATGCTGACTGTGATACTTCGTCGATCTTTTTTTTCACGTCGATTTAGAAATCAATAAACACAAAAGAAAATAAGGAAAGTAAATCTATGTCTCTATATTCTTTACAAAAATTGTATGAAACTAAAAAAAAAATCTAAAATTTACCCCCTTCTTTCCCCCTCCCCCTTTGTCGAGGTGGATGTATCTACACTGTATCCATAAATCTAAAAATCTGTCCCCAGCCTCAACCCTGAATCTGAAACCAACCGACACGGCACGAGCGTCCACGACGTTGATCCACCTTAGTCAACATCACCAATTCAAAAGTGGAAACAAAAAATTTGCTGCACTCTTGTACTCCATACAGGCACCTAGGTTATGTACTCCATACAATGGTAATGATATACCCGGGACGCTACTAGCACCAAAACTTGAATCATCCTGAATCATAATGCTAAAATAAAACACGAGCCCACAGTGACAGGAATCATAAAAGGTAAGCACGTATACTGTACAAAGTGGGTAATCTGTATTCTCCTGATTTCCATTCGGGCGGCTACGAACTGCCCAGGTGGTTGCGGTTCCTGCTACTTGGTAGTATGGCTGACAATCTCCCCCTTTTTTTCTCGCCTGTCAGGCCGGAAGCTCACGGTCCAGGATGGAGTCGATTTGAGGCTTGGAAGAGCGCACTAGGTGCCCTGTGGCACCTCTCAAGCGGAGCCCCTAGTCGATGATGGTCACTCACAAAAGAAAATTGCCGATTAGTCTGCGCCGTACGGATTACAACACAGCCTTCCAATGTTGAAGGTCAAAATTCTGACAAAGTAAATAGAAACCAAACACCGAATATTCGAATATGGATGGAGTAGATGTATCACACGGGAGGAAATTAAATTCCAAGGTTGTTTTGAAGAGACGGTTAAAGTAAAGTTAGTACATACGCGGCTTTTTAGTCGTACCCCAGAGCACCGGTGGACAATTCAAGTGTTCGACTCGTCTAATGCGGGACCAAGCTTGCGAGTGAAATTGCAGGAGGAGGATATGCGTGGAGCACAATCAATGCATGGCCAGGCGTCGTCAGCGTGATCGACCGCGAACTCAATGGTGGAGACTGGACCGCCGTTCGGATTTAACGAAAACTATACTCCGTCACTATACATCAGGCCGGTGGTTGCCCCTGACTTCTGGGCAAAAGCAGGCCGATAAGTAGTAGTATATTCTAGACCCTGCACTAAAGGTTATAGAAGTACGGAGTACTAGTGGCGGTTAGAATAAATCCTTCAGGCACTGACACTTGTAAAATAATTGAATTTGGCAATGGCTACATTCAACCTTGGAAGTTTAAGTTGACGAAATGTTCAAGATTAATCCGAGTCACGCCGGTGGTCCTCTGGTGGACATGGAAATATACAACTGGGACATATATAATCTGTCTGCACAACTCCCTATGAGAATCCTTCAAAAGACGATAGATCGGTTTCTTGAATCATCATTTAGCCAACTAATACGCAGAGACCACTTCCCAATTTATACTACGGACTCCGAATTCAAAACAAATCCAACTACAGAGGTTCAAGTTGTAGATCGATGAAGTGTAACAAAGAAATTACCTATTCGGGTAACATGATATCATGTGACTTCGCGCCGCCTTTCACGCGACGCGGACATCCAATCTTCAAGAAAATGTTGACGGCAATATTCTGTTCTAACAACTTGAAGTCCCAGGATGCCCCGGACATTCTTCAAAAGACCATCATTCGGAAGCCTGACCCCGGAAAAGAAAGGCTACCAGAGCCCCCCACGTTTATCATCACAATCGTCCCCGCTCACTAACCCGCCGTCGTCTTTTATCGGTCTCGCCTCGGAGCCTTCAAATGAACCAGATACCACACCCAAGCCACCTATATTCCACGATGAGGTGGAAGAAATCTCAAAACTTACCCCGTCAGAACATACCCCAACCCCTACTACATCAGAGCAAAACTCTCAAAGTTTCGCATGTACAGACGAAGCCCCGCCGTCTTCGCTGAGTGCGAGTTCTCAAACAACCCAGCGCATAATCAAAGGCGGCAAAGAAGTGGTCATCAGCTCCGATGGAGAAGATACAGATTCCGATAGCTCGCTAGGTGAAGATCCGGTGTCGCTCTTTAAGCGCAAGTTCAAACCCACTGCGAAAACGACCGCGCCTAAAGCTGTTTCTCCTCCGCCAAAACTAATATCGACAATCCCAAAGAAGTATAAAAATACACTTGATTCGCTGGTTTACGAGGCTGTGGACGATAATGAGACGGATGAGACTGTTGCTAAATTGAAGGCTCGTTTTGCGAAAGCGCCACAGAATGGCGTGCAACAGGGAACTGTCGGCTTCCACGAAGAGATGCTGACGTCTGTCCTGGGAGAGGACAAGGAAGGAGAAGAGGGCGGTGGCGTCCGACGATTAATAGACGCTGTTCGAAGAACCGAGGCGCTGGATCAAGATAAGACTTGGCGATTCCTAGATCAAACTCAGACGAAACCGATCGTGGAGGAATTTCCCAAAGATCTATTCCCCCCAAATCAAAATTGGCGGCTATGCGTGGTGGGTGAAGTGGCATCATCTAACATGAACTTTAAACTAATTACTTGCCAGGATTGGAATCTCGCGAGCGTTTTTTTCAATCTGGAATCTTGGAGGTCGCCGCATCGTTCCCGTCGCAGTCGAAATTTCTGTCCGATAAGTTTATATTGTGGCTGTTCCATGCTGGTACGACAATTCCATCTTTTCACTCAAACTTGATAATTGACTGTGGTGCAGTACCCCTTGAGCCTCGGGAAGAGTTAAGGCAAGCTTATTGTCGAATCATCATGGTTAGTAAAAGCTTGATGCTTGAATCCTTTACTTCGACAACTAAAGATGAAAGCAGCAATCTACGCTTCTAAAATCCGTCCTGCGGCCAAGTGTTATAGATGACCTCTTTAAACAATTGGGGGCGAGTCCTCAAGCTCTGGATTTTTCCAAGCCGATTGAAGAAGGCAACAGTGAGTCGTCATCAATATGTCTTCTCCACACTACTCTACTCACAAGTATCCATAGAAAATCACAAGGAATCGTCATTGACGAATCGAGGGGGTCTACTGTCTATCTTCGACTTGCTGCGGGATGCTGCTCAACTGTAATAGCCATTTCCCTACCTACCAAACAACACTCGACTGACAAACGTTTAGACTAGACAACGACACAACGAACCGTGCAATCCAAACACTACTGCGCATGACATTAGACAACTCCTTAACATCTGACGACATTATTCGCTCGGAGCTTCAAAGTTGCCTCAGTACTTTGTTGGAATCTGTGCCGTATGATTATACGGAGGACATGGTAAGGAAAGTACGCAACATATACTTAAAATTTTCGCTAACGATATTACTCAGGAACGTCAAATTTGCACAACTGTGTACGACACATTCCTCGACGTGCAGTTTCAAAGCCGCATGCTGCAACATATCCTACCTACTGCCCCATGGATCTCGATGTTGCGATACCGTCTTGCCATGGCATTTCTACTTAGAAGCCGAGACCCATTAACAGAATCCGTCCAGGATGTCCTGAACTTGGATCGTCTGTCCGATTTCTTAATTAGCGACGAGCGTCTTAGAGTCAAATCATTCAACAAAAAGTCCGATTATGCATATAGCGAGTTAACTGCCATATCTATGCTTCTTGATATTGTGCTCAACAATTCTCTATACGACTTGAAGGACCGGGAGGCCATCACAGAGGCAGAATTCAACGCAGCCATCGATAAAATTGCAGCGCAGATTAAGAAGATTTTCAGTTCGATTGAAGATTCAGGTGCAGCTCACCTTAAGCGGATGTTAGCCAAACAGGCCTTGGAGACAGTGCACTACCGTGTGGTATACTCAGTTCGCACCAAACCGCCACCCCCCAAAGTACCGTACGAGGCAACGACCCGGAAGGATGGACATCTCGGGAAATGGTTTAAGCCGCAAGTCCACGACAGTACTCCTGAGGAAGACAGGCCTAGCACACCCCGGAAGCATGAAGACCTCGGGAAATGGTTTAAATCACAGACTCCCGCCAAAGTTCCAGACGAAAGACCCATCACGGATAGTCCAGGTACTGTGATACCTATTCGAAATCACGGCTCGCCTTGATATGGATTGCTGCATCTGCGAAAAGTAGAATGCCTTATATGATCTTGCGATGCCCACTAATGATTACTTTTTATGAGTAACGATTCTCACAGAGCGTGACATAAATTTATTTGCATGCATTTGCTACCGAGATTTTCTGCAACTGTAGATGAATCAGACGAACGCTCAGAAGAGATTGACCGTATTCCAGGCCCGATATGGCTGCAAGTTGAAAGAAGAAGAAGAAGAAGAGGAAAAAAGAACAAGAAAAGATAATAACCCCCCCCCCTCTCTATAGAGATGTCCAAGACCAGGGACCTGGAGGGACCCGAGAACTATACAACATGTAAGAAAACACATCCAGATGAGCATGGGCATGATTTCAAAAACAGGTAGATCCATATTTAGTCATAGAATCGTCGGTTTGTGTTCTTTCCAAACAGTGTTTCGCGCACAACTGGGAGAGCATCAATCTCCAACAGCCGCAGACGTTCTTCGAAGGTGTTGTTAATTTCGATTTTGCCCTGTCCACCAACAATAACGACACCACCAGCTCTGTAAGATTGAAATAAATATTAGCGTTTATCCACAACATGAATATTGATGCGGAACTAGGAGATACGTACGATCCCTCAGCTAGCGGCTCCGACTCGTCCACAGACACGGCCACCTCCGAGCCTACATTATCCTTGAACTCCTTGGTGGCGGCCTCCACAGCCTTCTTTGCGATACCAAAGTCCTTCTTCCGTGTGCGAATAGACACCTTATCCTCATTCAGGTAGTATAAGCCCTCAAGGATCAGTCCCTGTAACGTAGTCTGGTACTTCTTCTTGTCGTTGTCAGCCACAGTGGCCACCTTGGCCCGAGCCTTCTCAAAAAGCTCATCCAACAGCTCCTGGCGACCGCCAAGCACGCGGAGACGGGTCCGGTTGGCGAGGGTAGATCGAGTGATCTGCTGTGACATGGCGGCTTGCTTGAACTTCTTCTCGTACAGCGAGTCAATGGCGGCGGTCTCCTGGCGCACCAGCTTAGACTTCTCGATGGCGAATTCTTCGTCGGCCTTCAACTGAATCTCTCGGGCCTTCTCCAAAGCTTCCTGTCGGATGAACGTAGTCATCTTACGGAGCTCGCCCGCAACCTGCGAAGAATCCAAGCATGCATTAGCCTGTAGCTCTCGGGGTACTAAGTACTAGACACCGGGTCGGCTCACCTGATCATCTGAGAGAGCATGACTTTGCGACATGATGGGTAATATTCTGGATTCTTTCCTGGTTGTGGTGGGAAAGAAGTGGCCAATGACGTGGGGTGGGAGTGGACAAGAGCTGAGGGAATGATGGGGGGAAGAGAAGGGGAGGATCAAATGTCCAACTAAGCTCCGATCTTCTTCTGCCTTGGCGGTCCGCATCCAGATCCGCAACTCCCCTCGTTCTCTCTCTCCCCTGTACCTGTTTCCTTTACTATTTCTACTTCACGCCCTTGTGTCTCCCTTTTATTTTATACCCCCCTGTGGTCCCTTTGGACTCTGGAATTTCAAATAAGCAGTTCCCTGTGGGAAACCATGGCTTATATTCTGGTCCGATAGTCGGCTCATTCTACGTTTCTCCCCCGATGTACGAGACATTCGAAAGATGGGCAATCTAGGTGACTTATCGCCGCAGAGCAGTGTCGCAGTGAGCTTCAAATCATCTAGAAAGATATCAGCACTGGTTTCAAGAGCTAATATGAAACGATCAGGTCGGTATTTTGGTCGGACTCGTCTCAACTAGCTTACAGGCGATCGGACTCACACTTCAACGCAAGTCCCACTTACTCGAGGACGAGAAACACCCATACGATGTGCGCCGACCACCATATAAACGGCGCCGATGGCAGGTTGGTATGGCGATGTTTGTGATCTCCAATATCGTCGGTAGTACCATCCAGATTACCACATTGCCACTACCTGTTCTTTCTACACTCCAAGCTGTCAGTCATTCCGTTGAACTCTTGCCCCCCTAATCGGGTTCTCCATCGGATTATGCATTGTTTATTAACAGCTGTTTGGTACAGTCCGGTCTCGTCTTCAATACGATATTTGCGACCCTCATTCTCGGTGAACCATTCACTCGCTATTCCTTTGCTGGTACAACTCTAGTTTGTATCGGCGCCGTGCTGATCGCAACATTCGGTGCCATCGGAGAACCTGCGCACAGCTTAAATCAACTTTTAATACTTTTGAAAGGCCGGCCGTTTCTCATATGGATGGGCTGTACATTAATACTCGTGGCGATCATCTTGGTGGGCTCGAAGCTGTTGAAGTATTTACTGCCGGGGACGCGTGGCAAGACTGTTGCGAGCAGCCACTTTACAACGCACTTCCTGCGTATTCAAAGTCGAATTAAGCTCTTTCGGGGCATGTGCTATGGCGCGGTAAGCGGGATCTTATCGGCCCACTCACTTTTACTGGCCAAGACAGCTGTCGAGCTCTTGGTGCGGACTTTGATTGACGGGGAAAACCAGTTTAATCGCTGGCAATCTTGGGTGATATTGCTGGGCATGATCGCATTGGCACTAACACAGCTATTTTATTTGCATCGGGGCCTCAAGCTGTGCAGCACGAGTGTCTTATATCCGTTTGTATTCTGCATCTACAACATCATCGCTATTCTAGATGGCTTGATCTACTTCCGCCAAGCCTCTCAGCTAGCGGGGTTTCACGCTGGTCTTATCGCATTGGGAACGATCATTCTACTAGGCGGTGTACTGTGTCTCTCATGGAGACTAGAGGATATTGACAACCATGCAGCAGTCACTGCTGGGGGTCCCACACAGACTGGCCTTGGGCCAGGCATGGGAGTTCTTGAGGAACACTCTCCATCGTCTTCGGGGCTGTTGGATGGATTCGTCGACGAGGAGTCGGGCCTCGGGGAACGAGAACCACTTCTCCAGGGTAGTATCAGATCGCGACAGTTTTCATCCTATACACGGTCTCGAGCTCCCAGTCTCCCAGTTAATCAATCACTTGACCAACACGAAGCTGCAGACCTCAACGCAGCTTCCATATGGGCCGAACTTGATGATTCCGATCATGAATTTGGCACCGCACAGATGCGAAATTGGAAAGACCGGCCTCGCAGCTCTAGCAGCAGTGCAGCTTTGCAAGGTTCACTGAGTGGTAATGGGCGTCATTCAACAGTTGGACCTCTCTCTTATCAACGTGTACGCGGCTCTCATCGTCGTCATTCCTCAACAAACGAAACCCCGCGGCGACGCTCATCGATGCCATGGGCTGGATTGATGGGTTCTCAACGCAAGCGACAAAATACGTCGGGATTCGATGGATATGGAGCAATCCAAGAGAATGAGATTGACGATCGGGCTCGTGATGAAGTCACAGACCATCAGAGCCAGAGTTCTGCGGACGGTCTCCTCGCAGGTTCGAGAAGACTGCTCCAAGCAACTTGGCGCCGTGGTCGACATTATATGTCTGGATGGACGGGCCTGCAGGCGGGTACTCATTCTGACTCCGACGAGCAGAGTCGTGTGTCTTCTCCTTTTCTTCGCCGCGCTGAGGCTCGTTCACCCCGGATAAGTAATCCGCAAAATATTTCAACCGATGGGCATAGACCCGAACTTAGATCTAAACCATCATCGTCATCTCTCTAAGCTTTTTGGAATTATGCTGTCAGCTCGCACTAGTGGGTTTACATCCCATGTTTCCGGATTCAATGAACTTCCAGGAACATTCATGGTTGGCTTCATGCCCCGAATCTTGGAATCTGATTGTACATTAAGGATTTGCATCTTCGCAATAATCTGTGGATGTGCGGACTTCCAGCTACCCATTTCTCAATACATGAACGCAGCATCATTGAAACACAAGATCTTCGTTGTTTTCTCCATAACTCCCACCTGAATACCTGCTTGAGGTGCTATGGCTGAGGGCAATTAGGTTCTACTCGCTTCTTTTTCTTTTGTGATATTGCATTCGGGAATCATAGAGGAACCCGTGGACTGAGAGCTCCGATTCATAATATATATTCAAGTTATACATATACTCTTCAAGTTTCTATAATATGGCAGTCATCAACTCCATTCATTATCCATGACTACCTAGAGGTTACCTAGAATTGCCTGCGACCCCTAATAACCCTAGGGGTATTGCCAAGTGTGTACTATGTACTAGTACTATTAGAACATCGGTACTCGGAGTTCAAGATGGACGGCCCCACATAATGAGCCCTGGGGTCTCGGGCTGAGGTCCTTGTGGGCGAGCATTGTAAACAGAGATTAGTACTAGCTCTACTACTAAGTATAGGTGCAGGTACTACTAGTAGTACTTGTAGGTAGTCGTACAATTACTACCTAGTAGGTATAGATATTTCGACTTCAATACATAACTTGGAGCCATGGGGTCCATAAACTTGAATACACAACCTTGAGAGCGAGATCATCAAATAGGTATCCGCAGAAGCTACAATAGATACAATTCACTAATATAGTATCGGTACTAGTAGGTTACAACCATGACAGGGCGAGACCGAAACAACTTCAACTTGAAGTTCAAGTTGAAGCTTCAAAGCCAGCCCTGGAGATCCAATGCTAGGATCGTGATAATCTGTTTCGATCATTCCATACAAAAGACTGGTCTAAGCAATTCATCGCATCTGCTACAGCAACTTGAAGCGTGTTTCATAACGTCTTGATACAATAATCCGAAGTAGAGGGACCTCAATACGATGTAAGAGATAATGAACACAGCTTATAATTAGAAACTTGAGACACAGGAACATGGAAACAGGATCAATAATAGTGGTATGGAATGGAATAAACAGAACATAGAAGTAGGATAGGAAGAGAGAACCACTTCGCCGACAAATCAATGCACCACGAACACCGCCGGCCTCCGCCATTTGATCTAGGTAGAGGGGGCAAGAGGAAATCAAAAATAGCCAGAAAATAGCATTGAAGTCCAGACTTGCGTCCTTGCGCTCTTTTGTTCTCTTTGATAACAACATGTGACTGATAATTTTCTTTTTTTTGGTGATTTTTCAAAAGGTTTTGTAACATGGTATTTCGTGCCCTCGAGGGTCATAGCTAAAAGCAAAAAAAAATTGGAGGATACTCGCCGCAATCTCAAGTTTTCGAGCAAGACCAGAGCATATCGCTTTCAGTGTCTAAGACAGACACCCTCGAAGAGTTTTCGCGTGGTGTTTGACAATGTACACTTCACAAGGTTGGACTGTACCATTGGTGGTAGGGTTAGGTTGTGAGATGGCTACAGTCTCGTGGATGGAGGGGAGAAGGAAGGGAGAGATATGAGAAAGAGAGATGGCGATGAGTAGAGTGGATGGATCAGCAGAGCTGGACGGGTATCAAATGAACGCGAGATGGAAAACAGAAGGTGGGACGCAGTATATGGGACCCCGTCCACAGCGACGCGCAAATAATCTAAGAAGTTTACGCGGTGGGTTGGTGCTGTGGGGGCATGCGACCACCGACAGGCATGCCAGGATACTGGTTACCGGCCTGTTGCTGCTGCTGGAGGTTCTGGTAATAGGCCATCTGCTGTTGTTGTTCGTTGGTCATGTAGCCAGGGTGAATGCCGGGGCGCGCCATGTTGGACTGGGGCGCATTAACATTGTTGTGCGCAACGTCCTCGGGGGCCTCAGGTGGGACATCAGGAGCATCCACGCCATTCTCGTTGGTGGTGGGGTCGGGCGCGTTCAAGCAGGCCTATAGACGCGACGGTCGTTAGTATTTGAAGAGACATTTAGAGACAAAGGTAATATAAATATAATGCGGTGCTTACCTGAATCAGATTCTTGCCCTCAGCCTTTGTGACGAGTGGCTGCAGCTTGGGGGTGGTGAAAGTGTATACGAGGCCGGTCTCGGAGACGACCAAGAGCAAGACTTGGGTACCCGTGAGAACGGACAGCTCGTATGCCTGTGGTGGGACGATAATAGATTAGCATTTTCTGATGTTCGTATAATACATGGAAATCTGATCATGTCCCGTAGTTGGAGTAGAACGTGGGGAGGGGAGAGAGAAAGAGGGATCAACCGTCTCGCACGAGGGTTGTTTGAAGTATGAGGGGGTCCGTGATCCGGTCGCGACGTACCTTCTTCATAATACCGGCCTTTCGCTTGGAAAAGGTGATGTGTCGACGCGACTTATCCTGAATAAACTTGATCTCGATCTTACGACGCTCACGACCAGGCTTGTCATCATCATCGTCGTCGTCCTCGGCACTCATGCGGCCGCGCTTGGTGCCACGGGCGTCAGCGCCGTTGCCGGGCTGTTGCAGGTCATCGTGGTTGGGAGAGAGCTTCTCATCACCGACCGCAGTCATGTCGGCCATCTTGAGACAAAAGAATAGAAGCGTTGAGTGGGATAGAGAAAAAAGTGTGAGGATGACCAAAAGGGGAAGGGAATCAAAGATACCCAATCGAGTAACGCGTTTTGGGGGGGGATTCGCAAGGGTTGGGAGAGAAAGGAAGGGGAGGGAGAGCGAAGAAGGCAAAGTGCGAGGTGCGATGTGGCAGGCGGTCAGTCACGTGTGGGACTGGGCAATACAGGCCGATTACAAGTGGAGCAGCACTTGAGTCCTGGGCACAGTTGGAAAGCAGTCAGGGGTATAAGGGAGAGAATAGTTAGAGGTACCTACATTACACATACATTTACTATAACAGAACTAAGTACCAGGGTTTCTCTATCCAATCACCATATCCTCTTTTTCAATACCACAGTACCGTCACAATCGAGTATCGGATCTGTATTTGCCTCCCCCTCCTGACTCACTCTGCATTATGATTGGTTAAATCCGAAGGGGCCAAATCATGTGCTCCACTTTGCCTCCGCTTGCATCCGTTTTGGGGAAAGCGCGAACCCAAACGGTGATCATGTTTCTTCTTACTGGAGCAAGTTAAGGCCTGGACTTACTTTTAATACTGGCAATGCAATGATTAAGAACCATATAAAATGATATTATGGGTTATAGATTATGCAAGGTCATACTCGTTTCTTTGTTCACCAGGGCTATATAATAAGTCCCTGTGCATAGCCGCATACATGCCGTTCTAAATTTACCAACTGGGCAGCTCAAGACCCTGCATTCCTCCGCACTCGGATTGGTTCTTACCCCATTGTGGCGACGAGAAGCTGCCTAAGTGAGCAGTCACCCACCCTTAGTTAACTAAGTAACTAACTACTTAGTTTATAGTACAGCGAAATTAGAAATGAAATGTGGCTGGATGCAGAAATTAAACGAATATTATTCACTAAAATATAGTAAACTTGGAATCAAAGGTTCACGGGTTGCACAGTAACCTGCGGTGTACTTTCCCCGTTCCCCGGCATGCAAGAGGCCTGTCTCGGCCCACGGTCGGATTCTTGCAAAACGTGCCGAAGAGGAATTGTAGGCGGTTAGACGAGTAAGACGATGCTCGAGAGTTTGTTTGCGGAATCTAACACTGCTCTACTTGTCTTTGCTACGTACTATTCGTGTTCATGGGTATGGATTCGTATACAAAGGCAAATGCCAGTGCCCGATCACGGAGACCATATCATATACATACAAGAGCCCCAGATTATCAATTATCTTTATTCAAATTCTTATATTCTCACGTAGTAAGGCTCGAGGGCCTTAGAGTCAAGAAGACCCAGGTAGTTTCATCAAACAAAAGACTAGGAACAAGAGCTCATCATATTCTTCGCATAATGAACAACAGTTCAACGCTAATCACCAACCGAGACCCAAACACGGTCTTCGGTACAAGTCTATTTTTACAAACACAGTATGCATGGCCATGGATAGAAGCCTCTCTCCGAGTCACGCCGAAGATCCAGACACAAGATGGGGCGAGTGAATGGAAATACGACAGAATAGGGAAAAAAAAAAAAGAAGAAAGGCAGAGAATAGGGAAAGACGGAGGAGCAAGCCATATAAGACGGGGCGAGTGCATGGAAATGTTTCACCCAATACGCAAGGCAGCCAGAGAACAGGGAGAGAAGAATAAAAAGATGGATGACCAGATAAAAAAAAAGCCGGGATATAAGGTGTACATAAAACCACCGGGTTTTTTTGTACTAGAGGGGACTCCGCCAATGCTAACGCCGGATACATGAACAATCAGAAACTGGAGGACGCGGAATTCATGTCGCGATCACGAGTCTCATCCGGAAAAAGAAAGAGGTGGGTGGAATAAGAAGGTAGAGGGGTCAATGCAAGCAGGAAATGCAAGCAGAAGATTTGGCGTCATAAGGGAGTTGAAATAAAAAAGAATAAGAAAAAAATCGGGATGAATGGACAGTATCCCAAGAGGAGTTCAATCATGTGCAGTGAAGAAGAAACATAGAAGCAGAGGTAGACAAGCGAAGAAGCACCCAAGGACCAGCCTTCATAATATCACTTGGGGGGAACTTTGAGAGCGACGATAGGGCCATATATGGGGTTTATTGCTGGTAGGTACCAAGAATCTGGTGATCACTGATACCACCGCCACCACCGCCCTTGGGGCCAAGCCAGACAATCTCAATGACGCTGTGACCCTCATCTTCCTCACGCGCGTAGAATTGGTGAACATTGTCACCAACGACATAGGCGTCGTGGAGCAACCAACGGTCTTTGGTAACCCCCTCTTCCTCAAGGGGACGAAGAGGACCCAGACGTTCCTCGAAACCACGAGGGTCCTCAGGCCAAGTCTTCTCGACAGCATCGAAGTCGATAGCATCATCAGGCACAGATTCGTCGTAGGTGTACTTGACCAAAGAGTATCCATTTGTCAAAACCCAGAAGTGACGAACCGACTCACCAGTCACGGTGTTGACGGTCTCTTCCTGGTCGAAAACCCAGCGACGCAGCACGGACTTGCGCCCAGCAGCAGCAGCAACAGTAGTCATCTTCACCACGTCCTTGGTGTACCAACTGTTCCAATGGTGCATGGATTCGATCTTGCGGCCAGACTCATAAACACCGTCGACAGGCTCAGTCATGTCCATTTGGAAAAGCGAGGGCCAGAGAGTCAGCTGAGTATCACCAAAGCGCTGGATACATTGGCCGAGCTTCTGGTCACCAGGTTGCTCACCCCAGGACTGGCATTCGTCATAGTACTTCATAAGGACATCCAGAAGGGGCTTGGATACGAAAACACCGGCACCACCGAAAGCGATATGTCCAAAGGTATCCACTTGCCAGCTAGCTTCCGACAGAGAGCCAATGTAGTGCTTCTTCTTCTCGTCAAAGAGCTTTAGCTCCTTGGCAAGGGTAGGAAGGGAGAGGAAAAATGTATCGTCATCGCTGAATCCAACCCAGGTAGTGTGGGGACGGTGCTTGCGAATATGCTCCGAGAATGCTTCAACCATGCCGAAGTAACGAGCGGTGAAATCCAGAGAAGAGGCGACGAGGGTCAGGTCGAGACCTCGGTTGCGGAAGTAGGTTTCTTGTTTCTCCAGGTCATCATCAGACTCAGGAACCAAGACAACCAGGCCGGCCTTGGTGTTGCCGTAGCTGTAAAGTAAAGATGGGAGAAGGCGATCCAAACGGTCCACAGTGGTGGCCAGACCGAACAAAATCTTCGAGGTCTCCTCCACATCGTCATCAGCGGCAACGTCGACGTCGACGATCTCGGGGCAGACGAAGGCGTCATCTTTGTTTTCCGGGGAAACGACCATTCCGCGTTCCATAGCGACCATGGGAGGAAGGACAGGCTTCTGGATTTCCTCAAGGGTGTGGAATTGGGTATCAGGGTTGACGGGACGAGGGCGGAAGTAAGCACGGGTGTAGTTCTTGCGAGGAAGCCACTCAGAGAAGGGCAGAGGAGCAGCCAGCTTGGGATCAACCTCGCAGGTATGGCCGTCCTGTGGCTGACCTCCGGCTGACATGTCTATTTGAGACTGGCTGTTTCCGAGGTTCACCTGATCGATGGGACGCTTGAATCGCAGTAATGATGATCGATCATATCGCTCCATGCACCAGAAGAAGATACCAATCGAGAGCAGGGCGAACAGCGGGAACGCCGTCTTCAGCCGGAAAAGGGGCATTTTGACGGTTTGAGGGGATGACTTTTCGAACATGTACGTGAAAAGGCGTTCGCAAGGGACAAAGCCAGGAAGGAGGGCAGAAATAAATTCGGCGAGCCCTCCGGTATCGAGAAAAAGGTGTTTCTTATCGAGTTCGGCGTGAACCGTGAACGGGAATCCGCGAGATGTTCGTGTCCCGTGATGATCGTGTGGTTGGTTTGAGGCACGAAAGAGCGCGTTTCCAGAATAAGACGAGGATGTCGAATAAGCGCGGGAGGAAGGTTATGTTAAAGAATGACAGGCAGTTTCAATGCCGGAGATCAACGAGAGGCTGGCAGCGTCGGGGCCCGCGCGACACGGTCCAAAATAATGGAGGGGGGGGGGGGTGGCAGAAAGGAAATCGAAAAGGGGATGGATTAAGAGAAAAGAGAAACAACGGCGAGAAACAAGCGCGGCTGGACAGTGAGTCCAGGGCGAGACCAAGAAGTTGGAGAAGGGGGGAGGATGAGAGTCGTGAAGAGTGTACGAGGAGGAAAAAAAGGGAGAGAGCGAAGAAGTCAAGTAAGTACTGGAGTTTTGGCAATTTGGCAATTGGCGTGTACAGCCCTGTTGGTGAGAGAATGCGGGTTTGGGTATTACGAGACGGTAATAAAACCCCTGACTGTTTTATTACAGGAAATTGGCTGTAAATGGACACCTTGACACCTTGAAGCCTGGGGAACAAGGCATAAGTAATACCTGGCATCAAACTATCTCAGTATACTGTATACTGATATGTAGTACTTCTAGACAGGAGCGAACTTCTTTGTTAAATATGACAGGAGTTTCTTTCTATAAGAAAACAGGTAGCTATTTCTTAATTACTGTCTTTTGTGTACAGACTGCATGTATTTCTCCGTTCACGCTCATGCCGATCATCATGGGAAACATGTAACGGAATGCTGGGTCGCTTGGGAGAGATCATCCTACTAGCCATGCACCGTATCAAAATCCTAGGATCGACAAGGAAGTCCTGTTCCGTTTTTTTTTTCTTTTTCAATTTTCTTGTGTCCACCTGGCTTTTTCTTTAAAGTTTGAAAAAATAGAAGGCCTTGTGAACAATACCTAACACACATGTACAGATAATCATCCTACGGGGTAGCCTGCTTTGGATTGGATCCGCATTAAGTCTCCCGATGAGACGTTTGCCGTCTTCAGATACCCGGAACGGCCGTTGAGCCCGTCGGAGCTTCGTCCGGATGAATTCAATCATGCAGAATGGTCCGGCTGTCCAGGTAAGAAACACTGGACGTCTGAGGCATAGGCGATCGGTCCATGCCTTGGATCAAACCAGTCTACTGTACTCTACCTAATGTGTTTATAATGTATACAAACCTTACACATGTGGAGTCCAATATCCATCTATCCATAAGTAGGTACATTTATTACATACATCCATCCTACTACTGTATTTGTAGAAGATTGACGTGACTCCTTATAGATGCAGAAAATGTATTTGCTTTCGTAAAATTGAACCATACAGAAAAATTCTGTTCCCCGGGGTCTTTTTCTATGATTGATCCCATCATGATGATGCCGTTCATGATAATAATCATAATAAGAGTAACAGTTGAATCAAATTGCTAGTAAATCACGTCACCGCCGCTTGGACCAATAGATCCGGAGTGGATGGGGACTAGACCACATGTGCAGGGGAGTCGATTACTATGTCAATAACACAAGTGATCAATTGGTGCATTTGAATGGTCTACACGCTTCATAGATATAGAGTAGACATACATATTGCAGTACATGTACATGACCACAGACTCGGAATAGTTGGTCGCCTAGAAAATTGTATACATGTAAAGAAAATTAAAAATAGAAATCAAAATCAAAATAACATGGTGCACACCACCCGTGGACCATTCAAGTGTATTATGATTACGAGGATCCAAGACCGCTCGTCAGTAATTACCAAATCCTCCACAGGAAATGATCTGAAGGTCGATCACCCTGGCCACCTTGACCCTCAGCCATTCAGCGACCAGTCAGCGACCGGCGGAGGCCCTGGTGGCCAGCCGCCCCCCCACCGACGCGTGTCCTTTGGTGACCGTTGACCTTGGCTTCGGATTCATTCGCCCTGAGAAAGAAGATTGGAGCTTGAAGCCTTCTGTGCTCCGTAGCTAGACTTGATTTATCCAACTTTGGAATATATATGCTCATAATACACACCTACAGGGATAGCTGTAGTGATTTAAGTGATATAATGCATGTAGTACCATGTAGTATGTTTGTAGCACTATATACTCCCAAAAAGCATTGTACAAACTGCAGTGAAACAAACGCCCGAGTAATTCATTGACTTTATTCCATTTTATGGATTTTCCAACTGGTCCCCATCTCCCTTGTCCTTGATACACACTCGAAACATTAGACCCTGAAAGCTTATCGACAAGGATTGGTTACAGTGGCGAGGTTCATTCAGCCGTGGTCTTCGCTGCGAGGAAGTGGGCCGGGATCGACAGCTGAACCATGCAGAACTTTTTTTTTTTCGCCGTCGGGAGGCTTGTGGCAGGTAAGGTTACCGAGTCAATAATTTGATGGTTGTGCTCTTTTTTATGAGACAGCTGCGTCATTGATGTCGTCCTTGTGTTCTATGTATATTGGCTTATAAGGCGCGATGTTTCACTCAAGGTGGCGTGGAGAACGTCCCGGTGTCTTAGGGCTCCAGCATGATCCATGGATGATTTTAGTTGACATTTAGGATACCCTCTGGACCAGCTTTTTTTTCATGCCCCTGACAGGTAGACTCCAACCGAGATTGTGAGAATCTAACCTTAACTTGAAACGAGCTGCAGTGTGTCTACAAGTATGGCATTGGCAATCCGATGGTGAATACAGATGTATCTATTGATGGACATAGGTTACGCGATAGTATGGAGTATCTTGCTGCAGGCACCCGCGAGAGGCCATAGTGTCGTGTTAAATACTCTGATTATACTGAACGTCGATATGTAGTGTTCTTCATTACTAAGTATAAATGCATCCAAAAAGATCCACGGATATACACATTGTTTGGTACTACATAGCCATTCTCACCCTCAACAGTTGGATCGTATTTGACATAATAGACATGATTAGATCAATTTAATTTGCACCAACAACTAAATCCAGTTAGTAAATAACAACTCTTCGCGACACCGATCGAAGCCATCTAGAATTTTCTGAGGTTTAAGCTCGATCCCAGCCGTCTTGGCGATGCTGTCATAAAGTAGAAAAATTAGCAAATTTAAAATTAAAAACCCAAGCCACCGAGGTAGGGGAGTACACCAGTGGAGTCGTAATTTTACAGACCCTGAAATTAAAGAGAACCAGTGCGTGCCAGGCTTAAGAGTGGATCCCCGACCCCTGATCGTCGGTGTCTTTGGCCGCAAGGAAGTTTCCTTGGGAAAAGTTGGCAAGGGAGAGTTTTTTGCCCGGAAAGAGGAGAGAACACCCAAAAAGTGTTCGAAGTAGAAAAACTAGTAGTGTAGATTAACACTAACGAGGCTCGTTGAGTGGATTCGAAAATGAGGCTTTGGTACTGGATAGTTGAACCCATCGCGGAACTTGAATTAGATTATGTAGTAAAATGTGCTTGCGTATCGTAAAGGGTCTACCCCTTGATCAACAACATCTTAGCCAAAATCATGTCGCTACTAAATCCCTTGCTATCGGACCCTGACTATCGGTAGCTCTTGAATCCTCCCAATCATAGCGTTGTTCACGCTCTCCGTATTGCCTGATGTCTGGTTGGCTACCTTTACCAAGCCCAGTCGCCCAGTTATCGCGCACGGATTATTTAGTACTGCCCCAGTACGGAGTAAGAACACTCTAGCGTCAAAAAGCGATTTTTCTTTTCTTTCAATGTACTCCGTATAGAGAGCGTGTGCCGCGTAATTCAGTAGAGAGATGGCATGTAGGGCGTCATATAAGGGGATGATCTCAAAGACCCTGCATGATCTTTGTCGGGCGGCCGATGGAAGTCCTGCATAATGTATGTATGGTGTTCTCCGTACGGAATACGGTGGATCACGAAATTTGCCGAAGTCTGAATAGCACAGCCTGATACTCAACCCCGCTTGACAATCGAAGGAAGATGAAGCATAACAGCAGCAGCCAGCCATCGAAAACAACACCTGCAGCCTTGTCGCCCCAAGGTTTCACGCGTTGCGTGAAGATCAATGAGTATCATATCCAATCATCAAGTACTGGCATCCTTGGACATGTGTGACACGGTCACCGGCGGGGATCGCCAATCTGTTCCGATAGACCACTGAAGGATGTTATGTATGAAGATGAAGCTTTCTTTGTGGTGACATCGTGCAAGGGTGGTGATTATAGGCCTCAGCCTTGCAGAGTTCAATTTCGACGACGAATGATCTTGATTTCTCGATAAACGTTGGATCTAGACATGTTTCATCGTGCTTCGAGAGCATGGCAACTCTTGACGGACGGTACTTCACCTTAATCAGCAATATCATGATACGAATGTATTGAGTTTATGAGTTGACTCCGGAAAAGCAGTTACCCAAACCCTTTACTTCCTACCCAGACTGTGCAAACAAGCTAGTAGGGGAAATTGGAGTCTATCTCTAATATAGTTTTCGATATGATTTCTAACACGAACGTGATTTTCAACGTGATTTTCAACGTGATTTTCAACGTGATTTTCAACGTGGTTTTCGACGTGGTTTTCGACGTGGTTTTCGACATGGTCCATTAAATAATTTGTACATATGGAATCATCCTTTTTGCGATTGAGAGATGTTGAGTGAACTTGACAATTAAACTCGGTACAAATATGCGTGATGCGGTTTTCATACCGAGGACCACGGCTTTACTCCACACTTGCCTTAGATGGCACTAGGAACGGTCCGCGGCTCAAGCCCACGCGCGCAGAAAGTGTCGACATCTGACTCCCCCGCAGGCTCTGGGTTATTGAATAACTGCAATAATCTCTGACAAAATGAGTTGTAATTCATCTCAGATTCACAAACCAGATGATTGAAATGGAGTTCACCACCGCAGCGGAATTTGTTAAGGTGAGGCGAATTGCGTACTACATACATCCGCGGTTCCAAGGCTACTGACGATATAAGGGATAGGCTTATCAGGCCACTCGAAATGCATTTGATTCCAAAGTTACCAGGGGGATAAACTGGAGAATTCGGCAGTTGAAGCGTACGTGGTGGATGATCGAGGAGAACAAGGATCGTATTGTTGCGGCGCTTTACAAAGACTTGAAGCGACATCGCCAGGAAACAATATTGTCCGATTGTACAATGGTCCAGAATGACATTCTACACATTCTGGCGAATCTAAACGAGTGGATGCGGGACGAGAAGCCGACCAGATGGGATATGATTAATTTCATGGGTGGCACGACTATACGCAAAGAGCCCAAGGGCGTGGTGCTCATCATCGGCGCCTGGAATTTTCCAATATTACTCCTCTTGCATCCAATGCTAGCGGCTATCGCTGCAGGGTGTGCGATAATACTCAAGCCATCGGATATGGCGCGCGCGTCCCAGGACTTACTCATGGAACTCGTTCCGCAATACTTGGACCCCAATGCTATTCGTTGTGTCACTGCTGGTCCACAAGAGATGCAGCATATCCTTGGGCACCGATTCGATCATGTGTTTTATACTGGATCTGCTAATATTGGCAAGATTGTGTATACTGCAGCTGCGAAGCATCTCACGCCTGTCACGCTAGAGCTGGGAGGCCAGGGACCGGCTATTGTCATGCCGACTGCGAATATTGAGCTCTCGGCCAAACATATAGCAGTTACCAAATTCCAAAATGCTGGACAGGTGAGTGTTGTTTTCTTTTCCCTTTGAGCAGTCTTCGGGCACATAGATAACCATATGATATAGATCTGCCTCACAGTCAACCATGTAATTGCAGATCCTAAGATCAGCGATGCTTTAGCTCAGGCCATGATCCGGCACTTCGATCTTTTCATGGGCGGCCAAGACAAACAACCTGAGTACTATACACGCATAGTGAACGAGCGCAATTTCGACCGACTAGATCGCCTGCTCAAGGAGACAAGAGGCAAAATCGTCTATGGCGGTCAACGTGATCGTTCCACGCAATTCTTCGCACCAACCATTGTCACCGGCGTGAGACCAGGAGATAGCTTGCTCTCCGAGGAATTATTCGGTCCAATCCTACCGATAATGGAGGCTGACTTAGATTCCGGCCTCGCTTTCACACGTGAAACTGGCCAACCGCTTGCCTTGTATGCCTTCACGCAAAACTCAGATGAGAAACATCGCATCCTTGATGAAGTTCAGTCTGGAGGCGTCACATTCAACGATTGTATGCTGCATATCGTAGGCCGCGACGCACCATTTGGAGGCACCGGCACCTCTGGATTTGGATATTATCATGGATATCACGGTTTCCGCGAGTTTTCTTACCTGCGCACTTGTACAAATGCTATGCCGGCGTGGATGGAGTCGTTGATGGATGCACGATATCCACCGTATTCATTGAAAAAGATCGAAAAGCTTTCGCCGCCTGTGAAACCTGGCTTTGATCGCGATGGGAATGATACTTCAACGCGGAAATTGTGGAGATGGACGTTCGGTCTGGGGGTACTTGTGGTTTCCATGGCCATCCGGCATATTTTGGGGCAAAGTTCACGTCGGCCGTAGGGCGAGGAACTTGGATGATTCAATATTATGAGAGGACAACTGGGAGTGCCGAATACCCATCCATTATATTGATGCGACCAAGTCATGGATTGAACCTTGGAAGACTGGGCTTAGTCGAAATATCATAGTTTGATCTGACTACGGTAATAAGACACGTGCAAAGATATATTGGTTCACTTGGTAGCGAATATTATTCTGTTCTGTACAAAGGACACTACCGGGGTTAGTACTGAGACACTCATATCGTAATGCTATGCTACAAGTCATTCATCAAAGGTGCCTTCTCGATCATCAAAGATCATAAAATCATCAGGGTCTGTTTCACTGCCTTCGACCATCAACCATGCCTGCTTGACCATGTCAACAGTCTCATCCTCGAAAGCAAGGTCCAGACTGGGCAGCGGGAAGCTATAGACGTGAGGTGAGTGTGTTTGGATCGTGGGGGGTAAGCCATCGTTACTAAAATGACCGATATGGTTGTATCGCACAGACCAATGAACAACGGCGTGAGGTCCTTCCGCCTGGAGAAGTCGGTCGACTGCACATTCCAACAGAGTCTGACCTTCCAGCCCCGGGACGGAGACGTTGCCGTAGATGATACCTGTGTTCAGTCCATATTAGCTATATGAATGACAAAAGAAAAATAATTTCTTTCGAAAAAGCAAAGTCAAATTGCAGAGCTCATGATCAGTTCGTGATAATAATTATCATCAATGATATTGCAGACAATGTAGATAAGTTTAAACAAATCATCATACGAGCGATGCGGGGGAAGTTGGAATGGGAAGAACATTGAGGATGACTTACTCTGCTGACGTGGACAATCGCCGGTGTCACTCGAGTGAACCTGGAGATACACTGGGGGCGACTGTGGATTGCCTAATGTTTCGCCTGGGAACATCAAAATAGCGCTGACAGGCACAGGGCCCCCCTCCGTAGTGACGGGGAAAAGAAACGCGAGGTCCGAGGAGACGACAGTGATTGACCGTGCAATTTTAGCGCAGGACAGCGACTGTGCCTGAGCGACAGGAAGATCCCATTGTGAACCCACCACGGACTTTGCCCTAACAGACTCACCATTGGACAGTTGCAATTCTACAGGGAATTGCTCTTCCGACCCACCATCAGTGAGACTTTGGATTCCTGTACCAAGAGCATATACTCCTCCACCAACGGCAGAGGCTCGACAAGCAACTTGGAGAATCTCGGATCCGCCCCCATACTTGGAAATGACAGAGCCAAATCCTGGTCCCAAGGAACCAATAGATGCAAGATGCCTCTTGATTCGTGGAAGGGCATATGCGGCAGAAGTATTTTGAAGAGTTTGCTGCGAAAGCGAAAGAGAGAGCAAGGGACTCTGAAGGTCTTGTGGAACATCCAACTTGCTGGTCAAGTACTCTCCGAACGGAAGAGACAGGTCTTCCTCTGCTTCACTATTGTCCTCATCATCCTTTGGCTTACTGATGTGCCGCAAGAACCGCATCAGTGCCCTTTTTGATTTCATATTGATATGTGTATCAGCAAAGACGTCCTCACGGCTGCCTGGTACACGATGGAAATATCGCGTAGCACCCAGTTCTTCACTCTCAGTCTGTGAGGGTTCCTGAGAGTGAATCCACCAGCTTCCTACAGCCATGAACTCCAACTGGCGATAGACCTTGGAGGATATCAGGACAGATATCAGTTGGGAGCGAGTGTAGAGGAAATGAGGCGAGAGGGAGAGGGTGTAGGCTCGACTGGCCGCCAACTTTGGACGAGGCTCGACAGTGTCTTGCGAATGATCGTATGTGAAAATTTTGGCTTCTTCGAATGGAGTGCGGCCTGGACCACGTTGGTTCACATCGTTCACCCAATCGTGAGCCTCATCCAGACTGAATGCCGCCTCGGATCCACCATAGTATGCGTTTTGATCCAGATGAAGGACTTTTTTTCCCGACCGAGAGAGGGATCTTGGGAGAGAACGCGTTAGTGGCTAGGTAGCCCACGACTCAAGTGAATGCGACTCACAAGGCCAGAAGGGATTGAGCCAGTCCAGTCCCTGCAATAATCACATCCCACTCGGTCCCTGCCAAGGTGTCCATGGTGCCCACGAGAGAGCTAGTGCTCTCGCCAGTAGCAAACCAGTTAAGTGTATGACTCTGGCTGGTCGGAATCTGATAAATTGGACAAATAGGTGATTTAGCGCCTATTGAGTTCCATTCGTAAGTTCCATGAGCTCAACAACCAAAGGGGGTGGATGGTTAGAGCTCATGGAGTACGGATCGAAGAGAAAGAAGAAAAAGGAAAGAAAATGTTTTGTCGAAGCTTTTGGTGTGCGCGAAGGCGGTGAGCAGCAAGAAGTGGGGACGGCACTACTACCACCACCACTACTTAGTAGTTCTTAGTTGATTCTTAGAAGTCTGGAGTAATTCATCTACAATCAACCTCGGTCATTCTCAGACCACCTAGGTACAACTTGAAACAGGATTACAGACACCTAATCATATATGGGCGTGAAACCAGCATAATGAGTGCAACCGACATCACAATCACATAGCACGTTGCATGTGCCATCTGCACAACATTCGATAAAAATAGCCCCCAAGGCCAGATGGGCCAAACTCCCCCATCCTTCGCATGAGATCATTCTTGGGGCAACTTACTCTTTCCTCTCCCCTCTCCACATCTCTCAGTGAGTAAGTCAATTCGATGACTCGATTTATTTGGTGATCTGGGCCTCGAAATTAATTGAGAAGGTATACGCAGTTCAAGGTACCAAGAGATGGCAGACGAACCAGTCATTATTATTGGAGGCGGACTTGCAGGCCTGGTCGCTGCCTTTGAGCTCTCCAAACGTCAAGTACGCAGTGTTATCGTCGATCAAGAGAATGAAAGTAGTCTAGGTGGTCAGGCTTTCTGGTCGCTGGGCGGCCTTTTCATTGTGAATACGCGGGAGCAGCGCGTGGCAAGAATCAGAGATAGTCGCGAACTCGCGTTACAGGACTGGTTGAGCACAGCTAAATTTGATCGTGAATGTGATTACTGGCCAAGAAAATGGGCAGAGGCCTTCATTGACTTCGCGTCGACTGAATTTGAACAATATGTCAAATCTCTCGGATTGACTTTTTTCAATGTGAGCTGGGCCGAACGAGGCGATGGATCTGCAGGAGGACATGGAAACTCGGTGAGCTCAGTTCTACACCCGATTTGTATACTGGGAACAAACCTAACTAGAAGAACTACCAGGTGCCAAGATTTCATGCTTCATGGGGCACCGGGCCCGCAGTCGTTGATATTTTCGAAAAACCAGTCAGAGAAGCCGCGAAGAAAGGGCTAGTGGATCTTAAATTTCGACACCAAGTTGACTCCATTTTGGTTGACGAGCATACCGGTGCAGCTATCGGTGTGAAAGGCCAAGTTCTCGAGCCATCTGATACCGCACGTGGGGTTGCAAGCAGTCGGAAAACTGTTGACACATTTGAGATTCGTGGGAGCAAGGTACTCATCTCTAGTGGAGGGGTTGGCGCCAACCTTGAAGTTGTTAGAAAGAATTGGCCTGTCGACCGACTGGGTGCTGTTCCATCAAACTTTGTTATTGGAGTCCCTGCTCATGTGGATGGCCGAATGATTGATATCGCGCATGAGGCTGGTGCCAATGTAATTAACAGCGATCGAATGTGGCATTACACTGAAGGCCTCAGCAACTGGGATCCTATCTGGCCAAACCATGGGATTCGGATAATCCCCGGACCATCGTCACTTTGGCTAGATGCCGCAGGTCACCGACTGCCTCCAATGCTTTATCCTGGTACTGATACCCTCGGGACCTTGAAGCATATCTGTCATAGTGGTTCAGATTACACGTGGTTTATACTCAACAAAACGATCGTTGCCAACGAGTACGTTCTTTCTGGCTCCGAGCAAAACCCAGATATCACAGGGAAAAGCATTCTTCAAACACTGAAACGTCTGTTTTCTTGGTCGCCCACCGAGCCAATCCAAGCATTCATGGACAAGGGCGCCGATTTCGTGGTCGAGGACAATCTCCCTGACTTAGTTACTGGCATGAACAGACTGGCGAAGGAACGCGGCGGACCGGCTCTTGAGATTGAGGACATCGAACATGAAATTCATCTTCGTGATCTTCAAGTCGACAACTCATTTAGCAAAGATGCTCAAATCATGCTCATCCGAAATGCGCGCAACTACTGGCCTGATCGAATGTACCGAGTGGTCAAGCTTCACAAGCTGTTGGACCTAAAACATGGCCCCCTGATCGCGATTCGATTGAATATCCTGACTCGAAAGACACTTGGGGGCTTGGAGACGAACCTAGATGGAAATGTCCTCCGACCCGACGGATCAAACTTCCCAGGATTGTATGCGGCGGGCGAAGCTTCAGGTTTTGGTGGAGGGGGAGTTCATGGGTACAGTGCCCTTGAAGGTACTTTCTTGGGAGGCTGTATCTTCTCAGGACGGACGGCGGGTATAAAAATGGCCGAAGCAGTCAAGGCAGAGACATCTTGATCAGCATAGGGATCTAAGTGGCTTTGAGGACCATGCCTACGAAGGTGCAAATGAACGAATCGACATAATAAGTGACCGAATTACTAGATAGCTCCTAGGAATAGCATATTCTACAGTGAAAGTGGACCTACCTCTATTGACGGTCATGATACCCCTAACCTCAGGCTGAAGAGACACGGGAACAGAAAAAATCATGAAACTTAATGTTGTACTAAAAGTTGGAGGTGCTTTCTCAGTTAAACACACTCTACGACGGTTAATTACTGGTGATAGGTCTGTTTCAACTTTCATTTAAAAGAAAATGGCACGCAGTGCGCAAATTATTCTAGCAACCTTATTAACTAGATCAAATAAATCAGCAAACCTCATTGGTATGATTACCGGAGCAGTTTGGTGGGAAAAACAAGAATTGTGAGAAAACCAAAGGCCTCATCAATCCAAATCAAAGAGAAATATCCAAGGAAAACTCAATCAGCGACAGGTAAATGCCAAAGAAGCTTCGGGGATTTATCACACTTCACGCCTACTGAGTGACTTCAGCGGCGCTTTTCTCTGTAGCATTCTCAACTTGAATATCTCGCAACTTCTCCGATTGGATAGTACCCTGCTCCAGCTTGCGAACATGCTGGAACTGGACAGTGGTCTTCCATGGCCGCATACCAGGAGTGGTGAACATGTCCTCCACCTCTTCCAAAGTCTTACCGGCAGTCTCGGGGAAAGCGAAAAACACATGGACGGTCATCGCAAAACAGAAGACACCGAAGACTAGATAGGTCTTCCACTGGATGTTCTCAAATGCGGGGGGAACAAAGTATGAGAGAGCGAAGTTGAAGATCCAGTTGGAAGCAGTTGAAAGAGCCACGGCCTTACCACGAAGACGCAAGGGGAAGAGCTCGGGTGGGTAGATCCAGCTGACGGGACCCCAGGTTGGTGCGTAACTGGCGACGAACAGATAGGTACAGGCGATGATACCCTTGGCGGCCATAGGTGCCTCGGACATGTCCCAGGACTCCTCAGCAACACCACCCACACCACCGGCCGGCGCAGGCTTACCATAGGAGGCCATCAGACCTCCGTTGGCGAACATGAAGATCATCATGAGGGTGGAGCCCACCAGAAGAGGGGTACGACGACCCCAGCGGTCAATGAAGAGCAAAGCAAAGATAGTCATAACGACGTTGATGACATATTGAATCGAGGATGCGACTAGGTTGGCGTTACCTGATAGACCAGCCATTCCGAAGACATAGGTGATGTAAAGCATCATGACGTTCATACCGGTCAGCTGGGACCAGATCTGGGTGAACATGCCAATATGGGTGCGGTAAATCATGTGGCCCTTGAAGAGCTCGACGTACGAGGCATCGGCATGTTGACGCTCGAACTCGACAATGTCCCGAATCTCCTGCAACTCAGTCAACACGAATGGAGCACTCTTGTCTCCCTTAGCGTGAACCAAGGCCAGAACCTCATGGGCCTCCTCCCAGCGATCATGCTTGGCTAACCAACGTGGGCTCTCGGGAAGGAGGAAGAACATGAAGAACAGGAAGACGGCCGGGATCATCTGGAGACCCCAAGGTAGACGCCAGGCAGCGTTACCGGTGAGGAAGCTGCTTCCGTAGGAGATGTAGAACATGATCAGAATACCCCAGGTGATGGCCCACTGCTGTGCTCCCACCACTTGTCCTCGTTTACTGGGCTGGGCCAGCTCGGCGACGTAGACGGGAACTTGGGCGCTGAGAATACCAACAGAGATACCGTTGATAAAACGACCAGCGACGAGTTGACCGATACTGAATGAAGCGCAGACGATGGCACTACCGATACACCAGATGACCGAACCAGACTGGATGGCGCCCTTACGACCAATCCAGTCCGTGACAAAACCCGAGACCAGCGCACCGAGGAAGGAACCACCCGGCATGGCAGCAGAGATACCACCTTGGGTCGAAGAGGTTGGACCGCCACATTCACCCTTCTCATTGATGCCAGTCTGGTTGAAGAAGCATTTGTACTGTTGAGTGCCAAGACTGGGGAGAAGGTTAGTGAGTGGATGTGAAGATCGAGGAACAAAGAGAGAAGAAAAAAAGTGGGGGGTGGGGAAGCTTGTCGAAGCCAAAGAAAAGTAGGAAATGATGTGACTTACATGGCAGACATAGAAGCAATATCAAAACCGAACAGTGCACCGCCAATGACGGCCACCGTGGTGATGAAGTAGATGTTTCCTATAACGTACCCCATGATGGATTCAGTGGGGGTATGTCAAGGGGAGCACAGTAGAGTAAGATAGAAGAAGAGAAACTTTGGGGAATCAAGTACAGAAAAAAAGAAAAACAGAGAAAAGTTTAGAAAGAAACTGAGGAAGGATTGCAGAAGATATAGAGACAGGGAATAGCAAACGGGGGGATTCCAGCTTAGCTAATTGGGGGACATCGTGAGAATTGATGGATCTAAATAATTAAAATTAAATAAATTTGAATCCCGCCTAAGGAGTGCATACATGTTGTCTGGGTTCGAGCAATTTGACTTTTGTGGAGAAGAGGAGAAGAGGAGACCACAGCTTTCTACCACTAATAGTTCAGCGTCGATGACTGTGACTGCTACATGACTACCGAGTATACCGAGTATACCAAGTACACTTCTACTCTAGATGCCTAAACTTGACTGAGATCAGCATCTCGAACTCCTTCGAGAACTAGTGGACACCGCTCATAGGACAGTCTGTTCAGGGTCCAAGACCCCAGCAGATTAAACTAGGACTAAAACGCGCCATACCAAGCCCCCTAACTGCACTAACGCTGGCTAGCGCATGCTACTTCGCAGGTCAACTACCAACGCCACATGGTTTCATCCAATCCCACGTTATTCTCTTCTGGGCGCGGACTTTTTCTGTTTTGCGTTTTTTTCAGTGGTTTTGAATGCTTTGTTTTCTGGATCTTGTGCTTTTTCTTTGGCTTCGATCCAAGGTTCTAGGAGTAAAAAGGGCCTCACATGATGTTCGGCATTGCTTTTAATATCTTTCGTTAAAATTTTCTTCATTTTATATTATGAATGATAGAATATAGTGGGTTTTCTGGGTTTTCTGGGGTTTCTAGATTTTTTCCTCATTTCTATTATTTTATTTCTCCTCCAAAGTTGTGTTGTCTTAAAATCTTATATCGTGATGACTCGATGACTATGAGGAGGTAGATGGCCCCCCTTCTCCACACCCGTGATTCCCCCTCAAATTCCCCAACTCCCCAGTCTTTTTTCTTTCTTTCCCCCCCAGAATCAACACATATCCACCCCCGCGTTTCCATGATTGGTTACTCTCCACCAAAAAAAGGATGTGGCATCTTGGATTTTCTTTTTTTTATTATTTTTCCCCTTCTCTTTTTCCTTCCTTGTGCCTTCTGCCTTTCTCTTCCATCCTATCAGGGGCTTGGACCATCTTGAGGCTTGCCAAGCTGTTGAAATCTGGTTTGCTCTTAGGTTGCGCGTTCGGCTCGGCGCCTTGTCTTGTTTAGACGAACGCCATGGCGGCCTTTGGTCTATTCGTTGCCCGGATCTGTATATGATCGACTTCAAACAAAGTTTCACCATATCCACGTTACCCAGCCTGCCGTCCCACTGATGACCGCGTGGAAGCGATGGTACGACCCGACCTACAACCCCAGCCTACAGGGGTCTTGCCATAGGCTGATACTTTAGCGTGTCAGTTGGTTGCCGTGCGCCACCGGGCCCTTGCTCCGAGATAACTGACCTGCAGCTCCTCGAGTCAACTCCTCCGAGTTCCGTTAGTCGGGGCTCGTTCACCCGATTTGTCTTTCTTACAAAGGCCACCCGAACGGCTCTCTGCGGCAAATCAGCACACTAGTTCCCGATTTGGAAAGAAAAAAAAGACTGTCTTTGTGCGCAAAGCATCGCGCAATACGAAAAACGGAGTAGGGTGTACATATGGCGCTCAGTTCACTTTTATGACTAAGACTAGGATGCCCCACTACCTCCCAGTTTGATCCCAAGGCTCTCACTAAACAGAATACATGCCCTGCTTACTGAGGTAATTAGTCCAGAAACAAATTCGGGTCAGGCCGTTAGTACTGGGTCAGAGCACAGCGGAAAATTTACAACCCTGGATTTTCAAAAGAAGACCCATCCATCATCATAAGACATATTCTTCTTGATCATACTCATACTTGAAAGTGTTCTAGAAGCTCGCCATTACGCAAATGAGGATGCCTCGAACAAATCTGTTCTATTGATTGTTGAGTGGTTACATGGGAGACTCCGATCCCTGCATGTCAGATCTGGCTCGCCAAGCTTACGTTTCAGCACAGTCATCTTGACTCGACGAATATGAATACCACATACGTAGTGACCACACTATGCTTAGTGAGCAGTTCAGCAAAACTAGCTCATAGGTATTATTGAGAAGCTGCTAGGTGATATGAGACATCCACCCTTGATCTCAGTGTAACAAATCGTATGTAGGCCAATTTCTACCTGGGGGGAGAAATAATGTTCCTCTAGGGCTGAGTGATCTGACATGTTGTGTTGCGCTAATATCTGATCTTGGTGTAGCCGTATCACATTAATTCATGGAGATCATTTTGCGCATTTGAGCCGCTTCTTCGGGCACCGTAATAATAAAACGAACCGGCTAGTCGAGCCGAAGGTTGCTCACTACCTAGTAAGTTGGTAGTAGAGGTTTCTTTTCTTTTTCTAAACATCAAATCCTATTAAATACCTACGATGGCGGGGATTAGAAGCCTACATGCCCAAGGAAGAAAAGAAAGAAAGAAAAAGAGAGAGAAAAAAAAAGGAAAAACGCCTTTTCGCTTCTTGGAATAATTACAGATAGTTTTAGTATTGCTTCACTTGGACCTGCATATATCAGAACTTTCGATGTTTACAGGCCGCTTATAACCTACTAACCGTTCTGAAAAGCTACTAGTACTACTAGATGTACTGTAGATGGTTCGGGTACCCGGGGGCTTTGTTAGCCCTGAAGTCGGTAATAGAGCAGGCCACTGTCCACATGGCTTATTCCAAAGTTGATATGTATTATATGAACGAACTTAGAAGTTGGAAATTCAATATTCGGAATTTATGACATCGTCCATTCAAATGATAATAATCCAGGTTTAGCATTGAGTAGTTGCGATTATCTTCAATTCATCACTCTTCCGCCGATTGGAGCTTGACAAAGCTGAATGGCAGAGACAAAGTTCACAAGGAATTACATGATGAATTGGACAAAAAAAAGTTCATGATCAAATCAGAGTGACAAAAAAGCAGGCAATCAGCAACAATACCTTCAAAAATATCGTTCTTCATACTAAGTATTTGGAGGGCTATCGTTGATCAAGCAATGGCATTTTGATTTACATTGTAGTGGACTCGGGTACTCCGGACCGAAGAGATGAAAATCAATTCTCAGCCTCGTTTTGAGCCTAGTTCGCTCCAAGTGAACTAGTGCGATGATGTTTCAATAATCCGGCGCATCGCATTGGCTCACATCGGTCGTAGGTGTGGAGCAGATCTAAACTGAATCAAGCCAATGACTTGCCAAATTTGGTTTAACGCAAACAACGCAAAAAAGGCCCCCAAATATCCTTAGTGACTCCTTTCTATAAAATCCGCGAGGTAATCGTCCTTTTTGTTAAAAATAAAAAAAGCCATCTTCGCTTTCTTCTATCGCCATGTCTCGCGTGGTAGATCAAATACCAACACCCACTGAGGTCCGACGAAAGAAGGTCATTGTGCTCAGTTTAAGTCGGTGAGACTTCGTCTGCACATGCATAGTACTATTTAAAGGAACATATCAGGCTAATACTAGATCCACAATGAGTAACTAGATCTGGAACTCTTGGTCTTTATCGCGCACTGCAAATCTTGGGCTTTAAACCATACCATGTTTACGAATGTTTCATTGTCAATGGCACAGAGCATACCAAGATATTCACGGAGACCGCAATTGCTCAATTTAACCGCCTATCCGGGATTAAGAGAGCCACGCGTGCAGACTGTGATAAATGGTTTGCCAATTATGATGTGAATCAATATTGAAAAATCGTTAAAATAAAAACGGCCGGTTCTAATCAATGGACGTGATCTACTAGGCTATCGTTGAAGTGACAAGCTTGTTGAGCACCGAAGTCCTAGAGTCTTACGCCAAAGACCCCGACGTGAAGTTCATTCTCACCGAAAGAGATCCCAGAAAATGGGCTTTGTCAATCAACAACTCTGGCGGAAAGGCATTTCAAGCCGTCAGCAGCTTTCCGTTGAACATCCTGAAGTATTTTGATTCGCAGCTGTACCATTTCATCGAGCCGCACCTCGTCATGTATAATGCCTTTGCATCTGGCACTCGCCCTGGAGATACGGACAACGAAGAAGTACTCTGCCAGTTCTACAACGATTAGTACGTCTCAATAAGCCCGAATTACCTTGAAAGTTCGATGAACTGATAAAAACTGCAGTATTCACATGGTCAAGGCGACTATTTCTGCAGATCGTCGACTTGATATCCAATTAGACCGAGACGGGCTGGGTTGGGATGATATTTGCTCTTACCTCGAGCTTCCAAAACCTGAACAGGACTATCCTGACCGTAACCAACCTGCCAAGTTTCAAGCCTTGTTTGAGGGTTTTTTGAAACCAAGGGTTGCCCTCGCAGCAATGCGATGTGGTGCTGTTATTGTAGCCACCATTGGGGTTTGTGGATGGGCGTCCATGAAGTACGGTCCATTAGTCCTTCAAAATGTTACTCATTGTGCACGAGCATGGTGATCGTGAGATGAACATCGGTCCTTCGAGTTTGCCATTTTGGTCGATACCGTGTGATATAATGTAAGTTATATTACATTTAGTATGGAGAAGATGAGAAATTGAGATAAAAAACCGGTGGCTTTGTACAGCGGTATTTAGTATAATCAGGAACTCGGACCTGTATCATAGATCTTCACTCCTTCTCTGGGTTGCCTCTTTGTCCCTTCCATGCCATATACTTATTATGTATATCAAGACGGAAAACTTGCTTCAACGAGGCCGAAAGCTCTACTTGAACAGGCAGCGCCGCTTGAACTGCACCCACTCCACAAAGACCATTTTGCCGATCAATGAACCAAGTCAATGTCAGGCCTCCACCCCACGTAAGCGTTCGATCGCCATGCCACCCATAAGATTCCTCCAGTGTCAATAAGCCGCCCAGGCCGTAGCCTACATTTGCTCCAAGCTCAGTGCCCACACGTAAAAAGACACCAGCTGGACCAGAAAGTGCAGCTTGATGGCTCTTGATGGCCTGAGGGCTGAGGTGGTTTTCAAACATGTTATCGACAGTACCAGTTTTTAGGAGCTTCTCATCATTAGCTAGAAGTGAATGAAGCACCTTGATAAAGTCGATACCGGGCAAGAACAATCCATGTCCACCAAAATCGCCAATGGTGCGTTTATTCATATCACCACCCCCTCCAACGACGGCCTTTCCCAGGGCGTCGGGATCGTCTGGGTTAAGATCCACCATGCGAGTTCGCAGCTCATTTCGTGTGACTGGATAGAATTGACCGTCTGTAATTCCTAGCGGGTCAAATATCCTTCGTTGTATATTTTCACCCAGTGAGCAGCCGGTTACCCGCTCCACCAAGCGACCTGCCCAGTCTAGACCCGGGCTATACATCCATCCCTCACCAGGTTGGAATACCAGGGGATAATTAAAGAGATCTTCGACTGTTCTTCGCTCGGTTTGTGACCCGCCGAATTTCTCCCGCCAGAGAGCGACATTCTGGTTCATGAAATGGTAACTGAGGCCAGAGCTATGTGAAAGTAGCATTTCGAGAGTGATAGGTCGAGCGGCGGGCTCAAGCAAAGGTGTTGTACCGTCACCCGCGAAGCCGGTAAGGACTTGTTTGGAGGCAAGCTCGGGAGCAATAGATGAGAGATCCTCATCCAATGTTAAGCTCCCATCTTCGACACATTGCAAAGAAGCAATTGTGGCGAATAGTTTGGTGGCAGAGGCTAAGTAAAGCACGTCGTCTAGCTGTTGCGGTCGTTTCTCACCGGATATAAGAGTACGCTCCCCAAGTGCCTTGTTAAAGACAAAGGAGCCACTGGTGTCAGTTGCACACAGAACAGCTCCATTAATTTTGCCAGAAGCTATGGCATCATTGAAGCTCTGTTCCATGTTTGTTTGAATTTGTTCGTTCACAAGACCTTTCGTCAATTGATCAGGGCAATGCTCGGTTCGGATCCTGAAGCAGTATCGCAGATGGCAAAGAGTAGATATAGGAATTTTGCTTTTTAGGAGGAAGTTTCATGTGTTGAAAATATTCAAGCAATCGCAGAAATGTCAACAGGAAGAGAGCTCCACCCTCTAACCAGTTTATACGTACACAAGGAGCTTGTCATGTCGGGGTTCGAGTTGTTGAACTCTGTGCAGCATCGGAAACGGGGAAAGCTTTAAACCCGAAATCCGAAACCCGAAATCCGCGGATTTGTGACCCATGTAAAACCAGTTGACACGAACATTGAGAGCGATTAAATTTGGCGATCTCTATGCTTGGAAACAATCAGTTGAAATCAGACACCTATCCCAACTCATGAACACCGCAGATGTCAATTAATGTGTTAGTTGACTTTCTTTACTCGCCATAACATGAGAGACTAGGTATTTGATGTCGGGAGAGAAACGAAGCCCGTACAACGCTAAATCTATTGCATGATAAAAGAGCGAAACTCATACCTGCCAGGTATTTCTACAAGTCCACGCTTTGGCTGCCTTACGTCAAATTGGTTATGAAGTTTCTTTGCCCAGACTTCGTACTCTTTCATTCATCCTTCTACTTTCTGTCTGTGCTTTCATCTTTCACATTCGATCACCATAACTCGAAATTCGTATTCATGATTTGAAGTATATCCTTTTTATCATAGATCTCCTCTAGCAAAGGGTTGCATCTCTATGCAAAGATTATATGGTGAAATGCACAGTATTACAAAGAGTTTTTAACCTGCGTTGGATAACTACTGAAACAAGGCTTCCACAACTAAAGAGAAAACCGAGATCTGGCTTGTCGCAAGTCGCCTGGACCGTGATTAACAAAGAAAAGTAAGTTCGCGCAATGACAAGGAGATACATAGAGTAAGGGGGTTATGAGTCCAACCCTTTGGAACTGATCTAGAGTTAAAGATGTCATTTCAATCGGTCACTTAATACTGGGGCAATATTAGCTGTTTTCCAAGGTCAGACTGCGCCGCAATCACATATAGTATCTCACTCAAGGTAGCTCGGATACACCGGAAAAGCCCAGCATGGCAGTCCAAGACTCGGAAAAGCATGGGAATCGACTTTATTCTACCGAACTCATGGATATTTTTGTTCGCTACCGCCGTCTCCGGAATAAAAGACCCAAAGAGAAAGGCTTTGAAGGACCGGCAAATGCCGCAGGCACCCTCGAAGAAGCGCAAATTAAAAGCAGACTTTTAAAGCCAAGTCCTCCACGCCAGCACGGGAGGCCTGCCCCACTAAAAGCTGGACATCTGGCAAAAGATGATCGAGCCGTATGGAGGTATGAAATCCAATTCATAACCTGAAATGTACCGGTGACAGCCATAGTGGCGGGTGCCAAGGACAGGAGGATGGAGGCAAATCTTGATTTCTTTTTGAATCGTACAGGAGGGCCAAATAGCGCTGTTGATGTACACTCGGGATACAAGAGTTTCGATCAGATATGGCTCAACTCCAAATGGCTTCGGTTGGACTGGTTTAGGAACAGGGCCATTGAACTCCAGAAGATGACGGAAAAAGGAAGTTTCGGGCTAAGTCACCTATCTCCAGACGATATTGATCTTACAACAAAGATGGACCAAATTCTCGTTGAAAATGACTTGCAGTATGGAAGGGTGGTACAAAGAATTTGAAAACTTATTACACCTGGTTCTCTGGAGCAAGGAACGCTAGTTGTGGGCCTATGCCTGTAGAGCGTCCTCACTTTACGATGATAATAATGCCAGACGGAGATGTTTGTGAGTATTAGATTCTAAATTGCGAGAAAGAACATGCTAACATCTCCGATGCAAACTTTCAAGAGCCGAGTGAGGAATTGGATAAAAAGATTAAGGCCGGTGCAAATGGAAAGCGTTCCAATGATGATGGAGTTGATGCTGACGATGAAGCTACCCCCAAGAAGACGAAAAAAACAAAGACAGAAAAGAAGGTAAAAATTTCGAAAGAGACCTCATATGAAGGGTTTTGAAATTTCGAAACGTTTGAAAGACAACCATATTACATGCCGAATAGTTAGTATCTGGCTTCATTGATTGCATTTGATCAAGGATTACCATGCCGAACACAAAATTTCATTATACTCATTAATGTCGTATTTTATTTAGTAAGCTGGGAATATTCAGTATTTCTCAACCCAAAGAACGAGGTATAAGCCAAACTGAAAAAAATGTTATTCGTATGGCTAGTCCGCGCATCTTGATGTTATGGGTGGAAAATTAGTATATCATTTATCTCAACTCCCATTTGATAGTGACATCGACTCTTTACAGTCCAATGGAGCGCATCTTCACTAGTCACACAGACCAAAGATGGCGCTGTGTAGAAGTCATCATGCGCAGGAAAAAATAACAATTCTAGCTCACTGTCAAATTCTAGAAGTCAAATCTTTTTGTTTTAATGGAAAACAAACCTTACACAAAAGACAATGCGTAGTACAACTGATAATTCGAAAGCATTGAATCTCAAAAAGCTCGAAGAATTTAATTTAAATCACTCGCTACAATAATCAAGGTTGTTAATTATGATGATTTATTCAAATCAAAACAAGTACAGTTGACGAACAGGGTCGAGAAATCGTAATCTTGAATTTTCCTTCGGATCACCTTCATTGCCACCCCTCTGAGAATGGAGATTAGCTTTGGATTCAAAACTCTAGGCGCTTATTGTTTCTACATGAGTTGCAGTTGTCATGTTTTTCCCTGTGCATTCCATCTTTTCCATCTCGATATTTGCGACAGTTGCAATGTCATGGCCGTCAAAGATCTTGGCCACTTCCTCCAGAGGCATATATCGAGTCTCGAGATAGAAAAACCAGATCACCACCACTTCCACAGCCAAGAAACAGCAATAAAAGATATAATAACGCCAGTGAATGTTGTCAAGAGCGATAGGGTTGACATATTGGTTGAAAAAGAGCGCAATATACATGGCGAATTCCATGATAGTGTATCCCTTCGCACGCATCGAATATGGGAGGATCTCAGTTGTGTAGCTTGCGATCAACCCAGACCTATAATGAATTTGTTAGTATATCCATATATTCGAGGTCTCCAGCGGCATTGAATTCTTACTTTAGATTGTAGAATAGATAGTATATGAATATCATCCCGAGAACACCAGATCCAAGGCTCGAGCTAGCATTCGTATCGTAGCGCGCTGACAGTATAGTCCATATCACAAAGGCGACCAGCATTCCTGCTGAACTGATCAACATGATGGGACGACGGCCCCATTTATCGACGAAGAAACTGAAGAAAAGGTTGGTGGCAAGGTTAAAAGAAGTCAAAGCGCCGTTGATCAGAAGCTGCTCGTTGGCATCTGTGATCCCAATACTGTCCATGATGAGATTGAGGTAGTATGAAACGAGACCATTCCCCGACCATTGGGCAAACAGTCCAAATGTGACAATGATGAGGAGCCGCCTGCGATTACCCTGGGTTCGCAGAAAGTCCAAGAAAGAATTGGATTGGTCGCCGCTTTTTTCTAATGCAATGGCTGTCGTGATCTCGGTGAATTCTAATTGAACTATTTCATCTGTCTGGTCTCCCTCTGCATGGTAATGTGCTAGAATCTCTAGAGCCTTATCAGGGTTATTTTTGGACACATAATAGCGAGGACTCTCAGGAATCCACCACACAACAGCTAACATCGTTAAGGTGAATATACCCTGGACAATACTGGGTAGTCTCCAAGACCACTCGCTCTGTTTGTATTAGTCAATCGCTTTTCGTCATGTATACAATGCGCACAATATCACTCACTTTTATTTTCAGCGTGCCATATGTTGTCCAAGCTGCGATAAACGCCCCCGAATGGTAAGTAGCGCCAGCAATTGTAACCAGAATCGCTCTATCCTGAGCTGGGGCAATTTCGGTGATCAGAAGTGGAGCGGTACAAATAACTATTATGTCTCCAAATCCAAGAATATAGCGAGCGCCGACAAACATTGAGAAGTTGATGGAGCTCGATTGTAGTGCAACCCCGATCAACATAAAAATTGAACCAAATACCAAGCAAATTTTACGACCAAGATGATCTAACATGAATGGCAGAATAACCAGACCTGTCAAAGCTCCAGCACTCATTACACAGTTGAATAGACCAAGGGTTGGTCCCTGCGGGTGGTGAAAATAGTCTTGCCAGTAGGACAAAGTTTGTAGACCATTCCTAGCAACGTTAGCGTAAACTGAGAATCTACAAATGGAGCGACACATACATCATGGAATTGTCAAATCCATTTGCCGTGTTTGTCGCAATCAAGATAAGTATATAGAAGTATAGGAGACGCATATTACGTTGTCTCCACCATTTCACTCGCGGAAATACTCTCCCCGCAAGATAAAAATGGCCCTTCGGGGGTTTAGATGTCACAACTTGTTGAACCATGGCTGCGCGGTCTAGAGTATTCCAAGGTTTCTTTGCGTTTTTGTGTCCTTACAAACGTCGGCAGAGGATTTTTCCAGGCTCTTATGTGGTCTGATTTTACCATTATCAAAGCCTTTGGCTTGTCACATATAACCGCTCCAATAGAATATAGTAGGAGGCGCCTCTTGAACAGGCTAAAAAACACATGACCAATATACTTGGATCTGAGATGACCCCAGGAATTACGAATTCAGCCTAATATAAAAATGCGGGGTCAAAGGATGCCCAGGTGATTTTGTAGCGGAGCGTACCCCCGTGTCTCAGATGACTAGTGAGGCGCGCCACTTAAAATCGAATATTACTTTTGTTGGTCCAATTATTGTCAGAAAAACTACAATCATTGTGCTGAAGCCCAAATGTCTTGCAAAATCCAAAATCCCATCATTACTGGGTTTGCGCCCGACCCTTCTATTTGCCTCATAGATGGAATATTTTACTTGGTGAATTCTAGTTTCCATCTTTTTCCTGGCTTGCCGATATACATGTCTACGGACCTTGAATCATGGACTCACATCGGTAAGGTGTTGTTTCTAAATGGGTCGTGATCAACATTAAGTAATTCCAGGGAACGCCATCAATCGTCGTTCGCAGGTATCACTTGTTGGAGCAAGTACGTTTATTGCGCCGTGGGATGATGGAACAGCAATGGTGGCTACCGGTGGTCTTTATGCCCCCACAATCCGCCATCACAAAAACACGACCTATATCATCTGCACCAATGTTATCCATGGCTCAACAAACGAACCTGGAGATGAGCATAGCGAGCAGTTTATTATATACACGAAAGATATTCAGTCTGGAAATTGGTCAGACCCGATAGTCTTTTCTTTCCCTGGGATTGACCCTTCTTTGTTCTTTGATGATGAGGATAAGGTCTATGTTCAAATTTGCAAGACTGGCCCAGAGTTCCATATTTATAATATGGAACTTGATATAAAGACAGGTAAAGTATTGACAGAGCCTTCTCTAATTTGGAGAGGCTGGGCTAGAGGGTACACAGAGGGACCCCATCTATACAAGAAGGATGGCTGGTATTATTTGTTGTGTGCTGAGGGTGGTACATTCCGGCACCACATGATGAGCATGGCACGCTCAAAGCAGCTGTCCGGCCCATATGAGCCGTATGAGAAAAACCCTTTGTATTCATCTCACGGGTCCGACCGTTATGTCCAAAACACTGGCCATGGTGATTTATTTCAAGACCAAAAAGGACACTGGTGGATGGTCTTTCTGGGATGTCGTATTTGGAAAAGCCGGTCCATAATGGGTCGAGAAACTTTCTTGACCAGGGTGGACTGGAAAGAAAATGAGTGGCCTGCTATCGACTGTGCTACTATTGAATGTCACCGAGGGCTTTTAAGTGCGACGCCAGTTGGTGTCAACTCTACTACACCGTGGGTGTATCTGAGAGATGCGAAGATTGATCGATACGATATTCAAGGGAACATAATCAAAATCAAATCAGACTCTGTGGAGCTGACTAGTCCAAATGAGTCTGTTACTTTTCTGGGTCAACGGCAGAGACGACTCGAGGGTACTGCGTCCGTCACTATTGTCAGACCTCAAATGCGAACAAGTGTTCGTGCGGGACTGGCACTTTACAAAGATGAACATCGATATCTAGCAGTAATGGTGAACTTCTTAGAAGGGAATATCGTTTTTGAGGGTATCAACTGGGCTAAGAATTTCTCCCAAACAGAAACGCAAAGCACTACGATTGGGGATTCCGTCTCACTCAAGATTGATTACACTGAATTATCATTGCAATTGTCCTTTAAACCCGCAGAGGGAGAATGGTATTCTTTCGGTGCAGTCGACACATCTGTCTTGACTGACTTTGATTTCACCGGTCCGGTGATTGGAATTTTTGCCATTGGGGCTGATGTTGATGTTGAGTTTGAGAACTTCGAGGTGGATTCTACTACCTAAACATAGAAAGGGTACATGCAGTATGTATCCCTTCCCACCTCTAATTCGTTGATCTGGCTTTCATTTCTCATAGTGTGATACTCTCTTAGATGGCAGTTCCAAGATGAGAGCTTTTCTTGCTTGATTTGGCGGAGATAAAAACTCAAATTATTTCTCGCAGATACTAAATATCCTATCTATGTTGACTTAACATTGCAAAGAATAACTCAAATGCGCAGAATCTGGATCCTCGTACGCTGTGGGTCATTTATACTTCCCCACTGTAAATCTCGGGTATGACGTAGTCCACATTAGCGGGGACCCACTTGGCGTTGTGGAATGAATATGGTTGGATCAAAACTCGATGGACCTGGGAATCTGGGAAACCCGGTTTTGTCTAGTTTGAATTCAGATGCGCTTTTATCCTCGCCTCGCTTTTTGAAAGTTGCTTCACTCAGTTGGCTTCTTGTCTCCATATGCGTGTTACCGCAAAATGGCCGCAATTATAGGGCTGGGCACGAAGTCGCGCTATAGGCTCGCACAAGAGCGAGAATTCCACAGGTATGATCCCCTCCGCCCATCAATTTTCGCAAAGAGTAGTGGTACATGAACCCCAACTGACTCATCGTTGTTCGTTGGCAGATATATACCACAAGACCACGCCTCGTCGCGATATGCCCCGTTTGATCGTGCCAGTGGTGAGGGGTTCACCCCACAGCCATCTCCGGATTCTGCATTGACCTCCTACGCCCAATTGACGGCAAATCGATTAGGAACCGAGCGAGCCTTTATTTCATTATTTGACCCCACCTACCAGTACGTCCTAGCAGAGGCAACTCCGACCCTGAGCCTTATTGGTGGCCATGTCGCAAAGGACGGAGAACATTTAAAGCTGGGATGTTGTGTATTTCCAAAAGAGAAGAGTATTTGTCACTATGTCGACTCAACACCAGTCCGTGGATCCGACCATAGCGAGACGGGATCATATGATAGCAGCTTAGTGGTGCTGGATTTCACCAAAGATCGTCGCTTCGGAGTCTCGAAACTACAATCAGCACTTTCCGAAATGCGTTTCTACATGGCAGTTCCTTTAATAAGCCCGATGGGTTTTAAGATCGGCGCTCTTAGTGTGATGGATACCAGTGCGAGACTTTCGGAACCTGACCAACACTCTCTTCAATTCATGAAGGATATGGCTGAGACAGTGATGGATCACTTGGCAATGAAGGAGACATCGGCCAAAAGCCGTCGAGCAGAACGAATGATTGTGGGCCTAGGTAGCTTTGTGGAAGGAAGGTCGACACTTCGTGATTCATGGCCAGAGGCACATGCACAGCGTCTTGAATCAGAGAAATCTGCGGAGACTACGGAGGGCCAGTTGAACATCGAGCAACAGGAATTGCAAGAGCTTACAAAGGGAAAGAACAAGAAGAGCATCCCCATTCGAGAACTCTCCTCAAAGTCACGCCGTTCGTCAGCTACGAGCCATGGATCAACTGTCTCTGGCCAGAAAACACAGGACAGCGAATTAGAGACCCATCAGAAGTCAGGCATCCAAATCTCTCAACAAAACAACTCTGCACGGGCCGTTTTCACGGGTAGCGGCCTCAAGGAAGATACCCTTCAGTCCAGCATTAGAACTGTCTTTTCGCGCGCCGCGAATCTACTGAGAGAGTCGATTGGGGCGGAAGGGGTGATATTTCTTGACGCAAACAGTCAGCGATTTGGCAACCTTGTCGACAAAAACAAACGCCGAGTGTCTGGACCCGATATCAACGACCGCCAGTTAGGCAGTGAGGAGGAAAGCACCGACTCAGAAATATCCTCTCGGCGATCAATTTCTGATACTGACCAAAGCTCTGACTCTGATAGCCCGAGAGTTTCTGAATGCTTGGGATTTTCAAGTTCAAGAATTTCGAGTATCAATGACGAGGAAAGAGCCGGTCGGGATATCATCGTGCCTGAACCCTTGTTTACCTCGTTAATTCACCGATATCCTCACGGGAAAATATTCACTTTCAATGCCCATGGTTCTGTTTCAGAGGAGAGTGATCGTCGAAGAAAAACAGATTCAGGGTCCGAGAACGACGAGTCAGTTCGTGCTGGGGAACACCGTTCATCTAGCAAGCGCAGACGAAAGCCAGGATTTAAGCGGCATGCTGACGATTTGATCAAAATCTTCGCTGGCGCTAGAAATATCCTTGTTCTGCCCATTTGGGACTCTGATCGAGACAGGTGGTTTGCTGGGGCCCTGGTTTGGACAAATGAGCCACACCGTATATTCACACTAGAGAACGAGCTCGTGTATACATCGGCCTTCTCAAATAGTATAATGGCTGAAATTCGCCGAATTGACGTGGAGCTAGCTGAAAGAGCGAAAACCAATCTCGTCAGCAGTATTACGCACGAACTCCGCAACCCACTACACGGTATTCTGGGAACGGCTGACATTTTGGGGGACACGGCTATGAATGCGCTTCAGCATGGCATGGTTCATACGGTCGAATCGTGTGGTCGCACTCTGCTAGATACCATAAACAGTCTGCTTGACCTGACATTCATCGATCAATACCGGAAAGGGGACAGTTCACAAATCGGGAAACGTAGCAAGAAGTCCGGTATATCAAGAAGCATGCCCATCGCCGCAAGGTCATCAATTTCACATGTTCAGTTGGATGCCATTCTTGAAGAGGTCACAGACTGTGTGTTCGCTGGATATAGCTTCTACAATCACCCACATACGCCACCGCCAGCCCTGTCACAATCATCGTCACGATCTGCTGGACAAACACAAAAAGAGAATACCACTGGTCCTCGATCTCGCCAGGTCACAGTCATATTTGATATCGAACCTGATACGGAATGGGACTTTGACACGCACGCTGGAGCTTGGAGACGCATATTCATGAATATCTTCGGCAACGCACTCAAGTATACATCCTCAGGATATATCTATATCGGATTGAAGTCATCCCCACGTACAACTGCAACCTCACAAAAATCCACAAGCAAACACAAGCATGGGTTCGATGTGAAAATCACTGTGAAAGACACTGGAAAGGGGATTGGAGCAAAATTCCTGCAGGACGAACTTTTCAGCCCTTTCAAACAAGAGGACTCTCTTGCTCCTGGAAGCGGACTTGGCTTGAGTATTGTTCGCAAGGCAGTTGGATTCCTTGGTGGATCGATTGAAATTGAGTCTACTGTGGGGAAAGGCACTGAACTCTCTATTTACGCACCACTGTTCAAGTCAGCGACAAAACCAGATACTTCCTCTGCGAAATCGTTCTCTGGTTTGAGGCGTCACACCGAAGGCAAGACAATTGGAATCTTAGGATTTGGACAGTCCATCCGTTCTCAGCGCGACAAGGCATTATATTCCTCAATAGAAAGACTATGCGGTGAATGGTTTGGTCTCAAAGTGACTAATATATCTCCATCCGATGGAAACCAGCTTCAATCCGACTTTTACTTAGCTGTACAGACAGAACTAGATTCCGAGGATGTTGAAGGAAGAAATATTTTTGGTCTTTCCCGGCGGTTCAATCTCGGAGAATTGCGCGATTCACCAGTTATTGTTATCTGTCAATCGCCAGAGGAGGCTCACCGCATGTTTATTTCTTCCAAAAACCAAGAACAGACCAAATTCTTCGAGTTTGTTAGCCAGCCATGTGGGCCTCGAAAACTCGGTCGAGCAATGAGTATGTGTCTAAAACGACAAGACGATCAAGAAAATGGCCGACGCGGCAGTGATGAGCCGACTCGCTGGGTGGAGGTTCCTCGATCGTCCCATCTACCAGTGGACATCGAAGCCAGTGATCCGCCGGCAGATCGAATGAAGCTTAGCAAAAGACCAACCAGAGAAACTATGGGAGCCGAGGAAGAAAGTCATCAGTCTCAGCCTACAAAACATCCAGATGTCGGTCAAGATCAAGTCTGTAAACTAGATCAAGGTTCCAATCGTGATGAGAGGTTACCTGCCAATCAAGACCCATTTGTTCTATTGGTTGATGACAACGACATCAATTTACAATTACTGTGTGCTTATGTTAAGAAAGATGGCTTCAAATATATGTCGGCAAAAGATGGTTACCAAGCAGTTGAGCTATATAAGACTCATCCGGGCGTCTTCCAAATTGTTATCATTGGTATGTTTGATTGAACCCTACCCATGTTTTACCCTTAATTGTCATTTAGCATCCCTCGCCACTGTTCCCCATTTTATTTTCTATTTCATGATTTGGACCATAATGCTAATGATAACAGATATTTCAATGCCTGTGATGAATGGTTTCCAAGCATCACAAGAGATTCGAAAGTTGGAGAATGAATATCGTGCCGGGCTATCCGAAATGGATCAACAAGCAACCCCACCAACAATCATAGCAGCTTTAACTGGGCTCGACAGTGCTGGTGCCCAAAAGGAAGCTCTAGGATCTGGGATTAACACTTTCCTGGTTAAGCCCCTGAAGCGACCGGAGTTACAAGCTGTGCTGCGGCGCCAAATTTAGTACCGAGCTTGCAAAACACTACCTGGGGATTAACTTGGTGAACACGTGTTACCTATGACGATTATGGCGACGACTGCTTCAGCTATTCATTTCTCTAATATTGTGACTTCCATCCAGTAAATTATATATACCCTACCTCTATGAGATGACGAACTTCGTTTTGGAGCAAAGTTTTCAGTGCTCTCGATAACAGCCAATCTAGTTTCTCTTTCTCTACTTCGTTAGAACATATGAAGCAGGTATAGAATAGCCACATTGAGGTGCTCGTAGTGGGGGTTTGTTTGCTTGGTTTCAAATGTTGCCAGCACTTCGATCGGACCAATCAGAGCGCTGGGGCTCATACATGCAGGCTTCAGCTCGCTTCTCCCTTTGCCTTCTTCAACGTTGCCCATTATTGTTCGTTTTATGCACCTTTCCTTCCGATTTCGGTAGGTCGTAGCCAGCTTGCCACAGTTCGTGTAGACTGAATGACTTCCCTATCTATTTTAACATGATAATATTCAATTACGCATATTACATATTACAGGGTGGTACTAATGCGACCCTCTGCTGGCTACTGCGACCCTTCCCCCCCCCCGCTATTACCGCCTTCCCTGAGGGAGCACCGCCTTAATATCCACCATAAAGGCAATGGTATACTACTTCGCCAACTGTTTTCATATATCATGTCCAGAATTATTCTACTATCTTTCTATATATGATATTTTCAGAGTATCCATCCTTGGTATAACGCTCATAGAGGGCGATAGGGAGATTTGGGTATTGATATCTACAGTGCTATGACTCTCCGATGCATGATGCAGTTGGTATAAGATGTGGCAGCATTTCTGGTGGGGGATGCAAACTGGCAAAACTTACCGACCCAGGAAGGAAGGGGGGTCGCTATAGCCAGGGAAGGGGGTGGCATTAATACTGCCCTATAGCAATAGGGCAGACGACTTGTAATTCAAGCCATCTTAGATTGGACGATTGATGTAGGCTTGAGTGGTCGAAAGGAATACAGCAACGTAAGACAATCATGATACTACCTAGCCCCCACTAGTACCCTGATTTGACACGCGTCATTCATTTCCCAAGCTTTGTAACAGGATCCATAACTCGATGCGAGATCTGGAGTCATGCATGATGCGATGGATACCTGCCGAATTTATTCCGCCACGATATCTTCGCCTCGCCTGCAGACTTCTTTCCGAGTTGCTCATATCCTCATCTCTGTATTTGACCTTCAAGCTTTTAGCTTTATTCCGCATATGTATATACACCCTCTATCTATATGCGCTATAGCTTTTATAGGAACATTTGAAGGGAACCTCCGATCCACTTAAACGAGAGAAACAACTCAGTCAAGATATGAGACTTTGGAATTGGATATTCGGGCGCAATTCTCTGGGTACCCGCTGTACGCATTTATGGACGCGACTTGGACCAAGTTGGAGCCAAGATTTCGTGCCCGGACATGGTGTGAATAAAGTCTTGCAGACCAAGGCTTGGCTAATTATAACCGGAGTTAGTTTTAGCGCCAAGCTATATCTGGCAATGAAGATGTGTGAAGATCGTCGGGAGTGGCCCCGGGGGCAGGGGACAGTTCTTTCTTGATTTTTTGCAATTTTTTCCAATGGTGCTGTGGGTGTACCTAGTTCGCTTTGCTACGTCAGAAGCAGGTGTGACGATGGTGCTTCGAGAGATCACCAAATAACTACTAACTCACACTTACTCTTTCAGAGAAAAGAAATATCATAATTTTCGTGCCTGTATGGAGGTTCGTGCGTGTGTACCATCCATTTTTGCACGGGCGGAAGGAAGCGCAAGAAGGCGCATCAAGACACGACGGGGCCTTACAGAGCCTTACAGAGCCTTACAACATGAACTACATATGTAATCGTACAGTAGTTCAACTTCAAAGGTTCACCACTTTCCTGTGCAATGAGGCAATTACTAGGCATCAAAACAATTGGAGGAACCTTCCAAGGTTCGGATATCACTTACGCCCCCCATGCTCCAGCCTTTGAGGGCTGCCCCCGGGGCGATGCAGTGTGTCTACTAGTACCTAGGCCCCGGTAGGTACACACTGGCATGTCTTTACAGAATGGAAAATCCCGAGGCCTTGGAATTACATATCATAGTAGTAGCACTAGGTACTGCAACTGTTAGGTACTATATATATTAGAAGGAAAACCCGTCACGATGAAATTGAACTTGAAATTAACACTGGCACAAGCTGTTACTCATATCTATCTTTTACTAAGGTGCTTGAATATAAATCCACCTTGAAGGTCTTGCGTCTCTCCAAAAATTTACGAATACTACCCACCTACCTATTATCATGAAACTTACATTGCCGTAGGGAATCCTGGTTCTCGCCTCCACTACGTCGGCATCATCCAACCCGTATTCAAATACTACGACATACAATTGCCATGCCGGGGACTCTTGCTGGCCGTCTCAAAGAGAATGGAACACCTTCAACAGCAGTCTATCTGAAAATCTCCGTCGCACAATACCTTTCGCTGCGAGCTGTTATTACGACTCTCCCTACTACGACCCTTCAACATGTGAAGAAGTCGCGTCGGCCAGTATATACACGGATAACCAGGCCCGCACGAACGTTTATGGTGCAGCAACAGGTCTGAATTGGGAAGCAAATGGAGATAAAACATGTGCTCTGAACATTTTCCAAAACCCATCTGTTCTTTCGGATGAATGTTATCTCGGTCGACTATCCTCGTTGTATGTCGACGCCCATAAGGCAGAACATGTAATCACTGCGATTAAATTTGCGAGATTGCATAATCTCCGAGTGAGCATCAAGAACACTGGGCATGATTACTTTGGACGTTCAACCAGCTCCCAGACTCTTGCAATTTGGATTCACAATCTAAAGTCAATGAGGTACTATGCAAACTTCACTGCGCATGACTGCTCCGCTGCAAATGGGCAAAACATTGGAGAGATGGGAGCCGGTGCTCAGGCGGCAGACCTGTATAAATATTTCCAGAAGTTTGATATGGATGTAACCGGTGGCAACGAAGGATCGGTTGGTCTGGCTGGAGGCTTCGGCCAAGGAGGTGGTCACGGCGTTTTTGGTCCTTCGTATGGGCTCATGGTCGACAATGCAGTCGAGTTTGACATTGTGACGGCAGATGGTGAACTTCGAACGATCAACAAATGCCAGGACCCTGACCTCTTCTGGGCTATGCGAGGCGGCGGAGGTGGTACATTCGGCATTTTGATAAATTATCGCTTTCAACTGCATCCGGCGGTGAAGATCAATGTGTATTCGACCAAGACCACCTTTGTGTCTGATAGTAATCACGCTGTTACTAGCAACTACTCGGTCCTAAGAGGGATTCTAACACAGCACGCAACCTATCAGCTACTCTGGTCTCGAAATAATATATCAGGTCATGTCTATTACTGGCCGAACAGGGCGGAAATCTACCTCGTCTTGCCTTCAAATGACGAAACTGCGCTGAAGAGTCTCGCCAACAACTTTTCGTCTTTTTTAATGAATCAACAAGATATAAATGTTACCGAAAGGACATACACAACCTACAATAGATATACAGACTATCTGAACCTTACCGAGGCCATCGCTGCTGTGGTAACACCAGGCGGGTATTTTGGTACCTATGCAAGTCGCTTGATGTCCCGCTCGTTATTCGAAAGTGAACACTCGGTGACCAAACTAGTCGATGCGGTTCTCAAAGGAGTTCGTCTTGGCAATAATCTGATCTCCAAAGATTTTGCCGTCACTCAAGTCATCATGACTACTCCGGTAAATCATCAGAATGGTAATCAGACCAGTGTCAACCCGGCATGGCGCCCAGCTCTTTGGCATCTGCTCCTCACTGGCGGCTGGACGAAGAAATTGAGCGACTCAACAAAGCAAACACTGATCCAAAAATGGCTGGATACTGTCAAGCCAGTGAAAACGTTGACACCTGGTGGAGGTTGCTACTTGAACGAGGGGCATTACTTGGAGCCGGAATGGCAAGAGACCTTCTTTGGTTCAAATTACCCTGAGTTGCTTCGCATCAAGAAAAAGTATGACCCAACTCACTTCTTTGACTGTTATAAACGCGTTGGGTGGGAGCAAACGTCGGTCGGTGTGAATTGCCTAACAGAATTGCCCTCTTGGAAAACATGAGAACCAATATCCGTGAAAATTATGGTCCCAGAACAGTTTCTTTCAACATGCGCGCTCATCAAAGAGGATCAGGTCATTACTATAGTACACATAAGAATTTATTATTTCGTCATACGATGCCTTTGCCGCAGAGAATATATACGAACGATAGACGCAATATAAAAGATCAACCATCCTATTTCCAAATCCACTTACCAAATCTTCTTAAGCCATACCTACTGCACATGTGTAATATCGACACTCCGAAGCGTCAAATGATGGTATATGTTGAGACACCATTTGCAGTGCAGCTCTGCTGCTTCATAGTTTACTAGACATCGAATCGCCTGTAGGTAGTCGAGGGCAGCACCCACACCAACTTAAAGTTGCTTTGAATTCCTGTCTAATCCGCGCACAGAGCTTCTCATAAGCTAGAATATTATTGTTCTCTCATTGCGGTATTCACCCATCGTCACAACGTTCCTAATTTCCACATCGCGACCTCATACAGAGGTCAAAGCAGTACGTGAAATTTCTTTGTTTAGCTTACTCGGAAACTGTCAAGTAAATAAGGAATGTAGGAAAATAATAGTTAAGAATTAATTTAGGTTCTAATAATATTGAAATTCTTTATTATTTGATTATTTTATTATATAAGAATTAAGTACATTTAAGAACTACTTGAAACTCTTCATATTATTCCAGCATGATATTAGAAGGTAAATTTGGCTCGATGCGTAGGTGTAGAAGAAAAATCCACAGTCGCACAAGGAACACGCTTGGGAGCACTCCCAGGCCTAAAAGGACCAGGCAGGGCGTGCACGGGCATGTCTTTTCAATCTATCCGTACGGAGTACTATTTTTTACAAGCCCCAGAATAATTGGACAACATGCTAATGGTGTGTGGAGTTACTGCCTCGGGTATCTTTCCCATCCATTTACTCTCCTCGCATCTTAGTTCCATTTATCATCTTCATCCACGTCTATTATCCTCGGTATAGTACGCCTTAATCGCCGTGGACTTCCTGCCCGCGCTGAAAATGCCAGTGGTAGCTACAATGGAAATATAATAAGATCATAGAGATATAGGGTATATGAGATCTTGTATAAATAGTAAGGCAATATACTCTGGTTAGTCTGAATCAGAGTAGAGTCGAGACTCAAATAGGATGAACAGTTGAAATCTCCAATACTTCTCAGGCTATCCATATTTTAAAACTCATGCAAATGGGACATCCATCCACGAAGGAAGCTGATTCGCCCCTGAGACTGAGCAATGGGTCCAGCACCAAAAGACTCACCCAGCCACATCGCGGTCTTGTTGTTGCTTGAGGGCGGGAAGTATGGCAGGCTACCCCCGTTAGGGTTGCCAGTGCGGGTGAAGTTTGCCCAGTAGTCAGATATAATAAATTCGATCTTGTAGTCTGTGGCGTTCCAGGTCAAATTCAAGTAATCCGAGTAAGGTATGTTATTGAAGGTGTAACAAAGCTCAGCTCCGTGATAAGCATCTCCCGACTCATCCTCGGCAGGGGCCTTTGTAAAATAGTAGACAAAAACATCACTTTTGGCACCCCCGGTAGCCCATGTTCCAACTCGAGCCATGTCGCGGAGCACCTCATCACTCTGGTCTCCAGCGGCAGAATCGTTACTCGCAGGGTATAGAGAGAAGAAGAACTCAGAGAAGTAATTCCGGAAAACCTTCGTCCATAGGGACTTTTATTCAGAGGTAGTAGAAGCACCACCGTTATTTTCATCCTTGTTGCTACCAGTCATAATAGGCACATAATTATGGGCATTTAACTCCAGAGATTCTCCATACCCGTAACGGAACACATACAGAAATAACAACTTGAAGCTCTGGATGCCGCATGAAGGTATTATGATTGTTGCTGTATTGTTATCATAAATGTACATAGTAAAAGCACGAGACTGCGATTTGGTGTCATTCTTCATTCCCTCACCATTCTAACGTCTCTCTCTGCTTCAAGTTACTCTCCATCTTTGTTATTCTTCTCGCATAATACCAAGTTTCAATACTCACTGAGCCATGTAACCTTAACTCACAAACAACGGGCTGATACCTAGAAGGCAAGATTAGGTGACAGAATCTTGGATCATGTTTATATATGGAGCAGACAGATATACCCGTCTAATATTTGAATCTCAGCTGCTGCGACTTGAATGAGCGATAAGATTCAGAGTCTGAGTTTCTGACACTTGCACGGAAGACCCCTCTGAAAATCACCTGTGATATGGAAAGCTATCATTCGGCATCCAAGCTCGTTCTTCTGCCATATGGAACAGGTTTCCAGAGTGCATCCCTCAAATAAATGTAGATAATCTCTTGCCATGTGCTCCATTGATGAGCACCGGTCATCGAGTAGTGGCTCAAATAGGTCACATTCTCTGCGGCCAAAGCCGTCTCCCAGTCCCGTGCCGCATTGAATGTGGTATCGTAAAACCCAGCTCCAGTCAGGATACCCACGTCACGTAGCCCTGGGTTAATACTGGAATTGTATTGTGAGTCGCCCGCAGAGGGAGCCGGAGTAGGTGACATGATACAGTAGGAAGAGAAGTAATCCGTAGCGTTGAACAAAACAGCCAAAGTCAGAGTACCCCCAAGAGCAAGGCCACCAAATGCTCGAGAAGTTGAAGAGTTGGATATTTCGTAGTTTTCGTTGACCCAGGGAATTAGGTAGGAGAAGAAGTTCTCGCGTACTTTGTTGAAAAAGCGGGAATATCCGACTGTCGCATTTTTTAGGAAATGTTTTGGATAATAAACAGAGTAAAGGAAAAGTGGGATTAGGTGTACGGACCGACATCCAGGTACTCTGCCTGTAGTGTTGCGTTTGTTTGGTACTCTTCAAGACTAAAGCCTAGATCGTACCAGTTTGGAGTTATGAGAATAGTCGGCTCTAGTTCCCCAGCATCAATGAGACGATCAACTAAATTGCTTAATTAGTCTGAGGGGCTCTTTGATATGTCCAAGAAATTATAAAAGCGACTTCTCCGTTATTTTGACTTCTTTGAAAGCTTACTAATATTGTGAATTTGGGCTTGCTGAAACCAATCCGAGTCTGATCCTTGGCCACCATTGGAAAGGTACAATATCGGATATTTCTTGTTTGAAATCTTTCCATATTCGTAAGGTAGGTATACTCCCACATCGTGAACATCTAGTCTGATCAGTACATCAATTCCAAATTGCTTGATACCGATACTAGAATACTAACTAGGATAAGGATAGGTTGATCCTGGAGATGAGTACCGGTGGAAGCTAACATTGCCTCGTTTGGAGACATCCTTCAGGGGTAGCTGCCAATCATAATTACTAACCTGAAATTCACGGTCAAACGGTAGCTGGATAGCGCTGAGCAATTGATCTCCCGCAAAAGCTTCAATCGGCAAATTCGACGGATCCACAATTGCAACATCGCAAGCCTTCCAGTTGCCAGTAGTGCAATTGGGGTAGTAGGCGTAGAGCCAGGTCCCAGATGGGAGCGGGACAGTGATCTCCCAGTCGCCCGTATGCTCATTATGCTTCATCTCAAGACCAGCAAGATTGCCCGCTTCATTTCCATAATCAGGGGACAGTCGCATGGAGAACATGTTTGACTCCCACTCAAAGGGCGAGTAACCATCAGTTTTCGACAAAGATCCGTGGAAAGAGTCGGAAAAGAAAGGAAAGCCCCCTAATAAGACCGAGGAAGCATGGGTCATTGAGTTTGGGGTGAACACAAAATCGACTACATAACCAGTTGGTCCTTTCCCCGTCTTTCTAACGGCTGTGGCTTTGCTCAGCGCCCCAACCCCTAATGCAAAGCCAATTATGATTCTATGAATGTGCATTCTAGAAGATACTGGAACAGGCTGTGCAATTGTAGAAAATCTGCTTAACACAGGATGGTTATTTTAGGACCGAAAAAGTGGCGAACGAACGCAACTCTTATTTATACCTTGAAAGCCAAAGGGGTAGAATATTAGTAGCAATCCGGGTTTTTGACTTAGATTGCCAGTTTTAGCAATTGATCTGCAGCGCGGCATACATATTCAACTTATCCCCACCTGGTCTCCCCACAACTGGAATTACCCCATGTCGGTAGTGAGATGCGGGGTAGGACTTCGGCCTTCGCAAAGAATTCCGCTTTGCCTGTTTTGCAGCCCATAGATAAAACCTGCGTGATTGATTATTTTGCTGCGGCTTTCAGTAAGTAGATATGAGCTAAACTGCTTCACTTCCAAGGTTGCAGTCACTCAAATCTGGTTCGAGGAGCTGGTGTTTTTTTAGCCTTGGAATTTATAGTGGACCGAGGCAGGTATATCAATGTTTACCAAGAGTTCGACACGGCAGTGCCAGCATCGGAGATAAAAAGTACCTAGTAGGTCATCTCGGCCGGAGAGCCCTAGAAAATCATCCCAAGCAAATAGAGACCAATGCATCATCTACCCTTCACCGTGGCACTCGGTACAGATCCGGGAATTTTGGATCCTGCGGGGGCTCCTGACCGCGACTCGGACCCCTTAACAGCGCATATAAAACCCGCCCATTCGGCACGAATTTCGAAGAGATTTGAATTAAAATTTTCCTGCGTCCAATTTGTATTGAATATGTGGCAGTATCTTTTATTCCTCCCGTTTCTTCAAGTTGTCATCAGTGCCAGAGCGGCGCCTTCTCTGCCTACTCCTCGAATTTTGCCCAGTGCACCTGTAGTCACCGTGACAAACGGCAGCTACTTTGGCACATACTCAGAAACATATCATGAGGACATCTTCTTGGGAATTCCCTTTGCGCATCCACCACTCCAAGGCCTCCGATACCGAAATCCCGTGTCGTTGAATGAAACCTGGACAGGTCAGAGACCAGCGACCAACTATGCTCCTGTATTCACCCTACATATGCTCAAGATTATACTATCTCGGCAAAGGCCTGACATTTCTAATATAGGAATGCATTGGTTATGGCAGTGACCAGATTGGCAAGCAGCAAGTAGGTGATATCCCTCCATCATTTACTACTATGTAGCAGAACGTTTTTGACTTAGCTAGAGTGAGGACTGTCTTTATCTCAATGTCATACGCCCAACTGGCTTTGAAAATGAAACCCTTCCAGTAGCAGTCTGGATTCACGGTAGGAGCAAGGATTCACAATACTCTCCATGACTGCTAACAGTTTCAGGTGGTGGGTTCCGACAGGGGGGCACCCAGGATCTGCGATACAATGTCTCGTTCATTGTCCGAAACTCAGTAGACATTAACAAACCTGTTCTTGGTGTGAGTATTGCATATCGACTCGGTGCTTTGGGCTTCATGAACAGTGAAGAGGTTGCACAAGAAGGGTACACAAACCTGGGCTTAAAGGATCAACGACTTGCCCTCCACTGGATCCAAGAGAATATCGGGGCATTTGGCGGTATGATTGAATATTAAACTTCAATTTGTTACTCGCTGACTCAAAACACAGGCGATCCGTCAAAGGTTACAATATGGGGCCAGAGCGCCGGCGCAGAAAGCGTTGGGTTCCACATCCGAGCCTACGATGGCCGCGATGACGGTCTTTTCCGTGCAGCTATCATGGAATCGGGCCCTGTACTGCCACACAATCCTCTGAACTTGACTGAAGTCTATCAGCCACGGTATGATGGAATTGTACATGAGTCCGGCTGCAAAGGGGAAAAAGATACATTGGCTTGTTTGCGTCGTCTCCCATTTACCATTCTGAATAACGTGCTCAATACAACTGTATATAACTCTAACTGGAATCCGACACTGGACGGGGATTTTGTGGCTCGCTATCCAAGTCAGCAAATCAAAGATGGCGCATTTGTCCGCATTCCTATTATTGTGGGTGCAAGCTCGGACGAAGGCACAAACTTCAGCCCAAAACCGATTAACGATACAGCTGACTTTATTGGATGGCTAAATGGTGATTTATAAACCCTCCTCCGTATCAAAAGATCATTGAGCTAATAAATATACCTATAGTGACTACATCGGAACAATGGGCTTTCGGAGAAAGTCTCATAAATGACGTCCTAAAGGCATACCCAGATGACCCTGCTGTCGGAATTCCCTCCTTTGCAACTCTTGGTGGAGATGTAACATTTCCACAGCCATATGGAGCAGAATACCGTCGCAGTACAGCCTACTGGGGTGACCAGGTCTTCATTGCTGGAAGAAGATTGACAGCCGAAACATGGGCGGCGAACAACCTGACTGCATACAGCTACCGATTTAATACAGTGCCGGCGGGAGCAGCGTGGGAAATTGGCGTGACACACTTCGCCGAAGTTGCTTTTGTTTTCAATAATCTGAACGGACTGGGATATACTTCGAATCCGTTTTTGAATAAGCCAGATTCATATACGCAACTTAGCTATATGATGAGCAACTCTTGGGCCAGCTTTGTCTATAGTCTTGACCCGAATGCCTGGAGCGGAAAAGGAAGAAATACTACACAGGCTGATTGGCCGGCTTATAATTTGGAACGACCTATGAATATGGTTTGGGATGCAAACAAGACGAGCTATCTTGAGCTTGATACTTGGCGGACAGATGGTATTAAGTGGATAAATGAGCATGCTTTGAACTACCAGCGATGATGATGCAAGGCTATGGCTCTGCATCTGTACATTTATGAGAGATTATATTTAACATATGTGTAATTATACTATATTGATGACCTCTCAAACACTCAGACTGGTAGAGCTTCCAGGCATATTATACAAACGTGAAATATTGTAGGCTGTGAAGAGTGCTATATCGTCAAGGCAGATGATACATGCCCAGGAATTACAAGCAGCATTCTTTCTCTGAGGCTCAACTCTATGCCTGAAATCCAGCACTTGGGGGTACACTGTATCATTTCAGGAGAAAATGTAACAAACCGATGTCAAGTCGATTGGGCGAGGTTGCGGGGTCATATCGCGGGATCACATAATCCACAACCCATCTATTCTTCTATACGATTAAGTATAGGAGCCTTCCTCCCTTCTTTCTCTTTTCCTATCTTTGATACTTTTAGCTAATCATACAGAAAGTTCTTTTGTTTTCGAGTCTTTACAGCCACCTCACAAGCTCAGGACCGGCATGGTATGCTCACAGAATTGATGGCTCCTTCAAAGGGCATGCAAAGACTCCAAACGTTGAATGCTGAATGTATAGATACGGTCATGTTAATGTAAACTTTCCTCTAGAATAGAATTACAACTTCCACATGTGCAGTTGTTCATTTGAAAACTGCCCAAAGAATAGGCATGAAAGTCAGAAGAGATCCTAGTGAGTATTGAATACAGAATACGCTGGATTCAAATTTCGGACCACATCAACTAGATACTTAATGCTATTTAATACCCACCAACCCCAAATATCAACCCCAAACCCGTGAAAAAGAGTCGCTTATCTCAAATTCATGCAGTTTCTGCCTCCGTCAAACCTTGAGAGATCTGTAAAATACTCGTGAGCTCTTCCTTAGGCGTCCGCCCCATACCGCACTCGGTCGAAACGCCGAAGTCCCTCCCAGGAATGACCTTCCGAGCTGCTTGAAGCCTTCGGAACGTGCCCTCTTCGTCATTTGGATGCACAAGTCCAAGGTACAGTTTTGTTCTGTCACCGGCCTTGAGTCGCTTCAAAGGCTCAAAGTACGCTGTGTCATCACGGTTCTTGGGGACAGGCATATGAAGCCAGCTCAAGTTCGTATCTCTGGGAATGCATAGAACCAACTCGTTGGCGATGTCCACCAAAAGTCCTAAGTCCTCCGGCTCAATAAAATGCTTATGACCGAGATCACCGTAGCACAAATGCCATCCAAAAGGAACATTACTTGGTATAAGAGCGCATAATCTCCGAGCACGCTCGAGTACCCCTTTATAAATATGGGAGAAATGTGGCTTAAAGAATTCGTCGTTTAAGCGGCCACGCTCATACTCCAGAGCAGTAATAATAAAGCATGAGTCAAATTGAATTGCTACATCCTCTGCTGGGATGGCGCTTAGGATTGACTCCACAACATCCGAGATTCTCCTCTCGTAGAAAGGCTCTAGTTGGGCCTGAAATTCCGACCGTACATGACCCTGAATACACTCGTAAGGTGTCGGTATAGACACTTGGAAGCGCACCTTGGGCGGAATAACACCCTTCGCGCGAAGTTGAAGAAAGTGCTGATACGACTCCTTTGCAACCTTGTCGTAGTCGCTAGGCGTCACGTCATCCAGCGTGAAAAATCCGGAGTGGCCTTCAGGCAATGGCTTGCCTCCGATGGTCTCATGAATAGTTTCTACAGGAAATCGAAAGCGTTCCCACGCGATAAAGTTAGACCGATCCCCGGTTTCTCCATCTGGGATCGAGAACAATCGGCCAGGAAGAGCTTCAGACAGAGTCGTGAACACTTCCTCGCTGGTTAATAGAGGTATACTACCAACGAGGTGAACACCGTTTGCAAGATCGGAGCGAGTCATAGCTGGCAGTGGAAATATTAGAGAAGGTAATCGGCGTTCTAGAGAGTTGATGTAGCTAGGGAGTTCCTGGTCCTTGATGCCAGAGCAAGGACCAAGTTAACACAGGTGATAGCCACAAAAATAGAAGCTAAGTTGGGTTGGGCTTGAAACTAAGCCCAACAGCAGGACAGCCCACATTTGTAGGCCATTCAAAAAGAATGCGTCATCTTCCCTAAGGTCATAAATTGAAGTAGAGTTTTCAGAACAAAGCAAAGCAAAGAATGGGTGGAAGCTAGACTGTTACATTTCCGACTAATTTAAGCTGCATTTCGCCCCTTTGAGTAACACGGCCGAGACTAATGCACGAAGCTTTGGGGGCCGGTTTTAACTGTTGGTCTACTTAATTAGTATATGCAGATCACCCATCTATTTAAGTCAAACAAGGCTTTCAATACTGGGCCTAATCCCCGATCCCGTCGAAGCGCACCAGCTGTTATATCGGACAGTATCTAGATAGCTTTGTTACATGGTGTAGAGTCATTTCCTTGAGAAGTAGGAAAAAGTTCTGTGGTGGTAAACCTATGGCCTCAGGCCAAAATATTTAGACTAGTTAAGTTGGGTCCAATGACTCACACTGTAGCGTTGGATGTGCGACCAAAATCAGCCGTACGTCCGCAGCCTTGCGTCTGCAACAGCCTTGCGTCTGCAACAGCCTTGCGTCTGCAACAGCCTTGCGTCTGCAACAGCCTTGCGTCTGCAACAGCCTTGCGTCTGCAACAGCCTTGCGTCTGCAACAGCCTTGCGTCTGCAACAGCCTTGTCTTTGTTAACTGGTGTCTACTATAGCTATAACAAATGTAATAGATATGAAATCCTGGATTAATCTCTCTATATGGCATAAGATAATTCCTGGCGGTATCTACTTTCCTTTGTTGTTTTGTTGTTTTGTTGTTTTGTTGTTTTGTTGTTTTGTTTCTACATTCAATGGGACTAGCAAGAGGCTCAGACTATGAGCTTCCTAAGATCAACAATGGGCTGGTCACCACTTTTAAGCCGTCGGTAGGCCCAACAGCACTCCCGCATAGTAGCATTTATATAGAGTGAGCTATATCGGGTAAATGAATTCATCATCATAATTAATTCCTGGTGACAGCCGATCGCAGTTTTCAGGCTACAGATCATGTTCTCCCAGATCTCCTCCTGACCCTATCAGCCTAACCAGCAGGAAAATTGTGGACCTACGTAAGAAGATTTGAGGATCCCATATATTTTTAGGTGAGGAGCGTGTCTTTAAAATAAATAAACAATATCAAGTTATAGTTGACTCTAGATATAAGACATAACACAAAGAAGCAAAAAGAGGGTAGCTTCCTTGTGTTCAGGGGAACTACGGTTGGTGTGCCCGCCTCGTATATATCCCTAACATTCTTGCTTAATGGTCCTGGGGACAAATTTGGTGGTCCTGTATGTGGACTTGGTGTTCCTGGAAGTGGAAGTAAAAGGGTCGCATGAGTATGTGGCTAATTTATAATTGGCTAGAAAAGAAACGCCCCCAAGATGCAAGTTCAGATCATATCATTATCCAAGAATCTAGATGTTCTTAAGATGTGTAACGGTAAGTTAATAATGTAGAGACAAGTAAAATGGCTCAAATATTGAAGAGACCTGCGTTACATATATATGGATTGATCAGATTGTGTAAAGATTTATTGCATAGGCTTTTACCCAGTAATAAAGGCTGGATCATTTAGGGTAGCTGTATGTTTAGTATAATGAAAGACACTATCTAACCTAATCAGGTAGGTAGAGAAACATTGTCCTTTATTCTTCACTGGGGAATAAGTTAAAGTTATATATCTTGGTATTTGGAGACGTAATAGTCACTCTATGTATTTACCCCGTTTAATGAAGCTGATATTTTTCTTCTGAGCTTTTATTAATTCCTATTTATTGATATTGAAATTCGATAACTTCTAGGATCAGATTTATTGTATGAATTGCTCTTTAGAGCCATCGTCCCCAATCGTCCCCAATCGTCCCTAATCGTGCCTAATCGTGCCTAATCGTCCTCGGCTATTCCCAGTTCTTACCAGTCCTTTCCAGCCGTGACAGCCACATGGCCAATATAAAAAGTATACACCCTGTGTGTGACTATACTGATCAACAGACAAACTACTAGCATTAGCCTAGGGAAAATGTAGAGATAAGAATTGCTTTGTGCATGCGGGTATGTCATTTTTGTGTGAAGAAGTATTCAAACACTAGCCGACTCTGAAAGCACCTGCGTCAGTGCAAATATCGCGACCAGAATATCGTCATTGCATGGAGCGTCCTGGTGCTGTCGGCGTGGAGTACTTTCCCGTAAACCATCAGCAAGGAGCCCCAAAAAAGTCCTAGAATCAGGACTGCATCGGTAATCATATGAAGTCCTACAGCCCAGCTTTGTATACAAATTCCCTTCAATCCAAGCCCCAAGACGATTTGAATTCCAGCTTGCGTGGAATTCAAGCCAACCTCGGCCCTGAATTTGGCGTCCTCTCTAAAAGCCCCCTTTCTCAATGGAATTGCATGTCAGAGCAAAATCAAGATCTCTGGCTGAAATCTACATCGTCGGTCCCTCGCCTTCTAAATGGCTCCCACTGCTGGCGTGTTCGAGCTCCTCTGGCTCGCGTGCTTTTCATGGACACTATACAGGAAATATCAACCGTAACGTCAACGACTCAGATGAGCTCCGAGTCTCGATTTCGGGCTAATTTCCAAGGCGAAGTGGATGAGAAACTTGACCCTTATGTTGTCCTCTCGCAGCTTATTGATCCTGATATGAATGAAACTGCATTTCTCACTGGTCTACGATTGCCGTCAATAGACCATTTCGGGTTCCGCTCACCGTGTGAGATCTCCACTACTATAGAGCCATTCGATGAGACGAACAATAAAGTGAATTTGACCCCAAAATACTCTTTTGTGGACTTGCATATCGGTATGTCAATATTGCAGATAGCACCCACCAATCACTCTACTGATTCTTGAGAAGACTATGGCGCGGACGGATTATAAAAAGTGATTGGGGATTGCCGAAAGATATGGCTACTTTATCCCCCCACGAATAACAATTTGAATGCCATGAAGTCCATTGACGGCCAGCGTGGAAAGTTAGTCAGCTTAGTGCGTCGACTAGAAGGCGGTGTTCTTGTGGAGACAAAATCATCACATGCGATATTCCTCCCCGCAAGCTGTGCCCATGCCACGTTCACCCTTCAAGGTGGTTACTTGGTTACTAAGGATTTCACGACCGCGAAGTCGCTGAGTGCGATCGCAAGCTTCATCACTTGTGGACTGGATGAAAATTTGCCGACCGAGGCTCGAGTAATTTGCTTCGACTGGTTTGAACGTTGTTTAGATGTCACATTATCCCAGCAGCATGTGGTTGCAGCAGTTTTCGCATGGTTAAAGGCGGAAAACAAGCTCGCAACCTGGGCATCGACTCATCGAAGGTGGCGAGTTAATGTTAGACGTTTGTGGGAACATCACTGCCTGGACTCGTTGGTCAACTGTCCATGTGAGGCTCAAAAATCGATTTCATTCTTCCAGCATTTTTCTTCTGTTCATTTGGCCTCTTTGCTTTCCTCATCTCAAGTTCGGCGCCGTCGGTGACAAGGTTTATCGCGTGAGTCGGCGATGATGAACGCACAATATTCCAAGATGTGTACTGCATTTGCTCTACTTACAATAACATTTATTCATCACTCTGGTCCATTCTTTTCATGCCACTATCTCTGCGGGTTCAAGGTGGAGAATTCTTTTCATCCACTGAAACCGTTTGTTGTCTATGCTCCAAATCCGACGCGACGTAGGGGTCGTGCTGTAAATTGCACTGTAGCATAGACTGGACGAAATCTCTGGTGGGACGCGCTCAATAGCAGTATCCCAGATGGATATTGTTCGGTTAGTGCTCAGCATGTAGCTGTAGCGCACTCCGGGTGGCCACATCTGATTCAAATTGGCAAGAGCCGACAAAGGGACAGCGCCGTCAATCTTGAGCTCACCAAGGATGTCCTCCCTAGTATATAGCCAACAGTATACCACAACAAAGCGGCCATCACCAAGGCTTCGAATTTCAGAAGGCTTGGCAGGGGCGGTGCTGTGTCCGGTATCTACATTGACAATATCTCCACGACGTAGAGTCCACGACCCAAGAGGGGCTAAGTCTAATTTCCGAAGATACTTCCATGGCTTGGCGCCATTGATTGGAAGCGGTCGGAAATTCTCAACTCCCTCTCGCGAAACGGCGTATAGCTCTTGGGCTGGTGCAGCCAACCAAGGCCGGCGAACAATAATCCCTAAACGTGTGTAGCATAAAGCCTCCAACAGCACCCACTCACAGCATACCCGAGCCAGATTCAGAGGTCAGTAAAGGATCGTCAGAATTTCAACTTGGATTTCCGTCAATGGGACTTGTTCTCTGTGGCAACATAGTGATAGTAATGCAAAAGAGAACTTTTCGTTACCGTCAGGGCGTTGCTCGGAAAGGTTGTTGGGCCAAAGGCCAGTCGAGTAGGCACTTGTCGGGGCAAGAGGATCTAGCTGTGCAATCAAACCTGGTGTGTCAACGGTGCAGGAAAGAACATCAGGCGCAATTTCTATGATCCTATCCCTCGCTCGACCATCAAGGCTTGCAAAGGCGGCAAGATGTATTGCAAAGGATTGCGCAAACTTGATCCGTCAGTCCGATCCGACATGAGCCGGTGATCATTGACATACATCAGGGGAGGCTGTCAATCGGCGATAAATGTGGGCTCGGTCAGAAAATAGCTAGAAGAGATAGGATAGTGAGCAATTATTCTCCGAGCTCTGGGCTTCGCTCACCAAAATATTAGCGTGCAGGAGGGTTGAAGACGCAGGCATTGTATCGGGAGACGAAGAAGTAGGAAAGAATCGAGGAAAAGGGTTGGAAAGCTAAACGCAACGATTCTGCCAACTCCTTCCACTTGAGTGCCGCATCGGCCTCTTGTTCCCCGGCTGCGTCCCTGTCGTCCTCTTCGCAGGGAATGCGCTCATCGTCCGTCTCTAGGAGCACCGACCCCGGCCCCAGGACCACCAAATTCCGTCTCTAGGAACCACCAACCCCGGCCCAGGATCCACCAATCCCGCCTCTAGGAACACCAATACCGTCGCCAGGAGCACCGAGTCCGCCTCTAGGAACCCCAGGAACCCCAGGCAAGAAAGGCACAATCTTTGACCAGACACCTAAGCTACTATTTTGCTCGATCTTTGGCAAATATTAGAACTCCCCGGATGTGCCATCCCAGTAAAACTACGGGGGGTCAGTTAGGATTCTCTTCACCTTTACCGACAGTATTTCTTCAAGATGAAACTAACCGAGATCGCGGTCACAATGGCGGAAGACCTTTGACAAAAGATAAAATTAGACCCTGATGCCATCCACCATGCGGAGCACCCCTTCTCAACATCGGAGAAGAGCTCCGATAAGAGCCACCGTTCCGGTAAGAGCCGCCGCTCCAATAAGAGCCATCACTCCGATGAGAGCCACCGCTCTGGCGTGAGCCATTACTACGTTGGGATTCATCACTCTAGGATCGTAACATTATGTTTCAGGAACCTTTTGGCTCCTCGAATTACGGACTTGGTTCCCAGAAGCAGGGCACTCGGGGAGCAAGGAGTAACGGTGAGTCAGCCAAAACTTTCCATCGGCAACATGCGAGAATGGTACAGCAGTCCAAAAGTGTCTGAATCATAGATAGGCCCACCATTGATTCTGAAATCAAACTTTGTACAGTATTTCAAAAACGGAGTACAGTCGATAGCGAAATCAGCTTCCTCTCTACAGACTGCTTTTAGTTTCTCGGGCCCCACTGCCAAGGCACTAGTGTGAATATTTATTTAACAGGCATCAATGAAAAAGCGAATGCTTGAGGTATCGATTGGTATTTAATACCGGGAGTTGCGGTTCCAACTTTACGGTGCTAGACATTTGAATTGCGTGATTATCTAGGTCCCTCGAGCACTGGGTGATACACATGACTAGGTTCCTTTCTATGGAATTGGCCTTTAAGAACCAACCGGTAGGTACGGCCCTCAATTTACTGGCTGTAGGGACAATTTGGTAGTAAACCCTTGAAAGCGCTGTGAAATTCAGCAATTTACATTATCATGGCACTAACACGTACATGTCGTCCGAGTATATATGTTGTCACAGATGGTCACCTACTCTGCCCGATATCAGGAAAGGCTGCCCTTTTCCAATAACAGTTACCAATGGAGAAAAACATCGCACGATTACCGTGGTGAAGGAAATATAATCACACTCGATTGATTACTGTATTTTTTAGGCCTGATGATCATTCAATATCTTTGAAAAGGGGACGGATAGGGTACTCAGTCTCATTTCTAGAAGCAGCTGCGCCATATCGTCGTGTACTTCAGAAGCCGCATAGAGCGCAACATCGGCTCCTCTCTCTAAAAGTATCTGCACGATTTTCTCGTGTCCTCCAGAAGAAGCTGCCTGTAGTGCATTTCCGTAGTATCCACCCTGCGTGTTGACATCGGCTCCTCGCTCCAACAGTATCTGCACGATTTGGTCGTGTCCTATTGTAGAAACTGCTTGAAGCGCGTTTCTGTAGAGTCCACTCTGGGTATTGAAATCGGCTCCTCGCTCTAACAGTATCTGCACGATTTTCTCGTGTCCTCTAGAAGCTGCCTGTAGTGCATTTTCGTATCCTCCACCGCAGGTGCGTATTGATATCGGCTCCTCGCTCTAACAATATCTGCACGATATGGTTGTGTCTGTTCCGTGAAGCCCAAAACAAAGTTTTTGCTCCTGTATCATCCGCCGTATTGATACCGTGATTTTTAACACCAAGCAGGAAATGAACCTCCTGCTTATGGCCGTTAAATGCTGCCAGGTTGAGTCAACTTATTGATTGTACGGCGGGTGAGTATGGCGGCATTGCTGTCTCCCAAAAAATAGGAAACCACATTAAGAACCGCTTTTCTACTTATATTATATACTTAATGTAGTCGATTGGCTACTTCGTAGTCCACCGTCAAAGCTATCTGCTTTGCGTGATCGGCCCAATATACCGCTGCGTATTCTAAGAGATGTTGAGTATGGTTGCTCGATTGGCTATTATCGTCTTCTAAATCCTCCATCAAAAGGTATCGCAAACAGACATCGGCCATCTGGCCTTCTGCATCCCTTAAGCTGCTCTAATATGTGAGATTGATATTGGTTGCTCTTTTCTTTTGAATCAAGAAGTCTCTCGGGGTCTGATGGATGAGATAGATTTTCGAGTTATTTGTAAAGACAAACAGGCCACACTATCGCCGAAGCTTGCTGTCTAAACTAACTGGATCTAGCCCAGCCTGTTTTGTTGTTGTTGATCCTGAGCTAGTGGCGATTCCTAAAGCCATAGCCATCTCTCTTATTGTCAGAGGACGCCGTGCCGCCACGGTGATCTCTAGGATCTTCTTGACTCTATCTATTAGACCGGCTGGCACTCGACAGAGTATTTTCTCATATGCTATATTCACAAAATGCGGTATCAGCGTGATCCAATCCTCCGCAGGCCGGAGGCTGTCTTAAAAGGTAGTACGGATATCATCAATGGCTAGGTGTAGCTAAAGATATGTACGGTGTTTCATTCGGAGCAGTTGCTGTTCGATTCGATGATGAAGCTCTGGCGATAGTGGCACTGCCTCAGCTAGTTCTTTCGCCCGAATCTTCACCACCAGATCAATCTCCTCATGTATTTGGTCATTCTGCTCCTCCCCCTTAATATGTATATATGGGAAAGAATCGGTTATTGCTCGAAAGTGATCCTGTATATGATGGTAGGGACGACTGGTGACCAGGAAATTCAAACAGGTTTCCCCTATTGATGAAGATGGCTGGCGATGAAACGCTTGGAGCCTTTCAATTAATCGGTGCTGATCCATTTCACGACATTCATCAAGTGCATCGAATATGCAAATAGTCTTAAACGATATGTCAGCTGATGTTGCCGCTATTAAGATCCGCCAAAGCTCATCAACTTCATGTCGGAGCGCCCCCCATTCTTTTCCCAGGTCGGAATGGCATATTGTAATAGATTAGGCTGCTGGCTGAATAGCTGATGAAGTACCGAACATAGTGCCGTAGAAAGATTTCTTTGTTCATCATTGTCTTTAAAAAAAAGTAACATATTCTCACAGATGGATGAGAGGTCTCTAAGGATTCATCGATTATTGATCTGGCTAGGACAGACTTGCCACAACCTGGGTCAGCCGATACCCAGAGAAGGTCAATGCAGTTGCTCTCCCACCAACGGATGTATTCAGAGCTCTGGAGAGCCCATCGACAGGTTCCCCCAGCTCGTTTTGGGTTTATGTTCTTTTGCTCCGCGTAATTGACGATCTTGAACACTTGGTAACAACGACGCTGCTGATCTGTGGAGAACCTTGCCTTCTGTTCGCTATGGTGCCGCTTGTGTTGATTGTATGCTTGATCTAAGCAATGTCGGATGCCTTTTAGCCCCTCTAAGTAGTGCCCAGGTCAATATTTGCTAACATAATTATTGTAAGACTGCGCTAGACTAACCAGACACAACAGCACTTATTTTCTCCTCGGCTTCAATTCTATTAAGAGGAATCCTCTGCAGAAGATCTTTCGCGTATGCAGCTGCCACCATAGCTGCATACCCTTGCCACTCTTTGTTCTTATGTGAGTCCGAGTAATCACAGATACCCCGGATAACTAGGCATGGGAAAGTATTCACCAGCCCAGCGGCTTCCATTTCGAAACAGAGAACGTCTTCTTCAGCGGCAAGCCGGTCCCTAATCAAAGCATTCTTCATCAACTGATTGCCAGAAGCAATCAGGCCATAGTAAATAGCAGGGTTATCTTCGTCGTCGGCCCGCTCACTCCGTAGTACCAACGTTGAAGGATCAACCGCACATATAGCAGAGCCTGCTTGGTGATGGATGACTTCAGGAAGAAACAGCCTATCCTCAAACGGTTCTGGCCGTTTGTACTTCCGACGTAGTCTCATGTTCTTCTCAAGAATGTCGTCAATAGCCTCCTCCAGTTGATGCCTTTTTCTCTCGTATTGTGTTCGAATCCCTGCCATTGCAGCGCGTAATATAGCTGGTGGCTGGTTCAAGAACCGCGTATGCTGAAAAGTTTGGTCCTGAATCGACTTGCCAAAAGCGTATTGAAACACACCACTCTCGCCGCCGCGAGGCGCACTGACCACAACATCGCCCAAACGAATATTGTGGCTCTCGCTTGGTACACCCCCACCAATCCCGACCATGAGGCCAATCCTGATGTTGTGAAAACTGTTGAGCATGCTCGTCGCTACACTGGCCGCGGAAGCTGTTTCATATTCACCATCGGGCAAGACAGCGATTACAACGTTATGTTCACCCATCCTGCCTAACGTATAGTCGTTGGCATCGTTTGGCGACACAAAGCTCGGTTTGCCGTACTCTTCATTGAGAAACTCTTGTGCGGCAATATATTCCACGCGTAAGGCGCAAATCCAGCCCACGGTGTATCCCGTAGGATCTGACATAGCTTCAGCCCGAGACAAAAAGCCTAGAAAATAGCCACCCGCGTAACCTTTCGAAAGTCCTAACGTCTGGTGTGCAATAGAGACCTAAATAATTAGGACAATCTATACCACTATGAGCAAAAGGAGAGTGGAGGAAACTTAAAATAAGGAAAGAAGCCCGGTAAGGCAGAGAGAAAAGATTTGCCAACCGAGGAGGCTCAGCCTCATAATAAACACGACGTGCAGCAGCGGGCGGTTATAGAAGAGACGCTATTGGCAAGAGCCGTCTTCTCCATCCCATCGAAGTAAAGAAATATCAAGATTAGGCTTGGAATACACTCATATTATCCAACTTATTGTGTAAAACATTTAGCAGTTATTAGCAGAGAAATTTAATTAGTATGACCTTCCTTAAAGTCCCATTCCCGGGGAAGTCTTTTCTACTGTATCAGCAACGGGGCGCGCCGCACCGAAACCTCAGATTTTGTAGACCCACATCCACTAGAAGGGATACCAATAGTAAATCAATGCCGCCTTGACCTACCGGCCCCCAAACGTTTAGTACTAACTATAGTGGGGCCCAACAGGAGGGGGGGGTGGGGGTGTTCCGCGTCAAAAAGTCTTGGCAAGGGGGGTGTTGGCTTTGAAGTAGGTCCAACCCAATACCCCCTCCTAACCATAGTCGGGCCCCAGCTTAAAACTCCAAAAATTTTTTTTTTTTGTTCCCGAGGCTTACTGCCTGAGTTGTTGGGCTTCAATGGAAAGCTCGAGCCCCGCTTGAGCCAAGCAATAGACAACCCCGTCTTAACGCTGATTTAGGCCTAGACCTCTCGCGCCCACCAGATCGTCCAGTATCAGATCACCCGTACAGTCAATCATATGCTAGAAATCTTCCACATGGGGCCTCGTCTAGCTGAATGCAGCTTAGCTAATTAATCTTAGCCCCGGAGAACCCCCTCATGTACCATCGAACCCTTCATGATTTCTACATGCATGAGGATGAGCTAAGCCGACATCGAGGTGCCAAACCGCGCACTCTGATCTCCTTTGCTAATCAGCTAGCAGTCTATGTTGCTACGACATACTTTTGGAAGCTTCTACCCTGAAAACAAATTGTTATTGAGTTTCACCGGCCAGGGAGGGAAACTTGGGACGTAAAGGGGATGCGAAACCACAATCGACAAGAATGACCAGCGATTTTTCCTTATGTAAACCCCATTAAATTTTTCGAATAATCTATTCGGGAGTGAGAGTAAAGATAAATGCACCACGGCCATGCTATCCTGGAACAACTGACCATGTCTCACCGGTAAAAACCAGTCCCCCATCCAAGCGAAGTTGTTCAGGGTCAAGATATACGCACATCCCAATGTCAGGCCCACGTATGTCAAAAACGCGAATAATCAAGTACACGTCAGAAGAATGGTGACTGTTATGCATATTACCCATCTGCCTTGCGTTAGAAAATATCTCCTCATTTTCTTTCCAAGTTTCATGCAAGGGTCACTCACCCGTTCAAATTGACGCTTGCTCATGTAAAATGGAGTGCCCAATGGCCCTGTCGTCGTCTTGATTTCAATAAAATACCTTGGGCGTCTGTCTTCCCATTCATCGGCTTCGAGGTAACCATGACTGATGAGTAAGGAAGTAAATGCACCCTCGGTATCATCATAAACAATATCGGATGTCTCTCTCCCATACCAAGGAGCCATCGTAGCATAGTCAGGATGAATCGTCACGTATCGTCGAATTGTACTTTGCCAGTTTTGTTGACTCCAACCCGGAAGCGGCGGCGTCATCCCGCTGAGAAGCTCAAATGCCTGCAATAACACGTCAGTTTCACTTAACATAGCAGGAGATATGGGAAGAAGAATGGGAAGCATAGCCTACGTAAAGTTCGCCCGCAGCTCCCACTTTCTTGTCTCGCTCAAGTTGGCTATCAGAGCGAAAGGCATTTCGGATTTCGGGGCCATCAAATCCTTCGTAATCGCCAGGAATCTCTGCCCTCGGCAGTGTCCGGCGCAGCTGGGACATGTCAAATGCCCCACTCGAGGGAAAGGAAGCTCTCCGCGCCCATCCTAGTACATGATTCAACAAACGTAGGTAGTGCGCGTTCTCCTCGGGCGCATGGCTGTTAAGCGAAGAGATCGGCACCGGGCGATTGTAACCGAGGCTAGACGAATGTAATGCCGTCATGATTTGTCTATCCCCGGTTCGAATTGAGGGCTGGTCATTTCGAAGGGTAGGGGTTGAAATTGACGTGTCTGCGCTGGTTGATCGTGCAAGATCTTCATTGTCGCTGGTGCCGGGCTGATCCCAGGCTTCGGAAGGGAAGTCATCATCGATTTGAATGTCCTCGTTGACAATTTCAATTTCAGCTACCCCCTCACGGTCCAGTACGAGATCTAAAGCAGCAGGGTGGACACCGAAAATCATGATCATTACTCTCACCATTTCGTCGTCGAAAGGTTCAAGGATCTGTGTGACTGGGTCCCTCATGAGCAAATCAACAACTTTTCGGGGTAAAAGATCACAGAAGCAAACTTCTTGGGCTTTTCTGTCCCTGGGAAGGTAGATAGAAAGCAGAGATGCATCTTCTGAAATGTGTAGCTTTGCGATTCTTTCTTCGACGTCAACTGGCGTACTGCCCTGGGAGATGCGCAAAAGGGTGACAATTGTTTCCGTAACTTCAATGTTAGCCGTTCGAAGTAGTTCGTAAAGCTCCGCATCGTTTGCGTGATATCTTGGGCTATTAAATGTGGCCGCAACACTTAATCACGACGAGAAGAATCAGATACAAAATTCATCAACTGGTAGAATTTCAACGTACCGAACAATGGCATGCGCTTTGTGTTTTATATCACGTGTGGGGGATGGATTGAATGGCGTCGTGTCGCCAGAGATGGACGTTAGTTCTCTAACAGAGGCAGAGAGGTAGCAATGTGAAAGGTTTGCCCAGTCAAAGAACGGTCTCAGGCTACGAACTTCCTCTTGGGTGAAGTCGAGCAATTTGATCTTTCCCCGAAACCTTGAAGCCAAATGTTCTCGATCTGGAATTGCGAAGCGAGTATCTGCTGAACAAAGGGCCGATGAGCCATCGGGGAAGACAACGGGAAAAATCGACTTTTGCAACAGTGGCCTTGGGTCCACGTAAGTATCATCTGTCGAAAGTAATGCATTCAAACACCAAATCTTGGATATAACCTCGTCCATCGTTACTTGAGAGCTTGATTCTAGGAGGTCCTTATAGGCCATCTGGAGAGTTAGCGTTTGAACCCCTAAGGTGTCAATGAAGAACTCTTTCAATTCTTCATAATCCTCCTGTATTGTGACCATTCCGCGGATCTTTGTGGTGCTGGACCACAAACACTCCGAAGACTTGTACCAGCCATTCTTGGACTCGGATTCCCCAGGTACAAAAATCAATTCATTCTCGCGAAACTCGCGCCTAGGAACGGATTATCAGTATTAAAATGTTTGGACTATAGGCTAATTCCAGAGATTGTGGAAAATCTAGTTACCTGAAGTCTTCAAGAAAAAGAAAAATACCCATGTCACGTAGGTATTTGTAGACAGCGAATATTGAAGCAAAGTCCTGACTTTCCGCCTGCCTGAACGCGGCTAACTCATTTGTCAAATCAGTCCAAGATGCTGAGTGAATTCCCAGGGTCTCCGTGAGAAGGGCCGAGATGTACGATAGCTGACTCTCATCGGCGACGGCGTGTCGGTAGATTGGTTCAATTGAATATATGCTATACAGATTCTTTGGAGCCTCCCATAAGCAGCAATCGGGATCGGTCCAGGTTGCATCCCAGACGCCAGCTTCAGGACATTCAGGAACAAGGATGTAGTCACCGCTTTGGAAAAATGACCTAGGGTAGACAATTAGCATGCTTCTTCAACATGTGATAACAGGACTATTCTGTGTGCGATTTACTTAATGCGTTCTCTCAGTTCAGTTCTATCCCTGGTGCCCACCAACTTGGACTGTATCGCACTATAGAGGCTGAAGACATGCTGAAAATTAGTGATATCGCTCGGGTCGTCATTCGAAAGCTTCAGCCATTTCAAGATGTCGAGTAAGAAGCCAAGATCCTCATCTTTTTTCACACCGAGTGAAGTGTGAAGGAAAAGCCAATTCGAACTTATTTCCTCCATGGTTGAGCCCTCATCCAAGGTTAAGAAAGGGAAGGCAATGTATGTGCCTGAAAACTGTGCATATTGCTCAATGAGATTAGGAAATGGCAGGTATGCTTCCTGAAGTTGACATGCTGCTGGAAGGTCGATCCGACAGAGCCGCCTAGCATCCGTTTCTCGAAGACACTGCTTCCGTGTCTCGTCCTCATTTATATATGCACCTTGAGATCGCCAGATGTATCTCAGGAATCCAAATAGCTTATCCGCTCGGTGTTCAGACAGATAAATCCAGACAGAAGAGAGACCTTGCCCACCCTTGGCAATCACCCTCAGGTTCGCCCGTACCCCAATGTCCCGTTGCAGCCAACGGCGCCATGACGGATGGCTGTCATCGGGAGTTTCTGGGGTGTCCTTGAGATAAATTGAATGAAGAAAAGGTACTTGCATACCTGGTAGTCCATCCGTGGCTCCCAGAAGTCGCTTTGGACCGTACAGGTGGTTTGAGGGAAAGTAACAGTCATCATGACTCGGCCGTCTCAAATCTCCATCTTCACAAAATATAAGAATATCTTTCTGCTTGTCTTCCGGTCGAAAGAATCTCTGAGTCAGATACAAGAAGACCAACTGATCCTTTGACCTGGATTCCTTTGTAATAAAAAACGTCGTCAGCTTCTCAAAAGCTTTTGCTCGTGCTAGAAAGACGTCCACCTCTTCGACCCCAATGCTTGAAAAAAAGGCCTTACGATCTTCATTATCGGTCACAATTGGGTCTAGTGTTTGAAAGCCAAGAGATTGAGGAATGAGAATTCCATGGGTGATTGGGAAAAAGACGCGACTCGAGTTTGGCGAAACCCAGGTTCCATCTTGTAGTGGAAGCAGCTCAAGTGAACGAAGAGTCGGACTGACAGATGGCATGGACGCGAATCTGGTAAGAAGCTTTGCCATTCGGCTATGAATGTCATCACTTAAGTCTCTTGATTTCATACACGACAGTGGGCTCCCTAGATCTTTTTTCAAAAGCTTCATGACCATCGCAGCTGACAAAATGTTCAGTCCATAAGGCTTGAGACGATTCTGATCAGGGCTAGAGTATCTGGCTGAAATGAAAGGATCGACGTCGACATGATCAAGCAAAACATTCCCATCGCCATCCATGAAGTACATCGCTGGTATCATTGTATCGGAAATTCTTTTGAGCCTATTGTTTCGTGTGCATATGATGGGGAGCTGTGAGATTTGGGCACTAATCTTGGAGGGAAGAGAGGCCCAGAACTTCCCAGCGGGTTCTTCAAATGACGGAAGATATGCCGGCCACTTGTATGCAAAGTTGTCATCAGAAGCAAAAGACGAAACTGCTTGGCAAAAGGCCGAGGCAATATGATCGAGGAGTTTGAGATTTCGCCTGGAAGACTCGGAGATATCCTGTCGACTAGCATTCGTATCAAAGTCAGATTGGATGAGAAACTGTGACAAGTTAGCCATTGCTCGCTCTGTAACTCAAGTCAGCAACCAACCTTGAAACTAGTCTTCCTTATAGGGAGAAAGGCAAAAACAGATTGAGGCTGCAAGATTGGACAATTTTCCTGGTCCACGGGAAATGCGAGAACAGTTTCTGCCCGTGCAGAAGATTCCTGCGCTTCTGAAGTCGCAGGAGCCTCACGGTTCTCACTCTTTGGGAGTCCAGTTCCCACATACCGAATGACGTAGTAATCAGACGCCTCAACGGACTCTTCGCCTTTCTCATCCACCGATTCCACATTGAGGGAAACCTTCCAAGAAGGATCTCCTTCCAGATAGAATCTCTTCGATTCCTGAAGTTCCTCATCTGCAGTATAGAAGCACACCCGTATCTCCTTGAGATTCCTCAAAAAAAGGAGAGATGTCTCCTCCAAAGCAATGAATTGTTCAAAGATAGTTTTGTGAAGATGCTCTATCTCATCAGAGTCCCCATTCTGGTGAAGATGCAAGGTCATGCGAGTCAGGGAATCAGGTCCTCTATCGTCGACCTCCTGCCACACGGGGAGGACCATTCCAAGGCCAAGGTCTTCTCTATTGTGCTTGAAATAAAAAGCGTAATTTCCTGATTGAATTTCAACTTTCCATGCCGCGATGAACACTGATTTGAATCCAATCCCCTTGGCCCCGATGTAGCCGTGTGACGCAGCTTTGGTACTTTCTCCCACGGAGCATATCGCCGAAAGATTCTGCTTGGTGAATCCATCTTCATTGCATTCGATGACAATCCGGTCGGGGAAGGCATGGAAGGCGATGAAAGGCAATTCGTCTCTCGCACGTGCTCGTCTGAATTGGTTATCGTCGGCATTTTGAAGCAGCTCGAAGACGAAGCGGGCATTGCTGCTGTAGATGTTTTTGGCAAGTCTACACACATATTAGATCGCCGTCTTGAACTTTTGTGCGCATTTCAAAGATTGCATGGTCTTACGTGATGATTGAGTGAGCGATTTTCTTGTCCTTGGCCAACATGCTCTCCTCAATTTCGCGTCGAAGTGCGGGATTAATTCGGCTGATCTCGTCAAGAGAGCTGGGTTGAATAAAACCGTACTCTTTGGCAATCCCCATTACAGCCTCCTTGGCTTCCTTTTTGGTAGCCATGGTTTGCTTCTCAGATTTCTTCCTCTCGTGAGACCTGTGTGAGGAAATGATGAACAACAGAAGCGGGGTTGAAGAAGGGGATGGGGAATTCGTGGATTTTCGGCCCCATTATTCTTCCCCATTATTCTTGTCCATTTAGCTAATTTCGGCCATTTCTATCACGAATACCCATCTAGTTAGCTTGGACCTGCTTTCGGGGAGACCGGAATGTGGATCACGGGGAGGACGGTGGGTGAAAAGTCTTAGTGATCTACGCACGCGACGCGGGAGGGCCACCATGACTCGTGTACGGCACTCCGTGGGGGCCAAGCCTTTGATCTCTCAATCCATGGGTGGTGATCTTAGCGCGGGTATCGCAGCACCAATCAACGCCACACTGCCGCATCTCAACCGTTTTTAAGCTTACGGCTTGGGTTGTTCGGTTTCCTCAGCACGGGCACTCTTGAGTCATTGCCTGACTGAACGACAGACAGCAAGCAGACCGGAATAAGACGCGGGCACCAGATGGACTACTACAGAAGCTCAGAATTTGGAATTGTCACTTGGGGTGGGTGAAAGGCCACAGTTCCGCCTGCTATAATTCGCCAGATGAATCCGATAGTGTCACAGTGGAACCGGGGTTTCATTCGGCTCGCCTGACTTGATTGGCCCGTCGTTCTGAGCTGCTTTATTGCACAACGATAACGAGGCATTATCCGGCTGCATGTCAGGCAGTGACTTGTCAGTCTGGCGTGCAAACGGCTCATTTAACATAATCTAGATGGCGAGATCATCTTTGAATTACATTGCTTCTACATTACAGATACAATTCCCAGAGGCCGCCGCAGGCTTTCTGCAGTGGTAAGGCGAACCTTCAAAGTAGCCCACTTTATATAATTGGCTGGACATTACTCCTTTCTCCACCTTGGAGTGCCAAGTCGCTCAGTATGCACGGCTTTTTTTCCAAGTTAGAGGGGGGCTCATGCTGTTATGAGTTGGATGCGGGTATGGTAGGCCCAGACGTGGCCTTTTTCTGTGATCACACTATCGAAGAACTGATGCTTCGGGTTATAGATTCTGTTTTCCAGAGTTCTCCTCCTTTGGCGGCTACCAAAAGACGTTACTTAGGCCATATCAGGTGCCTCTTGAGGTCCATGCCGTAGAGGATCGAGTTCACCTTATATCAGCACTACGGCTTAGTGGTCACTTGGGGGAACTATAGGATCCACTCGGTGCAAATAGACCATAATACTGTAGTGTAATACTACATTGTCCTCCACGAAGAAAAATGCTGTCACGGCATACATGCAGATTGATATTCCAATCAACAAGTTCCTCAATGGAAAATTTGTTTTGTTCGCCGCCCTGCTTATCTTCGAAGTAGGATCTGCGGTTATTGGCTCAGCGTCGTCTATTGGCGCTGTCTTCGCGGGCTGTGCTCTGGCTGGCTCCGGTGGCTCCGGAATCTACGTCGGCACCATAAGCATGATCACCGGAATGACGACTGCCAAAGAACAAAACCAGTATCTCAATATTGTTGGTATGGCGTGGAGTTTGGGAACCATCCTTAGCCCCATTATCGGATCTGCGTTTGCTGATTCGCCTGCCACATGGAGATGGACTTTTTACATCAACATTTGCGTTGCCGCCGTTACCGCCCCGGCTTGTATCTGGATTATACCCTCGGCGCCGCCTAGTATATCCCTGGGGGTTATGGGCGTAATCAAAGTATTTAACTATCTTGGTGCTGTGCTGTTTCTTGGCTCTGTCGTGTCTATAGTGACGATGCTAGGGTTTGGCGGCGTTGTGTATAGCTGGGATAGCAGCCAGATGATTGAACTTTATGTTGCTACTGCTTTGCTATTGATCATTTTTGCTCTGCAGCAAAAACTCCACATTCTCACGGTGGATCGAATCTTTCCAGTGCAGTTCTTCAAGGACCCCTTAATGATCGGCTTATGGATCTAGACGATTGTCGCAATCTCTGACATCGTCGACACCGTCTGTACACTTCTGCTTTTTTTTCCATTTGTGCCATATGATTCTTCGATGCGTTCTACAGTCTATACTCTGCCATTTGTGGCATCTGTTGTGGTCAGTGCTGGCATCAGCAGGGGGCTTCTACCCAAATTTCCCTGGTACAAGTGCTGGTTCATCTAGGCTAGTGTGCTACTCCTTATTAGTAACGGCCTACTGTCTGGTATACACACACACATCCAGGGCTGCGATTTGTGGCTATACCGTTATACAAGGCTTCGGCGTCGGACCAGTCATTCAGCTTAGCTATACCGTGGACCAGTTGAAGCGTCCACAAGCGACAAGAAAGGACGTTACGGCTTTCTTCTCTTACGCGCAGATGGGTGGTCTGGCTTTGTCGCTGGGCATAGCCAAATCTGTTTTGATCAACCATACCACAGGGGAGATATCGCCCATTCTACCAAACATTCCTCTAGGCGAAATTAGAGGTACCATTGATGGCGTAGGAGGTAGCCTGTTCGCGACGTTGACCGAACTTGTTCCTGCTCAGATCACTAACGCAGTTACAGAGAGTATTGCCACTGTGTTTTACCTGAATGTGTTTGGGGCAGCGCTTGCCTTCCTAATTTCCCTTCTTCTCAAGTTTGACAAGCTGGATTTTACCGTGCTGCAATAGCGTATTTTGTCGAACTCCGCAGGAGAAGATTACCACCTTTCCTATTACAGATTGATGATTCAGCGCGGGCTTAGATCCTATATTACTGTTTTTGTATGTAAAGCGTATGTAAGTGTACGTATGGGCTATACAACTAGCCTATACGAATCAGGCAAGATCGCTTAACTCGATTGAGTACCTAGATAGAACAACCCTCTCTGAATAGTATCTAGTTATACTAGTTTATATATATTCGCCCCTATCCGACAGTTATAAGCCTGGTATTATTGTGTGGAATTGGATATTCAGAATAGTTTCTAACTATATACCTCTATACGATTTAGATAGGCTATAATTAAGTAAATGGGTTAGATTACTCCTGAATTCGCAAAGCAATCACTATAAACAAAATTCACTAGCTACTTATATACCCTAGTCGAATTGAATTAAACTAAGATAGAAAATATATAGATTATAATAGCTAGTTTAGATAGAGAGGAGTTTATAATAATTCTAGTTGACTAGAAGCTTTAGTTAAAAGTATACTAGAGAGTCTAGATAGGATATATTAGGTTAACAGTAAATTTAGAAGGAATATAGAACTATATCAATCCTAATAAACCTAATAATAAGATCTAATATAATAAGAAGAAGACCCAAAAAAAAAAAATAAAAAACAAAAAGACTTAAAATCACAAACTAAGTATAGGATTTAAAGATAAGGATCTATAAAAGATCTAAATTAAAATATATAAAGCTTTTAAAAATAATAATATATTTAAATAGTCTTATTACCTGATTATTAGTTACTAAATATTACTATCTGATTATAGATAAAGACTTACTAAAAGAGAAACTTTTAAAACTAGCTAAAATATTCTACCTAAAGCTAGAAAGCTACTAATAAGAGCTTTAATAAGTATAAAGAGTAATAATTCGATTATCTAACTAATTAGTTAATATTAATTAGTAGATTATCTAATAGGATTCCCTATTTAAAAAAGGAAAGATTATAAAGATTCCTGATTATTTACTTAGAGATATATTTACTATTAGAGACTTTCTTAATATTATATAGAATATAGATAATACTTTCTATATAGACTAGAAATAAGAGCTAAGTAAATACCTAGATAAGATTAAATTCTATAAAGTAATAGTAGACTATTAATATTACTATACTAACCTATCTATAATATCCTAAAGATTAATATCAAAGATAGTATTTACAACACTAAATAATCAGCTAGAAGTGAAAGCTTTAGAGCTGAAGTAGTTAGATAAGAAATAGAGATATCTATATAGATTACTAAGATATTATTTCTTAAAGTACTTCTATCTTAATAAAACTATTTATCTAGAGGGATAGGAACTCTATAAGGATATAATTAAGAAAGTATAAGAAAATATTAAGAAGATAAGCTAATTAGATTATAATTAAATTAAGAAGATATAATAAAAAAAGAAAAAGGGTAATATAAAATTATATATTTAGGAAAAGATAGTATTTATAGTATCTTATTTCCTAATTAAGTAGATAAGCCCTCTATAATTAAGTTAGATTATTAACTCTAGAGCCTTAGTCTATATCTATAATAATTATATAATATTTAAATATTTATTATTATAATCTAGTAAGATTAAAACTAGAGATATATATATAGAAATCCTTAGAACTAGAGAAGTTATAATAATAAGTAATAATCCTTATATGAAACTTCTAGTTTACTTATATCTTAAAGATATATAGTATATACTAGGATTCTATATAAATATAATCTTATATAATTAAATAGAGTATAGTAGGTTCTATTAGGATCTAAATAGAAGTATAATTATCTAGAAAGATATAAATAAACCAATATTAGTAGTAAAAAGATAGAATAGCTTATATATTATTAATACTATAGACTTTATACTAATATATTTAGTATTCTCTATTTATTACTCTAGAGAAACCCTTAATATTAGAAGTATCTATAGAGAGATAATATTAATATCTAGAATATATAGCTGAATAGAACCTTTTAAGGATTTAAAAGATAGTTAAGGATATATAAATTACTAAAGAATTAAACAAAGATAAACAAAACTATCCAAAAAAATATAAAGTCTATTAGCTTACTAAGATAAAGTAGTAGATATCCTAACGACTAAATATAAGAAGATTTAGTTAATTTAGATATATTTACTTTGATTTAATCTAAATAGATCTAGACTATAATAGATATTATTAGATTATCTATTTTTATATAGTAGGAATATACTTATATATTATCTTTATATACAGATAAAAAAGTGGCTATTAGAATATTATTAGAGAATTTATTGTATATATAAGTAATTAGTAGAATCTACTAATTAAGATATTTTATTATAATAATAAGCGATTAGCTGGCTGTACAGTTAAAGATTTTATAGTTAAATAAGGTTTTATAGTAGAATATAGTATTATTAGTACTCTAGAATAGAATTCCTTTATAGAAAGATCTAGAGGGGTAATAATTATAGTTAGTAGAAGCTTAATAATAGATTTAGATCTACTAAAAGCTCTTTAGCCTAAAGCTATCTAAGTAGTAATATAGATTCTAAATAGATTATCTATAAAGATACTAGATAAGAAGGTAGATCATCCTATATTAAGAAGTATTAATACTAGTATTAAACTTCCTACTGATATCTATTAATCTTATAAACCTAAAAGTATATAGCTATTATATATATATAAGAAAATAAGGTATTCCAAATATTAATAAGATATAAATATATATAGAAATAGGTTATTTTATTAGATATAAAACCTTAAATATCTAGAAGATTTAGTTTCTATAATAAATAATAGTCTAAGAGGTCTAAGATATAACCTTTAATAAGAATAGATTCTTTGGTCTATAAGATATTATAATTAAATAGATCAGAAATAATATAGAAGCAATATCTTAGATAGATAATAAATTAGAGTTAGATATAGAGAAAGATCTAACTAACAAATAGCCTCCGATTGGTTTATATATATAGCTTAAATCTTTAAATCAGTTAACTAGTAATCACAAATAATAACTAAAAGAAAGGGATTAGTAGCTTTTATCGCTATCCCTAATACCTAATAGAATAATTTAGAATAAATAAGATCCTACTGATCAACTCTAAGATAAGCTTATAGCTATAATCATACTATATATACTAAGAGATATTAATAGAGATATAGATAAATATAATATTGTTATAAGGAGTTATATATAAAAGCTAAAAGCTTTTAGCTTTTATACTAACGGTAATTATAAAGACAGAACTCTACCTTTACAATAGGACTAAATAATACTTATTTATATATAAAAGCCTATAAGAATAAGCTTCTATCTACTCTAGAGAACTAGTAAGAGATAATAAAATATCCTTACTAAGAAGGCTTCCTAAAGGTATCAGTACTTAAACTAAAGATACTTAAACAGAAAGGAAATATACTAGGTTATTTACTAACTAAATAATTAAAGTACCTAGATCCTTCTATTTTGTTAGGTATATATATATAAGTTTAATAATAATAGCTTCTTAATTAAACTAAAAGTAAGAATCTATATATAAGGTGATCTACAAAAGATTATAGCTAAAGAGAAATATTTAGCTATATTAGTAGTATAAATAATAAGAGCTATCTTTATCTTAGTAATAGTATTTAACCTTAATACTTACTAATTTAATACTATTAATATCTTTCTTAATAATATACTTAATAAGAAAGTAATAATAGAGTTACTAGAAGATTATCAATAACCTAGATAATACTAGAAGCTTATAAAAGTATTATATAGCCTATAAAAGTCCCTATATCTATAGTAAAGAGAAGCTATAAAGATATTAATAAAACTAGGATTTTAGGTAGTATAAGAAGATCTCTATCTATTTATAAGTAATAGAATTATTATCTTCTTTTATATTAATAATATTATTATTATTAACTACCTTTCCTAAGCCGAACAAGTATAAGAGCTTAGACAATAGCTTATAAACAAATAGGAGTTAAAAGATATTAGTAAGACTATCTAGTTCCTTAGGATTTAAATTATCTAAGATTATAACTATAAGACTCTCTAGCTTTGTTAAGACTTATATATCTCTTTAATAGCTAGCTAATACTATCTTACCTATCTTTGATAAATAGCAATACTATTACTAAATATATCCTTTTAGGAGTTTAATAATAAAGCAATACCTAAATAGATCTATAAGTATTAGTAAAAGGTTAGATTGGCTCTATATACTACTATAATAATATAACTAGATATTACTAAATATACTATCGTCCTTATATAGTTCCTAAAGAATCCAGGACCTA